TCGCGGCATGCCGGCTAGTAAACCGGTTCGGACCACCACACCGAAACACATTTAGGCAAAGAGCCCAAAATTGTCGGGTTCCGGATTATCATCAATGGGCGGCTTGTCGGAATGCATTTGGGTCCCCCGTCTCTCGTTTTTCGATTTTTGTCCATCCATCCAAAAATAGATAGTAATACTAAATATGGGCAAACGGCTATTGCTTGTTTAGCCAAATACGCGCACACACACACACACACACATGCATACAGTTATTGCGCAAATAATGGTCATTTCACGATTTTGTGGAAATTTTTTTTGATATGTTTATATTTATATATATGCGGAATACTAAAGAAATGCAAATATTGGGCTGGAACCCAACGCCTGCTCAAATATCGAATTGAACCATCAACGGGGGGAATGAGGGTGATTTGATTTTTAGCAGCTCAACCGCGATTATTGATCTTTTCCATCAATATTCGCACGAATTGCTGCAAACGCGCTCTATCGCCAGTTTGATCTACTATTTTTAATGTCTTGTGAAGTTGCGGCAAACGCGCTCCAACAGCACCATTTTGCGGCAATATCGCTCTACCGCCAAATTGATCAACGATTTTGAATGTGGTCTGAAATTGACTATCAATATCTTTGGCAAATACGCTCCATTGCAAAATTGATCTACCATTTTATGAATCCCTTGACATTAGCCGATGTGAAGTTGCAATTCGGCTAAAGGCGACAAAGATTTCCCATCTCAAGTCGTTCGACCCCGAAAAACCAGTTCGATTAGCTTCAGCGTCTTTCATTCAGCTTCATCCACCTCGTGTTGGTCATCTCGATCAGACCCTCCGGCCCCCCTCTTTGCTTTTTTTGGTCAAGCCATCATCATCGCCATCGACTTGCGCGCGCGCGCGCGCGGAGTGTGTGTGTGAAATCGCATTGTGTTGCACAACAGGTCGACTTGCCGTCGGAGTCGGACGATGGCTGGCCCAAATCGAACACACGGCGGCCTACGACCAGGCGAAAGATGAGGGTGGACGGAAAAAAAAACGGCTTGACACTGACCAGTTTTTTGGTTAGTTGCCCGAATGGTCAATTAGGGATTATTGAGTGGCTTGACGGTTGTTGCATCATTTTCGAAATTTTTTTTGCGACACAGTGGAATAAGGTTGTCGTGGGGGGGGGCAAGGTGAGGAGAGGAAGCTCAAAAGTTGGGGGAGGAGGGCCTTTATAGATGGACATATATCGACAGCTCTCCTCCGAGTAGATCAAAACAATCGCTGCCATCAGCTGTCAACGGATTGTGGCGTATTCCGTAAAACGTCCGCAGATGTGTAAAATGAAATGCGGCTGGTTAGGATTTAAAAGTAAAAAGGAAGCCAGTGTCTCTCGCTTCTCCAATTTTGAGAACCCTGATGCTAGGGAAATTGCATTTGGCGCATATGGTCCGAACGATCTAGCAGGGTTGTTTTTTGAGGCACTGCGGAAAAAAAAACAACCCGGAAAGCCGATCGGGCGTGTTGGTTTTCGATGATTTTTTTTTGGGCTCCTCCAAGAGCCCACCTCGCCCCGTTGGAGTTTTTTTTTTCGCGCTTGGCTCGGCGCGCACCCACCGTGCGCGGACAAACAACAACATGTGCGAGCGGCAAGTGGCCGGCCAGTGGCCGAAAAGCAAACGATCTCCAAATCGCCTATTTTTAGCTTCAAGCTTCTTCTTCTTCTTTCCTTCCCTCACCCCCCCCCCTTTTCTCATTCTCATCCAGAAAACATGAAAAAGTTTCAAACTCACTCATTTGATTATTCCGCCACATGTGTGACGTGGTTATTGTGTGTCGGCTCTCTCCCTCTAATGAGATCATCATCAACAAGCGATTGGTGTGATTCCGCCACCGCCAGGGTTACGGTGGATGGTGTGTACTCATGCGTAACGTCTTGATTGGGTTTGAAGCGCGTGTGAGCGAAAAGTTTCTCGAGATGGCGTTGCTCCGCCAAAAAAAAAATTTTTTTTGATCTACCAGTTTTTTGTTGTTTTTTGAGGTCATGACGTTGTCAAATCGCGCAATCCACACCACTTATTGAATTTTTGAGATTTCTGGTTTCCTTTTGTCCCTTTAAACTTGAAATTTTCAATGGTGGAGAGGCTTTCTTGAAATTTGCCTATTCTAGATTTGAAGTGACCTTGAATCGTATAGCGGATTACCCCCTCTCCCTCTCCCTTTAAAATGGACTGCTAGAAGTTCCTGGATGCCGATGAAGCTTTTGACCCCCGGGCGGCACTTATCAGGCAAGGGTTCAAAAATTGCTTTCCCCCCCTCCCCTATCGGGGCGATTGACCACTCGAATTTGATTATTTGTTTGAGCTGCCAACGGAGCAGCGAGGAAGGGGAGGGGAAGAATGAGGGGGGAAAAAAATCCTAAAGGCCTGTATATACAATGAAATGTGTGTGTGTGTGTTCTCGCGGTTGCCCCATCTCTCTCTCTCCGATTTGACCACTAGCAAAGCGATGCGGGTCGGCGAGAGAGGCGATCGCGTCGTCCGATCGTCCGGCAGCGCGGCGAGGCAGCGAAGCATCGGAACGGAACCAGTTTCAGAAATGCCGGCCGGACGGCCGGCGGGAGAAGCTTGCGGCAAAAAAAAATTTTTTTTTCATCTCTCTCTCTCTCTCTCTATTCGTTTTCCCTTCCATCGACAAGTGCATGCGCGCGCTATGTATTGCATACCGAATGGCCTCTGGGGGTTATAGGCTTCTTCTTCTTCGTCGTCGTCGCCTCGTCGCGGCCACCGCGCGCGCGCACGGGTACCCGGAAAAAGACCGGTTCCGCCCGCCCGCCAGGCCTGCCCACCCTGATATCTCTCGCTCGCGCCCCCCCCCTTTTTGCCTTCGCCTTGACCACCACCACCCCTCTACGGTCCCGGCGTTGCCGTCCAATTTATCATTTCGTTTTTGATCTACTATGCTTGATTCGTTGATTATCGCTGTTCGCGTCGAGACCCACAATCGCCTAATTTGCATATTCAATTATAATTGTCTTCTGAACCTCATGCTCCTTTAAAATTGCCAATCGATGCCGACCCGCAAATTGGTGATGGTCCCATTAATATTGAACTTTGTGGCTTTTCGTGACCCGAACACCGGCATGCGCCTTTAAATTTCTAATTACTCGTCGATATTTTCGTTTTTCGCGCACGCCAAACTTTTGATCTACCCGCTCTCTTCCTGTTTGATCATCGCTCGCTGGCTCGCGTTTGCGCACTGTATATGTGTGTGTGTGTGTGTGTTTTTTCGCGCTTCTTCCGACTCTTATATAAATAGAAAAATGTTCCCGGTTTTTTTTTCCATCGATCTCTCCAATTCCGTCGGATTTGTTTGAACACCAGGCAGCCTAGGACACCTCCTCCCGCGCCGCTCCAGGGGGGAATCGGGAGGGGAGAAGCGGAATGGTATATTGGAAGAAAGCAAGCAAGCAAACCGAACCGAATCGTCCCTCCTCCTCCTCCTCCTATTTTTGGTACATGTACACAAATACGCACATACGCACACAATTGGTACTGTAGTACTAGTAGTTGTAGTAGTAGTATTGGTAGTGACCGCTGTCTGCCATCCCTCCACCCCCTAGACCCCCCCTATGGCCTATTGTTGTCGGCTATTCAAATATGGTAGAAAAATTATTATTATTATTTATTTTTTTGTCGACGAGACGAAAATTCGAAGGAATAATTTCGCGACGAAACATTTTTTCGGACGTCGTCGCCATCGGAATTTGTTGGGATTTGCCGTCGACCTGCTGCGGACATTGTTCAGAGCGAGAGACGAAAGAGAGCGTGAGAGAGAGAGACTCAGCGTCTAAACCAAGCCACGCCCATATCTTGAGCTCTTCTTTGGGTGGCAAATGAGGAGGTCACGCCCCCCTCACCCCTCCCCTATTACAGTAATCGGTCGGGCATTTCTATTTTTTCAATTGAATAGAGAGGGTGGAAAGGAAAAAAAAGATTGAGAAGAACCGGTCAACAACACATGCATGTTGTGTGCATAATTTGGGTTGGTTCGGAGGGGTGGCTGGGTATTACTGCTAGTTGTTGCTTCATCATCATCATCATCGCGATCATCTTGTTTCGGTGAGAGGGGGGGGGGCTACTCGCAAATCGACGACCCAGACCGACTACTTTTTGGCAATCGTTTTGGGGGGCGTCGAGGCGCTGGTGTTGCGCGCGCGCGGGCGTCGGCGGCGGCGGCGGCGGTCATCCGCCTCCTACTGTCCAAAACCGGTCCGGATTGCACTCTCGCACCACTACTACCACCACCATCATCACCAGCCAGCGGGTGCCCCCCCCTTCCCCGGTTTGAATGGCTAGGCTTAGCCTAGGGCCATAGCCGATCCCCCCCCCTCTCTCCATCTCTCCCAACACAATGAATTCCTCCTTCCAACCCGATTCCTCACCACCATCACAGCTTCATATCGTTTTGACTGACAGAGGCCAGTTTGTACCCGACTTTTTCGTGGGGGTCATCGTCATCGTCCACGTCTTCTTCTTCTTCTTCTTCATCTTTTTTTTTACGATTTGATCTACCAGAGTCGCCCTGATATTTTATTCCGATTGTAGATGGCAGAGTCTTTGGGTTTTGGGCTCGTGTTTTTTTCCTCGATGAACTTTTTCTCACACTAAATCAAATATCATGTAAACTTTTTGAAACCCCATAATTTTGAGTCTATTCCGGTGAGCTAGACCCCCACCTCCCCCCCCCCCTCAAATGATCCTTGATTGATGGATATTCTAACCTCCCTCCCTCCTATTGCCCGCTGAATTCTCGTTGTTCGTGCCTCCGTCGATGACAAGATAACAGTGGAAAGAAGCGCTAAACATCGGGCCGCGACATCGGGCTTTTCCTTCTTTTTTGCAATGCCGCGCCGAAGTGAAAACGGTGAGGACGGATCGGATTGGATCTTGTTCTCGGTTCGCCCTCCCGCCGCCGACAGACGAGAACCTCCCCCCCCCCGCCTTATGCCATCCAGACGCGATGGGATCCGTTTTGAATTATGCGTGTGACATCCCAACTTTCGATCCTCCATTTAAATTTGCTGCGAATGGAATGGTATGGGAATCCGTGCGGATGAGATCCGCGACTTGTAGTAACTTCGTTTTTTTTTGGTTCCATTCCAATCATATCTCGCTATTTTCGTTTTAAGAATGAGAGATTGACCTTTGACCTTTAAATAGTTGTTCTTTGAATCCCATATTATAAATTACAAAATTCTCGTTTCTCTTTTTATTTTCAAGACCCCCCCCCTCCGGATCTCTCATCTCATATTTTGGCTCGAGACACTCTTATCCTCCCCTTCCTCTCCTCTTCCCTTCCTCTCCCATATGATGAGTAATCGCAATGAGCCGAATCAAAGAGTTTTGCTAGATTTTCAGCGGTATCCCGTTTTTATTTGAAATCGTATACTATAATACATGATTGTATTGTTTCTGGTGGGTGTCAATTGAAGTCCACTCGCTTCTTATCAGTGTTGGCCCGAGGGGGGGGAGGGGGTCCTCGTTGTGCATTAGCAGGCACATGCAAGTATACAGCAGAAACATAGTATGTATAGGTGTGTGTGTGTGTGTATATAATAGTGTCGATATGATAATCGGCTGGCTACTCGGAACACCCCGCTCCTGACCCGATGCACTCAGCCGGCGGTTTGGTTTCAGGCGAGGCGTCGGCGATAACGCGCTGCCGGCGTCGAGGCACTCGACGGAATTTGAAACAGCAAATTCTTCTCCCCATCTATTGTACAATTTTAAAATTTGTAAATGACCACAGCGGGGTACCCGAAGAACACGATGACCTTTGACCTCTGCGATGATTCTCGACACCAATTGAGAAGCGCCACGAGATTTCTGATCTCTGGGTCAGCTAGCTGACACGCGTTTTGACCTTTGTCGGAGGGGAAAAGTTCAAATTCGAATTGCCCATAATAAACCACTCAACGTATATATTTGTATAGAGTTGATTGCAAAAATTGAGGGAGAGAATATAAAATATACAGTGTCGTCGATTTTGCATGCGAAATGTTGCCCCCCCCCCATACACATACAACATTTTCTCTCATCAACGGCTATGAGTGATGGTCACTCAGAGTCTTCTCGTATTATTATTCTTCTTCTTATTATTATGATTATTTATCATTCGAAATTTTGAAATGGCACCTCTCTCTCTTTGATTATTGTATGCTCTCTCTCTCTATCGCTTTCTTCCTTCTCTCACCATCTCTCCAAGTGTCGTCGTCGCAATTTTTGATAATTTTCCAAAGTTTGTGACCTGATAATAAACGCATCGTTCAAAACTTGGAGACTTTTTGTTTGTGCTGCACTGTACTATGTATAGTCTTGAGGAGAGAGAGAGAGAGAAAGCATTGCGTAGGGGGCCAGGGACCGCTGGCCCCCTGGCCCCGCCCCTTCAATTTTCTACCACCACCACCTCCAACCTTTTGTGGACCCCTCCATCCAGTATAGACGTTTTACAAAAAAAGAGTCTTGATTGCAGAAAATTCAACATTTGGGCATCTGATCAACGACGAACGAGCACACTCCAGAATTATGGTAACGTTTTTTTTATTTCCAATTTTTTTTGGACTTCAATGATGTTCTGCATAATGTCGATATTGCGAGAGGTGGCACAATGCCAAAAAAAAAAATGCGCTGTGTGCTCCTTTAACCTCTCCTTATTGATAGGCCCGTAAATCTACATCTTTCGTTTTGCGCAAACACCGCTGTCATTTTTTTTGTTGGTATTTCGCCTATTTTTTGCAGACGCCGACAATAGATTTTTCAAATTTTTTAGCGTGTTTCAAATAAAAATTTTTTCATATTTAACAAAAAAAAATTTCATACATTTTTTTGAAGAATTGGTCCATTTATTTTAAGTTTTTTGTTAATTTATAGCAATTTTTTTTTCAATTTAAAAATTGAGAACGTTTTTTCGCATTTCTATGATTCGTAAATGATCCGTGGTTCGGATCGGATGTGATCCGCCACAATTTTATTAGCTGAACACTTTTGAATTGAAAAACGATAAGCTTGAAAGAAAGAACTCCGGAAATTGATAAGAGTGACAGATTTGCGAAATATGTATTATTTTTTTTCGAGTTCTTCTTCACGATTTTCTTGACGTCAGAGAATCGAGAAGTCAAAATCAATGAATCACTATTTTCTATTAATATCAATACAAAGGTCACACGGGTCGGAATTGTTTATAGTTTTGATTTTTTTTAATTTAATTTGATCCGCTCCGATCCGATCCGATCCAATCCATAATGTTTTAGACATTGGGCGATGCGTGCTCGATTGAGCAGCCCCCGCCGCCACCCATCGACTTTTCTCGAACCGCCGCCACCACCACCACCGCGCAGCAACACCAACACCAACAACAATCGTCGGAGCATCTACTCGGCAATAATTCGAGCTCGTCGCTAATCTCATCCGGCTCAGGTTTGCTTAATTCTTACGCTTTCACGAAAGCTGATTTCGCGCGTTTGCAGGTACACCGACCGCATTTCAGCCACCGCCACAAGCCAATCAGCAACAATCGCAACAACAGCCTCAACAGACCATCTTCAATCCGGCTCTAATGGCGGCTCATCTCGGCGTTCTCAATCCGCAACTGGTTGCGATGATGCAGGTGAGCGCGCAAAAAAAATATACCATGCCGGGACTCGAACCCGCGTCGCGTTTTTGAATCCCATGAACGCTAACCACTTAACCACATGGAATAATGGCTGGCGGGCGCGTGGTTGTGAGGGGGGTGTCAGCCTTCATTGTCAAAAAAAATTGGATTACGGTAGATTTTTCATCGTTTCGTGACCCCAATTGCCCTAAAATGTGCACAGAAAAAAATCGTTATTTATTATTGCTTATTGAGACAAAAATTGTAGTAAATAATACAATTTTTATTGGCTCTTCGCGATTTTTTCGTTCATTCATCTCTCTCTCTCTCCCTCTAGCTATAATTGCGTTCCATCTTTTTCGTTTTGTTTAGAAACTAAATTTTGAATTTTGCTGGTGTCGCAAATTGCATTCATTTACCATTGATTATTTTTTATTTTAAATTCGTCGCTCCCACATGAATGAGCGATTGGGCTGGGTGGGGGGAACCGGTCGAACTCGATATCCCATCAAGATTTTCCACACTGCTGTTTATTGTTTCGAAAAGCCGGCCGGACAATTGAATGGAAGAACACCATCTTCGCCACATGCTTCCACATACGCATTCACGAAAGTCGTAAAAAGTGTCATTAACCCCCCTCTCTCCGAAAATCGCCATCGCCAGCGAGAAAAAATTGTGTTGGTATCAAAATTGATGGCCGCGTCTGGCTTAACAGGAACTTTAGGAAGGTCGTTTCTTGTTCAAGGTCTCATTCGAAAACCTATAGGGTACAGTTAAAATAAAAATCAACTTCCCATGCCGGGAATCGAACCCGGGCCGCGTGGGTGAAAACCACGAATCCTAACCACTAGACCACATGGGAGGACGAGAGCCCGCTGCGAGAGTGCGGTCAAGTGTGTGCCCTCGACACCACATGCAGGAATACCTTCGCATTTTAACAGATTGCGCTGAAAACGGAGGGAGAATTTCGAATTTTCAAAGATAACTGTAATTATCAGGGATTACATGTAGGAATCTCAAAATTTTTAAGCGATTTCAATCATTTCCAATGTTGCACAAAATTTTCAGGCGGCAACATCGCACAATTCCATGATTCAATCGCATGCGGGAGTTGTAGGACCGCCGCTGGTGCCGAATATCATTCAGCAGATCAACGCCCTACGCAGTTCACATGTACGTTTTCAAATTTTTCAAATTCGGGCCCTCTGTTGCGCATTAATTTGAAGATTTGCTTTCTTCAAATTTCTATTTGCAAAAATTAATCCCAACTATATGTTTGTGATTTTTTTTTCATCGGTTTTAATCGAATTCCAACCTCGTGACCGTTTGACCTTTTCGTCGCCGTCTCCTATTTCGATTTTATATATATACACACGGTTGGCACGTTGCCCAAAACGAAAAAACGAATTTTTGCGCAAAAAACCTTGGCCGCCGCCGCCGCCGCCACCGGTGGTGGTGGTCAATTTCCATTTTTGGGATGGTGGCCTCGTTGTCAGTCAGTCAGCCCGCCGACGATATTTCGTTTTCGTCGTCTCCCCATTTTTGTCGGTTTGCCGCTGATGATATCAATCGGTCGAAAATTCACGAAATAATTTTTTTTGGCGTGACCTTTCTTTCAACTCTCTGCTTCTCTCTCTCTCTCTCTCGCTTTCATCTTCTCGAGCTCCTTTTAAGAATCATCTGCGGACAATTGAGCTATACGATTTTGTTATATGCCATCGTCGTCGAGTTCTGCGGACAATTCACGGGGTTACTCGCTCGACGGCCGGCCACGTCATCACGGTCACGCTCTTTCACATTTCCCATTTTCAGTCGAAAAATGCCAAATTTTTTTTTTTGAAAAAATTCGCCTGAGTCACTATCGCTCGAGGGAGGGAGAGGGGCGCCGCCGCCGCCGGCATAGCGTTTCCATCATTCGCATATGTCAAAAAAAAATTTTTTTTTGCCCCAAGTGACCTTTTATCACAAAACATTACCGATTTGGAGACGCAAGAATGTTTGAATGGTTGTGCCTTATCAAAAAAAATTTTTTTTGCCCCCCATCCACCCCTCTCCATCCACTTTTTTTTTCAATTTTAGTTGATGATCACTATTGTGCCTGATCGGCGCCCTTTCACCTCAGCCTTCTCGTTCTATAAAATTTGTAGTCCTGACTACGGTAGGACAGAGATTACTGTAGAGGTTGTGATTCACTATCTTTAACCAATATTCTCATTTGAAAATTTGGCGGGCTAGAAACTATTATACCATTTTTCTTAAAAAATCGTTAGGCTCAGCAACTTCAATTACGGTAGCTTAAAGGCGCATCGTGATCTCGAAAAACGAAAAACGAGCAAATTGTGTGGAAGGTCTCATTTCATTTTTCATCTCGCCTTCTTTTGAATGGTGCACGGCAGTGTTCTGCTCAATGCCTCGGTGGCTCTCAACTTGTTGCCCCGGGTGACCTCGTGACTCTCGTCCTCGCCCCCCAATATTATATATATATATATATATATATATATATATATATATATATATATATATATATATATATATATATATATATCCATCCAATGTCTAGCTTAGCTTTTTGCCGGTTTTGATCATAGGGCTGCCACCCAAGAAAATTATGGACTTTTTTGTTTTGTTTGGCTTGGTTTTTGCCAAAATCGATTCGTCATGCTTTAATTGGGATAATTGGCTGATAATTGGGGTCCCACCCCCACCTAATTGGCGTTGATCATGATTTTCTTGTTTTATCACTCATACACGAGGAAATGTTTTGTTTGACGAGGTGACGCAACTCTTGTTTCAATCGGCACACGTGATGCTTTGGCTCCGGAGCGATGCGCCTTTAAACGGCCAGAGAGAGGTGGGCAAGGTGTGTCGTTGAAAAATCGCTGTATGCTCCTTTAAACATGATGCTTAAGATTTTAATTAATATTCATTAGAAGGTTTTGCCTTGCGATTCTTGGAAACATTTTCTTGAGCAAAAAAAATTGTTTTGGATGCAATTCATGATTAGGACATAGATTTTCGAAAATTTGTCAAGTTTGAACTTCAAAAAATTATTCTCGAGTCCATTATAGGCGTTTGATTCCTCCACCTCTCCTCTCACCCGTTTTCGATTTTGACGATCCCCGCCCCCATCCCCCCTCATCTACACCCATCTTCATCGTCTTCTCAATCTTTTTCGCCATTTTTCCATTTTTCTGTTGTTGTGTGTGTGTGTGTGTGCGGTATATATCTATGTGTGTCCTTTTGACCGTGACCTCTGCACACACACACACATCGAAATCGCGACCCCCCCCCTTCCCCTCTCCTCGCCGCACCCGCCCAAATATCCTACAGGGGGAGTAAGGGGAAGGCGCTGATTTGGTGTCTCTAATGCGACCAAATCATTATTGAGAAGAAAAAAAAGAATTTATTTTTATTTTTGCCTCAAATGCCGCCTTATGCTATTTTTTTGTGTGTCTCTCCATCCTCTCTACCCGAGTTGCTCATAATTTGAATAAATGAGGTCGGCGCGCACACACACCCGTATATGCGTGTAACGGATACCCTCCCACTTTTCATAATATTCAGTGTATACACATAAATATTATAATATGGCATATTATTGCAGTTCTCGAATGCGAACACCATGTCGGGAATTCAGCGAATTTCGAGTCCGAGGAGTATGAATAATGGTGAGGTTTTTATTCTCGGAAAAGCCAAGAAAAAAAAATGATGATGAGATTGGCGTGGGCGGGGATTGAACCCGCGATGGTTGGTGGCAAAATTTCGCTTCCGCGCGCGCTCTTTGTCACTGCTCTACACAGATAAACGGCGGCATAGGCACAATGGAAGCATAGTGGAACGGCTGTGGATATCATAGGAATCTTATATGCAAGTTATATGGAAGCATAATGGAAGCATTTTTTTGCGGAACCGCGTGTTTCGTATATGGAATGAGCCGTATGCCTTCCATATGGGCAAATAAGAAAACAATTTGATTGCTGTATTCAAAATTTATTTCATATTAACACATTTATTTAATTTAAAATAAAAAAAAACAACAATGAAATGAATTTCAATTAAGATATAATCAAACCATTAGTTACTGGCAACTGCCGAACTATTCGAATCATTGTCAGTACTGACATCGAGCGGGACGCTGTAATAAGTAGAATTCATATCGTTCACACTTGGTTAAAAAGCCGTGTTATGATATTTTTAAAAACAACAACTATTGCTAAGAAATTAGGCAAAAGTCCTAATGCACATTTAACCTATCCTTTTTTCGCAAATATACGCTTGTAGAAAGAAACCGTTATCGAATTTTTACCTTTTCTCCACTTTTCCTAGTCGCTACACTTCGATTATAATGGGCCTATTAATTTGAAAAACTTGTAAACCATTGTTACGTAAACTAAATTTTTCGAGAAAATACAATTAGTTTTTTTTACATCAATAATTTTCTTAAAAATAAAAATAATTTATTTTTATTGCATTTTTGGAAACCCTTTAGTGCACAAAATAAAAAGTGAATTGGCGGAAGAAAGAACAACTCCAAAATTTGAAGCAAAAAGGCATTTTGGTTAAAATTTCAAAGACATATGAATACTCACATCTGAGGGTTGCTGGTAGAATCAAGCAGCTTCCTTAATTGCGCCGCGAGCGCTTCCGGCGCTACACCAAATTTCCTTTAAAGTCGTTGGCGCATTCTATCGCTTAATCAAATAAATAAATTAATAGTCATAGCTCAAAATCTTACAGAAGATTATCCATGACTTCTCGAACCATGCGTAATGCTTTCGCTTTGAAGTCATTTGTCGGTTGTTGCCCAAAGCCATGGATAAGAACATCTGTAATATAGATATTTGCAATAAAGTATAGGATCTTTATATAGTCGGCGTCTGGCGACTTCTGTACTAGAGCCCCACTTAAAAGATAAATGCCACTGAATGATATTGGTACGAAGGCTGTACGGCAATCGGAAATTTCGGCGATTCGGCTAATGGCAAATTACCGATCGAAATTTTCTTCGGCAATTTGAAAAACCGGCAATTTCGGCAATCGGCAATTCCATTGCCGCACAGCCCTGATTGGAACCAAATAATCAACAAGCTTTAAACTTAGGAAGTACTTTATAAAGACTTCATTGCGCATATTTTTCTAATTGAAACCATTTCTGGAGTCGAACAGGCCAATTTTTGATGATAACAACTTACAAATTGCGCGTACGAAGGTTTAGGAATTGGCGTTGATTTTGTTGTTTGTGAGGACTGTGGAGAAAAATTTTTTTGCTGAGTTGGCGAGTAAATTGGACTATCTGGATCTGAAGTGTCGAGCGAATTTGGTTCCATGTTAGGGACTTCTGGTTCTTTGTTATTGACTTCTAGAGCAGTTTCAGTTATATCTGACAACACTCTCGATCTTGTCTTCATCTGTAAAAAATTTCAAAACATTATGTTTTATTAAAAGAAAAAAGCGAGCGATAATAAAAAATATGTTAAAGTAAATAAAAATAAAACGGATTCGATGAGAAATTAAACACAATTCGATTGAGAAAATATTTAAATTCGATTTTAAAAGTGTCGGAAACGATTTGAAAACATCGTATCGATTTTAAAATTTTCGAATGATGATAAACATGAAAATGATAAACATGAAAATTTTTCCTTTATTTTTTAAAAACATTTTTCCTTTAATTTTGAAAAAAATTCTTTAATTTTTGACAAAAAAAAAACACAAAAAATCTTGAAAATTCATTGAGAAAAAGCAAAAGGACAAAAATTTTGAAAACGAATTTCGAAAATGTGAGGCGTGGCCGCATTGTGCAAAGCGGCGCACGGTTTTGCAATGCTGCGGCACGCCTCTTCTACGCGCGTCTGCTACCAGTTTGGAGCAAATTGTGAGTAGTTTGCGATGCCAATTTCGGAAAAACCGGCAAAAATATATTAATACGACTAAATTGTAGTTGGCAATCTTTAAACAAAGTGAGGAACAGTTGACTGAATTAACATAAATCTGAGTAGCATAAGTCATTAAATGGTAGAAGCTAAATTTCGTATGTTGTGTATCATGTAATTTTCAAATTTTCATTGTTTATATGATAGCATAAGTTTTTTGTATTGATTTTTCTAGAAATTGTCTTGGTCTGCCGTCCAGACGCCAATTGTATAATGTGTAATGATATATGATTATTTTATCCATATTTCATCCATATTCGTTCCACGGCTCGCAAACACCGGAAGCATATTCATCCCGTTTTCATTCCATCCATATTCGTCCCATATTTCTTCCACAGCCACTAAGAATTACATTATGCTTCCTATATTGAAGCATTATGCTTCCGTTCCACAGATTTCCCACAATACTTCCATTATGCTTGCGTCGCGCTTAATCAGTGTATGCACATCGACCATCACCCCTCGCTAATAGGCATACATTTGTGGCGCGCGCGCTCGCCCCGCCCACTTTCAAAAAAATTTGTATAGCGTGTCATAAATTATGTGTTGCATAGCAACGAAGCTCATAAAGAGAATTGAGAGGTCGCGACCCCCCTATTTTTTCTTCCTCGCCTTTCGACAGCCATGGGTGGGGGGATTAATTATGTGGAGAGCTGCGAGCAGAGCAGAGCATACGAAAAATTGCCGTCTCGTATTTTTTTTCGGCGAAAGGGGGGGGGGATTTGGGCAAGTTTTCTGCTCCCCCCCCCCACCACTGCGGATTAATTGACCCTCGTTTTCCTACGAGGAGCATCATTATATTAAAAAGAGGAGGGAAATTCAAATTTTTGCCCTTTTGAAATATATATTTTTTAATGATGTCAGGTGATCGAAGCGAGAATTGCGGTGAGCTTTGCGTCGTCTGCGGCGACAAGGCTTCTGGACGACACTACGGCGCCGTATCATGCGAGGGATGCAAAGGGTTCTTCAAGCGATCGATTCGCAAACAAGTAGGCTCGCTTTTCAACTTACAGTAACCAATTGTAGATTTTTCAATTTTGAATCAATTTGCAGATCGGCTACATTTGTCGAAGCTCACGCGATTGTCCCGTCACGAAATTCCACCGTAACCGTTGCCAATATTGCCGTCTGCGGAAATGTCTAGCAATGGGAATGCGCAGTGAATGTTTGTTGTTGTTGTTGTTGTTGGTCCCGACGCGAAATCATTGGGCACCAGAATTTCGTTTTAGATTCGAATTTTTCGATTTTTGCAGCCGTTCAAGCCGAACGACGACCGGTGAACAGCTCGTCGAACTCGGACAGCCCGCCGAACATCAATAGCACACCGCGAGCGTTGACGGTAGAAATTTTGCAAATTTTCATGTTTCATTTCTCGACGTTCTTTTGATATTTTCAGCCCCTCAATCCGGGACTCGTGAATGGATTGTTGTCGCTGGTGAAAATGGAGCAGGACGCGAAGCCGTCGGCGATCGATCAGATGCTTCAACAAGAGCGCGCCATCAAACAGGAGGTTGCTAGTCGTCCGATGTCGCCGGCCAACGAGTTCACCAAAATCAAACGGGTACGTCGTCGATGATGGTCCGGCGAATTTGCGTCTTCGTCGTCGATATTTGCAGGAGTCGATCGGTGAGGACGAGTCGGGTCTCGACACGATGACGGTGATGGGTCTCGTTCATTCGGCGTCGCCGACGTCGTCCGGCGCCGGCTCATCGGCGTCGCTTTCCGACGACACCGGCCCGATATTCACACCGGAGCGATGTCGATTCGAGTTGCCGATTCCCTCGCCGCCGCCATCGCAAATCAATAATCAATTCGTTTCGGAGACGGCGAGCCGATTGCTATTCCTGTCGTGTCATTGGATCAAAGACGCGCGCGTCCATTTGCGATCGACGACGCTGGAAAGTGTTTTGAAGCGAAAATGGTGCGATCTGTTCGTGTTGGGACTCATGCAGACGGCCGAGACGATTCAACTACATCGGATGCTTGACTCGATGACGCTACAATTGATGGCGGCTCTCGAACTAGGTGATTATTTGCACAATTATCATTGTATGTATTCTAATTGCCGTCAATTTTGGGTCATTTGAATGTTGACAAGTACGAGAAGGTCAAAGATCAATTGGCGATGCTCGTGCAGCTCAATCGGAAGTTCCAGTCGAGATCGTTGAGCCCTGTCGAATTTGCGTATTTGAAGTTGATCTCGTTTACCGCCGAAGGTGAGTGAGACGGCCGCGTTGCGTCCGCTGATGGACTTGTTCAGACACACCGACGTGCGTTTATTCGGCCGAAACGAGCGCCGCCAACGTTGCCGCCTCGCAGGAGCTGTTTGAGCACGTGAGCAGCTCGAAGTGCTCGACGAGCGGCTCCGCCGAGCACATCAACGTCGACGATTCGACGTCGGAGGATAATGAGACGCACATCACCTCGCAACAGCATCACAATCAGAGTCAAGCGGTTGAAAGGTGGGCCGAAATTTTTCTTTTTTTTGGACAGTTGAGTTAGAGAGAGAGAAGGAGAAAAAAGGTCATATGTCATTTGTTAATGGGGTCTGCTGACTGTTATCGTTGGTGGGGGGTTTGTTTCGCACTAAACAAGACGGAAATAATATGAACTTTGAGAAGTCCATTTTTGAAGTAGTTGGGGGTGGGGGGGGGGCGAAAACAACACCGAATAGGTTAGACAAAAATTTCTCACCTGGGGTTGGCTCGAATGAAAAAGGTGTAGGCTTGGGTCTCGCAACATGAGTGTCGATTTACGCCCGCCACGTTGTTATGGTGCACTCTCGAGGCCATTTATGGCTTTTAGCCAATTTGTCGCGGTCACAATATTTCTTGAAATATGACGAAAAAAATATTGGCGATTTGTGGGCAACTCGAAGCCAATCGGTTCCGACCAAATTCGCCTCTCGAATCAACTCGAACCCGACTAAAATTGTCGGATCCGATTTTCGTGTCCAATTGATTTTGTGATGAGGAAACCAAGATTGACGAAGTGGCCGCGAAAAATTGCGATTTGACAAAATCGCGGTAATCAAAAGTTGGTGGCAATTCGCCAAACACCGCGCTACCAACTCATACCCGCCGAAAATGGACTACATAAAATTGAGTTTCATTTTAAGCATGTTCCATGTGAGCCATTTCCAGGCTTGATAAACTCGATTGATATTATGTATTGGCATAATTACGTCTGAAAATCGAGCTCGTTAACTCTAATTGAATTTCTTTCAAAGAAATAAAATATGAAAATCCACGTGGCACTTTTTTTTGCGCGCCAATCGAAATCCACGTAGCAAATTTTTTTGCGTGCAAATTGAAATCCACGTGGCTTTTTTTGTGCGCAAATTGAAATCCACGTGGCATTTTTTTTGCGCGCAAATTGAAATCCACGTGGCATTTTTTTGCGCGCAAATTGAAATCCACGTGGCATGGTCTCACCACATTTCGTATCAAATGGCTCACACCAAATCGATATTGCAGATTCTCGAAACTCATGCAACTTCTGCCCTGCCTACGATGGTTCGATTCGTCGATAATCGTCGAGCTGTTCTTCTCGAATGTGCTCGGCCAAATGTCGATCGAGACGGTCATCCCGTTCGTCCTTCAGATGAACGTGATGAGCATCTTCGAGACGCCGACCTCGACGACGTCATCATCATCCGACACGCTGTCATCATCGTCGATTAGTGATCTGATTCACAATCAATAGCTTATACGATATGAATTTTGTTTTGCCTTTTAAGGGAACATTCAAACTACCGTCATAGTATTATTTTAATTATTTGTAAGTCACAAGCTAGATCGATTTTCTTTTGGAGTATGGTCGAACCGTATCCCAATATACATATATTATAAACAATATACCTCATAATTTGTATATACAATAATCCCGCCACGCCCCTAATTATTATAATTATGTGATTCAAGTGCTTTCAACTGTCTTCTTGTTCGATTCCTGAGAAACCTCGATTTTTGTAGATGACCCGTGTGCTTCGAAATTCCTGGTTTTTTTCCATTCTTTCCGTTTTTTTGTTGGATTAATTGCCCATTTTGCCACGAGCAATTATCTCCGCCTCATTCGCATCCTAATTAAGTAATTAATTTGGGCTTTATCCTCAAGCTTTATAGGCTTCTCATTTCGTAGCTTGGGTTGATTTTTGTTTCATTGTTTAGACATCGCCTAGGACTTGTGTGTGCATTTTTTCTCTCTCTTGTATCCGTTCTTTCCATGTTTTTTTTTGTTTTTTTTTATTCCCGCCCAAAATGTTTCGGTGAAAATTTCCCCGCCCATTATCAATTTTTTTCGTTTTGACCTACCGCTAGTTTATTATCAACCAACACAATTTCTTTTCATTTCTTTGACTCGGTTACAATTTTTTCATAAATAACTTAAAAATTAAATTATTACAACGATGCTCCGCGGATTACGCGAGTGCCCGCACATTAGCGTATAAATTTGTTGATTAAATAATCGCGCGAATTGTCGTTTAAGATTATTCTGTTTTGTTTACAGCGATGCGACTGTGCTTCCAAATGTGCCTTCATTTTTGTGAAAACTAAAAAATGTAAATATATTTGAAAAATCGAGGTTGCTGTACACTTTGAGGCAAAACGCAAAGAAAACAAAAATAAAATATTTTTTTCCTTTTGCATTGAAATTTTGTTTTATTGATTTTCTCTGCATTGCAGATTTGTTAATGGAATAAAAAATCCTTAGGTTTGAGTAGAATCAATGCGTCAAATTGTTCGCAGCATGGAATTTATAATCGCGCTCGGCGGCAATTTACATAATACACCGTTATAATTTTTGGAAGTAGGTTTCTGATATCGATTATTATGATACTGCGCCGATTGTTCTTTTATATTCTTTTAGTGTTCTCAAGGGTTTCCTGTTTCGTCAAATTCTGAGTTCAACCAAATCATTTCAGACGACGTTTTGCGAGGATTACGAGAATTATGATTATGATTGGCTCACCGATAAGCCTTTTGCGACGACGCCAACCACCAAAAAACCGCCGGAAGACGATGACATGTGAGCTATTCACTTTTTTTTTAATTGGTATACTGTAGGATTACTGTAGAATTGTTGATCGTTTGGATGATCGCGAGGTGGTCAATAATGAGATCAAAGGCGGATTTTCAAACAAGAAAAGTTTCACGTGTCCCAAAGTCAAGAATTTCCTGCATACAGTGAGTATTTGGCGACATGATTTTGATGGTCCCGGAAATTTTTTTACTACTACGCTGATTGTTAATGAATTATTTAGTTGAATTCCATCGACGGGCATTTTCTAATGAGTCTAAATTGGCAAAATTCTATGAAAACTCAACCCAAATTGTCCGCGAATGCAATTTAATAGAAGAGATTTCCCCCTAATAATCGAGTCATGATCATTTAAACATGGTTGCAGGGTTCGACAGTGTCTCGCATCACGCCGGAAGACATCTCAATCGTCGCCGCCATGGGCGACTCATTGGCGTCGGGCCGAGGACTCTGGCCATTCACGGACGTCGAGTTTCGTGGCGCAGCTTTTCCTATTGGCGGCGACGCCAATATGGACGGTCTCGTCACGTTTCCCAGTATGTGCCTTAAAATATTTACTTTGGTAATGGAAGAAAAAAAAACTAATTTTTTTTTGAAAGACATTTTGTCGCAATTCACGAGCCGATTAGACGGCATCTCGCACGGAATGGGATCCAGAGATCAGTTGCCCGATTATCAGTTGAATGTGGCCGAGTTTGGCGCGGAGACCGAAGATCTGCCATATCAGGTTGATAATCTTGCGAAATGGGTTTTGCACATTCTTTTTTTTTCCAGGCCCGCGAGCTTGTCCGCAGAATCAATCGTCATATCAAAAAAGAGATCAAACATCGCTGGGCGCTGATTTTCATAGCGACTGGCTCTGAAGAGGTTTCAAATCAGTTTCGGGACCATCTCAGTTTGGATTTCAGTTCTGCGAGAAATGCGAGCCGCCGAATAGGGCGTCGCTTCGAAAATCGTTGGGAATTCTCCGCAAAGGCGCTCCCAGATCATTGGTGGTCCTGCTTGGACCGATCCACGTGGCGTCAACTTATAGCCAAAATATCAATATAATGAGGTAATTAGGCGAATAATTAGTGGCTCTAATTAAATCGCCATTTATGTAGACCGCGATGCAAGTGTCTCGAGAAAATGTCGGGAAAAGAGTATCGGAAATTGTTCAGCGTTTGGCGAAGCGCATTCATCGGCGTCGAGGTTCGATTACGCGTCGGCTAGACGGCAATCAAAATTTTTTTCTAGGAAGAATTCAATCGGATGAATCAGACGACGTTCGGCGTTCTCGCGATTCCGTCATTGGCGATTCACTCGAGAAAACCGCAATCGCTATTGGTGCCTGGAAAGCCGCTATTGAATAGGTTTTGATTTCGGGACCCGGCAATACAGTAGCGATTTAGAACTGCTCGAGACGGCAACACATTTTTTTCGAAATCTCTTTTTTTTTAGATTACTACAGTAGATTTTCAGACGGCTAGTATTTCTGAAATTGATTTTTCTGTTTTTTTTTTTTTAGAAAAGGGCACTCTTATGCGGCCAAATGGCTATGGAATCGTCTAATCGCTGGCCCTCAATACAATATTTCGAATATTGCACTGTCCGAAGACTCGTATTATTGTCCATCAGCGGTATGTTGAATTTTCGAAGAAACAATTGTCATTCGATTTTTTAGATGTATTTTAGTTAATTTTTGGCTAATTTTTTTGAATCACATTTTTTGTAATTTATTGAAAATGCATTATTATTTTATTTCGGTTCTGGATCTTGATTTTTATCAAATTTTTGAGGTTAGAGAAGTTGGAAAAATTTCGATCAATCATAATCAATTGTAAATGTGTTCACACACCGCGACGCAAAATTGCGTATCGCCAATATCATCTCTGAGAATTTTCTATTATTTAATAATATCATTGAATATAAAATTAATTCCATACAAGCTTGGCAGATTTTTTTCAAAGACAACCCGCGCAATTGAAATTTCTTAAAAATATCTTCGATCAGCTTATTTTTCCAGGGCTGCCCTTACTTTCGAACCGTGCAAAACTTCAAAAATTGCCAATTAATTACACTGGAAGAATGGGAGCAGATGATCGCGACGACGCTGCCTCCAAAATTGGGAGTTGAAGCGAGGAAGGAGACGATCAGAAGGAATCTCGCTGGCGTCATCGCCATCATTTTCGCGCTCTCATGTGTTTCAGTATTGTAAGTTCATTTTCTCGTTTTTTTTTTTTTGAAAAAGAAAATTTTGAAAAAAAAAAACAGGGGATTTGGCACATATTTCTATTGTCACGGCAAACGAGCGACGAAGGGTCGATTCGATTACGGGAAGCAGGAGGATGAGGTGGAGGATGCAAAAGCCGCTGAAATCGTTGAAGAATAACACATTCCTTGGTTTTCCTTTTTGTCGAAATTCATGTGCTCAATAAATGATTGCCCCATTTTAGGGTCTCGTCGCGAATGATTTATTTTTTGCCATCTGCCGACAATTTAGTGACCGACCGCTTAAGGATGCGCAATCCCCGAAATATGATTTCTAAATGACGATCACCTTATTTTTTTATCCAGGGCAATACTTTCTACCGTAACCTATAAATTTACTGGAACGGTTTTTTTGTTGTGACATTTGCAGACGGTCCGAGTATACTGTAGCACGAGCCCGTAAAATTGTCGGCAGATGGCGATGGCCTATTTGTGTGTGTTTTTTTTTAAATTCCTGCTGTCCAATCAGTGTGTTGAATTGAGTGTGTGAGAGAGAGGGAGCGAGGTGAGAGAGCGACACAGTGTTGCTGCGCACGCACGCTTATGTGCGAACATCGGAAAATCCCATGAAGCGCGAAATAGTGTGGTGGATGGCGGAGACGCCGACAAACCGGGCGCTCGCACTCAACCGTCGTCGTATTGTCTTCATCCCTCGGTTCCCCCTCGGAAAACTGTATGCAAAGAGAACCGCCATTCAGTCAGTTTTGCGCGCTCGCCGTCGGCGACCTCCGCCGACGATCGTGCTCTCTCTTTCTCTCTCGCCTTCCTCATTTCCTTTTTTTGGTCGAACCCACCCATTTTCAAAAGTTTCGCCTGTCCGGGTGTTGATTTATCCACCGAAACGACCTCATTTGCCTAAAATTTGGGAGAGCTTGACCTACGGGTTTTTGGATCGATTCAAGATTATCCCGATTTTCTACTGTTGAGACGATTTTTTGTTGTATTTCTTTGATCCTTGGGCCATGATTTTTAATTGTTAGTCGAAATAGGCGATTTCTGTGATTTTCGATAGCTTTATTGAAATTTTCGATGATTTTAACCCTATAGGACCTAGAAAATTCTGAGATTCCAGTTTTTCTTGAGAAATCTGCGATTTCTTTGCCATTAATGAAAAACTTGATTGTATATTTTTTCAAACTTTAATTTTAAAAATTGTGCTTCCTTTTTTGTCTTTTAATTTTTTTCCAATAACTATGTCGCTGATAGTTTTAATTTTCTCAACTCCTCCACTTTTTTCTTCGTTTTGATCGAGCTTCAAGTTCCTGCTCCAGCTCCCAATTAGCTTCGTGCGTTGTTTATTTAATTGTCGAGAATCGCCTTCTGACGGAAAACGCAAACAAAATATCGAAACATTTTGTTTTTTTTTGGAGTGGAGCAAAAATTGCGATTTACCCGTTTTTGAGGACACTTCACATCTTAATTCAGTCGCCTCTTGAATCGACCCCCCATTTTTTGTTTCTTTTCCCCCATTTTTGGGCCTCTAATTGCTGGTTTGACCTTGTTTTGCTTTGATTTCCAAATTCTTTTGTTGGTTTTCAAGATTCCTGAAAAACTTATTTTTTTTTTGAGAAAACCATCGTTTTTACCTTCATGATGATCGAAAATTGCATTTCGTCAAACTTTTTTGCCCATCCAATTTCACAATATTTGCGCAGTTTGGATGCTCTAAACGGCAAACGTGGGAAGCTTTTGTCGTTTTCCGGCATGACACATAAAGAAAAGAAAAAAACGACGTCGCATATCAAAAAAAAAAAGGAAAAATTTGGCCTGATTTTTGCTGGTTCGATTTCTGATCACAACTTCTTCTCAGTACATAATTAACGTGTTGGTTGTCATTGGTGCTTCGGGCGCCCTTCAACTGTCTTTTCGGACTAATACGTTTACGAATAAAATTAATGTGAATTGAGAGCGCGGGGCCGTAAAAACAATTGCCCAGTTTGCGGTCCAGTTCGTGTCCAACTCCTTTCATTTTTTTTTCGAAAATCCTGCGAAAATTAGGAAAAAAATGAAATGGAGCTCGAAGATTTCCGCAGAGTGCACCATCGGTGTACAACGAATTTTGATGCCTACAGTATCATTTCATTAAAAATCTGATTTGTTCTTGTTTGCTGGTCCTTTTACCCTGCAATAAATCAGGAAACATTCATTCCAACGCCCACCAGCCACCAACTAACGTCAAACAAGCGCCTATGCAAACAGTCCGAGCCTTTTCGAGGCATCTCCCACTCTAGCGCACTGCTTTTGCACACTTTTTGTTGTTGCAATTTTCCGTACTATCCTAGGCAGATCAGGTAGGGCTGTTGATTGATGGGCTAGTGAGGGTGGCTAGACAAAAATCCCATTTTAATTGATTCTTTTTTTGCCGTTCATTCGCTCGCATTTTTATATATCATTTTATTGTCGTCCGTCGCCGCTCGTGGCAAAATCGATAATTTACGCCAATTGTGTTTAGCTGGTACTTAGCACTTGGACATTACAATCTGGGTGACGTTTCACTTTTTTTTGGCGCGCATTCCGGCTTTCTTGTTCTTGTTCTTCTGCTTGTCTTACGTGTTGTTGAACTGATTAATGTGTTCGTTGGATTTTTCGCTTTTTTTTGTTCGCGTTCGCCATCGGCGCGAATTGATAAGCATAAAATAGATCGCTCATCATTAGTATTGCATGTAAACTATTGATGGTTGCCCTAAAACAATTTCCAGCCCTAAAATTTTCAAATCATGAAAATCGAAAGCTGAAAAAAATTAAATGCGCGTCAAATAAAATACGATGTGTGTGTACACCGTGGCAACACACTGCACACATTTTCACATTCTTTTACCTTTTCCGTTTGCTCCTATTTTCTCAGTTTTTTTCTTTTACATTGATCGCCTTCACAATTTCTTGTCACCTTTTAATGAACCCGCCACGCCGATTAAAACTACCAATAAAACGCTCATCTCATCTTGCATCGTTCGTCAGAAAAGATAGGAAAACGTTTTTTCCATCACTAGTAAAGGTCATTTGGTGGTGGTGAAAGAGAAAAAACGAGTTTCTTGACAAATTATGCCCAAATATTTGGGAGAGGCTGGGCGTATTTGTGTTCGAACGGATGAATGATTAATGTTGATTATTCGCAGGAAGGAATGAGAAGAAGAAAGAATTTTCGCCATCATGTTTACTCGGACAGCCTTCCATATACATTCGATTTGTTCCATTTTCTCCTTCCTCTCCATACAAGATTATCAATTAATATTATTATTATTATCATCATTTTCGGCCCAAATTCCGTCCATTTGCCTTTGTTTCCACTCATCTAATTAACATTTTGCCACGCTAAACAAACAAGTCACCAGCATTCTTGTTCAGTACACCGTGTTCTTGGCTTTATCAAGTTTCTAATGGGGGTTTTTTTCTATTTCAATGGGCAACTTTGATTCCTTCTTCTCTTCGTCAACGACACTCCCGTTTACAAATTTCCATTCATCAATTGTTGAAAATCGGCTCAAGAAAATTAAAAATTTTAGGTGTGAAACACACAATCAAAACTGTTCGAATTATCATTTTATTGCAAAATCCTTGTAGATACCCTTTTTCCGGAAATTCCCCATTATTTTAAATATTTTCTGGATGGGACTGTAGTATATTCGCGATGGGACCCAAATAATTTTAGTTGCTCTTTTCCTTTCTTTTTTTTACCAAATAATTGTAATTTTATTTTTTCGCGCCGATAAATTTGTCCGCTTTCTGATGATTTGATTTTTAAGACATTTCACGCCCAATTTTGTAGTATCAACGTTTCAAAAAGACATGTTTCAACCATTGTTTGATTAATCGGCCGAGATTCGCCGCCGCGATTATTCGGCGTTTGTCTTCTCCGCCCATTTTCGATATCTCTCACTCTCGAGAACATTGAAACGAACCCGAACCCGAACCTTTGTATCAAGGACGAAAGCGTGGTTGATTGAATGTGAAGAAGCTGATTTGATAATGATAACAAGTTATATACATACACGACAAAACACTTCAAGTTTGTTATCGTCTTCTTATGTTTGTTGTTGCGCTTTTCGTTCTGAAAATTCCTGTTTTTTCCATGCAACTTTTTCTCGAGGGGCCAATTTTTGACTTAAAATTGATAAAAATTTTTTATTTTCTGTCAAAGTCTATGCCCTTTTTTGTTTGAAAAATCATTTAATTATTATTTGGAGACTTTTAATCCAGTCAGATTCCCCAATTATCGCCGCTTTAATAATTTTTTCCAAATTTTTTTGCGGGTTTCTTCCTGATTCGCCGCATAATTGGTGGTTTTGCCTTATTTTCTTCGTCATTTTTCATACAAATTGAGGTCGATTTTGCCAGAAACCTGGCCATGCGACATTGGCAAATTGCACGTTTTCCGGCATAACTTCTCGAAAGAAAAAAAAATCAAATGTTTTCCTTTCTGCTAAAATTTGAGACCCTGTTATTTGGTATGCCAAGTGTTTCCTCGAAACTCCGCCCACAATTGGCGGAACACCCTTTATTAACAGAAGAAGTCTGACAAAATCTCCGATTTTCTTGAATAATTGTCTTCGATTTTTCGAGATGCTGAAAAAATTTCGTGGTAGGACCAATTTGGCCACGCCCCTTCGGCAAATTTTTTTTGATGATATCTTAAAGCGTTCCACCACGCCAATTCGTCGACCGGAATCTTGTTTACTCATTGTTTTTATTGTTGCTGCTGGTGTTTTTCTTTTCGTCGCTGGCGGCCCATTTTCGGTCATTTTTGGTAATTAGACACCTTTCTTTTCGCCGATTTCGAAACGCCGTCGTCGTTTTGCGTCCAAATTTGAGCAAACAAAGTTTCCTAGTATCTTTTTGGGAGATCTTGAATCTTCATCCGTCCCTTTTGCCGTTATTCCAATTTTTTTTTTTAGTTTTTTCCTCCTTTTGCCGTATTTCTTTGGCCTGGATGAATGTCAAATGGGATTTGCATTCTTTTTGATAGATGTACGGAGGACATTTATTCAAAAAGTATATATAGGTTCATTTCGTTTCCATTAGAAACTCGCGATTTGTATATTTTTGCCGATTTCTTGAGGGATTTTAATGGTTTTCCGTAAAAAAAATTCATTTGCCGAAATTTTTCAACGCCTAGTAATCGACGATTCCACGCGAGACCATTATATGGTCACAAGTCTGCTTCTCTCGATTCCTCTGATACAGTAGCCTTGAAAATTAAAGAAGCATGATAAAAATGCTTTAAAAATCTCAAAATGTTTCAATTTTGCTTTAAAAATACAATGTAACGATTTTAACATTGAATGATAATATTTTTCACGCCTAAAACTTTCATTTGTTCATTTTTATCAAAAAAAAAAAAGAACTTTGGCCGTCATGATCGTCTTACGTCAAATAATCCTTATATGACCATGTAAGTTTCGTTTTATCAAAAGTTTGTCCCGTTTTTCTGTTCTCGATGAAATGTCACTTATTTTCTGCCAACATCGTTGAGCATCTCGAAAAATGCGGATTTATTGCACATTTTCAATGGATTACGGTAGTTTTTCTCGTTTTTTCCCTCGTTCGCTTAAACAAATAGTTGTTGGGAATAATGTTTGAACTATTGAACAACTCCTTGATACAGTAGTGTCAATTTTCGCCGAACGAACGTCCCGACGGAAGATTGTCGATTTTTTTTTTAAATTTTGGTAGTGTAGCTACTTATAGCTTTTAAAATTTTGAAGTCGCAAAAGCTCAAGCATAGTCTTTTTCTAAAAAAAAGGAAAAAGACGATACTTAAAAGGACTATACTTTTTTCTAAATCGACTACATTATTATGTTGTCTCGTTGCGATTGTTTCATCTTTAAAGTTCGATTTTTTTCTTCTATTTGTTAAAAAGCGAATAAATAAAGATACAAAATTTTATAATTTTTGAAATATTGAGAAACTTGACAAAAATGATGATTTGGGAGAGATTCTTTCTGCTTTAATTTTTTGAATTCAAACTTATTCGATAAGACCCACCCCATGCGATTCCTGAATGGAAATGTTCTTCATGTAAACACTAATGCTCAATCTTGTGACGATAAGAACTTAAATGATATAAGATTTTAATTTTTGTTAACCCGATTACTTTGGATTACTGTACCACCTTTCGAAACACAGCTCATTCAGCATTCTTTGATGTTTGAAAAAGGAAGATTTCTTCCTTGTTCGGTACATTTTTAGAAAGTTCCCATTCTATCGTAATCCTCGATTTCTTTTCAAGTGTCTTCGCCGGTTTCTGAAATTCAATTTGATTTTTATGGCAAAATCATAAAATTAATCATGTTGAATTCTAAAAATAGCTATTGTTGCAATTTCATAGGGGAGTGTTTCGTTAAAAATTTCGAGCTAGAATTCTCCGAGAGGAATTGTAATTGAATTGTAAAATTTTAGTGTTTGGCAATTTTCGAATCTCAAATTACATTGAAGAAGCCGAGACGGAACGCAATTGGTGCTCATTAGTGCCGAAAAGGAGGGATTTTGGCGGCGGACCGTGTCCTGACTTGATTATATACATACGTCGCCGTCGTCGTTGTGTTTCCTTCATTTTTTGGCCGCTTCCTCGTGTTTTCCTGCCCTTCTCCTTCTCCATCTTCCTCAATTTCCCGTTGCCCATTTTTGGTCTTCTACTTTTTCTTCGTCTCAACTATTTGTTGTAGAAAATGTTTCGGTTTTCAGGTGATTATACACTATACATACTAACCACCGTCTTTTTCTTGGGGACCATCAACATCATCATCGCCATCGTCGTCATCTACGAACCAAACTTGCAATTCTGATTACTTATCATTATTGTTTAGGCGCAATTATTCTAGGTTAGTACTTTTTTTGTAATGGTCTTATGCATATTTTGGAGGAAGACACAGAAAATTTGGTTAACACTTTTTGGGCATCCAGTATAGAGGTTTTTTGCATTTTTTTTTTGGGATTATTTTTTTACAGACTTAAAATTTGTTTTTTCCAAAACCTGCATAATCAATTTGAATTGAATTTTGTAGCAGCGAGATTAGAAAAGTGTCTGAAATTAATAAATTTCCTTTTGCTTTGAAAAAACTTAAATATTTATATAATTCAGTTTTAAAAACACTGGGAAAACTTGACAACGTTGATACTTTTCTGAAATATTTGAACTCAAGCTAAAATTTAAAAATCAATAATTTGAAGTGGTTTTTTTTGGGAAAGTTGTCGAAGGCAAAAAAAAATCGAAGATTTTATTTTTGTGGTCGAGCCATTTTTTCGTGAAGTTTTTTTCTTTTTTGAAGCCTTCTGTTCTTCGTCTTCACTAACCAATTTGTGACCCCTTCTCGTTTCTTTTGTTCCCCTTGGGAAATAGGCTATAATTTTCCGGTTTATTGCCTAGTTTACCTACGTTTCCCCTCATCCGCGCTTCCTTAGAATAAACCAACACATTCGTCTTTGCCCTTCTTTGTTCTGTCGCCTTTTTGGGGGTCTATGGTAGATTTTTGTTTACAGTTGAATATGTTGAAATTTGAAAAAAAGCGTTTTATTATTTATCACTAACAATTTTGAAGGCGCATGGGAGAACTGAAAAGTAGTGGAAAATATCTGCAAAAATTTATGTTCTCGCATTTTATTTTTAAATCATAATTGCAGAAAACAATGAAGAAACTCAAAAGACGTCTTAGTTCAGCTTTTCGTTCGGCGAGTAATAACAATGTGAGCCGAATGACGAGCAATGGATCATTCTATGATCCGGAATGCGGTAAATTGAGAATCGTTTGATTCCCACCTCATCCCGATCTGTTATTTTCAGACGCACGTAGTAATATTGTTATTGGATACGGTATATTGCCTCCGGGTTACTCGTTGTCGGAATCGATGAGCCATCTATCGGACAAGTAAGATTTTGAGATGTGCAGATAAATGAGCGCTTAGTGTAGGCCGTTTTCTAGGCTTGCCGTCGATGGCGCAATCATGGAGGAATGCGTGGATCCGACATCGCTTTTGCGGGTTTCGAGAGGTGGCACGGCTGGCAGAAGATATGAAACGAATGTGTACGTCTGTTTTACTTCTTGAATTTTTAGGGAATGTTTGCGATTTTAAATGAAAACATCATTTCTATTCAATTTCTAAGTTTTTGGTACCTCCAATTCGATTACTGTAGGTAGGGAAGCTTACATCAATCACTGTAGATATGGAAGTCTACGTAGCTACAGTAACCATGATTGGTCGGTGTGAATGTTTTTTTCCTTGTCAATATTGAAATTTGAGACTTCGTTGAAGAGATGTCAAAAATGATGACTATTCATATTTTGAGCGAGAACATTAAAAAATGATTTAAACGAAAAGCTTATGGTACTAAAAGGATTTTGAAAATATAACATTTAAACCTGTTTTTCTTGGGAAATCAGAATTGTATCATTAAATACATCGTAAAATTGAAGAAAGCGCCGATTTTTATTTTCAAAAATTCACCTAGCGCCATAATTGTATGAATTAAAGATTTGATTTCAATTTTTGCAGACATTACCTCGGCGGAATGCATCCGCCGCCGCCACGCACACACAGTCTTTATTATCCACGCGGGTACAATCATCAAAATTCGGGTCGAAATTCATATTATGGATCGAATGCCTGTGAGTCGATTATTATTTTTTATTGATTTTGGGATGTTTTCTGCCGACTTGCTCATTGAATCGAAATGTGAGAGAAATCTTTTTGGGTTTAAAAATCCGCCCAAAAAGTTATTGGGTTTATTATTCTTATTTTGAATTAATGTGATTCTCGTGGCATAATGGAAATTTATTGTGTTCTTGCCTCAATTATGGTCCTAAATGATGAAGCTTATTGAAATTCGTCTATATCCTAAAATCCTATTGTGTCGTTCATTGGTTTTAGTGAATTTGTTTGTTTTGCTAGCAATGATGATCCATGGGGGATCGAGTTGGTGTCCTATGACATATTCAATGAATTGAATTGACAGTGTTGTGCCCCTTTGGGGAATTTTTGAGGGCAAGAGGTCCCGAGATTTCGATTTGTGATAAGTCACGCCTAGCCGTCTTCTTCTCGTTCCCCGTCTTCAACAATTGCCTTCAATTTGACATCTAATTTGCACTATTCGTCGCTTCCTGGCACCGATTACGGTATTAGGCCGTCCTCGTTGGACCCCGGTGTTCGCACATTTCCTTTCTTTTTTTTGCCGCCCTATCAAATTGACTGCCATCATCAATTATTGGAGCGGTTTTTGCAGAAATCTATCGAAAATGACTATTGTTGTCATCTGCATTACGATTTTTTTGAGAATATCTGTTTTAGATTTCCCCCAGCCCCCTCTCCCTTCCATAATTTTTATTTGGTTGGCGTGGTTTATTCGATTTTTAGTTATGCAGCTTTTAATACGATTTTCTCAATTTCCGACTCAATTTTTTTTTTCATTTTTCAATTTCCGCATTACTTTTATTTTTTATTTTTGCCTTCTCAAGCATTTTCATTTTTTTGTAAGTCCGGAAATTGAAAATCAATGATTTTTTTTTTGAAAAATTGAGAACTTTGCGAAAAGCTGCGATATTTTTAGAAAATTCCAAAAATTGTGAATTTTCTTGAAGAAAAAAATCATTTTTTTCGCGTTGTTTCGAAAAATTGAATTTGGAATGCAAATTCGTTGAGTGGTTGGGGTGAGGGTCTTGCCTCGGCCATTCCCTCGTTTTTTTTGCTTGGTTCGAAATTTGTCGCATTTCGTCGGCGACCTTGTAATTGTCACCTGCACATTCGTCTAAATTTGGGCGCGAATTCGAAAAAATGGGCGCGCCGTATCCACCTGTCCGACGTCTGTCTGGATTGTCGAATTTCGAATAAATTTATCGAATCGCTCTTTCATCTCATTCATTGCGATTCCTAATTGATGTTTTAGAAGAAGCTGAAGAAGAAGAAACCGTTGTTTCTTTTCTCGTTCACCGCCCTTCTTTTTGGCTTGCCATTTTTCCACAATCAGCTGGAATGCCTTTCATTTCTTCATATTGTAATTGAGACATCACCAAGACCAGTTTTATTCGACGACCTGGGGGGGGGGTTTGAATTTTATTCCAAAAAATTTACTGTTTGCTGAAATTTTTTTACACACTCTAAACCGAAAATTTTGGGAGAATTTCATTCGAAATTTGCTACAGAAATTTTCATTAGAAATTAATTTTGCCTTTGGAATTTTCAATTTCTAATTTTCTTTTTTCTTTTAATTTTTTTTTTTCGAAAATTCAACCTAAAAATTTCAGACATTTTTCCTAAAATTCATCTAGATTAGTTGTTGGTCGCCATTGTTGTTTTTTCCTTGAAAATTTCTTAATTGATCCATTTCTCAAAATTTGTTTGGTTTCGATGTCGAACAGCTCAAATAAAACGTTTGTTGTTGTTGCGTCCGCAATAAATGTTCCAATTTTGCAAATTTCATCACTAAAAAAATAGAATGGTTAGAATAGTTGAGAGCGTTACGAGCAGCTGGAGGACATCATCATTGTTTAACTGTGGCCATCTGTCACCGATTGAGCCGGACCACCTCGTCCAGCTCATCGCGTTTCCGCAACAACTATTGAAAGGAGCGCGAAATTGCTTAATTGTCGAGGAACAACTCGTTAGCGCCTTTTTCATTGGTGACTTTATTCAATTTTCTTGCGCTATCTTCTCCTCGTTGTTCGATTGCTTGCTTTGGGTTTTCGAGGCGAATTTGGAGAGAATTTTTGGTGTTCGAATTTGGAATGTTTAGTTTTGTTTGGCCAAAATCTTAAAAAAAAAATAGTTCAAAAATCAAATATTTTATGAGAAATCAATAAAATTTTGTGAGAAATGTTTCAAAATGTTGAAACGAGATTCATCACATCGGTCGAGGCGACATTCGACCGCAAATCTGCTCTCCGCCATATGTATTACGAGATTTTCGTGGTCGGCTCCCATCTTTCTTCGATTCTCGTTCGTTCAACCATTTTTTTTCGTAGCTTTTTGTAATTTGAGACGTTCGTCTTAAATGGAGAAGATATTGAAAAGCGGCGTCGTCGACTTTGGTTTTTTTTTTCCAAAAATTTTGATTGGAGTTATGCCGAAATTTTGGATTTTCTTCGTTGTTTTTTGATGGAAATGGCGAAAAATTGAAGTTTTTAAACACGTTTTACGAAAAAAAAAACAGGTTTTTTAAAAATTTTCGTAATTTTTAGATTGAAAACTGAAAAACAACTAAATTTTTGTGTATTTAAAGGCAAAAATTGAATTTTTCGGTTTATGAACCCATTATTTCGGCCCATTCTCCACACGCCCGAGATTCTCAATTTTTGGTCCGTTCATTTCAGCGCAAAAGAGCAGTATTGGAAAAGAAATATACATTCATACATAAGAAAACCTAAAGCAAACATATATATATTTTATTATATTCGCCGAGTTGATGAAAAATGTCCGAGACTCGAACATCATTTTTTGGATTATCTTCATTTTTGGTTGACTTTGATCTTGAAACCGTTTTTTTGATCTACATGAGAATTTGAATGTTTTGATGTGAAAATGGCGCCAGATCATGCGATATTTGATATATTATTATTATTATTAGTGTTGGACTTATTCATGAAATGTAATTTTTACACAAAAAAATACATTAAATTTGCTTCTTGCAACCGTGCATTAGAATTTTTTAGATGATTTTATTGCATGAATAGGTCCATTAATTTCTTTATTGGTTTTTTGGTGGCCAATTGAAGAAATAGCCATTTTCTAATTAAATTTCGAGTTTTTACGACAAAAAAATTTTGAAAAATATATTCTCTCGCTCTCTTAAAAATTTATGATAGTAGAATTTATACGAAAAATTTTTCTTTTTTTTTATCTCTACATATTCGACATGATTTTCGCCCATAATTGGCCATATGTTGCTTCTCTCAATGCTCAATGCCGCTGCTCTCATCCATCATGCTCTGCCCTCATTCGAAATTCATTAATTTGCATGGTCATTCCGAGAGCGCGCGGTCCGAATTATGGGCGGTACTCATGAAAAAGGTACACTTTGTCGTCGAACCTCCCCCCCCCCTTCTCCCACACCCCCCGCCTATTATGTGATGTGAAGCTTGAGCGAGCCGAACTTCCGCACCACTTGCGGCCTTTGGTTGGTAGTTACAGTAATCCTTGCATTTCTTCTCCCCGAAGCCCATGTACTCGTTAATTATCTGCGCTTCTAAGTTTTATGGGTATCCTACTGTAGTCGAATTGAAAACTGTTTGAGAGCTTTGAAGAGAGAGAGAGAAATTATCAGAGTTTGAGCTTAATCCCGTATTATTCGGTCAAGAATTGTTTTCTTGGCTATTCCGAAACATCGATGACAAGCCGGCGTATTGTGCGTTTTTTTCGCGCAACGCCTATCCGGATTAGCGTTGTTTAGGTGTTGATAGACGAGACAGACATATGCTCTCGATGAGGTCACACTTATACCGCCACCATCAGCACCACACGCTGGCTGGCGTACAAGCGTCTGTATATTCGCATAAGTAGTCGTTGGCTGGGTTGTTGTGGGAACGCGGCGTCGATGCGGCTCTCTCACTTGCGCTCTTGTTATTTTACTTTTATTCGCACTTCTCATTTTTATCGGCTTTTGCTTTTTTGTTTTGAGCTGACCAGAATTTGCTGAGGAGAGAAATTTTTCGCCGTTCTTTTTATGGGTTTTTTGGTGTGCTTCGAAATGTCTACAGGGTGTCATTTAAGTTCCCGCACAAAAGTTTGACGCCATGAAGAGATTGACTGTCGCACTTTTTGTGCACCAATACAATTTATTTTTGTTAAATAAGGTGTATTTTACTTATTTCCCAAGTTTCACCTCATTCGGATGTGTTTCCGAGAAATGGCGAAGGCTAACATCCATCGCGCTTCCATTATCGAACTTCATAAGCAAAATGTGAGCCCGAGAGACATCATTCAACGGGTCGGTGTGCTTCGTAGAACGGTTTGCGACACCATCAAACGATTCAAGTAGCTAAATACGACCAGTGTCCGTCCCAGACAAGGAAGACTCGTCTCAGTAACCACTCCTCAGAAGATCAACGCCGTTAAATCGAGGATCAGGCGAAACCCACACAGGAGCATGAGAAAGATGGCGTCAGACATGGGAATGAGCATCTTTGCTATGGAACAAATCGTCAAAACAAAGCTTGTACTGACCCCATATCGTGTCCAAAAAGCGGCAATTCTATCGGCCGTCAACAAGCAGAGACGCTTCGAAAAAGCAAAACGACTTCTTGCTCGCACGCGGTCTGGAGAACACCTCGTCACTGTCTTCTCCGACGAGAAGCTGTTCAGTGTGGAGGCGGCATTCAACTCACAAAACCATTGAGTACTTGGCCAAACATCCCAGCAAGCTTCTGAGAAAGGAAGAACATATCATCCAGCCTCACATCCTGCCAGTGTGATGGCTTTTGGTGCCATCTGCTCAACCGGGAAGTGCTACCTGGTTTTCGTGGATCAGATGGTGAAAATGAACAAAGAAGTCTACGTTCGGGACATTTTGGAGAAGCATGTGATGCCCTGGACCCAAACGCATTTCGGTGGGCAGAAATGGGTCTTTCAACAGGACGGAGCACCCGCATACACTGCCAAAACTACTCAGGAGTGGTGCCAGACCCATTTTCCCGACTTTATCAAGTCATCCGAATGGCCTGATTGCTCCCCAGACCTGAACCCGCTTGACTTTTCCGTGATGGGGTCTTGCAGGAGAAGGTCAACGCAAAACCCAACTCAAGTGTAGAGGCTCTGAAGAAGACATTACTGGCGGAATGGGACAATCTTTCCATCGAATACCTGCGTACCACAGTCGCATCCTACCCGAAGCGTCTCCGTGAAGTCATAGCTGCGAAAAGAGGCCGAATCAAAAAGAGTTAATAGATAAATATTTGTTATACTATAGATAAAAAATATTTCGAGTCTCGTTTGATTTGGACTTTTAGTTTCAGAAATGTACGTCTACAAAGTTGTGCGGGAACTTAAATGACACCCTGTAGAAATACGAAATTGTTAGTTGAACAATTTTTAAATTTTGCGGATTCTTCATTATTGTTTTTTTTTAAAGTTTCTTGTGAAGAAATTGCAAAATTCAATAGATTTCTCTATCTCTCAAAAAATTATCGGACAGAAGTGACAGCAAATTTTTTGAGATAAGAAAGGCTCGTCTTAAATGGCAAAGTTGAGAAAATAAATTTTGTTGACGTCTTTGCGCTCCTTTCTTTCTGTGTGTGTGTTTTTTATCATTTCATTTTTAGTTTATTTACTTTTTTTGTTCAAATAACAGCAAAATTTAATTGGATTTTGCTATTCAAATCGAGTGTGTTTCTCTGGGAAAATTGCATTTTTTTCTTGTTGAAATTCCCCTTTTCCGCTTACAAGTGCAATTTCAGCATTAATTGGAGAGGCGTGAATGTCTGTTGCTCGTCTTCAATTTCTCATAATTAGATTAATTGCGTGCCGTGGAAAAATTGTCGAGTTTTAGAGGGAGAAAATTGCCATTCTATGAATTTTTCAATCGAATTCTCACTCAGAAATGTCATTTTCAGGATGGGGGAGTTTGAAGCAAATAATTGTCTCGATTCATATCCCCATCAATTTTCGCAAGTTATTTTTGAAATTTTCAGAAAATCTTGAGATAATCCCGAAATCGTATTTAAATATCAGAAAATTTCTGGCAAATTTTAATTTTGGAGCACGAAAAATTAAAAAAAAAACACTAGAAATTCAAGATCATAAATTTGCACTTTTTTGAGATTTTTTTGTGGAAATCTTTGGTTTAAGAAAAAACGAATTGAGAAATTCGACTAAACGTAGACATTTTGACAGCTGATATTTTAGATTTCGTCATTTCCGCTGATCAAAAATTCCCAGTTTGGATTTTTTTTCTCATTTTTTGTTGAGCTATTTAAAGCATAATGTTTTTTTTTCCAATTTTCATTAAATTGTTGAAAATTGTCAGATTTTGTTGTTTTGCTAAAATGCAAATTTCTCGAAATTCCCGATTCTCATTCACTCTTTATAAGTATATCTATCCATACATATATATTTATGTGCAACATGTTGTTCATATATGGAGAGGTTTGCAGAGGAGGGAAGTTGAAAAAAAGGAAGAATGTGAGACGTAGAGAGATTAGAGTGAAGCTGTGCATGCTTGCTTGCTCGTCGTCGGAGCTCCGAGCCCCGCGCACTTCTCCTCTTCCTTCTTCTTCTCCTTCGTTTTGCCCATTTGAGGTGTTGTGCTCCAGCATGTGCTTCCACTCTCGTCATCTCATGCTTTATCGCGTTTTCACGTCGTCGAGCTCTACTACAGCGAGTTGTTCATCATTTTCTTGCGCTCATCTTCATTATTATTATTATGAGTTACATTATGAAGACTTTGAATTTTTGAATGAAATTTGAATATTTTTTATTCCAAAATCTGCCATGAAACAAATTTCTAGGCAATTTGTCGTCATTGAAGTCACCAAGTTTTTTCACTTTGATCTTGATGGTTCGGATTTTGAAAGGATTTTATCGTAATTTTGAACCAAATTCGTTTGAAATGTACGAAAAAATTTAATTTCCTGGGCGAATTTTGAGCTTTAAAATTGTTTTGATACCTTTTTAAGATATTTTTAATGCGATTTTGAGATTATTCAAGACTTAATGGAATTTTTAACTTGAAAATTGAATTTGTTTTCATGAGTCTAAACAATTTTTCGCCTCAAAACCCAATTCGATTAGAAAATGGCTGAGAGTGCACATCGTATTCAATTTTTTTCCGCCCAATTAACCTAATTATGTGAAAGCGATGCGCTTCTTACTCCAATTATTGCTGTAACTGCACTTTTTTTATTATGATTACTTGTTGCCTTTTTAATTATTGCTTATATTATTATGGTCCCGAGGCGAACCGGTTCTGAGCCAAACCGACTCGGCGACATTCATTTCGAATTCTGCGCACGACCATGAATATGTTATTTTTTTGAGAATACTGTAGCCGAGAAATGCATTGAAATGTGTTGCGACGAAAATATCGTGGTCCCACATGTTTTTTTGGTTGGGGACGGAGGGTGGTTGATTTGGTCCCTAGTAAAATTTTGGAAAGAAATTGGCGATGAGCCAAATAAATTACACCAAAAGTTCATTTTTTTTTTTGCAAGACCACCTATAATCAAATATCTGGGTGTATCTTATTATAGTTGTCGTTGTCTCTATTTTCATTTTGACATTTATCGCGTTCTTTCGATTTCTTCTCTTTAAACTAGCGTTCGTAGGCGTTTGACGGCGCGAATGTCGGAGCGTTCGACGCCTCCAGCCGATTCGAAGCTTGTCACTGATCCGATATCGGAAACGGAGAACCTTCTCGATTTGGGCTATGAAGTCGACTCGGGACGCGAAATCGAGACATTGAGCGAGGTCGATGAGGAGGAGGAGGATGATGGTGATGACGATGAGGAAGACGAAGAAGAAGAAGAAGATCAGTACGCTGAATGGCCGAAGAGTCGAATGTCGAAATCGGCGACATTCCACGATTTTTGCGATGACGATGAGTGTGATAGACGAATAAAACTCCCGACGCATTGTGAAGAGTTTGAAGAGGAGGACGAGTTTGAGGACGCGAAAGATGATGATGACGATGACGATGAGATTCTCGTCGAGGAAGAGGAGGTTCAGCCGGATGGAAGTCCCGCTCAAATGGAATACGCGAAAGTTCATAAGAAGATTGAGAAGACGACGACGAAGAAGAAGAAGCGATTTCGAATGAAGAAGAGCAGCACGTTTGCCTCGTTTCTGAATCTGTTTGTGTCTCGAAGTCGTCATTCGCGTGAATCCGGCGGGATTCGTGAAGGGGAGCGACTGATGACAAGAAGCTCGTGCATGATTCGTCCGAGTATTTCGTTGTGTGAGTTTCAGAATTTGAAGTAGGAGGTAGAGCGGGCGTGATTTCTGAAAATATAACAAAAAATCAGTTGTCAGAGCAAGTCGGCAAAAAAAATTGAAATTAATTGTGTTTTTTTTTCTCCTAATATTTACTGAATTAACTGAAAATTTTCCAGCTGTCGTTCAAGAGTCGATGATATTGGGCTCGGATGGCGAGAGTGCCGATGTTTCGCCATGCACTTCCGATCAGACGCCGACCGGAATTCCGCCGAGATACATTGTCAATGTGAAAATGCGACAGAAGCCGGCGAGGAAATGGAGCGAAGTGAGTAGCGCAATTTTCAAAAAATTTCAGTGGTCCCAATTTTTTTGAGGGCCGTTAACTGAGATTGTTTTTTGATAAGCATCACCATTTTTAAAATGATATTAAAGAATTTAGAATTTAAATTTCGGAGGGATTTTCTAGTCGATTTGTCTAAAAAAAAGGCCTTATTTGGCCATTTTTGTTTTCTATTTTCGGCAATTTGTCTCAAGGAGGAAAGAAATGTATTGTGCATCATTGTAGGAGGAAATCCAAAAGCGACTCTCGCTTCCTGCTGATTTGCGCCTTCCGGTCGCCGTTGTTGACAAGTTGAATCGAACGCCGACATTGGATCAGCCGTTGACACGCAAGAATAGGCGGGCATCGTTGGTATGTGTGTGTAAAAAAATGGAGAACATTTTTTTTCGGGGGGATTTGTGTTGTGGAAAATTTCCGAAATTGTGCCAAAAGCAGAAATTTTGAGAATTGTCAAATTTGATAAGAAATTTCAAAAGTTGGGCTTCAATTTTATCCATTTCCGGGTTTTTTTTTAAATTCGATTTGTGAAAATAATTGAAAATTGTGAAAATTCTCGTTTTTATGGTCTATTTTTAGACAAATTCAAGTTTTTCGCATGTTTTGTAGGCGTTTTATTTGGGCCTGACATTGATTTTTTTTCGAATCAACACATTTCTTTTTTTTTTCAGAGTGAGATTGGTTTTGGTAAACTGGAGACGTACGAGAAACTCGACAAACTCGGCGAAGGAACCTATGCGACGGTGTACCGCGGCCGATCGCTGCTCACCAACAAATTTGTCGCATTAAAGGTGATTTTTGGTGAAGAGAAATTGAAAAAATCGATAAGATTTTGTGAGAAACCGGTGCAATTCGATTTTTTCTCCAGGAAATTCGACTTGAGCAAGAAGAAGGAGCCCCTTGTACGGCGATTCGCGAAGTGTCGCTTCTTCGAAATCTTCGTCATGCCAATGTCGTCACACTTCATGATATTATTCATACTGATCGGCTGTTGACGTTGGTTTTCGAATATGTTGATCGCGATTTGAAGCAATATATGGATGCGTGCAATAATCAGATGCATATGAGCAATATTAAGGTGAGAAGTTTGTGGAAAATATTATTTCAAACGAAAAGTTTTGTTTTTTTTTTAATTTTTTTATTTGATTTAATATTAAATTTGCGAAATTCGAAATTTTATTCAGTTTATGGTAATTTTCCCGCGATTTCAGCTTTTCCTCTACCAACTCCTCCGCGGTCTTTCGTATTGCCATCAGCGTCGTGTGCTTCATCGCGATCTCAAACCGCAAAACCTTCTGATCACCTCAAAGGGCGAACTCAAACTGGCGGATTTCGGATTGGCTCGAGCGAAATCGGTTCCGACGAAGACCTACTCGAACGAGGTTGTCACACTGTGGTACCGTCCGCCGGATGTTCTTCTCGGCTCGACGGACTACTCAACGCACATCGATATGTGGGGTGTCGGTTGCATTCTGTTCGAGATGATCGCCGGACGCGCGCTGTTCCCCGGCGGAACGAACGAGGAGCAATTGGGGTTGATCTTTCGAACGCTCGGATCGCCGAGACCCGATCGACATCCAACGATTTGCGAGAAGAGCGGATTCTTCATGTTCGCCAATCAGCGACACAATCCCGAGCCGTTGTGTCGGCAGATTCCCAGAATTGATGCTCATGGTGAGTGGTTTGGTGTTTTTTGTGTTTTTCATCAAAATGCTTATTTTCAGGTTTCGAACTTCTCATGAAGTTCCTGCAATACGAGGGTAGAGATCGAATATCGGCGACCGAAGGCCTCAAACATCCATTCTTGCGCACGATTGCTATCAAGGTAGAAATTGAATTGATCTTTTTTTTTTGGTTTTTTGACAGAAATATTTCCGCCGATTGATTTTTTGGAAAAGATTTCCTAAAACTTGAAAAATAAAAAAAATGCATCGCCATCATCATATTGCAGTGCGCGAATCTCCGTGATGAGCAATCAGTGATGGAAGCGGATGGGATTCATGTTGAACGCGAGACACTGTCGCATGAGAATTCGCATCGCCGCCATCACCATCATCATCATCGGACGATCTCATCGTCGAAGGATAAGATGTACCGAGTGCACATGAACCATCACACCTAATCACATTGTTGTTGCCCTCCGATCTATTTTTTTTTTGAATTTTTGGTTGTATCATACATTCATATCCGGTTTTAATAGGTCCACACACATGCACATAAATCGTCCGACGTCTATTTGAGATTGCCGGAGCTGAACAGAATCCACGTCGTACGGGTGCTCGACATTTAATTGAGAAACCAACAATTCCGATTCGTTTTCATTTCGTCCTTCTAATAATTCCCCGTACAGTTTTCTTTTTTCGTCTTTTCTTTTCTTAATAATCTCCGCCCCCTCCCTCCACCCGAAATGCATTCCTTGCGTTTATACTTTTTTTTGATATTATTAATTAATTATCGAGTAGTAATAATTAGATGATTATTCCTACACGTTTAAGAAAAAGAAAGAAAAGAAATGGTTGTTTCATATCACCGAAGACATTATAATACCATGTAATTTGAAATTATTTATAATTATTATTAGATTAATGATTATTATTTGGATTTTTAAGCTCTCTCTCGCTCTCTTCTTTCTTTCTTTTTTTCCAATCAACTTCATTCTCCCGTTTGCACACACTCTGTGAATAAAGTAAAACGTTTTGACGACAATTTGCGGATTTGTTTTTTTGATTGATTGTTGATCGAGCAGATATTTGATTATTTTGGGGGCAAACGCGCTCTGTGGATGATTTTGCGCGAAAATGGATTTTGAAATTCTCGCGCATTTTTTCAAAACCATAATTGAGGCAGGATTTTATTTGAAACGTTAACTAAAAAATTAGTTTTAATGCATTTCTATTTTTTTTTCTAGCAATTTGTTGGGAATTTGGCGCGAATTCTATAATTTTTGATCAATTCGGTTCAAAAAAAAAGCCGAAAATCAGAAGTTTGAAGAAAAATTAGCGAATCAATTCATGAAACTCAAAAAATTGTTTTTTATTACCTTTAATCGTTTTTTTTTTGCATTTTTATTGACCCTTTGGCGAATTGCTGAGAAATATGGCGATTTTGGGAAAAAAAAGCTCAAAACCATATACAAAATTTAAAAAAAAACTAGTTTAACCGGTTTTTCCCCAAATCTAAATAAATTAGTCTTAATTGCCCAATTTTCGAGTAATTAGTTCATTCTTTCCTTAATATGTTGAATTTTGGAATGTGGAAAATCAAAAAAATTAAAGCGACGCAAAAAAAAACGTATTTGATGGTTCGTTTGTTTAAAAAAATCAATTTATCATATAAAAGATAGAAATTTACAGGTATTATGGCAGCGACGACGAAGTTCACAGAAGATTTGATCAATTTGGTTTGGAATGACGGATTTGAGCAGCCTGCGGCGAGTCGAGACAGAGCTTCGAGAATGTGAGTCGTTTTTGAAAAACCTTGGTTCTTTGAGAAAATGACCTTGAAGACTAGTTGATTTGTTGAAATTTTGTGCATATTCTGGAAAAAAAATGGTTTTTTTTTTCAATCGAGATTGTTTGAAAAAAAAATGGCGAAACCTAATTGACGACGTCGATTTCGTCCGAAGACGATTCGGTGTCATCAGCTTCGATCTCATCGTCCGAAGAATCATCGGTTGTGTCGGTGTGCTCCATTATCTCTTCCTCTTCGTCTTCTTCTTCTTCCTCGTCTCCATCTTCGTCGTTCTCCATTCCACGCCTTCTGATGACTTGTCCGAACACGCATCCAAGATTCATCAACACCAAATGCATGAGAAGCTCTTTTCGGCGAACTTCGGCAATCGTCGCGTTTTTGATTGTCGATAGCTCGACTTCCAATTCGTAGAACGCGTTGACTTCGGGAAGGAACGAATCAATCAGCACGTGAAATCCGCGTTTGTAGCTATTGCACATCGTGTGCAATTGGGTGTAGATTTCCTTGATTCGAATCGGAAGGTAGGCGTCGTCGACCGTCAGAATGCTGTAGGCGAACGTTTGCATTAACGAGATGACATCGAAATGAAGGCGATCGATTCCTTCGAGATTCGCGATGAAGGCGTCAAAGCGTCGAGTCACTGATGATAGTTGATCGTCGTGGTTGACTGAGACGGCCGCCGGCAGTTTGGAGACATTTTGCGATAGTATCGACATTCGTTTTTTTCGTGCTGAAAATTGAAATTTGAAACAATCGGCGAATTTTCAAAGGAATAGAGAGTCACGACGAATCGATTCGATTGGAGATGTGTGCAGGTTGGCGTCTTCGTGAATGCAGACAAACGGTTCAATTTGCATCCCGCAATTTTTGACTGAGTTTTTTCGTTTTAGCGATAGATTAGGCTTTCATCGAATTGGCGAAATAATTGTTTTAGGTGATGTTTTTTTTTTGAAGAAAACTCGACAATGAGAATAATGAAATAATAGGAGAATTATACAAACTTCTTGTAACAATGCCTTGGAAATTACCAAAAATTGTCTCTCTATTATGGTGGCCGACTTTTTAGTAAGCGGCCGTCGCCGGCCGTGACGCTTCGACGAGAATGCCAAAAATTTGTCTCGAGCATTGGTGCCGAAATTTGCTAGTTCATTTAGTATGAGAGCTTCTATATGTCGAAATGAGCGATTTTAAAGTTTTTCGAATCTCGAGTGAATTTTGTCAAGAATTGAAAAACGTGAAGAATCGATGAGAAAACGAAAAAAAAAAATTTAAGTGCGACACGAAAATTTAGTTCGAATTTTGCACGTCGGCGTATTTATTTTGACTGCGGACTGTACATCATAATTTGGAACATTAGAGAATGGTTTATTTTTTAGTGTTTTTCACCTGTCGGCCTATTGGCTTTTGTTTTTCTGAAAATCTCAAAAATTTGTTTAAAATTTCGGAATTTTGATGGGTTTTTTTTGCATATTCGCATTTCGTCTTGTCTGAATATACTTTCACAACTCATTTTAAGACGGATGAGCAAACTCTCTTGATTGGGTTTTTTGCGGAACATACGAGAACCCGAAATCAAATGAAAATCAATTGAAAAATTTCAGCATTTATTTCCCCGTCGAAAACATTAAGAAATTGGAAAACAAATGCAATTATGCAAGAATCGGTAATTGTGCCACACAGTAGAAACAAAATTATAAATAAATCACAGGAACGAATATAATCCTTAATGAAAGGCACAACTAAAATTAATTAATAGAAAATTGCGAAGCAGGGAAAAGTAATTGGTCAAAAAAGCATAAATACCGGACAAATGGAAGACTAAAAGAAATCAAAGTAGTTTTTGTTTGTGGGGGTGGGGGAAGCCGGTGGCAGACCGGTAAAGGGGACCCTGTGGTGAGAGCACCAGCACTATTTTCCTAGTCGGACCACTCATTTTTATCATCCTCATCTTCATCATCATCGCTCGAATCATCAATTCCCATGTTCATGCGACGTTCCTCAAGGGCCTTTGCCAGCGCTCCAGCGAGGCCGCCCATTCCGCCGACACCAGCTGCGGTGCTCTTTCGACGCTCTTGTTCCGCTTCGGCATCAACCTGATGTGAATTCGACATATGTTACGCATGAGTCGATCATCAAATTTCAAAATGTTTCCTCGAAAACTTACATGTTTGAGCTGTGCTCCCTGGCGAATTTGAGCCATCATATTTCCTCGAGCATCTCCATTTCCAGAAGTCGATGCCGATGAATTGTTGGATACTGATTTCAGTTGTTTGCCAGCTTGAATTTCCTGTAAATTCAATTCAGTGCAAAAAACAAACGAGCTATCTCAAAAAAATTACCGCCAATAAATTCGCTCTTCCTGGCTGCGGTGGTGGCAAGTTCGCCGACACACCACCTCCACCACTCGATGGCATCGGCGGTGGCGGTGGAGGCGGCGGCGGTGGTGGAGCTCCACCCGAAATTGGCGGAATCACACCACCAGATGGCATTGGGGGAGCTGGTGCCGGTGGCGGCGGCGGTGGTGGTGGTGGCGGCACACCATGTGGACGCGAAAGAGAATCCGGCGATGGCGCTTGCGGCAACGGACGACTCGGCGCCTGACCGCGCGTCGTCGACGGCGGTGGCGGAGGTGGACGCGCCGGTGCAACACCGTGAGACTCAACACGCGCCGGCGGCGGCGGCGGTGCCGGCGAAGCGGTCACCGGCGCCGATATTGGGAGTGTCGGACGTGACGGCGTCGAGTTCCACGCATTCAGCGGCTGCTGCGACTGATGAGTTGGCATCGGCGACGAGATCGTCGTCGTGTTGTCAAACACGGATGCCGAAATGTATTTGTCGTAGTTTTTGGCGATGAATTTCTTGACGAATCGCTGCTCGGACGGATCCAATTTGTTGCTTTCGACTCCGGCAAATTTTAGAATATTCCTCAACAATCGATTTCGCGTAAATTTTTGTTAGTCAACTGATCTTACTTGGTGGCCTCATCCATGTCATCATCATAAACTTTGTTCGAGAATCCACTATCCTGATCCCAACCAACGTGAGCCTTATGTCTAAAAATAGTTTCTTTCTTTAATCCGTAAAAAAACGAACTCACTGAAAATTAGTAGGGTTCGAGATATCTTCCTTCTTAATCTTCACCTTCTTATCCTTCTTCTTTTTATTGTTGCGGAACCAGCCGCCACCTCCACTGTTCGAATTATCTGCAAACAGAATTCTAATAAGAAAAAAGTGCATAATTTTACTGGAGATTCCAATAGCACTGAAAATTATGAATATGAAAAACGCAGAAACAAAGAACTCTTACAAGGGAAGTCGCTGTACCTCCCGTTTTGGATTTTTTATAACTTTGCAGACCTAAACTAGAAGGTCTGAATGTGTTCACAAAATTCCAGCCTGCACTGGAGGTTTCTGACGAGTTATGGCCATCTGAAAATTCAACTGTCCAGTGCAGGATGGAATTTTATGAACACACTCAGAAAGCCGTCTAGTTTATATGTGCAAAGTTACAAAAAATTCCAAGACGGGAGCAAAAATGACTTCGTCGAAGAGTCCTTCAAAAAAAACGAAAAATATACATGTGCAAACTGAGAGAGAGTGAGATCCATACCTGTCTGAATTACACTATGCGGCGCCGCCATCGTACCAATCGGTGTGATTCCTTGGCTCGTCGCCACCGCCATCGGGGGGCCGCCACGCATTCGACCACCATAGCCCTGATTCGAATCGATTCCACGATTCGGTGGCGTCGACGGAATTCCTAAATTCCACAAATATTATTATTTTTAATCGCCGAAAATTGAGCACTATCCCCCCCCCCTCATTCCATGGCATTTTCCCCTTGTTCCCTTCTCGCGAATGTTTACGCAATATTTGATCAAAGTCACTTGAACACCAACAAGTGCACACGAACCATGCTCTTTCCTTCGCTGAATGCGATGGCGCGCCGGCGGATGCGGCGGTATCGGCGGCGGTGTCGACGCTTCAATCGATGACGGTGTCGCGCTGCTGCTCTCGGCGCTGTCGCTACCTGCCGAATAGATCGCATCGTCCCGTTTCGGCGTCGGCGTCGGCGGCACCATCACTGACACTCCGGCGTTCGAGCGATGCACAAGCATCGCCGGCGGATCGGGATTTAGCGAAACGCTGGCGTAATAGTCGGCGTCTTCGTAGATGCTACTCACAAACTCTCCTTTCGAGACGGGATCGTCAGGCAATTGGAACCTGACGCGATGCCGGGAGAGCGGCGGCGAGTAGTCGGGGCTCGGCTCACGCTGCTGACGCTCATGATAGTAATAGAATGCGTCGCTGGCAACCGGCACGTAGCATCTTGTGAAATTCTGTCGACTCGCCACCGCCGGATATCTTGCCGTCGAGTAAACCGGCTCCTGGTACTCAGCCGAGCTACTCGTTGACGAGTCATCGTTAACGTTGTCATACTGCTCAAGCTCCTGATAATAGTGATGGCTGGGCGTTTGCGGTGACGGCGACGCTCGACTCATCGGGTCCGGGAATCGATAGCAGCCACCACGTCCGTACCTTTGACTCTGATAGTGATGGTACATATGGGGAGGTGGCGGCGGCGGCGGCGGTGGCTGCGTCTGATTCTGAAGATTGTGATACTGGTAACGAATGCGACCCGCCGGGTCTTCGCTGACTACCATCCACATGCTAGTCCTGTAAACCGAATTCGTTCACACGACGACGACGGAAGCGAAACCCCGAATTAGCAATAATGGAGGTGTTCTCGACAACGAAAAAAATTGAGGGTAGGAAATGGACAAGGTATAATTTTTGAATTCATAGATGCGAAATGAATGGGTCAAGTTAAAAGGAATCCATAACAATGATGTCTGACGTATTCCGACATCGAAAAACAATGCTTCACAATGTCATTGAAATCAACAATCATCAAAAATTAAAGGAACATTTCATTGGCATAGTGTGGGGATTGGAACCCTTCCTCAAAAACATGAGAAGAGAATGTTATCACTCTACGATGACGACAACCAAACAAAAGGAGTGATAATGGGTAAAGGTGCGACGAAAAACTTTGAACGGCCGTTTTGCCACGTGGGGCCGGCTGAAAATTGTAGGGATCCATTCTTCGGACCCTTAATTACATGTGGGTGAAGTATGAAAAAACGTTATGATACTCGCCAAAACGACTTGTCTTGTCAAGAGAAGATGTCAAAAGAAAAAAAAAACGAAAGTCGCCAATGGCAATTCACACAATTTTAAGGACGTCGATTACGTTCAAATCCATAATACTACTATCAATTGGCGTCGGCATACGCGCGGTCCTTCAAAACCGTTCAATTCAATTATAAAGACATGAAAAAACACACACACATAGAAAAAACCGCGACGCCGTCCGTCATCGTCTAATAATAATTGGTCGAAGCCGGCCGGAATTTCCGAAGGAGGCGGTCACTACGATGATGACAAGATGATGATGAAGTGTTGAACAAGAAGGAGAGAATTCAGGAAGAGGAAAATGTCAAATAAGCTTCAATGTATGATTGCGAGTTGTTCCGCGCACAACTGGTTCGCTGCCTCAACCGTTATTATTGCCATTCAAACAACGACCTATTATATAACCCTCATTTTGGTATTAATGCTATGCAAATTTCGAATTTCCTCCTCCCACCTTCCCCGTTTTTTTTTCTTTGTTGGATGAGCGACGCAACTCTCGAAGAAGCTCTCGAACCTTGAACTTGGCGTCGACCTTGAAGAAGACGCGCAAAAGCCTATAATTTCGGATCGCGAGTGGGTCACCCAAAATTATAGATCGATTAAAATGCGCTAATAGCGGGAAACGTTTAAAAGTCACGTTTGCGCCTTTAAAAACTTTGAATCTACTCAAATTAAGGTCATGAATGAAGGTGATGAAATTTACAAGTACACGGCCTAATCCGTAAAAGAACCCCCGTCAGTTCTAAACCATTGGAGGGGGGGGGGGAGTAAAACCCCGGTGAGAAAATTAGCTGAAAGTGAAATAGCTGCATTAACTCGAAAACAATGTCACTGTCAATTTAACTAACCCGACGCAAAACTGACAAACATAAATAAAACAAACACACCGCGAAATGTGGGGTGGAAATGGTGGCTGTGGTGGCTATTGAGGGGCGGAAACATCGCCTAACTAACCACTTAAACACTCCTGACTGATTGAAGCTTATTTTTTCGAATCGTCGGCACATAAGCGGACGATAGAACTTTCTAGAAGTGTGCGATAAAAAGATGCGTTTCTTTAGAAACACGATTTTACAACCAAATAATGTTGGGCTTATTTCGCACACAAAAAAATATTTTTCTTTAGAATCTCGCCAGATGGGGGGGGTCTCATATGCAACTTTTGAGAATTGCTGAGAGGCAAGACTAATCAAGAAGCTTCAAGAACACGTAAAAATCTACTAGATCAGGTGGATGAAATGGACTTGAAGTTGATAAGAGACGCGGGAAAAAAGAGATCGGGGTAAAGTACAAAAGCCGCACACAACGCGTGTCGAATACGCAAACGCATGTAAGACTTCAAACAATTCGAACGCGCCGGGTGAATGGGGGAAGGAGGAGGAGGAGGGACGGCGAAACTCAAGTGCTATATCACAGTACTCGTGAACCGCGAGATAGACAAATGCGCATCTCGCGAAAACGACGACCGATTATCATTCAATATGCACAAAACGAGAGAAGAATGAATGAATGAATGGCTAGTCGGTCGGTCTCGCGACGAATTAGTCCGACTCACGGGGGGAAATAGGAAGTGAAAAACAAACAATTTCGATTTTCCACCCTCCTCCCCCCACACTTTGATGATGACGATGGGCTAGTAGAAGGTATTAAAAAAAAACCCAACATAGCAAAACTTGGGCATGACCTTTTTTTCTACTAATCCAGTCTAATAACACCGAAGGACAACAAAAATCAAACATTGACTTTTTTCCATTTTTGCCTGCCGCGATGTTGCGCCGAATGACAGCTAGCTCGAATCGAATCGTCGTCATCAGCCAATCGCTGCTGCCGAACGGCGAAGTTTTGACAGTTTTCCGAAAAAATCGCCGATGGGCAGAAAAACGCCGGTGGCATCGTGAATCGAAGAAATGAAAAAAAAAAACAACAACAAAATCGAAACGGAATGCGACGGAAATGGACAATCGGTTTGGCGTCGCCGTATCGAATTTCGACGAACGCTCAGCGCTACCGGACGACGAATTGAGCCCACTTGGCACACAACAATGTTTCTTAGCACGATTAATTGGCGCCGAAGGAGCGCGAAAAAAAACACAACAACACCGAAGCGAGCGCTTCGTTTGCTCAGCTCGTCCCATCTTCAATTCTGCTGCAACGCCGCAGGGAGAGCTAAAAGTGGCTAATCGGATGATTTCAGCTGATCCATCAAAATCGAAATCTCAAAATGGGACGAAATGCATAAGCAGGTGAAAATGTGAAAGTTCGTAGGGCGAATCATCTTTGTCGTTGGAATCAGATGAAGAAGAAAAAAACGCTTCAATGTTTATGTTTCGTCTTTAAGCACGCTTGAATGCAAACATGAGTATGGATGGGGCGAAAGTAACACGAAATCAGCGGTCGGTCTTGGAGGTAAATGAAGAAGCAGCAGCTAGGCGCGCGTTGGCACGACGAAAAAAAATTATGTCTGTGTGTAAACGCGCTGTGCGCATGCTAATCGGCGCAACCTGCCGCCGCGCGGTAAATAACCGCGCGGATTGTGTTTGAGAGCACACATTTATGTATCAAATTCGTTTTTTTTTTTGAGGTGCGCGCATTACTCCGTGTTTCTTCTCAACAAAAACTTGTCATTTTGTCAACAATTCGGCGAGGTTAAAGGGAATATGCCATTGTGATATTCGAATATTATGAAAACCGAGAGAGAGAGAAAAACGAAAACTGACCTAAAGGAATCTGGGGATGATTTCGATCCGACGACGACTTCTTCTCCTGCGCATGACGACGATCCAAGTGCTCCTACAAGAGCAAAACATTTTTTTAGAGAAGCGATAAATTTGGTTTTGGAATTTTCGTCTATAAAAAAAGGTTTTCAGCTATTTTTTAAATCTCGAAAATCAATGAAAAGTCCACAGCAAGAAGTTTCTCTAATTGCTTTTATGATTTTGTTTTAAATGACTTGAAGAAGTTTAAAAACTCTTCTAGCGAAAACATTGGCATATTTTATTCTTTATAACTTTGGAAAGATATTTGTTGAATGTAAATTTATTTTTTAAGGGATTTCAATTCATTTTTTCATCGGATGAAGAATAAAAAACGCAAAACAAAAATTACCTTAAACTCCGCGGCTTCTGCAGCACTGTAGAAATTCAAACCCACAATCGGTCCATCGCCATACTGATCCGGCTGGTACGCCAATAGTTTCGAGCAAGAAGGAAATGATTTTGCTTGAAATCCTTTATACCTTTAATACATATAATAATCATGAGAATTGAATGAAAGTTTTTTTGTGGTAGAAATTGCAGCGCCTTGATCTTGAAATCTAGGAAATGCATTGAAAACTAATGGGCCTATTCATGGAATGTCATTTTATATATATATTTTTTTAAATTCAAGTTTTTCACAATCCATAAAATAATTATGAAAGACGAGCGGAAAAAAAATATTTATGTATTCGCGCTTAGATCAAAAGAGTTTGACCATTTCAATTTTTCAGATTCGTTCGCCATCGACAATATTATTATTAACGAAATAAAAATTGCAAATTTTTCCAATGCAAGGTGGAAAATAAATGCAAATTAAATGTAATTCTTACAATGAAAAACAATGAATTTCCCGAATAAATAAATTGCGAAAACAATTTGAGAACGAAACTCACAATTTGAACTCGTAGACCATTTGCTCTTCAAGAATGTCGAATATGCGAATGAAGTAGGCGCGGTGCGCGTAATCTTTGACTAGCGATATCACACCATGCGGCAACTCGATCTGCCACGAACCACGATCCGATTTCAGGAGTTGCACGATGGCGGCGGTCAGCGAAACCGCGTCGGGCCCGATTAATTGGAAAAACATCTCGTTCTCCTGATTCGACAGTTCCTGAGAAAATCGACATGATTGTCTTTAGACGGAATAATCGAGCGAAAACGATTGGGAATGTGAAACTACCGATCTTTTTAGGAAATCGTTTAATCAAAAATAAGAATAGATGTTAATCTTGCAAGAATCTTAGTAATTTAACAAATTCTCATATTAAATGAAGGAGTAAAACGACGGGGTTCTTAATTTTCTGAGTTTTAAACCGTGTGATCATTAAAAGTTTTAAACCGTGTGATCATTAATTGCCAAAATCGCCTATTTTCATAAATTGTCCAATTCCCCAACAATTAAATTTTTTTTAAAGAACAGCTTTGTTTTAAAAATTGAAAACGACTCATAATTGTCATTACGAAAACTTATCCTTTTGTCAAACTCCAAAAAACGAGCTTCATATATTTTTAACTACTAAAAATTTCAAAATTTTGCTATTTTCCAGATAGACGGTCGCAAATAGCCATTTTATTGCATATATTTTCCTTCGTAAGATAAATATAGCACATATTTCATTAGTCTGTCGTGTCAAATATCGATTTTTTTTCATGGATGCTTAAAATATTTCAAGTAAATTCACATTTTTTGTTAGGAAAAAAATAGTTTGGGTTTTTTTTAGATGAGAAATAAACATTTGATTGATAATTTCTGAATGTCGCTACTTAAAAATAAACTCACTCTTGACCCGACATTCGGCGGTCGTTTCGTCTTCCGTTTGTCCGGTGTGCCTACAATTTCAAATAGTTTAATTCCGAGATTCTCTATTTCCCCCCAAATTCAACATATTTTAGTCACTTTTTTTTTGCACTCGTTTCACGTTTCGCTATTTGCCCAAAATTCATAGTTTTGACTGTTTGCACACGCGAGTTGTGCATTGTACTACTATACGCGAACAATTTCCCACTTTAAAACAATGAAAATGTTTGCAATCGACACCTATCGCATTTCGATCAGATACCGTATTGTTTAAATAACAAAAAAAAATCGAAAAGAAGTTATTTCTGAAAAATTCGAATTTCTATTTATAGTTCGGGAAAATTAAATCCACGTGGCATGGTCTCACCGCATTTTCTAATATTTTGTCGATTTACGTGAACATTTTGAAATGCGAATTATTCAAAAATCACGTAATTTGCTATTTTTCGAAAGAAAGTAAAACGTTGATGGAAAAAAAATGCGAAAGTAACGATATATTCGGAAAATTTAAAATTTTATCCCCCCAAAAAATCGCCTACCATCAAAATCGTACAAGAATTCCGGCATAAATATCTAATAATAATAAGAAGGCGAAAAGGTCTATTCGCAATTCCATTACGCCCTTTTAAGGTGAGCAAACAGAAAAATTTCAATTCAAAGAAAAAAAAATAACATACCATTATATATCATCGCCGGCGACGGAGGATAAACCGACATCGGCCTGAAATCAAAAAAAAATTATAAATGACTAAATGCATTTCGAAACAATTGATAACAATGATGATGAGTCAATGGGGGTTATTTAAAAAAAAACAGAAACTCTAGATGAAAATCGGTGAAAATCTCAGAAAAGTTTGAAACACACAGCACACAATACACATAGAGGCACAAACACACACGCACACAGAGAGCTTCGCTACTACGTACGTACAGATGAGAGAAAGAGCACTGAAGCATTTCAATGTGTGCACATACATAACCGTTCGGAACACACATTCAAGCCACGAAATCGATAGCAAATATAATAATAATAATAAAAGTATTATATATCAAAAACTTTTGCTGTTTCGCTTGTTTTCTGTGTGTATATGTGGGTTTTTTTTTCTCACACGGGATAAAATCGGTCGGTCGATTCGACCGGCGATGGCGGCGGCGCGAACACCCCGCCGGCCAACCCTCAAAACAGTTTTCGAAAAGACAAATATTTTCGTCCGGTTCTGTATTTTTTTTTTCTCCTTCAATTTTAGACGCTCGCTCGACACCAATTTTCACGGATTAAGCCGCCATTTTGAGCGAATGGCAACATTTCGATCAAACATTTCAATCATGTGCATGACATGATGGAAAAAAAAACAGAAAACGGGTTTATTGAAAATGAATTTTGATTTCTCCCCGTTTTTTTTTTTTAATAATTTCGCAATTATTATTAATGAGCTGGACAGATACATTTTTTTTTCAAACGATGAGACTTGAAAATTAAAAAATTTTAGTCGAATAACGTTTTTTTTTCTACAATTCGCAAAAGTCAACTGAACCCAGGAAGTAAAAAAATTAGTTTAGTAGTATTCATGAAACATCATGACTTTGTTATATTCAAAAGTAAAGTTTAAATCTCGAAACCAGAATCTATTTTTTTTCCAATAAAAATATTTTTTCCAATAAAAATGGACAAATGGCTGAAATTTGATATCCTAGCCCGTTTTGGAGAATTTCAATATTTTTTCAAGCCACTAAAAACAATCAACAAAAACTGCAAAATGGTTGATTCAATATCTCAATAAAAAATGAAAGGCAGAGAAAAGTAAATATTAAAACAATCTGACTCATTGGACATTTCACAATATCGGACCTTGAACATCGAAACACCAAAACGGACCCGCCAGTCGTCACGCTTCGCAGCCGATTAATCCTATCCTAATTATGTACTTATTCTATACCATACGCGTAATTAGCAATGCCCTCCAAAAATTATCGACAAATAATCCAGGGAAAATGGTTAAAAATAAAAAAAAACGAGGCAACGGAAACAGAATTTTGATAAGGCGAGAAAAATCAAAATTAAATAGTGCAGAGGAATACGAGTGTACCTCAAAACTGCCGATAAAACGTCAAAAAAATTTCTAAAAAACCTATTTATTCTATTATTTACAAAAAAAGGAATTCAAAAAGAAATCGTGGGTCGATCAAATCTTCGCGGCAAATTCTCTTCGTAGAGTCTCGCCATTGTCGACGGAGCACGTCTCCAGAATCGTGGCAAGGTTAGGGCGAGCCGCATGAAGTTCAGTATAGCCTCCAAGGAATCTTTCAAAAAAAATGAAAGTAAATAAAAGAGTTGTTGCACGCCTCCCTACTTTCCGCAGACGAAAATTTGCGGAACCGTTTTCTGGCGAGTTAGATCGACGAGACCTTGGAGATAGGCTTGAACTCCGTCAGGATTGACTTGAGCAATGGCATTGAGGTTCTGAAGCGAAAATCAAAAATGTAAATGGGATAATTTATTGTTCTTTTTTTCAATACTTTATAAAGTGGCAATAGAAAATCATAGCTTTTTTTTTCTATTTTTCTATATAAAATATTGTCGGCGTCCAGTGCGCCTTCGCTATGGACTAACAGACTCTTGTGCATTTTAGAAGATCGTTTCGTTTCACTTTCAATTATATTAACTATTCAAGGAATCTGCAATTTCAGCATTTCAACGAAAACGCACCTTTTCCGTATATTTGATTCCATCCTCGTAAAGCTCATTCTTCGCCATAACACAGTACCCACACCCATCCTTCGTGTAAACAACCACCGGATGTCGTTTCACCTCAAAACATTTCAAACATTGTTTTCACAAAAATCGGAACATTTGAATATCAAAAACCTCTTCAGCAATTTTCTTCGATTCCTCGGAGAGCGGCGGCCGCGGCGGCGTTGAGGACGACTGACCCATAAACCTAATAACACATTCGAGAAAAAAAAACAAACAAAAAACAAAAATCGACAATCATCCCAAATATTCAGCGATTTCCAACCTTGCCAGCAAAAACGAAAAAAATCAATTCGGTCACCGTCTAGTTATTCATTTTATTGTCAGAATAAGTTATTCAATTTCAAAAATATACAACAAGAAAGCGCCACCATAACATTTCTAGATTTGTTTCCCCCAAAAACATCGAAAAATGTGTTCTCAAATTTCAAAACACACATCATATTGTTGCCCCCTATCACAGTGTTAACTACGTATTCGTTAGTATACAAATTTTCTGAAATTCATCGTGGAGATTGAAAATTGAAAAAATAATGATCATAATAATCAGTCAAATGAAATAAGGGGCTGCTCAGCGGCTTCCTCATGAGGCTGGACACTTTGATGAACATCGCCTAAAAATGTGTGTTGTGTGTTATACACAAAAAAAAGAATCAATTGATAACGATATTACCATAGTGGGGTTGTTGTGGCAGCTGTTGGGAATGATGGAGTTGGTGAGGTGCCGGCGACGAATAATTGCTCGCCGCTTCCATTTTTATTTCATGCGTTTGTTGGGGAGTCTGAAAGCTCAATTCAACGAATATTGCGTTCTGAAAATCTCAACTCACATAAGGTTGTCGATTATCAGCTGGCGGATAACCCGGCTGCTGAGCATGCATCTGAGGCTGCTGATAAGCTTGTTGTTGCTGCTTCTGTTGTTGTTGATACGCTTGATAATCATAGTAAGGCTGCTGAGATGGAGCAGCTTGCGGCCCGGGTGCCTGATAAGGGTACGCCGGCTGGCCAGCTTGCTGATAATACATTTGACTTTGATCAACCGGAGCTGCCGGATAGTAAGGCTGCGCTTGAGGCGCATACGCAGTCGTCGCCGCCGGTTGTTGATACGGCGTATACTGTTGCGGTGTCGGGGGCTGATAGGCCACCTGTTGTGGATTCGCATAATATTGTTGTTGCTGCTGCCTTCTCATCGCCATTTCTTGTTGCTGCTGCTGGAATCGTTGAAGAGCCTGCTCGCGTTGCTCCATGAGCATTGCCTGAAATGAAACACACGTAAAAAATTCCTCCACCAAAAAAAATAAATTTTATTTACATGCTTCTTCATTCTCATCATCTCGAGAGTCTGCTGCATTTGAGCCTGTCTGAGACGTTGCTCTTCAGCCATTCTCTCCTGCCGCTTCCTCTCATGCTCTTCACGAAGCTCATTGATCGCCTGACGAGCTTCACCAATGCTAGCTAGTTGGTCTTGAAGCGATTCGTAGTAGGCTGCACAATTAAAATATTAAAATATATTAGAGCAAATGTGATTACATCGCTGCTCATCAAGGGTATGCATTCTACTCAAAACGTGAGAATGAAGTTCGGTGAGACGGGTGAACAGGTCTTGAATTGCGGAATCATTGAACACCGGCCGACCACGTGCCAAATTCGAACGAATGCGATTGTCCATGACGGACACCTGCTCCTTGATCGATTGGCACCATTTCAACGTGTCATCAGCCTGCTTTTTCGATTCTTCCGTGCCGCTGACAATACCGTTGCCGATGCTCATTGCGGCGAGATCCGCATTGAGAGACGAGTCGTCAGGTGCCTGAATACATGAGCATTATCAATGTATGGCCATGATCGCCTTACCATTAATGTTGAGCAAACCGATGGAGCCAATGATGGCTCGCTTGGCGGCGGAGCACTAGCTCCGAGTCCTCCATTCGCCGCAGAAGTCGCCCATTCATCAACTTTCCCCTCCTTCTTCTTTTGCCAGTAGTCTCGATTCAAATATTTGGCGAGCGGATCCTCAACGGGTTCCGATGGCGATTCGGGAACACTCGGCGCCGCTCCTTTGTAGCCTCCAATCGAGCTCTCATGATATGATGATAGCGAATCATTCGTTGACGCTTCGGCTCCATTGAATTGGAACACCGATAATTTTTCGCGCTCTTTCGCCTCGGCCTCACTCTGGCTCATGGCAATCGCCAACGCCAAATCCTCTTCTTCTTTCTCTCGAAGAATCTTTTCTTTTTCTTCGGGCGACGGCTCGGCAGATGTCGCGCCAGCTGGCTTCTTTCCATATTTGAGCTTATTCATCTCTTTGTGATAAATGTTCTTTTCTCGTTTCACAAGCTCGTCGACTTTGGTTTCGAAGCATGTCTCGCAGACACGAACCTTAAAAATATTTTTTAAAAGTATTCCCGGGACCCTATATTCCACTAACCTCTTTATCGATTCCAAACTGGGGCAACGGCATTTCTCGGGAGCTGCATTTGTCGCAGAAAATCTGTCCACAATTGCGACAATGGTGTTTTCTCGTGAACATTGAGAACACGGTTCGACACCGGTAGCATTCGTTTCCATCCTGCCATTCCGGTGCGACTTGGGCCATGAACATCGCGTCAGCTTCTTTCAGCGACGGAAAATCGAAGCCGGCAAGCTTCATAAGATTATGCGTATCGACAACCATTTTATATTCGGGTTTGTTGGCAAACGCCGTCGCCCAGCATTGAAGCATCTCCAACGCCTTATTTTTTACCTCAAATGTGCACAATTTCTTTTTGAAAATTTATTTCCGCCCAACCTCGTCATATTTGCTCTCGGTGACAAGATTTTTGAAATCCTCCATAAATTCCCGAGTAGAAATTTCCAAGTGCATTTTATGGCCACAATTTTTGACACAAGCGTCTAAGACTAGAAGAGCATGAGAAACCACGTGCGGGTTTTCATGTTGAATGCGCTTTCGCAGTGATTGAAGAGCAACTTTTGCGCTAAAAATTTGAGGAATTACCCTTAATTGACCAATTAAATAGGATGTTACCTGACTTCTCCGGAACGAATTGAATCAGTGCATGCTATAATTCCATCCCAATTCGGTTCTATTAAGGTGCTATCGGTGGCTTGTTCTAAAAATGCGAAATTTCAAAATAGGTAAACTCGACACAAAAAACACACCGAGAAAACGATCAAATTTCTTTGACATGCCAGACTTAACCTGAAAATAATTAAGTTAAAACAAAATTACGCTGCAATTAATGTCGTTTATTTTTAATAACCTTTTTCCGAATCATGGCTCAATTTTCGAAATTTAATTAATGATAACTTTTAATGTTCGGCAAAATTCTTGAAATGGCCATTCAATCAAATTGAGCCTAAGCGCGAAAAAAAAGAAACACGTGAAACTGGGGAACAAAAGAGGAACAGAGAATTGATTGGTGTCGAAATCGCCGAGTGAACTTTTCCCGCTGTTCTAGGCCACGGCCACCGCGGCCATGTCAACAGAAAAAAAACAACCTTGGGCTAACGTCTACAATTCGAATGCTAAAACTATTAAGTAACTTATAAGGCTTCATTTGAGCCAATGCTGAATAATAGTGATGTCCGTTCATTATTCCAGTGGGTGTATGTGTAGAAATCTGCAGAACAAAATTTAGCGTCTGACTTGTTAGTGTTGTTGGTTATTTTAAATTGAGGGGGACACCATTTTGACGACATGCAATCGTGGGGTATTTTCGCAAAAAAAAATTGATTACTAAGAACAACTGAATCATCTGTTTTGCAAAAAAAAATAAGCGGTCTATACGATGTTAGAACGTTCAGAATGGATATGAAATTTGAAAAAAACACAATTATTCAGATTTAGTGCAAATCGAATGGCAGATGTTTGCGGCAATGCACCACAACTCACGAATTAGGGAGAAAAATTGGGCTTAACTGGAGCTGAATGCCACGGCGGAAAACAAATTTTAAAAATATATATACACATAATAGGTAATTAATTCGAAAGAGAGACTAATTAATGCATTTTTAATTTCAAGAATCTCACTTACATTGTTAGATACTAAAATTCGCAGAAATTCGAATATCACTGAATTTCGAAGCCTCCGTGCTTATACTGATCTGAAATTTGAAATAAACGAATTTCAGATAATGCAATTTTTCAAGCGACCTTTCATCTTCAATTATTTTCTGCAAATCGCGTTTCCATTAGACATTTTCAATAAAATTTGAAAGTCACGCGCAAATTGTCCCAAACCCGACCAAATTGGTGTTGTTTGAATGAAAACGACAAACTCAAACACATTGAATTCGTCATTGGCCCTCCAATAAATAACATGATAACAATTTATGGCAATTTTAATATTCTCAACTCCTTCTTTTTTCCCTTTTGTTTAGCAACCAACCCCCCTTGGCAACATTTCAAGAAAAAAAATAGAAGAAGCACGACTGAATGTTGTTTTTTTCGTGTTTGACATATGGTGTGCACTAACAAGAGGCAACCTTTTGCGCTGTTTTGTTTTTCGTACGATTTTGTAAATATTTTTTATGGGCTTGCTTCTCAAAGGCTCCTTGATGTTTTATAAAATCTCGCCGCTCGTCCAGATGCTGTTCTGTCAGTGATTAGCACTAATTGCCACTTACGTATTGACGTCAGAATTCTCTTTTCTTCGGATTTCTAGTTGCAAGAACGAAAAAAAATAATTCAACTGCCGCTTCTCTTTTTTTTTTGCATTGATGAGCTCCTTCGGAGATTACTGTAGCGTCCAAATGTGATCCGTTCAAGACATTTTTCTGGGGAGACCTAAATTCTTTTGAATCTGATTACTGAATATCAAAAAGTCAAGTCAGGTGTTTTGGCGGCACGAATTCAATAAAAAATGCGGAAAATGGAAAATAGTCATTATTCCCTGAATTTGAACTATTCGTGTTGCCGCCCATAAATGTTAGATAAAAGTGATAATAAAACAAAAATTATCCAGGTGAGTACTACCTGAGGCTCATTTACCTATGGACTTACCTAAAAGCGATTTTTAATCGAAATTTCAATTTGTCAATTTTTTTTTAATAATTTTCCCCATCTAATATAAAATGGGAAAATTAATTAATTTTTTTCCAGTTCTATTAAATTAAAATTACAGTAATTTATATTTTTTTCTAATAAAAGAATTCGCCGAATTACCCCCAAATTTCTAGTGCATTTGTACTGGAAATTCCGGTAACCAATTAAGTCTGTAAATTCTCAATTACTCTAGAGATAATTAAGTGAGCCCAAATTTAATTTCCTGAACAAAAAAATCACACAAATCATTTTTCAATAATCCTATTTCCATTCGATTTTTTCATAGTCTGCCTTCAATTTTGAATTTTTGATGAATTTTCGCTTCAATAGATTTCAAAAATGCACCTTTTTTTTTAAATCAAATCAATTGTCGCAAACATCTCGTCACCGATTACTGTAGCTAGAGATCGAGTTAAGACCTTACACCAAACCACAATGCACCTTTAATTCTACCATAACCCTCGCAAACAAAAATTCATTTATTGAATATTGCATGTTGCAAAAAATAATGTTTTATTACCTTTCCGTTGATTTCTGATGTCTAAACACGAATTTGAAAACATCAAACCAATCGGGTGTCGAACACATATACATATTTATATGATATAGTATATAGTATATAGTATATATATATACATACATATTGCGACGAGAATGCAAATGAGCCGGTGCTTCGGAAATGAGTAAACAATCCGAACATTTTTCGATGGTCCCTCAATTTTTTTGATCTTCTGATTGTTTGAAATTCTGAGCTGTTGCCGACATTTCCCCGGATTGTGTGAGTTTTTGGGAAATGTCCGCAGCTAGTAAATGATAACACCTAATTTTTCCCAGTAGGTTTTCTGTGATAATACATATCAGCAAAATTAGTCATATGTTCTCAATTTTTCGAGAAAAATATTTCCTGGCCTCAAGGGTTGCTTTTTTTCAGGTCGAAAGATTTCTAGGTTTTTTCAGTTGGCAAATTTCTAAAAAACCTGTTCTACATGACAATTTCGAATTGCTATTGTCCAAATTGTCTAAATATGTTTCTTCCCTACAAGCATCCCATCTTCGGACATTAATCGGGGCCAAACTTTCTGCAACGAATTAATTAATGCGTGAGGTGAGCACATAATTCATGCTCGCCTATCAATTCGATCCCCGCTGAGCACGGCGAGCACGAAATGATGATGATGATGATGAAGAAGAAGAAAACGTGATGCTCCTTCCAGGAGCCCCTCTCATTATTATTCATAACCACCAAACAAACTAACCGCGTTCGTCATGCATTAAAAAATCTTAACAAAAAATTTTTTTCCTCGCTTTTTCTGCGTGTCTCGAAACCGCTCCGAATGGTTTATGAATGGTCGTGTGCGCGCGGCGGCGGCGGCGTCGACGAGGATGATGGCGGCCACTTGAAATTTTTGCTCTTCTCGGAAAACACTAGAAAAGCCATTTTTTTGGCTGTTGTTGTTGTTGTTTTGTTTTTTCCATCCCCCTTCCTATATCATATGTCGCGTTTCGTTTGAATTCCCAATTATCCGTGTGATTTTTTTTGTGGCAAATTTTCACGGCAACCACGCGCCGTCGCGAGACCTTGCAACCTCAACAATCCTTTAAAAAAAATCGGAAAATTAGCCAACTACCAGAAAATTAAAAAAGAGGTATCGATGCGCGGCGTGCGCCTTTAAAATATCCTTATGCATTGACCCGTAAATCAACAGCCTTTGTTTTTTTTGGCATTTTGCCAATTTTCCGCATTCGCTCGATTTTGACAATTGATGTTTAAAGGGACATGTGCGATTATTTTGAACGGTTTTCGTAACCAAAAAATTGGCGACCCTCCTTTTTACAAAATTTACCGACATTTTGCTTCAAGAGTTTTGTAAAAAAAAAAGGCAACGCTCCTTTAAATTTGGCGTATTCAAAAAATTGCAATAAAATTATTTATTAGGTTTTTTTTTCACAACAAAACAAATAAAAAAACACAGAATTACCGTATTCTATTTAAAGGAGCATTCCTTATTAATTGTTCAAGATTTTAAAGCGAAAACGCAAAATAAACGATAAAATCGATCAAGTTCCATCATTTTGGTCATACGTATACAACATTTTATAATTATGCTATTGCAAAAAAAAAATATTGAAAATCAACAACGGACCATCAAAATTTGCAACACTGCCCCCCCCCCAATATCACAGATTTGACGGGCAATCGGCTTACACATCGAGGCGCTTAATTTTTGATCTACTTTCACAAAATCAACACATTTTGAAGATCGTTCATTTCAAAGTGAATAATTATCGAAAGATATTGAATTACCGCGCGCGTCTGTCAGAATTCATGACGAATTTTCTTTTTTTCATGTTGAGCAAACGGATGCGACAGATAAATGCAATTGTAGGGAGGCTCTTTGATCTACCACAATTTTCGAGACCTCATAGGTTTAACAAGATCTCATTAAGTGAAAAGCTGATTATTCTGAAACACTTAATCCAATACTAAGGATTGAAAATAAAATTGTTAAGCTTTTAATGGAAAAATCCAATTTTTTCAAACAAAAAGAAGATCAACTTAAAAATTTCGACGCTTGAAGAAGCATGATAAAAAGTTTTTAAAGGGGCATTGAATGTTTATGTATAAAATTTAATGTGTAGATTTATTAAAGGCGCACAACCTAACGCATTGCACCAAGACCTCAACTGAAGAAAATAACTTCTCACCAAAAAAATGGATTACATAAATTTTCTAATTTCTCTTATTTACCCAATCTCATCATCATCGTCTGAAACCCCCTCCCCACCCCCTAATTATTTTTGATCTACCCAACAAGTCATCTCAAAAACAATAATTTTTCCAATGCCCGTTCGAACCACCGCCTTCTTTCAAATAATATCAAACGACAAAAAATAATATAATAAAAGAATAAAAAAAACCTTGCGCGTTTCATTTTCAAGCCAACAATGATCATATCTAGCGTATTTCGCGCGACAAACAACCTCGCAACTCGTCGCTTCCTTATTTGTGCATGTGTGTGTTTTTTCTCCACTAATTTCAATTTTTTTCCTCAACACGTCGAAACAGAAAACTTGAGCTTCATTGCGGTCGCTGCTTCTTTTTTATTTGGCCGAGCCCCGCCGCCAAAAGTGCTCATTTCCTTCGGCCCGGGTCACACTTTTCTAATTCCCATCGTGCTCCCCTCTCAAAAAAATATGGGAGGTACGAGCAAACACATTAAATCACCTAACCAAAAAAACGCGCACCCGAGTGCACCATATTATATTAGGAGGGTGCACTTTTTTGGCCACGTCCACTTCTTCATCTCGACCGGGTTGGGCGGTGTCCTGTGTCGGTCTCGAATTTCACGTGTGTTTTTGTCAATACGGTTCGAAACATGAATTTTTCATAATGAGACAAGCAAAATTGTTTCGGAATTTTTCATATGCTAGATCAAAATTTTTGAATTACAATGTTTCTCGGCTCGCCCACGCCTCGCCACCTCATGCGCCTTTAATTCAATCACAAAATTTTCATATTCAAATCAAATTACACCAACTTCCTTATTCGCACCGATTGAATTGCACAGATCTGCAATAAACCGTGACGCAAAAACTTTACTCCAGATTACTCCAAATCTTAAGATTTTGATGGCGTCAACATAATCATCAAGTGGGCGTGACGTGACCTAGGTGATGTTCTAAAAGGGACCATCGAGCGTTTTGCACAACTTTCGCAAGCTCGAGATCTTGCCTAAGGAAACGAAATGCTCATTGGTATTCCGCTACCGCCATTTTTGTTCTATTTTTGAAAAAAAAGAGATGAAGAGACCCTTCGTCGTCTTTTTTTTCTCTTTCTTGTTGATTCGATTCTTCATTTCTGCGCGAGCATCTCGTGTTGTAAATAGAATGAAACCACTCATAAATACGCCGAAAATAAAACTAGAACTAATTTGAATTCACATTTATTTTTGGGAAATTTTATTCAATTTTTTTTTATTCTGCATAATTGTGTATGTTTTGTCATCGGAATTTCAAATCCCAAGACATTTTTCCATAAAACAAACTTCTGGGAACAATATTTGAATATTGAGCTTTTTGGCTAAAAAAAAACAAATCTATTTGGAATTCTCACGAATATCCTAATTTTCAGCATTTTCTGACAATTACAAAAAATTCTATTTGAATGTCGCAACTCGGCGATTTGACGCCAACACTGGCATTTCCACACCAATTCGGCAGGTGTCGTCTAAATTTAAAAACAAGTTGAGCGGCTTGCAAAAAAAAGCGAAATCGAATAAAGCACAAAGCGAACACTGACCGCGTCTAGACCCATAATTTCTGCGGACCCTCTTAAGTGTGCGCATTTGTTGAAACCAATTGAGACGTCACGGGGGGAACCGCCCCATCGTATTTTTTGCTTTCTTGTTGGCCTTTTTGGCCAATGATTTCATTTCATGGTGTTGACTTAAACGTCTCGGATTCCGAATGAGTTGAGTTTCTCTAATTTGCAAAACGCGAGCTTCTGTTGTGATTTGGTCCGAAAATTCTTTAAACTCTTCGGAATGCAATCAATCTTTAAACACTAATACAAATTATTTCCCCTCTTAATATCTCAACAACTTAGGCCACGCCCGAAACCTCTAATTTTCCGATTCTCGACTAGATGACAAATCCCAAATATGGCAAACATCATAATCTACCGTAGGCCGCCTCGCCTACAAATCCGTTTTGCAGCGAGCGAGCCCCAGAAAAAAAAGTTTTATTCGATACATTTTCATTAAATGTTTATTTCCCGAAACGGCTTCGGGCAAATATTTGCCCGAAATTAGGCAATTCGGTTTGTTTCCAAAAAAAAGGACTGAAAGAATCTCAAGAGCGGCACGGAACCCAATTATTTTCCACTAGATTAGTCAGCCGTATTGTCTGCTGTGTGATCATCAAAATCATTGGAGCATGTCGGTCGCTTTCTCATTTTCATAACGATCTTTGACAAATCAAAAAAGGTCCATTAAACTCTGTCACGAGGACCTTCTTCAAGGGCATTTTTGTTTCAATTCAACTTCCTCCCCATCCCCCCCCTCTCCCAATCGTCATTTTTTTCTTATATGCCTTCTCCAATTTTCCTCAAACCTCATTATGTGCTTCAGAAAATGCCTCTCCGCAATCCTCTGTACTTGACACTTCCGGGATCGTCGGGGTCCGCGGCGGTGGCGGCGGCAGGCGCAAGCACAAGCACCGCGTTGCCGCCGCCCGACTCACCGGCGATTCCCGACTCGCTCGAGCATTCGCCAGCAAAAACATCCGACGATGGCTCCGAAATGTCGAGGTCAAGGTTCGTTCGTGTCGTTCAAGAGTACGTTAGCCTCAAAATCTTTCATTTTTTTAATGCCAATTTCGTTGCAAAATAATCGTATTGGAAATATAATGAGTTATTTGATATTTTTGTGAGACCCAACAAACTCCATCCATAATTAAATTACTCCTATTCACATTTGATTCAACTTCCCTTTCCTTCAGCGCTTCATCATCCCCGTCACGCTCACCCAACAAAAAAGTTTCCTGGTCTTTATTCGATCAAGTCTCTCTTTCCGGCGAGGAATTCCTTCTGCCTCGCCGATTCGAGGCAATCGAGCTTCTTCCGAGCGCTTCAGGAGGCAGCCGAAAATCAACATGGTCCGTTAATAGGGATAAAGAGAGTACAGCAATCGATTATTATTTCGTTCAATTCCAGCCAATGCAGCGCCACCGACCTATTGGATCGCGAGAATGTCACAATACGAAAGATTTCGCTGGAAGATCCTGATGTGGCGAGAACCGAATACAGAAATATTATTCTCTGTCGACTATTGCCCCACCCAAATGTAAAATTTCCAAAACCATAACTTGCCAATTTTTATCGAAAAATTTAGATTCTGTCAGTTTCTGAAGCTTATGAGGTCGACTCAAAGCTCTACACAGTCACTGAGCAAATGGACGGTCGGCTCATTGATATTGTTGAGGAGCGACTTACGCATTTCGTCGTCGCCAAAATAACCCATCAGATTCTCGCCGCGATTTCGATGATGCATGAAAGTCGAATAGCGCACGGGGTTAGTTTTTAAAGGAGCATCGGCGAAAACTTCGCCGAGGTCAAAGGTTGAACGATGCATTCAAATGTTTGTTGGCCTAATTAATTGTAATCTGATCGTTTCTTCCGTTTTCGGAAAAAGAAATCTCCAATTCCCAGGAATCCTATTAATTTACATACAAAAACAAAACAAAACGACATATTAAATTGCGTATTTAAAACAAAAAACGAAAATATTTTTCAAGGATTTGAATCTCTCATCGATTTTGGTCAACACCGACGCCGTTCTTAAATTATCGTCCTACGGTAAAAGCGATGATTCGTCGGAATGTCTTGAAGAACGATTTAAAGGCAAAACATCTTTCGGGAGCCTAATTCAAAAAAAATTATTTTAGATGATCTGTTGTCGGTTGGCGCAATTCTATCACGATTTTTGATGCAGGAAGGCGAAATGTTCAAGTTCTCAAAATTCAAAAACCAGAAGGATGTCGCATGGAGAACAGTTCTCGAGGGAAGCGCGGATTCGGGACTTCTTGGTACATAATTTTACAATTTTTCACAAAAATTGTGAAATATTTAGATTTCAACGCACGCTCCCTCCTATTCCAACTATTGGAAGGCCGCCATTCCGCCCGCGAACTCCTTCGCCACCCATATTTGAAATCATTTAGAGCTCCGCAACACCAAAAAGTTGAGCGTAAACACACTGTAGTCGGTCAAAAAACTTCTGATGAGCTCCTAGGTAACACATGTTTTCTTACAAAATTATTGATATCACTTTTCTGCAGATAAGCTTCGGGAAGAACTCCAAAGATTTAATCCATTCAATATGTCCGAAATAATGCTTTGAAGAAAAGAAAAAGCATCGAGTATTTAATTACGAGAATTGTTGAATCTTTAATGTACAGATCATCTAATAAGCATTTTAATATTAATAAACTCTTACGGAATTTAAATTACAAACCGAATCCACCTCGGCATGAAGGACTTGCTTCTTGGCTTTGGCCTTCCCATCTACTAGAAGGTATTGCATCAATGCGAAGCGCATGAACGCCATTCTTTAGTTCTTCAGCAAGACAGTTATTCACAAGACGGTGTCTCTGGAAAATAATTCTCTTCAATTGCTTGTTTCGAAAATAAATCAAATGTCTCACCTCGAGAACGCGAATATTTTCAAAAGCGTCGCTCACAATTTGAACTCGAAAATGTTTTTCCGACCCTTTGGGCACATTATGCAAGTGACTCTCACAAACAACTTCGAGGTGCTTCGGCTGAAAACCGGATACAATACTTATTTCGAGACGACACTTATACCTGAAAGCGTGTGCTTAGTTTTTCTCGAATCAATTTAGCTACTGGGCCCTCTACAGAAGACATCCTTCGCACTGTTGAAAGAATCATAAACCGAACACTTCAAATTACGCTCTTCCATTGTTAGCAAAAAAATGAGATATTTCTCGGGAACGAACTTAAATCCAATGACCTTAGCCTTGTTGCTAACACTGGCATAATCAACCATTTCATTTCGGCAACAATAAACGGACCAAAACAAAACAAAATAAATTTATCGCTTGCGGTGGAAAACGACGGTGTTCTTTCTCTTCCAGTTCTTGGCTTGGGATCCTCCACGAGTTGCAGAGTAGCGCCATCCTTTTCCAAGTCCACGGGACTTGCGTCCAGCGGAGGTGAGGCCTCTCTGTTCACGGTGCTTGTGGACTGGCTTGGTGATCCATTGGGTATCTGGGTTTCTGCGGATAGCCTTGTGGAATGGATCGATGAGGATGACCTCGTAGAACTTGTATGTCGAATCTTCTCCAACCCAGTAAGAGTTGAGAACTCGGAGGGATCCGAGACGACGTCCAGCGCGACCCTGAAAAATTTGAAATACATATAACATCAATCAAGAAATTTTAATAATTTTTTGGACTGATTTTATCTGATTGTCGCAATGTCATGAATCTGTCACACCACCAGGTGAGCAGGGATTATACAAAGCTTTTGGTATTGCCAAAAGTGGATTAAGACAGTACCATAAAAACGGTCCACTTTGCCCAGACACTATGGCATTATTTTTTTTAATTTTAGAAAAAGCATATAGTTGACTAAACATTACCTCAGCAACAGCCTGCTTGGAGCGGGCATTCTTGAGCTCGTTAACTCCATGGGTCTTTGGCTTTCCGTAGGTCTGTCCCTTGGTGACTGGGCGCTTGCGGTTTCCTCTACGGACACGGACGCGGTAGATAACGTAACCTAAACCAGATAAATCAGAAAATTCCATTTGAATATATTTGTAGCGATGTCATGAATCTGTCACACCACTAGGTGAGCAGGGATTATACAAAGCAATTAGTTTTGCCGATAGTGGATTAAGATAGTACCATAAAAACGGCCCACTTTGCCCAGACACTATGGCGCATACTTTTGTTTAACTCCACGAACTCATAGAGCGAAACATGAATATTTATCCAATTTAAGTTAGTAATACTGCAAGATTCGCAAAAAAAATCAACTGAAAAATTCGCGTTTCGTTCGATCAATTTCGAAAATACACTTAAGCATCTAATGTTTAATTTTTAATTGAGAATTTCGAATTTTAAATAAATATTGCGAATAGTTACCTTGCTTGGCTCTGTATCCCAAGCGACGGGCCTTCTCTGGACGAGTCGGACGAGTCACACGGTGGACTGCCGACAATTGTCTGTAGTGCCAGGTCCGGATGCGAAGAAGATAGCGCAAAGCATCGGACTGCTTCTTGCGCCAAATTTCTTGCATATATTTGTATGCACCCATGTTCTACAAAAACTTTGTTTAAAAAATTTAAAAATAACACAAAATAACAAGAAACAAAGATCTAAATAACACAGAAAATTTTGAAATGGTGCATATTTAAATAAATCAATGGAATGAATTGGAAAACTTGCAAAAATTTGCTCATTTTGAGGGAAAAAACGAAAAAAGTCTTTAGGCCAGTGGTAAAATAAAGGGGGTGCAGCGCCTTGCATACACCTCGCATACACTCGCGACGCTCCACAATTGATTACCGTAGTCTGCGCTTGGCAAGTAGCCAACAAGAGAAATTTCTCGTAAATCATGCCAAGCTTTTTATTTTTGTTTTTCTTTCTCTTCGAAACGAAGTTTTAAATGTTTTACTATGTGTATTTCTTTCGTTTGCATTCCATTTTTAATATAAAATTCATTCTTATAAGAATTTGCATTTCTCAGCAGGATAAGCGTAGTACTCTAATTGAATGTCCACCGTTTAAATTAAATGTTGAATTATCGAAAAAAAAATGTGATGGTCTAAAATTATTCAAATTGCTCGGTTTTTGAGAAAGGTAATAGTACAACTAAAATTAAAATTGTTTTTAGAATTTGATATACTTAAAAATAAATCTAACTACGCTTTAAAAGTTTCAAATTTCGCAATAAAATTTTGCGTCATTTTTCTCCGCCCATCACGTGACGTTGTTTTCTCAAATAAATATAGATTCAAATCATTTCTTCATTCTCCCAGACGGAATGCTTTCACGACTAACACTCGCTGCCCCACGCCTTATTCAATTCAACAGCGGATTTCGGCAGTTTACCAATTCCGCCATAAAATGCGCAAGATTCCAAGGACAGGGTTCCGGATTTGGATCAAGATTCTCAAATCCGGCGGGATTCGGTGTTCGCACAGGACCGACGCTGAAAGAGAGACTTCTTGGCCCGACTACTGGTAAACGTAAGTGAAGCTTTTTTCAATTAAAAAATATATGTAAACATTCTTTTTTTTTAGCTTTCCTTTATGGCTCATATGCTCTCGCGGGAGCATCAGTATTTGGAGTTGCTGCTTTAATGTACTATGGACTTATTTCAAAGGAGCAGAGCATTCTTCAGAACAGCACGTAAGTGAGATTGCTTAAATTTGAAAATTATAATTATAATTTTACAGTCTTTGGCCCGAGTATGTTAGACAAAGAATTAGTGCCACATACACATACTTGGCTGGAAGTTTGGTAGTTACTGCCGGATCTGCTGTCGCTGCCACCAGAAGTCCAGCGATCATGCGAATGACTTCTGGAGGAGGTCTTATGGTGATTTTTCGCTGCTAAAATATTTGAAAAGTATTTATTTTCTAGTCACTATTTGGCACGATGGCTGTAATGATTGGTACTGGAATGCTCTGCAGATCTCTTGATTATGACAATACACTTGTCAAACACTGTGCATGGCTTCTCCATTGTGGAGTCCTTGGAGCTGTTCTTGCCCCAATGTGTTATTTGGGAGGCCCACTTCTCATGAGAGCAGCTTGGTACACCGCTGGAATCGCTGGAGGTCTATCGCTTACAGCGATTACTGCTCCATCTGAGAAATTCCTTATGATGTCTGGACCACTAGCCATGGGTCTTGGTGTTGTTTTCATGGCTAACATTGGAACGTTCTTCTTACCAGCTGGATCCGCTCTTGGAGCAAGTAAGAATATTTGTTAATCCTTTAAAATTATTGAAACTTCAATTTTTAAGGTCTTGCGTCCATCGTAATGTATGGTGGTCTTATTCTCTTCTCCGCATTTCTCCTCTATGATACTCAGCGGCTCGTTAAACATGTATGTATTTCAACTTAAAAATAATTATTTTGATGAATTTGATGTAATTAAGGCTGAAATGTACCCACACAAATCGCAATTTTACGGTGCTGAAGTTAAAAGCTATGATCCAATTAATGCGTAAGTTTTTTGCATTTTTAAAAATTTTCTTTTGCAAATTCGGGGGGAAATTATTGAAGTCTTCCAACTTCGCGTGACCTTTGAACGGTGTAACCGGATTTTCGATTGCATTTTCGAATATTTCACAAAAAAAGTTTCTTTACTATTTAAAATACATATTTTAATAATTTCCAAAATTTTAGAATTTTTATAAGCTTTAGAAATAACACATATTTGCATGATAAATTTCTCCCGCGAAATCAAACCCTGAAATTAGTCGCGTTCGGTGTCCGCAATGTCTGACCCCGCCCATTTTCTGTGTGTACCCTAGAGAGAGGCGAGACCCGGAAAGTGTCTGCTGTCTCGCCTGCCCTCGCATATAAGCGCGAGCGCCAAGGTGTGAGTCTGCCCGAATGATCCACGGCGGTCTGTGGTGCAGACTTCAAATCTGTAGGCGGTTAGCCCCGCAGTGGTTCGACTCCACCTTTCGGGTGTGGATGAAGTGATTTTTTACACCAAACTAATTCCATTTATTTTAGGCAAATGTCAATCTACATGGACGTACTCAACATTTTCATTCGATTGGCAATGATCATGAGTGGAAGCAATGGAAACCGAAGAAAGTAGATGCCCGATCGAATGTACATAATAGAAAATGTTTAGAGGAATTCTGTACGGTTCTGTTTAGTAACAAGATTGAATAAATTATTTGGCAATTGGTGTTTTGTTTGGGAAACCAGTAGTCATTGATAAGCAACTGGTATATCCACGAGCGCCTATAAAAGGATAAGATTGTTGGACGGGAGAAGGAAACGGCAATGTCGTCTCGCGTGATCCTTGGGATCGCCACCACTACCACTGGTGTCGCCATCATCGGCGCTTTATTGTTCTCGGTGTCGCTTATTCTGGACATCAACAACTTCCAAGAGGAGATCGGCAGCGATCTTGGAGAGTTTCGCGGATACTATGATGATGCTTGGCGGACAATGATGGTCGCCGAGGGCATGCGAGGAATCAGGAAGGCGCGTGCCGCCGAGTACGCCAATGCTGATGGTGGTGTCGCCGGAAACGGCGGTTCCGCTTCTTCCGGAGGCGGGCAGTGCAGTGAGTTTAAGATATTCACGGAAACGCGTCGAACAGCTTATTGTAGACTGTGGTCCAGCGGCTTCTGGCTGCCCAGCAGGACCACCGGGACCGCCTGGAGAAGACGGAAAGCCTGGAGAGGACGGAACACCGGGACAAGACGGAACCGCCGGAATGACCGGAATGGCGCAGATGGCGATGGAAATGGGTGGCGGAGAGTGCATCAAATGTCCAGAGGGACCACCGGGACCGCCTTACTTATTCCCATCAACTATATTCAATATAATCGTCACTTATATTATAGTAATCTCTAGAAGAAAATATTATATGCGAAATTCGTTTTATGTGCTTTTCGCTTATGATTGTCTAGTGGTATAAATATTTATAGACTTGTCGTTTCGGCCAATCCGTGTCGATTTCGTCACATGATCAATCTTAATCAAATATTGAAGATTTCTCATTCGGTCCCTTCAACATCATGATTGGACAATATTTTTTTATAGCAAGAAAATCTAAATTAAAAAAATTGTGCTCTTTGACAATATTATGACTCAATTAAACAAAACCCAAGGCGGCAATTCAAATGATAATTAAATGGAGGCCCATGACGATAAATAATAATAAAACATTATTTCAGACAATTTTAATAGAAAATTTCGATTTATTCTACACCCGACCGATCATTTACATTTTGTTTTTATGCGATTTAGCGAGACCTTATTTATTTTCGCCGAGGTTCATCTCACATTTTGGCTATTCATTTTACAATTATACAAGGGCTGCAAAATCTTTTATACAAATCGCAATTGTCATCAATCGACTGACTTGCGTCTATCATCCAACCACCTATCGTCAGATTTGGAAAAAAGGGCTGCCATTTACAATTATGGCAATTGTTATCCTACCGTTTGGGGTTATTTGGAATACCATGATCTCGCGGGTATTCGTAACCACATTGTATGGCGGCATGTTTCTCGCGTACCTTAGACGGGTCTCTTGGGTAGCTCAACGATAACTTCAATTTCTGAGAGTATCGAATGTTCTTCAAGGTGAGCCTCTCCATGCTCAATCTTCTTCATACATCAATCGCGTTGGTGTGCACCATTATCTGCACTACACTGCAAATCGCCAAAATGATACAGCTTCCGGAGAGAATTGTGAAGAGCGAGCGATCATTGACAATCGCTTCGATCTTGGTCTCGATTGGAATTCTAAGCGCCACATTATTTCAGGTGGTAGCCGAAAATGAGAATCAAAACGGTTTTTGAGAATTTAGCTCTTCTTTTTAATTTTGGCCTATGAAGACGTCGACTTTTTCATAGCCATTCAATTTTTTAGTTATGACTTCTTAAATGTCACGTGAGTGATTCTAATAATACCCTAATACTATTATTATTATGCAGAACATCAATTATTATTGTCTGGTACAGCTCCCACCTTCGAAATGACATATTTGCGTTAATCACTTGCCACGGAAACCGCATATTTTCCATAGTTCAAAGATAACAAAGAAGGATATAATCCATTTTAGAATGTTGAAGAAATCTCGATTTCGTGCCAAAATTCTTAAAGAAGCTTACAAATGGTTTTCTTTAATTTAAATAATGCGAACTTGAAACTTAAAAATTAAATTGTGAGGCCTGCGGCCCGCCTTTGTTTTAATCAGGGTTGGTAAATTGAAGCCGGGGCCGAAAGCCGGCCGGGCCCAAAATTTAACAACCCTGGTTTTAATCGTCACGAACTCTAAATTCAAAAGCACCCGCAAATTTTCATATTGAATAATTTAAAAGTAAACGGAATTTGAAAATTGCGCAAAAGTTTGCGTATCACGGAAAATGTCCGCAGATGTTTAAAAAGGGCACTCCCCAAATTGATATACCTGGATTATGAGTGGAAAATTATTGAAAGGCACACAATATTATCACCATACAAACCAACGAGCATCATGAATAATTGTGGACCATCACACTTTTTCGAAGCGATAATTCAAATTCGAATTTTAACAGTAGGAACCTCCAATGAATTTAAACAGTGAAATTTACTTGAAAATCGTCAAGCAACAAGGATTGACAATTTTTGAACTCTTATTACAACATTCGCAAAATCTTTCAATTTAGTTGTCTGCTATTTTGTCTAAAACGGAACTTAGGGCAATAATTGCGTTTTCTGTTTTCCTTCAAATTTTTCACCTGTACGGGAAATAATACGTCATTATTTATGTTACAAATATTACATATAAATATATATAATAGTAATAATCACAAGAAAAAGTAATCGCAAATTTTGTCCTCACTAATTTAATTTTTCAAAATATTCGTTTTTTTTTAATTTCCAGCCTAATCCGTATATTAATATTTGCTTGGCATTTACTTTTCAATTATCACATGTCTACCCATAACGCATAAATATTATATAATTCATTCTTTCACCAAAAATGTTCAACTTGAAGGTTTCTTTCTGACATGACCATCGTTGAATACGATTCAAGCGATATTCCGTTTGAATGCAACAAATCATATGACGCCAGAATCGAGTTCGTCAAATATCTCGCGCAAGCTTCTTACATGTTTCCTGGAGCGATTTTCATTTTCTACGTCTTCTGGATTATTCTATTCAAATATCGAAAATATTATTGCACTAATTCATTCTACGTGATTTATTCGATTAATTGTTTTATTGTAAGTCAATTTGGAAAGAAACTTAAAGTCGAAAAAAAATGCACAATTATCAGAGTGGATATCTCCTCTTAACTGACGTGTTATTTACCAGATCTACTATTTATATTCTTCCACTTTGTGATCTATTAATACCATACTTGTACAGTCCACGATTTATCACAAGCTTCATCTATACTGGCACCAGTTACTGTAGAGCAGCATTGTCTGTCGTTCAATCGCTAATCGTCATAAATCGTCTAAGTTGTGTGGCAATCCCATTCTCATATTCAAAAGTGAGTCGAGCTTAAATATTTTGAAATACGCGAAAAAAGGGATTTTCAGATCTGGAAAAAACTGATACCATTCTCAATTGCGCTAATATTCATTTTACCATTTGCCGTCGTTTGGAACCTTTTGATCTCTAGAGTTTTTGTAATTCCATTATTCGGTGGAATGGTGCCGTTGTACGCAAGAAGGGTCTCATGGGTAGTGAATTTTTTTTAATTGAAAAAAAAACGATTTAAGGCATCTCTATCATTATTTCAAACTACGCTAGTCTTAATTGCCCTTGTTATAACTACAGTATGCACAACGGCAACAGTAATAAAGATGGGAAATCTTCCAGTAAGACTCAAGAGTAGCGAACGGTCACTTTGTATAGCAACAATTGTGACTTCTATAGGATTTTGTAGCGCAGCAGCATTTCAGGTATCAAATAATGTGTGAAATCGAAATTTCGAATTGCTAAATTTGCAACGGGCGAAGCGCGCTGTTAGGCGGCCGAGTATCGTAAGCGTTGCGTATGCGTTGCGGTCGGTATCGGTTTTTCAAAAAATTGCATAGAAAAGCAAAAAAAATTGTTTAAAAATTAACCACGGGGTTTCTTTTAATGATTTTTATAAAATATAAAATAGATCAGAGATGGGTAATTTTTGCCAAAATTTGCCTAGCATGGTTTTAATTATAAAAAAAAGCCTAATTTGAAACATTTGACGTCTTCAATTTTCAGTTTTACTTTGCATTTTTCCGCACTGACAGCGATTTCATCTACGCGATTCAATTTCTCAGCTATGATTATGTGACAGTCTCGTAAGACATTTTCATCTCATCGCTTCAAAACAAAATCGTCTCGATTCAGTCCATTTGAAATAAAAAAAAACTATTTATTTTTCCGGCCATTAAGCGGCAATCATAGCGAATGTTTTTATAAGAACACAGAACAAATTCGATTGCACGTTTATTTCATTTTTCGTTTTGCAGGTGAAACATTTCGTTTATTTCACGAACTAGTCTGGTCTGGTTGAATTTCGTGATTATCAGCAATCAATTTGACTTATTATTCTTGACCATTGAAACTTTTCAATTTCTCATTAAAATTAAATGGTAATTATGAGAGAAAAAACGCGAAACCAAAACAATTATTGGTTTTCACTATGAGCTGAGAACTTTTTTGAAAACATTCAATTTGTGCATTTTCTTTCGAACAATTCCTTTTTTCCAGATATTCTCTTCTATTTAATACTTCATACTAAATAAGAGCTGTACGAAATTTGATTTGGTTCCATTTTCAGTGTATTCGAACGTTTTTAAAAAATTTTTGGTACAATTGCGAAATAACGAGCAAAAATTCCGATCTTATTTTCGAATTTCGGAAAAATTTGCTCGATGATCTCGGCTAAGAAAATTATCAGACATTCGTCTTTTTTCTCTTATTTCGCCCATTTTCGGAAATTTTTATCTTCAATTCTGAAGCTTATACAACTGAATTTCGTATTCCGGTACTTTTTACTATTCCATTTTTTTCTAAATTTCGATTCGGAGAGGCGGTGAGATGTTTCGTGGCCCAACAAAACGTGGTGCGCCACATATTTAACTCAAATATACATCACAAATGTTCTACGACTGTCTAGTCTATGAAGTATTGTGCACAATCGAGAGAACATGCGGGGTCCCAGACATATGGTCTATTAATCAAGAATTTCGAGCTATTTTTAAGAAACATCCACATTAATTTTGTCATTCCTTAGTATTTCAAAAATTAAACATCATAATTCCATCAGCTAAAGTTGTGAAAGAAATCGAATTTGATGTATCATAGGCAATCTAATTGGAATGTTGTTTTCAGCAAAAAAAAAACATCATTACGAGTTTAAAGAATTCAATAACTGTACTATGCAAACTGCAATTAAAAACGCGGCTAGATTTTTCGGTCTACAGTACCACAGCTATTTTAAAAATAAAATCGCTGCAGTAATCAAGGAAGTTTTATCGTATGCACCTTTAACAGTAACGATTTACTGTAGGCTTCGAAAAACCAGACCGCCTTTTTCAAAAAACGTTTTTTTTATCCTCGGCAAACAAGTTCGGTGTCGAAAAATTGCCCACGAATATCGGAGATCAGTTTTCAGAGCCCCCCTCTCTGCTATGGTAATAAATCCTTACGATTCAAGTGAAATCCCGTTTGAATGCAACACATCGTATGATACTGGAATCGAGTTGGCCAAATATGGCGCACAGGCACTCTATATTTTCCCAGGGACCATTTTCAATTTCTACGTCTGCTGGATAATTCTAATAAGGCATCGCAAGCATTATTCGTCAAAAGCGTTCTACGTGATCTATGCGATAAACTGCTTTTTGGTTAGAAATTTCGCTGAAATACAAGTGATTCGTGCAAACTCGAATTGTTTCAGTGCGGTTTCATGCTAATTTCTGGCGGCGTGTTTCAACGCCCAATGATGTACATAATTCCGCTGTGCGATTTCATGCGTCCCTATTTGTATGGTCCCAATGTCTTTTCATGGTTCTTCTACACATTCGGTTGCTATGGAAGGGCGGGCTTCTGCGTCAATCAAATATTCCTAGTTGTCAACAGATTTACTTGTTTATATGTTCCATTCGGCCACGAGCGAGTAAGTTCACGATCAAACATCAACCGGCGAAGCAATAATATTTCACCAGATGTGGAGAAAAGTGCTACCGATTATTGTCACATTGTCAATTATTCTCCCATTCGGAGTTGTCTGGAATCTAATGATATCTCGAGTATACTGGATGAGTGCATTTGGAGGCGCATCAATGAACTACAAACGACGAATTTCCTGGGTACCACGATGGAAATAAATCAACAAATCTCATATTTTTAGGCATCCTTATCGTTATTTCAAACAATTTATTTAATTATTTCACTTGTTATAACAGTGGTATGCACGGTGGCTACTATAATAAAAATGATTCATCTACCAGTGAGGCTGAAAAATAGCGAAAGATCCCTTTGTATAACGACAATTGTGACTTCAATCGGATTCTGTAGTGCTGCTGCATTTCAGGTGAAGCAGGATTGATTATAAATAACATGAATTAGCAAATTTTAGTTTTACTATGCTTTTATACGCACTGAAAAAAGTAGCATCATTTTCGCGATTCAATTCTTCAGCTACGACTATCTAGCAGTCTCGTAAGACTTTCTACCATATGACAATATCGAAAAAATTGGTCTTCTACAGGAACCCGGCCATACTATACATAAATTGCTCGTCACTTCGGAATCAGATCAACACGTCGAAAACCGTCGAAATCTCGCCAGTACCACACGCAACAACCCACTAAAAATCGTATTTTAATAAATTTTCTATTTATATATGTACAGGGTGGCTGAAAATTAATCGGACTAAAATTTCGAGCCTTCGTGAGGCGCACTGGCGCTTTTTCAGCACAATCTATTTTAATTTTTTTAACTAGCAATGTTTTTTTTACTATCTCTCAAATTTTCATGATAATTGGTTCGGTTTTAGCAAAATGGCGAAGCAAAATGCAAACCGACCCGCAATTATCGCATTGCACAAGTCTGGAATAGGCACGTATGCAATTTGGAAGCATCTGGGAATTCCGAAAAGCACCGTCTACGATGCGATTTCTTGTTTCAAGGATCTTCGCACAACCCAGGACCTTGCAGGCAGAGGAAGAAAAAACTACGGTGACGACTTCTTCGAACGTTAAGATCGTCCGAGACAGAATCAGACGAAATGCTCATCAGAGCATCAGAAAAATGGCTTCCGCTCTGAATATGTCACGAGCTTCAATGACAACCATTGTCAAAATGAAGCTTAGGTTGACTTCTTATTGTGTCAGAAAAGCGGCCATCCTTTCTCAATCCAACAAGCTCAAACGGCACCAAAAGGCAAAACTCCTTTTGGCGAGCGCGCGGGTTGGGGAACATCTGTCGATGGTCTTTTCGGACGGGAAGCTGTTCACCGTGGAGACCGAATTCAATTCGCAAAAGCATCGAGTGCTTGCCCGAACGTCCGAGGAAGCTTCAGAACTCGGCCGGACTATTCATCGTACGTCGCACCCCGTCAGCGTCATGGTCTTCGGTGCCATCTGCTCCAATGGCAAATGTCCTCTGATTTTCGTGAAAAATGGTGTCAAAATCGACAAGGACTGCTATGTCAATGAGATCCTGAAGAAGAACTTGCTTCGTTGGACCCAAAAACACTTTGGTGGACAACGATGGGTGTTCCAGCAGGACGGGACGCCAGCTCATACTGCAAAGTTTACGCAGGAGTGGTGCGCCAACAATTTCCCCTCTTTCATCAAGTCAACAGAATAGACCGCCTCGTCTCATGACCATAATCTATTTATGTTTTGTTATTGTAAAAATAAGCTAAATACGAAATTTGAGTGTGTTTGAACAATTATTCACTGAAATACATTGGTTTTCATATAGTCCGGGTAATTTTCAGCCACCCTGTATATAATTACGGAATGGAAACTTTTTTTCTGAAAATGTACTCTAGTTTCGATTTTTTTTTGTTACCAGAACAAAAAGAAACATTTCACTTAAAAATTCAAATCTAAAGGCGAACGGATCCCATTCGTGGTGGACCGTCCGAAGAGATTTTGCGCGTCGTCATCAATCCACTACAAATTTCCAATTACAAAAAAAATTCGTCTTTAAAGTGACTAATGTTGGTCGAAAACTGTTAATTAAAAATTAAGTAATTAAAAAAATAGACTGAAATCCATAGAAATGAGTTATTCATTCGGCAATGAAAAACTCTCTCGGGACACAAAGGAACAAAATTCACATAGAATGTTTTTCACGGCTAATTTCTCAATATTAATCAGATACATTCCGATGATTCGGTCTATTTTTCAACTTTCTCACAAGTTTCTATTTTGATCTACTTCAGAAACAAAACAAATATTTTTGCCAGGTGTTACTTTCAATTAGAAAAAGGCAAAGGGCAAGTCGAATGATGTGGTTTTTTATTACATTCTTATAGTTTTTTCTTTCAATATTCAAGATGGTCTGGAACGAATACAACGACAGCGATATCCTATTCTCCTGCAATAAATCTTACAACAGCAATGTCGAACTCAATAAATATATCCTGCAGGCGATCTACTTATTCCCAATGTCCATTTTGAATTTCTTCATTTTCTACACTATAATGATACGTAATCGAGCGCAATATTCGTCGAACTCATTTTTCATTCTCTATGGAATCAATTGTTTCCTAGTGAGTCTTTAGAATTCGCATCAAAACCTTATCAACAAATTTTCAAGTGCGGATTCCTTCAACTCCAAGACGCGATTATTACTCGACCATTTATTTACGTGATGATGCTTTGCGACATTTTTCACCAATATTTCTACTCGCCTCGATTCTTGTCGACGTTCAATTTTATCACTGTCAGTTATGGTAGAGTTGCGGTCACTATAACACACGGAATCACTGTGTTCAACCGGCTTTCGTGTGTCTACTACCCGATAACTTATGAAAAAGTATAGCGGACATAATCGAAAAAAAAAAGAGCGAAACATTTAGAACTGGAACAGAGCACTTCCCTATTTGATCATTTTTATATTTCTCTCACCTCTTCTCGTTGTCTGGAATCTATTCATCTCGAGAATCTACGTATCTCCAGTATTTGGAGGATTCTCACCAAATTATATGAGAAGAGTCTCTTGGGTTTGTGGCATTTTGCCAATCAAATAAATTAATTATTTAGCTAATAATATTCAGGCTGGTGTTTCCCTATTCCAAACGATATTGTTACTAATTTCCATTGCAATTGACATAGTGGGAACAATTGGAACCATTATAAAATTATCATTGATGTCTGTGAGAATGAAAAAAAGCGAGCGAGCATTATACGTTACTTCCATTGTTACCTCGATTGGATTTTGTTGTGCAGCAATGTTTCAAGTAAAATTCTAATAGAAATAAAAATATAAATAAATCTTCAAAATGTTTAGTACTATTTCGCTACAAGTCATACATTGGACACAAGCTCACTGTACGCCCTTAATTTCATATGCTATGACTACATTTTTGCGTCGTAAGAGAATTAAAAAATACCGCGATGTCGATATTCAAATTTCAGCACCCCTTTGATCCTTCTTTACAATAGCCGCGAGCTTCGTAGTCACGTCTTCCGCCTCAGAAAATTGTCGTCAAATGGGACCGTCTTCACAGTTCGCACGTCGAATGGTCCTAGGCGCAGCATTCTGAAATAATTATGAACACATTCATATTCACGTAATAGCAATTGCCAACTTTAATATTATGAAGATTTTTTTCTGTGTGCTTTCAAACATCTAGTCTTCTTTACTAGACAAATTTTCCCAATTTTTTGGAAATAGCTAATGTGAATCAACGGAAGTGCCACTGAGCAACGCGACATTCAAACGAATCGTTTAAGAAAATACAAAAAATTGACAAAAAATGAAAATTCCATAATTTCTCCCGCAAGAATCCATTTCGTGAATTGTCGAGATTTTCAAAATTAATTTTTGAAAATATTGTGGCCTAGTTATCAATGGAGCGCACTAACACCAAAGCAACCACATCCAACTTTTATTTGTTTTGAAATCGCTTTCATTTTAAAGAAAAATTAAATATAACATAGTTTTAGGATGTCAGCCATTCTCCAGTATGATCGGGTAACCTATAAATGCAATTGTGGAATCTGGAAACCGCTTCCGTCGTTGTATTTTTGCCGAAATTGTTTCAAGTTCAAGTAATGATTATCTATTGGATAAATATGTTCAACATCATTTAGATGTGACGAGTGTGGAATGAAAGAAATTGATTTACTCTTCTGCCCAAGATGTCTAGAAGTTTCTAGTGTTCCCGATTCCAGAATGAAGAAAAATCGATGTTTCAATTGCAACGACTGTCCGCTATGTGGTAATATCGAATATTTATTGACTAATTCATTATTTTAAATTCTAGAAAACGTTTTGAGTGCAAGAACATGTGATGAGAAATTTTACTTGATTTGCCAATATTGTCAATGGTCAACGAGAGAAGCAGGAGTTGAAGATCGGGAAAATATTAAAAAATGGCCGATGTGAGTGAAACTTCCAAAATTGGAATAAAATGTTTCAATTTTAGTCATGAAAACCCGAGATCTGACTTTTTCCATGAAGTAGTCTCCTACATGAAACGTCTAGAGGTTATCGAAAATGCCCCGAAAGAGCTGAAATCGCGAAAAGCTAGTAAAACCTGGTCGGCGCTTCACCTTAAAGACAAATTCGGCCTTCAAAAGATGGTTGAAAAGCGACGAAAAATGTTGGCCCCAGAAACGAAGCCAATGGATCCTCATGCTCCTGAAGATCCTCCAACACTTGAGGACGAATTCAATCCTCTAGATTTTCGAAGTTTGGATGAACTGATTTCGCAACCATTAGCAAATCAGTCGGATGCTTTGTTGCCGGCTAGGGTCGCTCTTCAAGCAAGGACTTTAGTTAGGTAGGATTTTTAAATTTCAAAGATTATACATATAAATAAATACCAATTTTCAGATGCGATGAATGCGAACGAACGTTGATCAAACGCGATTTCGGAGCTTCTTCGTACAAATTTAAGATTTCTGTAAATTTTTCAGACTAAACTATAATTATAATTCAATATATTTTAGACTTTTGCTCGAGAATTCGCACCTGACGTGCGATTGTCTCGTCCAGTTGAACTCTCGCCAGGAAAACAGTCTCATGTCCTTCTTTCAATTACAAATCATTCAATATCGCCATTAAACTTAACAATAATTCCATTATCTGAAGAAGGACTCATTAAATGTGAAATGAAGCCGCTGGAACTTACCTTACCATCGACGAAGGATGCGAATACACCACCTAAAGGGGTTCCTGCTGAGCGAAGGTAATTTTTTCCGTGGATTAATACCAATTATTTCAATATTATAGTGACATCATCGTTTTCCGACAGCATAATCGAGTAGGCCTTCAATTCGAGGTTGTTCCAGCCAACGAATCTGATCGATTCCTTGGCTTCCACATCAAGTACACCCAAAATGGCGCATTCGAGCAACAAACGCTTTCCGACGCGGATTCTTCGCAGAAACACGCTGACAAACCACTAGAAGTGTTCCTAAAAATTGCTTTAATCTAAATTAGCTAATTTATTATTACGGTTGTTTGCTTGTTAATATCACATTTTTATTTTATTCTAGTTATTCCAACAAAAAGAAAAAACAACAAATTCAACAAATTGATTGATCAGAAATCGATATTGCAAGGCTTAGAAGATGGCGAAGGCTCATCCAAAGCTGGTGGAAGATGCATTATGCGAATTTGAAAACCTGATTATAAATTTTCGGTCAATTTTTGCAAATTTATAGTAACCTTTTCGAGATTGCGCTTCAAAGATAAGGTCCATAATTGGTGGGCAATGCATTCCAAGCGCAGCCAACCTCGGCAATGATTTCAGGCGGAAATAACCGTGAACTGTGCCCATTCCGCGAAACGTCTTCTTCTCTTCTTCATTGAAACATTCTAGCTGAACGTTTACATCTGCACAGTTCTCGATTACTCGGAAAATTGATTCGTTTGTGGAGTATGAGTTAGTGGTAATGTACGCAATCGCATAGCTCGATCGTAAAAGTGCCCTCAAGAATACCAAAAATCTTCCCATATTTTCTCGATCCTCCCAAAGAATCGAATCAATGTTTTGGATGACAATTCTCAACAGATTCTTTTTTGGACCACCTGAGATTGTTTCAAACGATATATGATGGCTTAAAATTGCTTTTTTGTACCTCGACCTCCACCTTTTGTATGAGTTTCTTGATCACGAATGGTTTTTTCAATTTTTTCGTAAAGTTTTTTGAATGAAAACTCGGTAAAAACCTGAAATTTAACTGATATCTAATTTAATAAGTATTAGAATTCTACTTCAGCATCCACATCCTTTAAAAAATTCGAAAAATCGTATGTCGCCTCTTGCTTCGAGCTTGACCCCAGCGCTGAGTCAACTTTCGCCACTTTATCGTACCTCCAAGCAATACTCATTTCCTCATTTTCAACTTTTCGCTCCGGAAATCCTATTTTATAAAATATATGTTTAAATAAACTATTGAAAATACCTGTCGGCTTTTCGTCAACGATTTTTCTAGAGGGAATTTCGCTCAGAATACCAGTTTTTGGGTCCGCATTTGGGTCAACGATGAGGATTTTATGGTTGTAATGGACTCCTTCGGCGACAAAATATTTCACGAGGAATGAAGCGTAATGACGTGATCTTGGCTCATCTAACAACAATTTGAATAATAAAAAGGGCAATTTCCGATACCGATTAACACAATACTCGAGTTTGTCAAAGCTCCTCCACAGACAGTGTCAAAAGCATTGCATCCGCTGGAAGTTTCCAGAATCCTCTTCTTCGTCGAGCAACCATTAATCTGAACCGTATCACCAACCGTTAGCATTTTTCTAAACTCATACATTTTTCTCCGAAATGGTAACTTCAACAAATATCAATTGAATTCAACACAACCAAAAGTTTTGAAATAATTCCATGATATTCTAAACATTGAACTATTTATTCTCTATTTTTAATAGAAACTATCTAAAAAATTAACCCGCGGTGTCTTAAAATCCACAGACATCAATTAAACAACTCCAATCTTCTTGCGGTCATCTCCACTGAGCTGCAGCTCTCTTCGAATTGCCTCACGAGCTTCCATTTCTTCACGGCGGCCCATGACAACTTGTGATTTGACGGCCACAAACGCTCCGAATCCAACGCAGATTATTACCATATAAGCGAGCCAGGTGTATCTGTGATCTTTGTCGAGGTTGTGCTTGCTGACAAGTTCCGAGCGATATGCCCATTGTTGGCGTTGTCCATCGATCACAATTTCTCGGACCTTCTTTGAACTGTTCAGACGAATTCGTTCCTCAATCAAATCCATATTTCTACAAAAGTTTTATATTAATTTATTGAAATTGCACGGAAGTTCCTTACGTGATATCTCTTTGATCTTTATCTCGATGCAAATTAGGATTTCTTTCCACGGATGATGTGAATCTCGCAGAGATCCTCTGTGTGATTTTTTTTCGTGCCAATTGTAAGAGCATTGCCTGGAATAATCGAAAATGAGCCAAAATTTAAAAAAAGCACATGAAAACCGTTTGCTAATCTTTGATGGAAGAGAAAAATTAGTTTATTTTCTAGTCCACGTCCATCGCGAAATTTTGAAAAAAAAATTTGAAGAAAATCAAAATAATTCAATTTGATCGTGAAAACAGTACAATTTTGAGAATAATGTAAAAAATGTTGGTAATAATTTATTAACTCTCTTTCGATATGTACAAATTCAAAATAAATTAAACAAAAATAGACTAATGGAAGCGATCATCAATCGTCGTTGAATATCCGAAGAATGTCGCCGCCAATGGTCTTTCCTCAATAATATCCGAGTGATCATTAATGAATTCGGAGAATGTGAAATCGCTGCCCGCAATTCGGCCAAGATTTCTCTGGGAAAATGATTCGAGCTGCTCGAACAGCGCCAAAACCAGGATGTGAACTCCAACTGGCCTGTCTGACGAGTCTGGAGTTTGATATGGAACGGCAGACTTAGTTTTTCTGTGAATTTCGAGTTGGCCGTCGTTGGCGGCGATATTGGCAACCAGCCAGTTCACATTCATCGAAGTGACATCATTAAAATGTTAAGATTATGACAATTTTTAAATAATTTCTCACCAACTAGGATAATTGTGTAAAGTCTATCGTCCTTCAACTCGACTCCAGCGGTCATTACAGGCGGGTCGGCAATCAGGTCTAATTGGCTAGCATCAAATAGCTGTCCCATTGAAATTTTCTCATTTCCAAAAGTAGCGAGAAGTTCGGTTTTCGGTGCAAGCGGCAAGAACTTTGGAACAATTTTGTTCTCGCGGAACGCTAAAAATTAATCAATTATGCCCATATTGCTAACTGTTAGCTTACTACTCTCGGGTTCCTTATAAGTCAAAGTTCTGTTCGGTTTACAGCACAATTTCAAGTTGACGTCCGTCATGCTTCCCATGCATTTATAACCACGCGGACAACTTCCTTCAACGCTCGAGCCGCAAGAGATCAACAGTGTATCGTAATATTTTGGACAGCCTGTGACAAATAGTTCAAGAATTATTTATTTTATTATGGGTCTTACTCGGAATTTCAGCTTCTTTCTTGTCCTCACAGCACACATATTTAAGAGCTCTCAATGAGTATTGACATACAGGATTTCTACCGGATGGACAGTTCTGAAAATTGATTTTCATCATTTTTTCTTAAACACATTATTAACATGATGGTCTGGATGGCATTCAATAGGTCTTGAAGGAGATTGAAGGGTGGCTTTGCTCATTTGTGGGATTTGCCATGGTCTCACACAGTCCGATACTGACCAGCTATTAACCATAGAAGATTCTGAAAGGAACATTTGAAATTAATAATTCAAATGTTAATAAAACCTGTCCTCCTCTTCGCATTGGCACCGATCACCACTAGGAGAAGCGAATAAGTGAAGCTCAGAAGCATGATATCAATGTGGCAAAATGTTACATTTCGGCATATTATATACGGATCGCTTAATCCACCGCGAGACACACCTTGATTAGCAAATATTGTTGTTGTGCGAAATGCGGAAAATAAACAATGCCCAAACGTGGAAAAAACGTCGACAAAATTTTTGACAGCAGATTCGCATTGAATATACAGTACCGCAATTATTTTTTTTCCGGAAACGCTCGATAATGATCAATAACGTTCGTTGAAGAGAAGAAAGTGTTCCTGAAAAATTAATACAAAATAGATATGAACTTCTTAAACTCATTTAGCGAAACAGGGGTTTTCCTCAGTTTTGGCGAAATAGGCAGGTTGCGCTGTTTCGCCGTTCCGATAAAAACAACAAATTTTTTTATTTCATTGTTTCTTCCAAAATTTTTCATTGTTTCACCGAAAAAGAAAAAAACCCCTATTTCACCAGATGAATTCGGCAAAAAACGAAAAAAAATTTCTGTGCTTTTTCGTCACGGTGTTACTGACAAATTTAATATTTACAGTAATTCCTTGAAAATAATTTTAGCCTGAAAATGAAATTCTCTTATTATTTTGATGCTACATTGAGTTTTACGGTTCTATTTCAATAAATCTCTCTTCAATATTAAATTTTCCCGGTTTTCACACAACCTCGATGTTAACAATGCCCCTTTTCAAAGTGCTAAGCAATTTTATTCACTAGGGATAACATTTTCCTTCACATTTCATTGAAAATGCAACAATTCTTACATTTAGAAGAGTCAAATCGATGCGACGAGCTTTAGCTGAACACCGAGGGACCATTGAGAATGAGGAGGGCGCAGAGGCGAGGAGCATGAGCATTCGTACAACTCCACCGCGTATGCATTGTTTTGCCGAAAATTCTCATTTCTTCTCGTTTTAATTGTGTAGGTTTTTACTAATAAATCACTGAATTGTGTCGAATTTTCAGATTAAATGACATTTTCGTCGGTTAAATACACGGCGTTAAGTCAAAACGACCCCGACGAAGAGGATTTAATGGAAGAGGACGATGGAAAAATCGATTTTGGCAATCCGAATGAGTCAATTATGGAATACGGAACCCCCGAGGGCACTTTTGAGTCAGCGTTCACTTATGCACCGTACAATGATATTGATAAAATGGGCTACGAAGCCCCAAAAAGGTAAAATTCTTGATGAAATTGAATTTTTTTCAATTATTCTTCAGACACGGCTTAATGTTTGGCAGTCGCTATGGAAATTTCACTTATAGTCGAGATTATGCAATTGATAGTGAGGAACGAGTAAGGAAAAGCTTGAACGATTTCAGACAAAAACAATCAAGTTATAGATTTCGCCACTAAACTCTATCGAATTGGCGATTTACGCTGTCTCCCTGCTTCTTGTCATTTTTACAATGCCGATTTCTCTTCTGTTCGCGCTGAAGGTTAAATACGCATTCCGAAAATACTAATTATTCGCCTAATTTAGTTCGTTGGGTCTAGCGAAAAGCTGGTTGTTCTACGATTGGGTCGGGCGCAGAAGACGCGAGGTCCCGGCGTTTCGCTAATTGTACCCTGCATCGACAAAACCCATCGCGTGACGACGTCGATAACCGCTTTCAATGTGCCACCAATGCAGGTAGACTTCAATGAAAAACGTCGAACATTATTTTTGAATGGTTTGATATTAAAATTTGAATTCCTTACAGGTAATCACAACGGATCGCGGGCTGGTCGAGCTCGGCGCCACCGTATTCCTCAAGATTCGCGATCCGATCGCCGCGGTTTGCGGCGTGCAGGACAGGAATTCATCGGTGCGCACACTCTCAAACACGATGCTTTATAGATATATATCAAAGAAGCGGATTTGTGAAGTGACGAATAGCCAGGATCGACGGATGATCTCCGCTAACCTTAAGGTAGACTAAAGGGATTAAACACGAATTCTCGAATTTAATCTTCTAGGATGAATTGGGATCGTTCACATGCCAATTCGGAGTTGAGATCACAGATGTGCAAATCAGCGATGTGAAAATTGTGAAGGAAGGTGAAAATATGGGCCTATCTGCAATTAACACTGTCGTCAAATCGGATGCTGGCCAGCAATTGTGGCAGGTTCGAGAAAGAGAACCCTACAAAACGCCGACGAAACTTACGATTTCAGGTCATTGGGCCGACTTTCGAAGAATTCGCTAAAGAATGTATGAGTGAAACGAAAAAGGAGACAAATGATGGTCCACTGGTTGATCTATCTGACGGACAAGGTCCGTCGACCTCTTCTCAAGCTCCCGCTATTGATATCGATCATCTGATAACCGTGGCGAATTTGGCGATCGATGAGCACCTCACTCGACTAATCTCAAAGGTCTTTCAAATCAACTTCGTTGACGCCGACGACAATATCGTGATCGATTTGAAACACGGCGAGGGAAGCGCTTCTCGCGGACACGCCCCGAATCCGGATGTGACATTCGAGACAAAATTGGAAGTTTTTGCGCGCATCGCGCAAAAATCCATTTCGCCTGTCACTGCTTATATGAACGGCAGTTTGAAGGTGAAAGGCAGCATTCAAGACGCGATGCTGTTGAAACATCTTATCGAGCGTATGAGCGACTGGATTTAATATATTTATCGCTTTTTTCTTCCTATTTATCGTCATATTTTCTCGCATTTTCTCATTATTTTCGGGTTGCTCATTATTGCCAAATAATAAAATACGTCTCGTCGTATTGTTTATTCCACGTCCCATCGAAAACCCTGCAAAAAGAGCTAAAAAAACCATGGATTTTGAATTCTGGAGTAAAGGCGCATGGAATTGCGGCGAGCGAGGGTCTCGCACGGAATGACTAATCGAAATTACACGTGTGTGGCCAGCGAGAGAGTGAAGACATTGCCTCTCGTTCGTCGCCGTTTCTCTTCGTTCTTCATGCATTTTTCACATCTAACATATAATCTGCATAGCATAACCTACATAATTATTGACAAATCACAAGAAATCCAAATATTTTGTCGTGAAAACGCATTGTAAATTTTATTTCGTAATACTTCATGTTTAAATATTAATAACGTCTTTTTTCCAGGTGTTGAATCTATTTAAATATGGGTTTAACTATTTCATCGCTCTTCAACCGTCTTTTCGGCAAGAAACAGGTAATTTAATATTTAAAAAAATTGGTTTTACTCACTCATTGATGTATTATTCTAGGTTCGCATTTTGATGGTCGGACTTGATGCTGCCGGTAAAACGACAATTTTGTACAAATTGAAGCTTGGAGAGATTGTCACAACCATCCCAACCATTGGTATATAAATATTGATTAATTATTTGCTAATTTTTGTTTACAGGATTCAACGTCGAAACTGTTGAATATAAAAACATCTCATTCACTGTATGGGACGTTGGAGGTCAAGACAAGATCCGTCCATTGTGGAGGCATTATTTCCAGAACACCCAAGGACTTATCTTTGTGGTAAACAATTTTTAGCGTTGGAAACGTTCTAAAAATCAATATTTAGGTTGATTCCAACGATCGTGAGCGTATTGATGAAAGCAAGGAAGAATTGCATAAAATGCTCAACGAGGATGAGCTTCGCGAGGCTACACTTCTTGTTTTCGCTAACAAGCAGGTATAAACAGCTTTTATGTCTGAATTTATTAATAATGTGTTATTTAGGATCTTCCAAATGCCATGACCGCCGCAGAATTGACAGATAAGCTCGGTCTCCATACGCTTCGCTCAAGACAGGTTTGTGTTTTTTCCGCAAAGAATATAAAGTCCATGGATCGTACCCCAAGATTTACAGAAGATAACGTTAGCGATCGCAACCGTTCTCGAGATCTTATCTTCCATCCTCGGATATTTTGTCAATTTAATTTTCTATTTGCAGTGGTACATTCAAGCCACCTGTGCGACACAAGGACATGGATTGTACGAAGGATTGGACTGGCTTTCGAACCAATTGTCCAAGGCATAAATTGCTATGTATGTGAAGCTTTTTAAACACTTCCTATCTCCCCATCAATGTAAATCCCCGCACCAACATTCATTAATTCCAACAATTAAAAATGGCTATTTTGTGATGAATTGAACAAGTCGGCGTTCTCTCCATCCACCAAAATTAATAAATATAAATTATATTGACGACGCCTACTTTTCAATTTTACCCAAAAACTTGCAGCGACCCAACCCCACCACACCGTTTCCCCTAAAACTTCTTGTTATTTATCTCCCCCGGGCACTATTTATTTTTGTGATATTCGGCCTCTCGCCTATTCTGTCCCCCACAACCACAATGATGTTTTTTTGTATTCACACCGTCTTCTCATCCATCCATCCATTTATGGGCTTCTTTCTATTCGTTTTCCTTTTCGATTATTGTTTGGTTCAAACCGCCGGCCTGGTATGAATTCATTTATTTAAAAGAAAAACAATGTAGTAATCAAAAGCTAGAAAGCAAAAAAGAGAAGAATTATTTCATAAAAAGCAAGAGCGCGAATTTTGACGAAAATTGCAGAAAATTTACCAAAGCGGCTTGCTAGAAAGAATATGAGCCTTGCGCTGTTTAGCCTGATGAGCACGATTCGAAAGCGCGCCTTGTGGGCTCATGTCGGCCTCGACTGGAGCCGCCATCGCGTTGCCCTTGCTCGGATGGCCACTAACAGCATGTCGGAGCCAACGAGTGTCAGTCATTCCCGAACCAATGCGACGCGGTGTCTGTGGACGACTCCATCCTTCTGGGGCGTTGCCTAAATTTGAATTAAATGAAATTCTCAACTGTTCCGATTCAGGTACCACCATTTTGCGGAGCTGGTCCCAGCGACTGGAACAGCTCATCGAAAACGACGAAGTTGGTGTTCTGCCAGACGGGTTTCGTCATTCCATACTTTTGCGACATGAAGCCGAGCAGTGTAACTGACGGATTGTCGAGCGCGAGCTGGTGCGGCTCGGTGTGCTCCTGAGCCAGCAGATAATCGATAATCTCTTTTCCGACGCCCTGACGCTGACAGGAGAAATGGACGTAGAAGTCGAGAAGGCAGAGAATCTGAAAAAAAAATGAACACGAGTTTCTCAAAATTTCTGGCGCTCACTTCGCCTTCATAAGTTTGCATTTCGGTGTCATAGAGGAAAAGCTTCTTTCGTCCGACTTTGGCGAATCCCAACAATTTGCTAACATTGTGCTCTCTGAAAAAGGAAAACAGTTGTAAAGGAGTAAATGCGAAACTGATATGATTGATTTACGACAAGTGTAAAACATTGAGATTGCAATATGTTAAAATGTTGTAACATATTGAGAAGTCCGAGTTCAAAAAGGCATTTTTTGCAGAAAACCGGAATGCGTCTTTAAACTCAAAAATACAAGCTTGAATTGATTTTTGCTTTTGGGAAAATAATATGGAATAAGTATTTTTTTTTGGAAGAATACGACATACTCATCATATTTCCACGATAAATAGAGAGTGTTGTCGGAGTTGATGAGCTTCTCGCAAGTGGTGAGCGGCGAGCGAAGCTGCAAACAATGCGCCGACAATTTCGCCAAATTGTCAATCGCCTCATACACCACGGGATCCCTGAAAATGATTATTTTTGAGTAACGAGAGGGGCGGAGGTGACTGAAACACAAGACAGGTTGACGCGAGGGTGGAGGAGATGAGACTGATGATAGAAGTTTAAAGCTTTACGCGGTCGACACACGACGCCCTTATCACCTCAATGCCGTCGCCGTTGTGCGACCGTATATGAATATGTCGTTTGAATTTTTTGTTCGTGATTTTTAGTTTTACAATTTCTCGAAGTCATTTTATTTTATGAATTATTGAATTAAAAATTTTAATTGAGAACGCTGAAATTAAAATTTAAGAAACAATTTTTTAAAGTGGCTTCGCTCGCTTAAAAAAATAATTCTGCATTTCACTGCTATTCTTTAAAAACAAAACTCACTGAATTTGTTTGATTCTCATTGGATCGAGTCTCACTAGGGCTGGTCCGAGGATCGGTCGCAAATCGGCGTTGACCTGCATCCTGTCGTCGTCGTTGTCGAGCTCAGAATGAATGACTGACCGGCTTGCCGGCGGCCTCATCACCGTCGGCCCATCCTTTTCACATTTCCATGCATTTTTTCGTTTTTATGGCCTACGGTAGAGGCCCCATAAATTTTAGATGAAGCTGCTGCTGCTGCTGTAGCTACGCGCGCGCGCATCCCATCTTCAAAAAAAATCGAATGTTGTCAACGAAAAATGATGGATTTTTGACAAGTTACAGATGAAGGAGACCGACGTCTACAGGCTTGAGATGCTCGCGAATCGAATGCGGAATCTCGCGATTTTCGCGTCAGCCGTCGCCACGTTCACAGCGATCATTGCCGTCTTCTCAATGCCTATGCTGTTGTCGTCAACGATTCGAGCAGTGGTGAGATAGAAACCTTCAAAAATAAAATTAAATAGTTTTTTCCTATTACTAATAATAGGAAAAAAGCAAACATGGGAAAAAGACAAAAAGTGAACGATAAATCGTTCGGACTACGAAAGTATCGACTTCATTTTAGGCCATTGATTTTCTCTTTTTCTCAATTTCATTCATCTTACCATTTTTACCCTATTCCACTAATCCCATGTGGAAAATTTCGACAAATTTGTTCATAGTGATTGCTTGCCATCGTAAACTTGATATACGGCGAAGTGTAATAGGTTCAATCGGAGAACCTGAAACACAAGTTCATTGATAGCAAAAAAGGGATACAATGAATGACATCAGACATCGTTTTTGCTTCAAATCTCAGCAATTCTAGACCAACGTCGATGATCGACTCGTCAAATGCGTCGCCGATTCGTTTCAAATGTACAAGGCGCTCGACGATATCGAGCGCGAGCTTCTCTCGCCGAAGAATGCGACGGCGCGCGCGAGAGCACGTCGAGGCGCCTCATACGCACAGTACGCCGGTGACGCTGCCGGTTTGAACTCGCTGGGTGCAGAAAGCGGCTACCAGAGCACCGGCATTGGTGGTGGACAGACCTATATCTTCCCAGAAGCGCTCGACTACATCCGCTCGAGAAGGCCGCAGATTTACACAGCGCAACAAGCTGGCTTTGGCGTCGGCGGTTGTGGCGCCTATCAGCCACGACCAACATTCGTTGGACGTAAGACAAAGATTCTATTTGATCCATTATAATACGTTTTGGCTCTAGAAACCTCGCCAGTCATTCGGGAAGGACAAACCGGCTTTAATGGCAGAACAGCTTGTGTTCCTCGTCCAGGACCACCTGGCCCACCGGGATCGCCTGGAATTGACGGACAAGACGGTAGCGACGGCCAGCCAGGAGGCAACGGACGTCCGGGACGTGACGGCATCTCCGACATCGATCGTGAGCCTTGTCAAGTGTGCCCACCGGCGCCTGCTGGATTCCCAGGTCCACGCGGTGCCAAGGGACTTCCGGGACCACCAGGAAAACCAGGAGCCGACGGAGATACGGTTGATGGCGAGCCTGGACTTCCAGGACTCGCCGGACCACCAGGGCCTCCAGGACCACGTGGACCACCAGGACCACCTGGAACACCCGGAGAACTTAAACACGAGGAAATCGAGGGACCAGCTGGAAACCCAGGACCACGAGGAATTCCAGGAGCTCCAGGGTAAGTCGATGGAAGAAAATAAAAAATTTCTTACTTTTTTTAAATTTAGACTCCGAGGTGAAGACGGTAAACCGGGAGCGCAGGGACCTCGTGGACCGCCAGGTGAGCCTGGAAACATTGGAATGCCAGGCCGATCTGGACTACGCGGCCGCAATGGACCCGCCGGACCACCCGGACCTTCATCCCCCTGTGATCATTGTCCTGTACCTGTTCTCGAACCTGGATACAAAGTAGACGTGAAAAAAACACACAAGCGAAACATCCCATAAGCTCAAAACCTTACACTGATCTCAAATCAAGTGTGTCTGTACATTTGGATCATCTTCATCTATAAAATATATATCAATATAAATAAATACATATAGATATAACAACAACAACTACAACATAATTAAAGAAAAAAGAAAGAAAAAATGACCCGTAATGGCACTAAGGGGGTCCGACAGAAAAAAATCATGAAAAGAAACAATAATGGAGCACCGGTATTTTAGTTTGAATCCAAAAAAAAGACAAAAAGTGAAGTTGAGTTGGTGTGTGTTTTGTCAAGGCAAGATCAAAAAAGACATGGATATTGATGGTACAGTGTGTTTGTGGGGGCAAATGGGAATGAAAACTATGTTAAAATCTATACAAAACTCGAAAATCCCGTGTTCAACGGATTCGGCGTGTGCGGCCAATTGCTTCCACCTTCGCTCGTGCTTTCGGTCGTCGACGATCTTCCAGCAGCGCTGCCTGGTAAGTGCGATAGTATTGGACCTACGAACAAAAATTGTAATCATGCCACATGAATATTTTAATCGTTACCTCGTACAGCTTCCGTATCTCGCACCTTCCTCCAAGTGTCTCGATACTGATCTGTTGATCCATAATGCTTGGCAATATCATCTGATGGATCTTGACCAGCGGATGGTCTCCTAGAATCTCCACGGATTGTTGAACCATCGACACTTTCTACTCCATCTTCTTCATCGAAAGAATCATAGGGCTCGTCGCTGAGCCTCTGCTGTTGCTGATGAGATCCACTTGTCACTGTTGATGGCACCCGACCGTTATATTCAATTCGGCCGTACTCCGATCTAAAAGAAAACTCATAAAAAAGACTGCAGCGTCGTAAAGTTATTTACCGGTTGCCATAATCGCTTCTCGTCGCCATATATTCATTTCGCCCGTTATCCGATCCTCTCGCCGACGATGTCACGTAAACACTTCCGCCACCACGCACGTCTCGGCCGACCAACGCTGACAGCCGTTGCATCGCTTCCGCATTCGGTAGCGGCGGCATCACGTCCGTCGCCAACCCGTACATGTTCATCAATCCCGCACTGTTGTTGGTCCGCTGCGAGTTGGGCCCATCGCCAAGGACGCTTCCATATGCCGGCGGCTCGCGCGACTGATCCGATAGCCACGATTGAGTGGTTCCCGGTCTTGTCGGTAGCTCACCGCGCGACCTTGTGATATTACCAGCGGCACCGGTGCCCTTCAACTGGAACGACGCGAAGTTCCCATCGGCAAGTTGCAAACTATCGATTGATCGGGCCCGCTTCTCTCGCCGGTATTTCGCTGTAGAACCGGTGACGCAAAGAATTGCAATAAATACCACAATGAGGACGAATGCAGCCATTACAAGGAGAGCCATGAACCACCAAGCTGTGTAGAATGGATCATCCGGAATCGATTCAGGAACGAATAATTGCTCCGATTCAGCGCTTCCCATGCCAACACCTCTCGCGTTTCTAGCAAACACTCGAAACACGTAAAAGCTCGACGGTTGAAGATCACGATATGAAACTTGCTCTTTTTCCGTTGTTCCATCCACTGGCTGCAAGGTGACCCATTCACCAATTGGGTGTATCGGGCGATTCGCGTTCGCCGGAGCCGCTTGCGCTCTCTTCTGAATCCTTGGGCGCTGCGAGACGTATCCATTTGGTGTTTCTTCAGCCACTGACACTCTTTTCGCCTGGATGAGATGCCCGACAATATCTGACGCCGGTAAATCTTTCCATTGAATTGTAACCGATGATTGTCCAGGAACAACTATCGGCTTCGAAGGAGCCGGAGGTCCGTCACGACTTGGTCCAATCGTAACATTCGATGATCTGGATTCTCCTTTCCCTGCGGATGTTTCAGCCCATACACTAAAAAATGTCCAATCTAAAATTTAAGAAAGAAAAAAAACGAAAATGAATACCTAAAGAAGTAGGTAACACCTTCCGCCAAATTGGTAGCTTCGAAGACATTTTTCGTCGTTCTCATCTGATCTTCATTCTTGAACTCCTCTTGCATCCGGAAACCCTTGTAGTTGACAATGTAACCAGTTACGATGCCGTTAGGCTGACTAGGCGGATCCCAAGAGACTTTAACCGAGTCCAAGAGTATATCGGTAAAGCGAATCGCTCCAACCGGTCCCGGAACGTCTTCTAAAGTCTTTTCTCGAATCTGCGTCATTTTTCCCTCACCGGCTCGATTATAAGGTGAAATTGATATCTGACAAGACGTAAACGTTTGAATGAAAGGCATCAAGCAATAAGAATACCTGATATTCCGTGAATTTGCGTAAATCGTTTAAAACACATTCGTTAGTATCCACAATCATCACTTCTTCTTCAACTACAACCGGCGAAAGCACCGAAAGAACGGGAATGTAGCGAACCTAAAATGAAGGAATAATTTCGGAAATCAATTTCGTAGTTTGAAACCTTGAAAGATGTTATAACTTCGGATTCGTCTTTCGGCCAAGCATCCCATTTCACTCTAATAGACGATGATGATAAAGGTTCGCTGCGAACATTTGTAACATTTCTGAAAACAATTATTAAATTCCATCAAATTTCTCAAATTTCGTACTTTTTTGGTATTGAATACCCAACATAAACAAATACCGGCGTTGAGAATGGGCCTTCTCCCTCCGAATTGAACATTCTCATCCTAACAATATAATGCCGGAAGCTTTCAAGCTTCTCCAATATTATCTTCTCCTTCTCAGCGTGATCATCGCGAAGCTCAATTTCATTCGTCGACCAGCTGTCATTGGACGGATATTCACGATAATGAATGTGGTATCCAACAGAATCGCTATTCCATGTCGATCGATGAGGAACAGTCCATTCCAAGAGCAAACTCGAAGTCTCATATGGTGTCGCTTTTACAGCAATCGGTTGAGCAATCGGCGGTGCAGGCATAGTTTGCATCCATTCGGATTCCGATGACCACGACGATTCCAAAAAATCACCAATATATCGAATTCGGAAGCGGTACTTCGAATTCGGCGACAGTCTTTTAATCACACCACGATGCTTCGAGTACTCAAACTTATTGTCAACCATTGTCCATTCATCGTCATTGGCTTTCTGATACGACACTTGAACTGATCGAATTGGACTTTCCGCATCCTGCGCCATCATCTGTTTCATTGCCATCGCATCGCTGGTGGCGTCCCAACGAATGACAATTTCTGTGGCCCCATACTGCGATTGTTGATCTCTCGCGGGTACTGGCGGATTTCGAATTGGAACTCTGACAGACGACGTCATCACCTCGGCAAGAGCCTCTTCACTTTCGCCTTTACTGTTCACCGTTTTAATCGCAAAGGTGTACTGGGTGTTGGGATTTAGACTCGTCGCCGAGAACATTAGCAAATTTCCAAGAAGCGGAGCGTCGATCGCCATGGTTCGAGGCTCATGCGATTTCCAATATGAGACAATGTAGTTCTAAAAAGACGAAAATCTTATTGAGCGTTACAAACCAGTAAGAGAAAATACCAGAATTTTTCCATTTGGAGATGCTGGTGGAACCCATTTCAATCTGACTTCACTCTCACTAACATAGGAACATTGGAATGAGCCGGGAGGGGTTGGCACTGAAAACAGAGATAAATAAGATGTTGGACGAAATGATTGAATGGAACGAACCGTCTTCAAGCGTTTCAAACGCCACTGGCATCGAATTCTCTGGACCATAACCAACAATCGTATAAGCCGAAGCGTACACATGATATTTGGTGAATGGTCTGAGATTGGTCACTTTTGTCATGAGGGTAGCTTGCCCGGGAACATCGACTTCCTTGATTTCATCAGGCATATCAATGTCGGGAACCACTCGTATCTGCATTATTTTTGGTTATAAATCTATAAACTAATAATCTACCTTATATCCAATGACTTCTCCGTTAGTTGAAAGCTCAGCAACCGGTTCCCATTTGACGATAACCGCTTTCGGCCCATCGACGGTAGCTTTCAAACTTCTTGGAGCACCGGATGGAACGCTTTCATACGTTCTGGCCGTTACTGCATCGGTGGGTACGCTCCTTCCGAATGCATTCTCCGAAAACACATTAACTTCATAGTCAGTGTAAGGCCTCAGTTCCGTAATTGTATATTCACTGGCTCTAAGAGCTGGTGTTCGAATCTCCTTCCAATCCTCTTCACCATTCTCGCGATAAACAATCAAGTATCCCTTCGGCTGTCCGTTCCATTGTGTGGCAAGAAGCGGCGTCCACGATACTCCAATGGATGTCGCTGACACTGGCTCAGCGAACAATCGTTGACTTGGAGTTGCCGGATTGGTTTGAAGTGTCTCGAATGAGCGGCTTGGTTCTGACGGAGCTCCACGCCCTTTCACGTTCTCAGCGATTAGGCGAAGCTGGTATTCGGTGTAAGGTCTCAACCCAGTTACCGTAATCGATCGCGCTTTTGGAGCACTGAAAAAGGAAATACTCAAAAAAAAAGAAAGTGAAAAGAGATGCCTACCTAATATTGAATATATGGGTGAAAACGCTCGAATCCACTATTCTCGCCTCCACAATCCACTGTCGAATAGCGGTGTGACCATCGAATCCAGGAGTGAAATGAAGTTGAACCGTTGTTGCAGTGATATCTCCAATCGAAAGCGAAGAAGGTCTTCCGGGAAGCTCTGGAGGAACTCCGCTTTCAAATTTCGTCTCTTCAACAGGTCCGTCTCCCTTCTTCGTAGAAGCCATTACATCAACGCCATATCGCGTAGACGGTTGAAGGCCTGAAAATTCATCGCAATGAAATACCGTTATGTAATTGAAAAAGCCAACCTTCAATGGTAAAGTTCAAGGTCTTGCCATCTACTTCATGTTTCGTCTTGACGTCAGGTGATGACGCTGCCCAATGTCGGATCGTATACTTTGTGATAACTCCGTTCTCATGAAGCGGCGGATTCCATGTTATCACTGCCCCATTGTACATCACCTCTGCTATACTCAACGAATCAACTCCATCAGGCGTATCTTCATCAGTAATAACAGCGACAGGATTCGACTTGGGACCGTCTCCAGGTGTCGTAAAACACAACACGGTTAGATTGTAGTGTCCAAACTTCTCCAAATCGGTGACGACTGTACTCAATTGCCGACGATCGGGATCAAGCAGCACTTCCTTATAGAGTTTTCCCTTTTCGGGCTCACCGTCCCAAAATTGAACTTTGTATCCTAGATTGACTCCCGGGATTCTCTGCTGATCAGGAGCGGTGAAGTCAACTGATACTGCTGTTGAGTTGAGAATTTTGACTTTCACGTTCTTCGGAGCTTGCGTTGGAACGCCTTCGGATGTTGTCACTTCAATGCTTTCGCTGAACACTCCAAGACCTCGCTTGTTGTATGCCGCAACTTGAACTTCGTACTCCCTCCAGGTGATCAAATTGTCGATAACCGCATTCCTTGCATCTTTTGTGGTGAGATTTCGTTCATTCCACGGCAAAGAGCTGTAACCAGCAAGTCTGTAGCGAACCACATATCCCAAAACATCTCCAGTCGCCTGTTCTTCTTTTGGTTGCTGCCACTGCACAATAACACTATGAGAAGATCTCGCCGATGCCGCAACGTTGCGAGGAGCCGCAGACGGAGGCTGTTGGGGCATTGTGACAGAGTTCGACGACAGCGACGCTTTTCCAGGACCGTGCTTATTCGAAGCAATAACACGAAACTCAGCGGTTGAAGATGGTCGAATATCTTCAATATCGGCAAAACAGCACGGTTTTCCCTCCTCCTTTGGAATATTATCAATAACAGATTGCCAGTCACTCCAGAGTCCGGTTGGTCCAAGGGTTCTCATTTCAATTGCGTGTTTTATAATTGGCTCGTTCCCGTCGAATCCTTCACTCCATAGGACGCGCACTTTTGCTGGCATCGTCTCGTTGTGGAGTTCAGCACGGACTCGTTCCGGCATTGCGGGCTTCTCTGAAAGAACATGCGTAACAATATTCGTCAATTGGAAACTAACCAATTATTTGGAGCATCGCACTTGCGCTTTCTTCTCTTCCATCAACGCGTACCACACATCGATATTCGCCAGTATTATCAGGCCCGACATGCCGAATAATTAAGCTGCCTTTCCGATTCCTCGAGATTCTCAATCCACTGTTTCCATTTTTCGACAACAGCTCATCGTTTAGAAACCAATCGACAACTGCTCTTCGTGCGTACTCCTTGGCAACTTCGCACGAAAATTCCACATTCGTACCTATTAAACTTTTCTGGTCCGTTGGTCCATACTCAATGAGATTATCGCCGGTGACATTAAGAACGGCAGTCGATTTGCTCTCCGCCGAGTTCATTCCAGCAATCTCACATGTATATTCTCCTTCATCCGACTTTCGGACATCATTTATAATCAACCCATCGGAGGTAACGTCATATTTCGAGTTTCCAGTGTGTATTTCGTGTCCATTAAAGTACCACATTAGTCTTGGCTGCGGATTTCCACTCGCAACACATTCCAAAGTTACTCTGGCAGTTCCCGAGGCAACCGTAGCATCTTTTGGTGATTTTATAAGCATCGCTGGGAATTCTTCCGAGCTTCGAGGTCGTTGTGGAATTGGAAGTTCATCTTCTCCAGATTTAATTGGATCCTCGGAGAAAGCTATGGATGCGTCTAAAGAATACAAATACAAGTGTCCAGAATATTTTCAATTTACCATCATTTCCTTCGGCAAGCCAGACCGACTTGATATCTGCTCCAGCTTCATTAATACCCTCGCATTGATATAATCCATAGTCCTCCTGCTCAATGCTGTTGATAACGAGGCGTCCGCGATTGGTGGCAAACTGGAAAAAAATTTCGTTAACGGATCCCCCAACATTCATGATGATGTTTTTGTTGCGCTAATCCTTCTACAAAACTTTCTCCACCTCTTGAAAACATATGTCTAATTGTGCACTTCTTCTGCCATTATGTTCTCATCCATCCGGTTTTTTCAGCCACAAAAATAGTTCAGCGGCCAAGGTCAACGACGAAATGAGAACCGTGGGAGATTAGTCAAAGTCCTACACTATCTCCATCACCCCACCAACCTCCTGGCAATAGGCTGCCGCCCCGACTTTGTGCGGACCGTTTAGTTGGCAATCTGTCAATTGGCGACCCACTTAATGGCCATATGTTTCACCACGGTGTGTATATTCGCCGCAAATACATACACAATTATCTACAAACAAAAGACGCTTAAGCCTTGTATGAAGCGGTGAAAACAACACTTGAACTCATAATCAATTTGAGAAATTTTTGAGAGCCTACCATCTGGAAGCTATCTAGTTTGCTATTACCCATCGCTTAGACTGCGCCTTTCAAAAAACTTCCGCGTAACATTCATTCACAATTCCTTTAGCTTAACGCGGCCTTAAAAATTGGGGCACTCAATTATGACAAAAACCGTCAATCTCTCTTTCTGCCTAGCAGCAAATTGCTATTTAATACCCAACATCGTCGTCGACGCAATACCACCAATTCCAATAACCCAAAACGATTGCGTAATGAACATGTTCTCAAGAGGCTCTAATCCACACCGTGATCCGTATTGGAGATCTTCAAGGACCGGCTTAACACATGCTCAGCTACTCACCGGTACACCATTCTTGAACCACTTGATCGATGCATTATTCTGGCCCTTATTGCGCTTCAATCCGCATTTCAGGCTCACCGAACCACGAATCGGACGACGCACTTCTGATGGAAGATCTTTAAGAACTGGATGCTCTGAAAAACATTGAGATTGAACTTTTCTCCTTTTTTTATAATTCATACCGATAAATGTGAAATATGTAGCCTTCTTGTCAAACGTTCTTCCCATTGAGGCATCTGCTTTACACTCGAGCTTATGCTCTCCTTTACTGAATCCGCTAGGATTGGATATCGTCAATCTTCGATTGTTCAGTGTCATTTTGACACCAATTTCAGATCCACTGATAGGCACTTCATCCAAAAACCAATTGATTCTGACGTCATCACCGCTACCAAACGACGTTGAGCAATCGAAATGAACATCTTTCGGCATCTTCGACTCAACAATAGTGCGATCAGATGGCCAATAAATGATGGACAACGAATTTTGAAGAGGCGGGCTAAAAAAAAGCCAAAAATATAAATAGCCAACATTATCATATTCTCACCTCATTCCATTATCGGTGACAATGTACGCTTTGGAAACAATCTCGGACAAATCATCGCTGTTCGCAATCAATTTATATTCTCCGAAATCCGATTTTCGGACATCTGTGACGACAAGGTCCCCTTCACTAGTCACAAAATGTGTGCCGTTCGAGGTCACCTGAAAGAGAAAAAAAAGAAATCGAGTACGCAATTTCCTGGTTTGAACAAACAAGTACTTGACGCCGAGAAAGGTTGGAATGAGGAAAAGCACTCGAAAGTGAACAGCACGAATCAGTTATATTTTTCGTTGATGTCTCAATTAAAACAGCAACACCAGTATCCAACCAAAAAAATCGGGCCTAATTAATAAGACCCCCCACATCTGTCTGGTCTTCATATTTCAGTACTCAAATTACCTGTTGCGAGTCATCCTTGAACCATGAATAATTCACGTCCAACCCTTCGGAGGCGATCAGCTTGGGCCGACGCAACACAAAATGCCGTCCAATACCGGTGCTGATCTCATATTGAATCGATTCATCGGAACCATCAAAATCGTCGAGGTCTGCAAGAAAAGAAAATGTGCAAATTGCGCATCCCCGCCACCCATCTGTCAACTTTGTCATCACATTTTTGCGCGTGGCGCGAATCATTTACGTTTAATGGACCGAATAAAACAGTGGGGAAGCCCTCAATTCTCAATCTGTTGTTTCAAATAAAAAATTCATTTATTCGAGTTCCTATTTATATTGCGCGAGAAAGAGAGAGGAATGATTAATGACCACCTACTAAATAAGGCAACCCCCCCATCCCTTTCTTCAATCTTTTTCGAGATCCGCTGTGCCCACCATTAATTAATTCTATCGTTTTCTTTCTTACTTTCACGCCGATCAGATGCGATTAACGCCATAGTCCGGTCTTTTCTTCATACAGGCAAAAAATAGTACAAGTTTGGCGGGCGTTAAATCCATACCAGAAATGAATGGTTTCATCCGATTTTCCAAACTGACCCATAAGTACGAAGTCCATGAAAACAAAAACTGGCCAAACGTCCAAAAGCAACCTTTCTACTGTTTGTTCAAGAAAATACATAATAGATTTGGTCAAGGTAATATGATCTTACACCTAAAGTATACTTCCTGGCTACTGGACCTCGGAATAATAACATGTTTTTTATATATTATATAGTTTTGCGTAACAATATCGGGCAAAAGAATCAACATACACTTCCTAATTCTTAGCTAAACGTTAAAACACACTCCTTATATACATATTATTTGCTTTCACACTAAAATGTTTAGTGTTTCCAAACAGGACTCATGCACCAATGAGAACTCAATAGGCCATCCAGCCATTCAATTTTTTTGTGCAATTGAGCCGCGACGCGCGCTCGCGCTCTAATCACTATTTCATGTGCAAATGTTTGACGATATCGGCCATTTTTCCAATTAGAGACGACGGACAGCGCTCCGTGCACGGCTGTCCGGCAAACGTTTTCTGTTGACATTGTACAAGTTTCAATAAACGCTGACTAATTCAGCATTTTTTCCCCTCCAAGTCACTCAGTCAGTCATCTAGCAGCAGGAAACCAAAGGGGAGGAGGACGAACAACAAAACTCACATTTCGATCGAATAATCGTCGGCGACGAAATTGCCGTCGCCACCGAGTTCCTCGCTACGCACCGATATTGTTTCGCGTCGTTTCCGCGAGCCGCTGTCAGTTCAATGCTCCGAGATGCGCTCACGAGGACGCCGTTCGCATCATCAACGCGCCATTCAAATGATTCGGCGAGCGGCGACTCGTCACATTTGACAATTATCGTTTCTCCTACGACGCAAAAATTAATTAATGTAAGATCAGATAACGTGGATTTCAAAAAAAAAATTAAATTTCTACCTTCATTAACTGATCTAATTCCCGCCGATGCCGCCGACGTGAACACCGGCGGTTTTCCCAGCACCAATTGAGCATCGACGAACACGCCAATTGATAAAAACAGAATAAATTGAAATAATCTAAACGGCGCAATTCTTTTGCGTCGACGTGAAGCCGTCGTGAATATTCGTCGATTAATCATCTCAATTGCATGTGTGCGCACTTGTGATCTGCAAAATCCTTTTTGATGAAAAAAAAAGCGAGCAAAGAAAATTCTCAAAAGAAAAGGGTTACTACCAATGAAAACAAACAAGCACATCTGATGAATCATGTAAGCAAAAAAATGCGCGAAACTTGAAAAAAAAACTTTAATCTAAAAGGTTTAAAAGTAGAGAGAGAGGGATACAAGAAAATCTCTATTCAAAAAGTGACAACAATGTTTCACAGTTGAAGCATTCTATTAGCGAAACACATTGCAATTTCCCATCAATATGTGTGCTAATAAGAAGTATCTTGTCAATAAAACGAGAGACTGTAAAGCGATGATTCTGAACAAACGACGACGACGACAAAGTGCTGCTTGACGACAAACGACGTCAAGTAGTATGACGGAAGAACGTGCGAACAAAGTGGAAATGGCGCATATTCGTATAATTTAAGGCCATAATCAAATATATAAAAAGGAAAGGAGAAGTCGAAGAATACAAGCGACACAAAAAAAGACGCCAAAAGATGCGCGCCGGTCTCAAGTCAAAACCGCCGAAAGCCGAAACCAAGCAAAAACAAAGAAAAGCGCATAGCAGGTGCACATTTCCGAAACCGATAGTGTTTTGATCGTAAAAAAAACATCGTCGAACAGCTGGACACAAAGCGAACAAACTTGTATCTTCGCAAAAAAAAACAATTACCCCCGCGCCTGCAGTGTGCACTAACTGATAAGAAGCCTTAAAAAAGAGACACGAGAAAGTTGAAAAAAAAAATCAATGACTAATCAGTTTCATCATGCTAATCGGAGACACCGATTGTGTGGGGCATCGAGGTCGAAATGGACAGGAAAGGGGCGTGGCGAATGATGATGAAGGAGGGTGGAGGGAGTGAGGCGAACAAAAACGCGAGGTGTTGGCGAAGGAATGGCGAACATGCGGGTGTGTCAAGTGGGCGAATCGAATGGAAAGAGGAACGGATTTTGAATTAATTAAGGACGTCGTCTTCTGGTAGGTAAAACGAACACCTTTTCGAAACCCAAAAAAGGAATACCGCGCGCGTTGTATTGATTTATTTAAAACGTCGTAAAAGGTGAGCGAGATTGGAGTAGATCAAATCGAGAATGAAACCGAAAAAACAAGGACGAAATCTCGCATGGAATGCCAGACTTCAATTGCAAATTTCGGTGATTGGAATGGAAAAAAATTTTTAAAAGCCAAAAATTTATATAATCATTAAAAAAGCTATTCATTGGAATGAAAATATCAAAACTAATTCATTTCGGATATAAAATTTATTAAAACATAGAAAAAAAACGTTGAAGAGCAACGCTTCTTCAAAAGTACGCATGAAGTAGCCCCTAATAATTGCTATGGTCCCCGCGAAAATTCCCAAGTTGCTCATTTGTTTCATTTTCGCCACACGCATACCCAATGAACCATAACTTTTGGGAAAACAACAAAAAAATCTCGACACAATTACTAATAATGCAATCAACGCAATCGTTGCCAAAACAAAAACACAAATCAAACGGTCAACAATAGGATAACGTGATTGCGCAATTGCAATACGAAGCAATTCAATCGCCCAAATTTGTCGTTTGATGATTGCCGACAAAGAGTATTCACGATGCTCATCGCAAAACACGTTCTGATAAATCGTATATGAAAAGCGAGATGGAAACACAATAAATATGGTTTACAACTTCGATTAGAAGGCCGAATTGCTCAAAACATTGTAAAAACGCATCCAAGCTGATAGGACTGGCACTTCAATCGGCAAACAATGCAAAACTAGAACAAGAATCCACCGTTATGCAACCCATCATCACATTGTTAATTACAAAACTTTCCGTTTCGTAACACAATTGACCCACATTCAAAACTAAAACTAACTATATAGAACGAAATGCTATGACATTCTATATACACCTACCAATTTGAAATGTCAAGCTCAGAACCTCAAAATGCGCATAACTTTCAAGGAAAAATGGCGTTCTTGACGATGAAAGCTATGGAAAAAAAAACCAGTTGGTCTAGGCCGGCCGGCGGTCAAAATAATATAAACGAGAATGAAAAGTAAGTCAACGGCGAAATAGCTGCGGGCTACTTGCTGCTGGTGGTGGTAGATCATTATCGCGGACGACATTAAGACATTGTCGGAGATTTAGTACTGTACAGTTGAGCGAAAACTGACACAAAAGCTTAGAAAGTGGTCAAGCTTCCAACCGCATGAAAAGGTCAATTCAAGAAGGCCGCGTTGACATCAAAAACAAATTCGCACGTTTTATTGGTCCTCCGCACGGGGTCGCACCGATTTGGTTCGCTCGATAAGTAAAATATGATAAGGTCCTCGACGGGAAGGTGGTTCCTATTTGAGCCGTATTACGTACACGCTTGTGAATGTCCGACGAAACATAAAGAAACGATTATATCGCGGGAAAATGGGTTGAGATAAACATTTGAAAAATAATTAGAAATTTGAAAATGGTTCGCGCACATGAGAAAATCGAAAAAAAAAACCTTGCGCAATCGGAGGCCATTGTGAAAACCTTTACGGTAAATGTGGGAATGTTAAACAATAGAGGGCAATGTGGGTAAAACTGAAAAAAAGAACATCGTCAGATATTGAGAAGTTTGGAAAAAATCACGTTGGAAAAGGGAGCAAGCTTCAAATGAATTAGTAGAAGACATTTCAGTGTTCCACAACATCATAATAATCGTGGACCCAAGGGCAATCCAATGACACCAACAAAAACAACATCAAATTACCATACTGTATTCATTGGATCGAAACAGCAAATGTTTTAACGAGAAGAGTACAAGCGTCGAGATGAAGCCAAACAAAGAATGGGAAGAAGATACGCACATCGCGCATATTGCGGGAAGCGTAGGTAGTTTGCAGAGGTAGAGGTGGATATATCTATATATATTTGTTATGACCGCTGGTGCGCGCAAGGTGAAATAGTCCCACGATCGCTGAGAGCGCGACAGTGAGGCTAGAGCAAATATCGCCGGGCACCATATATGACAGTAGAGAGATGGGTGGTGAGGGTGGCGCTGGTGGCGGAGCTTCGTTTTTCGTCGATGATGACAAGCAACGATTGCGACCATTCCAACAAACGAAAAAATAACAGGTATTAACTATGCGGATTACTCAAAATCGACTGGTCGCAAAAACTCGTCAAGGCCGGCCAGATTCTGTCGAAATGATGAAAAATTGAGATGGTGATAGATTATACGTACTTATTATTTGGACGAAGGACGAGGCGCCCGCGGAAACAATAAATTTGTTTTTAGCCACTTTTTTTTAATGGCTAATGACTTTTGAGAAAGGCCGAATCGAATCTGCCAATTGGCACAATGACCACCAAAAAATTTATAATTGCCAAAAGAATGGAATAAATATAGGAAAATCTGAATGAAATGTTTGAATTCTTTATTTTATTTGGAATTTTGAAATCATTTGGAAGAAAATAAATCTCCGAATTGTTCAAGAAACATCTGCCGAGGTTGCGATTTTATCTCAGATTTGAATTCTCCGAAAGCAATTTTCGCTAAAAGTTCGCTACAAATTAGGATCAATTAGTCACCACACCAATTAGCTGGAAGGATAATTTAATTCTAACTGCTTTTCAATTTTACCTTAATCTCATTAATTAGAACGACTTGCCTTAAACTGTTTAAATTCGTGAAGAGAATAAAAAAAAAAGAAATGTTGAAAAAGGAATAACACAGAGACAAGAAGTCAAAAACAAATAAAGATGTAAATACGGTCATGAACGACTTCATAACATAGCTGTGCCGCGCGTTCAAAATCGACTTCTCAGTTCGCCGTGCGTACGGTTTGGGTCGACGCGCCCACCTCGTCATTATGATCAAGGCCACTTCAGCCGACAGCGACTGCGTGCCACCACGGGACACCATTATTGGACAGATATGTGTGTATGTGCGTGTATTCCCGTCAGACAAGTGCCTTCGGTGAGAACCCGACGGTATTCCAGGCTGTCGTCTGACATCATAATAATAATTATAAGAGGTTAATGGAGTTGTGGGAGAATGGAATCATCGATCGGCGTTTCATAATCTTTGTGATGCATCTGAATTTATTAAACCTAGTAACCTTTATACCGATAAAATTGGGCCATGAGAATGACACTTGCATTTTAAATTCTGTCTAAAAAATCCAAGAGAGAATAATTAATAGCGCAAAAAAACTGCGCAGAATTTCTTCGGAAATCAGAAATTAAGTCAAATCGAACTTGAAATCTTATTAGTAAGCGCTTCAGTTTTCTACAAAGAAATTCTAGATTATAAAACCATTTGAATGATTTTCCATTTGTCAAGGTGAGACCATAAACAAGGAAAACTAAGAAGCTCGTTTTCCACGGCAATTCTTAATAACTTAATTAGTTCACTTGGTCGTGGCGGCCAAAGAAAACCGGTGTCTTATACATGAAGCCAGACAATTTCAAATAAAACTCAAAGCTAGAAAAAAATATTAATAAAGAAAACGCTTTTGTTGAGCAAGTGTAAAGAAACACTTGTGCGAAAATATAAACATTCATCTGGGCAACTGCCCACTTGAAGTTTTTTTAAATTCCATAAATACATATTATTCTAAAAAAAATCATACCTTTCGTGGTAAATCGAGTCCAGCTTTGGCTGACGTTCTATATTCTTTCCTGAAACATACATGTTACAATTAATTGACAATAAATACCCCAATTACATAAAATAATACGAATACCACTTGTTAAATACCTTTTCTGCGAAAAAATGAAAAATAACATTACAGTTTCCTGGAAGCATCATTGATCATTGATTTGATAAAATGAGATTATAAATCTTGCAAGGGATTGGGGTGATTTAAATTTTATTGAATTTTTGAGAAATATTTACAAAAAAGTCGATAAATTAGAGAGATAAAAGCGCCGCTAAAATTTGAAATTTCAAATCACCGCTTGAGTGAGCCTTACTTTACGCAAATTTGCGGATTATTTTATACCGTACCATATGCCAGATATATTTATTTTATATGCCACCCGATTTTATTTATTGAGAAAAATGGAAACAATGAGTTACTGGATCACTTGAAGTGTCTTGACACCCTTCACAAAGTTCGTAAAACCATACAGTACCTAGTAAATACTGGCGGAATGTGTCTGGACGTCATTAATGGCACGAAGGCGAACCTCAATTTCGCGAGCTCAAATTTAGATATTTAATTGTATTGAAACACTTTGAAAAAATCTTACTTAAAAATTTAAGATGCCGTTCGAAAGTCGACGCGTTCTCAATGGCGAATGGGAGACGGGGCTCAAATCGCATAAGCTTTTCAACTCGCTGTTGAATCTTTTGCAAATTCGTCTTCAAAGTTTTGAAACATTGGAAAAATCATATTTATGAAACAAACAATAGAAATAACCGATGGCCCTAAAGAGGGCCGTTTGAGTTCGAAGTATTGAGTTGTCTCTGAATACTTCTAGCGACTTGCTAGGTCGTAAAGAAGCCGCCTGGTTGAGGAAAACGATCCTCGACCTGCGTGAGACAAGTGTACCGATTAGCCTGGCTCGACTCCCATGAAGGAGAGCCGAGTCAGTTGATCTTCTTCGCCACGTAGAGGCTCGGTACATGAAGAAGAGGCTCACCAGCATCAGGCCGAAACCTGATGTGGGTCATCGCCGATCCCACCTTGGGGATCACACAAGGACATCCCACAACTATCATCCGAGGATAATAGAAGTAGAAGTGGTTGTGCAAGCCACGTCTGGCTGGGCCCCGGGTCTGCTGGTGATATGTTGGCGTCGTCGTCTTCGTCATCATAGCTAAGTAGCACGCTATGATGCACATAGGTCTGGTACCAGTAGTCATCCTAGTAGCATGGATGACTTCCGGATGATGCGAAAAAAAAGCATAACCATCCATGAGGCCAATAGCAGTTCCCAAGTACGAATACTTGAATCAGGGTAGCAGATTCCAAGTATGTTACTCGAAACAGGCTTTGGATGGGCTTCGATTCCCGGCTACGGAATCAGGACTGATTGGCTTGCCAGACCAATCATCCGAGTTTAGGGATCGGCGGATAAGCCGCCTCACCCAGCCAACGCCTTGTCTGGGACCGGAAGTCATCCTAGTAGCATGGATGACGGCCGGATGATGCAAAAAAAAGCATAACCATCCATGAGGCCAATAGCAGTTCCCAAGTACCAATACTTGAATCGGGGTAGCAGATTCCAAGTATGGGACTCGAAACAGGCTTTGGATGGGCTTCGATTCCCGGCTACGGAATCAGGACTGATTGGCTTGCCAGACCAATCATCCGAGTTTAGGGATCGGCGGATAAGCCGCCTCACCCAGCCAACGCCTTGTCTGGGACCGGAAGTCATCCTAGTAGCATGGATGACGGCCGGATGATGCAAAAAAAATAACCATCCATGAGGCCAATAGCAGTTCCCAAGTACCAATACTTGAATCGGGGTAGCAGATTCCAGGTATGGGACTCGAAACAAGCTTTGGATGGGCTTCGATTCCCGGCTACGGAATCGGGACTGATTGGCTTGCCAGACCAATCATCCGAGTTTAGGGATCGGCGGATAAGCCGCCTCACCCAGCCAACGCCTCGGCACTAGGGGAAAGTTAGGTGGGGAGGAAGGGATGCCTTGGCGTTTTAGGGGAATAGCCGACTACGGCTATGGATGGCCGACTACGGCAGAATTAAAGGTAGGCTAGAAGAACTTAGAAACTTATGCTTAGTTATGGGGAATACCTTAGTGTAGTTGCGAGTCGATTCATCGTCGGGATCCTTTCTTCTGGTCCTTCCATCCATCGGCGACCGCAGCAACGACGATACCTAAACATACACACGCACACACAAATTAAAACAAATAAAAAACACTCGCACACAAGCACTCCCACACAAAAATAATAAGAATAAAAATAATAAGAATAAAAATAATAAAATATAAAAGTTAGAGAAAGGAAAGGGGACGCCGGTCATTAGTGGAACGACCGGCATAGCCGTAAGTGGTACGACATTCCCCGGAAAAAAATAAAGAAGAAAGGATCCCAAGTGGTGGGATTTGGAGGAAGAAGCCGCAAGTGGTACGGCAAGAGGGAATGGTGGAAGTGAAAGCCATAAGTGGTATGGCTGGAAGAAGGATGGGGAAGCCGGCATTCCCCGAAAAAGAAGAGGTGGTCCCAAATGGTAGGACCGGAGGAAGGAAGTACAGACGTAAGTGGTACGAATGTACGGATAGAAGGGAAAGAGGGTGAAGCCGCGAGTGGTACGGCACGGGGAGGGGGAATCAGTCGACTGATAGAGATTGGGGGAGGGGGGCAGTCGTAAGTGGTACGACTGGTGCAAGTGAAGATTCCCTTCCTCGTTGATTCCCTTCCTCGTTGATTCCCTTCCTCGTTGATTCCCTTCCTCGTTGATTCCCTTCCTCGTTGATTCCCTTCCTCGTTGATTCCCTTCTTCGTAGCTTTTTCGCGATTTCTTCTCCGGTTCGCCATATTCATAGAAGATCTCTACAATGATTCGAGTTTTTCTGATAGATTGTTGCTCCTTCTTTACCATTCAAATCCACTTCGTCACTCTGCTCGACGCCCCGGAAGCATCGACCTTTCGTCACTGCTCCATCTTTCCTTCGTCACCTCCATGTCTCGGTGTAGGTTTATCGTCGTCCTCGAACCAGCACTGCAGAACGCCCATTGAAGGGTCAGCGCCGACTAACGGAACCGGTCGAGTCGAGAATCCCTCACACCTTGAGCATTTCCGATCAAAAGGAGTCGATGGAGTATCGACTGCGGCTCGAATCGGATCTGCAATACGAAGGGAATTCCGAAAACGACTGCCAAGAATGCGGCATACCGAGTGGATCCGCGGCCGCAGCGAGCCCGCAGGAGAAGTGGGCCGCTCGCAAGTCGGAGAGCTGCGAGAATGACCAAATTCGACATCTTGCCGGCCTTTTATAGTGCCACTGGCGTCGGTGCGAAATGTGCAATTGAGCGCATTTGCCGAAGCGAACTGCAAAATGACGCCAAGTTCTCTTATGTCAGCACACTCTCTGGTCTCAGACGGTGACGCGCTTTCCCGGGCCACGTTGGATTGTAGATAGAGCGCATTTCCCTCATGAAACAAACAGTTGGGGCGGTGTTGGCTTGCGAATGGAATGAATCATTTGAATGACGAATTAATAATCCATGGAGAGGATGCAGTTATAACACCAAATCTAGTAATTCCAATAATGGAAATCGTTATCAGCTTTTCGAATTAATTGGTGCCTTCTAGATTTTTCTTGAACTCAATTATTCTAAACCAATGCCCTGAAATGGGACCAGATTTTGAAAGATGAATTTAATTTTTGGTTCCTACATCGAAAATTAATTTGCTCTATTTTATACGTATCAGCCTGAGCTTAACAATTTCCTAGTATCCAGTTTTTTTGCCGCGAAAAAGTTCCAACCAATTCGGTGCGAAATGCAGATGGTTTGCTCAAAATTACTTGAAATTCATCACAATGCGATCGCCATTGGTAAACTGTAACGCATAGAGAAATACTGGTTATACATATATCGATATTCGTCACGATTTATTTGAAAAAACGGTTTTTATTAATTAAACAATTATTAATATAATAACAATTTAATTATAACAAATACAGACGAGACTAGCAAATAAATTTAGTTAACAAGTGACAGTAACACCGAGGAATAGTGGAAATTAATTAGACAAGAGCGAATTATGACGAGAAACAAATTAAAATGGGTAATCGAATTAAGAATATGAGTGAAAACAATGCGTTACTGGATCACTTGAAAAGTTTCTTGACATCCTTGACGAAATTCTTAATAGTTCGCGTTGTGCCGGAACCATGCAGTGCTTCACAGAATCTGGCGGAGACGTCGCGGAATGTGTCTGGTGAGACGTCGTTTATGGCACGAAGGCGAACCTCAACTTCGCGGGCTGAAATTTAGATATTTAATTGTATTGAAATACTTTGAGAAAATCTTACCAAAACATTTAACCTGCCGTTCGAAAGTCGACGCGTTCTCAATGGCGAATGGGAGACGGGGCTCAAATCGCATAAGCTTTTCGACTCGCTGTTGAATCTTTTGCAATTTTCGCGTGTCCTTATCCTTTCGTAAGTTTCGGAACATCGTGAGCATTAGAAAAACTAAAAAAATAAAGAGATTGAAAGCGAAACAGAAAGAAAAACTCACTATATGGTTCAACCTCTTCGCATTTGCTGAATGTGTTGTCTCTCTGGAAATTTTCGTACTGGTGATGCTCGGCCGGAATCATCTCCTTGAGCTCCTTTTCTCTACACTGAATGCAGCACGGTCGGACTTCCGGTTGTGGTGGGGGCGGGATTGTCACATTCATAGACTTCGGCGATGGTAATGGTGGTGGTGCGAACGTGTAAATTGTGGTGGTCTTCGTTTCTTCATATGGACGAGCTGAAATTAATTTAAATTAAAAGGATATATTTCAAAAATTAATTAAATAATTCAAATTCAGTGATCGAAATAATCTTACCTCCATTAATAACTGTTGTAAGAGAAGTGGACGACGACGAAGAGTATCCGGAAGAGTATCCACCGTCGGACTTTTCCGCCGCAGACCTCATTCGATATCTAAAGAAACTTGTCGTTTTTGTTTATTCCAAATTGATCGTTGATCAAAAAATCAACCAGAGTGCTCAAAGTGCACTTACCTTGAAAGTCGGAATTCTGCGGAGGAGTCGGAATACGCATATGGTGATGGTGGAACATTTAATGATGGTGGTGTGTGGTCTGTGATGCTCACGTATGTTGGCTGCTCAATTTCAGCATATGTGTAGTTCAAACATTCTTCTGGGCAACTGCCCAACTTGAAGTTTTTTTAAATTCCATAAATACATATTATTCTAAAAAAAATCATACCTTTCGTGGTAAATCGAGTCCAGCTTTGGCTGACGTTCTATATTCTTTCCTGAAACATACATGTTACAATTAATTGACAATAAATACCCCAATTACATAAAATAATACGAATACCACTTGTTAAATACCTTCTCAGGGCGTTTTTTCCCATGACTTGCGCAGCACGGGAAGGGGGTGGCATGTAAACGGCAGGCTGCGCAAAGACGTGGCAAGCTGCGAAAGAAATGCGCGAGGTGCCATAATCGCGGGATTGTTACGGGTATGCTGCCCGTGGATATCGCATGTTGCCCGCAGGAAGCGCATTAGGTGGGCAGGTTGGAGACGCAGACAGTGAAGGGATATCCGCTCTAATCGTTTAAACGATTTTTAAATTCCACGCGCTTTTTAACGCAAGTTAAACGTTTAAATTTTAATTGAATTAATTTTTTTTAATCGATTTTTTATAAATTTTCAAATGAATATAATCTTCGTGATTTTTACAATTGTTCTAATGCATCTATCCATTCAGTGTGTGTAAATTTTTTTCGAATTTGGCGAGAAAACATCAATTGAAATCGAGAACTAAGTAAAATTATACGACGCAGAATTAAACAAAATTTTTACGGACCTTTTAATAATTTCTCTATTTTCATCGTTGCATTAAGATTACATTTACTTCCAGGTTATTGACCGTGATCAAAGTGGATCGACGAACCAAAACTCTAGGTAAGATCTAAACAATTTCTGCATATCTATATTTGTGTTACTTAAAAAAATGGCTACGCATATCTAAATAGGGATAAGCAATATTAAAAATTAATTAATTTAAAAAAATTCTTTCAGCACATTCATTGAAAAGAAATAAGAGGTCGAGGGCATCGTCTAAGATAACGTGGGAAATGATTTGCGGCACGAAAGACTAAATTTGCTGAAAGTGTAGCTGCATTCGATCCTTGCGAAAGATTAGTTTGGTCCGTAAAAAATGGCATGAAAAAACTCAGCGTTTCTGGAATGCCTTCACCCTTTAAGGTAACAATTATAATTAATGCATTCTTTCAAATATCTCTTCAGAGTCGCATTTTTACTATCTTGGATATATCTACATTGATTCATCCATCGTCAGAAATTGATCCAAAAGCAGTAATTTCATTTTATCTTTTTCAAATACTTCAAAATGTTAGGGAAGTTTTTGTGTCAAATCACTTATTCAATTTTTAGCTGACGGAGCCGGTTCAAGAAATTCAGAAATTTACAGTTCGCGATCGTCAAGAAAGTAAAAATGCGACACTGGAAAACTTGCCGCAACCAATCGTGGATGTAATAAAAAGTAAAAAACTGACAATTGAAAAAAAAAAAATACTAATCGAATGTTTTCAGGATTTTTCATTCAATTGTTTGGATTGAATTCGAACATTTATTCAAATCTTTGCTTGACCGACATTGAATTGAAGGATAATTCGTAAGCGGTATTAATTAGACAACTATAACAAGTTACTCTTAAGGGACTACATGACGTTGGGAGTAAACGAAAACGAAAGAAAAGAAATACTCCACGTTCGTCGAGCCATGCATTATCGATTGCAAAATGTAATCTTGCCGGCGAAGTTGAAAGCGGCAATGTAAGATTCTACTCAATTTAAATACATAGAAATATATCAATTTTTAAGACAGAAATTCGACTGGCAAAGATTGCAATTGGGGAAAACGGGAATACATTCCTAAAAAAGAGAAGTGTGAGCATTTTCTTTCATTCTTACATGAACCAAAATTATCGAATTTGATGCTTTTAATCTATGAAAACGTTTAAAATTCTTCAAATTTGACGTTTTATATATATAAAACTCTTTTTTTCCTTTTAGAGGCATTCCAAAGTGGACAGCGCTTGATTCAATGCATTGGTACCGATTTTTTTCTATGATAATTATAATTATTTAAATGTTTTGTATTGTTATTTTTTTAGCTTTCTTTTTTAAATAAATGATGTTTTTACGCTTAAAACTGATGACATATGTATTAACACAATGAACATTTTGTTGCAATTTGTTAAAAGTGAAGCGATATATGCTGCGATTGGTTATAGCCTTTGAATATCCCGTAACAATCCCGTGAATCCCCCGCGTCAATCGCAGGCCTGCGCGTGTTTTGGGGCAGGCCTGCCACATGCCCGGCACACGCCTGCCCAAAATGACGAGCAGGCGTGCCCCAAAACACGCGCAGGCCTGCGCAAAATCTCCCTGAGCTTTTCTGCGAAAAAATGAAAAATAACATTACAGTTTCCTGGAAGCATCATTGATCATTGATTTGATAAAATGAGATTATAAATCTTACAAGGGATTGGGGTGATTTAAATTTTATTGAATTTTTGAGAAATATTTACAAAAAAGTCGATAAATTAGAGAGATAAAAGCGCCGCTAAAATTTGAAATTTCAAATCACCGCTTGAGTGAGCCTTACTTTACGCAAATTTGCGGATTATTTTATACCGTACCATATGCCAGATATATTTATTTTATATGCCACCCGATTTTATTTATTGAGAAAAATGGAAACAATGAGTTACTGGATCACTTGAAGTGTCTTGACACCCTTCACAAAGTTCGTAAAACCATACAGTACCTAGTAAATACTGGCGGAATGTGTCTGGACGTCATTAATGGCACGAAGGCGAACTTCAATTTCGCGAGCTGAAATTTAGATATTTAATTGTATTGAAACACTTTGAAAAAATCTTACCTAAACATTTAAGCTGCCGTTCGAAAGTCGACGCGTTCTCAATGACGAATGGGAGACGGGACTCAAATCGCATAAGCTTTTCGATTCGCTGTTGAATCTTTTGCAATTTTTTCGTCTTCAAAGTTTCGGAACATTGGAAAAATCATATTTATGAAACAAACAATAGAAATAACCGATGGCCCTAAAGAGGGCCGTTTGAGTTCGAAGTATTGAGTTGTCTCTGAATACTTCTAGCGACTTGCTAGGTCGTAAAGAAGCCGCCTGGTTGAGGAAAACGATCCTCGACCTGCGTGAGACAAGTGTACCGATTAGCCTGGCTCGACTCCCATGAAGGAGAGCCGAGTCAGTTGATCTTCTTCGCCACGTAGAGGCTCGGTACATGAAGAAGAGGCTCACCAGCATCAGGCCGAAACCTGATGTGGGTCATCGCCGATCCCACCTTGGGGATCACACAAGGACATCCCACAACTATCATCCGAGGATAATAGAAGTAGAAGTGGTTGTGCAAGCCACGTCTGGCTGGGCCCCGGGTCTGCTGGTGATATGTTGGCGTCGTCGTCTTCGTCATCATAGCTAAGTAGCACGCTATGATGCACATAGGTCTGGTACCAGTAGTCATCCTAGTAGCATGGATAAAAACCGGATAATGCGAAAAAAAAAGCATAACCATCCATGAGGCCAATAGCAGTTCCCAAGTACCAATACTTGAATCGGGGTAGCAGATTCCAAGTATGTTACTCGAAACAGGCTTTGGATGGGCTTCGATTCCCGGCTACGGAATCAGGACTGATTGGCTTGCCAGACCAATCATCCGAGTTTAGGGATCGGCGGATAAGCCGCCTCACCCAGCCAACGCCTTGTCTGGGACCGGAAGTCATCCTAGTAGCATGGATGACGGCCGGATGATGCAAAAAAAAGCATAACCATCCATGAGGCCAATAGCAGTTCCCAAGTACCAATACTTGAATCGGGGTAGCAGATTCCAAGTATGGGACTCGAAACAGGCTTTGGATGGGCTTCGATTCCCGGCTACGGAATCAGGACTGATTGGCTTGCCAGACCAATCATCCGAGTTTAGGGATCGGCGGATAAGCCGCCTCACCCAGCCAACGCCTTGTCTGGGACCGGAAGTCATCCTAGTAGCATGGATGACGGCCGGATGATGCAAAAAAAAGCATAACCATCCATGAGGCCAATAGCAGTTCCCAAGTACCAATACTTGAATCGGGGTAGCAGATTCCAGGTATGGGACTCGAAACAAGCTTTGGATGGGCTTCGATTCCCGGCTACGGAATCGGGACTGATTGGCTTGCCAGACCAATCATCCGAGTTTAGGGATCGGCGGATAAGCCGCCTCACCCAGCCAACGCCTCGGCACTAGGGGAAAGTTAGGTGGGGAGGAAGGGATGCCTTGGCGTTTTAGGGGAATAGCCGACTACGGCTATGGATGGCCGACTACGGCAGAATTAAAGGTAGGCTAGAAGAACTTAGAAACTTATGCTTAGTTATGGGGAATACCTTAGTGTAGTTGCGAGTCGATTCATCGTCGGGATCCTTTCTTCTGGTCCTTCCATCCATCGGCGACCGCAGCAACGACGATACCTAAACATACACACGCACACACAAATTAAAACAAATAAAAAACACTCGCACACAAGCACTCCCACACAAAAATAATAAGAATAAAAATAATAAGAATAAAAATAATAAAATATAAAAGTTAGAGAAAGGAAAGGGGACGCCGGTCATTAGTGGAACGACCGGCATAGCCGTAAGTGGTACGACATTCCCCGGAAAAAAATAAAGAAGAAAGGATCCCAAGTGGTGGGATTTGGAGGAAGAAGCCGCAAGTGGTACGGCAAGAGGGAATGGTGGAAGTGAAAGCCATAAGTGGTATGGCTGGAAGAAGGATGGGGAAGCCGGCATTCCCCGAAAAAAGAAGAGGTGGTCCCAAATGGTAGGACCGGAGGAAGGAAGTACAGACGTAAGTGGTACGAATGTACGGATAGAAGGGAAAGAGGGTGAAGCCGCGAGTGGTACGGCACGGGGAGGGGGAATCAGTCGACTGATAGAGATTGGGGGAGGGGGGCAGTCGTAAGTGGTACGACTGGTGCAAGTGAAGATTCCCTTCCTCGTTGATTCCCTTCCTCGTTGATTCCCTTCCTCGTTGATTCCCTTCCTCGTTGATTCCCTTCCTCGTTGATTCCCTTCCTCGTTGATTCCCTTCTTCGTAGCTTTTTCGCGATTTCTTCTCCGGTTCGCCATATTCATAGAAGATCTCTACAATGATTCGAGTTTTTCTGATAGATTGTTGCTCCTTCTTTACCATTCAAATCCACTTCGTCACTCTGCTCGACGCCCCGGAAGCATCGACCTTTCGTCACTGCTCCATCTTTCCTTCGTCACCTCCATGTCTCGGTGTAGGTTTATCGTCGTCCTCGAACCAGCACTGCAGAACGCCCATTGAAGGGTCAGCGCCGACTAACGGAACCGGTCGAGTCGAGAATCCCTCACACCTTGAGCATTTCCGATCAAAAGGAGTCGATGGAGTATCGACTGCGGCTCGAATCGGATCTGCAATACGAAGGGAATTCCGAAAACGACTGCCAAGAATGCGGCATACCGAGTGGATCCGCGGCCGCAGCGAGCCCGCAGGAGAAGTGGGCCGCTCGCAAGTCGGAGAGCTGCGAGAATGACCAAATTCGACATCTTGCCGGCCTTTTATAGTGCCACTGGCGTCGGTGCGAAATGTGCAATTGAGCGCATTTGCCGAAGCGAACTGCAAAATGACGCCAAGTTCTCTTATGTCAGCACACTCTCTGGTCTCAGACGGTGACGCGCTTTCCCGGGCCACGTTGGATTGTAGATAGAGCGCATTTCCCTCATGAAACAAACAGTTGGGGCGGTGTTGGCTTGCGAATGGAATGAATCATTTGAATGACGAATTAATAATCCATGGAGAGGATGCAGTTATAACACCAAATCTAGTAATTCCAATAATGGAAATCGTTATCAGCTTTTCGAATTAATTGGTGCCTTCTAGATTTTTCTTGAACTCAATTATTCTAAACCAATGCCCTGAAATGGGACCAGATTTTGAAAGATGAATTTAATTTTTGGTTCCTACATCGAAAATTAATTTGCTCTATTTTATACGTATCAGCCTGAGCTTAACAATTTCCTATTATCCAGTTTTTTTGCCGCGAAAAAAGTTTCAGCAAATTCGGTGCGAAATGCAGATGGTATCAAAATTACTTGAAATTCATCACAATGCGATCGCCATTGGTAAACTGTAACGCATAGAGAAAAACTGGTTATACATATATCGATATTCGTCACGATTTATTTGAAAAAACGGTTTTTATTAATTAAACAATTATTAATATAATAACAATTTAATTATAACAAATACAGACGAGACTAGCAAATAAATTTAGTTAACAAGTGACAGTAACACCGAGGAATAGTGGAAATTAATTAGACAAGAGCGAATTATGACGAGAAACAAATTAAAATGGGTAATCGAATTAAGAATATGAGTGAAAACAATGCGTTACTGGATCACTTGAAAAGTTTCTTGACATCCTTGACGAAATTCTTAATAGTCCGCGTTGTGCCGGAACCATTCAGAGCTTCACAGAATCTGGCGGAGACGTCGCGGAATGTGTCTGGTGAGACGTCGTTTATGGCACGAAGGCGAACCTCAACTTCGCGGGCTGAAATTTAGATATTTAATTGTATTGAAATACTTTGAGAAAATCTTACCAAAACATTTAAGCTGCCGTTCGAAAGTCGACGCGTTCTCAATGGCGAATGGGAGACGGGGCTCAAATCGCATAAGCTTTTCGACTCTCTGTTGAATCTTTTGCAATTTTCGCGTGTCCTTATCCTTTCGTAAGTTTCGGAACATCGTGAGCATTAGAAAAACTAAAAAAAATAAAGAGATTGAAAGCGAAACAGAAAGAAAAAACTCACTATATGGTTCAACCTCTTTGCATTTGCTGAATGTGTTGTCTCTCTGGAAATTTTCGTACTGATGATGCTCGGCCGGAATCATCTCCTTGAGCTCCTTTTCTCTACACTGAATGCAGCACGGTCGGACTTCCGGTTGTGGTGGGGGCGGGATTGTCACATTCATAGACTTCGGCGATGGTAATGGTGGTGGTGCGAACGTGTAAATTGTGGTGGTCTTTGTTTCTTCATATGGACGAGCTGAAATTAATTTAAATTAAAAGGATATATTTCAAAAATTAATTAAATAATTCAAATTCAGTGATCGAAATAATCTTACCTCCATTAATAACTGTCGTAAGAGAAGTGGACGACGACGAAGAGTATCCGGAAGAGTATCCACCGTCGGACTTTTCCGCCGCTGACCTCATTCGATATCTAAACAAACTTGTCATTTTTGTTTATTCCAAATTGATCGTTGATCAAAAGATTAACCAGAGCTCTCAAAGTGCACTTACCGTGAAAGTCGGCATTCTGCGGAGGAGTCGGAATACGCATATGGTGATGGTGGAACATTTAATGATGGTGGTGAGTGGTCTGTGATGCTCACGTATGTTGGCTGCTCAATTTCAGCATATGTGTAGTTCATTCTGTAAATCGCATATTAATTTTTAAAACGTGGGAACAATTGTGGTAGGAAATGTATGAGAAATCGGAAAAAAAAAACTGTGAGTCTGGGAACCACCGGAATTCCCAAGGCAGCACGTGCGGGTTCCCAGAGACACGCTTCGGTGTCATACTGAGAATCTGGTGGATCTGCTCGCATGGGGTGGGATCTGCCACGCCCATCATATCTGGCCACGCGCATCAGCAGCGGGCTTAGAGAGCACGTGAGACGGTGAGACACCCGACATTTTGGTGTGTTGAATTTCACACTTTGGCGTTGTGCTGGGAACCGGATGAGTATCAGCTAGGTGCAAAATGGACACGCTTCGCGGATATCACGTAGATCACTCAACCGAGAACTGCGAAATATCGAAATAGTTTTAATTGACGCGTTAAATTGCAATCAGTAGAATATTGGAAATACCGAAAGAATGATTACTGTAGTGGAATGTGAAATTTGTAACAACGTCAAAACATTGAGGATTTTCAACGTTTAACAATATTTTAAGCCGGGCAAGCTTCTTCTATGAATCTGAATCCATTAAAGTGTTTTTTTTAGAAGAAAAGGACCTATGTTTAAGTTGTAGAAATGAAATTTTGGGAAAACCGGCGAATTCAGAAAATGTCAACTAATCTCATATTTTGCTCTAAACTTTTAAAACTTTAATATTAACATTAATTCTAATTTCTTATTAGCTCCGTCTATTGGAAGACAGGAATTCGCACGCCAAAAGGTTTTAACCGAATAAGGCTCTTCAAATTTGTCACATGAACCGGTTCAAGGCCTTAAACTTTATGAGTATCATATGAAAAGAAAACTAAAATTCGATCCGAGAAATGATAATCCAGCTTATAAAATATTATTTACTGAACACTAAAAAGTTATTCTTTTAGAAAAGTTTGAAGGAATCTCGAAACTGTGTATACAATTAAAATATGAAACTAGATTTTTGAAAAATAAAAAATTCAAATTCAGAAAAAAGTCAACAAAAAATTTGTGTGTTTTTTCACGCATTTTTGCGGGCTTTTATTTATTCCAATTCTTGATCTTCTAAATTTCAAAAGTTAATAAACCAAGATCAAAGACCAAAAATCGGAACAACTTTCTGATCTATTGGAAATTTTCGAGTTTGGAGAGGAATTTTAATTTTAGGGTATTGTTTTTTTTACTTTTCAATAATTCGATATATCCTTGAGCCAAGGAAAAAAGGAAAAATAGATTTTTTCATTCCTGAATTCAAAATTTCTCATTTTTAAAAATTTTTATGCATGACCCCCAAATTGAATTATGTAGTCCACCTCGTCTTTCCAATTTTTTCCTTTTTTTTCATACCTATTCTCTTCGGTTTAGAATTCTGCTTAAGAATTGCATGTCTAGTAGAAGTTTTCAAACAATTCATTTGCGCAATCGGCACCAATCAATTATTTCGGTGTTGCGCAACTAGCGGCGACAATAAAAGAGAAATTTTCACAGTTTCAAAATGGAAAGGTGCGAAATGCTCAAGGGATTTTTCCTCGGGAAATTCGAAAATGTTTCAAATTTTATAGATTTTAAAGGATGTTCTAAGACTCCACTGAGTCTTCCTGACCTCGCAGCTTGCATCCCCGGTTAGCACATTTGTATTAGTGTCATCACTAACAACCGTATCATCAAAAATGTGCCAATAGGCAGATTCGCCGGAAATGCGCACTTGACCATGCAAGAACCAATTCTCCCCCCAACAACCTAATCCCAAACCAATTACGGTATGCGATTATCTAATGTTTCCCAGACGAGATATGCGGCGAGCCTTTGCGCACAAAGATTAACGCATATTTTCCTGTAGAAACATTGCTGATTTGTCAATTTGATTGTGCATCGTAATCCTCGCGATCTTCCGGATCTTCATTGTTCAATGTTCCTCAATTACGCGGTATTTTGATGTTAACATACTAGACATTAACCCAATTATCATAGTAATTTGCCTACTGGGAAGGAGAGGGTCGTGTCGTTTTACAATCGTGTGAACTAGGCAATCAGGAGGGCAATCGCCACTGACAAATGCATTCCTTTTGCACTCACTTTTGATTTATGCTTTCTACAGTATACCTTGTTTCACATTCAAAAAGCCATTTTGAAAATGGGTCGTCGCGAAAATGAAAATTTCGCGCATCGTCAAACTCGTCAAACATTTTTGATGTTTTCAATTTTATTTGAAGTGTTGGGGTCCTCCGGGGGATTGTGTGTTGTGTGCCCCATCCTTTCAACTAGATTATGCTCATTGAGCACTTTTTTCTTGGCCGCCGGCCCCGCCTGGCCCATTTCGCCCTCCACTCCAAAAATGAAGCGCGGCCGAGAAAAAGAGGAAGGAAGCAACAGCTGAGTACTATGCATTTCTGATTTATTCCGTTTTGGGGACAGCCTGGTATTTATTTATGAAAGAATTCTTCCTCTTCTTCTTCTTATTCATCTTCACTGACTAGATAAGATAATCGTGTAATCAGTTTTCTTCTGATTTGCCCCCGAGGCTCCTAATTGAATTCCGTCGCCACCCCCGACAAACATTCTTCTTCTACTTCTGCTTATACGAATTTTGAATCTTTTCCATTGCATAAAAATTGAAAAAAAAAAAAAACAATTCCTCTTGATGTTTCAATTTATTAAATATTTTCAGAGAATGAAGTCTTCAGTCAGTCAATTCTTACATCAAGTAAGTTATTTATTTGTTGATTAAAAATGTTTCAAAATCCCCCGAATAAAGAATATAAAGCGTACAATATATGGACGTTTAAATGTAGATAAAAAGGCACTTTTCAAAAAAAAAAATAAAGTAAATAAATACAATGAACGTTTCACTGATTCCGGTTGCGGAACTCTTTGACAATGTGGAATAATTGTGGAAAAGCCCCACGAATCATTTGAGCGATGCCATACGCCAAAGAGATGAGGCGAAGCTCGTTCTCGCAGTTTTCCATCCATTCAATCTGAAAAAAGAAAATTGAAATCATTGAATTCTTCCCCCTACCCCATTTTTTTCGATTTACTTTTATTTGGTTTTCCGAGAAGAATGAGCGATTCGGCTTGACTGTCGCCATCATTGTGTCCTGTGTCATCACCGACCATGTTTCTTTTGTAAATGAGCAGCCACATTGCATGAATAGCGTGCTGAGGCCCGAATTCTGGGTCATGATGCGAGCACTGTAAAAATGAACGCGTTTCGTTGGGGTGTCCTTCGCTCATTGCTGTGTTTAGGTCAGACACTTAAACACACGTTGCCCGCCGCCAACCAGAGCCTCTATAGCTCAGTGGCAGAGCGTCTGTCTCGTAAACAGAAGGTCGGCGGTTCAATCCCGCCTGGAGGCAGGTTTTGTTGATTTTTTAAAACCACGCTTACCCTTTCAAATCATCGGTGTTTGCTTGAATCAAAATGGTCCCTCCGAGCTCGCGAAGCTCGTACACTGTCATTCCTAAAAATTAAGCTATTAAATTGTAGTGAAAGGCAACTTCTTGCCGCCACACCTGAGACGGGATGCTTGATCTTGAGGATATTCGTCGAATCCTCATTGTCGATCAAAGTGATTTCGCAGATTTTTTTGTGGCCCTCTTGCAGAATAATTTCGTCGGGGAACACGCTCGCCTGCATGAATCGATAACCCTCTTTGTTATAGATGTCGAGTTCAACGGGGTCAAATTGAACCGAATTGCGCATCACGTAATTCTCGATGGCCGCTTGCAACTGCAATTTTCGTCCAATTTCCTCGAGTTTGAATCGAACTTCTTTTGTTTTGCAGAAAAAAAACTTTAATATACCTGTGAAATATCATTTAGCTTGATGTGCACACTATCCAATTTCTGTAGAATATGGACCACTTCGATTTTTGTGAGCGTTGGTGCGATTGCAGTTGAGAAGCGTCTAGGATAATTAAATTAGGCTCGAGATTCCTTTAGCATAATTCAATTCTCGTGCGGCGTTTCAAGAATCTCCCCCTTTGTATCGAACCTGATCCAATGGAACCCGAAAATATTCCTTATCTATGTACAGTGCTCAAAGCATATTAAAAAAAGTTTTTTCTTCCATACGAGACCCAAAGCGGAAACAAATGTTACAGTAATCGCACCCCATATTCGTTCGTCATTGTCTATAGCCCTTCTAACTAAACCCCCCCCCTCCCCCTCCTTTAAATTGTTCTTCGCATAATTGTTGAGCTGCGAATAAAGAGAGGTGCCACTTGAGGCGCTTCCGGATTCATCTCAATTTTCTTTGAATTCCTCGGCCTTCATTTAATTCACTTATACGATTTTGCGCTCACTTTTAAAAAACTCCATTCATTTAAAACAAAATTCGATGTACCTTGCTTGTCTTGAAATCTGTGCTGTAACTGACGAGGTCCGTCGGCCGCCCGTCATTCCTTCAGCAGAATTTGTCGCGCCGACCTTTTTCTTTTTTCTTTTCTCGCTTGAGGACAAGTTCAAATGTTTCTGCAAAAATAACTCGTATCAATATGAATTTTATAAATAATCTTTTTTTCAATCAAAAATCAAAATTCCAAGAAATCTGCTTCTTGAATATTTTAATGAGTCAATCCCGATGAGCTAAAAAAACATGCATTAAATGTGCATTTAAAATTCCAAAAGTTTAATTGATCAAAAAGCTTAAAATATTCAAATTTAGATATACGAAATATTCATTGGTCTATTGCTTTTAGGATTAGTTAAGTAATAAGATAACAGTAATAAAAGTTCATCTGCGGACACTTTCCTGGTCAACACGATTTCCATGAAAATGTCTAAAGATTTTTTAACTAGCGAAAGAGAAAAAAAAACATTGATTCGTCACCGCTCTCTTTTTCCCTTTCAAATAATTTGAAGAACAAAAGAAATCAAACAATCGATGAAAAGAACGCTTATTTTTTGCCGAAACAAACATGTCGGTCCAATTTTCTTCCCCATAATAAGAAAAAGGCAAAAATCATAAACTTCCTTAGTTGACACAATTCGGCATAATTAGTTAGTTAGTCGAGGAGATGATTTGCATTATCCGCCTACACCGAGCTCAAAGGTCAAGAAACATTCTTTCAACAAGAGGGGCTCAATGTGTTTACTAATTTTTGAAAGAAGTGAAATACAATTTATATTGTGGCTCGTTTAAATAATAATTTAAAATTAAAATGGGAGCGAGTGAGAGACAAACAACCAGAAAAAATTGTTTTGATTGCCCGCCAATTTCACATTAATTAATGGTGTATACGGTATCTCAAAGTGTGCAAACGGTGCAAACACCGCGACGCAAATGTGTGCTCAACAATTCCTTTGGGTCGAATCAATTAATCAGAGCAGAATGCGCACACGGAAGTTTGTCTTTAGCGAATTGCTAAATAGAAGCTTAGCTTTAAATATTTCAAGCTTCCAGTGAATGTAATTGTGCAAAAAACACACCGATAACTACCTTTTCCATTATCGACATATTATCGCGTTCGCAACGGAAACTGAATAAAGCAAAAATTTTTTTTTGGTTTTATTCAATTTTTTTATTGGTCGTCGCGATTTTCCGCTCAGCCGAATATCGGCAACGAATCGCAACGACAAAATGAGCACGAACAAAAAAAATTGAAAAAAAAAAACCAGGCGAGATGAGTAGAGGGCAGAAAAATCGCAGAAATGTTGCGTGTGACACGGTTCTAATTGAAAATTTAAATGAAATGATGATGTTCGCCGAGAATCGCTTAGTGAGATCACTTTTTTTCGCTGATTTTTGTGTATGTGTGTCGGCTTTTTTCGGCATCAAAGCGCACGCAAAATTGCGGACTATTTTCGAGAATTCCTTTTTTCTTGGGCGTGAAGCCGCCAATTTCGCATCAAGCACTCCTTATTTATACGGGATCGCGGATATTGAAAACCATAAATTTCGATGGTCCCTTTTTGTTGTTGTTGTAAGATTGACAAGAATTCAATAGCGCGAAATTTGGCGGAAATTGAAATTTCGTGTATTCATTGGGCAAATTTCGGTGACGGGTAGCTTCCACATCGAAAACCTTTTTTTTGGTTGGTTCGAATGGTCCCTGCCCAGGCGATGAGGAAACACATTTTTCGAGTAGATTAAAATAGCATGCATACCAAAATCAGAGAATATTTAAGGATAGTCAGCAATTTTTTCTTATGTCGCGTCTATTTTTTTTTTGGGGTGAAGTTAATTAGAAAAATTTGGGCTCGAGAGAAAAAATGTGGCAGGAGGCCGGCAAACACAAAAAAATCCAATTCGGAATTTGAAGAATGGGTGGCAACCAACCAAATGGGACGCCTTTTTGGTATTGAATAAATCATCGGTCAAGAATGAACCCCATGGAAAAGAAATGCGAAAATTTTGTTTGATTCGCTCGCGGCGCTCTTCAACCCAAAAAAACGAAAAGAAATGATACAAAAATTGGCTTGACTATTCGAAAATTAGCATTATTCTCATTCTCACATCGTTTTTTCCCCGGTTTTCAATATTATGAATATTCATTAATAGGAGACATAGGAAGTAAGAATGAAGAACGTTTATGTGCACTGACAAAAAAAATTTATTGGGCCGTAGCTTGTTTGTTTCTTGACATGCCATATATGTAATTTGAAGACGAACCAGAAAAAAAATTGGTTGACCGATAAAAGAAAATGCAAAACGCCCCGAATTTATGGGGTTTCGCAATTTCTAATGGGCACCCGGCGTTATTTATTGAGGAAAACCCGATTTTTTTGTTGATATAAAATTCAAAAATTGGTCTCTTTATTTTTGCAAATGGATACCCGCAGTGTCGGCAGATGTTAACAAGTAATAATAACATCAACCTAAAATTCTAGGTACATTTATACTAAAAAAAATTCATACTAAAAACGGAAGTCTCATAAAACAACCCCCCTTTTCCTTATAGAGAAACCAATATGTGATTAAGAGTTAAAAGGCATTGATGAGAAGAATTTGTCTTCAGTTTTCTGATGATCGGACGGAAACCTCAAGTCAGCATGAATTACTGTAGCCCCTAATGAGTGTAGATCAAATTTTTCTAATAGACCTTCCCTTCTAGAGTTCAAATTTTGTATATGATTCACGGAATTGCTCATTTTGAGAATTGCAAAAAATGCTGAACCCAAATTAGGCTCATTTTTCAGTATTCGCGTCATTCCTACGAGAAAAAAAATGAACACAAAATGAGAAATTTTTGAAATAGACCGGAATTTTTTTGTTTCGCGGGAAAAGCGCGCCCGCTTTCTCATCGGTGACACAAAATTTTTTGGCCTATCGATTTTTTGGGGCGCTCGCGCCGCGTCAAAAGATTCATTCAAAAATTATGTGTTCGACACCGTTTTTCTTTGTTGGCCGGTGAAAATTGGAAAATATTCATATATGTACACGAAAATTTCGCAAAAATATTGTTTTTTTTTCGAATTGATCAAATTCGTACTTGGACAGTTCAAAGGATGTTTTCAAGAATTTTGACACTGAATAATAACTATTTTTTTCTTTAAAATACCCATTTTTTAAAAGAATCCCTGAAGAAAACTTTCTTCATCAAATTGCCATTTAAATTATTTTTGACGAATGAAGAAAGGACTCACAAGTATTCCCATTTTTGGTAGCGTCGGCAACACAACGACGAATCGTCGTAAAATGCCTGAAGACGCGTCGCAAGCCGAAAAAAATATGGAAAGAAAAATAAAATCGATGCGACGATCGTTCCATAATGACGCTATTATCATGCATATTAGGAAATGCACATTCTTTACAATACCGTAATCGTATTGACATCAGTTGAGGATGAATTTTTGAAGAAATGAATATGAATTGAAGTCGTTGGTAACTACGGAATACTCATTCGCGGGAAACATTAACACTTTTGGTATTCCATCTGCAAATATTCTCGATGAAATGACGGCAATAATACCTTGAAATTCGGTGGATAATTCCTTGTTTTGTCATTTTTTTACAAACGTTGAAAATTCTGAATAGCTCTGAATTATTTCCAACATTTTATTCAAATTCTGATTACCGCCTCGAAGAAGTACGATGGTCCACAAATACTGCTCAAATAGTGTTCGATTTTTGCTATTGTAATAAATAAATTGTCGGCGCAATGAACAAATTAAAAAAATGATTGGCTGTGTGCAAATGCGTCTCGAGGAAGCGAGAAGTACGCGAGACTGCGTACATTGCATTATATATATGTATACAGTATCTGCATTTAATATTCAGCTAACGATAAATTGAAATCTACACTAATATCGCGAATTTGAAAGGTCCGCCTCCCTTCAATCGTTGAAGTAAAAACACAATAATCACTTTAAACCTTCTAAATAATAAATTTTACATAAAAAATCTCATAACCACAAGAAAATAAACAGCCTGCGTTGACTTACGTATAGTGAGTTTGATTCTTTGATTCGCAGGTTATCGTAGTACAATACCCGAATTTCTAGCGTTTAAACTGAAACTTGAATTCCCGCCTCGAAAAAGTGTGATGAACCACAATCACTCAAAAAGCTCTTTTTTCAAATAATCTGATGATTTGCCGTGATGACATTGAACACATTTTAGCTGTGGACAATTCACGTGTTCCAAGCCATTACTTCCAAATTGACACTGTACTTCTATTATATAAGTTATTGCTTATGATTCTCGTTTCTCGTTTTCAGCCGTGGTCACCGATGAAGCGAAAACGCGCAAAGAGCTCCAATCCGAACACGGCGAATCGGACAATCGTACCAGTGAATACCATTCAGCTACCGGTGAGTCTTATTTCTCGCATAACTAACAACAACGTGAAAAAAACGCATCAATATTGATGATATTTGACGATGTCGGGTGGGGCCTCAGTGAGGTTGGTGGCTGCCACAGTGGTTTGGTGTAAAAACGCCGTCGCGACGCGCGCTTCGTCTTGTTCAAAAAAATGTTTTTGATTTGATTTGGAGGGCGGTTGTACACATATATAGTTATCATCGCATGGTTTACAGCCAGCGTTTGATTATCATTCAGCTGGTTCGCGTTTACACCATTAATTTATTACTAAACGGTTTGTGGGTCGCTCAAATGTCCGCTGGCCGCCAAGAGGTAGGCTTGAATATTAGCACGGAGATGATCCTTTGCCGGAGGTCGTCGACGATTAAGTTGTCTGCGTGCGCGCAGTTGGGTGTCATCAACACCCCACACGGTAAAACCGCCTCCTCCGATCATCGCAGCACTATTTTTGGTGGGCGAATTGATACATTTTACCGCATCATCGTGTGGTTTTTTTGGCCCACTTTCTCTATATCTCTTTCGAATCGGACCTATCATTATTTCGACTACCTCAAATTCATCTTCATTTTTCAATTGTCCATGTCGATTTGTCAAAAAGTAGGCGACGGCGAAGAGAATCGAGAGGGTCCATCAATTTCTACATAATTTTTAACACATTTCGCCCTTTGATTGAATGACCTTCTTATAAAAACAACTCAATTTCGCTTTCAATTTTTTTATTTTATTAAAAAAATCCAATTTTATTAATCTTTCATCCTAAATGAGATTTTGTGGGCTGCTTCTATGATTTTTTTTCTCGTTATTGTAGGCTCCTGGATCTCATAAATCCTTTTAGTTTTTTTTTAAAGAAACCTTTTATTTTGGGAGAGCGCTCCAAGAATCCTGCTACCTTAATTTTGAAGCTCATTGAACCGTAAAAGGCAGTGCTAACTTGAACAATAGAATGTGGCGAGACCTGCCTAGTACGGCAAAAAAAAAATTTCGCGAAGTTCCAAATTTCACTTTTTTCAGAACTCAACGAGTCAACCAATGCTAAGCACGCAGTCGGCTCGCGCCTACAGTACGCTGCCAAGACGGGTAGGTCAAATGCAGATAGTTTTTTAATCGATCAATTTAATAGTAATCAAATACATGTCTCGGTGTATGATTCATAATAGAAGTGTTCGCAAGCGACCCGCGGGGTCACTTTTTTTTGTCTTGGCCATGCGCCAAAACGTGCAATTATTTGTGCGGTGGTCGAAAACGTTTCAATCGCTCTTCTTGGTTACTCTTGTTTATATATTATATATTACATACATATATTATATATGTATATGTATATGAAATAAATTTGGTGTCGAATTTCATGCCAAACCCTCTGGTTTACTTGGCAGCCATGAAATTTGGCGGCATGATTGTCAATCGCAAAAATGGTCGCCGATTTTTATTGCCGCGAATTCCGGACGCAATTCTTCAGATTCTCGCCAAGCAGGTAATCAAAATTTTTTGGAGTCTCAAGAAAAAAACGCTGAACTTTTTTTTTATAATTTTCTACCTATTCCTGTATGTTTCAGCACGTTTAAATACTAAACATGTTATAGCGAATAAAAATAAACAAATAGTAATCTCGCCGAAATCTATGTATTTTGAATACACCAATATAGTTTTACGATGCGTTGCGGTCGCTGTGACAGCCGACTTGAAAAAAATTTCATTGAATTCAATTTTTTTTTTCGCTATGGCTCCGACCGCTCATTTCGCTTCTTGGAATGTGGGAAGAGAAGTGTCAAGAGTGTGTTCCGGTGACATGTTCTAACTAAGTGGAGAAAAAAAAACGCAATGATGTCCCCGAATTAAAGAGGAGAAGATGAAATAAATTAGATTCTACCCCTGCTTCATTAAGTCGGTTCGGTCAACTGATCAGAGTTCGAATACGTTTTTTTAAAATTTGTTTATGATTTTTCGCGGTTATAACTATTTTTCTACAAAATTTTTGATTTAGAATATTATAATGCTAAATCCCGAAAATCTTGGAGCTCGAGGTAGAAAAACTAAAAATAAATGCTCAACCGCTGTCGTTCTTGATAATGTTCATACACAAGCACGCAAAATTGCACACTGTTATAAATTTGAAAAAGGTCTCTATTATTTTTGAAAAAAAGATTCGATTTATTTAAGATTTTTTTCATCTCAGTATTTAGAGGCGTATTCATTCATCATTTCGGGTTGCCAAAAATTCCGAAGATCGCTGACCTGTCGTCGGCGCGCTGTCACAATTCCATGTCGTCGGTGATTTAGTGTCCAGGTGTTCACGCAATTATCCATGTCCGCGGTCACATTAATTTTTTTGGTGGAACCCTCCCCCTAGCTGGCCGTTGTTTCAAAAAGCGAAATCGAAAAGCGAAACCGCCTCACACGAGAACGGTTTGTGAGGCTTTAATCGAGCGGAACGAAATTTGATTTCATTTTCAATTAAGTCTGGTTTCTCGATTCTCATTTCTTCTTTTTCATTTAATATCATTTTCCATGCCCCTTTAAAACAATGATGAATCGTCCAATTAAGTCAATATTTGTTTGCGCTCGTTGACATTGGTCACTCACAGGCCCCTTTTGTGTCCCAATTTTGGTACTAATATGTTTGCAAAAACGAAATTGAATTAAGCTTGCTTGAACCATCCATTGGTGTTCCTATACGAAGAGTACTTTAAGATATTTCTTTAAATGTTCCGCAAAATCAAAGTAAATACGAATTTAATAGTATGGTTGGCGAGAAAAGTTTGAAATGCGATACGTATCAAGTGGCTTCTCCATTTATAGTCAATATTTATTCATAACCAGCCAAACGCGCTAACTTTTCCATTTTCCTTACTCCGAAATTCGTTGTCGCCAACTTTTTTTGGCTGCTTGAACTTTTAAGACGGTTTGAGCCGCACCACAAACATGTCGGGGTTTCGTTGTGTGTCGCGCAGGTCACCGAGTCTCCAATTTGTCGTTTGTGTGTATTCTTCTTGACATTTTCGGTTCGGCCATTTTCCTTCTGATTTAACCCCAAATTGGATGGCACATGAATCATTTGGCAAATAGAAAAATAATGCGTTTTTTTTTCTTTCAAATGATTTATGCAATTTTTTCCATTTTACGAAGGAAATTGTTATAATATTGTTTCCATTTATGTCCATAAACAATATTTGTCGATTCTCAAAACATTCGTATTTTTAAAAATAAATAATATAATATATTTTTAGCTAGCGAGTTGATTCCTTTGTTCGAACAAAATGAATGAATGTTTTATGCAAATTGGACCACCCAGAACATGTGTAGTACACAGAATAATATTCGGGCGGTGCACCATCACGATAACAATCGAATCGGGCCCCTCCCCTCACCACGCCGCCACCACCAACAGTGTTAATCCACGCGCGAGTAATTAATTAATGCGCGCGGCGAAATAGTATGTCGAGCAGCGGAGTTTTCCCCGAATTTCGGACCACAGCACCCCCCCCCCTGGGTCCCGTCCGGTGTTTCGTCCAATTCTTTTTTAAAATTTGATTTTTTGACTTTGACAATTATCATGTGCACTCGAATTGATATAAGAATACATTGATAACAATACCATTATTGGCTTTTTTCTGCACGTCACGTGTTTTTTTTTTGTCCAGCGCCCCTGAAAAGGGTACATATTGGTATGGAATGTTAATTATTCACGCAAATTAGCCCATTTTTGTTTTCCTATTTGTTGAAAAAAACTAAAAAAAAACTTGTTTTCAAAAAAGAAGAAAGACATCATTAGTTTTGCAAGACAAAATTGCCCGCAGATGTATGTATTTTAATCTAATGTTATTCGTAAAGGAACACGTCCCCTCTCAATTTTTAATTAAAATTTATGTCCCACCCCCATTTTTTCGTCGAATTTTCGGACAAAACAACAACACCAACCGCTAGGCCTCGCAATCCTTTCCATATATGAAGAATGTTCGAAAATACATAATTCAAAGAGTTCTCACGGACTTCGCCTTAGGGCGTCATTCAACTAATTCCTTTATATGTCAAAAAGCTGCTTTTTGGTTTTGTTTTTGCCGCGAGACTTCCGCCCTGCGAGCCGAAAAGGAAAGGGCAATTGGGTGGAGCCCTCAAAACTTTGGGATTTCAAAATTTTGATTCATTTCTTGTTTTCAGTCAGCCATATTGTCGACGTCTCGCTCGCAGCAGCAGATGATATCGCTGACGCAGCAGATTGCGCAAGTTCGACTGGATACTCATAAAAGTGACACTTTTGAACAAAATGTGAGTTTTTCTTTTTTTTTTTAGTTTTTAATTTAACTACGGTAGGTTGTTAAAACGTGCATGCTCGATGACGGGAAACTGCACATTTTTCGACATTCTAATTATTTTTTCAAATAATTGTCTCAAAAATATTCAATGTATTGCAGGATTTGGTGCTGGATAACCATGGAATGGTCTTATCGGGAAGCCGTGATGCCCTTATAAGGCGTCTAGTACCCACACGTGACTTTTGTCCCGATTCTGGCTATATTTTCTCATTGCTTGTCAATATACGAACATTTATTTCACCCCATGAGCTGATGCAGAAGATTGTTCAGGTTTTCATCTATTCTTCAAATGTTTTTTTGAAAGACCAGAAAAACTCATCGCCGAAATTTATTTTGAAGTGACAGAATGGGGCTGTTTTCAACCCCTCGGGAAAATAATACGAAAAGATGGTCGCAATTTATTATTAGCGAACAAACAGCCATTTTGCTAAAATTACATGTAAAGAAAAACAAATTTTGGATTACTAAAACAGTGAATTCAAATCAGTTTTTTTCAGTATTGCATGTTCTCTCAGAATGCTGATTCATACAACTTTGCAAAGGAGGGGCGTGGCCGAATGTTTGCTCATATTCTTAGGCTCTGCTCCGAATGGGCTCTGAATATTCCCTATGATTTCAAAACTGAATACATGCGGACAAGGTTAAATGAACTTCTTCGTCTTTGCGCTGTTGACAAAAGCTACCAGCAACGTACTACCGAACTCCAAGCATCTTTAAGAACAGCTGTAGGAAAATCTGAAGTTTTTTAAAATGATAAACAATTTGGTTTAGCTAAATAAGTTGGATAGATATGAAAAGGCAGTTACAAATTTACAAAAGGCTTTATCAGAAAATACACAACCCCCCGAGCAGTCGGATATTATGGTAAACTGCATTTGTATTTGCTAACATAATAATTCATGTTTGGTTTAGGTTGGACTCTACGCTTTATGCAATGATCCGAGAGTTGTAGCTCAACAATTGACCCATATAGAAATGGTTAGAAGCCCCAATTTAGTCGAGAAAAATTATTTTTTTTACAGGAAAGGTTTAGTATGGTTGGAGTTGATGAAATTGTACAATCTCTGGCTACTGATCCGTTATCTGAAATTGGTAGACATTCAAAGGTGGATAGAGAAAAAAAGCGATCATTAAAAAAAAAAGCGATAATACATATGCATTTTTCAGAATAAAGAAGGTACTATTAGCTCAATATCGTTCTATATCGAATGGTTCAATAGGCTTTCATCATTTGCCGCTATTGAGGTTTTGAAGCAAACAAAGAAGCGGTAAGGTGTTTCTCATTTTTGACGAATCATTACGAATTTCCATTTTGAGAAATCGAATAGCAGTTTTTGAATTTATGATCGACATCGCCAAAGAATGCTGCGAGATTGGCAACTTCAACTCAATGATGGCTATCGTAGCGGGACTCTCTCTGCCCGCCGTCAGTAGATTAAAGAAAACATGGTCTCGAGTGGAGAAATCGAAGTTAGAGATTCTTCAGCACCAACTAGATCCTTCCGGAAACTTTATTTCGTATCGAGCTACTATTAAAGCTGCTCAATGGAGAGCTGATAGCGCTAGAGGAAACCAGGAGAAGGTAAATCTTCCATGAAGTTCTGGCGAAAACATTACCTGTAGATTGTTATCCCTTTCTTTGTCCTTCTACTGAAGGACTTGTTTCTGATCTACCATGGAAGCTCACGAATGCTTCCCAACGGTCATCTGAATTTCCTGGCATTTTCTCAACTCGCCGAGCAACTACGAGATGTGATTCGATGGAAATCGACAATTTGCACGTTCGAAAAAAATCCCCAGGTTCTACAGTATTTGCTCATAACTTCAGTTAGTGGAGAGAAAGGTAGGACACATTATTTAAACGTCTCGTAAATGTGTCATTTTCAGATTCTATGTTGATGTCGTTCGAATGTGAGCCACCGGAGACATCTTCAGAACGCGAGCAATTCAAAAAACTCAAGAATAGCTCAAAAACTTAATTCAAATGTTTAGACGAAAGCGAAAATTTGCGGGTGACCAATTTGCTTTATTCCAAAATCCTAGTCACATATATGAAATAATACATATTTTTCTTGTTGCCTAATAAATATTTAATAGCGCTGTTTTATATGATTTTTATGAACCATTATTTGCTTAGAAATTGAGTATAAAAGACTGATAACATCGGTAAGAAATTATATTCCAACGGGATCGCCATGAAATCCGTCTACTTTTTGCTTTTGCTTTCTTTCATCGTTGCTATCAATGCGCGAAAAGTGGTAAGGATTTAAAAATGGAAATCGAACACTCAAATCTCAGATGTGTTGATTAATTATTTAATTTTAGAGCGATGAAGAATATCGAAGCCCACTTGAGCGCAAACCAGCTCCGCCGCCGGCAACATTCTCGAACGGCGTAAACGGCGTCCGTATCAACGTTGAAATTCTCCCGCAACACACCGATGGCGACGATTCTGATTCATCCGAACATCACGTTCGGAAATCGAGAAAACATAAGATGAGATTTGTCCGAGACTAATTCAATATAATATAATGGTTGTGTAATTGTTGGAAATGAATCAAAATGATACAATTTGCGGTTTGTATTCGTTCAATCAACCTCCCAAAAATAATCATGCACAATTTGAACAGTTGCGTCTAATATTTGCGCAAGGGTCATCTATAAAAGGGATGACTAAATTCCAATGGTCATCAGTAAATGTTTTGCCCAGTCGTTTTTCTCTCGGTTCTCGCCGCTACCGGCTCAGCGGGCTTCTTGTCGAGACCCAAACGCCAACTATTCTTCCCAACACTGCCCAGCTTGCCAGGTCTCGATGATCTGACCCCATGCAATTCATTCGTCCGATGCGGCGGAAAAGGACTCTGTCTAGGAACTGCCAAATCGTCGACATGCGCCTGTTTCTTGGGATGGACAGGAGACCAGTGTCAATCTTCAACTCTGAGTTAAACACTATAAAACACGATCCAATATTTAAAAAATATAATATTCAGATTTCCTTGATCCCTTCAATCTCTTCGGTTCCTCCAACACCGCAACAGGCTCCTCAGTCTCCAATAATCTATTCGCAAATGATGCCATGCAACCGGTATCTAATTCAAAATTTCGCTCGAGATCTAACTCCTTCAATTCCAGTGTACCGCCGAAGATTGTAGCGGCAACGGCGTCTGCGTGGGCTCGAAATCAGCGCCACTTTGCCTCTGCAATTTGGGTAAAACCGGCTTCAAATGTGAATCGGAAATTGCTGGACTAGGTGATACTGCGTTTCAATATCTGAATATCATAAAGATTTCAGTGAACGTTGATCCAAGCGCTCCCATCTCGTTCTGCTCTCCCAGCGATTGCAATAATAAAGGATTATGCATTGGCACGAAAAATAGTTTCATGTGCGCTTGTCAGATCGGCTACACAGGGTCTCGATGTGAAAACAGTAAGCCGAAAATGTCATTGAAGACTTTAAACTCATTGCTTGCAGCTCCTGTTGCTTTGTGTGACAGCCGTGACTGCAGCTCAAACGGCTTGTGCATTGGCACGAAGAACAGTCACACCTGTGCCTGCTATCTGGGCTACTCTGGAGAGAAATGCGAAAAAAGTGAGACTACATTTTCCGTTCATAACCTCAATTTCTGATTACAGTAACTGGCACGATGTGCGAAGCTTCTGACTGCAATTCTAACGGAATCTGCATCGGAACAAAAACTACAAAAACATGCCTATGCGCGCCAGGTTATTATGGAAGCAGGTGCGAGTCGCGATTCACTCTCCTCCCAGGAACAGAAGGCATGTTCTGCGAATCCAAAGACTGCAACGGCAACGGAATTTGCATCGGCAACAAACTTCTCCCAATGTGCATCTGTGCTCCAGGATTCACAGGGCTCCGATGCGAACTTGAGCCAATTTGCACTGGAGCCTTGCAGTGCTCTGGCAATGGAATATGCATCGGAACGCTGAAATCCTTCAGCTGCGTTTGCAATCTCGGATGGACAGGGGTCACCTGTGCTCAAAGCACACTTCTAAAATAGATGGCAATTTTCAAAATTTTTTCTCTTTATCTGTAAATAAAGCGTTCATTTCTGCAAGGCTAGTAGAACAAAAATGCGAACAGGGGTTATTTTACACGTCTCTCTCTCTCTGACATTGTGCAGTAATACCAACATAAATATAAAAAAGAATCGAAAAATTGGTGAAATAGTACCTATTCAGTCGTGAAATAGTCAAACGATGGCATATAGTTATGAATAGCAGATTTGGATTGTTCGGTTTCCGTCTGGACAGAATCTTGCTTCGGATTTTCGGCAACATGGCCGTATACACGAACAAGATAAGCACAAGTCTAAACATTCTAATATACATACATAGAATAACTTCAACAAGTATTCAACCTTGGTAATATTCCCCTGATTCTCTCGGAATCTGAACTGAACACGATTAATAGGTTCCTTGATCGCTTCAATTTCTTTCTAAAATTTTTGGCAATGGTTCTCAAAGTACGAGATGGACACTTACCGTAACATGACAAAACTGCTCTTGAATATCTTCGCCATCTTCAGATGTCTCATAGCGGCAATTCAAGGCCACAGGAGTGAATTCAGTACAGCATGGTGAATGACAAGCCTGAAAAGCTCAAAATTCCAATTAAAAATCAATCAAAGCTACCCGTACCACCACATCATAAATCTTTGGTGCATAGTTGGGTATGATTCCACTCCATTTGACATGCTGATAAGAAACTGCCGTTGGGTGAACAAATCTGGCAAGATTTATAGTCAACGTTGGTTTTGCGTCATAGGTACACCAAGTCTCACCCGGTGTGAGAACTTCACGGTCCTAAAATTATATTTTATTAAGAGCCAATTAATATCAGCTCACAAGAAGGACATATCCCGATTTAAAGTTAATAAAATAACTGAGCATATCAAATAGCAATCCATCACGCGAAGAAACCGTGCGGGAAGAGCAGCTCTGATCAATCGTCGCGCCCAAGAGACTATTGGCAACGTTCACACCCGGCGGGCGCACGTCGATGGTCTTTTGGCGAATTGGCGTTGTCTCCAGTACAGATATCTCCGGCTCATGATAAATCACATGACTAGTTTGAATTCGCTGATGTTGCACGTTTTCTATTTGCTGCTGTTGATGATTAACAGATTGTTCTAGCTTATGCGTCTTTAATTCAAAATTAAATAAATTCTAAAAAAAACACAAACCTTCTCTACATAATCATCTAACAATTTAAGCTTAGAATTAAACAATTTGTTCGCTTCTTCAAAGTCTTCTTTCATATCTTTCTGACGATTAGAAAGTTCATTCATCTAAATGCGATATTCTAGTAAAATGCAAGAAATTTTCATAACCTTTTCTTTGAATTGTTCCTGCTGATACAAAATAGTTTTCAAACGCGAATCATCAGTTTTTGCAACAAAGTGTGTGTATCTATCATGAGCATCTAGAATATGGGAATAAAAACAAAGAAAATTGCATAAACGATACAATGCGCAAGTATGAGAAGCATAATCAAAGTGATAACAGTTTCACGAATGGAGGACCATGCAGGTATAAAGCGACGGCGAAATGCGCGTGCCTGATATGCCATGGAATTCATACTGAAATTTCGGCAAAGTTATGAACGTCTTGTATTTAAAATATCTATTACAATCCGACAAATCCCATTTCAGTGCGCTCTTTGAGCGTGAAATGCTCGCGATAAACAAATTGCGAGTCGTTTAGATAATCATCGTCGGCGATTTCATGATGCCGTTCGACGGTGCGCACTGCACGCTCTTCAGGCGGAATAGACGGTCTCGATTTAGGTGTCGATTGATCGCCTTGTCCCAAACGAAACGAGTATTCACCTAGGCGAGAAACTGGAAATCACGCAATCATGATTCAAAACAAACCGACATGGTTAGATGTTAGATAATTAAATGATTTCAATATTTACCTGATCTTGTTACTATCGGACTTCGACGTTGTGAAGTTGACGGTGTGGTTTTGAGCATCTAAACTTTATAGAATTACTGGAAAAAATGTGAAAAATAATTGAAAGCAATAAAAGTCGACATTCATCAACTATTGGAAAATAAATAAACAATGAACAAGTGTTAATAATTTATTAACAGAATAACACAATTTTTTATTTTACACGTTATTGGAGTTCCAACTGCGGACGGATCAATTTTGCCTTTACCTCATTTGTAGCAGCATATCCGGTACCTAAAATATTACCAATTAAAATTTTATACATTTCTATTTAGAATACCTCCTCTTTGTAATTCTATTATATCATCCAGCGTCATCTTTTCGCCACAAATCGGATCGACACCCTCATCCTTAATAATTTGCTCAACGACATCGTATTTCACAACAGCTTTTCTGAAAATTTCATCTATTATAGATTTCATGAAGCTTTAATGCATACGATTTTTTCAAATATGCACATCTTGTGGTATTGGTAAGCTCATCTCGAGTAACTGGACAAATAAATTGTTTCTTTGCGTTGTTCTCAGTACCCGGCATAGGTAAAAACTCGACATCTAATAAATCTTTGACTTTTAGTGGTTTACCGGAGATTGGACATAGCACTTTCGAACTCTGAAATTCAATTTAGAAATTGATTTATTTTTACTAGCTTTTTACAGGTTTTTCAATTTTTGACGCCGCCGCCGTCGGATTCAGTTCAGGAATCCAAAAACTAGGCAGCGATGTACTTTTGTCTCCACGCATATTAGACATGTCTCCCTCATTTCCAGTCGCTTTCACTTTGGCAGCGATCTCGCTTGAAATCACTCCAGACGGCCTTTTCTGAAATTTGTGATTATTGAATGAAAAAAAGCAATACGGGGAAATAATAACCAATGAGCCGGATTCTGATGATAAAGCCTTCACATCACTAACTCCTGTCCTGCTCGGTGTACTTTCAATTACAGAGAATTTATTCTTCTTGCTAATTGTATCCGCTTCGGATGCTTTGTCCTTCTCAGATTGCTCTTCTAGACATTGTTTTTCGTAAATTTTCATTTTTCTTGCATATTCCTTCTTTTGGGCTAGAATATTTTCAAGAATAGCTTGTTTGTCGTAGATATATCCATGCGGAGTAATTACTGGCTGCCTGAAACATGAAGATACCCAAATTAAAAAAAAGCATATTAATATACCGGCATGGCTGTAATGTTAATGAACAACAATGAAATTCTTTAATGGAGTCAGCACCTAAACGTGCGTGAAGTGTTCCATATCCACTTGCCTACAATTTTCATTGTTATTTCTTTATTTTGTTAATACATATTTACCTTCGCATCTCGTTTCCGTTCGTGATAAGAATATACTGACGATGCTGTACAATTCTTTCCATGCCGCGTCATTATCTGAACCGAAAATAAACAACTACCTATTAATATTTAAAGAAGCATGTTAGCACAATGACGAAAGAGAACCACAGTAAGAGAATTTTGCAAATATACATGTTTTTACAAAAAAGAAACTTTAAAAAAAGAAGAGGGGGAGCAAGAATTTAAAATGAGAAAATAATCATGCTTTTTTTGAAATCATCTATTGTAAATTCAAAATTGAAAATTTGAACGAATTCGTTTTACGATAAATCGCGGGCACCGTTCCGTGGAGCATTGTTGCCTCCCGTATAACCTTTTGGTCTCATTTTTGAATTAAATTTCTATCAATTTTTCTGTGAAATAGTACATGTATTGTGGATTTTTCAGCTGATATCAACAAATCTTATTGAAACGGGTTCGGATGTTTTGAAATGTAAGCAATTTTTTCTTTTATGATTTTAAAAATGAAAAGTAATTATTTATCAGAAATAATTTATTGAATTATATATACATTGAAATGAACACTGTTGTAATTGCTAAAATAATTTTGCGTATACTACCACTCTTCGTACTCGTTTCATATCTATTCGTAGTTCTAATATGTGGAAATGGTGTACTTCCACCGTCGTTGTTATTTTTTTCTGTAATTATATTAGCTAAGACATACTGAATTTGCAATTCGTACCTATTTGGAAGAATTGAACCCCATAGACACCCGAGCTCTGACTAATTTGAATGTAATCCGCGGGGTTGTTAATATAAATATGACCTCTTGGTATTGATTTTGTGATACTGAAATGAGCATACAATCTGAAACATTGTAAAAATATGTTACCTTTGTTCGAGAAGCTCAGTGCTGACTACTACATTTTTTTCAACAAATCCGTTGAACTAAAAATTTATGATTCTTATTTACAATTAAATAAATTAAAGAACTTACGAAAAATCCTGAAACAGTATTAGCATTGTGCGAATTTGGAATCGTAATTCTAAGATCTTCTGGCTCGTTGTTGCACGTAATAAGTCCAGTTGTGGTAGTGTCAAACACTGTTGAGTTCTTCGGTTCCTCTAAATAGTTAACAAATTAGCCATTGAGTCTACATTTCTACTCACCCCATAACCTCTCCGCAGTCAATGTTAATCCCTTGTCAGCAATGATATACCATGCTTCAAAGTTGACCTGCATTGGCTCAGTTTTATTGAAATAGTAAACAGTATTATCCAGAGTTATCGGATTCTGGAACATCAGATTATCATAGTTATCCCTGCTCGTTGTCTCTGGCGGAAATCCGCGGTAAAGTCTAATCGATCCATCATCCGCTACACGGAGATCAGAAATTTTGGCAGACACGCGAGGTCGATAAGAGACTTTAGGGTTGTGCAACGGAAAGTTTATGAATACTATTGTCATTTTGGCTTGTGATTCATATTTTCCAATCATGATATAATTTTTAACGTCGTACACCGAAAAATACGGATCTAAAAGTTTAAAGTGCTTATTTTTTCATATTCTTGTTTCTCACCTTCTCCTTGAGCTTTAGAACAAATATAAACGTATCCTTCGAGATATGAGATATCTTCATTAGATAAAGTTGTTTCGAAATGAATTTGGCCGGTCGTTAAAACAATTCCCTCCTTTGACAAATCCTGCTTACTCATAGTATTGAGATCAGATAAGCTTGAATATTATGAACATCTTATGATTAATTGAAATTGAACCTTACTAAGAGATTTCATTCCCGTTTATCAATTGAATTTTACTCAACTGAATGGAAGAGCTGCTTGAAGAAATGAAAATTTTACTGCCGACCTTTAATTCAAACATAATTTATTAAACTATATTGAATACTTGCCTCAACATTGAACATCTGATTGAAAGCTTGATTCAATGGAAAATAGAGCACTTTTGAGGTGGCTAAGTCAATCAAACAAAAAAATATAAGCATTTTGATTATGAATATTCTTATCTTAGATGGCAACAAATTTATATACGGAAATATTAGGTCATTATTTGCTCAAGTTTTTATTGGTAGGTGTAAAACGGTATCAGTGATATCACTTGTCGTTTTTTTTAAAGCAAAAGTTCAAAAAGTATCACTTTATTCATGATATCAATGATTCATTTGATTAAAGTCGAAATTTTTCGAAATTTTTAGATGCAAGTGGAAAACAATATTGTAATTAATACTAGAATTAAATCAATTTGGCTTGATGTTTTTGTGGTCGCTTCATACGCACTTGTAGAGCTTGATCTGAAAACTTTAATGAGTAATCAATGTGAAATCATTTGTTAAATAGCTCGTACCATCGGATGATTTATCTGAAAAAAAAAACGCTATAATTGGCTGAACCGATGCTATTTTTTCGCTTACCAATTTGGAAATATTGAATTCCATAAATTCCCGAGCTTTGATAGATTTGGAAATATTCAGCTGGTGTATGAACCGACGCCGATCCTCTTGGGGCGTCTTTTGTAATCCTGAAATTTGGTAGATAGAAATGACCAAAAATTGCTATATTCCTACCCTTTTTGAAGATTTGTGGTAGCAATCACCATTTTTTGGTTATCTTTGAGTTCGGCGTTGTACTAAAGAGTAAGAATTGAAATGTAAGGAATCATAAGCATACGAAGAATCCGGATGTTGTGTAGACTACATAATCGGGAATGGGAACGATGAGCTTGAGATCTTCTGGCGCATTGTTATTTGTGATCAAGCCAGTGACATCAGTGGATGTGATTTTTAAAGTTCTTGGATCATCTGAAAATGTTCAAGTACTATCCTAATAGTGAATCAGACGGATACCCCAAGATCGCGAGAGGCGCATTTCATACCCCTTATTGTCAGAGATATACCAAGCTTCAAAGTTAATTTGCATTGGCTGAACATTGTTCAAGTATTGAATATTTCCATCGAGAGTGATAGGATTCTGGAACATCACATCGTCGTACGATTCTTTGTCCATTGAAGCCGGAGGAACTCCGCGATAGATTCGAACTGATCCCTTATTGTTCACTTTTAATCCAGTAACTTTTGCAGATAATCTGGGTTGATAGACGTTGTTTGATTTGTCCAATGGGAAATTGATAAAAACGTAGGTCGAGTTATAAATTGTGAAGTTCCTCTTTATGAATAGATCTCGGTTAACATCAAATACTTTGAAATCCGGGTCTAAACGATGCATATTGTTTTCCTAAATTTATTATTCTTTTTTTAAAACTGACTATCAGCTTGATCTCTTGTGGTAACGTAGACGTATCCCTCAAGTTTGCTGATTTCATCGTTTGTTAGTGTGGTTTCAAAATGAACTTGATTTGCTCGCATGATGAGTGAAATTTTTGAATAATCATCGCTCACAAAATTGTAGAAATCGGACATTCTGAACCAATCACACATTTTAGTTTGAAGACATTGGTTTTGAACAACTAACGAAGCTGTATACTTTCCATTGATTAGCTTGATTTTCTCAATTTGTTCGCGAGGACTGCTTGACGAAAAGAAAAGCTTGGATCTGATCTGAAATGTTTTATTTAAGATTATTGATTCATGATATATTGCCTGATACCTCAACATCGAGTGTTCTGCCGAACGCTTGATTCAGAGGGAAATGGAGGACGCCGGCGTGAGCCAAACCAAGAAGAACGAAAAGTAGAAGCATTTTGAGCCGAATGATCAGAGGTTAAACATTTTATATAAGGCTGCGTGAGGGGTTAATCTTAAGCAAGATAACATTCTTGGTGACGCCCTAAGATAAAAGTCTCGTAAAAAAATGCGCGTCGTGTGATGGGTCCGAATAAATGATGACTTTTTCAAGTTCGTTGACCTCTGTGAGTGCTCTGAGTGCAATTTTTTTTCCAGCCTCGTATCTATAGTTTAGTTATTGAATAGGATGACAATTTTCATTTGCAAATCACACGAGCAAATATATCAATATAATAAGTAATGATAACGTCACTTTCAAAACGTCCGTGCTTTTCGTACTTGTTTCGAACCACTCTGTGGTTGATGGGTGTGACCGTGGTGTGGTTTTCCAATTTTTTGACGTCGTTTTATGATGCTTCGTAGGCTTTGGATTAGTCGTAAACAGTGTTGAGCTGATTAGAAGCTGAGAAGTGGTCAGCTTTTGAGTAGTTGATTCAGAATTTCCCAATGTAGGTGGTATTGTCGTACTAGAAGGCTGTGAACTTGTTGACTGTGTCGTTTTTGCAGCGTGTGTGGCCATCGACGAACTTTGTGTGCTACTAATATCAGGAGAATCGTTATCTAAAATAAATTATCAATATGAAAAGGAGCATTCGAATTTTTCTGTAACCTATTTGAAAGAATTGCACCCCGTAATCGCCGGAGCTTCTGTATATTTGAAGAAAGTCCGCAGGTGTATTACTTGACACACAACCTCGTGAAATTTCTCGTGTTATTCTGAGATGTAAAAAAATTAGCAATTCACGGAATTATGATTACTTTGCTTCAAGGGCGAATGTCATAATATTTACATCTTCGCCTTCTTTTACATGACCATTAAACTGAAAAAATTTATCTAAATTAATGAATTGGGTTGGCTGATACGAAAAATCCGGAATGTGTGCCGTCTGGATCGTCGGGAAGCGGAATTGAAACTCGAACATTTTCGGGAACCTTTTCGCATGTAATCAATCCCGTAACACTTGTTCCAGTGATATTTAGTCGCTCGGGATCATCTAAAAAACTTTGGTAATGTGAAAATGACGTTTTTGATGAAGTAACCCCAAGCTCGATCCAGCTTCATCTCAAATCCAATATGATTGGTTATATACCAAATTTCAAAGTTGATCTGCATTTGCTCAATATTGTTGATGTAGTAAACATTTCCGTCGAGAACAATTGGCATTTGGAACATCACGTCTTCATAATCATTCTCGCTCATCGACGCTGGTGGCACTCCGCGATATAGTCTAAATGATCCGCCATCAGCTAACTTCAATCCCGAAAGTTTTGCTGAGAGGCGTGGTTGGTAAGAAATGTCGGAAGTGTTTGGCGGAAAATTGATGAAAACCATTGTATTGGTCTCACTAGTCACATTAGTTTTCAAAAAGAATGAATCGTTTACATCGAAGACCTTGAAGTTTGAGTCTGAAAACGGGTATTCTTTGTTTCTTTCCTTTTTTAATTTTTTCGTCGAACTTTCGCCTTGCTCTTTTGTGCATACGTACACATAACCTTGTAAATCCTTTATTTGATGTTTATCTAAAGTTGTGTTGAAGTAAATTTGCTCAGTTTCCATTATGAGAGCAACTTTTGAGTTGTCGTCGTTTACAAAATTGTAGAAATCGCGCATTCTTTAAAATTTTGGCAATAGTCAAGTATTAAACTATTTCAACTAACTGAATAACTTCGTTGCCGGCGATTAGTTGAATTTGAGAAATTTGATCGTTTGGGCTACTCGATGAAAAGAAAAGCTTCGATTTAATCTGAACCTGAGATTTCGACCTAGAAGGATGACACGATCTCACCTCAACATCAAACACTTGATTGAAAGCATGACTTAATGGAAAATGAAGGACTTTGGAGTTGGCTAAACCAATTAAAGCAATTAATAAGATCATATTGATACGAATTATCAAATTGACTTCTATTTGAATTCCAAAATTTTGGTGTCTAGTTTGATAACGGAAAATTGGCGGCAAATGCACCGAAATGATATCATGAAAAAAAGTGTGGAGTTGAAAATTTGAGATTTAATTGGCTTTTATATCATCATTTTTTCCCTGGACGAATAATTTGAAATCGTTTCACTAAAAGGTGATTTATGGTCAATTAATTTATTGAATTTTAATTAAATAGAATCAATGCGCAGAAAATGAGGAGCCCATCGTTCAGCAAATTGGAGCCTTTTGTCGTTGCTTCTACAGTAGTCGTGATAATCGTTGGCTTTGGAGTTGATTGAGAGGGGGTAGATGATGTTAGAGGATACGGGATTCCATCTGAATTTCTTTTTTTTAAGATACCAATTTTTTTTGAAGATACCAATTCCGTAATATTGCACATAATATTTTCCTTGCTCATTTCCATTCGGTCCGACGTACATATAATCAGCGGATAGTTCAGTTGACATTCCAACCACTTGAGTTCCTTTTATGAAACTAAAAATTTGAACGTTTTAACGTCAATTTTTTCTGTTGCATAATGCTTACGAAGCGCTGCTCATCGCGATTCCCGAAATGAATGTAATGTTAAGGCCTGAAGTTAATTCACCGTAAAGCTGAATACTTCAAATTGTTAATTTATTTTACTGTAAAAAAATATTAACCTGAAAACCAACAGTCCGATTATTGTTTGGATTCATTTGGAATAATATAGTTTCGGCTTGGCATTGTGCTCCGCACATCACCAAACCCGTTGTTGTGAATGCCTTTGTTGTTTTTGGGTTATGATCGTCTGAATGTGATATATTCATAACGGTATTTATTTTATTGTATCAGCTCACATTTACTGTTTTTAATTTCAAATTTGACACCTCCTTTGGAGTAAAGATACCATATTCGACTTCTTACTTGAAGTGGCTCAATGCTGTTGAAGAATTGAAGGTGGTATTTTAGTGTGTCTTGCACTTTTACTGGATTAATGAAAAATCTGTATGTATAATCCATTGATGTCCAATTGGCCCATGGATAAGTTCCGTACATGCTAAGATTGGTGTTCTAGAAGAAAAATTGAAATAGTCTCAAGCTTGGCTAGTTTAGTAATCTAACGTTAGGCTGATCAATCCCGTCCACGAATGAAATGGAATCTTGAGTTGCGTCCGGGTTCATGAACACCGCAGTGGTTACTTGTTGTTCGAATCGATCAATGGCGTATGGTTGATCAACGATGTAAACCATGAAATTGGGATCGATTGCTTGTGAAGCAGTTGTGATGAAGATGAAGCCGGTAAGCCGGCTCGAAATGCCCGCATCGTTTGATGTTGAAATAGTTAGACTTCCGTTATAAATTTTCCAAGGTAAAGCAGGTTTTCCGTTTAGTCGGTTCGTTGTCAAATTGTAAGCGCTTAAAGAATGCAATTTTTAATTGTATAAAATTACCGATTAACGTGGTTCTATTCGAACTATCAATGTTAATATTCTTTAAATAAATTGGGTCATCATTTGAGGCAATGTAGAGATCGGAATTACTCTTTAAAAAAAAGGAAATTTCTACTTTTGCAAAAGTGCAAACCTCGATATTGGAAAAACTGACTGTAACGGCGTTGCTAAGTTGATTCAAATAGAATATTTGGCTGTCTCCAAACGATTGAGAAACGATCGTCAAAAAAATGAGAAGGTGATGCATTGTGTAGCAGCAAGAAGAATATTCAACAAAAAAAAAACGAGCCAAACCTAGACTAAAGAATAAAATGATAAGAAAACTGAAAATGATAAGATTATCGTTTGTATGACTAAGTCTGCATATGGTTCAATTTTCGCAGTATGTTTGATAAAAATTTTAGCTGTTCAAACAATGACGCGTCTTTTTTTGTATGATGTCAAAAAAGTGGAGTTGAATTTTTCATTAAAATCAGAATAAAATAGACCTATTTTCACATCTTTATTTGAAAGTGTTGATTTCAGGATGAGTCAGGCATGCACCGGAGCCAGCACTAGCCAAGTACCCATCGGTAAGAAATGTGCCGGAAAAAAAGAAATCAAATTATGGTCATTTAAAAAAAAAAAACTTTTCTCTATTTTTTAATGAAATTTTAAGACAATCTAACGAATGATAATAGAGCTCGTTTGAAAACTCAAAATCGATTTTGAAATTGTTTCATAATTTTTGATTTTTTATATATTTCTATATTTTGCATCTCATCTATTATTTCCATTTTTATTACTTTCAGTTGATGTCTTTCCGACGGTTGAAGAAATCAGCGATGCAACTCTTGGTCATCAATGCGATGTGTGCGATAAACAGTAATCACTGGAAATGAGACAAAGTTGATTTCTTTCAAAATTTCAAGGTTCATGAATCCTTCAATGTGCCGCTTCCATCGCGTCAAGTGTCATGGCTCTTTGGATAAAGCGATTGGGACCGAAAAACGCATTTTAGACAGATTCTCGGAAAAGGGTAATTGTCTTGAAGGCGTCAGAATCGATTTTTACGAACATTTTTAGAAATCAGCTATCGTTACTACTGCCCTATGCCAAATTGTATAGAGAAAAATGTCAAATTTGAGGGAATGAAAGATTTGCGCCAACATTATAGTCGAGTAAGAGTTTTCAAATTTTTTTTTTTCAAATCATGATTTTTAGGTACATACTGAAAAGAAATATGCTTGTGAGAACTGCGGCATACGATCTGCGTTGGAGAAAGACATCAAGTACCACAAGAAATATAGATGTCGCGCGATGAAAACCGGTGAGATTTTAATTTTTTTTTGTCAAGTCATCAAATCAAAAAACACGAAGTGCAATAGAAAATCATTATTTTTAAATGTTGGCCAATGCTTAGACATGGCTGAAACGGCGTCGGTATCCGCCGGTGGCAGCTGGCTGCGACTCGACGGCGGCAGTTCTTGGTGGGCATGGGCAATAAGCGGCGTCTTTTCCTGGAATTCCTGGGCCTCCAGCCTCTCCTGGGGCTCCTGGAGCTCCTGGCTGTCCGTCTTTTCCTGGAGCACCAGCTGGTCCCGCTGGTCCCGCTTGTCCTGGAGCACCGTCTTGTCCTGGCGCTCCGTTTTGTCCTGGGGCTCCGGCTGGTCCCGCTGGTCCGGCTGGTCCTGGGGCTCCTTGTCCGCGCTGTCCGTTCTTTCCTGGTGCTCCGGCTTCTCCGTTCTGTCCTGGGGCTCCTGGTGCTCCGGCGTCTCCTTGTGGTCCTGGGGCTCCTGGCGCTCCTGGCTGTCCGTCTGGTCCTGGTGCTCCTGGCTGTCCATCAGGTCCTGGGGCTCCAGCTGGTCCGTCTGGTCCAGCTGGTCCTGGTTCTCCGGCTGGGCACTTAATGCATCCTGCGTTGTCCTTGGGTCCAATAATAGCGATTCCGTTGACTCCGTCCTTTCCGGCTTGTCCTGGAGCTCCGTCCTCTCCTGGGAGTCCTGGCTCTCCTGGTGGTCCTGGTGGTCCAGCTGGGCAGTTGTTTGGCTGGGCGGCGCATCCGCACTGTCCACCGGATCTCTTGTTACGTCCGAAGATGGTGTTAGCATCAACTGGGCGAACAGTTGGAGCTTGAACAAGCATATCCTTCCAGGCCTCATTGGCAGTAAGCTAGAAGATAGTTGATTCAGTTGGGGAATTTTTTGGGAATATATCTTACTCTGAACTCAGTCATGTCATCCATAACATCGTCGTACAAGTTGTTGATGTCCTGGAAGAGGACGCCAACCATGACGAGGCATGCGAGAATCACGACTCCGGACGCACCGGAGGCAACAGTCACTAGAAATTTGGCGCTCATTGCTAACGCTGACGACGTTTCGCTGGCGTTTTATACGGCAGATAGCAAAACGGATGGGCGGGACGTCGACGCGATACGCGCAAGCCGGCTTTTTTTTGGGGGGGGGGATGCCGAAAGGTCACTGGCGACTTTTTGTAATAGACAAGGCGGCAAGAATTGGTGATTGTTGCTACAACGGCGCGAAATGGTTTACAGTTGATCAACAGACAGCCGAAATGAGTAACTCGATATTGTGTAATTAGGCTGGAATGTTCGAGATGTTTTGGGAAAATGAGAACCCAACTAATTGTTAGAATGGCTGGGATTCGGAGATTTCTTAATAATCTTGCCGCACCGCTGGGAATTTTGATCGAACATTTATTGGATCAGATTATGTTAGCCTCAGAAAGTTGAGAAAATCATGTCCGAAGTGTAATAACTTCTAGAATATTCGTCACTTCTCCTTTTTTTTCTTCACACTTTTCCAAACTGATAGTCAATGTCTCTCTCAGATTCCCCTCAAATTAATCACGTCTAATGTGCGATAATCATGGCGTTTGGGGGGGGGTCGCCTGGAAAACGAAACTCGCTAGATTGCTGGCAGACATGCTTTGCGATTGTAATAATTGTCTGGAAAATTGACCCCCGACCGACGACAATGGCGTTCAGTCATACATCATACGGATTTGAATAGATTTCTAGTTTTGCCTTTTTTTGTTGCGCCCACAATCAAAGCACAATGATTTCTGAAATTGTCAAAATTTATGAGATGCGTAAGTTTTATTGTTGCGCGGAAATTCGGCGCAAAATTATTTTTGACAATGGTTGAAATTACATGGCCTAAAATTTTCTCGGCCGCAAATATTTAAAAGGCAAAAAAAAATGATTGGTGTGATTTAGTTTCGCGAAACGTTGATAATATATATTATTTATCATACTAGGTATTAATATTTTCGATTTGCAGAAATTGCTTTAACGTTTCCCGTTTTTATTCTGAAAATGTTCTTCCACTGTTCGCGGTTTTAGCCGCGAGCTATCCAGATCGTAATCCTCGAAAACCTTCGCATTACGAAGGAGGAAGGAAGAAAAAAAACATGCTAAAATGTTGCAATCTCGTCGCAAGCGAATTCGAATTTTCCATCCACATCACACACACCTCTCAACGCTATCAAGTTTATTTCGTTGCGTAATGAAGCTTGGGCATCATTGAGATTGAGATTGAAATCAGCGGCGACGGCTAAAACCCGAAACTTTTTATGCATCCGTTAGGCGTGTTTTTTTTGTTTGGCCTTGTTCGTTCTATTAAAATGAAAGAGCCTGATTTGCATCGGCATTATGGTTCCTCAACTGAATTCAAGGTCATCTCACAAGTGAAAGTCGCCGTGTTGTTTGCTACTGCTGAGATTTTGAATACTGATAATGAAGTTTTTCAGAAGGTCGTCGCCGTCGTCGGAATTTGAAAAAACCGCGCTATTCTGATGAAACGTCGCAAGAGCAAACGAGTGAACAACAACAGACGGTTATTATAGTGGTTCAAGGGAATAATGTGCAAAATACGGTGCAAACGATTAGACAGTAATACATGTCACATTAGAAATCGTATATTGTTTTCTTTTTTAATTGCAGGGCTTTTAGCAATAATTACTCAAACTCGATTGCGATTCAGACAATTGGAGAGCAAACGATTAATGCGGGAACATGTACTAATCAGGAAATTCAGCATCAATATCAGCAATGTGAGCCGAACTATTCGCAGAATTATCAAGAGTCGTGCGAACGAGGCACAGGAATGGATACCGTTTTAGGTAGGCTTATTCAAAAGTTTTCGCTGCTGTACCCAAAAGCGTGGGTTTTGCAACCCATTTTCATCGGGGCTACTATTTTACGAGTTTATTGTAAACCTTGAATTTTGACACTATCTTTTGTCGTAAAAACGAAAGATGATAGTGAAATTTGGCGGCCGAACAGGTTGAATTGAATGGAGGACTGTAAAAAGCCAAGCGGGTGATGACATAATTTTTGTTGAAATTCAGAAAAGAAAAAAACTAGATGCAAAAAGTGTACTATTTATTTTCAATTTCAGATAATACTTACTACAATGCGCCTTATGATCATCAGCAGTACATGTCGAATGAAAAGTACAAAATTCATCTGATACTTTTGAAATTAAAGGCCTCAATTTTTTTTAGGCCAAATGCATTTAATAGCTATCAGCCAGTGGAGACTCGTAGCTTTGGAACTACCACTACCATGTATGAGAATGTTCGTCATGCTGGAACCTCGATGGTTAATGATGATAGTTATTGGCGTGATATTGAGACACAGACGACGGCATATGCGCCGTCGCATTCGTTATATAATAATTGGTCAAATGAATAAATATTCAAATAGAAAAGTGCACTTTCAATTACAAAAGATGAACAATTTTTTGGGAGTGAGAATTTTAAAAACTTAAAGAAGAACTGATTGGCTTTTTTCACTATAGTTGGTATCGGGATTTTTAAACGACCCTTGAGAATAAATAATTGCTAGAAGGCGATAAGACCTTATTCGTTTTGTTTATTCCCCATAGATTTTTTCAAAGAAACAACATTTTTCTTTTTTCGCCGAACGTTTTTTTGTTATGTATATGTTATAAAGTTCGAAAGTCGAAATGATTGAATATTTTGTTTTATGCAAATTGTGGAGCGAGAGTTTCCACCTACCCGGCCGCTCGTTACAAATTTTGCGGTTTTTCCAAACCCACTTCCTCCCCACTCAACGCCACAAAAAAGAATCGATTAATTGTCGAATGAATGAGTATTTATGGCATGCTTGAAAAAAGCACAACTCTTGTTTTTCCGCGATCCATTCTCAAGGCGAGCGCAAAATTTCGTTGATGGATTTCGTCTGAAATTAAACCGTTTAGAGTGATTTGGCAGTACGTGTTTCCGTTACAGTTCGTTCTTGGTGTTCTTGGGAACTCGCTGAATCTGTGGGTGTTGGCTAGCGATGAGGTGCCGAATATCGCTAGCGATATGGTAAGATTCTCATTCGGCGACGAGAGTTTGAAGCTTCACTGAAATTGCAGCTCGCCGCCGTCTCATTTTGCGATCTCGCGTTTCTTATCGTCATGCTTCCGCACTGCCTAGCTTCCTATGAAACAATTGCCTATAATTTTCAATTTCGATATTTTTATTTGAGCACGAAACAGCACATGTCGGCGGTCGCCAATTGGATGTCGGCCGCGGCGATTTGGTAGCTCTCGGCGGTAGATCAAAAGTGCAACGCGTTTGATTATAGGCTTATTCTCGCGGTGTCCATCGAGCGATATTTGATAGTTCGAACTCCATTTCGAGCGAAATTGTATTGGCAACGCGGCCGGATGGTCGTCGTGCTCACCTCGATATTTGTTACCACCGGTCTACTCACCGTATACCATCATTTTGAATGGGACTGCGTCATCGAGGAGTTCTGCAATGGAACGCAGATCATGGATTTTTGCTATTATTCGGGTATCAAAAAGCACACAAATTGATCACGATTTTCACTGTTTAGGTATGCGCCATCAGAAGACTTATCGAAATCAGGATTGGGTGAATCCCAGCGACGCCAAGAAGGTTTACCTCCGATTCTCAACATTCCTCAATGCCATTCTTGTCGTATTTGTTCCAATTGTTCTAGTGATCCTTCTAAATGTCCTTATGATCCATCAACTTCATAAACGATGGAACTCACCAAGATTGGAGTCAATGCGAGGAGCACTCAATCGAAACCAAATCGTAATTCAATAAATTTATGATTCGTCTTATACTGCTTCGTTCCAGCGACAACGTCAACGGGTCGCGATAACTGTGATCGCGATTGGTTCGTGTTTTTCGATCACTCAGGGTCCTTCGGCGTTCATGGTGCTTTACGAGTTGTTTTCAGGTTATATTGTCGGCTCGACGTTTTATGCAATTTTTAGGTTCTCTTCAAATTTCGCCAAAAAACTAAGGTCCTAGTAATTTCAGTGTCACAAATTCGCTAGTTGTAACCGGCAAAACGATCAATTTCATTCTGTTTTGTCTTTCATCGGAGCATTTTCGCCGAAAATGCTTTTTAATGATCTTCCGAAAATTCCCAAAAGTAAGGAGCTTTTTAATTGAGGCGTCTCAACTATTAAATTTCCAGCTATCACAGAGCAAAATTGGGAAGCGATTAATAGTTAATCAGCGCTCGAATTCGGTAGATCGTGCTTCGCAACGAACAGTGAGGTCTCGCCGCGGCTCAACTCACCAATGCCCTTTAATGGAGACGTCAATGGATGACATTGATCAGCCGATGCGAAAATATCGATCAAGAGTTGAGTCATGCTCCGATGAAAATTGACAACACATTTTCTGTACATAAATCTTGATGAGCGTTTTGTAATTATTTCATTAAAAATAATATTTTTTAAGAGTGAGATCAAAATATGGCCCGCGCAAAAATATCAATATACATACAATTGGGGAATTCTTGGGAACTTTACACATTGGTTGATCTGGTGCCAGTCGGTGGTGTCGGATAGCCGCCTTCAGCGGTCATTGTCACCAGCGGAATCGGTCGTGCGTTCGTTTTGATGCTGTCGCTTGACACCGATCCTCGTCGATTCGTTGAGAAATTTCTCGAGCATGGCGAATAGACAATCGACGTCTTTTGCGTCATTACCGATTTGGATCGAGTGAAGTTCGATCTACAAGGATTTGCAATTAGAATAATCGGAATGATACAAGAAGCGCAACCGGTCTGATTTGTTGCGACCCGCGTAGAAGATCAGTGTACACCAGAATCGCACAGTGAGCCACAAACGACGGCGGAACGTCTCCGATGTTAGGCAGAAGAGCACGACATTGAGCATTTTTCCAGTGAGCACTAATTGGTTGGCGATTACCGAGATGTAGGGTAGATAGCTAAAAAGTGGCTAGTATGTTTTTTTTCTTTCCACTCCGCGAGGTGTTCGCTTAATCCTTCGTTTTAAGACCTCGTGTAAATTTAAGCCCTCCGTTGAATGATGGTTTTTACACGATAATTCTCTGCTTATTGGCATACGCATTTTGGTTTTTTAGTATTTGATCTACAACACTCATTTCCGAGTTTCAAAAATTCAAGTAAATATTTTCAAAGTTGATCAATTAATGTCGAAGAACACGTGTGAAACTCATCAATTTTAAATCTAAAAGAAGAAAAAACTTGCTGATTCGATGGGAAAATTGTTTGGCAGATGAACACGATGGCCGATGGGCCTTGCGTCAGCGTAAAGCACGAGACAATCGCCAACACTGTCTGCGTCATTTTCTTCTCCTGCTCGGCCATGTTCGATGGTCCGCTGTTGGCATTGCGCACGAGGAGCTCCTACAGAAAAAAACAAAATACTAGCAAAAATCAATTTCAAACAATTTCTCACCTCCGAATGCCTTCTTTTCACCAGCCTGATCAGACTGATATTCATTATAGCGACTGCAAAAATCGGCAGAAGCACTGCGAGAATCGCATTCGCGTAGACGGACACGTGAAGATACTGCTTAGTAAAATGACTTGTCGGATTTGGACGTTTGCCAATTGTGTCTTCGGTATTCGGGTAGCATTTCCCCAAAACTTGGGTCCCGTAGCATGCGATGAATAAGAGGCAAGAATGGGAAATGTGGTGATAGCTAGAGGTTTAATTCATTTTTTGCTAATTTTGATAATAAATTACCTCGTTAAAATCAATGTTGCGAGCATGATTCCCACAGAAATTATAATCATTTGTTTTACCTAAAATGATGTTTAATTTTTGGAAAATTGCCAAATTTAAGGGATGCATATAACTATGCTAATTATTAGGACTTACGTTATAAACATCAAGCGACCTGAATGGAAACTTGATGATCAATAATCTTTCTAAGGACACTGCCAAAACAAACCTGAAAAATGCGAAATTTTCTCAGATTATTGTTTTTTCTTACCAAATAGCCGCCGCTGAGAACCAATTACTCAGAGCTCCAAAATGGGGCTTCGATTGATAGTGAAACAATCGGAAGCGATTTGATTGAGAGAAAACGTCGAGCGATGATAAATAATGTGGGACCATCATGACGAAAACGAACATATCGCATAGGGCAAGGGAAGTGAGAAGATGATTGGCTCTGAAAACATTTTCTTGATTACGATATGGGAATCGGTTAGACATTCTGTTTTTAACTTCGGAAATTAACGAGAATCAAAAATAAATTAATCATATTTTGTAAAAATAACATATAATACAAATTAATTTCGAGCAACCTTAAAAAATAAAAAAATAATGCAAATTTTGACCCCTATGGTACGCGAAAAAAATATCTGAAATTGTTTTTATCTGGAGCGTATGTAGTCCAGACATTACTTTTATTTATTCCAGCAAACGAGAATAGTTTCCTTTTCCTTCAGCAAATTGCATTTCCGAACAAATTCATTCGTTTCCAAAATGGATTATCCATTCCTCGTCATTTTATGGGCTCTTCCTTGGCACTTCACAGAATTCGGGTCTGGCTCACCTATTTTTGATGTGTCCGCCGAGCAAAACCGTCATTGTCAGCAGATTTCCCACGACGGTGATGATGAATTGAATCGGGAAGATGTACTGCAAAAAAAAGAAATGAAGCAAAATCTTAAACGTACTTTGTCGAGACAAGAATATGGAAGGCACACAATACTTTCGCTCCCCTCTAGGGACCAGTTCAGGTGCACAAAGAAGAAGCAGAAGTTTATAAATGTTGTGTGAACGTTTGCCAATTTTTTCAACAAAAAAAAATGCCCACAGAGGCGATTTGTGCGCAAAAGAGATGGATTAGCGCCTGGTTTTGTAAGCGTATGTATGTGTGCATGTTTTTTTCTTGTCGGTTCCTTCCTTTCAGACCCCCCACCTCATATAATTGTTGGCTCGATTATGATGGTCTTTGAGATGTTGGAACTTTTAAAGAATATATACATAGCGCAGACGTGTTTACCATAAAAAACCGGTAAAAATTTTCTCAAGAAACATTTTTTTGATGGACCTTCCCATACATGTGGGCAAGCGAATTTTTGTGTCATGAGTCACTTCGCAAAAATGTTTCGTAGGGTGGGTGGACCATAAAAGCGTGAAAACATCAAACATTATAATTTCGGTCATTCTTTCTTTTCAATTTGATTTGGTCAGTTACATCAAACCAACTACTTAATTTCCTACTTCAAATATACGGAAAAACATTACTGCGGTCTGCTCAGCAGTAGTCTTGACGATATGTCAACTAAACCGAAATGAGTGATGCTTTTCAATTTTGCGGCTGAGGCTGCTTTTCACACGCTGGGTGCAGGACCGTGAAGAAATGCGTGGATTTATGATCTTCGAAAAGAATGGAATTAACTCGAAAACGGTAGTAAAAATTTTGTATCACGCATTGTGTTCAATCACCGAGGCGATAAATCACACACACCACTTATTTTTTTTTAAATTCATTTCCCTTGATTTTTAATTTCATATTTGAGCTGTGTAAAATGTCTATTAGTTCAGTTGAAATGCTTGGCCCGCGACCACTTATGCCGCGAAATCTACCTAATCGACTGCAACCAGGCGACTCTCAACTTTTTTTTGACATCTTCCGGGTGCCTTGTGCATAAAATATGAATTGCGTCGAGTTTCAACTTACATTGTTGATGTGTTTTTCGAGGTCCGACATCAGACGAAGGTCGTTGAAACATCGAAACCATAGCGTCGAATGCGCCGGTGATGATAATAAAGCGCTGGGTGTCGATGTGAAATTCATCGCTTCAAAAAATAGAGCATTTACAAAAAGGAATATGTAAGAAAAACATTTAAAACAAAAAATGAATGCGCCATTTTTTTAAACGAAATTCGGAATACTATTAAAATGAAAATGTGGGGACCTCGTAAAACTTAGAGCCCGCATATGCTCCCTCAGGCTGCAAGTGATTTTTTTTTGGCTGTGGCGCCGCCCCAAAGGACCCATCGTTTTTGTTGGCCTTGTATTTTGTATCATGTTGTTACACCTTTTTGAAGGCGAGAAAAGAAGATATTGAACACGAAACAAAAAATGAGAGAAGGAAATTTAGGTTGAAAAAATCTCAACGATCACCGTCTGCGTTGAGGTGTGGAAAGATGATAGGGATCAGTTTTCCGGTGAGGCAAAAAGCTCTTTAAACTCACGGGTTCCTTAGAATTTTTGCATTGAATTCTTTAAATTGTCCACGCGTCTTTAAAGCGACAATCGGAAAAATTGATGAAACGCCCAGATTTTCTGATGTTGTGTCTTGAATTTTCTAGTAGACATTTTAGACCCTAAAATTAGGCAAAATGTGTGTTTTTTTCAACACAAATGCCAGTCAACGACCTTTCGTCATCTAGGCCACGCCCATTTTTGGGGGTTTGCTCCATCCATATCAAGATTGAAAATACTACTACATTTTCTAAGCTTGTTTAAAAAAATTTAAAACACATTGAAAGGAGTGGTTAATTTGGTGCCAATGGATGTATGCTGGGCAACACTCGAATCGCCACGCCCACTTTCGAAGGAGACGAAAAGAGAAAGGACAGAGAAATTGTTGAGTTTGGGCCAATGGAAACGAAGGCAAGTTCGCGTTTTTTATTGAAGATATGGAATTGCTCATTTTAGTGCATGTGCGACGGACTACCTGCCAAGAGAAGAAAAAAGTGTTTTTGGCTCATATGAATGTATTCGAGCAAGAATCGCCGGGCGACAATTTTTGCTCAACGAAATTTTTTTTTCGTGAGATCTGCCTACCTTTTCAGATGGATTGAAGTTTTCAATTATTTAGGTGTCTATCAAAACAACTTTCAGAAAAATATTCCATTTGCAAAAAAAAAGAATTTGCTACGTTTTTTGACGCTCTAACATCTTTTCCTCAAAGATACAAACCATAATTTGCGACGAGATAATTATAAATAATACGAAAATCTCCTAATTATCACCTCTAGGTGTGACTAATTGACGGTGTATAAATTATACGTATACGGTTATAGGTTATCAGAAAAGCTACTGAATAAGCTCAATTCCCTAATTTGTACTCCCCTTAAGGTTTTTGAGGAATAAGTACAAATCACAAAACAATGAGTTCATGCGATTTCCAACGAACACGTGATTATTCTGAATTTTTTGTTTTAATTTCCATGATTTCTGAATTTTTCCACCTTTATCTTCCAGCTTCGCATCGTTTTTTTTATAAAGAAATAAAAGAAAAGAATGAGAAAATTTCAATGCAGTAAAAAACAAAAATAATGATTTTTTCCTTTCTCAAATTTTTTCTTCTTTAGTTTTCGTAAAATTTTTACTGCATTGCGATTACTTTCCTGATTAGATCGAACCAAAAATCTTTTAAAAACTCTCGGCAAACCCTATTTGCATATGTGGTCGAATTTTCCATATTTGAATTGCGCGGGCGGCCAATTCTGCCGTAAAACTAAAATCTACTTATATTCCGTCATTTGACACGTTCAAAAATAACAAAAATTAAAATTCATGAACAATTTTGCTATTTCACGTTATTTTTATTAAGTTTCGCAGAACTCACTTCCAAAAGTTTTTCCATGCGAGACCCAAATGATACAGTTATCGTCTCTCAAATTCGTTAGTCTATGACTAAATGGATAAACCAAGTTTTTCGGTAATATTAAAAAATACATATGCTAGTTTTTCTGAGAAGAAGAAAATTTGGAACGTGAATAATATATGAGGCCTATTTGTAGAAAAAAAAACGATGTGCCAAACGGCACTTTAAATGCATTCGAAGGGTATTATTCGATAATTAGCCGGAGCTGTATATATATGTGTGTGTGTGTTAGTGCTTTAATGGGAAAATGTGCGATGAAGACGAACTTCACGCGAAAATGTTCGACGAAACTCTAATCGACCGCAAATCTATGTAGTATGGCTTCTTTCATAGGGTCCAAGCCTTGAAACTTATTCCTAAAATAAACATTGAAGATGCATTTTTATCGGCATTTTTATATCTAACTAGTTCTTCCAAAAAATAGAACCAATAATACGTAATAATTTATGAAATAATGGAAATATTTAATTATTTTTATTGGCAGAACGCTGAATAGGTAAGTAATCCGGCGACGAATAATCCGCGCAATGACGACAAATGCAAAAGAAAGAAAAAAAATTGTCAATATTGTTATTTTTCTGATCTTGAGATGAGAAAAAAGTAGATGGATGAGAAGAACAAATTCAATTATTAGCTTGCTATTTTAATTATATTTGATATATACAAGGAGTACAGAGTGCCAACTTGATTTGAAGGATCTGTAAATATTTGAGCCTTGACAAATAATGAAGAATAGATCAGCTAGTGTTCTTTTAAGCCGATTTAGGAAAAATTAATTTAAGTCACTTATCGGAATAGTTTTTCTTATTATTCATTTTTCAGCAGATACGTTCTCGTACACTTGCAAAAAACTATTGAATAAGAAGTTTTTCATTTTGTTTTTGCAATTAAATTCATAGTTTCTAGGAAAAAAGGAATACGTACAAAACAAACAAAATATTTACAAATGGGCTCTCCGTACTACATTTATAATGAAATGTAAACATTTCATGATTTATTGGACTTTTTTCAAAACTGAAAAAAAATCGGAAAAAGATTAGTGATTTGTTTCCCCACATTTTTGTCATTTCATAACCAAAACCACTCCCTAATTAATTGTCGCGTCAAATTATTTCGACCCTATGCGATTTTCCAAGAAAATCTATTATTGAAAATTGAGAAATTGCGTTGTACCCGCCTAAAAACCGAATATGAAACAAGGAATTTGGAGATCAAAAATCTGAATTCCCACTCAAACAAATAACGAAGGAAGAGCATGAAACAATAATTTGTCCACTCCGGCTCATTAGTGTATAAAAAGCAGGAAAGCATCGCGGAATTATTTGAATAGGGGTGAAACCTTTTTATAGAATATGTACGATTCCTTGGGGAAGACAGAAATGAGCTTAATTACTGACGCCACTAGCTGAAAAGTACACTTTTTTATAGAATACATATACAAAAAAATGACGTAAAAATAGTATTATTTAAAAGTATGAGCGAATGGCTGGGAAAAAAATGTCCGAAAATTTAAAAAATTTAAGCCTATCCTGAAATAAATACACTAATGGAATCGATTTAATTTTAAAATTTCACGACCAATTGGCATGGAATGTCTGATTCACAACTGAAGCGCGAATAGCAAAGAACAAGGGACCGCAAGGAATATCATGAATTAAACAATAAGTAACCTTAAATCGCTGGAATGTTCGGCGCCAAATCAGCTTCAGCGAAGTTTTGCGGTGAGCGTAGGCGGAAATTCGAGATTAAGCCGGTTTAACTCAATATTCTTGGACTAATATATATAACAGACTGGGTTGAGATAGAAATTACGAGCGATATTGCAAAAACTATTGGGGCCTCAACTATGACTCGAATTTTCTTCCGGTTTTTGCAGCTAATGGCCGGCGTGTGATTGCGCACAAATGAGCACAAACAATGGCTAAAAGCCTTTATTGTTTTGTTGTTTCATCATAATCAATTTTTTTGCGCGCTCTCATTCGACATCTTTTTATGTATTACGAATTCGGACAGGCCGAGTTTGGATTCGCGCGAATAATTTCGAATTCCTTGTATTGAAAGCCAACGAAATTTCGAGGAATGTTTGAACAATGAAAATTTCTGACAGAATTCTGCACTAGACATTTTGAATAAAAAATTTTTACTTTCAATTTTTGCAATTATGGGGTTTAAAAATTCGAATTAATTCACGGGACCGCAAGTGTCGGCACACAACTGAAACGAAGCATACTAGAATAATAAGACCTTGATAAATAACAAACCACGCCACTCAAAATTTTGTCTTGATGCTTCTGAATATCACCGACATTGTTAACGAGTCCAGCAGAAACGACATGGAACTTTTGGCATTGGTCGAGAACAACTCGGCTCGGATCAGCTGAGTGCATTGCTAGTTGAACCGTCACATGCGCAAGATCTCCTTAAACAATATACTTCGATTACGGATGAATTGAAGTCATTAAACCTTTCAACGAAGTCGTGACAGGAATCGATTCCGTCTTGTCGAACTCGATTTTTCCAAAGCCTTTGGTGATACCGGTGCGGAAGGTCAGGTGTGTTCCAGTACGAGAAATGACAAAAGCGTGAAGATCTTGCTAAAAGAAATGGAATCATGATTACATTCCAACTTTTTTGGGAGCTTTCACCATATTGGTTCCATTTCCGATGGCGAAAGCCGCCCATTTTCCATCATCCAGCTTCGTCTTAAAATCGATCACCACGTCCCTTCGATTCTGAAATTTCAAAGAGAACACCTTACTAATAATAGGTGGTCTTACCTGGATTGTAAGCGAAGTTGGTTCTTCGATAATGTGGCATTTGCTCGTTTTTAAACATGAAGCGTACGTAATCAGAAGCAGGGCGGCAACGACAAAGAAATAATTCATTGTTATGTTTTCTCCACCAGTTGAAGCTCCTCATATATATATAGCTCGTTAATATTTTTCATTTCCCGTACGAATAATCATTACAGAATACAAATGGTGAGAATATGTCAATATTTTATGAATGCCTAAAACAACAAAACGAAACAAATCATTCCTTTTTGTCGGTTAGATCATTGGTGCCTGAGAATTCAGGAGTGCGCTTCTCAAGGAATGCCGAGATTCCTTCTTGGCAGTCTTTCAGCTTCAGGTTTCCAACCATCACCTTGGACGCGTGTCTGAAAAATTTCGAATAAAAAAAAATATACATATATTATAATTAGGCACCTGTAGGCATCAGTTGTATTCAGTTCAGTCTGTGTGTAGAAAAACGCTTTTCCCAATGCTGTAACAGATCTACTGAACTGTCCGATCTGTTCAGCTACTTTTAAGGCTTCGTACTTTACTTGGTCGTCGTCGACGAGACGAGAAATAAGGCCAGCACGAAGAGCCGCTGTGATAGATTTGGATTAAATATTAGCGAATACGTATTAATCCGGCGTATTAGGAAAATTATGAAAAAAAAAATATTGAACAACAAACCTTCAGCATCGATTGGTTGTGCTGTGAGGAGCATATCCATAGCAACTTTATTCGGAATGTTACGAGCTAGAGCAACTCCTGGTGTCGAGCAGAAGAGCCCAAGTTTTTGTCTCCAAAAGTCTCATATAAATTGTGACATTTATAAAACTTAGTTACCCTGGAACCATGAACATTGATGATTTTCCGGCAACTACGATGTCACAGGAAGCAACGAGCTGGCATCCTGCTGCGGCGGCCATTCCAGTGACCTCAGCAATTATTGGAACGCTCATGAATCGCATGAAATTCATCATGTCACCACAGGTGTCGAAAATCTCGTTATGCAACTCTTTCCCTTTCTCACTTTTCTTAACTTTTTACATTTCTGATAAATTCAATTGTAGGTTTTACCAGTTCGTCTAGTTCATGTCCTGCTGAGAACGCTTTTCCATTATGAGCCAGAATCACAGATCGAACCTTTTCAATGTTATGAATTGCTTTCAGCTCAGAGTAAAGTTCTTTAATCATCGCCAGTGATAGGGAATTTACTTTTTTATCGTTGAGAATTAGCCGAACCACAGAATTCCCCTTAAAATCAGATATTTACACAATTTCAGAATTATCTGTACAAACCTAACCTGGTAGAGTTCCCTTTCGATTAATGATCGAGCTGCGATTGAGGTGGAAATTGAACGAAATGATGTTTTCAACATTTTACTCTTAAAATGTAACTTTTAATAGATTTTTATTAGTGCAGACAATAATATATTGCATTTTCAATTAATTTTGAAAAAAAATTAAATGGGCGGTGCCTAAAAGCAAGTCACGCACACTTCTTCTTCCCGCTGTAGATTTAAATTTTTGGTTTTCCGCCGCTTTCGAAATTTTTTCCTTTTTCAATATTTTTGATCTTCTTCAACGTTCTTTATTTATTTTGACACTCATTCTAATAGATTTTTTGCGCGATTACTCTTTTCTTGTCATCATTTCTTTCTGCTACAAAAAATAGTGTTATTGATTTTTATCGATTTTTTTTGCGATAATTGTGGCAAGATTATAATTTCGATACTTGCGGAAATTGAATTGCTTACCCTCATGGCAATATTTGATAAGTTAGAACACATGACGAATTAATACGCGATAAGAAAATTATCGTTTGTTATATTTCTGCCTCAAAATTACTTCCTTCGTTTTATTAGAAATTGAATTCATTTTTTGATAATGAAGAAATTACATATTTCTGTCACTTTTTCATTCTCAATATATTTAAATTTGGTAATAAATAAGTAAGTAAGCACATCCTATATCACATTTACTCCACTTTTTTAAAAATTTTCATCTTAGGATTTGAAATAAATAAAAAAGTGAAATTTAAACATGAAGGATTAATTAATCTCAACGCTTTCCAGTTTTTTTTTCAAACAATGAGTAGTCCGATAGGGCGCGCCGAACCGCGTCGCAGCTCGCGTTGCGGCTGTGCCCAGCAGCCGTTGTCGACCCGCCGTCTTGTCTTTTACGTCGGCGTCTCTCAACGCCCTTGCCGTTCGCTAGCAAGCGGCGACGACGACATTCTCCTGCTCGCCGCTCTCTTCTCGTCTGTTGCTGCTACTGCTGGCTAGTCAATCTGCACAGCTCACAAAAAAACACCGTTTTGAGTATTCCTACGTGAATTTTCGACAAACTACGTTTTCTAAACATTTCCACACTTATCACTTTCATTTCTCAATTTCGGCGCTAATTTCGAAATCACTCTTTTTTTGCTTTCTGCTCCGCTTATCGATTTTCTTCTTCTTCTTCTCGCGATTTTTCGACTCCGGCGTCATCAAATTATGAAGTATTGATTTCAGGATGACTGCCATTGTTCAGTCCACCCCGCCAGTCGCCGACACTCTTGATAGGGCATTCATTGGAGACGTTGATCAGTGGATCGAGCAGCTCTATGAGTGCAAACAGCTAACTGAGAACCAAATCAAAACTCTATGCGAAAAGGTGAGCGTGAGTCATATCGTATAACCGAAAACGAGAACGTTCCCATATTGATTGGATTAAGAAATAAAGGATTAATGGATTCTTGCTCAAAGTGACGAAATTGGCTTATTCCAGTCTATATATTTATATAATATGCAATCAATCCTAGTGAAACCCTAAAATATTGGTTTTTAAAGCTGTATTCGTAGTAATTGTTGTAATCTACGTTTGTGGATATTTTTGCACATATGAGTCATCGCGAAACGCCGAAATTTTATTTTAAGCGTTGCCTGACTACTGCCATTATTCAAATGAGAAGTCTATAATTATCTCACCGTATGAACAGATTTTTATTGATTTAACTTCTCATATACTCAGCAAATTAAAGTTCGGCAATATTTTAGGCCAAAGAGATTCTGGAAAAGGAACCGAACGTGCAAGAAGTTCGATGCCCTGTTACAGTATGTGGAGACGTTCATGGACAATTCCACGATTTGATGGAGTTGTTCAAGATGGGCGGAAAGAGTCCTGACACGAATTACCTTTTCATGGGTGATTACGTAGATCGAGGATACTACTCCGTTGAGACTGTTAGTCTTCTTGTCTGTCTTAAGGTACACAATAAGGTCATTGAATTCTCTAGAATAGCATCTATCATGTTCAGATCCGGTATAAGGACAGAGTCACACTACTCCGAGGAAACCACGAATCGAGACAGATTACTCAAGTAGGATTAATATGACAAGATTTGATTAGTTTTGCATATATTTTTAGGTTTACGGGTTCTATGATGAATGCTTGAGGAAGTACGGTAACTCGAACGTGTGGAAGTACTTTACCGACTTGTTCGATTGCTTTCCACTTACCGCTGTCGTTGATGGACAGATCTTCTGCCTTCATGGTGGACTTTCGCCATCCATTGACACCTTGGATCATATCCGTGCATTGGATCGTATTCAAGAGGTTTTAAATTGCAAACGTGTTCAAATTCGCTATAAAAATTGTTTTTTTAGATTCCACATGAAGGTCCCATGTGCGACCTATTGTGGTCCGATCCAGATGATAGAGGAGGCTGGGGAATCTCGCCGCGTGGTGCTGGATATACATTCGGACAGGACATCTCGGAAACGTTTAATCATTCTAACGGGCTAACGCTCATCTCTCGCGCACATCAACTTGTTATGGAGGTTTGTGACGTCACGAAATAGTTGTGTTGTGTTGTGGGTGCTTTCGAATCGGAATGAGAAAACAGCTGACAGATGTGACGATTTGATATGTGTTGGACTTTTCGACAAAACTTTGTCTGTTGGTATTTGAGAGTCAAATTTTTATTTTATTTTCTAATATGCAAAAATAGCGCAGGCTGGTCACATGATGGTCTTGTGGGGTGAGATTTTATAACTAGTTTTTCAATTCTGCGCGCGCAAAAAGGGAAATTGTTTTTTTTTAAACTAATAACAAAAACGAGCACCTTTAACAATCCTGGACCATTGCATTAATTTGAGGCGGTAATTCAAATTTGAATTTAGACAGTGCAAATTCGGGTAGCGTAAAATCAATTTTTTTTTAATGCAATATTTCCTATCATCATGATCAAACATCAATAATAATTAGCGAATTTATCTGCACATTGTAAATTGTAAAATATTTGCAGGGATACAACTGGAGTCATGACCGTAACGTTGTGACGGTCTTCTCTGCCCCCAACTATTGCTATCGGTGCGGAAATCAAGCAGCAATGGTGGAGCTTGACGACGATTTGAAGTACTCGTTCCTTCAATTCGATCCAGCGCCGAGACGCGGAGAGCCGCATGTGACGCGTCGAACACCGGACTACTTTTTGTAAATGTTGTCGATTCGCCGAACCGATCCCTCCGATTATGATTATCTTTTTGTTTCCATTTTCGAGTTTCTCTATTCTAGCGCGATTTCTCCTTAATCCTTTATTTTTTTAAATAATTGAATTTCTCTCAAAAAACAATGTTGTCGAATGGTCCCACCGCGAACAAAAGCACGAAAAATTAGTAAGGAATGAGAAAAACTCCATTGCAACACTTCTCACTTTTATTTTGTTCAACACAAACAATCATAATCATCATTACTATTATTTCCTTATATAGACTATATTGTTTTCTCTCTCCTCTCTTCCTCGCTCTATTACCCCCAGCCACCCCCACATCCCCCGTGAAAATGGTGTGAAAGCGGGCTTTAAAAACGAAATTGAAGTTTAGAAGGAAAGTTGTTTTTCTAATTTTTTTCTTGTGAAATTTCGGTAGTCGGTCGGCCGATCGATATCCTACTTTTTTTTGGTTTGTTTCTTTTCCTTCTTTAAATTTTTGACGAAAAATTCTCACCTTTTTCATCATGATTATTACCATCTTCATCAATCCTCTTTTTCTTTTCTCTCTTTTTCGCGCTCTCTGTTTTTATACTCCCGATGGACATATTATTCGAAGAAAAACAATTTCATTTTCAACTCTCCATTTTCATTCTTTTCTTTTCCTATCGAACTTCTAATTTGTTTTCTTTATTTATTTATTAATGATCCATAAATTTGTGTCCTAAACGAAATTTTTTTTCGTGTTTTTTATTTCGTCCGTGTTGTGTTGTGGCAATTTGATATCTTTGATTGGAGAAAAATCTAGCGTACAAGTGAAAATTAGTTGGTTTTGAAGAGAGAATAAAAATTTGAGCTTTTAATTTTTTTTAACGAATTTTATAAAAATGGAATTGAATTGGTAATTTATACGCTATTCACTATAATTTTATGAATAGTCGCTAATTATTATAAATTCGATCGATTTTTAGAATGGGAGAAGCGGGTCCTTCATCGTCAACGTCGTGGTACGATTCGGCGGGTGTAACGACACTTGGAAGCGGGAATCTGAGAGATGCGCTTAGATTGCCAGCTGGAGAGGATAAAAATGAATGGCTGGCGGTGAATAGTGAGTTATTTAAGCGTTTTGGAAAAAAAATATTTAAAAGAAATGAAACGAGTATTTCGAAAAAAAAGTGGTTGAGCTGAACAACTTCAGACACATTTTATTTTAATCGGCTCCAACAGCCATCTGTTGACTACTGTACGCAGGATTGATAGGGGTCTTACCACGAATGCTTTTTTTTTATGATTGTCATTCCTTGAATTTCTAACATCGTTGAAGTTAAAAATTTTTGGAATATGTTGTCTGCGCGAGACCATCCCAATTTTAAACGAATTTTACCTTTGACAAAAGAAAATTAAGAGATTTCTCGATGTAGAAAAAAATAGTTAATTGATTTTGTTTCAGTAATTGACCTAATAAATCAAGTTCGAATGATCTTTGGAGTAATTTGCGAATCGGAATGCACGGATGCCAAATGCCCGCAGATGAATGTCAAAGGGAAAGTGTTCAATTGGTCGAATAACGGGACAATGTAAGCTTTATTTGAGCATTTCTAATTATTCGATTACATTCGCAAAAGGAAAACGGGCGCCGTATGCTAATTTACGGCGAATTGGCTTCGCAGGTTATCCAGAATACGGTACCCAAATTCTCACTGTTTAAATTCGAATTTGAGATACCGCCTCGAAAATGTGCGATAGTCAACAATTATGCAAAGCGCTCGTTTTTTGCGATGGTAATAGCATTATTTTTTTTTTAGATTAAACGTCTCCGCACCGCAATATATCGATTTATCCCTAACATGGTGTCAAATGCAAACCGATGATGAGACAATATTTCCGGCAGAAATTGGAAAGAATTTTCCGGACAATTTTGAGGAGATTTGTCAGAAAATGATGAAGCGACTATTCCGCGTTTATGCCCACGTCTACCATGTGCATTCGTCGAGATTCCAGGAGATCAAAGCGCTTCCCCACTTGAACACATCATTCAAACAATTTATTCTTTTCGCTAACCAGTTTGACTTATTGAATCGGGAGGAGAAGGAGCCACTGGCCGACGTCATCCAAAATCTTGTCTCATTCAGCTGAGAATTTTCACTTTGTGAGTGTAAAAGTACATAAATATTATTTATTCAACTATAAATTAGACGTCTAGAAACGTTTCACAAAATCTCCGGGGCACATTTCGAGACCTTTCGCGTAGAAGTCCGAGCCGGTCTCAATCGATTCTTCGATGATCTGAAAAAAAATCTTTTAAAATTCTACTGAATTCGAGTCTGACCTTCTTCCAGCATTCCATCCCTTTTGTTCCTCCGAACTTCTCGAATTTCGAGTCAACCCAATCATTGTTGAAGTAGGTGCTTCTGTAGAAATCTCCTGGATCGTTGGCCATTGTCGCTATTGTCAGACGATGAGTTGGTCCTTTTCCTTTGTGCTGGAACGCTTTGTAGAGTGAAACGAGGAAGTTTAGAGCTGTCGATGGCCCCGCGTTGTAGCCGAGCTCGTTGAGAACACGAATTGCGGCGACGGTCGCGATATCCGGCATTTTCATGGCCTCGTGGATGACGTTACGAGTTAGACTCGTCGTCTCGCCGTACCACACCGGTTCGATGTCATAGCCGTAACCGATACCCGCGATTCCTGGTCCCGTCCAGATTCCGGCACCAGATTGATTAGTGAATTTGTTGTTGATGACGTAATCGTAGAACAATGAGTATTGCGAATCGGCCAAAACCACTCTCGTCGGCGCTCCGTATCTAGCGATATATCGTCCGACCGATGAAATTGTCCCTCCAGTGCCCGCCGAATGGACAAAGTAGTCGGGGACCTTGACCGCTTGCGATTTGTCGGCTTTGAGCTGCACAAGAATCTCATGATAGACATTGGAGCTCTCGTAGTAGAAGTTGCCGCTCTCGTGAAACTCCTCGGCGTTCTTCGCGTTGCCGAACTGATTCATGTAGAATCCGCCATTCTTCTCAGCTTCCTCTTTGGCGCGAGCGTTTCGCAACGACACTGGCACCTTGAGAGTTTTTCCGCCGAAGCTCTCGATGGCGCGCACTTTCTCCTCTTCGAGGTTGTCAGCGATCACAGCGATGTATGGCACGCCGACCAATGTGCACATGTACGCCTCGGCTGATCCGGTGTTTCCCGACGTCGAATCATAAACCGCGCTGGTTTTTGACGTCACCTTGCCTGATATTCCAGATACAGGGTGTCATTTAAGTTCCCGCACAAAAGTTTGACGCCATGAAAAGCTTGGCTGTCGCACTTTTCGTGCACCAATACAATTTATTTTTGTTAAATAATGTGTATTTTACTTACTTTTCAAGTTTCACTTCATTCGGATGTGTTTCCGAGAAATGGCGAAGGCTAACATCCATTGCGCTTCCATTATCGAACTTCATAAGCGAAATGAGCGCCCGACAGAGATCATTCAACGCCTCGGTGTGCCTCGTAGAACGGTTTAAGACACCAACAAACGTTTCAAGGAGCTAAATACGACCAGTGACCTTCCCAGACAAGGAAGACTCGTCTCAGTAACCACTCCTCAGAAGATCAACGCCGTCAAAACGAGGATCAGGCGAAAACCGCACAGGAGCATAAGAAAGATGGCGTCAGACATGGGAATGAGCATCTTCGCTATGGAACAAATGGTCAAAACGAAGCTTGGACTGACCCCATATCGCGTCCAAAAAGCGGCAATTCTATCGGCCGTCAACTAGCAGAGACGCTTCGAAAAAGCAAAACGACTTTTTGCTCGCACGCGGTCTGGAGAACACCTCGCCACTGTCTTCTCCGACGAGAAGCTGTTCACTGTGGAGGCGGCATTCAACTCACAAAACCATTGAGTACTTGCCCAGACATCCCAGAAAGCTTCTGAGAAAGGAAGAACAATTCATCCAGCCTCACATCCTGCCAGTGTGATGGTTTTCGGTGCCATCTGCTCAACCGGGAAGTGCCCCTGGTTTTCGTGGATCAGGTGGTGAAAGTGAACAAAGAAGTCTACGTTCGGGACATTTTGGGGAAGCATATGATGCCCTGGGCCCAAACGCATTTCGGTGGGAAGATATGGGTCTTTCAACAGGGCGGAGCACCCGCCCCTACTGCCAAAACTACTCAGGAGTGGTGCCAGACCCATTTTCCCGACTTCATCAAGTCATCCGAATAGCCTGCTTGCTCCCCAGACCTGAACCCGCTTGACTTCTCCGTGATGGGGTCTTGCAGGAGAAGGTCAACGCAAAACCCCACTCAAGTGTAGAGGCTCTGAAGAAGACATTACTGGCGGAATGGGACAATCTTTCCATCGAATACCTGCGTACCACAGTCACATCCTACCCGAAGCGTCTCCGCGAAGTCATAGCTGCGAAAAGAGGCCGAATCGAAAAGAGTTAATAGATAATTATTTGTTGTACTATAGATAAAAAATATTTCGAGTCTCGTTTGATTTGGACTTTTAGTTTCAGAAATATACGTCTTCAAAGTTGTGCGGGAACTTAAATGACACCCTGTATATTTGATTAACAACTGGAAAACGAAAAATAGTTACCGTCAGTGATTGCCCATAGAAGAAGCGCCCAAACGAATCGGTGCTTGAGGGTCCTGGTCTTGGTGGCCGTCTCGTTTTTGAAAAAGATATCAGCGTTGGGGAAGCCTTTCGGTTGGAATTTCGTCAGCGGTGTATGGCCCATCTCTTTTCGCTCACGCCAGAGTTTTCGAACGGCGTTCAATCGCCATTCGGTTTCGGCTGAAATTCGAGATTTCCGGCAATTCTCTAGGCATGAAGTTGACTTACAATCTGGCGCAGTGTCCTCGTTGGGAAGCTTCGACTTGAGAATTTGAGTGAGCTCATCGGGCAGCACGAATCCCGCGAGGATCGTTGACAGCAGCACGAGAATGTGCAGTTTTTGTCGCATTTGCCGTCTGAAAATACACTAGCTCAAATTCACCCTTTATAGTGCTCACGTGGAGGCCCCGCCCAGTCGTTTGGGCTAAAAACTACTGTAGGTCAGACACGCCTCCCAGAAACATAAATAGATGGATGATCGAATTAATTCATTACTGAAACATGAATGACTCAAGGAGCACCGGAAATCTTTTTTCTAATCATTTGAACTTGGAGTTTTGGGATCGCCTGGAAATTGAAGTGACAGAATTGTTTGCGCGACAAGATGATAAGAAAAGATAATTGGAAAAGTCACGTATTTGGGTATCTGCGGACAATTTTACATGAGACACGCATATTTCTCGTTTTATTGGCAATAAAGTGCAAAGAAAGCAAACTATAAAATGTTTCATTTTTTTCAAATTTAAGCAAAACATTATTTAGGAAACATTTAACTTTAATTCTTGTGGATCAAAAATCCTATAGATTATATTAATCCTGTCTTTTTCAAATGTGTGTTGTTTCGAAAGGAAAGCAAGAATGGAACAAAGATTTTTCGATTATTGTCTTTTTAGAGGAATAATCAGTTTTGAAGAATGGAAATATATAATCTTTATATAACACTAATTATAACATGTTCATAATTTGTTCAACAAATTGAAGCTCTGTGAATGAAAAATTCATAAAAGCGTTATTTGTTTTTAAAAGGTTCATAAACGCGCACGCAGAATTGCTCACAATTTAAAGTTGAAATCAATTCTCTTTAAAATTTATTTCGTACAAAAGAGGTTTTTGTTGTCCGTGTTTCATGTAGATCGATAGACTCCGCCCAACTAGCCGGAGATGGGACCAACTTTCATTCTTCCCTTCCCTTTACACTTGGAGTTGGTCGCATGTCACCTCCCAAAAAAAAAAAAGAAATTTAGCCTATTTCTTCTGTAAATTTCACAGTTTATAACGACTGAATGGAGGCGTGGCCTTCAAGTTCGCGAAATCAGTGTAGATTTAAATTTATTGTTGACTGAATATTAAATTCGCGTACAGTATAATGCAATGTACGCAGTCTCGCGTACTTCTACGTATTGGCACATAGCCACTAATTTTTTAAATTTTTTTCCAATGAATCTGTACGAAAAAATAAAAATAGGCTTTTTAAGACGGACAGCAAAAACCCTCCCTAGTTCATTTTTTCTTGAAACAAAAAAATAAATTATTTGAAATCAATTAAAATTTGAAAACTCATGATCAGAGTAATCCACCGTATAAAAGATGAAAGGTAGAAAATTATACACTTCAATTCACTTAAATTTACTTTTATTTTCATAGAAAGTTGATCTATTCTTGGATTATCGCAAAAAAAAATATTGGCAATGCTTCAAAAGGCATCTCTATTCTTTTCCATAATTGGATTTACTACGGTAGGCAATGATTAAAAAAAGAAGTATCACATCATTCAATATAATCCTTTGAATGCATAATATTCTTGACCTGAATATTCAATTAGGAATTTGTCAACTAACATCATCTAATGAAATCATATCGGAAATATGGGGTCCGAATTCTAGTGACATTCAACATCACATTCATTGCCGCGGATTATGTCATGTGTAGCTTTTACAAATTAGATATTTTATAATAATAATTTAACAGAAATCAAGCAGATGGTTGAAAAAAAGAGGTGAAACGCGTCGAATCGATGATGAAGCTTCTCAAAATGGTTGTGAAATCGAACGGGTTTCAGTCGATAACATCGATGGACGCGCGACACGAGAAAACGAAAATTTTCTATCGATTGGGTGGAAACTATAATGAACACGAAGAAGGACTTTTTGTTTGTATAAGATGTGTCAAAATCATTTATTGACAAAATTGGAAGGATTTCAAAAGAAACATTGAGAAACTTGAAAGCTTGTAGAAAAAATTAGAATATGGAAGAAAATCATTTTGGAAGCTTAAAAAATCCCCTAGGTTACGTGACCTGCCACGTTATCCACGTGCTCCATTTCCAAGGTCAATTAAAAAAAAATCATTTTTCTAATTTACTTCTATCGAAATATGTCCGTGAATGATGAGCCTGATGAGAATAATCAAATTTTCTATGACCCTGTCACTATTCTTCGGCCGATCTCAAGAGCTACTAATGTGAATTTGGATCAGGTTTACCGCTGGATCGACGTCGATCCGATGATATCTGGAATTTAGCTTAATTTTGTCACATGCCTTCTGGTGTCGTTCCCATTGGGCTACTGGTTTCGAAAACAGTTTGAAGGGGCTCCGCGGACGACAAGAGCAGCGGTCTCAACAGGATTGGGCCTTCTATTGTGCTACTTTTGCTATGGAAGGTGAGCCGAGTGGAAAATCAATACGAAACAATGCGTTTTAGAGCTATTCTTCACCTTTTTGTGAATATTTTCGGAAGCTACGCTCTAATGTTAGCTGTGAGCCCAAAAATGGTCAACAAGTTAGAATCAAGCTGAAAAACAATTTTGATATATTGATTTCAGAGCGGTGTTCGCGTTCGCTATGGGATACCTGTTGTTCATTCACTCATACCGTTGGCTTTATCAAAGAACCTATTGCTTGGATGTGACTGGCACAATGATGGTTGTTGTCGGCAAGATAACCCTACTGGCATCGGCAATCCATGACGGAATGGGTCGTGATCCGAAGGAGCTGAATTCAGGCCAGAAGCGCGACGCTGTTCAAATGGTTCCAAGCTTATTGGATTACACCTCGTACTGTTTCAATTTTCAGGTATATTTTTTAAATGACAATAAATGTAGGTTTCAAACGATTGATGGGTCACATTTTAATAAATTGGCTAAGAGCCAAAGTGTCTCGAGGCGAAAATTTAGTATTTTGGTGTACGCGCGTTTAATATTCAGTCAACGCCAAAATGGCTATGTCAATTCCTCGTAATTTACGTCGTTTGAAATCGGAAACGTTTTCATTATTAACTCATATAAAATATGAGCTGCGGACAATTTACAAGCCTTATCGATTTTTATTGTTTTTCTTCTAGAGCGTTATTGTTGGTCCGATGAGCCACTATGCGGCGTGGTCAAAGTTCCTCGACGACGCCCACGTTCCAGTCGACCCGAAGACTGGCAAGAAGGCGAATCCGTCGGCGACGGCATTGAGAAAATTCGAAATTGCTCTTGGATTTGCGGTGGTTTATTCGGTTTTAGCGCCGAAACTGCCGATGACAGTGACTTCCGATCCCGAGTGACACTCTTTGACAAAAATTTGTAATACAGTTTCGATATTTATAGATACAATAAGCTGAACCTGGTGTTCTGGTGGTTCTGGCACGCTCTCGCCTCAATGGTCCATCGGCTTCCTTACTATTTTGCGTGGACCATTTGTGAGAAAAATCACTATTTTCGAACAAAAAAAAAGTTGGTTTGTGGTTATTTTCAGCTGACGCGATTTGTAACGTTTCCGGTTTTGGATTTGACGGTTTCGACGCAAATCAGGAAGCGAGGTGGTCGAAGACGACAAATGTTTATCCGTTTAGAGTTGAGGTCAGCGCAGGGTTACGGTAGAAAAGCGTCAAAAATCAGATTATTCTAGTGGTTTATGGGTTTGAAAAAAAAAGAAAACCAACGTCCGATTAGTTTTTGGTCCTATTAATGTTGGGGGTTGAAGAGAAAAATTGGTCATTAGAAATTCTTTGAACACGCGATTATTTTGATTCAGCTTGGAAAGAACTATAAGGAAATGGTGGATAATTGGAATGTTTGGACGGTCGCGTGGCTTCGTAGAGTCGTCTATGAGCGATTCGACGACAAATACCGAACATTTGCGGTTTATATAACCGGAGCAATGTGGCACGGTTTGTCGATTGGATATTATATGTCGTTTTTGACAAGCGCCTTGTTCACATTGTCCGCAGCAACGGTGAGTGTGACTACCGTAATCAAAGGGACGCTTCGTCGAAATTTTACAATTTTCAGTTCCGCCGGTGTGTTCGTCATCGATTCGTGGACAATCCGACATATAAATTGGGCTATGATATTTTTGGAATTCTAGTCTCAAAATTCTGCATTGGATATATTCATTATCCATTCTTTATGATGCATTTCTGGCCGAGCATTTTCATGTACAAGTATGGAATTTGAGTGCTGCCATTTTTTTTTGGGAGGACCATCTCGATATTTGCAGAAAATTGCTCATGGCTCCTCATCTCATCGCGCTGCTTATTTATTTGTACTTGCCGATGGTGTTGACGCCTTTGAAAAAAGACCAAAGTGTTTCAACCAGCGAACAGGTTTGGCTCGTCGAAATTTCGGTTTATCACCTTCATTTTACAGTCGTCTACACGACAGAGAACGCCAGAATCGGACGTGTCGAAGCGGCGATAATGCCATGTTTGATTTTACCGACTTTAATTGTTGGATAGGTAGCACTTTGGGTGCAAAATGACGTATTTGTTTGGTTTTTTTCTTCAGAAATATGAATTGAATGGCATTTGTTTTTGATCTATGATTGTTGCAAAATGTCATTTCTTTTTGGGCCAATTTGTAGAGTTCTTTTTATTCAGTGCAAAAAGCTATGTGTATTAGCGGACTAGCGTCATCTTTGAAATATTTGATCTACAAATTTTCGCATGTGGATTGCAGCTATCTTAAAAGGATTATTTTGAATTTAGTTATCCGAAAAAGGATTTCCTTCAATTCTAGAACATGAGAAAAAAAACACGACATGTCCCTTTAATTTTCCTAGTTTGGGCGCGAATGTTTTGTCAAATTTGGGTTCAGACATGGTACGTCACAATTGGTTTTTTGTCAAGTTTTCCCAAAATTGGCCAGCTATCTTTATAATCTGATCTCGACCTTGGAATTTTGACCTCCACCCAGTAAACAAACGATAGATGGCAAAGATTCTCGAAAACTCCGAAGATTGCTCCAATGGTCTCGCAGCGAAAACAGAAAAAATAATAATTGTAAAGGTTTCATTTAGCAATGACGATGATAAACCGGACCAGTATCCAGTTTAATTATTACGATATCAGATTGGCAGAATGCCCAAAAAAGTTTCGAAAACCGGTTCCATTGATGGTGGTGACCCTTCGAAACAGAACAGTTGAACTTTGGCAGTAAACGAAGAAAGACGACGTTTGGACTTTTCGCGCTTCAGGACCACCCAGATGTCTGAAATAAGCGGCTGATATGACGACATTTTTTTTTGCAATGGCGAAAAATAAAAACTAGATATGAAATTTGAGAACTGGTTGTTGAAAACACCCATGCCCACATGTGAATTGATATCAAACGAAATAAGCTTGGGGTGGGGGCTGAATAATTTTTAAACTACAGATAGATATGCCAGCAATTATTTGGGAACCGTTGTTTTTTTCAGGGAAAGTGAAAAGCTGATGGGAAAACAGGAATTTTAAAGACGGCCCCAGGTGATGGGATGTTGATCAAAATGGCAAATTGCCTGCTGATTGGACCGAAAAATTTTTATGAATAATGTTGTATGTACTCACGGTTTTCAGACAGTAAATTATAATTCTACTAACTTTGGATTTTTTTTTTGAATTTTGTTGGCCATGTTTTGCAACAGAGATTTTCAATAGAAAATCTCTTCACGCTTCTCTGAATTTTATTTGAATAGGACCTATTCAATAGGTTAAAGAAAAGTTTGTACACATATAGTATGCATCATTCATCTAATAAGTTTCAAGTGTGCAATTTTTCGTCACAGTGTTACACACTTTAAATTTTGACGTTATAATAATTAATTTTTGAAATGCAACGCTTGAATTTTTAGTTAACGATTTGTTGTCAGTCGCTTTATATTTTGATGTCGAATTTTCGAAACAATTGATTTTTATTCTTTATCGTGTTTTTCTACTGAAAAGTACAATTTTCACTCCGCCCACTGATTGGTTTCTATTTAAAGACGGATGCGTTTCTCCGCCTTCAAGTCATTTTTTATTTTTTCACTCACGAGGCAAATATTTTTCCAGAAAAGTTTGCCCCCCGGAATGACCCGACGATCGCTTCCCTATCGAATTTTTATTGCGGTATACCTTATAATTGCTTATATCCTGATATTCCTGTTCCAAGATTGTCCAAGAGTGTTGTTCCGACGGAGAAAATCGATTAGCGGGCAGGTTTGGGCAGTAGATCAAAACCTGAGATTCACTTTGACAGCTTTGAGGTCGCCGTAATCACTGGTGGAGCGATGGGGATGGGCAAAGAAGTGGCGAAGCGGCTCGCGATTGAGCAGAATGCAAAAGTGTGCATTCTAGACATCAATGAAGATCAGGGAGAACGAACGGTGGCCGAAATTCGGGCTCTCGGAGGCATCGCCAAATTCTACAAAGTCGATATATCGAATGAAAATGCTCTTGAGGATGCGGCAGGTCAGATTGAAAACGATCCGATGTTTGGTAGGAATCAAAAAAATAACGGTTCGGCGCCGAACATGCAAGTGTTCAGGATTCGTGAGTATCGTCATCGCGAATGCGGCGATTCTCAAACATGGAACGGTGTGCGATCTTACCGTCGAGGACTACAAATTCAACAACAACGTGAACTATTTGGGCCACATTTTCACAATCAAGACATTTTTGGGAAAAATGATCGAGCGACAGCACGGACATATCGTGTCGATAGGCTCGATCTGCTCGCATTTCGGCGAAGCCGGCGGTTCGGCTTATTGTTCGGCGAAATTCGCCGCTCGCGGCTTCATCGAAAGTCTTCACGGCGAGCTCGACGATCTTGGAATGACAGACAAGGTGATTCTCACATCGATTTATCCGTATTTCGTCAACACGCCGTTTATCACAAATTTGCAAGAGCCCCACAGCACGTAAGTGAGAGATTTGGAAAGACCCAACCACACTGATATGTTCCAGCTTCTGGGACATCGTGCCTCTTGATACAGCTTCGATGGAGATCGTGAACGCAATTCTTTACAATAGGTATACAGTATTCATTCCCGGAAGTATTAAACTTCTATGTGTCTACATGAAATGGTTAGTTAATTGATCTACCGAACAATAATTGAATTCTTGTCTTTTTAGGATGACAACTTTGGGAACGTATCCTCTCGGCCGCAAAGTGTTCAACATTGTTTGCAAGCCAAAAGCCGAAGAAATTGCTTTGAAAAAAGTGTGAATGATAATTAGACTGCAAAGATTTTTTGAATTGTTACGGTTAATCAGGTTTTAATAAAATATTTGAATTTTTATAATATCTTTGTTTTAAAAACCGATAATACAGGAGATTGGCGTGCAAAATTGCGTCGGTGTGTTAACAGAAAAATATGGGATAACAAGATTTTTCAAAAATATTTAAAAAGAAAATATGTATAATTGTAATTGTCGTTCTTTTGGAAGCGGATCCCGGAAAGTGTGGCGCATCCCGTCAAGATTTCAAAAACAGTATGAGCCCTCATTTTTCGGACCATGTCGATTGGAAACCTAGCCGCACCCTAGGACAGAATTGATTATTTAGTATATATAGGGGTATAGTGTTTGATAGTAAATTGAAAAAAAAAACTAATTATGATTATATCGCCTGAAATAAATTCTAAGATTTATTTCTATCTGCAACTTCCTTCTTTCGATTTTAGACATTAAAATTTTAATGTCATTATTTTATTATAAAAATGCAAAAAGTTGAAACATCGAAATTGAAAAGAAAACGCATGAATCAATACAATAACCTTGATTCAAGGTCTAAGAACTAATTGACCGGAACAAATGTTGAGCTGATGATAACTGAAAGAGAAAAGCGTTCGAGAGGAAACATAAAAACATGAGGGGCGGGGGAGGAAATTCCTAATGACGTTGAACGTAATTTCCCGGGAAAATGCCAAAGTCACCGGTGCGCAGCGAGGTTCCTTCAAATTATAAATTGATTAAAAGATCATTCAATGGATAGTAGGCTTCTCACCAATAAACCATCCATCGTCGCATTTTTCAACCACAAAAATAATATCATTTGTGAACAGCTCTAATTCGTCTTCCTTTTGAGGCCGATAGTCGAAGATGGCACGATACCTCAAAACATTCGAATATATACATGTATTTTTTTTTTCAATCCTCTTACATTTCACTTCCTTTCGGTATCACAGATGCCGCATTTGTGCGAATATCGAGATTCGTCGGCTTCGGCTTCATCTGGCTAATTGCCGATTGCGACGGAGCGATTGGGGCTTGTTGAATCGGCTGCACAATCGCTTGTTGAGGCCGCTCCCACATGTCCAATTTTCGATTCTCCCACTCGTTTAGTCTATCGATTGGTTGCTGCTGGGATGCATATCCACTTAAAACATCGACATTTTAGCAATGCCAATTTTAGACAATTGACTACCTGTAAACGTCGGGCTGCCTAGAATCCTCGTATCGGTACGCTTCTTGCTGTCTGGGCTCCTCGAACCTCACACGATTTTGCGCCGGCTCCGGCTCGTAGCCTCCCACAACGATTTTCGGCGTCTTCGGACGGTCTGGAATAATCGCTGCCGGCTGTTCACTAGGCGCATCCGAGAGCATTCTGACATATGACGACGGGAAGATTCCGATTTGGCCGATCTGATTCGAGCCCTCCATCCAGTTCATATCAATTTCTCGACGGAATATGACAATTTCACCCTTCAAGTTTTGAATATCTCTTCCTCATTTCAATACACAAAAAAATTCTTACCCTCTTTAGACTAAGCTCATTGGAATTTCTCGATGTGAACGGATAGATTGCTCTCATTTTCTGTCGATTTCGCTCAAACTCCGATTCGATCTGAACATAAGAAGCTGGAAAAATTCCACTACGTCCATTCCTTTCGCCTTCGATCCAATGCGAATCCACTTCGCGGATTATTCGCACAATATCGCCCTTGTTTAATGGAAGCTCTCTGAAATTTTCAAAAAAATTCCATTTTTTTCAAGTTTTATGAAAAACCTTGGACTCCTAGCTTCAAATTTATAAACGGCAGTAGCTGTCACAACCGGATTGCGACTCGACTGGCCCGTGTAGCCCGATCCATTCTGATCCGTTGAGTAATCTTTCACAAGCCCTTCGAATCGATCCATGTTGTTGTGAAGGGATGGAGCAGAGGATGGTCTAAGAGCGAATCGACATTGAAAAGTAGTGAAAGCATAATAACGTACACGTAGCTGTGCTTCTGAAGCTCGCTACCAAGTCGATCAGCTTTTTGACGAATCGCGTTATCTTCTTCGGTGAGCCGTTTCAACGCGTCAATTTCAGCGGCTAGGCTGGAACTTTCTGGAACAAGACTCGATTGAATTTTTGATCTACCAACTTGATTGATGCTACCGGTTGGCGTGTTAGTTCGAATGACTGGCTGGGATTTGGAACGCTGCCAGGTTTTTTCAAGGCTATTGATAAACACGTCAAGCTCTTTGGTAGTCTCGTCAAGTTTGTTAGTGATTAGTTGAAGTTCTGAATTAAATCACTCGTCAACGAAATCAAAATCGGGAATTGCTTCGAACCAATCTTCTTCTGAAGCCGTCGCTCTTGAGCTCGCTTCCTATCCGCTTCCATTTTCTTGTAGATCAAATCCACTTCACCAAACGAGGCGTCCCGTCGCGGTCGTCGGCACACCATACATGGTGTGCCATACGTCGGCGGGTCGTCGGACGTCGTCGGCGCGCAACCGTCGAATGTGCATCGAATCGGACGAGCATCCACATCGCGAAACTTGTACGACGGCACGTGGAAGTGCGGCGTCTTGGCACGCTCCAGTGCATACAAATGCTCGCCGACCGGTGCGCCTTTAATTGGCCATTTTTGGTTTTGGTTAGAGGCGAGCATGTCAATTGCATGCATCGCTGGGTTATTCAATGTGTTTGCACAAATTCTCGTTGCAATTTATGTGATATCGTCTGCGGAAAATTTCGGAAAAAATTGCTCTCAGATTATATTTTATCTAAATATTCTTCAGCGACGATATGTCAAATAATTGTTTGTTTTCGAAAAAAAAAACGCGGCTACCAGGATCAGTCGCTACAAGACCCATCGCAATTTCCATAGTATGAGCCTTTAATAATTTTTGGATATACATAATAACGAAAATTGCGCGCATACTTAGATCTAGGTCTTGCAATGACCCACTCTGGTAGACATTTCTTTTCAGAAAATGCGTTTCCCAAAAAAAGCGGCTATCAGAATTTTTCGCTGCAAGACCTTGCAGTTCAGACGCGTTGCCGTTCACGTTTTCTTATGAAAATTTCGAACCGTCTGACGGCACAGAATAATTACGGTAGCCACGCCGTTTATTTTGGGATCATCATCAGATGTTAGCGGACCATTGAATGTTTTTCAGCGCGGTAATTTAAATTTGACTTAAAACAATGACAAATCGTGTACCAGGATTAGGGTGCTCGTCTTTTTTTTTGTGCGATTATGAATGGGCGACCAAAAAACGAAAATGCCTTCCGTAAAAAAGTGAGAAGCTTCGCAAAATAAACGTTATCTAAAATTCTAATCTAGAGTCGCCATTTTTTTGAGGAAACAAAAGAAATCAAAAATCTTCGGATGGGAAAACGAGAAAATCGTGGAATTTGGTTTTCAGCAACTTACAGTGAAAAGAAAACGAGCCGCGCATCCATAAATAAATCAGTTGTGCTCTGAGAAAAGACGAAGAAGCAACTGGCACAAAAGCGTTTCGCGATGGGGTCCTCCACTCCTCCCTCCCCCCTTTAACGTGTGTGTCCGCCGATGCGAACCAAATAAGGAAAAGAGAAGGTCCCTGAAGCAATGGAGGAGGGAAACGAGGGCAGATTGAGTTCCACCTTACGATGGAATGATAAAAAAAAGAAAAGATGAACGGAGGCGCGCATATGGGCCACTTGAGCGAGAATTTATGGAAAAAAATAATGTAATTTTTTTAATTGCTTGCCAGAGCATGGATTATTTCTGCTTAGGCAAAATATAAACAAATTTTTCAACAAGAAAAAAAATCCGAATGTTTTGTGTTAGAATACACACGCACACAACGACATACCAAACAACAAAAAATAATGATGGGTGGGGGGGGGTCGAAAAATTTCAAACCTTTCGGCTGCTCCGGCTCAACTACCCGTCCAACAGATCGAGCTCGTCGCGGTGTGATCTCGACGTCAACTCGTTGAGCGCGCGAATTGTGGGTTAACGGCGTCTGCTCGCCTGGAAAAAAAACCATCTGCGGACAATTTAATAAAAATCATCATACGTTCCCTCCTCTCTTCCAGCTCGATGTTTCTGTGGTGAGCCTCGCCACTAGTCTGTTGATCCTCTGCAAACAATTCTATATCTTCTGATATCATATACATAATATATAAAAGGTCCCTCCTCAAAAAAACTGAATAGAAGAAAAAAAAAGCGGCCTAGTCTATTCGGCAACGGAAATGAGAGCGAGAATTGAATTATGGAAATGAATGAATGGGGTATTGAGAAATCGGCGCATAATATAATATAATAATATATACTATGTGATAGCGAAAAAGTGCACAAAGCTCAAACCGTACGGGAGCTGCTGCTGCTGCTGCTGTTGCTGAAGCTTGTTGCTGATTGGCCTCGCCGTTTCGAGTGCCTCATTGATTTTTGCGCTATTTTCACACAAAAATATCATTGTTTGGCCATCTCTCATGCATGCAACACCGCCGAACGAAAAGAGAATCAGAGATGAAATATCAGTCATAATGGGAATGGGGGGGGGCTCATTTATGGAGTGAATCCGGTTTTGTTCGAATAATAATAATAATAATAATAAAATGATGACTGATGATGATGATTGCGGAGAAGGAGGGGGTGGGTTGTAATTGTGTTGTAATGGGCCAAGGAATTCTGAATGAAGCAAACCGGACAGGAAACATGGCTAAAAATTTGGTGCAAATTCACAAAAAATTGATTGCGGTGAAAAAAAATGATGCACCCTGACGAGTAAAAACTTTGGTGAGACAAATCGAAAGTCGAGTGCAAACAAAACAAAACAACTTCTGTGCCCCCCTCCCACCCCGCGTGAGGGAGCATCATTCACCTATTTGCTTTTCGTTTTACAATATGCCGACATTTTATCTTAACTATGTGAAGTCGCATAATTAGCGCCACCAAACATTTCGAAGCGGGGGGGCAGCGCGCGCGCAGCAGCGGTCATAAAAAAACAGACAATAATGAAATTCAATACATTTGACATCTATCCAAAAGAAAACATTGAAACAACATGAGAGGTGGAGATGGAGGAAGGTTTATTTGAGGAATGCATTTTTTTAATGCATGGGAACCCCCCCCCCCTTCAAATTTTTTTTACTTATTTCGAAAATTCCTTTTTTTTCTAAACCGAAAATTGACTAAAATACCTGGTTCCGGCTTATGCATCTGCTTGAACATCTTCCGGTACCACAACGACATTTCCGGTTCGGTTTGTGAATGAAAATGGCGTTTTGGATACATGAGCTCATCGGGATCCATGAGCTCCGGCGGCTGCTGCTGCTGCTGGGCGCCGCCAATTGGTGCAACGCCACTTGGTGGGCGTGGTGTCGTCTCGCGAATAATAATATTATTAATATTATTTTGATTATTTTGCGCGACGGGCGGCGCCGCTGCGGTCTGATGGTGGTCGAATGTTGTCGAAGTGGACGACATGAAGCCTACAAGAGAAAATTTGCATAACGAAGAGTCAATAAATCTATGGCATACTATCTGGGCGATCGGCTCGCGATTCGGTATCGCGCATTGATGGGATATTCATTGATGAAGCCAGCGAGGAAGCGAGCTCAAACGCATCGCAAAGCGTTTTTTCCAACCTGAATGGGCACATGATAAAAATTGAACAATTGAATGATCGTTACATGTTCGCTGTTTGATCCGGAGACATCGCATTGGACCCTTCATATCCACTATCATAGCTTCTCGTTTCCACATGAGCTGGTGGCGAGGAGAACGGCGGGGATGAGACGTCTTGTTTCGATTGTTTAGCCGAATCCAATGCGATTGGATCAAGTCGCACTGGTGTATGCTTCCTTCGAATTGTTCCAAAGTGATCAGCGGTCTTTGACGAATATGGAGTGGGCGATTTGGATTTGATTAGTAGCTCAGAGCTCTCAAGATCCATTGATCCGGCTCGTGGTGACTTTTCAATATTGGGCTGCCCGAAAGGTGTCAATTGGATATCGGCGCCAAATAGGGAAGAGGACGGCGCGACGGGTGTGGCTTCTTTCTCGGAGCGCTCTTGCGCTGTTGATGTGGTCATCTCTTCCGGGATCGTCGGATGTTTCTGGGTATCGAGATCCATCGGGGTGTTCATCAGAGACTTTCGATATTGATCGTAGAGTTGCCGTTGAACACCGGCGGCATTAATCGCCGCGATTTCCGACGAATCGCCGAACGTTGAGATGCACGAGGAGATCATCGAGGCGCCATCGTCAAGCTCGTCGCCGGCTCTTGGATCGCCGCCGAACTCATAAGGATTTCGAATTTTCGGCGGCTGATACTGCTGCTGGTATGAGTTGTGCGACAATTCGGGCGGCAATCGGATTGTCGACGAGGTCTTCGGTGGCGCCGGTTTTGGCGGTGGCGCCGGCGGTTTGGCTTCGGTTGGAACCTGACTGTAGCTGGGAGGCGGCACACCTTGGAAATATTTGTTTGGATTCACCGGACCATCGAGAACCCGTCCCATATTATGCTTGTTGGCATGCGGGTCCACAAATCCATTCGGCTCGTAGACTTTCACATTAGCAGCCCATGACGGTTGAGCGGGTTCTGGAAAGGAACAAATTTATCATTTCTAAAAATGCTATCTGCGGACAACCTTGTGGTTTTGATTGCGACCAAGAAGTTGGGTCCTGCGGTGTTTTGGGTCTTGTTGCGCTAACTCCGCCCACCGGCGTTTTCATTTCTAGGCGATCATTGATCACTTGGCGGAGTGCGGCAACATTGCGGCGAACCGGCACCTAGAAATGAGGGCAAATATGAAAAATTGCGATAAATGAAAATTTAGTTAATTTTTGATTTGAATTGGGTCTCGAATGGGTTTTGAATTTTCAACTAGTAGAATGTGAAAGTGTTAGATAACAAAAGTGCCAAATTTCGGAGAATCAGGCCATTTTTTCTCAGGGGACCAATTTAATTCAAATTTACGATAATAAAAAATATATATTAAAAAAGAGAATTCTCATACCTCAATATCACCGTCTGCCGGCATCACATTCGAAGCGGGTTCAGTTTTGATTTGCCATTGATTGTGCGATTGGGTTGTCGATGACGATGACGGTAAATCAGGCGCGTTTTGGAAATTCTACAATAAAAATGAAATCATAAAATTCAGCGGAAAACTCGTCAAAAAAAATTATTGGCAAACGCGGAAGAAAGCCACGAGTGTGCCGAAAATCACCGCCAATGTTGTTGTTATAATAATTATAATTATAATACTACTCGCTCCCGAAACGCGCTCATTAATTATTGTCATTAAATGGTACCATCATATACGTATGAAATGGTCGTAGGAAAACTCGGGAGCGGGGAGGGGGGGGGGGGTCCTTGGACAACTACAAAGAGGATTATTATACAATTGTAAAGTTTTGAATAGGCCAGAAACGTTTTTTACGATTTTTCATTGACCGCGCTAAATGACTCATGACAAATTCGAATAGATTTGGCGTGCCAAAATCGAATTTTGGTTCAATTTTCGAAATTGCCGCAAGGGGAAAAAATGGTGGGAGCGAAGGTCACCATTTCTTTTTTCAATAAATGTTGTTGAGCACGAAAAGCTTCAAGCTGTTGAGGCGATTTTTACACACACACACGACCCCCCCCCGGTTTGTTGTTTTTTGAATAATAACTCACATGTGCCGCTGATGATGAATTCAAGTTGTTGTAAAATTCCAATTGGTTCGAATTATACCCGTTGATCATGTTCCCTGCAATTATTTTTAGTTCTTGATTATTCGCTTTGCGAGCCAATAAAAAACCATTGAATGGCGCGGAGATCAACGAAAAAAAACTATATAACGAAGTTTGTGCTAGAGGAAGAAAATTGAAATCGGAATTGATCAGATCCTCATCTGCGAGTGGACATTTCTCGCGCGTCTCACCGTTTCGCGTGCTATGCCGGTTTACAGCAGGCGAGCAGCCGCCGCCGTCGCCGCCGATGTGTTCAGGCGAGCGGCAACGCCAATTGTTTCCGAATTTTACTAAAAACCGACGTCGCGACATGATTTGCACTTTGTATGAGGCGGGTGTTGTTGTTGTTGTTGTTGCTATTGCTGTGTTTTTTTGTTATGAAAATCAAAATGAGCCAAACGATTTTTTTTTGGTTGGGTGAGATAGACAAAGGGCATCACGACATCGTTTCGGAGAGATTTACGACCTTTAATGCATTCCTAATAAAATATGTCCTTTTGAATTTCTGGACACAAATCTGGCGGTAATTAATGGCGAAAAATTGCGAAACCACCGTGAAATGTCTGCATTGGCAAATTGAGATCGCATTTTTTTTTGAGTAGAAAAAGAAACAGCGTCGAAGGAATTGAATTCAATTTCCGCGCGAAAAATTTCCTCCCACCTTCTTCGGAGCCCTTCGCCGCCTCGACGACTGTGATATCTTCAGTGGTTTCGGCTTCTTGACTTGACGATGAATTGCTGAAAAAGAAACAAAATCAAACACACTCTTTTCGCCTTCTCTCACATAAAAGTTTTATGGAAAAGTCAATAATCGGGCAAAAGAAGTGAAAAAAAATTCTGAATACCTTGTTGGCGAATCTCTCGAGCTGTTTGTCAAACTGCGACCGGCAAAGTCGGCAGCGGCGCTGTCGTAGCCGACTGAGCTGCTCGTCGACGATTCTGCTCATGAAAAACGATGAGTTGAAAACAAAAGAAAAAGTGGCAACTATGAATCATTAGTTGGTAATTTGTCATCGAGAGGCAATTTCGTCACACTCAGAAAAGCTAAAATTTAAAAAAAAATCAACGAGTTGGCAGACGAAAATTTTATCATTGGCGTTTTGTGGAAAATAACGCGAGAGGGATATCAATTACACCTTTCGCATGCAGAATTATTGCTTCTTGGGAGTATTTCAAAATCTCATTGATAAACGAATAATATCAATAAATCAATCTGCGGACAATTTTTTTTACCTAAATTGCCATTCTGCAATCCCATTTGAATTTTCTTCTTCAACAAATGATCGGTAATTGTTGGGCTGCAATTTTCGGCCATTTCCTCGAACAGCCTTCGTTTGCTCTGCAAAAAAATTGGCGAACATCGATAATTGTCCGCAGATGCGAAATCTACATTGGTGTTTTCCTTGGCGCCGTTCATCATATCCATTCGGACTTGTCTCGGCGAGCTTCGCGGATTGGTTCGCGGCAGCACCGGCGAGTTGGGCATCGACGTCGTCGAAACGCGTTTTTTGCCCAAATTCGGCGAATTGCGCGCCGAGCTGCTCAGTTTCTCATCTCTCACCGTTTGATGGAATCGCTGTGGACATCTGAAAAGGCGAAATGAGGCGGAACGACGAGCGCGGTGGGGTTCTGGCGCCGGTAAACTAATTGGCCTGAACTACCTACAACAATTGCCCATGGTTGCTGACTGGCGGGTTTACGAAGAATGTTTGATAAGAATTTATGTGTGCCCGAATGGACGAAATGAAAAAATGTTTACCCACCTTTCCACATGCAATTTCATTATTCCGGTGGCATTCTGAATTGATAAGTGCGCCTGTTGACAGGAGCCCACTTCTGTGTTATCGATCGATACTATCATGTCGCCAATTTTCAAGCCGGCCGATTGCCCTCGGCCGCCAGGAATTAGCTGCAGATCAATTATTTTTAATTAAAAGAACAATTCAGAAAGAAATTGAAAGAATTCGAATTCTCCTTCTTTTTTTTGCATTGAAATTTTGAATTTGTATCCTTTTTTTGTGTCCTTTATGGAAAAAAATCAAAATTTTTTTGTTAATTATTATTTTTGTCCGCAGATGAAAATTTGATAATGTTTCCTACAATGCATTTACATTTTAAAAATGTCACAAAACTTGGTGGAAATTTCAACAGATGTTCTACAAATGTCGAACTACAGTAATCCTTTAATGCGAGCGAATTGAACAAGCGCAATATTGAAAAGATTTGAAAGGAAAAGTTTCATTATGTATCTTCAACAAATTTTAAGATTTCAGGTAGGCAATGTAGATTATTACAGGGGTTGCTTAATAAAATTTCGTGACTCTATAATATTTTAGATTGTTGTTAGTAAACATTAGAAATTTTTACATTTTAAAAATGGCATATTATTTCTGGGCCGTTTGCCTGAGAATTAAAAAAAAAAAACATTTTTTCTGCACTATTTCTTGATGAAAGAAAAGCATAAACCCACCTGGCCGACAATCGGCCGCAATTCGGAATCTGAAGTGACTCGAAAACCCCACGGCGGGCCGCCAATAAGCTCGATTATATGAGGCATAATTCTGCAAAAAAAAAATGAGGCGATGAGAAATCGATGCGAACGACGAACATATAGCGAAATCGATGATTTGAGACCAGATGTTTCACATATCGCAACTCGAAAACGTCAATCTTGCCACCAAAATTGCGACTTCTTATCGAACGCTGACAACGGAATTACGAATAAGTAAATCGTAATTTATTTTGCTGATAATGCCGTCGTCGGCAGTCTATTGGCTAATTATACCCGAAAAAAATTGAAAGAAGAAATTATGGTGGGATTATGTTGAAATGTGAAGGGTGTCAATGCGCATTAATCTTGATATATGGGAAAATTGAAGAAATGAATATTTGTGCGAATACGAAGAGCGATTTAAGACAAGCCAATGAATTTTCGGAAAACTATGGATTGCTCGAAAAAACAATTTCCAATTTTAAAGATTTTAAAGATCCGACCAAACTCGTAAATGAGAGAGCAAATACATTTTAATTTTTAGATTTGTTTTTATTAAAATTTGGGATTTAAAAATCAGAAAAATTATAAAAAAAATGGAAAAATGCGTGAAAACACTGTGACGCAAAGTTGCAAAAAAATACAACCATTTATTTGAATTTTATTTTCCATCGGTTTTTTTCTTCGCAGAAAAATTGAAATTTTTAGCTTGAGCTTGCCGCCTAATTGTCTCCATTTGCAAATCTCTTGCATTTCTTCAAATATTTGCCAACGAAATCAAGAGATTCCACGGAAAAAAATCGATATCAATTTGACAAAAGTTGGCGCGAAATTCAAAAACTCTCGACTCCGCCCCCTATTTTATTATTAAAGCGGCGGGTTTCGATGGTCAACTTGTCAGTCCTCAGTCCTCTATTGCCGAACATTCGGATCATGATTTGCGGAGAAAATTCTACTTCATCCAGGTGATTTTCTTCAACCCTAGCAAGTCTTAAGAAGTACTGAGAGACAAACCCAATGCTTGATAATTCGAATGGCATTCTTAACGGCTTTTCTAATTAAATTTTTGGTTTGGATAAAAAAAAGCGAAAATGGGTGAGAACCCCGTGACGCAAATGTCACACAAAAAATTCAAAAACTCTAGCACAAAAAAAAAACAAAAAAAACTATTTGAAATTTTCCGTCGATCAGTTGTTTCGCAGAAGACTCAATTTTTTAAAATGCTTCATACTACTTACTTTTTATACTTTCATAATACTGGTGATCCAAAGATTGAAGCCATAAACATTTTGAACAGCACGTCGAGTTTGGGAGGTTTATAACAATTTTTTTGACGACATAGAAATTGGCCCAATGCTGATTTCGTATTAAAAGCCAAAAACCCTTATTAATGTTATTATAATGATGAAAAGGAAACTTTTTGAAGAACAATATCCTGCAAATAAACAAGAAGGTGGCAAAAAGTGTAACAAAAGTTCATCTGCGCAGATTTTTGATGGAACAGAGGGTCACACCATCCGCCAGATTAAAAGTAAATCATCATCATCATCGCGCCACGGCAAGAAAGCAGCAGACGACATACACAAGCATGCGGGCGGCCGACCACAAGGTAAAACTCTCAACAGCTGTTCTCTATCGAAAAAAAACATCCAAAATTTGGAGACTAATGAATTTCGCGAATGTTTCTCTTCCGATTTGTAGAGAGGAAGACGATAAAAGGACCATGACAGTTGGCGCTAAACTGTCATGGTATTGATTTGAACGACTTTAATGATGATCACTTGAAAAATATTATGATATGGTATCGAGTGAATAGTATGATATCGTATTATCAACTTTCTAAATTTAAGAATTCCGAATCATTGTTGTTATTTGGTATTAATTATTTTGAAGCTTCTGAAATATGTATTTATCTTTTTGGCCCATTGCCATCAACCCCCAAATGTCAACCCCTACCCCTAACTTTCCACCCACAAAATACAGTAAATTTTCCCAGAAACTGTCAGTATTATATAGGGGAGGAGGTCTTAACGGGTCCGAATTCGAAAATTTTTAAAATTTCAGAAAATATACGAAAAATAAAACAATCCTAAAAAATTGGGAAAATGTTAGTCATTTATTAATTTTCAGTCTTAAATAACCACTAGTTTACAGCAATATACACTTAAAATACAACTATAATTAATTTAAATCCAATTTTACAAGAATATATCGCAAAAAATCGTTAAAAAGTTTGAAGAAAATAAAAAAAAAATGATGTAAAAATAATACGGCCGACAGCTTAAAGGTGCAGCGTTATTGAAACATTCCCTTAACTGTGCGATTTTTAATAATTTGGATTTTTAAAAATTAACTCATTTTTTCACTATTTTTAACTTTTTTTTGCGATATATTATTTTAAAATTGGATTTAAATGAATTATAGCTGAAATAATTTTAGGCTTAATTCAAATAGTTTTCAACAAATATTCTTTATATCACTTACAATTTTTTGTTTCTTTCATCTTCATTCCATTCCTTTTTTTCAGATATGCCTGGCGAAATGGTGAGCAACGACAATAAAAACGTCAATGGCCAGAATTTCAAAATGAAAAACTATGCAAAATTGGTAATATGGGCCACGGGTTTCATTGTTTTTGTTTAATGAATCCTTCATTTTCACTTTGTCACCTGTTTTACATTTCTAGACTTATGAACTTCTTTATGATTGTTTTTCCGCAAGCACAGAATGCAGTTGTAAGATTTCTATTTTTAATGATGTTCCCTGAATTTTGTTTAAAATGTTATGTTAAAAAAATTCGAAAGTTGTTTCGGAAAATCCGTATTTAATTGAACGTCAAAACATGCAAACTATGCGAAATAACTGTTACTGTTCGACTTGTCTCAGTATGTACAGGATTGCCCGAATGGAAGGCGAGCAGGAGCCCAGTTTTTGAAAGCTTAACAGGAAAAGTTTAGCTAATGCCATAAGATATCTTCATGGGGCCTGGGCTATCTCATCGGCATCTGGTCTGCAGAATAACATGCGAATTTTCAGTGATTGCCAAAGAGGCTGGAACTTCTCGGTGTCGAAGTGCAATCTAATAAAAAAATTTATTGTGGTGCATGGGTTTTTCACAAACCAGCTTTCGACTTCTACTGGTAATTATGGGATAATACCTATTCAGCTGGTAAAACTAAACGTGGTCCTCACAAAGAACGAACGTCTCATGCTTGTTAAATTTGAGGAATTTTGACTACTATTCAAATTGCTAATCGTTCACGTGATATTCGCATTGATAGCTGACCTTGCGACAATTCAGCTGGTAAAACTAAACGTGGTCCTCACAACGAAGACCATCTCAGGAATGTCTAGTATGTTTTTTTAATAGATTTCATATTTCAAAATGTTCAAGTACTGTTCATCTGTAGTTTTCAATTTACAATACTCATCAAGACATGAAAATGATATCTTTTTTTATCAAAAAAAAAAATGCATTTTCAATCGTATCAAATGATTTGTATGAAGAAATTATTGCTTAAGATACTTTTTAAATTATGCCGGCGCTAAGTTTTCATTCCAACATTAATATTATAATATTTTAAGTTGGGCGTATATTTTCTCATACTTGAATGTTTAAGAAATTTTTTAACATTCTGAAGATGCACTTTTGCAAATTTCCATGTTATGTCCTTTTTTGAATTAAAAAATCATTTTTTAAGCTCTTACAATTTGAAATATTTAAATCAATTTTACACACGTTGATAAAATTTTATTTGAGACAAATAGATTAAAAAAAAAATAAAAGCCCTTAAGAGGGCCGTTGGGATTCGATAGCATTGGAGGTGTCTCGAAATACTTCTCACGACTTGCTGGGTCGTAGAGAAGCCGCCTAGTTGAGGAGGAGGAATCCTCCTCGACCTGCGTGAGACGATGTCACCAGCTGCAGGTGGGGAATTCCTGAGTGGGTCATTGCCCGATCGCGAAGGATCTGGGGGGGGGTGGGAGGGGTGGGGAAGGGATGGGGAGGGGATAGTGGTACCACTGGGGACGGGGACAACGGTCCGCCATCTATCATCTAGCCCTCTTCACATGATATGCTTCAAACGAGAGGTTTAGCGTCACCTGAACCCAACACTGCAAACCACCCACTTAAGGGCTGGATCCGACTTACGGAGTTGGAGGCGAGAATCCCTAACGAGATCAGCATATCATGATCCGAAGGTTTCGATGATAGACAACTCGCCATTGTCCGTCATCTGAGCCGCATCCCCTGCTTTTATAGTCGATGTGGGCGGAGTCAAGAGCATCGACCGCCCATTCGGGGGGCGTTTCGAGTCGCAAATCTGTCATTGTTTTCGGTTGTTTTGCACACGATATTTTGAATATCGTCTAAGCCTCTCAATTTCCAAGACTATATCGCTGGTTGTTATGTAATTATTCACAAAAGAATTGCCGAAAGGTCAGCTATCAATGCGAATATCACGTGAACGATATATTCGAGTTATTTAAAATTAAATTTTACAGATTGAGCGATTTTGAGGGATTTACTGGACAAGTTTATGGATTGTTTTACAATATTCTACGTATCCTGAGGTAAGCTTAATTATAATCTGTGAGTATACTCTTTTTTAAAATAATTTTCGGTCCGCAATTTTTCTTTTAAAATTTAAAGATTATATTATGGACCTAATGAAAAAAATAAAAATAATAAATTTTTTATTTGAATTCCCTATGCACGCACATCGAAAAATTGCGCAAGGCTTACAAAGAATCTTGATAAAAAATTGCACAATTGGACACTTGAAATATTGGAAATTGTGGGAATAGATACACGCTTACGAAATTTGAAGTCTATCTGAACTTTTCCGAGAATAATTTATTACTTGTTAAAAATTTCTTTCATAAGGATAGTCTACATAGTTTCTGAAAAATCAAAGTTAGACAACAATTCTACGAATCTCCTCTTGATAACTTGAATTAATGCAATTATACAAAAATTTAAGGTAAAAATTACTGTTAGAAACTATAAATTTTGACATTCGAGCAGAACAGAAAATTTGGTGAAAAGATTTACGTTTTAGCATTATTTTCTGAAATTTTAAAAACTTTCGAATTCGGACCCCTTGACCCCCTCCGCCTATGACACTGACAATTTCTGGGAAAATTTAGTGTATTGGCCAAAAGAACATAATTAAATACTCAAGTCAAAAATTTGAGTCAATTAACATTGACCGGTAATAAGATAATAAAAATGGATGCTAAAATCTGGGGGTTGAAATTAGTGGGTGGTAGAAAAATAAAAATAGGGGTTAAATTTCGGGGGTGGAAGATCAGGGGTAGGGGTTGACATTTGGGGGTTGATGGCAATGGGCCATCTTTTTAGAATTTTGAGAATTTTGGTCTTCGCTGAACTGAATAACCGCAAAATTCTTGATTTTTCGAATTGCATTTCTTTTTCGGAGGTCTCAATAAATCCATAGGCTCGTGTTTCAAATTACGTAATAATTCTGATGATAAAATGCAGTTGAAAATATTTATTAGCGTTTTTATTTGCTGCCCTAGTTAATTTCAGTGAAACGAGGATGTCAAATGATTTTCTTCTACTTTTTCTCTTTCTTAATCGTGTTCACGTATACCGTGAAATTATCACGATCTTTGGCCAGACTTCCAATTTTTGTGTCCATTATTTTGTCGGTGATCTTCTGGAGTTTCGTTTGACTTCGACTTTTTGCATAAGAGAGCTCGGGCGAGAAGACGCCGCTAGAAATTTGAAACAATTTCGACAACTCTTTCAAACGCTTACTCGACGCGTCGTTGGAATTCGTCGAAGAACTCATTAAGCACTTCCCGTACCGTCGTATTCGATTTGAATTCGTGAGTAAACGTTGTCGTCGCCTTGCGACGCTTCAAGTTTGAAGGTAGCTCAACCTTCTGATTCTCATCAATGAGCACACACGGGGCATAATGAATGAGTACCACGTGAACATTGACCATATCGATGACGTTTGGCGTTTTGAGGAGAGTTGACGCCGAGTCAGTGGATTTAATCTATGTTCAAAATTATAATCTAATCGGTGACTATTCAAAAATATAGTTTGGCTTACCAATGAATCTTCGGACATGTTCGTCAACGGAAGCGACTTTCGCGATTTTGATTTCGACGTCTTCAAACTTTTCGAAGCATCACTTTTAGAGGCGTCTTTCAGCAAAAGTTTGTAAATGAACTCGATTTTTCCTAAAGAACAAATAATTTATACTTGATGAGTGTTTCGCAAGGAAAAAAAACCTTCGGGCCTTTTAATCGTTTCTATAGTAAAATTCTGAACACGCAAATTTCCAATCGATCTTGTCACAAATGGCGGAAGTACTGCATTGATGTCATATCTGAATATCGGCGCATTCATTAAACAATCGGAATTGAAGACGCGCACTTTGCATCATGTTGCTGGCCATTTTCCGAATTAACCGAACTCGTCGATTCGTTTGCAACTGCCATCGTTTCAAAAATTGAATAAAGCTGGAAATGGGCGAGTTCGCGTGAAACTCGCCATATTCGCCTCGTCAAATTTATTTTCTTATTCCAACGCTAATAATCGATATCTCAATATGTCTTTCGTGAGTTCAAATAGAAACAGACCTTGAGAAAAACTTCAAAAAAAATAAAAACTTATTTAGGGATTTACTATAAAAACAAATTATTCCGATCATAAACCACTCTATGTGATAACATATCACCAAATGTTATGGGACAAATCACGGTTGAACAGTGAGATTCAGAATATTATCAGAATAACATTCTCAATTTCTATTTTAAAGTTTATACTGTTGGTAAAAACTATATCTATAAACCAGCATTGCACATTAGATCGATGCCATTTCAATATGAAATCTTCGAGCCGGACATGTCCGCCATGAATTCGAAGCAGTATGTCGTTTGATCAAGTAAAATTCCATTCTCCCTTTTCAGAGCACAACAGCTTCTAGCATGTTTATTTTTGTTAGCCCTCTACGTCGTTTTATTGAAATATGCATTAACATGGTTCTTATGTAATTTTCGCTACTTGAAGATCAAATATATTATGTTAATGCAATCTCGAAAGTTCGCGAAGAAAAAAGAGGTAGTTGTGAAACCTGAAGGCACCGAGCTGAACAACGCCAAGGTTGATGTGAAGACTAAGGAGCTACCAATCATAAAAGTCACGGTAGTCAATACTCCGATAAAATGAACTCAATCCAGTATTTATTATTTTTCAATTAATAAAAAACAATCGTAGTAAATGCATTTCGGTTGGGCGGTCGAAATTCGGCAATACTGGTGGTTGTGAGCTGTCAGTTGACAAGTTTGTACATCTACGAATGCTTCACAGGGTTCGCAATAAAAATGATAAGTTAAGGCGTATTTTTAAAATCAAATAAAGAAAAGAACGGAATCTAGCTGGTGGGCGCCTAAGTGAATGACGTGACGAATGTTCAGTTGAAAAATGAAAACAAAAGTTTGAGAAATTAAAGCGATAACTATGACATGAAACCTATAGCTAATCAATTCTATGTTTCGACGGGGCACTGATTGTTGAGACGAGCCATTGCCATTTCCGAAATTCCGTAGTAATGCACAAATGCGGCAATGACGACGCATGTATGGAACAATTGATGCGATTGAAACTGAATCCAGAAATTATCAAAAGTTTATTTGAACAAAAATGTACCCAAATATCACATTTCCCTGGGAAAAATCTCTCCGGCGTTCGAGTTGCGTACAATAGTGCGCCTAGTAGATACAGGAAGGCCATCAGGAGAAGCCAATGGAACGAATTATCTTCAAATAGTGATCGGACACCGTCTGTTATGATGTAATGGATCGTAGGAACGATTCCTGATGAAAAATTTTCGTAAATAGATTTTCAATTATCAAATCCTACCACTGCATCCCATTCCTACAAAAACTCCCGCTCGAATTGGTCGGAACTTCGATTCGCTGAACTTATCCCATAGCGAGACAACTATGGCCCCTAAAATTTTCATTTTGAATTTCTTACTCGCAAAAATTTCCAACCGCATCCCAATACGACTACCATTCCAATATACGTGATTTTTGGCTCCCGTCGACAATAGAACCCATAATAAATCCATGGTATGAACGAACCAATTATAAGCATCGAGATTCCCATATAATCCAGTCTAAGATATTCGACATATTGACAATATTGCGCTGGAATTCCTACTTGCAGAAGAATTTTCCGACTGCATGCGAATGACACGAAAGAGTATGAAATGCGAACGACAGTCCAAGACACATGACGGCGCCGACAAAGAAGAAAGAGAAAACGACCTAAAGATGTATTAATTATTCTCTTGAAACCGAGCGGACCACGTAAACCTTCTCCTGGAACTGAATATGATTATCAGGCCTTGTCAAGAACCAGCATCCCAACAAGAAGAACGCCACACAACCAATCAAGTGTGTCCAAATATTTCCCGTTTCTGTGTGAAGCGACCAGATACTTTTGAAGCATTCAGTAAATGACGGAAGCGGTGGACGGTGTCCATGTCTGAAAACCAGAAATCAATACATTTTTAAAATAAAATAAAATTTACCTTAAAAATTCGTTGTCCTGAAGCCATTCTGGCAAGTGTTCATACTTCAACACCTTCCAGCGAGCTTCATATGTCTAAATAACGACTTTCGCACAATTTTCGATCAAAATTACTCACCTTTGTGACAATTCCAGTAGCTTCCGAGTGCTCCTCCTTCACATCAACCTCAAGCTCATCTTCATCATCTTTCCTTCGATCCGGCGTTCCCTGACTGTGAATTTCACGCCATTCTCCTCCCTTTTTTCGTCGGTATCTGAAATTTTCTTTCATAAAACTGCGTTCAACTTCTCAAGAAACTTGCCTGCTGGAAAACATTTTAAAATACAAAATTTCAAAAACATGAACATAAACAAAACATTTGAGCGATTATGCAAATTTGAAGGGATCATTGGTCTGGACACCGTTTACTACGTTTCAACTAATTGATATGCAAGAGGAAAGATTCTTAATTCCCTGGTCTTATTATCAAAGTTGACATCCCGTATAGACATATTAGACTTCGTATAATAATTTAATAAGTCAAAGATAAGTAAAGTTCTTATCAATTTCATGTCAAAATTTGTGACAGATAATCAAAAAATCGAAATTTTTCAAGATATGAACTATGTTAAAAATAGCAAACTCTAGTTTTCTCACATTTTTCTTTTAATCGTTGCCAGAATGATTGATTGATTAATGTTGCAGAAAACCAGTTATTTCAAGTTCCAACGATATTTTAAAAGTAGATTCGACGAAAAAAAACCTACCGCAGTGTGCGGTTTCTTGGAAAACCGTCGGGTTCGTCGTCGCTTCCGGCGCGTGCTCTTCCATGAAACGATGTTGCTCTCGATCGGTAGCCGTGTTCTTTTCCGAGAAGCTCAGAATCCGAGCCTACAATCTTTCAAAATATCTCAAAGTGATTCCGAAGTGATCCTACAAAATTCTTCCTCGTCTGAGTTCGGCGGTGATACAACTGTGGTCTTTCTCGAGTAGAACACTTCGATTTTGTCACCGGTTTCTCTTGCTCTCGGATTTTTCACCTGAAATACACGAAAAAATGATTAGAATCAATCATCTCGCTATCAAAACTACAGTATCGCCGTTGATAATTTGAAAAAACTTTTATCAATGAAATCAAACCCCCACTTTTTGATCATGCCATTTTCTCGCACCGATAAAATATTTTATCTAGTAGTTTTTTGAGAATGAGCCACTGAAAAATCATTGGGTCAAACGCGGCAAAGAATTTCATTTTAATAAAAAATGACAACAGGTGGTCGGGTTTTGAAAAATGAGATGCTTGTGGTTAGTTTGAGCTGGAAGGTTGAAACTAAATAAAGGATTGATGGTTTCGATTTTCAAGGAAGTAAATTTAAAAACAAAACTCAAAATTTTCTACGATTAAAGGATCCAAAGTTTTCAGCTTCTTGTTAAAAACATAATTTTTGAAGAGTGAATCTTAAAAATTAAATATTGTCGGCCAATTTTCTTTAAGATACTTAATAACGAATTCACAAATTTACCTGTACAGTAGTACTGTCTTCGACAGCATTATCCTCATCATTGTTGAGGATATGATCCAGAACCGAGTCGACCCGATCCGCATCCATTCTGAAATTACGGACTTTGGAACGCGTTATCAATAAAATGACATAAAAATGAACGAATTCTAGAAGACAACTGAATGTGAGAGGTTGCTTTGGAGGGGGGGGGGGAGGTACGATTTGAGCTGATAACAACGAGGCGGAGACGGAAAAGACGAGGAGAAGGCGACGAACAAAAGAAATGTGTCACAATTTTTTTAAAGTTTGATCGAACACAATTTCTTTTCAGCGTTTTACGCACACCATGTGATCGTCGAGCACGTGGTTCCCAATGAAAAATTGGCATCCATCCGACGCCAAAAAAACAATTTGACCACCCGTCAACAATATATTGTCAATTTTAATTATAAATGATATCACATCGATTTCAAAAAGAAAATCTGTTTTTATGAGAACAAAAACAATAATTCATGCGTGCGGGTGGCAAGATTGCTCTATGGCACAGAAGTGGATAGCGGGGGGGGGGTCCGAACGCAAATAGAAAATTCGTGATTTTGGGAAGCAACGAAACCAACGCAAATATTTAGCAGAGTGTGAAACATTTTGGACTTGAACTTTTTATCGTTGAAGGAAAATTCGCAAATAAAATTTTAAAGGTTTTTCTAGTTCATAAGAAAAAAAATAATATTCTCTGACTCTTACCGTTACCAAAAACATCAATCCTCACATTTTTTATTTTTCAAAAGACTAAAAAACCTTATAAAACTTTGTTGAAGGTCAGAACGGATTTTATGAGAATCTTGTGACTACAACTTTGCCCCCCGGTTCTCATAAATATTATCTCTCAAAAGATTTATCTCGATGGTCGCGGCAAGTAGAAAATGCAAGAATTTTCTTGAAAAACGCATTGTTTATCGATTGGTGTCTTAGTTTGATAGACAAACTAAACAAACAAAAACCTCCGTTTTACTGGTTTGAGGCAGCGCGGGTCCAAGAAGGAAAGAAACTTGATTTAAATTGGTTTGCTCAGACAATGGACGAACCGCAAATTAACTATGCATGAATGAATTGCGAAATAGAAAAAAAAATGCTGTTTGTGGATTCCTAACAAAAATATATTTTTATTTGTCACATGGGACCGCTTAAATGAAAAATTTGAGCCAATCTGGAGGCATTTTTTATTGATAGAATCTGATTCATTACTGAATATAGTAGATATTTCCTCTATGCGAAATATCATGATATTTTATAAATGTAGACTTTTTTAAATCATGTATTTGAATACCAAGCATCATAAGAACATTTCTTATCTGTGCATTGATAAACACATATCGATTTCTATTGTTTGTTATGCAGTTTTCGTGTATTCTTCTCTATATATTGGCATATTACTTAAACACTGTAAATGGTTTGAATTTTTGCGCGGATCAACATTTTCGATATCGTATTATTGGAGGAACACAAGTAAAAAAGTGAGGTTTTAAAGCGGCTTCCAAAATTTATAATGTGAAAGTTTTAGCGGAATAAACTGGATGGGAAAACTAATATCCTATGCGGACCATTCAGATGTTGGAATAATGTGTGGGGCAACAATTATTGACGATTATTGGGTTCTTACGGCTGCGCATTGCGCCAGGTGGGGAAAATATCACAAAATTTTAAAGACGTAATTTCAATCTTGCAGAGGAATTCTGGACAAAGCTGTAGTTGTTTTGAGAAAACCTACTAGTAATCGAGAGATCATTATTACTGTAAAACAAGCTTTTGTTCACCCTGAATATAATAATATAACTGCTGAAAATGACATTGCTATTTTAAAGGTTTCATTAACTTGTTTAAAAGTTTAAGCCATGAAGGATTTTTTAGACTGCGACAAGTTTTGAAGATAAAGGAATAATACCAATTTGCCTTCAAAAAAATGACGATATCCTTTTGAAGAAGGACGAGGGAATTGTTGTAGGATTTGGATTGTCTATAAGTAAGTTTAGATTTATTTCAGTTACCTGTTTATTGAAAATTAATTAAGGGAATGCAACGTCATCAATATCAATTTTGGAATCGACACAAGCCCTTCAAATTACAAATGTGCCATTAATTTCGCATATAAACTGTCGGTATGATGCAAATTGGATACAAATATGTATTAAAATGACGATAAAATATTTTATGAGAACAAAAAATTACGAAGAAGTGAAAAAAATCAAATTCTGCAGAATTGCGTCGGGCTGGTCGCAGACCAACCTCAAAATTGACGACAAATGTTGATTTTTTTCAGAAAAACTTGGCAGGCAATTTCTTTTGGAACTGTAAAGATATCAGACAGACAGATTTGTGCAGGTTCGTTTATGCACGGAACAGCACCGGTAAATATAAAAGTAATATCGAATTTTTTATAGATGGTTATGGTTTTTAGGGGGATTCTGGTGGTCCTTTAATCGTTCAAAATGGATTCGGTGATTATATTCAAATTGGGGTTACCTCGTTTGGTGCCGATGGATTGAGTGGATTGATTGATCAAGGCGCTTATCCAGGTGTATATACGCGTGTTTCCAAATTTGTGCCTTGGATTGAGGCGGTTATTCGTAAAAATTCAAGCAAACAAACAACAGCTGTGTTTATGTCAACGCTTTATTTTTGTATTAATTTAACCGGTTTGATCTATTATTTCGTATAGCTGAGATTACCAGGCGATGAACCTTTAATGTATATAATTATTCAAGTAAAAATAATGATCCCACTTGTTCATTTTTCGATTTTTGTATTCTTCGTTGTCAAGTCCTTTCATTTCCAAATATGTATGAAGTTTCGGCGGATGCTTATGTGCATTTCGACTTAAATCAATTCTTCCCCATTTCAAGCTCGAGTTCCTGACCGATTTAATTCCATATTGCTGTTCGCTGTGGTGCTTCCAGAAGCAATCTTCCTCGAAAATTGCTGAAAATCGTTTTATAATCAGTCTCTTTGGAATCAATACTTCGCTTACGGGGCTTATCTCCTTGTAAGGTATCGACGATAGTAAAAGATGTTACAATATTTCTATCCAAAATGTAAGAAAGCTCGAAATCATCGTCGTCGAGACCAAAAGGTCGCATTAAATCTTGACCAACCTAAGGCTTGGAAGTTTTTAATTTAAAAGAAAAACGAAAAACTTTGAACCATCCGACGAAGAATAAAAATTGAACAACTGTGAACAATGGAAAAAAGGCGTCAAGTGAATAATGGTCCTCCAAATTGACATCCTGCCTGCCGAACAGGCAGAAGAAGAAATAGGAATATGTTGCAATGGCAGCAACCTAAATGTAGGCTATTTATGAATATTATAAAGGAGGCTTACTTGTGTGTAGACAAGAGGAACACAAACCCAATCATGACAATATAATTTTCGGAATGAAGATCGGAAGGCCTTGAGCTCTGCGACTACAGTAGTCACGTATTGTGGGGCACCTCGACCAGCTGATAACTGATATTGGCATTTTGAGCATAGATTTATTGGATTAGCTTCATACCTCGGCATCGATTAAACGCTGGATCCAATGCAAAGGTGTCAACCACCGTATACCAGGCGATGGTTCCTGGATTATATACCATCACGATTTTTTCTAATCACAACTTCTCTTACATTTATATCCTGTAATTTTTCGTATTCCCTTTCAGTCAACAAACCAGCATCAATTATATTGCGAAGGGTTGGAAACCGGAGCCTTATTTTGGTGGAGACATCACGCCTGAATTACAACTAATTTAGTAAGTCAAAAAATAGGAGAATTGCACCAAGCAAGCGCTGACGTCAAATTCAAGTATCTAGCAATTTGGTGTCGAGCTGGACGAGATTCCTCACTTGGAAGCAGAAGGCAAAGCGCTGAGAGCATGTCTTCCGGCCATTTTAGGCATTCAAATTGCCTCCACCACCTGGAGACAACGTTAGAAACATAAAATCCAAGAAGAAATGTCAATGGGATCATTTTAGTGTATTCGTTGAACTCATGGCAGAATACTTTGTAGATTTTTCTGAAAAAAAAAACTTGAAATTTAAACTCAATAGAAATTTAAGGTCGCCACCTGTAATTGAATTCGTCTTTTGGGTCGACCCAATCGAAGAATCGAGGACTGATCATTCGAATTGAGTAAAACAAAAATAGGAAAAGAGCTAGTTCTCTCCAGACCGATCTCCAAATAGAACCTCCAAATTTAGAAATTCATCAATTTCTAAGCTTAATGCAATAAAGCTTACCTTTCCATCTTAAAAGGAGCCGACAAAAATTACCGGAATATGAAATGGTCATCGCTGAAATTTTGAAATTCAATTGAAGGCCTGCACAAAAGTTTTTTCGTCGATGAAAAAAAATTTTACCATGTTATCCGTTTCAAGAGTGATAGGAACCAAGCGACCGCTGCGTCTCGAGTGGATCAGCCGAAATCTGTATTGAGCAAACAGTTGTGTCATAACCCACATAAAAAATGTTGCCCTCGTTTTTTTTTCGGGTAAAGTACAATAATATGGGCGTCTAAGGTCGAATCATTAATTTTTTTTTTCAGAATGTCAAGTATGTATTCACTGCTATTTAGAAGTGTCATATTTTGTAAACAACAAAATGTTTTGGTATGCATTTCAAATCGTTTGGCGATGTGAAACATAAGAAAAATCAACATTTTTAGAACCCGAAGAGATTGTTTAAAAACCATATTTGCAGCTGAACACACATTGTTGAAAATATTCTACATAGTAGCAGAATAATTATGCTAATTCCCATAATCATGTAATTTTCATTGCTGTTTAGGGTGTAGATTTAGACAGTTCATATAAACTTTAACAATAAATAACAATAGACTTGAGCAATTCTCATTCGAAAATTATATAAATATTGTAATATTGGAAGGCACGTGGACATCGATTAGGCTTGACTATAAATAGGTTGCGAATTACATGATGAATTAAAAAAAGGAGCTCTTGAAGGATAACAGAATCTCGAAACAAATTAGCATACTCGTAGTTTCGGATATTCAATTTGAAAAAAAGATGGACAACACATAAGAAGATTAAAGAAAACAAAAGAAGGAAAAAGTACACCGAAAATAATTATTATCTTATAAAAAAAACAATGAAGAAGAATGAATGTATGTATCAGACGAAACGGATATTTTAACGACCAGTGTAATTTTTGCAGACGATTCGTGTGATGATCCTCCATTCGGGCGGAAATTTGGAAAAATGTTGGTTGTAAAATTCAAAATCTCGACCAAATCTTACAAAAAACAAAATAAGGAAAGCTCAAATATTTCAAAAATAAGGAACAACAGGACGGGCGGAATGGCGAAGAGCAGAATGACGACTCGAATGCCGGCAAACATCGGCTCGCGGAGCTCATCGCGCAGCCTCGCGACCTCAACATCAACCATCAACTCGAGAATCGCCAACTCCAGCTCTTCGGCCGGGGACGCGTTGGGGTCGTCGGACCACGGGGTAACGATGAGCTGACGGTTATGATGGTCGCCGGCAGACGACAATCGCGACCACGACGACGACGCCGACGACGTCGAGCCATCACCATCCTCATTTAGTTGTTGTCCCCCCGCCGTGGCCCTCCACGACCGCCCCCCTGTGACTGCTGCTGTTGTGGTGGGTAGCGGACAGCTTTCGGTGGCTGATAGGTTTCACGGGTCGGCGCTTTGCCGCTGGATCGCTTGAATGCTTGTCGATCACGATCAACTTCAACGTCTTCTAACCGCTGAAATTTAAAACAATCAGTCAGAAACATTCCACATAAAAAAAAACTCACCTGAGTAAGAGTAAGTTTCTGTTGAATCGCAAGTCGAAGTAATTGATTCAATGTCTTCTTCTCTTCTTCATTTGCACGTAGATCGTTCTGAAGCTCGTCAACTTGAGCTCTGAGCTCTTCGCAACGAGCGGTGAACATTGCACGATGACTAGCAAAGGTTGCAGCATCCTCTTTAAGCTGTTTCAACTCGCGTCGCATTCGATCAATATGTTCGGTTTGTGCCTTCTTCTCCGATTCGTATTTCTCGCGTAGTGAAATGAGAGCCGATTCTGCGGTGAGCTTGTTCGACTTCAGAACAGTGCGAAGAGTTGAGATTTGATCTCTGAAGATATGCCGAAATATTCCGATGACATATATATATTGAAATGTACCTCTTTGTGCTTAGCAAACTTCTCAGCTTCATGTTCTGCATCAAAATCTCATCGTTTTCAGCACCGCTAGCTGTAACTGCCTGATTGAACGCCTGCTCCGATGTTCTCTTCACAACGGTAAGAAGCTTCTTCAAACTGTCCGTAGTCTGAGAAATGGCATTTCCTTCGGTAAGAATCCTTTGCCGTAAGTCGGTGTCACTGAGCACGTCGACAACTTTAACGCTGGCTAATTTTGGCTCAATTTCTTTAATAAAAGATGGTCCAATAACAAGACGATCAGAGTTCAAAGGAATTGGGCGAGATGCGTTCGCATCGGTCTCTGTTCCACTCTCCATTCCTTCGTCGGCAAGGGAGACACGTGGAACGTCTTCCGCATTTTCGCGAGCCAACTGCCGAAGCTTTTTAACAATCTAATAAATGAACGTTTAGAAATTGTTTTAAAAAATTTCCATACGTCTAGAACATTCTTTTCGGCCGGGATTCCTTGATTTTGCGTCATCTGATGATAAAACTGGTAGAGTTGATCGGAAACTTGGATCATTGCGTCCTAGGGTTTGTAACAGTTAAATTTTTCGTTTAACATTGAGAGAAAAAACCTGCGCAGAGGCCAATTGTGCGCTTTTCTCTCCAGCAATGAGCAAAAGTGCCCTAAGATCACTTCGAACTACACCGGCCCTCCTTTCATCGCCTTCTTTACCATGACGGTCAGATTCATGGGCCATTTGCATTATCCTCTCCAGAACTACGTCCTTTTGTTGTCTAGCGTGTAAAAAGTCCAGCTCTTCTGAAGAAGCGAACCAATTTTTTCATTTGAATAGATTTTTACCACTAGGATAGTTCATATTAAGGGTGTTCATTAGTCCTTTCACGAATTCTATGAGCATCTTTTCTCGTGATTTCACTTCTTCTTGAAGTCCCTCCTTCGCAGCTTCAAGTTCTCGAACTTTGGTATCACTACTTCCTTGAAGCTCGCTGAACAGGTCACTTCCTCCTGCTTGTGGGGGTGGTACGTCTCCCTCCTATAAAAATATCTTTATAAGTTTAATCAATATTGATAAAACAAATGTGGCGAGTTACTTTGAGCTTCAAGCGCAAATATCTTTCTTACACCAAAAAATATTGAAGTAACCTGTTTCTGAGAAAAATCTAATTAAATAACGCGACGAGACCCATCTATCTAGCTACATTTTGATTCTTTAATCGATATTTAATTTATTGAATTTCGTAAACATTTTATTCCTTTATAATTTTCGTTTAGATTTCTCAATTTGTGAAATTTCAAAAATCAAAATAATATAAAATTACAAAATAATTTCAGTGAAATTTTTTCAATTCGAAAAATATTGTGAATAGGCTCCTTAGAGCTATCGGAGCTGGGTCTCGCGGCGAGTTTTTCATCAGAAACGGGTTTTACATTGTATTATACTACATACATCGCCGAGTCGTTCCAATCCCATGAGCATGTCATTGAGACTATTGATGTGCTCCGCATTTTTCGCCTGCTCGAGCTCCTTTTTCATGGCAAGACGTTGTTCGCGCTCATGCTGAGCCGTCAGAAGCGCCTCTTCGACCTGCTTCTCAGCAATTGCTCGTAGAGCTGAGCTCTCCTCGACGGCGGCGTTAAGCATATAAATCTCTTCTTCATACCGACCACAATCAATTTTTAATGACTCAAATTCGACCTGGGCTCCGCGCAGATTCGCTACCTGAAATGGCAGAAAAAATTTCAATGATGAATGGAAGGATTAAAAAAAACCGTCTTTTGCAGGGCAATATTTTCTTCCTCAAGTTCGCTATACTCTGCCATGAGACGTTGCTCCCGTTCTTTGGTTTCTTTAAGTTCAGCTTTCAGCTTTCTTCGCTCATCTTCAAGAGCGGCACCAGAGTCTGACGCTTTGGTGTGCTCGTTATGAATTCTCTCAAGTTCCGCTTTCTTTTCAGAGAGTTCCTGAAACACCAAATTCGAGTTAGACATAACCAAAATTTAGATAAACCTGCTCCTTGTGCTTTAAATCGTTCTCGAGCTGCGTTATTTTCGCAAGAAGCTCCTTCTCTTTTGCCGATGACTCTTCTAAAAGAGACTCTTCGTTTTCTAATTCACTTCGCGTCGCCTTCTGATGATGAGACCGAAACTCGGCAAGCATCTGATTGGCTTTTTCCACTTCCGCTTTTGTGGTCTCAAGTTCGATCTGCATTTGTTTCAGCTGTTTTGCGAGCTCATCTTTCTGCTCCAAAAGCATCATACCATATTCGGCGGCCTAAAAAAGGTAAATTTTTCAAACCTCCTAAATTTTATTTTTAAAACCTTGATCTTATCGGCAGTCGCTTCATCGAGCAGCTGCGAAAGCCGCGCCGATTCGGCGCGCAGCTTATCCAACTCGTCAGACATTCTGCGAGCGTCTGAAAACCAATAAACGTCATCAAATTCTCGAGAAAACGCCCCAAAAGAAAACAACAGAAACGCGAGCGAAAAAAAAAGAACCGAGAGGAGGCAAATTGGCAATTCAGACTGATTGTATATTCATAAGGTACGCACAAAACGGCACACGCGAGAGGGTGCAAAATGGACGGCGAAACCGGACAATTGTTCGTTATTCATACATATTTCAACATGGAATTAAATTATGTTTCAATTCGATACTACTTTTTTGATGATATGAAAATTGCAGAAATGGGAAACCAGATGCCATTCTTTTCATAAAAATGTCTTTGTTGATCGAAAACGGCAAAACCGCATAGTTAGGCACGTTCAAGGATTCGTCGATTGAAAAATAAGAAAAAAGGAGACTGTGTTTCATTTAAAAATAAAACAAATATATAGGTCGGTCAACATTAAATAAATAATGAAAATGAAAATTGTTATCAATATTTTGATAAGGGTGACACAAATTGAGATTCTTTTTAGAATATAATATAGCAAACAATTGTTTCGATTTAATCAAGGAATTGCGATTAATTACATTTCGTAAAACAAAACTGAAAAATTGAACTTCTTACATTAAAGTCTCCGCGAGAAGTGGTACTAGACGTAAGATTTATCATCACCTGCAGCATTTTTAACTTGAATGCACATTTCCGGGAGCTTCAAGGGATTTAATGACGAAATGAGCAAAAAAAACATGACCAAATATTTGCCGTCAAAATTTTTTTTCGGGCGAACAATGGAATGCCCGAACCAAATAAGGTTGCGAAACATTCATACATATTTGTCAAATAGTTTAGTTCAATAATGGCGGAATGGAACGCGACGAACAAAAAACATACAGCGGATAAACGGTGTCGGGAGGGCGAAAAACGAGAACGAGAACGAACGAAACATGAGATTTTTGTCAGGCCCGTCGTCTCTACACTGATTCGACCTATTTCGTCCCCTCGTCGGAGAGGGGCGTCGCCAATTTTTGCCAAGCTGGGCGAAAAGCCGCCAACACCAAGCATGGCGGCGGATAAGCAAACTCGATATGCCCCCACCACCAGCAGCACTTAATAATATATGTGAGCTCTAGGGCGGGTAGCCAGAGATACGAATATGGCTAAACGGGCGGAATTGAAAAACAACTTTAATCTCAGATGCCGTGCGTGGCGTTTGAAGAACTACAACTTTGATCTACGTTAACAATAATATTCGGCGCGAATTTATATCAATAATATGAACGAAAGAAATCGGAGAGATTTGGTGGTTTCCCATTATTACAATGGGCTAACGGAAGCAATTTATTGGTTCGAAAAAAAACGTGCGAGTGCATTTCTATTGCTTCTTATCGACTCGGCACCTTATAATTGAGAAGATGAGTGAACTTTCGCCGTCTGGATCAACGTCAAAACATTCGCAAAACGCAAATATTTGAACAGAAATTCCAGAGGTTTCACAGGTTTTGACGCTTTTAGGAGAATTTGAAGATAGGAATGAAAGGGAGTTTAAATCGTAATACGATGGCAGCATATAGTAATAACAACGCCTGCGCAGAAGATCAGAGATCGAGTTACGACATAGGATCCTAGAATTCCAAGAACTGTTCATAATGCAATCTTCTTCAAATTTTAGTGCGCCTTTGCGCAATTTTTGAAGATCTTCGGTAACCTTGTATAGTAATGGCGGAATTTTGGAACAAAACAAATTCAAAACCGCCGACGAATGCGAAGAAAATGGATGGAGGGGATGAAAAGAAAACGCCAAAGTGGAGGCACACACCGGCCGGCCGGCCGGCCGTCCGCACTCGCGGGTCGATTTCCGTCTCCCGCCGATGTTCGGCAACTCGCACAAATCAACACTATCTCATCGGGGCGTACAACCAGCGCACATTGCGATTCTCCGCCAACTTCCCACTGTATATTTAACCATGGCGCGTTCCTCCCCCTCCAAGGTTCCGCTTAATCTCTCATTCTCTTTCATTCTTTCTCTATCTTGTCCAGCTCTCGGGACTACGCCCTTTTGCCTTGTAATCCGTGCCCTGTAGCTGCTATATGTCATTACTATTAATATTACCATTACTCGGTGTGTTGTAAATATTAGTAATGTGCGTGCGCGTGTGTGTGTCTCTCGCGCTCACCAACGCGGCGGCAGTCCTTGTCGCTAACTCTTCAACACAAAACTGTATTTGAATAATTCCTTCGATTGTACACTGTCCGACGGAATACAATTGCAAATAAAACGACTACAAAACACTGATATAGTTTTTTTTTTGAGTTTTGCAGAACTTTCGGACCACTGAATAAATCTCAATGGATTATCGCTTCGAATAATTTAGTTAAGAAATTACCTTATATATGGAAGCATCATTCGTCGCTTCAGTATTATATATTATCAGAAGCCTAAACAGTTCTGGAAAATCAAATTGAAATATTTCAACTAAAATATGCAAAACCATGCCCGAGAATGATGCGAGATTCAAACGAACCAATTGCAATGGGATTGTCAACATGCAATATTTTATAAATTACAAATACACAGAAAGTAAAAAAATCCCAAAAATATTGAAATGAAATAAATATTGATAAAATGTCACGCACAATCACAGGGAAATATATGATTTAGATTAGATGCAGTCTGTTGGTGGCTGCGGTAAGACCATGTTGTAGAAGCTGGTGGCATTCCAGAAGCTTGCCGGCTTCCAATTGCACCACCCTTTCGAAATGATCGTTTTGATATCTTCCGATCCCGTGTAATGAGGATCAAGAATAAGAAACCTGAATACCGATTCATGATAAACGAAAAAAATACAATAATTTCTCACTTGGTTTCGCCGGTATTTTCATTAAAATCAACGCCGAGAATTGTGTGGGCCAGCATGTTTCCACCTAAATTCCCAAATAATTATTTTCCAATTTTTTACAGTTAAAAATACCTATCATAACCGGTGATCCAACAGTCTCGAAGTGCCTTGCCAATTCTCTGGCCTTCTCCACAACTTCTGCGCCTGAGTTAGTGGCAATGAATCTACTTTCCAATCCGAGGAGATGATTAAGCACAAAGCTGATCTCAGTGCTTCCGATCCATTGCTTCGATCCAACAAATTTGCTCTCTTTGTCTCCAACATCGACGAGAGCCTGTAAATATACAAAAAAGTTCTTAATAATAATTATTATAATTATTCACTTGCTGAATTTCTCTATGAGTTGGAACTGGCTTATCGGTGTAGCCATTCAAAATAAGCCAACTGAAAATGGTTTGAAAACTTCGGTAAGCACAACCCCATCCTGAAAAAAGGAGCAAGTTTTTAGCACGCAATAAAATTCATCTGAGTTGTACCAGAGTCATCAATGCCATCCTGCATGTAGTGATGATAATTATAAGATCCACGAACGGTTGTAACATCTCCAACGGGCTTATCTGAAAAGGAACTTAAAACTTCGAGATGAAATTGGTACAATTTACAGTTCTGGATGTGTAAATGTGGATCTCTGAGTAGTTTCGGATTAGTCTTTGAAACCGATTCTGAGTGGAGTGAAAGAGCTTGTGACAGCCGAAGGCAAGGCTTCGAGGATGGCAAATTGAACAGTTTATGCAAACGAATTCTGTAGGATCCTGAAAATAACAATGATAATAATAAACTTATCTCACAAATTTAAATCAATACTTTGCTCGTTTTCAGTCCACTTCGTGGGCAGCTGCAAATGGAGCAATGAAGCCCAACCAACTGGCAAAAATGTGGCGGAAGTGGTCGGCAAAACGCCGCGCTGTAAAAAAATACACATTCATAAAGTCGAAGAGAATCGTGTTGTACCCCTTTTCTAATTCCATTTACAGTAATGACCATAATATTAGTCATCCTTCGTTTGGAAGCTTCCCTCATGCGAGTATAAATGGTGAAAGAATCGTCGCCATAAAATGCCGGTCCAACAACTTCTGTGATAACAACCAAACGCGTGTAATGTTTTCCATCTGTAATTTTGAGAATTATGAAAAAGAGCATTTAAATTAAAAGAACTACCTCTATTCACTTTAACCGTTGGGACAAGCTTCTGATCCTCGACATCTTTGCTGGTATCGCGTGTCAACGATTGAAGTCCAACAAACTCTAGAGGGTTCCTATGGGGAACAGCGCCTTTAGAATATTCATCGAGCATTTTCAGAGTCTTCTCGGTCTCTTTGTGCTCCTTGATTACCAGTTGCTTCTCCGCATTAATGTAGCAGAATCTAAAAGAAGCCGCATGGAGGCGATCGCAAGCCAATTTCGCATCATCCGCCTCTCTTCCAGCGCGAAGTGTCCATTCGAATCCAATCTTGCTAACCAGTGATAGACCTTCGAGAAGAACATGCTCATTGTTGAACATGCTGTTCAGATCCAAGAAAGCCGATGTGTCTTGAGATTCAAGCATTCCAATCGTGCATTGAAGTGTAAATCCCTCGCCAATCAGGGTCGAATGCCCATCTACCTGCACATTTCCAACCAAATCGATATCAGCAGACAACGAGCTAGTTATAAAATGAAGATTCGACTCATTCAAGTCTTCAGCGTAGGCGAAAAAGACGTGAACAACCTTTAAATTGTCTCATAATTTCTTCAAACCGAACAAATTTCGTCAACCTGTCTTCTCGATTTGCGTCCGAACACCAATCCGCCAATTGTAGACTGTTCATCGCTTTGTCGTGGGAATGAACGCAAATTGGCATAGTTCTTAAATTCACGAAGGTAAAGATTTCGAGTTCGCCAAATTTTTAAAATTCTACCTGAAACATTGCATTGCAGTCTATTGACCATAATTCATTGATTGGCTGTTGAACCGTCATCTAAAACACCCTATCCATTAAATATTTATTATATCGAAGATATGTTAACTGGAAAACCTTGCCCAACAACCGATACACAAAAAATCGATAAAATCCGAAGATTTATTCTTTGCACAACAATTGATGGAAGCAGCAGCAGTAAGGAGACCGGTAAATTATTAAATGTCTGCTTTAACAACAAAATTGGGGTTAACCCGTGTGTCAAACAATGTAGTTCGGTCACAAGGGGAAGGAATACGTGTATATGTAATAAATAATGATTGCAGATACGTAATGGAGGGAGGGTAGAGGATAAGAAAAAATTATACACTGAGTTAGGTGAAAGGCGGTGTTGCCGCGGCAACCAAACACCTGCCGCATATCAATATATTTCTTTACTATACTACGTATAAAATGGCATAGTGTATCGTGGGCATCGATAAATACGATTAAGTAAATGATAATAACTTATTTATAATTAAATTTATGCGAAGCGGCGAGCAATTCTGGTTCCACCGCGGTAGAGCAAATAGCCGACTGATCCCCAGAACGCGGCACGAGCGGCTATATTAAGAATTCTTGAAGTGAGAGATGGCTGTGGAATGAGAATCAAATCCGATATGTCGACTGGGTCGTTCCACTTGTTTATGATTCCTGGAGTGTGGCCAATTCCAACAACGGCAACGACCTAGAAGTTTGAAAAATTATGTTTCAGTCCGGAATTCCCGTTATTATGCATCCCAACTGTTCACCCCCACCCCTCCTTTTTACGTTCCATTTTTATCTATTTCCGTCAACTATTTTCAAAAAGCAAATATTGACACTTTTCATTATCTTATCAATAAAACCCCCAAAAAATTCAAAAATCGGGAGCAACACTTACAGCCAATGGTTGGAATGGCTTTCCAGTGTTCGATGCTTGCCATGTGATGAATTTCTCAACTGCATTTCTATGCAATAGTGTATGAAGTACATGGGTCATATAAGCATCGCGTTCCTCAACAAAAATCTGTAAATTAAAATAAATTCAAATAATTGATAAAGAGATTTTACGTGGCTTAGTTGTGGGAAATCGTCGGCCATTTCTGTAAGAAGCTGCTCAAGGAGATCTTTTTGTTTACATCTCTCGACCTGTAAAGCCTATGTTAAAAACAAAAATGATTTTTGAGGAAACCTCATCTTTAGTGATGGTTTGTCGATGAGAAAATGCGACATGTATAAAGAATTTCAACTTTTGCCACATGCTAAGAGACGCCAACGCACGCTGTAGCGTTATTTGAATTGGACGATCTCCAAGAACAACACGGCAGAGCTGAAACATGAGATTCTCACAAATAATAATTTGACAAATATTCACTTGAGTTTGAGCTGCTGATCTATGCGCAGCGCGGAATTCACCACCAGGAGCCATCGAAAGCTCGCGAGTCACATGAGCCGACATAGAGAGAAGAAGTACATGCAAGATTCCTTGAATCGCTCCGTTTTGCTTAATGGTTTGCATAATTTTCTGGGAGTTGAGATTTCTCGATTCGTTTAGAAGAGTATTCTCATCCATAGAAATGATGGAGATTCTCGCCGGGCAAAGTTCAATCATTACATAATCGGGTTGAACATGCTTAACCGTCTCGGTGACGTCGTCTTGTGATTCTTTGCTGAAGTGTATTTATACGGTTTGATGACAATAATAGAACAATATTACCTGAAGTGAGCGGTACCAATTAAATAAACTGTCGATTCAAGGAAAGCTTTTGTCCACTGTTCCTTGCTAACAGGAACTGGGCATTCTGGAACCGCAATGTTCTTTGGCCATCTTAGAACAGTAACCGTGGCTTTGTTGAAAGCAAAGTCAGGGTTTCTTTTCCTCCCGAAAAGCCATCCGTTCACAGCAACACATTGATTGTCCAGGGGCATTTCAGCCGAGTTCTTCGAAGAATTATCGATGTCATAGTCGAATTCATCGACATCTTGATCTCCAGTCACATGTTCATCAAAGTTTGATGCCGAATCGGCCAACGATATGATGGATTGCTCCGCAGTCTCACTTACTCCTCCTACTGAACACAAAAACATAAAATGAACTATGATTAAAATAACTTACATCCTTTTTTTGAATTAATCGTAAGGCTTCTCATACGGAAAAGATCCTGAATTTGCAAGGTTCAAAAAATCATTGGATTCGTTAAAAAATACCTCTTCAGTAAGTTGATCCTCCGCTGGCGGTGGAATGTCATTCGGACCGGGGAATTCCGTAGCGATGGCTTCTCTTTCGAGCTCCTCCTCCCTCGTCGTCATTTTCATTTGTTTGAGTGTAGCGTGACGCTGAAAATTAAAAATTTTGAGTCAACGAAGAAAAAGAATTTACGAAGAGTTATAAAAAAAATTAATAAAATAAACTATATTTCTAAATTAGTTTTTTTTTGACGTTCTAAGCCAAATATGTTAATTGAAGACGGTGAGCGGACAACAAGCCAAAAAAGGTGGAAAAAACGTCAACGAATCCATGGAGCGGGTTTGCATTGCTTGGTTAAGACGTCTGCGTCTCTTCGAACTGTATTCTGCATCGCACGAGAAGTGCGCCCGTTTTGCATTCACGATGCAATCCTGCGGCAGGCCCAAATCAATTTTTTATTTTTTTTTTCGAAAATCACCATCTTCCGGTTGATTTTTCAATTGAACCATGTTAGTTTTTGAACGGGAAGAAATTCTCCACAGTTTTTTGTATTGTTTAATTTTTTAAGCTGTGCTCTAATCTTCAACATCGCTATTTTGTGCCAATTTTTAGGGGAAATTAAATACATTTTTGCAGTATGACTGCTAATAATTTGCAAATATCGATCTACGGGTTTGTGACACCTAAGCGGGTGTATGAAGCAGCAGGATTATCTTATGAAGTAAGGATTACCACATTTATTTTTTAATGATTTTTTTTCAGGCACGTATTATTCGGGACAAATTGACATTGGGGCGGTGTACTCTACCGATTTATAAAAATTCACCAGTAGCTAAGGATGATGATTCAGAAGGAAAAGTTGATACTGATGAAACCGTTACTGAAATTCGAAAGCATTTGCTAGATGCAGACAATGAAAAATATGAAAAATACTTAATGAAATTGGACCCCAATGATACTAAAAATCAAGATCATTACAAAGTGCTTGGACTGTCGAAATTGAGATGGCAAGCAACTTTAGATGAGATTAGATATTGCTGTAAGTTAATTTTGAATATCACTCGATATTTTCAATTTGTAGACCGACAAAAAGTCCTAAAGCACCACCCAGATAAGAAGAAGCATAAGGGAATAAAAGTTGATAAGGAGGAATATTTCACTTGTATCACAAAGGCTTATGAACAGCTCTCGACGGATCAAAAGCGACAAGCTTACGATTCAGTTGATCACAAGTTTAATGATACAATTCCATCTGACAAATCAATCAATCACGAAAATTTCTTCTCTGAGCTCGCCCCTATTTTCGAGCTCAATTCAAGATGGTCGAATATCAAGCCAGTTCCAAAGCTTGGAACAGCTGACGCCACTCGGGCAGAGGTTGAATCCTTCTATGACTTCTGGTTCAATTTCTCATCATGGAGAGAATTTTCTTATTTGGATGAGGAAGACAAGGAGAGAGGAGAGGACCGCTATGAGCGGAGAGAAATGGAAAAACAAAACAAGGTAAATAAAACAAATAAAACAAACACGAAATTAATGTTTAGGCTGAAAGAGAAAGGCGGCGTAAGGAAGAAGCCAAGAGAATCCGGAAGCTGGTTGATCTTGCCTATGCCAAAGATCCAAGAATCGTGAAATTCAGGAAGGAAGAGCAAGCGGTAATTTAATTTAATTGACGTAAGCAAACTTTGTGTTTTCAGAAAAAAGAAAAGGCCAAAGAAGACCGCCAACGAGCAATTCGTGAGAAACAAGAGGCTATTGAGCGCGAGAAGCGGGAGAAGGAGGAAGCCGCTAAAAAGCTCAAAGAAGAGGAAGAGAAACGATTGAAACTCGAGAGAGTAAGTACATGTTTTATAATTATGATATAAGACAATATTTTTAGGAAAAAGAGAAGAAGGAACGCGAAATTGCCAAAAAGGCTGCTGCAGCTCAACGTAGACGACTGAAGCGTCTTGCCGAGGAAGCTGGATATTGGACTGAAAACCCACGCGACAAATTGACAGAAATGGAAAGGATCGAACGAGTTTGCATTGGCTTTTCTACAGAACAGCTCAAAAATCTTGTGGATCGTCTCGAGACCCTTTCAGTGGCTGACGAGATCCGTGAAACTATTGCTGAAGCTGAAATCGCGAGAAAAGAGGGTTCAAGTATAAAGCCCGTTCAAGCCGATGAGAAGAACAAAGAGAATGAGAAACAAGAAAAGGAGTCTTGGACTAGCGATGAGATCCAACTTCTAGTCAAGGCATCAAACACATTTCCACCGGGCACTGTTGAGCGATGGGTCCAGATCGCTGAATATATTAATGAGCACAGAAAAGACAAGAATATGCCGTTGAAAACAGAAAAGCAGGTCATAAAACAGGTAATTTGATGCGTTTACGACATTGGAAATGTTTTTTTTTTCAGTGCAAAGCGGTTCAAACAATGAACGTGAAATTGCCATCGACGGCCCAAAACCAATTGGGAACAGCATTGCCTGACGAAGATGTTTGGTCAGCAGCAGAGCAAAAATGTCTGGAAGAGGCTCTCAAAAAGTATCCGGCAAGTGATCCGGAAAGATGGGAGAAGGTATGTAAGCGAAAGATTTGAAAAATATGCAAACTGTAGAAAGGACAAATAATTTAAATTTCCTGGTCCTAATGCGATTAGAATCAAGTTCGCCTAAAGATAAAATCGGAAAGTTTGAATTCGAATTCAACGAAAAAAACATTTGACGAAAGAATTCGACCGTTTCTTGAAATAATCTATAGATAAATTAATGATACTAGTATGGCTTTCGAATTGTTGATTGATTTTTAAATAAGTATTTATTTAATTTGTACATTTATCTTCATTATTGTAAATAGTAGGATCTTTGTCTTTTATTGCGAACCTCTTCAGATTAAAAATTTCAATTGATTTATAATTCACATTATGAAAATGGGCAAGATTTGAAACCGGTTGGCGACGATTTTCAACTTGAATCCAAGTTCGAAATACGACCTTGATCAACCTACTTTAAACAACGTCATCACCCGCATTTTTTGCAGATCTCAACCGAAATCGGAACGAAAACGAAGAAAGCGTGCATTCGCCGATTCAAATATCTTGTGCAAATGATTAAAAATAAGAAGTAGTCTGTTATAATTTCTGTACCCGTTTTGAGCCTTAATAACTACCCTGGTGCGTTATTTTTTTTTCATTGATTTCAGTTGAAAATACGAGGTCTTAATGGATTTTGAGACTTCGCAATGGTCACTTCTTCCATTTTTCACTACACCTTCCTATTTTATTAATACTCGTGATGTTAGAATATTCAATTTTTCTTGTTTTAATTGTTGATGATTTGTTATCTGAAAAATGGTTTTTCGATTAATGTTTTGGCTTGGTTTTTTTTTTTTTCATTATTTGCGTAGATTTTTGTAAGATGGTCGACTCTCGGGAGTCCCGACGAGACATTGCGACGTTTGCTGAACACGCAGACCGATAATGTTTTTTGCCTTTGTCTTTGCTTATCAGTTTTTGCGCGTTTGCTTTTCCCTATTTTTTGTGTATTCGACGGGTTGGACGAATCGATGTTTGGCTTTATTGATTTTTGTGTATTTTTAGTGCTCTTCCTGTGAATTCGAGCACCGGGAAAAACATGATGAAGTCATTGTTTATCGCTATAAAGCCATTTTGACTTTTAATGGTCCCATAGAGTTTTATGGTCAAGCATAATTTGGGTACACCTAAAACCTTTAAAGGAGCATCAAAGCGAAAAAAGAAAACAATTCCAAAAAGCTTTTTATAGCGGAATCTTTTTTTCTAATAATTTACTAAGAATTTTATGTGAGTTTCGGAATTACTTTCTGAATAGCAAATCCTTCCTTATCAAAATCAATAATTTTCGGATATTTTGACGCCTCAATCTATTTTTTCTCTTCTGACCCCCCCCATTCAAGTACAAAGTGTATATATAATTGAAAATGCCAGCTTTTATGGGCGGTCATGCGCTGGCCCCTAATCACATTCATAATCATTCATTCATTCATAAATTTTGTCAACACTTTTTCGCATTCAACAATCATTTGTCGCAGACTCTAACATGTTATGACGATTCGATGATTCTAATCTACTTGCTCGTGTTTCTTCTAATATTGCCGCTACCGGCGGCGACGAACCCGCTCGCTTCATTGTGCCTCGGCTTTTGCCATTGCGATCGCGACATCGTCGATTGTGGATCATTGGATCTTACCGAAGTGCCGCTCAACATTCCCAACAATACACGAGTATTGTAAGTTTTAAAATTTGCGACTTATCGTTTTTGCAAAGAAGCTTACCTGCTCGTAGACAACGATGCTCTGCTGAATTCGTCAGAAGACCTTGTAATCAATATTCTTACTCTTTTCATATTAGCGTTTCACCAGGCACGGAGAACTGATAAATAATGCGCATCGATAAGAATGGAATTTGCTTATCAAATTTTCAAATTTCAAAATAATAGATGCGGAACGTCACGAATTTGTGATAACATCGAAAATCGGAAATATCACCTTTCAGAATCCTAAGCGACAATGAAATTGATTCAATCGATGCGACACGATTCCGATATTTCGGCAACCTTCAAGTTCTGTAAGAAATTCATTTTCTCGATTTTTTTTAGGAAAAGAAATCCATTATTTGAATTTTCAGCGATCTTTCTAATAATATTGTGCGCAATATAGGCTCAGAGCTTTTTAAATATCTTCCAAACCTTCGAACTTTGTAAGAAAAATCAGACCGATTCCGAAATTCAGTGAATATTTTCAGAAGTGTTCGAAAAAACCGACTCACGCGTATACCATCTGGTATGGAAAAGTGCAAGCATTTAGATAAACTTGATTTGTAAGATAAACTAGTCGAATCAATTTTGCGTATTTATTGTAGACGATCAAATGTAATATCTGAGGTTTCCCCGATTGATCTACTCACAATTACGGGAATTCGACACGTGGATTTGTCGCGAAACTTGATTGCAGTTCTTCCGAAATTGAAGAGCTTCCATCAAAAATCTGTGACAGAACGACTGTGAGCTTAAAATTTTCCGGTAATCAATGTTTCGGTTAAGTGACTTAGCAGCCAATGTGATCTACGACATCGGTTCCGATCTCTTCCTTCCATTCCAGTCTCTCATTTCCCTACGCCTCTCCAGAAATCGACTGACATTTTTGGACCAAAATTCATTTTCAAAACTTCCCAGCGTTGAATCTATGTAAAAACGTGCAGTTTTATTGAAATGTTCCGTTTTTTACAGTGATCTTTCAAGAAATTTAATCAGGGACATTCGATTTCTTGCGTTCAACGCGTTGCCCTCATTGAGAACCGTGAACTTGGACAGAAACGACATTTCATTGTATTTAATTTTATAAACATTTCATGTATCTTCAAAATATTCAGACTTGATGATGGAATGTTCTTTGCGTGCGAATCCCTGGCCCATCTGAATTTGTCAACGAATCGAGTTCAATCGGTCACAGAGGGGTGGATGTTCGGACTGGTCAATTTGGAAACATTGTAATGATGAGAAAAGATTTTTGAATCGTAGAAAAATTTTAGGGATCTTTCTTACAACCAAGTTCGGTTGTTTCATCCAAACGCGTGGTCGCATACACCTCGTTTAAAGTATGATCTAAGTCCCTCTAATATTTAATTTATTATTTCAGATGGTTGTCTCTTCATTCGAATCGCATTCAATCCCTGCCATCCGGCTCATTTCGAGCTCTTCACCATCTCGAAGAGCTCATTCTTTCCGCGAATTCAATAGACAGCCTCCACAAATTTGCACTAATTGGAATGGGCAATCTGAACAAATTGGATCTTTCGTCGAATACACTTGCAGTGTGCGTTGAAGATGGAGCAGTTCTTTATAATACCTCAATGCCATTTTTGAGATCATTGAAGTTTCGAAATAATCAACTTCGAGTGATTCCGAATAGGTCCGAATCATGGAGGGAAAGACAATCAAATTTTATTAAAGAATTGTAGAGCTTTCGAAAGGTTCCCATCGTTGGAAGAGCTTGATCTCACTGAAAATCCGATCGCCACAATCCATCCAAACGCATTTGAGCCTCTTCAGCTCAAGAGCTTGTAAGCATCCATGATAAAGACAATTTTCATAAGTTCAAAGCCTTAACAGAATAATGAATTCTTCGTCGATTCTCTGTGATTGTCAAATATCTTGGTTTGCCACGTGGATTTACAAACTTCAGCTGGATCGACAGAAAATCATAGCGAAATGCTCATTCCCACTTCCGCTTCAGGGTCTCGATGTTATTAGTATTGATAGTGCCAATTTGACATGCTGTAGGTTTTAAACCGATTAATGTTAATGGTCCTTAAATTTTAGTAGATGATTCCCCGAGACCTAAAATAGTACGCCAGCCTGAAGAGATGACAGCGTTAGTTGGACAACAAGCGAGATTCATGTGCAACATTTATGGAGAGGGTCCTTTAGTGGTCGAGGTAAATTGTTTAATTCGCAAATTACATTTTTTATTTCCATTTATAGTGGCGAGTAATGGATCGAGGAATTGGAAGAGTTCTAGTTCAAGATTCTCAAACTTATATGAGCATCAACACCACTGCAATTATCAACGGCACAATGAATGGAAGGGAACTTGCCGCCGCGGATTTGATTCTCGATAACGTGTCTCTTGAGGATCGTTCTGAATACCAATGTGTAGCGCGAAACCGCTTCGGATCCGACTTTTCACCGACCGTCAGACTTACTGTTCTGGAGCCGCCGAGATTCTTGAACACGCCAAGCGACATTTCGATAATGGTTGGACAGAGTGCAAAGTTCCAATGTTCAGCGACAGGTGACCTACGATGGGCATTCGATGGTGGTCAGTTCCCAGCGGCAGAGGGCAGGCGTCTTTATGTAATGCCGCATGATGACCATTTGTACATAATGAACGTGAGTATGCTTGATCAAGGTATATACACATGCCATGCGACAAATGCAGCTGGGGCCATTCAAGCAAGTGCACGACTGCGGGTTTTTGGTAGAGGAATTTGACACAGATTTATAACGAATGAGATATTTTCAGACAACTTATTTTATAATATATTGGAGTCGCAGAAGCTGTATGAAGGCGAGTCGCTTGTTCTTGAATGCAGAGTAAAAATTATACCAGAAGTCCAACGGCTTTTATGGAAAAAGGATGGGAAAGTCGTAGCGGAGAATACGCAGATTTTTCGAGTTGATAAAGTTAGTGGCATTTCAAAGTCGAATAAAAAAAACCCACGAATGTTGAAAGGTTCTCAAAAAGCATTCTGGCGAGTATTCTTGTGAATTGTGGACTGAAGATACGATTCTGAATAAACAGTCGAGTATTGTACAGGTTCTCTCAGATGATGGTACGTCATTTGGTTTCCCGAAACAAAATTAATTAAATCAACATTTAGATCCAAAATTGTCCGGCATTTCCAAAAAAGCTCATCAACTCCAAGCCATGGCTTCCAGTCTTGTTCGAAGTATGACGGGGTCTGCTCCGAATTATCCGCTGCTTATCGCTATACTTGCATTTTTAATGTAAATCGATTCATAATTGGCATATTGCTTCATATATTTATTTATTCTAGAATGTCATTGGGCGTATGTTTCTCTTTAATATGCTGCCTCCATCGGCGAATAGTCAACGCGAAAACGGAGCAAAATCAGCCGGTTTTCCTGTAATTATCGATCAAACCCGGGTTCCTCTTCCACATTTTCAGCGTCCGCCTCTAATTCTTTTCATTTCGTCGGGTACTCAATCCTCACTTTATTTATTTGATGTACATAAAAACGGGATTATTTAAAATCGAATTGGCCAATTTGTCAAGCTTTTTCAGGACCATTTGACATTGGAAAGTTGAAAAAAAAACCGAACGAAATAATAAATGGTGGCCGACGGCTTACTTTTATTTTGTTTCTCCATGATGAAAGTAATCCGCCGTCGTTGCTTTCGTTTGCACACTTCATGACCCCCCCCCGCGCATTTTAAAAAATTGGCAAAAATGCCGAAGATCTAATTGGATTTGGTATGAGTGGGCCCTTGAATTTGTTTTTGCGCGATTGGTAGTAGAATGACGAAAAAAGTGCAAATTGGAAAATATCACGTTTCTTAAGAAATGTGCGAAAATTGGAATCGTCTGTTTCTTTTGTAGTATTTTTTAAAACAAATTTTCTACTTTATAATCAAATTGCGATATTACAAAACTCGATTCGCAATTCCCTTTTAATTTCAATTTTCCAAAATTTCGCTCATTGTTATATTCCTCCTATTTTTCCATCTTCGTCGCCATCATTTCATATTCTTAAAAAATAAAACAAACAGCCGTCATCAGGAGCACCACTTCATTATATATTTTTTATTTTCGTTTGTCTCAACTTTGGTCTTTGATTCGATATTTGGAAAAAAAATCTTTTGGTAATTATGAGGAATCAAATATGCATTTTAGACCCCCCACGGAAAACTTTGAAACATTTGTATGTCAATTTTTTTCGAGTTTAGGCCTCATCCATCATTGGTAAGAATCTTCCTTGTCATTTAGTACGAAAAGGTAGTCCCAAGGGCGAGCTTTTGGCTAGGGTTAGGGAAGGGGGTTCGTTTTGTACTTATCGGCTTGTGACGTGCGAATTAACTCAATTTTCATATTCTTTTCATCAACAAAAAAACGCTGTCCCTATTAATAATAATTTTATTGGACTCATCTCATCGGTTTCCAATATATAAATATATTTTCCATGTTTTTGTTCTTGTCCATAAATTGAGCACATCGTAATTCGATTTTTTGCACATTACAAAATTTTTGAAATATTTGAGAATTCTAGTAATAAATTAGGATGTAAGGCGGTAAAATGAGAATCTGAATAATTCACGAGAACACCTTTTCCTAATTTGAATATTATTTTATATTCTTACGCATTCGCCTAATTTATTTTTTTTTTTTGAACTTTCAGCCGCTATTCAAGCCGTTCAATGTTGAAATGCATATGATTCAATGAACCGCAAATCAATTTCCAAAAATTATTTTGCCTCCAGAACAATACGAATTCAAAAATCATCGAATAGGCGTAGAATGGCGAAGAATACATAATCAGGCAAGTCGTCCAAAATTTGAATTTCGAACACTGAATGTAGTGGTACGAAATTGAGAAATTTCTGAGTTGAGGGGTGGGGGGGGGGGCAAATTTTTTAAATTCCAAATCCTTTTGCGTGCATTTTTCTTTTGAAAGTTTGCATGCCTTGAAAACAATCATTGCGAAGTGCCTTCTCCCAATAAACCTCGGTCGGGACACATACATTCATAAAACAAATTGAGCCGGCCCTCCTCACGGGCGTTTGCCCCCCTCGCTTCTTGCCTCTCCTCTCATCTCGGCCGACTGTCATCAAGTGATTTGTCGACTCCGCGTTTTTTTTTCATTCACATTATTATGCTCGAACATTTATCACCCATCAACCGGCACCAATTGGTCGCGGTTTGATCTATTACAACCCTTCCTATTGAGTTATTCCGATTCGCGGGGGCACCGCCAACAACAAGCTTCTTCATTTTTTTCGATTCCGAGAAGTTCCAAAAGTTGGGCGTGGTTTGAAGTTGCAGAGTTTCGCTTCCTTGCAGAATGATTGAAGCTTTTGCCCCTGAAACAATTCAATTTAAAGGGGGGGGGGAGAATGACATCAAATTTCAAATCGAAAAGGTCAATGTTCGAGACACAAATTTGTAAAGGATCTGGTTACACAAAGCATAATTCTGAAGCTAATCGATTACAAGCTCCGCCCAATTTTTTTGCGGCGCATGTGCCAACATACATTTTTCATGCAAATCTTGAAACTTTGGAATTTCCAATTAATTTATGCGCGTCATTTTACGTCCCCCCCCCTCCCAAAAAAAGTGCAGGATTTAAAATGGAAACTAGTGAAAAGCTTTTGAATACATGCTACATATTGGATTGGTTATACATATTTTTATGAATTTCTCCCCATCCAGCCACGCCCATTTTCCGTCGTTTCTTTTCATTTTTGTCTGCATTTTTTATTTCCGAACGACGCCGAAGAAGCAAGCTCATATTTCTTCGCGGTTGGTCGTTTCAATTTGTCTCGTTTTTGGTGTTTTTCGCGTTCCCCCCTATTTTTTTTTTGATTTTCGCTTCTGAAATTGAAACTTGGTGTCCCGCTGAAAACTCGCTCGCGATGGTTTTTTTTCATGAGCTTCTCACAAAGCCGTGAGAATTTCGAGTTTCTCTACTGAAACTTGCTCAATAAAATGTTTCACAAATCGAATTATCGCCGAAAAAAACAAGTATGAGATTGAAAATCGGATAATGGATCATAAGGCGAGTGTTGAGATCAATAACTTTCTCGAAATTTTAAAGGTCTTATAATTGGCATCGGGAGACTACTGTAGTGACTACGCGGGTAGATTTACGAGTATGCGCCTTTCACTATAGTCTTGCGCGGATTTACTGGTTGTTTTGCATTTTTTTTAATTCGATAATTTTCACATGTGACGAGACCATTTCGAAAGGTGCACGCGTAAATCTACCCGCGTACATCAGTCGCCGACTAGCGTGCAATTTTATTTGAAAAAAAATCTAATTTTGGTTAATTTGCTTTAATATTTAAGTATTATAAAATTTCGTACCTTGAAATTGCGCAATGAAACACGGATATTATTATACAAGGAAACGGCTATAATACGTCGCAAGATGACATAAGAGAGAATGAAAAACAACAAATATGCTAATTAGTAGCATAAAAGAATTCTACTAAATCAAATTATGCAAAAATTCAAGCTTTTCCTGATTCGGGTATATATTGTAGTTGACTTACAATAATAGGAATCTCAAAAAGGCTCATTTTCTTGAAATGTTTTTTTTTTGAAACTTGAAATTGTTGGTGCAATTCAGGCAATTTTATCACTTCTCAAATGACCCCATAAAACCTTGAATGTTTGTTTCCTCGTTCCAAGGGACCCTCGAGGTGTTGGTCTCTCTTCTTTCGAATATGAATCATTTTTTACGAGATACGACGAAGCACCTTAGATGAACTTCTTTTTTTACTTTCGACAAAAATTAGCGCCCTTTTGAGTTGTAATTAATTCTTAAATATACATTTATTCGAAATTCCGGTGATGAAATGTCGCATCCTTAATCCAATGAAATGAATGTCAACTGCTTAACATCCCATCAGAAACCGAATAGTATCTCAAAATATATATGCATGTAACAATTTTCTGGCAAAGAATATTAAGCCAAATGGATCATTGGATGTAATCCAAATTCTACTTTTTCCAAATAATAATATTCCTCCATGATGCTTTTTAAATGCTAATCCCTAACATTTTTTTTGCGTCGGATCATCGGCAAACCTCAAATTTTGTCGTTAGAATAAAAGCAGGTTGATCAATTATATTTTTTATGGTCATTGGGGAAACTGTTACTTTCACTTATTTCACCTAAAATTACTAGTACCTTGCAAGTCACCATTAAGAACATATGAACGAAGTGGCTTCCAGCTGGAAAGGTTCCCATTAACGATTTTCGTTTTGTTTGTTTTTTTTTTGGAAAAATATTGCTATTTGTGGATCGCGTCATTCGGACAAGGGGTAATCAAAAAATATGTCGAATGAGAGCTTAAGAGTTGAGAGACCAGATACCCCCGATAATTGGTCGACATTTCCGCTCGATGTAATAGACGGTCATATGAACCCAAAGAAATGTTTGAGCAACTATTTTTGGCTCAATTTTGACGCCTCGGGACGTTTTTGTTACTGTAGTTGCCTCGCGGGATTTCTCGGGAAGCAGAGATTGACGACGTGCATTGTTTTCTTTTTGCCAGTGTTCCAATTTCTCGCACTCACTCAAAATCCCATAAGAATTCGAGGTTTCGATCTCTTATGTTTTTTTTTGTCTTCGTTCTCTTCTGTGGTGGAATGCTATTAGAAAACGATTATCTGTTTGTGCAGAAGAAAAAGAACCCCGCGAATAAATGGGGTGTGATAAAAATAAAAGTGTTCGGGTTGTAAAAAGCATCGACTTAGCGAGCGTCAGGTTATACCTTTCAGCAAACTTTTTCAATTTATCGCATTTTTCATTTCAATTCGATTGCTTATAATCAATCTCTGGTCCAAAATTTGCGATTCCAAAAATAAACTGCTCGGAAATTTGAGTACTACGTCCAAAAAAAGGACATCATAAAATCCGTATGAGCCATTAAATGAGATGATGCGGCTCCCAATTGATTAACTAGGCCAATGTTTTTTCCAAAGGCTCTTTTCAAGTTCGTTGCCTTGCATCCGTCCAGTTCGAGATTGTCCGCAGATGGCTGTCATTTTCCGAACTCGATTGATCGACAAGTGCATTTTGACTGATGTCTTTCCCATTCGTTTTTTCTTGTTGTGATTTTCCCTGAAAACTTGTTCTCTTTTTCCACGCCCTTGGTTGACATCAGTTTTGCTGTGATCGCTCGTCGATTCGATTTTTGAGCAACTTCATAAATTTTCGTCAATCTCGGATTCCCTAAAGAGGCTTCGTAATTGTTTTTCGTTTCGCCAATTTTTGGCAGCATTCAAGCCTGAAGAGAGAGAGAGAGAGAGAGAGAAAGAATCAGTTTGGAAATTCGAGGCTTATTTTTTATTTTTTAATGTTTTTTTGAAACTTCTCTGCCGTCAGTCTTTTGTCTTAAAAATAGAAGAGAAGACAATTGAGAAGCTACTACAACATACATATTGGGGGCGGTCTTTCGTTTTCTAGGAAAAAATTTGCATTTTGAAAATCCATTCAAAACTCTTATCCTCCTAACTCTAATCTTGTGTAAAAATAATAATAATAATGACAATAATATGCATGTCATTTTTAGAAATGGAAAATTGTCCTCAGATGTCTGGTTTTGAAGGAAATCATGAAATCAAAAAAAGTTGTTGGCTTCCTTCGAAGTTCATGTATGCAAATTTAATTCCACGCCCTCTCAAAATGCACGTTTCGGACCTCCTAGTTTCAGTTTTATCCCCGCCCCTTTTTAATGCACTTGTTAGTAGATCAAATTAGGCAAATTAGCCTTGTCAGACGGCATGCAATCTTAATAATTTTTTTCCATAAGTAACCATAATATTTTTTGAGATATTCAACTTTTCTCGTGCCGAAAAGCCGGCTTCCGGAAAACAATATTTTCTTGCGATTAAGTTTTTGAACTTTCTTTTTTTCTCACCTCAGCGATTCAACACACAACAATAGAAATACGAAATTTGTTTTAAAACATCAATTTTTCCGATTTCCCGCCAAAATTGAGTTTCATCGAAAATTTGAAGATATTTGTGGAAGCTCTCAAAAAGAAAATGAAATAAAAGAGTGAATATTTTTCTTCCTCATAATCTCGATTTTCTATTGTCTAGTCAGAAATTCACATATTCCGATTTTGGTCGGAAATCTTCCAACAAATTTTTTGTGTAATTCAAGGAAGCTTTGACCTTACACCGATGGTGCATAACAGCTAATGATCCACTTTTTTCGAGCACTAGCCCCGCCCACTTTTTGGCGTATAATAGTCATATGACTAGGTTCATATTGAGCAATCTCAGCAATAATAATTGCTCTTCCTGAATATTCTTGAAATATTTGTTATTGAATGCAACAAATTGCTCTTTCATTCTTTTTCGATTAAATTCAAAAAGTCGTTCTAATCCGTTTCAACCAGCCAGGTGGCGATACTCACACGCGCTTCACAGCACAATTCCCCGCATAAGTAGTATTATATGCATAATGGATTCAAGAGATCTATCCTTCGAAAAGATTATAATATCAGAGAATGATTTTTTTAAACACTCTGAGAACAATAATCAATCTAAAATATTATAATAAGATTGAGAAACAAAAACCACACTATGAACTCTTGGGTCGCATTGTCTTTTGGTGCAAAGTCACCATTATCCCAAAATTTCTGAAAATGTGCTAAAAATTGCTGGAATTGTAGGAATCCGAGAAATGGTTGAAAAGGTGTGTTCGCGTCAATATTTCAATACTACTCCCAGATTATAATTGACTGAAGACAAAAAGCAGCGATTTGTGCATTTTTCCGGTCCCATTCGCCCACTATTAATTTCATTTTCGCTTTATTTTGAAGGCGAATTTTTTATTTTGAAAGCGCGTGGTTTATTATTTACATTTATTTTTATTATTTGTAGTAGTTCAAAATTTTCAATAATGATCTATTCCTTGCGGTATTTCCTGGACCTTGTCAATATTTTTCAAATCTAAACACGTTCTAAAAATCAAATTGAGTTTTATTGGCGTATTTTGACCTTCCGAATGAATAGTATATTGATTTCGAGTCCTCAATTTTTTTTAATAGGACTCTTAAAATATTATTAATTTACAATCTTTTTTTCGAGGACCAGTTGACCGAAAAGGACAGAACATTAAGGACAGATGTTCTTGATTATTATTTTTATTAGGTCTCAATTTCTTTTGTTATTCATCACACCAACCCCTCCCCCCGCCTCCTCCTCATTTTGGTCATTCTGAATTCGAAATCTATTTCCAATTTATTTGTTATTTAGTGATCCTCACAAGCTTGAATAAAATAAAACACGACGACATTTTTTGTTGTTCTTTGCGATTTCTTTCAGAAAAACTCACGTTTGCCGGAAATTCGGATTTCTTGAAGACTCATAGCACATTCCAGAGTTTCGAAGAATACTTCTAGCTTCATCTTCTTTTTTTTCTTGAATATTTCCAGTAAAAAAGCAGATTCCATCTTGAAAATATTACAAATTATATCAAATTTAGGGTTATCTCACTTTCCGCTTTCTTTTTGATGATGCGCCGGCATTGTTTTCCCTGAAAATGCTAGTCCTTCTTGTGTTTTTGACATTTCTTTCTTTTTTTTGTCTTTTCCTAAAACGTTCTCTCTCTGATTTCACTATTTTCCCATATACTTTATTTTTATGCACTACCGAGTTTTTGGGCGTTTTCCTGTTCACATTTCAATGAATCTGAATCTATCTCCCCTTCCTCACGTCTCCATTTTCAAGCCACGCCTATTTTTAGACGTCATGTTTTGATCATCGTTAAACGAAAATTTGCTTTTTTTTCCACTACCTAACTCATTATCATCATAGAATTTTGTTTTTTTTTTCTTCTTTTTGCGCATTTCCTCATTATTACTTTGTAAATCTTCAAGTATTTTTTCGTGTCGTCAAGATGATGAACGAGTTTTCTTTTTTTTCTTCTTCTTCACTTTTTTTAAAAACTTGAAATCCAAGAAGTCCCGCTACATAGCAGACCCTAAAATGTGCCTTTTATGGTGTTAACTTTGAGGTTTCAAATCATTTAGTCTGTCAAACTATCAAAAATTGTTTTTTCCAAGATGAGTGCTTAGTTTTTGACAAGTTTTCATCCTTTCATGATTGGTTTGAACTACCAAAAATGACACTTTTAAAATCTTTGATTTTATTTTTTTAAAATAATTTTGTCGTCAGAGACGAATTTTTAAAAATTTGTATTTCAATGTCAGCCCAATTAAAATAATTGAGCTCATTCTCTGACATTATTGCTGATAATCGAAATTTTGAAAGTACATATAAAAATTATGTTGTTTTTTTTTTAGCTAGAAAGTGAAAATTCCTTCCTAACAAAAATTTTTCATAGGCGGCCATTCAAATGACAAATAAATGGCATTCCAAATTCGTCCATCTTGAAATCTTTAAATAGCACTCTAACAAAAGGTCTCTCTTACGCAACAGATCATTAGTGTTATATTCTATGTATTTTATTGGCTCTCACTTCCTCGTCTGCAAATTCTCGCGAATTCTTATCCTCCACACATACATAATTAACGGCTTTCTCGAAATTTAAAAAAAAACCCATGAAACTCCATTCGTAGGGCTCCAATGCTACTCACAACAAGTGCTCCACGATTATTGAGCTCTATCGCTGGGAATCTGACGACACCAATGAGCACAATCCAAGACAATCACGAGATCATTGATTATGTGAACCGCGTGAAGAGCATCTATATGTGGCTCATACCATGCATGATTGTCATCCTTTTGGTAAGTTGCTCACATCATTTCCGGATTTCCGGTTTTAGAAATTAGACGATGTTGTTTTTTTTCTAGCTAGCGATTCTTGGGAACGGTATAATCGTTCTCTCATCTCCATGGCTTTCAGCTCCAGTATCGCCGTATTTAAAATTATGCGTATCACTGGCCGCTGCTGATATGTGGGCAGCCACTTTACTTATAATGGGTATACATTCATATATCTTTAATTATTTCTGTAATCCAACTTCCTAAAAATTTCAGGCCTTCTTGTGAATTCGTACCTTCCTGTGGTTTTTGGGGTCCAAAAGAACACAATGTGCTATGATGCATTGTTAGAGGTATGTAGATCAAATAGAGACCAATTTGCAAATCATGTCATATTACTTTATAGATGTTCCGAATTTCCGGAATGCTCACTTCCGATATGCATCTATTCGCGTTGGCAATCAACCAATTTTTGGGGACAATGTACCCGCTAAAATATAAGGTTCTTTAGTTTTTTGTTCGAGAATTTCCAGTGACTAATATATCCGCATAGACTACTACTATACATGACATAATTAAATTCTGTGCCAGCCCAACAAACTTGCGCATACATATTCGTTCGTTCCTATTCATAAAGGCGACGAATGGATGAACAAAGATTGAAATAATTTTTTTTTCAAAATTTTTGTTCAATTGAGTGATGATTTTGAATGGGTGCTGAATTCTAATCGGAAATAAGAAAAATTAGGATTTTTTCTCGGGAAATCATGAATATTTACATATATTTACAGGTGATGGTAACAACTCGTCGAATTCGCTACATCGTGTTCTGCCTTTGGATTGTGCCGCTCATTTTTGTGTTTGGATGGTTTGTCGCGAATGAAGATGACGGATTACGTCACGCGCAATGTCTATTCAGATTTTACAATCGATTCCCATTCAGGTACTTTTTTGGTGCTATCAATATCTAAATGAAAAATTTGCAGAATAACGATTTTCTTAATATTTATGCTCCCCTTGATATCAACCCTAATAATCTATGGGTGTATTCTTGTGAAGCTGCTCAAAGCGAAAGTTGAGTTTGAGACATACTGTAGCGATCGGAGCATTGAGATGAACAATAAGGCTCGAAGAAACTATAGTACTCGAAGCACGAATGTTTACTCAAAGCTTAAACTTGTATGGACCACTTTGCTCATTGTATCCACATTTTCGCTATCCTGGGGACTATGCGTCCTGTATTTCGTCCTGGTATGCGCTGATGGGTGTATGCTGATTTACCGGCAGAACATCGGCCTATATATGAGCTTGTTCCTCAATTCATCGGTCAATATTTTGGTAAGAATTTCTCGATTTGAAAAAAGTATTAAAATTTTTTAATATAGGTGATGCTCAAGCTTGCTTCGAACCCGTTCATCTACACTCTTCGCATCAAGGCGATTCGCTCTTCAGTCGATCACTTTATCAATTTCATTTTCCGTCGCAAATCGCCAAGAAAGCACAAGAGCAGCTTTGCGCCGACCACAACCGTAGAGCCGAGCGCCATTTAGCGAACAATTTTGCTGAAACTTTCTATGTACTTAATATTTTCCAAATACGGGTTGTAATAATTTTTATTGTGATGTCCTCAGGATGAAAAAAACCAATGATTCGATAATAAATTTATGTGCATTTATGTACAGTTCAATAATTAATTAGTTTCACTTTCTTTTACCGTATCCTGGATATCCAAAGCCGCCATTGAATCCACCATTTCCAAGAGCATCGGAGGCATAGTAGCAGGCGGCGCCATTGGCTGGAACCAAGGTTTGCACGTAGGAGAGAATTTCGCATTTGAACGCGAACTCTCCGATTTGGAAGAGATTGACGGCGTCGCAGTCGAATTGGCGGCACGCTTCTTTGCATTGTTCAATATCCTGTAAGCAGAATTTTATTGTAAAAATTTTGTACTTTCTCAAACCTGGACGTTATCGATGTCGTACACTTTTCCACCTTTGCATTCCATTTTCTGTTGGAGTAGGTACGCTCTAGCTCCAACGAACTGAGCATACGGTAGATCTGAAAGCTTTGAATTTAGAAAAGAATGAAATTCGCGCTTACGCGTGGTTTGACAAAGCTATTATTTTTCATTTTTTAAATGTTAGAGAAGTTTCCGAGTTAGTGCTTTCTTTTTATTGTGAAGGATAAAAATAATATAATTTTTTTAGATCGCTGTGTACGGTTCACAAATGCCTCAAACAGTGCTGTTAGAAGAAGTGAGCTGAATTGATCAATCGGTGCACTCTTTTGGATGGGGCATTTGTGAACTTACAGCTGTGACACGAACCCGCGAATTGGAAGATTGCTAGAAGCACAAGAATGGTTGCTGGTGAGATGGTGAACGATGGCATCTTCTGTTGAAAGCTGAAATCAAATGGTTAGTGGGAATTTAATAGTTTGAATTCCAAATTTTTACTTGAAATGACAAGCCAACGACCAACATGAAGAGACCCGCCCTCAAATTAAATTTCGGAAAAAAAAATAAAAATCAGGATTTTTCAAAAAGTGACACATTCGATTGGTGGGCACCGTACAAACACACAAAAACATATGAATAATATGTTTGCACATGGTTAACGGAAGTGCACAAAAATGGAAAAACAGACTGGAATTTTGAACTGGCGCCGCCGAATCGAGTGTTCTCGCACATCAATCGACGAGAAAAAAAAACTCGGCGGGTTTTATATTGGCCGAGGTGAAATGGTTAATCCGGTTTACCGGGGTGGTTGACATGATGGCATTTTGGTTTTCGAATTTGTGATCCTCATATTCCACATTTGATTATGCAAAAATTTATCAGTGAATCACACGTCACACATATGAGAAATTGTCCAAGGGGTCCCGTAGCGATTGTTAATACAGTATACTTACCGTATGATGCTGAATATGAGAGTTGACGGTGAAATGTGCACTAATCGCCCATTTTATACGGGTATTCGGCTCTATTGTTATGGAGCCGAAAACGTCAAAATGTAACAAACACACAAAACGCATGTACAGAACAACCGTTCACACAGCAGTTAACGATTGTTTGGTTAGCTTTTGTTGAATATACATATTTATGGCCATTTATGTACATGACAAAAGAGGTTCGGCTAAAAGTGACGTGAGTCTTCGCCAGGGTGCGGTCGGTTTGGGTTCTGGAAATGATAAGATTTACGATTGAAAGGTTAACAATGCCAACCGAGAATGTCAACATTTCGGTTATTGTTGGCATAGAATTATGATTCTTTTGAGTGGGAAAAATAAAAAAGTAAAGAAGGGGGGCTAAGAATATCACGAAATTTGCTCTTGAATCAGTTCCTTCCTTACTTAGTCAATCCGTTCTTTGCTTACGTTGTGGGATGGAAAAAATCACAGCGTTCCATATTTTTTGTTGGCCATTGTGCTTCACGAGGTTATCAGCTTGTTTCATTTTGAATTTTTTTTGTTGAGTGAGGCTGTCCACCTCATTGGGGGTCTTCTAACCGGGCGTATTGTATTCCATGAGATCAACTCTCGCAGCAGCGTTGTCCAACGGTCATCAGATCTTTTTTTAAATTAAAATATGATTATGTAAGCTTCAATACCTTTCTCAACGTTTTTTTTACGAAGCGCTTTCAGAAGTTCCTTTCAATATTTGTCAATATTAGTCGAATCATTTCATTTACAATTTATCTCACATATGCACTATTGCCATTCTGCCTTCTTGCCTATTTCATATTTGCACTAGTCACTCGTTTATTTACTTTGGTACTCGCACTGACCTAATACCGATGATTTTTATGCGGCATCCTCAATAACTCACAGTTTCGCCATCGATTTTATCGCGGTCACCTTTTTTTTGGTGTCGCATTTTACCTCTATTGAAAGTTTTTACTAAATTTGGAGTGGCTTTTCCAAGGAATTTTTTCATACAAATTATCTTGGCACGGATTCTATTAAATGTGTGTATAATATATTTCATAAATATTTGTTTCGTACCTCGCAATTTTGCCGAAACAAATGTTTTCCGAATAAAGTAACATGTCGGAATGACATTCATCTCTACGGGCAACCATTTTTGTCGCGTCGTCGGCGTCTCTACAACGCCGTGTACTGTCTCGCCATTTTTATTCTTGATTCACGATTTTTCAGTGGGTTTCGATGCAAAATGTCGTTCAAATTGGATTTGGAGAATATTCCAATGTTGGACGATACCGAAAGTAAGTCGTTTGATTAGAAAATTGATGGCGAATAACTGAAAAAATAAACGAGAAAAATACAAAAATTTGCAAAAAAAAAGAATCTGTAAAAATGATCTCTATTATTTGAAATTTCACAACAGCAAGCATCGAGTAATGTATCTGCAAAAAATTTGAGCGGAAATTTCAATTTTTAAATTTTCTGAAATTTCATGTCTGGAAATTACAGAATTTGGTTTTCTGCTCCACGCAGTCTTCATTTACTTCTGAAATTGTTTAAAGTTAAATTTCGCACGTTAAATCTACAAAACAACTTCCGGGAACAGAAACAGCTGAAAAATAGTTAATGTCATCTTGTTTATGATTGAAAAAAATTTCAGCTGCCCTTCGGAAAGTCTCCATGAGATTTGAAGAACCCTCCCTAGACATTGAGAATATCCGATCCACAATTCATCAGAGTGCCAGGGAAGGGCGAATTGATATCCTTGAGCATGAGCTCAACCAACGGCCCGAAGCAATCAATTTCCAGGACATTGATGGGGTTTCCAAATTTTGATTTACAATTTTTGGCAACTAGAACTTTCAGATGACTCCACTTCATTATGCCGCCAGATACGGAAACCTGAAAGCAATTGAGCTTTTGCTGTCACGCGGCGCAGAAGTTAGAACGAAGAACGTGGATGGAGATACAGCTTTACACATTGCGTCAAAGTATAAGCACGAGACCTGGACAGATCTTGTTAGAATCGTCGACGAGCACCCAAGTTTCGTTGAGGATCGCATGGATTCGGAAAGAAAATGCGGAAAAATCACTGAAAATATTATCAAGCTTCTCGTGAATTATGGAGCGTGAGTATTCTTTTTTTGGGGTGGCGGATTTAGTTTAATGTGACGAGATTTTTGAAGAATTATTGATGAGCGCAACGACTATAAGTTGACACCACTGCATTACGCCGCAATGAAATCGAATCTTGCCGCGATTGCGACATTAGTGGGTCTTAACGCGAACGTCAATGTGAGAAATGATCTACCCGCTGGAGGGCCGATTTCTGTTGAGCAATATTAACATCTTAGGCTGAGGATTTGAATGAAATGACACCACTTCTTCTCGCTTGTGTTCATGGAACTGAAGAAGTCATTGAAAAGCTCATTAAAGCGAGAAGTGATGTCACGAAGCGTGATCAACGCCAGAATACTGTATTCCACATTGTCGCTTTGCGAGGAGAGCCCACAATTTTGAAAATGATGATGAAGCATAGTAAATTTTTCGAGTTGAGCAAATGAGATGTCGAATTCATAAATTTCAGGTGGCCGAATTGCCAGTCAATCTTTAAGACTCACAAATAACGAAGGAAAAACTCCATTGAGATTGGCTGTTGAAGGAAATCATCCAGAGACGCTGAAAGAGATTCTTGATATTGAGAAGAGTTTTCAAACGGATTGGAAGAGGTTGACAGTTGGACATGCTTCGCTAACCAATCGGTTTTCTAGACGAGAAAAAGAGCTTATACACTTTGCCGCATCCAAGGGATACCTTCAGGTTATCAAGCAGCTTGTCGAAGCCGGATTGGATCGAAACGAAAGAGATCCGCATCGGTGTATTCCACTTCATGTTGCAGCTCAAATGAACAGGAAAGACGTCGTGGAATACCTGTTGGAGGTTGGAAAGTTGAGTTTCAAATTGTATTTCAATGTTTGAGGAATCGAACATCGAAGAGCCAGACGACTATGGTATGACACCGTTGATGTTGGCGGTGTCCCAGGACAGTTTGGATTGCGTCAAAGTCCTAATTGAGCGAGGAGCTCAAATTTGGAGAACCGATAATGATGAGAGGACTGTGATCTATGTGGGCGCCAAGTACAATGCACTAAACTCTGTTGACGTAAGAATCTCAGAAATTTTTTTTTCAATTTTAAATTTCAGTATATTTTGTCCCATTTGCGAGAAGAAGACGCCTTGAGCAAATCGATTGCTTCCAGGAAGAGTTTGAGAAATATTGAATCAAATCAGGAAGTATTATTTAGTTTCAGCTCTTTTCTAATAAAAAAAACCAAACGATGATTGATTCCAGAGTGGAATGGTGAATCAGACGGATCGCGATCAAAATAGTCCCATGCATATTGTCGCCTCGAATGGATATCTCGAAATGATGCGGGTAAGCATTTTTCGTCGTTGAGTTGGCCACCAAACGTATAATTTCGAAACGAAATTGATTTTGCCCCCCGCCGGCACCGAAGCACACATATGATAATTATATGCTTTTTCGACGCTTCGAAATTGGCATTTTTCAGCTGCTCTATGCGCACGGAGCTGTGATTACATTGGTGAACGAAGACGAGGAGACGGCGTTGCACCGAGCCGCGCATTCGGGCCAGACTAGTGCAGGTTTTTGAGAATTTCGCTCGATGAGCTAGCGATTGATGGAATTCTAGTAAGGCAATTGATTGAATGGGACAAACGTTTGATTTTGATGAAGGACGAGATGGGCAACAGCGCGTTGCATCTTGCAGCAAAAATGGGTAATTTTTTTCCTCTCTGGTCTACCCCTCGATTTTCGTATTTTGTGAAACACGAGAAAAAAAACGTCCCGACAAGGTATGTTTTAGTCCAATGATTATGCGCACTAGTCGTAATCCAAGAGGGGATTAAAAATTCTTGTCATTCGCGCTCGCCGACAAAAACTCCTTTGAGAAGTTTATGATTCTCAAATGAATAAATCCGGAACACGAGTGAGTGAGTGCAACAAAAAAAAAGATTCACCACAATCCGATGCTTCGTCGAATTTCATTAGCGCACACTAATTAATATTCAGAGCTCCTCACGATGACATGTAACCTTGCTTTCCCTTCTTTAATTCATTCATTCCCGCCTCGGCATCTTTTCATAAAAGAACCACCCCCCCCCCTCTTTGCCCTAAAGGTCCGTTGCTTCTCTGAATCTCCGCCCCGTATTTGGGTGGATGCTCGTGCTCAGGGGGGTAGCTCGACGTGTCGTAAATCCGCAAAATAATGAGAAGGCTTGTGTGCCGGATCGGCCGGCCATTCATCGCATCCAATTAAAAATCGCCGAATAAAAGAAACTCGAAAACAAACGATTTGAAACGCGATTTTTCGACATTATGATAAATAAACAAAAACAGCAAAATTTTTTGCGGTGCTATTTGATCGCTGAAAACGTTAGTCAACGTTGAATAATCGGTTCAATGAGAATGAACGCACTTGAAATAATTTCTCAAGCCACGCGAAAATAAGCGATGAGTTATTCGAATTAAATGAGAATGATATTTGGTTAAAATCAACTAGATCAACTCTGCAGAATTTTTGCACAACAATAGAAAACAATTAAAAATGAATCATGTCATCCGTTGTGTACATCAAAGAATTGTTGGAAGAAATCTAGATAATGCTGACAAATTTTAGGCTTCTCGTGAGCAAAACACCAGTCTTGATTAACTTTGTCTTGTTTCCAGGGAAAAAATTAGTCATATTCAATTCGCAATAGTTTTTTTTTCCATTATGAAAATTAGATTTGTTAATATCTGACGCAGATCATCGCCTATTCAGGGTTCCTTTGTTTCTATAGAAGCCTGCACTTTAAACATTTCTACGTTGTCTAGAGTGGATTACTTAGGCTTACTTACTGAAATTAGAAGAAATCGAGTTGTTTTGGATTATGTTGTGAGCCAAAATTATGTAGTTTTATTTAATATTTCATAGGGTTATTCAATTTGCACGTAACACCGGCTCATGGAATTATATGAGTAATACCCCCCCCCCTTCTTTTTTTTTGAGAAGAATTTTAATTCAACTTACTGTTTTGAAAGAATTCTCAATTCACTTTGATGAGATGAAAATTGAAAACAATAGGCACCGAAACCACTTGGCATTCACCGCGTGCCTTAGTCGGATCGATGAGATTTCCACTAAAGTCACTCAGGTGAAAGCCAAGCGACCGGAGAACGCGAGAGTAGGTCGTTTTGTTTTTTGTTTCTAAGTAGGCAGCCATCGAATAATAAGCAGAATAATATAAATGAAGAGCTTGAGAGCACGGTCGGTTGAGACTGAGAACCGGCGGGGGCACAATCCGACGGCCGTCGAATAAGTGGGCGGGGTCGGGAGGCGTGGCGACGCGAGGAGCAGGTGGCGCTCGCGCACGCTCACGCCCCTGTGTTTCTGTCTCGACCTCAAAATTAAGAGAGGATTAGGCGCTGGCTGCACAGGTGCTGCCATGTTCGACTAGCGAGATATTGGCGCTGTTCGAGCTCTGGTAAAGGAGATGTGCAGCCGCCGCCCGAGGGCAGCATGAAGACGTCGATATGAGCTACTGCTTGCTGCTTGCTGCCAGCTCTGCGCGGAGCGGCGCGGCTAATCGATTTCGAGAGCATTCTCCATGCCGGGGGGAAGGGGGGCTCCGTTGTGGTTGTCGTCGTCTTATCTGTGGCCTTGCTTGCTCGCGTGCTCTTTTTTCGCCCCCCCCCCCTCCCCAAAACGCGAATAGACGACGTCGTCTGCCACTCCTACAACTTGTTATTGACGCCCAATGATTATATATGGTGATCAAATATGCCTACAAATTTCGATGAGTGTTGAAAAGAAAAGAGCCCAACACATACAGATGAAACAAGCGTTGGAAAGGGAGAAATACATATGAAGAGCAGAATTCAACAACAGAATAACTTTGACACCAAGAATACGAAAGTGAACACACTAAAACTTGAAACCTCTCGTTTTCTTTTCTATGGAATATTAAATTGTGACTGGAATTCGAATGGCCGTGGCCTTGAAAAAATAATGGCGATATTTCACAATTTAAAATCTTCTTTTTTTTCCTGAGGAACCGTCTAAAAAATCTAGGAAGCTTATCCATTATATAAATTTTTTTCGTTTGCTATCCATATCCGATCCATTAGTGCATCACTGATTTGACGTCGTCATCGCATTTAACGCTAATGCTTCGTGTTCTTCCATTAAGCTGGCGAGCAACGTCAGCTTCGTAAAAATTGGAACAGAACAAATTTGGAATTTGATTTGCACTACGATCAAAAACTAAATTTGCTTAATTTAATGCGGCGATTGACAAAAGAGAGAACGAGAATTGAATTTGAATTTCCAGCAAACTCATATTTCTTCTGCGAAAAACCCATTTCTTCGATCAATGCGCACGGCAAATATTTTCATTAATAAGTGGATGCTTCCAAATAAGCAAATAAATAAATGATGCCATCTGGTTCTCTATGACGCTCATTTAATATCGCAGGTGCTTCCCATTTTGCACCATCCCACCTAATTAGGGTGGCGATTGAGATCTAAATCCAGTCGAGTCCAGTCGGAGCAAAGCGATCCCGGCCAATTATAGGTGACCCTTGCGTAATCCGCGCGTTTTTGCCTCAAATTTCCGGTTGAGCCGTCTACCGCAAGGCGCACGAAGCTCCAGACGCGCGGATCTCCTTGCCTTTTATGGCCGAACCAAATTAAATGCGTGCGCGCGCGAGCGTCCAACAGATGGGTGGAAAGAGAAGATAAATCGCGCGTGTCGACAGCATGTCGCTTTTTTGCATTTGCCCAAAAATGGGAATTGATGAAATGTGAACTTTGTGTCGGCATCGCAAGGTAATTAGAAAGCTGCATCTTTTTGTGCGTTTGCGTGTGATGGGAAAATTGAAGCGAACTTCAAAAACCATCCACAAACCTAGAGCATCATGAATTGTCCATGAAAAAAAAACAGTACATGCGGTAATTGGGTTTTCTATTGATCTTCGTCAATTTCTGTTGTTAGCGGCGAGGTCATTAATATTTTAACATGCGCTGTATTTTCTTGATGAAATGCAAATTTGGCACAAGTTGATATATATTTATGTATGTACAACAATTGGACGCGGGTCTGACCGTTGTCCCTTTTTCGGGTGCGCAATCGGCAGCGGACGGTTGAGGGGGGTCCGACCGGACTAGACCATCTGTCGAGTGAACCCATCTGTCCTCTCCTGCCAACCACCGTCACCTACTATTATCCGTTGCGGGGCGGCCGTTCCTACTCGACGACGACGTCAGAAAAACCGCGAAAGAGTGCGGAAAAAAACGAGTGTCATTGTGTCCTTTTTTGCATTCTGAGAATCACTAAGTAAGCCTCTTCAGATTTGACCTTCAAAGAAATGCCATAAAACGATAATAGTTGGGTCCGAACACATGAAATGTTCAATCATAAAATGTTGATATTTGATTTTGATAGTGCACTGAAAATCGCCAATGGTCTATTAAATATAGTTGATGTAAAAAAAAGGTTTAGGTCATGATATCACTACTCGAGTTCTTTTGGAAGCTGGAGCAGATCGAGAAGCTCGCAACTCCTACCAAGAGACTCCGTTAATAGTAGCTGTCGAAGCAGGAAGGCTCGAAACTACGCAGCAATTGATTTCGAAAGGAGCATTAGTGGAAAATCCTAGTGATTCTAGGTTCGATAGAAAATTAAAAGACGATGGGTCGATGACCAATTTAGGACTGTTCTTCATGTAGCTGCTGAGCGTGGATTTGATAACATTGCAAGGTTTCTAATTCAAGTCGGTGTCACGTTGGATCGAAGAGACGATCGCGGAAGAACTGCTTTGGACGTCGCTTGTGAACACAACAAAAAGTTTTATTTTTGTTGAAAATTGAAAATGCATGTTCTGTTTAAAATAGGGAAGTCGCTCGAGCGCTGGTTGACACTGATGATTGGAAATTGTTGATGGTCCCAAACGACGTGATTCCGGCGGGTAATCGCGACAAACAGGGAAATCGTGTCGAGACACGAAAACGCGATACGCCATTTCGTAGACTATTGGCGAAATTTCCCGAGCTGGCCGCAATTGTCATGGATAAGTGTGTCGAGTAAGAATTGCTCGATCCACAATGTATGGATTGAATTTTATTTTTAGAAGAAGTAAGCCGGATGACGATGAGACATTGTGCATTGCTTATAATTTTGAATACATTGACGATACATATATGATGCTAAACGAGGATAAAACTGGTTTTGATCATTTTTTGGTATTTTTCATCTGATTTCTTGTCCAGAATACGTTGGAAATATTTCGCCGTATGATGACGAATTCAAACTCAAAAAAGATGCCGATGAGTATGCGAAAAATTATGATGAGGTGTTCAAGAATCATCCGCTCAAAATGATGGTGCTAATTTACTGCAAAAAACGAATAGGTGTAATTGGTTTAATTCAAGGCTAACGCCGAAAAACTCTCGTTGCTCTCACATCCGCTCTCTTTGGCACTTCTCAAACACAAGTGGAACAAACTCGGACGATGGGTTTACTATTTCGGTACTAATTCGGCCAATTAGCGTTCGTCTCCGCTAATCTTGCCAATTTTTTTGTTGCAGGACTCTCGTTCTATTGCGTATTCATCATAAGTCTTACGCAATTCGTGCGACATACAAGGGCCCCCTATAATGTGAAACTTCCCGGTATGTAAGTGGTTGTTAGGCAATGGAACGCGAAGACATTACAACTAAAAAATGACTATTTTAAAAAATAATTTTTAGACGATGATAATTACTACAATAGTGCCTACTTCGATGATAATGAATCTTGTCCGGCTATTCAACTTGAAACACCCAACCCTTTTTGGAAAACTCTTATTTTCCTTTTTGCTAGTACTCAATTGCTGAAAGAAGTTCGCAAAAATTGATTATTGTCATTCATTACGATTTTAATTCAGATTTTCCAACTATACCAAAGAAAATTGTCATATTTATACAATTGGGAGAATTGGGTGGAATGTTTCATTTACTCGACGGCTATTTTGATTGTGATCGATTTTACGGAATGCTCGAAGACGTCTGGAGTCCGACAGAATTGGCAATGGCTTTTGGCCGCTTTGTGCATTTGGATCGGATGGATCAATCTTCTATTCATGATCAGAAAAATGCCCAAGTAAGAGGTTTTAAGGGAACGATTTCTGAAAACTGGCAAAATTTTCAGATTTGGTATTTATGTTGTCATGTTTGTCGACATTGTTAAAACATTCTTTCGATTTTTTCCGGTTTTTGTTCTCTTCATTATCGCGTTTTCTACAAGTTTTTATGTAATTTTACAAAATCGGGTGAATAATTTCTTTAAAAGTCAATTTTTTCAACAATTTTCAAACTTTTAGCCAGAATTCTCAACGATTTTCCTAGCGCCTCTTAAAACGACAGTTATGATGATCGGAGAGTTCGAGTTTACTGGAATTTTCTTCGGCGACAATTCACTGCATGAAGAGAAAATGTTCGGAACCGCGCATGCCACTGTAGCTTATGTTATATTCTTCTTCTTCAGTATTATTATGACTATTTTGTTGATGAATTTACTGGTTTGGTCATTTGATCGGCCAGATAATTCTCTATTAGAACGGTTTAGGTCGGTCTTGCCGTTGATGACATTAAAGGAGTTCAGGAAAAGGCCGAGCTCAAACGGCTCGCAATGCAAGTTGATCTTTGCCTTCAAATTGAAGCCAGTGCATATCTTCTGAGAAGGCGTCGAAGATACGCAACCTCACGATACGGATCGTATCCGTACGGAAAACTGAATCAAGGCAGCTGGGCTGCATGTTGGTCGCAATTCCGAAAGAGGTTTGGACTCAACAAAACCGAGGAGGCCGAGATGGACGCACTCTATGAATACGAATCAGTAGGAATCGTTGTGTTCAGTAAAGCTTTGGAAATCATTATATTTAGGAGATCACTTCGGAATTACGGACGAATCTCCAATTGCAGAGGAATCAGCTACAAACACTTCAGGAGAATGTTGATGTGATGTATGAGAAGCAGGTGCGGCTTGAATCACTTCTACGCGCAATTGCTAAAGGACTGAAAATAGATGTTGAAATAGAGGAAAAAGATTCTTAATATTATCGATATTGGTTTAGAATTGTCGAATTCCTACTTAATTTATTGTCATACTTCGTTCTTGTTTCATTTTTTCTTGATCCCCCCCAATTATCTTTCTTTTTGCGTTTACGTAATAAGCATACATCATAAACGGTTATATTTAAATGGTCTGTATAAAGAGAGAGAGAGAGAGACATATAAGGGGATATATATGTGAATTGGTTGAATGATGAGTTGCAATTCAATCGTCGTCGGCCCGTCGCCGGTCGCAATCGTCAGCGCTTCAAGAACACTTTTGTAATCGACTGTACTTGAAAAGAAAAACCGCGAAACCCCACCCCACTAATATACGATTTCCAAACAAAAAAGTCAAGCACCACCATATTCGAATATTTTTGAGTGATGCTATCAACCGGATTCGTTATTTTATTACTCTACAATGCAGGTTTTAATTAATTTCTATTAAATAATTTATATAATTATTAAAGCTTTATGCGCTATTAATGAGGAGCTGTCCCCTTTTGGGGAATGCTTTGAAGGCTTTTATCCGACTTTTATTCGATACCTGGGAACCAGAACCATAGATGGACCAGCATTTGAAGCAAAGGTAGCTTCCTTTTCCACACAGCTTCGTTATCAATTCAGATTGACATGGTGACATGTTCGGCTCATTGCCGATCTAATTTCGATCCATCGTCCGAACAATCTTTTCCTTGTGGAGGCTTCAATTTCCGAGCTGGGCGAAGCCCAAAGTGCGAGTTTTTCCCAGCAACCGGTGCCAACGTATTAATGAATCAGTGGACCATTGAAAATATTAAGTAGAATTTCAGAGAAATATGACAAAATCTCTGAAAATTGAGGAAATGCCCACATTTTATTATCAAAAAGTGTGCCTAAGGTAGTGATTTTTTGAATGGAAACGAAGAATCATCTAGAAATCTCAAGGGTTGCAAAACGATGTGAAGAGTCGGCATACATGTTTGATGTCAAAAAGGGATATCGACTTGAGGAAAATCCATTGAAGATTATTAACGTTACATCGGAGAGGGAGTGTATGGAGCAATGCATTGCAGATCAATGCGCTTCTTTTGGATATCATCAAGACGCGAAGTTGCCTAATGAAATAATAAATTTGAATTTTTTATAAAGTTTAGACGCTGCTCATTTTACAATACAACTCGCCGATTGAGTTCAGTTCTTAAAGACGGCAAAATGGATTATTATGAGAATAATTGCCTTCATCGTAATTAATAATCCAATAGAACTTTTAACCCATAATTTTCAGCTTCTTCTCGTTGTCCAAACAGTCGAATCGAGTTTTTTGTGACAAGAAAGTCGGATGTCCCCTCTTTCGGATTATCGTTAGGTGTTAAAAGTGTCCGCAGCTGTATGCAAGCATGTATAAATGCTGGTCAATTTTTCTGCAGGAGTATTCAGGTTGATTCGGTTTTATGTACTATTTGGAATCTTGGATTTTTTTTTTTTAGTTTGATCCCACTTCTAACGAATGCTTTGTTTCTGACGAGTCTTCGGATATGGCGGTGCCGTCAAACTCTCTAGATATCTATGAACCTTATTGTGTGAAAGCTTTATCGGAAAGCACATGCAATAGGCCGTATTCATTTGAGAAATCGATTACTTCAAAATTATCAAAAATATCCAAAGTCAAAGATTTTAAAGGTATACAGGGATTATAATATATGAAAATGCATGGTTTTGATTTTAGGAATATCTTCGGAAAAATGTTTAGAGGAATGTTTGTCCAATACCGAGTGCAATTCGGTGAATTATAACGTCGTCAGTAGAATTTGCGAACTCATTTCAACCAAGAAGAACGACGGATCATTAAGTTTGAAACAAAATAATTTTTTTTAAGTTTTTAATTCAATTTTATAGTTAGCGATGAAAATTATGATTTCTATGAGCTTACATGCCCACATCTTTCTAAATTAACGGCATCTTCATCAATGACGACAAACGTTCTCACGACGTCTTCAAATCCTAATTATCGAATAATTTTGAGAAATAGAGAGTTGGGTGAGAAATTTAGAGAAGAAAGCTATCTAAAAGTGAATAATATACTGGAATGCTGGTAAGCTCATAATAAAATATTTGATTCACTTTATTTTACAGGGAGGTCTGCGAGAGTTCCACAATTCCGTGTAAAGTGTTTTCCTTCTCATCCTCGCTTAACCAATGTGTTCTATCAAATCTTCAAGACCCTTCTGTAGACTTGAAAAATTACACAAGTCCCTCTAACGTTTTTGACATATACGGATTGATCGAAGCTTCTTCGTCGCAGTCCATAGCCACTCAGAAATCGACCACGACTCTATCAACAACATTAGCTGTAGAAAATGTCACTAATTTTGATGACCTGAATGATATTTTCGCGTTCAACGAAGATTTCATGTCGAATACTTTTAATCCTTCCCCTTCCACGACTACTGCATCAACGGCACCAACAACTACAACTAAAAATAGTAAAGCTTCACTTGTATCTAAAATAATTAATTAATTCTAGGAGCGCGGGTTCACGCGTTGCCAAATGCGGAAACTACAAACTCTGAATCGATTAGCTCTGCCCTACTCCCTATCGATCCAGAATTAATCGGGCTTGAGGATACTTCTCCTATACAGCTTCCAATTTCTTCAGGAATCGCTTATGTTGATCCAAAGTATGTTGCGGTAACTGCTGAATGCCAGCCGCAAGGGATCAACATAACTTTTGATATTTTGGACAATGTCCTGGTGGGAATATATTTCCTCTCTTCAAACGACTTCAACATTTAGAAATATACTGGAGTTGTTTACGCTTCAGAGCGATTTGACCAATGCCGAGTGTTTGTGAAAAACTCCTCATCGTTTTCGATGTTCGTTCCGCGACCCAAACATAACTCTTGGTGTAATGCCGTTGAAATTGTGAGCATTCTCTCCGGAAATCCGCTAATTTAATCCTTTTAGGGTGATGAGATGTCATCAATCGTAATAATGTCAAATGATCGGATTATTCCTCATGATGTTACAACGAAAGATGATCTTTTCTATCAGATTTCATGCAAATATGATAATGAAACCGAAGTGCATAAGGGGATTGTCGTAGGGTAATTGATATTTTCATTCATTTTATTTAAAATTCTGGATTAAGAGGCCCATCGCCCGTAATGGTACAAAGCGATAAAATCGAGGAAAAGATATCGCTGGAAATTTCGAAAAATGGAAAAATTGTTGAAAGCGTTTACGTTGGAGAATCGCTCATGGCAACCGTAAAATCGAATATGTCAGGTTTTACAGCGTTATCATTCTAATCAAGCTTTAACCATTTGTTTGAAGCCGAAGGTTTTCGGGTTGTGGATTGTACAGCGCATAGAGTCGGAGGGTCTGGCCCACCTGCCAGCGTTAATTTGATTGCTGATGGGTAACGAGTTTTATATTTGAAGATTTATTATAATTAATTACAAGATGTGCTCTTCTACCATCCATTATGTCACCCATGAGAATCACGCCAAATGGCTGGCAGTCGTCACTTTCTGCTTTTCGAATAGACGGATCTGAACAAATTGATATTGCTTGTATCTTGACCGTGTGTCAAGGAAAGTGTCCAGAGGCAAGATATAGAAAAGTATCTTTTCCATTACCCGTTTTCAGCTTTCTTGTCCAAGTCGTCTCGCTCGCTCAATTCCTGGTGATGAGCATTCGATAAGAGTTGATCGAAGGTTGCTCGTTATGGCAGATCGCAACAACACCACTACTGGTACCGTGTTCCGACGTACTACTATCATTTTTTGTCGGAGTCACATATTAAAATTATTGCTTTTAGAAGTTTGCATTGAGCCAGTTTTCTACCTTCCGGCAATCGGTCTATTTTTCGGAAGCCTTGTGTCTATTGTTATCTCAATTTTCTTGACTATTCGGAGATCACGAAGGCGAGCGGAACGTGTGGAACAGTTATTGTGGGTCGGAATCTAACTCTTTAATTGTCTACCTCATTGTTCAGAAACACCCCGCTTCCTCAGGATGAAGGCCCAAAGTATGTGAAAACAGTATCATTATAAATTCTTAATCTGTAACCATATTGTTAATTGCCATACACGAACCAAGTAAATAAACGTATTTTTAACGCAAGTGAGTGATGTATATAAACCGTGCGATCGCATTGCAAACCCTCGTGTCGTGCCAGCATTCGGCTGGCCCCGCCCCTTTTTTCCATATTTTTTCTCCGTTCTTCTTTCCATCCTGTTTCCAGTCATTTTCTAAGCGATATAATAATTTCACTAATGTAAAATGGTTGTAATTAGTTTGGGAGTTTTATTTAAAGGATTCAACGCATCGTAAGTTCAGAAAAGCCTAATATTGTTTGTGATTTTTTTTTTCAGAAAATTTATTTTATATTCATGCATTTTAATCTCAATCCTATTATTTTCTCTGAAACTGGATGGTTTTGTTAGCTATAGGTAAAGAAAATGTAAATTTTCGTAAAAAAAAACGTTAAACTTGCAGCTACGCCTACGTGTTCCTTCCGCTTTGGCTTTGTAATGCATTGGTTTTCTTAGGCGCCATAATTGGAGCATGCTCATTTTGTGCAAGACCACCCTCCAGGTACACAATATAAGTTAGAATATTATTAATTCACACTTTTCCAGAAATGAGATAATGCTGCGTGTCGATTTTTCAGCAATGCTATTAACAGCATTGGAGCACGTTTTTCTTTGCGCATTCATTACTTTAGTATTTGTGAAGGTAGGAAATTTATATCGAGGTTTTAAATTCATAATTGGTTATTTAGCTTGAGTTCGAAACATCTTTTGAGTCAGGATTCCAACTCCCATGGACTATTGTATTTTGTCCTTTATTTTCTCTCTCAATAATGTCAATTGGAATTGCTGTCTGGTCTTTGCGTCACGACAAGCCATTTGAGGTAATCATGAACAGTTTGAGTTTTCGAATATTAATATTCGAGCAATTCCATTCCCTATCCTGTCCTAATTTTTTTTAAATTTATTTTTGTTGCAGTTCGAGTTTTTCTATGCCATAAACATCGTCGAACTTGTATTTGTCGCATTCAAACTAGATAAGCAGGTAAATTTAATAATAATTTTATAAATATATTCTCAAAATTCAGATTGATTGGTCGTGGGCTGTCGTTTTCATACCATTATGGGTTCTTCTATCTCTTTCGACAGTTGGTGTTGTCTATGCACTTGTTTTATCGATTGTTTTGGTTCGATCACGACATTTTATGCCAGCACATCGCCGCCAACACGTTTACTCTGCTATTCTTCATACATTTTTGGTGAGTTATAGTGAGAGCTTTTTAAGGGTATTATAATTTTAGGTTATACCTACATTGCTATCTTTAATATTGCTAACGGCCAAATTCGACACCGTGCAGAATCCAGAGAGGGAGCCGGAAATTGGATATGTGGTTAGAATCATCCCTCCATTTTCTCTGTTTCTAATGAAAATAGTTCAGATGGTTTTCTCCCCACTTATGGTCTCCATGTTTTTCATGATATTAATGGCGATTGGAGTTGGAGGACCACCACCATCCGGTTAGCTTAACTTATGATTACTGGCATTCTTTATAATATTTATAGGAAACTCTTCAACCAATGTTTGGTGGTTTGGAGTCCGACAGCCACTTTGTCCATTTTTGTTCGAAAAAATTCCAGCTCTTCGAACATACGCAAATGTTAGTTATCGATTAGGCGGCAGATCGCGAGCTCAACCTCAGGTTTTTGAAATAATGTTCAAAACGCAATTATTTGATAATTTAGGAAAATCAGGGCGAAGAGAGGCAAGCTGTTCTTGAAGCAAGTAACCAGGAAATCGAGGAAATTGATTCGGGAGGCAGGAGCCGCCGGAGGCAAGAAGAAAAGACGAAACGGTCTTCTGCTCAAAATAACGGTCAGCAAGGTACGGCAAGTGGACAAGGCGCGGATCAAAGTGAGAAATAATTATTGTAGTAGCACATTTGCATGCGCCTATAAAATTGATTTTGAAACCATTTAAAATTATTTTAAAGATATCTTGGAGCATGGCGCAAATTCTGCAGCAATTCGTCAAGCTATGAATCAGTATCGATCCGAATACGGAATGCTTTGGTCAGGAGATATTGCGGACCCTGATTAATTAACTATCTTGCATATTTTTGATATTTGTTCATATCTTTTTGAGCTTGCCATATTTCGAAATTAGATTTACGTGTAGCGAAATTCTTGTATTCACGATTTTTGTACATATAATTGTTAACAAACTGCTTTAATCCATGACATGCATATATGTGATCTCTAATTGAAATAAATTGTGCGCATAATATCGGAAGATTTTCTAAATAAATGTCGTGGACAATTGAAATACTTTTCTATATATTTTTTAAATTGTACATATAAACATTTTGAGGGCTTCTCGGATGGTAAATTGGTAGATGCGTAGCTTTTACGATATTATTGAAGTCGATGAGAAATCGCCGATAGAAGTGGTCAAAAAAGCATACTTCGATTATCTGAGAAAAGTTTATTTTTGAAAAAATCCATGAATGTGATTGACGAAAATCTTTAAAGGTTCATCCAGATAAAGCTGAAATAGTCGTAGGGAATAACGCGGAATTATTGAAAACGATAACTGGGATTTGGAATAAAGTCAAGGTTAAAAAAGTAAATGAACTACGATAATCAAAAAGGATTTAGAACAGCTCAACCCGAGAGGAATACGATTGCTGGATTCGCGAGCAGCGCCTACGTGAAACCAAAGGAACTATTGCCGAACAAATAGAGATTGACGAAGTAGATTGAATTAATATTCTATTACGTTTGAATATTTTCAAATTAGGGTGAAGACGATATAGAAGAGTTTTGTCGCTGTGGTGATATCTACGAAGTTTCCCCAGAACAAATTCATCAGATATTGGACGTTGGAATATTTGAGTGCAGGTCTTGCTCGTTGTGTTTAGAAGTCGTTAAGAATGTCGCTCGACGAGACTAGCACGAAAATTCTTGTTCTTGGCGACAGTTGTGTTGGAAAAACGTCGTTGTGTAATTGCATTGCTGGAGAGTAAGTTGTTTTTATTTCGAAAAGAAATGTAGTAAGTTTTAATTTTAGACCCGGAAAAGTAACGTCTTCCACAATTGGAGCATCGGTTATAATGGCATGGCATGAATACCGAGCCGGTTTTAAACGGTTTTTTTTTCAAAATTGAGTCGATTTAATTTAAGGAACCCCAGAGCAGCGAACTGAACTTTTAGAACTATGGGACATTGGTGGTATGGTAGCGCATAAGCAAGTACAGAGATATTAGGAAATTCTGCTTTTGAAAACGCTTTTTTATAGATTTCTCAAGTGTTTTTTGAGGGCGCAGTTGGCGCTATTTTGGTTCACGACCTTACGAATAAGAGGAGTGAAGAGGTGCAAACACGCATAAATAATAACCTAAATTGTTATGTTTTAGAATCTTTCTTCTTGGTTGACAATGCTTGATGGAAAACCTCGTAACTCTGTGAAAAACTCAAAAGATCCCGCGGCAGTTGCACTTCGCGTAGATATTGAAAGTTGTCACATTCCTGTGCTAATTGTGGGAACGAAATCAGATTTGGTACCTCATAAGGGTCCTATTAGTTATGATAGGTAATAAGCATATAATTTTCACTAAAATAAAGAAAGTCCTATTTTATTTTAGGCTTCATATTGACTCCACCAAGCCAATAATTAAAGGATCGACAAATAGTATAACTCTGTCAAGGTAATTGATTTTATATCAAGTTAAAATCTGAAGCGAATTTCTATAGATTTTTCGACTCTTGCCTTGATCGAACACGTCGAACATCCTTGCAAGGGCATTCATATGGGCGCCCTCGTCGAGCTGGCGGCGTGACACCGATTGGTGTAGTCTCGAATCGGACAACAAGTCCTTTCACCACCATTTCTATTGGTTAATTATGTAAGAGCATTAGCCTACAGTCGCCGACATTGTGCGTAAACATTATCCCTTATCGATATTTAATAAAGTATATTATTGCAGATCTGGGCGATATAAAACGGAGACGACGCTTCCTCCAGACGGATTTTTCCGACGCCGGCACGATATTCCCTTACTTTATTTCTTTGAATGAATATTAGTTTTTATTCACGTTAAAAAAACCAAGGCTGGACTTAAGTCCACAGAAGTAGTTATCGTCTGCCTCGCACGAACCAGCAACCAAGGAATATAAATAGAATTGATGTCGCACTATCGCGGGCGCACCAGACAATCATTTTGGTGGGCAACTACAACAAAATAAAGCGAAGGCGTGCTGGTCATTGAAAATCAATTTTTAACGAGTTCTCAGTGTAGTCATCACCGGGAACCTTATCCTCAAATGAAAGTAAAATCTCAAGGTAGAGAGTGAACATGATTATATACTATATGACTTCCGTCTGGACGTGTTTTTCTGTCTGGTTTAGAGTATAGTATATGATTGCATTTTGATTAATTTCGAGCAATTACAAAGTATCTGAATTTTCTGGAATATTTCCGCGGAAATAGACTGATTTAGGATAATAGGAAATTCTGAAGCTCAGGCTGATACGTATGAAGTATAGAAGAATTCAGAAAAATTCTTGATACACGAACCAAAATTCAAAAAATTTTGAATTCATCTATCAAAATCAGATCCCATTTCAGGGTTCATTGTTTTAGAAGAATTGAACTCAAAAAATCTACAAGAATCCAATTAATTCGAAAAGCTGATAACGATTTCCATTATTGGAATTGCTAGATTTGGTGTAATAACTGCATCTTTTCCATAGATTAATTCGTCATTCAAATGATTCATTCCATTCGCAAGCCAACACTGCCCCAACTGTTTGTTTCATGAGGGAAATGCGCTCTATCTACAATCCAACGTGGCCCGGGAAAGCGCGTCACCGTCTGAGACCAGAGAGTGTGCTGACATAAGAGAACTTGGCGTCATTTTGCAGTTCGCTTCGGCAAATGCGCTCAATTGCACATTTCGCACCGACGCCAGTGGCACTATAAAAGGCCGGCGAGATGTCGAATTTGGTCATTCTCGCAGCTCTCCGACTTGCGAGCGGCCCACTTCTCCTGCGGGCTCGCTGCGGCCGCGGATCCACTCGGTATGCCGCATTCTTGGCAGTCGTTTTCGGAATTCCCTTCGTATTGCAGATCCGATTCGAGCCGCAGTCGATACTCCATTGACTCCTTTTGATCGGAAATGCTCAAGGTGTGAGGGATTCTCGACTCGACCGGTTCCGTTAGTCGGCGCTGACCCTTCAATGGGCGTTCTGCAGTGCTGGTTCGAGGACGACGATAAACCTACACCGAGACATGGAGGTGACGAAGGAAAGATGGAGCAGAGACGAAAGGTCGATGCTTCCGGGGCGTCGAGCAGAGCGACGAAGTGGATTTGAATGGTAAAGAAGGAGAAACAATCTATCAGAAAAACTCGAATCATTGTAGAGATCTTCCATGAATATGGCGAACCGGAGAAGAAATGGCGGAAAAGCTACGAAGAAGGGAATCAACGAGGAAGGGAATCTTCACTTGCACCAGTCGTACCACTTACGACTGCCCCCCTCCCCCAATCTCTATCAGTCGACTGATTCCCCCTCCCCGTGCCGTACCACTCGCGGCTTCACCCTTTTTCCCTTCTATCCGTACATTCGTACCACTTACGTCTGTACTTCCTTCCTCCGGTCCTACCATTTGGGACCACCTCTTCTTTTTTCGGGGAATGCCGGCTTCCCCATCCTTCTTCCAGCCATACCACTTATGGCTTTCACTTCCACCATTCCCTCTTGCCGTACCACTTGCGGCTTCTTCCTCCAAATCCCACCACTTGGGATCCATTCTTCTTTATTTTTTTCCGGGGAATGTCGTACCACTTACGGCTATGCCGGTCGTTCCACTAATGACCGGCGTCCCCTTTCCTTTCTCTAACTTTTATATTTTATTATTTTTATTCTTATTATTTTTGTGTGGGAGTGCTTGTGTGCGAGTGCTTTTTATTTTTTTTTTAATTTGTGTGTGCGTGTGTATGTTTAGGTATCGTCGTTGCTGCGGTCGCCGATGGATGGAAGGACCAGAAGAAAGGATCCCGACGATGAATCGACTCGCAACAACACTAAGGTATTCCCCATAACTAAGCATAAGTTTCTAAGTTCTTCTAGCCTATCTTTCATTCTGTCGTAGTCGGCCATCCATAGCCGTAGTCGGCTATTCCCCTAAAACGCCAAGGCATCCCTTCCTCCCCACCTAACTTTCCCCTAGTGCCGAGGCGTTGGCTGGGTGAGGCGGCTTATCCGCCGATCCCTAAACTCGGATGGTTGGTTTGGCAAGCCAATCAGTCCTGATTCCGTAGCCGGGAATCGAAGCCCATCCAAAGCCTGTTTCGAGTCCCATACTTGGAATCTGCTACCCTGATTCAAGTATTCGTACTTGGGAACTGCTATTGGCCTCATGGATGGTTATGCTTTTTTTCGCATCATCCGGAAGTCATCCATGCTATTAGGATGACTTCTGGTCCCAGACAAAGCGTTGGCTGGGTGAGGCGGCTTATCCGCCGATCCCTAAACTCGGATGGTTGGTCTGGCAAGCCAATCAGTCCTGATTCCGTAGCCGGGAATCGAAGCCCATCCAAAGCCTGTTTCGAGTCCCATACTTGGAATCTGCTACCCTGATTCAAGTATTCGTACTTGGGAACTGCTATTGGCCTCATGGATGGTTATGCTTTTTTTCGCATCATCCGGAAGTCATCCATGCTATTAGGATGACTTCTGGTCCCAGACAAAGCGTTGGCTGGGTGAGGCGGCTTATCCGCCGATCCCTAAACTCGGATGGTTGGTCTGGCAAGCCAATCAGTCCTGATTCCGTAGCCGGGAATCGAAGCCCATCCAAAGCCTGTTTCGAGTCCCATACTTGGAATCTGCTACCCTGATTCAAGTATTCGTACTTGGGAACTGCTATTGGCCTCATGGATGGTTATGCTTTTTTTCGCATCATCCGGAAGTCATCCATGCTATTAGGATGACTTCTGGTCCCAGACAAAGCGTTGGCTGGGTGAGGCGGCTTATCCGCCGATCCCTAAACTCGGATGGTTGGTCTGGCAAGCCAATCAGTCCTGATTCCGTAGCCGGGAATCGAAGCCCATCCAAAGCCTGTTTCGAGTCCCATACTTGGAATCTGCTACCCTGATTCAAGTATTCGTACTTGGGAACTGCTATTGGCCTCATGGATGGTTATGCTTTTTTCGCATCATCCGGAAGTCATCCATGCTATTAGGATGACTTCTGGTCCCAGACAAAGCGTTGGCTGGGTGAGGCGGCTTATCCGCCGATCCCTAAACTCGGATGGTTGGTCTGGCAAGCCAATCAGTCCTGATTCCGTAGCCGGGAATCGAAGCCCATCCAAAGCCTGTTTCGAGTCCCATACTTGGAATCTGCTACCCTGATTCAAGTATTCGTACTTGGGAACTGCTATTGGCCTCATGGATGGTTATGCTTTTTTTCGCATTATCCGGTTTTTATCCATGCTACTAGGATGACTACTGGTACCAGACCTATGTGCATCATAGCGTGCTACTTAGCTATGATGACGAAGACGACGACGCCAACATATCACCAGCAGACCCGGGGCCCAGCCAGACGTGGCTTGCACAACCACTTCTACTTCTATTATCCTCGGATGATAGTTGTGGGATGTCCTTGTGTGATCCCCAAGGTGGGATCGGCGATGACCCACATCAGGTTTCGGCCTGATGCTGGTGAGCCTCTTCTTCATGTACCGAGCCTCTACGTGGCGAAGAAGATCAACTGACTCGGCTCTCCTTCATGGGAGTCGAGCCAGGCTAATCGGTACACTTGTCTCATGCAGGTCGAGGATCGTTTTCCTCAACCAGGCGGCTTCTTTACGACCTAGCAAGTCGCAAGAAGTATTCAGAGACAACTCAATACTTCGAACTCAAACGGCCCTCTTTAGGGCCATCGGTTATTTCTATTGTTTGTTTCATAAATATGATTTTTCCAATGTTCCGAAACTTTGAATACGAAAAAATTGCAAAAGATTCAACAGCGAGTCGAAAAGCTTATGCGATTTGACCCCGTCTCCCATTCGTCATTGAGAACGCGTCGACTTTCGAACGGCAGGTTAAATGTTTCGGTGAGATATTCTTAAAGTGTTTCAATACAATTAAATATCTAAATTTCAGCTCGCGAAGTTGAGGTTCCCTTCGTGCCATAAAGACACATTCCGCGACTCACCGTCCGATTCTGCGAGACATTGCCCGGTTCCATCACCATTCTCCGAATTCCAACGGCCCTATTAGGGACCAGAACGGCCAAACCGGCTTAGCAGCTAACGTAAGAATTTAATATTGCGAATCATTCGAATATGGAAATTATTTAATAACGTTAGTACATTCCATAAAATCATTTCTGAAAAAATAATGAATGTCGTACGGATTGGAATTATTGACGATGCCAATGAAATTGAACCTGTTCCTGTTGCAATCGCGTAAGAAACACATTTGCAAGAAAAGCACAAAAAGAATTAGCTCAAATCATACTGTCGAAAGCTTTATTGGAGAATTTGTTAGCGATGATCCAAAAGATTATGCACTAGTTTGCGGAAATGAAGTAGTTTGGCCTAATGAGCACTGGGAAAGTGCTGAAGTAAAAATAGACAATAAATGAGCTAAATATATTATTAATTTTCAAATAGGCTCTTCTAAAATTTGAGGACCACGAACTATTCATTTATCGAAAATGTAGTGAAAAATTCAAAAAGCTGGAAAAACTTGATAAGAACTACAAAGCATGCGTTGATTTGCTTCCACAATTTTTTGTTAAAACGTCGATGATCTTCATTAAAGTTGCATTGAATAATATACTAATTCGAGCAATGGTTGACACAGGTTATTAGATTATATTGGTTCTTCGATTTTTTATATTAACATATTTTAGGAGCTCAAGTCTCTTTGATATCGAAGAAAGTTGCTGAAAACTGTGAAATAGAAGATGAAATTGATACTAGATTTAAAGTTACAACAGCTGGAATTGGCGGGAATTCAGAAGCCATTGGAAAACTACTGAATGGTAAAACGTATAATTACAATTTGATATTGAGCCACATATTCCAGTGGACCTGGTCATTGAGGGAACTGCAATGCCAGTGGTTTTAACAGTAATGCCGAACGATAGCTTAGAATTAGATATGATTATGGGAATTGATATTCTTAAATGTTATCAGGGTATTATTGATCTACAAGTAGTTTCATACTAGGCATAAATTAATACAAATATTAATTAAGCGTAAAATTGTAAGTTTTGGAGGTGGGAAAGTGGTAACAGGATTTTCTGAAGAAAATACTCCCGATATGAATTTTGTTGTAAATAAATGATATTTTATTTTACTGGTTCTGGTATATTTTGTCTATATCCTGCAATCTTGGCCTACCAAAAAAAATCAAAGCCCCCGTTTTATGGATTAGTTCGAATAAAGCAAACAGTGAGATGAAATATGATACACTAAATCGAATAATTAATTTCTTTCCTATACTTCACCAGATTGTGCATGCTGCGTTCTATGGATAATGATTGTAAGTTTATTTAGTTTGCATTAAAGTTTATAATCATTACTTCAATTCAGAAACTTGATAAAGCGCAGCAAACTGAAAGAATTGAAAAGGAGGAATTTCCAAACAAAATTCTTTACAGGACTAAAGTTCCGGAAGTTTTAATGTGAGATTTATACAATAATTTGGAATTCTGATTCTGAATTTCCAGTAACCCTATAAGTCTTGATTCGATTGATACAAGTCATTATGAATCAGCTGATAAGGTTGCCAGGTATAAGTGCAATTGTCGGTACCTGTGGCTACGAGAGCTGCATGGAGTCACAGCATTCATGATGGTACTCAATAAATGTCGAGGGAAATGTTGCGTCTCATCTATATTTGGTTTTAGTCGAATTCTCTAAAGCACAAAATTTTCTGGGCCTTCGTTATAATTGCGTGGGCAAGCTACTCCATTTATAATACTCAAAATATAATACTCCAGACGACCACCCTTATTACAATATTACCGGTATTAATTTCTTTTCTCGATGTTCCTCTTATAACAAAAAACTTTAGGTGAAAAAACTGAAATTTCCAACATTGGTTTTCTGCCCACGAAATCCTGATTTTTTGCATTACTATGAAATATTGGAAGGTTGAGGCATTGATGACACGATTCGAGAATTTTTGGCCAATGTTCATTGACTCATACTTTTTGACTTGACTCATGATTTTTGACTCATAAAAATTGTATCATGATTTTTTATTCTTTGACTCATGATTTTTGACTAGTGATTTTTGACTAATTTTTTTTTGACTAACAATATTTGACTAATGATTTTCTGAATTTTTTTAGTTGAGATTCCTGCAGTTTTTTCAGTATTCAATTCTGTTTTTTTGGCCAATATTGATGGGTAAGAAGCTGAAGGGTGGGAGGAATTGGGAGAAATGTTAACACAGTTTTTATTCGATAACATATTTATTAAAAACTTTTAAAATTAATCAATCATTGAAATTTTCGATAGATCATTATACCGTTAAAACTTTATCAAAATGGTACTTCTAACAAAACAGCCTTCAAAAAACTTCTCAAAGTATAACAATGTCTTATTTTTTGAATATACCGTTTTTCCTGAATTTTGATGAGAAATCGAAAATTATGTCGTTTTAAAACAGGCCTGACCGTATAAGCTAAAATAATTTGCAAAATAAATTAATAAAAAATCACTTATCGCGTTATTCCATCCATTTCCCTCTTTTATTCACGCTCAATAATGAATGATATCGAATAAAAACTGTGTTTAGTTGTTTTCATTAAAATAACGGAGACTACTAAAAAATATCAAATCATACATATCATTTGGCCTACTACGGATATTCGTTTAATGTTACAGTCGATTCCTTCGGTGGATCCGCTTAGCTGGGATTACGCTTCTCATTGAAATCGATAAGCGATGAAATTCCAAAAAAAAACAATTTTTTAAGCTTACAGAAGTTAGAAGAACTTTTTTTCCTTTCAGTAATAATCTTTCCCCCATTCAGTAATAACATTTCTTCCAATTCCTCCCACCCTTTAGCTTCTTACCCATCAATATTGGCCAAAAAAACAGAATCGAATACTGAAAAAACTGCAGGAATCTCAACTAAAAAAATTCAGAAAATCATTAGTCAAAAATTGTTAGTCAAAAAAAAATTAGTCAAAAATCACTAGTCAAAAATCATGAGTCAAAGAATAAAAAATCATGATACAATTTTTATGAGTCAAAAATCATGAGTCAAGTCAAAAAGTATGAGTCAATGAACATTGGCCAATTTTTAAACATTTCAGATATGTATTCAAAACTGGGTTACATGGAAAATAGTACAAATTTTGATATTTTGAGATATGCCATAACAAGTTTTGGATTCGATGGGGCTCACATTGAGCGATTTAATTCTTCTTATTTGTACGATGCTCAATTCTTTATTAAATGTGCTCACCATTTTAGGAAAGAATTGGAACAGTTTTACGATAGATGGAAAGGAAATCGATCGCAATATGAAATGTTTGAGTTCGTTTATGAGAAGCATGGTTATAATTGTTCAGATGTAATCAATTTTAAATGTCCTCCGATCTCATTTTTTAGCTTGCAGCTTTTTCAAACTTGCTACGGCGGAAGTGTTCTTTACAATTGTTGCGATATTTTTGAGCCGACCTACGCCATGCTCCGTGGAAAGTAAAATTAAATATGTAGATGAAAGTATTGCGCAGTTTTCAGATGTTATCGTTTAATTGATTCATATTATCAAAACGATACTGATGAAGTTTCGAAGGTCTCGATATTTTTCAAAAATATAATAACACCTTTAATGGGAGACGGAAAAACGGTTGAAATAAATTTTTTTACATATTAAAAGACATTCTTTCAGCCTCAGTTGGTCCTTTATAATTCCGATTCGAACTATGAGATTGGCGTATATCCAAGATTATTCATCAATGCGCATGACTGGAATCGTCTCAGATTCACTCAAAAAGTTAACTGAAAAAAATCAGGTTTTGAAGATTGAAATATTTTCAGTCCCTAGTCCTACTGCCTCACAATGATCGTTGTTCCCACGACGATATTTATCAAGGCTAGAAATATTGAAATAAATTGACTGTAACTCTAAAAATTTAGGAAAGTTCACGTGTTTTGTTTATAAATGGCTCATTCAGCTTATAAATCAATACAATTGTACTGTTCCTTATTATAGATACAAGGTATTTTTTTTTTTCAAAATTTTCGAATTTCCGCAAATATTTTGTTTCAGTTACATTATCTCTATGGAATTCCGGTTTGCAACAACTCAGTTATCGTGAACAATTTTCAGAATATTAGTCTTACTCCGACATTGCAAGGCTATAAGGTATGCAAATTTATTTTTCTATTTAATAGAAACGTTACAGTGTTCGCCGGCATGCTCACGCATTGAGAACTCCATGCAAGTCATGTCTAGTATTGATTACGACCCGGATCCAACTTATATGTTCCGAATAGAAGCAAGCTTCACTTACCTGGAGGTTCGAAATTAATTTTCCTACATGCTGATTATTTTGCCACTTCCAGTACGAGCAATACAAAGAAGTGCAAAAAACGAGCACCCCTGGTTTTATCTCGGAACTTGGGGGTCAAACTGGCTTGTTCGTTGGTTGTTCGGTTATGACTATCGTTCAATTTTTCAATTCCCTTTGTGTTTTTTTGTATAAGAAGTATTTGCCTCCAGCCTTCTACCTAGTGTTCAATAATAAATTTCAGAATACGCGATGTTCTTTATCGTCAATACTACATGGTCAAATTTGGTTTGTATACTACTCATCCATCAGAACCAGTCGATAAATTTTATTCGAAATCTTCGTCCCTGGAACGTCAAGAGATTCAGAAAGCCAAGGCTAGTCGTCAGAGACAAATGCAACTAGACGGAATGCTTTTTGATGAAGATCCAGGTGAAACAATCGAATTCGAAGATGTTGCTGTAAGCACCAGTAGTGTTGGTAGCGAGATAGAGAGAATTTATGAAGATGAATTCGAAGAAATCCCATTAAGCAACAGCGAAGAGCTCGAGGAGATTCTTCCAAGTACAGAAGGATCCAGTGAACAGCATTCTGCGTGTGTCGCCGAATCACCGGAAGAAATTAAGATTGCGAAATTTGTGTGGAATCGATAGCCATTTTTATTTGATTAAACCCGTTCGATTTTTGGAATAAAGTGCTAGCAATGATGGTGACGGTGGTGATGATGGTGATGGTCATTTTCGATATAAATCACTTCAGGCTGAGAGTAAATGACCGGTGTAGCTGTTGGATAAACGATGGGTTGAAGTGCCGGGTAGACTGGTTGAACGATTGGTGGTTGTGGAATGACTTGGACGGGAGCTGGCTGTGGTTGCACGATCACCGGAGCCGGTGCTATTAATCCAACTTGAGTTCCACCACCGTTATGATCCGGAAAGTTCTCAAAATGAATTTGCGAAATTCTGACGTCGCCCCGAATGTTCATCACGTGAATTTTGGCGGGAGATACATGATGGTGGTAATGTCCGATGCAATGACCATTAACGGAAACCTTCAATAGATTATTTTTTAAAATGTTTTTTCATTGAAATAAAACCTCATATTTCTTATGGCAATTGGTGATTGTCAGCCTAAAAGGCTGACCCATGTAAATTCTATTCTGATGGTGTTCTTCACGATGCCATCTGAATACAATAGGTAAATAAGAAAAGATATGTGATTATGGAAGAGTTGGGAGATTTTGGTTCATCGAGTAATAGTATTCAAATATACGAATTTTATTTTTTTTTGACCCACTATTTATTTGCTTGCCCAACAAAAAAATTGTACAATAATTCGATTTGGGGAGGCAATTATCTCAAACTTGGGTAATTAAACCAAGTAAAAGAGATGTATACCTATTATATCTAATCATACCAACCTTCCATGTTTCATGTGATTGAAAGCAATGCAATTTTGGCCATATGTGCCCATTCGGACGGACACGTGGAAAGCTACTCCATTGTTTACCAAAAATTCAATAATGAATCCTCTAGAAGAAAATTTTTTATTGACAAATAGAAGTCTTATATAACTAACCCTTGAGGTCCCGGATAAACATCACCGTGAAAGTGGATAGTTGAATCGCGGTGTAAGCCCTGGTATATTGGAGTCGATAATGGAATAACCGGGTTTTCAATGATGTGAACCATTTTTTTCCTTCTTAAAATTAAAATTGAACAAATGATAAAAATCTGTGCCTTTTGTATGAGTTATATGGGAAATTGTCGTGATAAGAGAATCAATGACGCGATACGATATGATTAATTTCATTGTTTGTTCTCTTCGAGCATTAAAATTTTGAAAGAAGCCAGTGGTTTTAAAATCAGACGTTATCAATGAAAATTTGGGCAAATAGGAACAATGAAAAAAATTTGGGATCATTAATTTATTTCAAACATGATCATTGATAAATTTTCCTTGAAAAAATATATCACGTTTATCTTTGAAAAAATGTTTCTCATTTTTATATTGAATTTTGAACGTTTTCAATGTATGAAAAATTTGCAGAATGTTAGGTATTTCGGTTGTGTATTGCTATTTTAGGTCTCTTTTTTTTTAGTAAAAATCGTTCTCTCAATATTCAGTGCAATTTTTTTTGGGATACCGCTGCTTGCAAACTGCTGCGTATGAAGATTTCATCTTTTTTTTTCGCAATTGAATCATTTTACAGCCAAAAAAAGAATCTTCACGGACAGGAGAACAAGTATTATTCTATTATGATATTTTTAAAATAGAAATTTTAAGAAAAATTCGAAATATTCGTCTAATCCTAAAAGGAGAGTGCTGAAAAGTCGACAACCTACCGTATTCAGTAAGTGGCCGAATATGAGCTGAAAATGGACAGATTATCTCAGGAAAAGATGATCGAAAGAAATCGACTGTTTTCTCTAGGGAAGGGCAAAAAACGAGCTCGCTAGATGATAAGATTGTAAAAATTTATCGAAATAAAATTTCGCTAATTGGTCAATTTCAGCTTCCCATCAAGCACACAATGAAATTGGCTGACACTCAAACGTTTCAAATTGAGAACCCAACGCAGCATACAACCACAACGAGTAAGAATTAGAAATTTGTTTAAACAGGAGTGCTTAAAAAAATTCAACAGATCATACTGACGATATTGCGACTGGTGGAGCATTAGCCGAAGGTAAATTTGTTTGAAAATTGCAAAATATGTAATATTTTCGAAGATTGGAATGCTAATCCACCGGTTAAAAGAAACTCGGAGGTGAATAATATTTTAAGAATAATTTTTATTAACCAAAAAAAATTTTTAGACTGAAATTGATAGCACTAGCAGTAAGGAAGGAGACCAGAATGCTAAAAAGTTAAGGGAGGATAGAAAGATCAAAAATTGAAAGATTCTTAAGGCATTCAAAAAACACCGAGAAAAATAAGAAGAAGAAGAATAGCGACTCAAAGAATAGTGACTCGAAAAATTAATTTAAATAAAATTTTGAAAATATATTTCGGTTAGGTCTTTTAAATGGCAATATTAAGCAAAAAAATAAGTTTTTTTTTTGAATTATGTCGAACATACACATTTAGGTAATCCTTTATTTTCTCTATGTATGCAATTAAATTAAAAATAATTTAATAAAACGTATTTGTACAAGAGAATTAGTTACAAAAAGCAACAAAAATTAGATCCTTTAGATGGATACCATTGTCCTTCTTGGGTTTCTTGTTTGCTGACATATGTTCTAGTAGGCAAAACTTGGCGAACAACTTGCGGGTGAGCTCGGGTGTTTCGAAGAATGTTAATGTAATTTAGTTGCGATACACATTCCTCGAAAACCTTTGAAATAATCGTTGGCAGAGACAATATTTAGCCAAGTTTTACCTCGATGACATTCAAGTTTTGGGCAGCACTTGTCTCAGCAAACGAGCACTGTAGTTGGGCGGAGAGATCATTTCCCTCTTCGGCATATACTTCGCGATACTCCGAATCACATTTGCAGCCAACGAGAACTCGAGCAATCTAAACAATTTTGTTAGCTTTTCATCATAAATTTAAATCAAACCTCAGAAATTTGCCGCTTCTGTGAAATTAACTCAAAAAGATGAAATGCTCTTAAAAATGATTTTCTTGAGCCAATCGAATAGCAGACAATGAATGCGTCGGCATATGCAATGTACCTTGAAAGCATTCCCGGCATCAATTCCTAGATATTTTTTGTTATAAAATCGAATTTAAACAGAAATTCACTTTTCCAGAAGTGTCAACTATTTGCAAGTTTATTGGTTGATTTTGAAAATTGAATTTTGTCTTGTATTTGTCTTCAATTGTTGGATCGTAGGTTTGACGAAATTCATTATTTATGAATCGTTTTACCTGAAAACGTATGAGTATTCGATAAATCAAATTTTGAAAAACTTACTAAGGCGCTTTTGCCAGAAGCGCTGTCTCCAAAAACAACAATTTTGTATTCTGTTTTCTTCATCGAAGCCTTCAAAATATTCATTGTCAAAACAGACGGAACAATTAAACGAATGAATTAATGACAGATCTGGTTCGATTGATATTGATGGCAAAAACTTGTCCTTAGTATTAGGCAAGATTAAATCAAAAGCCATCAAGGACAAAAAACAAGGGTAAATGAATATGTTATACGTTATAGTATAGAAATGGAACGCATATCTTTGTTTCATTTTCATTCTCTTCATATGAATTAGGGTCATATGGTGATAAAATTGCAACATTCGGAAGAAACGCAGAAGGGATAAAAGACCAGAAATCGAATTATCATCGAGATGAAAATAGGATTATTTTCAGGTTTGAAACATATTTGAGGTAAACCGTAGAAATATCATTTCAGTGTATTAAAAGGATGAAGTGATTGCACGCATTTTCTTTTTTATTCATTTTTTCGAGTTTTTTTTCTCTTCCATTACATTCAATTAAAGTTTTCAATCATTCTAGTCTTCTGATGCATCTAATTTAGTTGAAAAATGAATGTTCGTCTTTCAAATTTATTATCGCTTACTAAAAGGGGCAACAGTGTAGCCACGACAGCTTTGTCTATTAGGCGCCTGTCAACACAAAACATGTCTAACGAAGGTGAGTTTTTAGCTTTTTCTGTAACTTCTTTTCATTAAATCTGCTAAATGTAAATTGAAGAAAATAAATTGAATATTAAGACAATTTTTAAAATTCTTGCATATCGCTGTCATGAAAAATTCAATATTCTCGTAATTTTGAATGTAAAGCTTTCAAATCACGAGGTTTTTCAGTGTTGGTTCGGCAAGATGGACCCGTGTTTTTAATTAGCATAAACCGTGCGAATAAGAAGAATTGTGTGAATCATGCGACAGCGAGACAACTGATTGAGAAGTTTGAGCATTTCAATATGAATAATTCAATGAAAGTTGCGGTTCTTTACGGAGAAGGTTGGATTAATTCAATATGAAAACATCGGAATTGTTTTGAATATAAATTCAGGGAAAACATTTTGCGCCGGCTATGACCTTGAAGAAGTTTCCAAAGGCGAATTCGCGGAAATTGATCCGACGTTTACAGATAAATACCGATATATGGTGAATATGAAAAAAATAATTGTTTAAAACATTTTTAAATTTTGTTAAGGGTCCATCTATAATGAAGCTAAAGAAGCCACTAATTGCCGCGATCGATGGCTATGCAGTGGCTGGTGGCCTCGAGTTAGCTTTGATGGATATCTTTTGAAATTTGTTGCAGCGAATATAACTTGTAGGATGCAGCGGACCTTCGAGTCTGCACGCCTTCTGCAAAATTTGGCGTGTTTTGCCGAAAAGTTGGTGTTCCGCTGATCGATGGTGGAACAGTGAGACTGCCGCGAATTGTTGGGCTTGGAAGGTTTCTTGTTCATATCATTTTGTCATATTTTTGTAACAATTAGAGCTTTGGATTTAATACTAACTGGAAGAGAAGTGGAAGCAAATGAAGCTTTAAACATGGGACTTGTGAACCGTATTGCAGTCTCGGGGAACGGTAGGTGCTTGTTGCAATTCAATGTTAAATTCTCTGCTTCAGTAGTGCAAGAAGCTTGTGATCTTGCAAAGCTCATTGCTAGTCACCCGGAAGAGTGTATGCTGGCTGATCGCGCTTCCGCCTATTATTCTCTAGACCACACCGAAGATGAAAGTTTTGCAAATGAATTTGAAAGCTGCCGAGTACTTGCAGAGAGCATTAAAGGTATAATTGCATGACTATCTTTATAACATAGGGTTTTCTTCAGGAGCACAAAAGTTCATCAACCGTAAATCGAAAATTTAGTGAATTATACGTGTTAATAAAAAAAGATCAGTTCGAAAGTATTTATTCAAATTTATTTTTGAATTATTGCCGGTATGGCTTCTCACACGTCTCAAAGCCACGAAGCACTTGTTCGTTTTTCTTCAACGAACGAAATTAAGAATATTGTTTACTCGTGAAAATATACCACATATATAGTTCCTTCCGCCACTGTCTTAGTTCCATTTTTCAGTTTTGCAAATCGAACGTACTCAATTCTAATCTCGCTGTTTTTGGCGTTCTCGTAATTCACAACAATCATCTGAAAGAAAAAAAAACATTTTCAATCCGTAAAAAGTTACAAAAAATAATCTAATACCTCAGACGAATTGATGGTTTTTATGTAAGCATTGAGAACTCGCGAGAATCCATCTGATTGAAAAATTATTTGGTGAAATCTTCATCGAAAAGCTCACGTTGACCTCCAGAGTTGCCTCCGCAAAATCTGAAGCGGAATCTCTTGTCGAGGAGCTTTACGACCGCTGGTACATCGCCGGCACTTATGCCATTGGTAAACTTCTCCGATATATCCCGTGAGATGTAAAAAGGTTTCTCTAGGTAAGACTGAAACCATTTAATTTTTAAATAATGCGTTTTAAAATGCTACCTGACTGTTAATTACATGAAGGAGTAGCAAAATGAGAATCTTAAACATGATTCAAATAATTAAATGTACAATAGTTTGAATATTTAAAGGAGAAACGTAATAAACAATAAAAACTAATTGATTTTTTTCAATTTTGCTAATTATAACGAGATGGTTTTTTTCTTAAATTAATTAAACGTTTTCAAAATTGGCTTTTGTACATATATAAATGATCGCTATTAGAATTGTCGAAAAAAATGCTCAAATTTTGCATCCTCTTTCTAATTCCGTTCGTCCATTCAGATGTAAGTGTTTTGAAAAAAAGAACATTGTTTAAAACACCGTAAATATTTTAGGAATTGCCGGAGGAGATGAAGATCGGAGAGTTGATCGCAAACAAATATATGACTAGTTGGGCGAATGGCGATTGGACATCATTGCGGACGATGCATTTGCTTCGTTATTTCACGATCAATATTTGCGATATTGATTACAAAAATATCGGTGAGCACTTTGAACACGTTTTCATGAAATTTAATTGTTAATTTAGAGGATTATATGGGCCGTTTGAAACTTGAGAAGGACTTTGTGCAAGCAAAAGAAGTCAATGAAAAAATATTATTCGATATTTCTCACAATTAATTTTCAGATGAAAGTTATTGGCGCTTCCAAATTGAGCCCAAAAGAGACGAGAATGGATTATGTGGAATATGCGTACCATAAAAATGGGAGAAAAACCGCTGTGGATGGCTACATGATAATTAAAGTAAGTTTTTGAAAACTTGAAAATCTTTTATATAGAACTTTTCTTTAATTAAAATTTTGTTATAGTTCATTGGTGGACGCTATTTCCCTCGCTTTGCGGAGCAAAATTGTGTCAGAAATTTACTATTCTAACGTTTATTTTTGAATAAATAAATGTTTAGAAAACATGTAACAATCGTAGAATGATTAAGATAAGTACTATTAAAACAACTGCTACAGTAACCACCGTAATAATTTTCCATTTTGCGTTGATCCACCACATTTCTCGTTTGCTTTTTCGAGCCGTCATTTTGAAATTTTCTGACTGTAATTTTTTAATAACAAAATTGCGGAGGATACGATTTTTACCGCAGCCTGAAGTTCTTCGGATCTTCGTTGAATGCTATCAAGCCTCAGTTCGCGTTGCATCAACTTATCAACATTGTCGTAAACAATCTCAAAATGAACAATTTGAAAACATTTAAAAAATATACTTACCGCTGATACCGTGTTCACTTGCACTTTTAATTCTTCAATCTTCTCGGTTCGATTGCCCGCATGGTTGTTCATGTTTAGTGAAACATTTGGGGCATCCATTCAACGGAAACTGAAATTTACTGGGGCTAGAAAAAAACAAAAAGATTATCCTAGTATTTACAGCAAATATACAAAAAACTAGTCACTAGGCTTGTGTGAAAACGTGATGAGGAAAAGAGGACACATGTATGCTATTGAGAGCGTTTGTAAACGTGGCCTTGTGGCCTAATGGATAAGGCGTCTGACTTCTAATCAGAAGATTGCAGGTTCGAGCCCTGCCTGGGTCAATACATTTTGCAAACACTAGGGCGTCACATAAAAATTTATTTGTCCGGAAAACAGGAAACCAATTGAAATGACCTCGCAAAAAAATGGGGGAAGAACGCGGCAACCCGGTCAGCCAGCCAGATTGACATTGACAGTACATAGGCTCATGCATAATACATGGGTTGTATGTTCACACAGAATTCAAATAGAGCGAGACAAAAAATTTTGTGGAATAGATAGATAGAAGTGGAAAGAAAATGCGCGCTGAAACATTCGGGTGAATCACAATATTTGTATATTTATATTTGATTGATAAAAGTGTAGGTATCCGTCTCAGCCAATATTTCATATTGAGTTCAATTAGTCATTCTTTTTGTTGCCGATTACTCCGCACCAGTGGAGTATCAAAACAATGAGGACGGCGGTAACAAGAAGGCAAACCAGGATGCAAATTGCGGTCCATTTTGCGTTCAGAAGACAAAACTTGCGTTGCACTTTGCGAGCGGTCATTTTGAAATTGGCGCTCTGAAAAAGAATAATATTGAATAGTCGGTCAGCATCTCGGTGGTGGTGTTAACATGAATCAACTAATATTTTTTTTTCCATTTTTCAATGTTTCTTACTGATGCGTGCAACTGCTCGGTTCTTCTCTCAATATTGTCCAATCGTTCACCACGCTCCAGAATTCGTTCGACGTTTTGTACCATTATCTGCAAAAATATGTAAATTCGATTGATAAAGCTGGTTTTCATAACAATGGGTGGTTTTGATGGTGTCGAATCAATTTATGAGGTTTTCGATTTATTTCGCAAAAGTCTAGTGAGATACAAATCTATACGATTAAGCAATTTTTAATTAAAAAAATATTATTTCATAACCTTCCTGAATGTGAATATACGAAATTTAAAAAATACGAACCGCTTTCACATTATCTACTTGCTCCTTAATTCCATTCATTTTCCCTTGCTGCTCATCGCTTGTGCCGCTCTCCATTTTCTGAAAATCGATCAATATTACGGGAAAATCTGAAAAACACAACTGAAAAAGGGAGAGAGGGAGAGAAATGTCAACAGTTTCGAGCAAACACACTCGCACACAGAAAATAAGAATTTTTTATGGAGAAATCGACAAGTCATATGATTCATCGGAAATCTATTGAACTATGTGTTACTTTTTCGCGTGATGCGCAAATAAATGATAATTGGAAAAACGAGAAAAACAAATTGAGGTTTCCTTTTATGTTTTGCTTGAATCCTAACAACCGAAGAGACTCACCATCATTTTCAATTGCCGTCGTCTCGAGTAACAATGGTGAAAATTGTACTATGCCACGAAACCGAAATCGAGTTAGCGAGAGTTTATTTGCTCATTTTTTAAGCGGGACTCCGTGAAGGCAAATATTCGGAATGGCAATCGTTGACATTTGAGAACACTTCTAAAACAATTCCAAAGTTATTATTAGTATGTTCCGAAAGGAAAATTCCAAAATTATTAAAATATTTTTAAGTATTAATGTTGATAAAAAAAGGTAAAAATTAAAATATATGTGCGTGTTTATACCTGCATTGAAAAAAAGTGTAATTTTTTACATTTTCTATTTCACGAATCAATCTATTATAGGTGCAAAAAATCTTGAAGAATGTAATAATACATCAAGTAGTGAATATTCCGTGAAAATTCTATAATTACGGTAACCGTTTTTGGGAAACAAACCGCATGGTAACTAAATTGCTGTTTCACTGATTTACTAGGTTTTATAACTCTATTAAGACTTGTTCAAAGCTTTCACTTCTTTCTAGCAGGGCCGCGCGAACGCAGCCCCTCACGCAAAAATTAAGTTGTTGGCAAATCCCATCTCGGGACCGCCACCGGGGTCAGCCCCTCCTGAAGTGCAATGGATAGGCCTCATCCGGGGCGCCCCGCCTTCTTGATCGCGGCGCGCCACCAACCAAGTAAGTACCTCCACCGGCGCGCTGTCACTCTTGTCTCTGCACGTGTTTCGACATTTCGCGGGTTTCGCCTCCCCCTATGTTTTGCGTGTCGGTGGGCGGAGAGTTGTCTGCAATCGACGAGATTCGCGTGCGATACCGGGCTAATTATCAACATTCTTCAAAGAGACTGCCGATATATCAAGTTTTGCAATTCATTACGAGCGCAGACTAGTACACAACATGTTCAAAAAAATGAAATTGTGTGCAATCTGAAGAAACGCAGGAGTGAAAAGGAGGAACACGAGTTATTGCAAAATGTTCAACAATTTTAATGTCGTAAAAAAAGTAAGGTCTGTGAAAGTGAAAATGTAGAAAACTTCCATTCTAAAAATACACATAATTTAAAAAATGAAAATAATGACGCAATAGACAGAGTGAAGGCTAGTGGAAAAATTGCGACCTAATATGTCTTGGAATAACCATGGCTTATTTCTTCAGGAATGTTGATACACATAAATGCTCGCAAGGATATAGCCTCTTAAAATATTATACTTAAATTTTTGATCTCAAAAATATTGCTTATGATAGTTTCCAGCACCAAAGGTGTGCATTATCTTCATTCTGATAAGCTCAAATTATTGTATCAAAGTCATATAAAATAGTGGACCACTATAAATATATCAGTGAACAAATTCAATAAACACATTTTTTGGGCTGAAAAATGTAGCTTGCAATTTTTGCAGCGCTTCTTTTCAACGTCGTTTATTGCACTGACGACTGTCAAACTTGTCTTCGAGGTGGAAATTAGTGAGATATTTGTTTTCTTTTTGAAAAATCAAAAAAAATATATATATATATTTCTTGTTTATGTGCTACCGTTGGCCGCTCTTTTTAATAATTATACCGTTTAAAACGCCTTGGCCAATCATGTCACTGTCAAAACAGATATTATACTCATTTCTAGACTTTATGCTCTTGTAGGAGCTTGTGATGCTTGAAGAACTTTTGAAATAGGAAGTTTTTGATAATTCCGATTTTGATTTAGTTTTTTACTGCTAAAATGACTATTAATAAGCTTCAATGAATAATTCCTGAAATTATTCATAGCCTTGAAATGCAAAATAAGATGTTAACTAATTTAATATAACAATATTTGCACACTCTTAATCAATTCTGACGTAAACTAGATTGGAGTTTGATTCCGGGAAACACGTGTTCGACGAATAATTTAACTGATAATCAGTTTATGCACAGTTTTGTACACCCAACCATGTTTCTTTGTCTTGTTTTAATTATAATTCCAACAGCATTGAGCTCAAAATCCTGCGAGCAGTGCCTATCTGAAGGGCATCAGTAAGTTCAACACAGACTAACTTCCTAAAAACAATTTTCAGTTACTGTCCCTCGGTAAAAGCTTGCAATTTTTCACCATGCCCAGATGTTATAAAGGTATCGATTGGTTAAATTTACTTTTTTGAATTTATTATAGAAAGTGATAAATTGTCCATGGGTTCCTAACTCAACTTTTGCTTATGATGACCATGTTGCTCGTACCCAATGGTTGCCCTTGTTTGGCGCTGGAGCAACCGACGTTAAACATGCGCAAATGTGCTTTGAGTGAGGAAAAACCGAAATTTTCCGTTAAATCTAAAATACTCGTTTTCAGCAACAAATGGCCCACTATGAAATTATCGCGTCGTATTTACGTAAACTGTTCTGATCCAAGCCCCGTCCTTCCAGGTTTTACAAACCATTTTCTACTTATCAATAAAGTTGCAGAGACCAAATGTTCAATGATTACCGCATACGACACAACAAAGAAAATTCTGGTGATGTCCTTCCGCGGAACGAATGGCGCTGAACAATTAACAGAAGAATTCTTGGACGTTCTAAAGTTGAATTGTCCCATTTTTGCAAAATCAAAAATTTGGTATTTTTAGAGCAAAAAGCGCGTTTTTCGATTCTGGAAAGGTATATAAATATTTCTACGATGCTTTTGTCTACATTTGGAAAGGCGGATTAGAATCAGAAATGAGAAACTTGAAGTATCTCTATCCTGACTACGATCTTTGGGTAATTTATTTGAATAGATCAAAGCTTAATTGTTATTAATCAGGTGACCGGGCATTCTCTTGGTGGGGCGTTGGCTTCCCTTGGAGCTTCTTGGGTAGTGAAAGCAGGTCTCTTTAAACCGGAAAAGATAAAATTGCTCACTGTCGGCCAGCCAAGAACAGGAGACTACGACTATGCACTATGGCATCAGAATACGGTAGGAATATTTTAATGAACTATTGTTGGCGTCAAATGAATGAAGGGGGCGGGGCTTGGCGAAATCAGTGAAGATTTAAATTTATCGTCGACTGAATCTTAAATGCGCGGTCTCGCGTACTTCTTGCTGCCTCGAGACACATTGGCACATAGCCAATAAATTTTTATATTTCGCCAAGTCGTTTGACTCCGACAATTTTCCCAACTGATTAATACAATAGTTCCCATACTCCTATCGCGTTGTGCACCACAAAGACATCGTACCACATATTCCACCACAGTATGAACCAGACGACGATCGAATGTATCATCATCGAACAGAAATTTGGTAATATTTTGAAGAACAACTAGATTAAAAAATTAAAAGTTTAGGTATAACAACAATATGGAAGTGGGATCTGAGTATCACGTTTGCCAAGAGGCTGATGGATTCCACTGCAGTAACCAACAACTTGATACTAGCAACGAAGATCATATGCACTATTACAATACAGATTTAGGAATTTATGGTCCAAGTGGATGTGTGAAAGGATAAAATAAGTACTAAATAATAAAGTTTAACATCACAGGAAGTAATGCGGTTATTTACAAAGTGCTCAATCTTTGTTTTGTTTTACCACTTTAGGTTTTATTTTGGATCTTCTCTTCGCTGGAATTTAAGAAATTTCATTGGAATTTATTTTTTTTAAATATATAAACTACCCATTTCCTTGCTGCGACATTGGGCAATTACAGTAGGATCGGCTGATTGAAATTTGAGCATTTCCTTATCCACAATGCGAACTTCGGTAACTGCTTTTAATCGTAACCCTCCTATTTAACGTGTCAATAAATTAAATTGCTTAGAAATTAAAAGTACCTGAAGGGGATGCTTCATATATTGGACGTTCGCCGAGCCATGATCTAAGAGGAGCGCAACGATTTCGCAAAGATCTTCGTAGTCCCTGCTCAGGAGTCTTCGGGCGAACGAAAATTTAAGAATATTAAAGATAAACGAAAAAGCCTTACTAATCTCTCGAGCTTCTAATACCATTACTTTTGATTTTTCGCTCTTCTCGTAAACTTGTTCGTTTTTAACTACACCAGGAGTAGATGTTTCTGTAAATTGAAATAGAAATTGTTAAATATTTACCTTTAATAACTTGTTCGATCAAAATCCTTGACAAAAGCATTGGTATTCATTTGAGCACTGAGCTCTAAATCGGATAAACTGTTCGAATCATCTGAAATAATGTTTTTTCATCAAAATACGTTTTTTATTGCCTTCATCAAATGTGTCAACGGTTTTCTCTTTGGACTGTTTTATTTCTTCCTGTGAACAAACTGGAAAAATGTCATCAGTTCTATTGAACCCGTCTGTAGATCGTGTCAGTTCAAGAGTTTCATTGAAACTAAACTGCCCAAAATCTGAATTTTCATATGACATTTGATGAACTGAACATAAAAACGCTAACCATCTATTTCTTCCTCATCTTCGTCGTCCACTGATATATCTTCTTCGGATTCCAAACTCATAGCGTCTGCTAAAGTTTACAAAATTATATAATACTTGCAATTCTGTCTACGATTTTCTGGACTCTTTTCTAATATCGATTTAAAACAGCATTTCTCATCAGCAGATTGCTCTTTCGGCTCACGAAATTTGTACAAATAATCGCCAGGAGTACATTTTTCAATGGTGAATGTTCTATTGATCGATTCTTCTTTCGACGTTTCAACAGTGTTTTCAGACGAATCTTTGCAAATGGTAAATGTTAAGTGTTGAGATTGATTCGACTCGTCTCCAGTCGATTCTGCCCGACTATTAGGTTCCTGCAGTTGTAATTATACGCCTATCTATAAATTCTTGCCTTTGAGATTGTGAAAGTCACATTTTCCCTATCGTTAAGACTTTCATTGACAGAGAATTCTGATATGGTGAAAGTCAAGTTTTCAACATCGGTTTCGTCGGTATCAGAAAATTTTTCTACAGTTGGTTTTGCGAAACGATTCGGTTGCTAAAAATGAATATTGTGTAGTATGCGAAGAAGTAAATTCAATACTTTCATTATACTGCCCATGGGAAGCCGTTGCGAAGTTTTCATTCTAAATAAAATCTGCTGATAAATTTGTGCATTGTTTTCATAATTACGGGTGCAACTCGACCGATTTCATGAAAAAAAAGAAAATTAATCCAAATTTTTATACAATACAGGGAAGCTTGTGAACAAAATATTATTTGACAATTTTAATAACATGAAAAATTTTGAAATAAAACAGAATTATCTATTCGTCTTCGTCAGACGTTACAATATCATCTTGGGTAATGTGTAAATTCACACCGCGGCTATGATCAAGAGCTAATTTCTCTCGTCGCTGCGCAGCTCTTGCACGTTTCCTTGCTGAAAATTGTTATAAGCAACAAAATAGCACTCATTTGATTACCTAGTTCTTCTTGCCGTCTTTCAACAATTATTTTGGGATCAGCGGAACGGTATTTAATCATTTTTTTATCCTTGATTCGAACCTCAGTAATACCTTTAAGTCGTTGCCCACCCGAAGGTGAGTGCTCATATACAGCCTTTTCACCCAACCACGATCTTAATGGCTTAACACGATGCCTAGTTGAACGACGCAATCCGGGTTCCGGTGTGACTGGGGCGACTAGAATATACTAATAGTAACATATTTAAAATAGTTAACTTACTGATTTTCCTGGCTTTTAAAACCATTACGGTATCGTTTTTACGTGGATTAATGTTCAAAACGGTAGAGTCTTGATCCATAGAATCATCGATCGTCACATTTTTCGTTATGTCCATGTCAACTGAATCATGAGCGGGAGTATTTACAGTATACATAGTAGTATTGCTAGCTTAACAACAAGAAATTATAACCAGTTCATAAAAAATTTTTCGATACTCTTTTTCGCCCTTCTTGGAAGTCGTATTGAGGGGGTTTCATCCATTTCCGCAATTTCTACGTCTTCGACAACCTCCTTGCCATTCTCGTCAATTTCTTCAGATACTCTTTCGTTACTAATTTCAGGTTCCTTGGAGAAATGTTCTGATTCATAAGAATTGAGGTTCACAACAGTTTTGTCATTGTCAATCAATTCTTGAACAGAAATATGAACAACCGGATTGGTTTCGAACGATACGGTTGAATTACTGGCTAAACTTTGCGATCATAGTATCATGACGCACGCCTGTTTTACCTTCTTTACTATTTTCCTGTGCTTCACCGCTTTCAATATTTCCAGCCTCTTCAGATAGACCATGAGCATTTCCTTCGATAACATCAATTCCCTGCTCATCCTGGCAATTCGTACTTGACAAATTTGAATTAACAGAACATTCAGGATTAGCTGCAAAAAAACTAATTTGATAAATTACATAACACAAAAACCATAATTCTTGACGGGAGAGCAAATTTTTTTCGGCGTCGACACTATAGTTGTTGAACATTGAGAATTCTGCAAAATTAAATGATTTAAAAAATATTTTTGCTTTACCTCTTCCATCGAATTAGTAACATTCTTCAAAAGATGTGCTGTAGAGTTCGAGTCTCTCACTGGCTCCACATATGACCCTGTCGTATTCGAAGACATATTCACACACTCTGAACCTTCATCAATAGTGAGCATTTCAATTGTTCTTTCAGATTTCTCTACAATTCGAATATTATTTATCTTGTACTCTTAATATTCTCATTACGGCTTTCAGTGCTTTCTCTTGCAGTTCGTCTGCTCTTTACCTCCTTTGGCCGCATTTTAATTCTATTTTGGAACAAATGTGCACCAGGGGAAGGTTGTTCTTCTAAGAAACTGCTCAAAAGAGAATCACCTTGTCGTAGGGAGGTGTTCTGAATACTTAAGCAAATAATTAACTTGTAATTTAAATCCGTACTCGTTTAAATCTATCATCCAATTTAACTTTCTTCGCTCTTTCGTTTACTAATTCCCGTTCGGCCTCACAATCACCTGTAGGATTAGGAGGACATTCAGAGGGAGTTTCAGAAATAGAGGCAGCAGAGTCCTTATCAATTGTGAATGTGCGGCCAACAGCATCAGAGAGGCTTGAACCATTTTCCGATGGGCATTTTTCTATTGTAAATGTGCGATTTTTGTTTTCGATTTCATCATTAGCAAGTTCTTCTACAGTAACTGTGACGGTAATGTTATCCACGTTCTGCAATACTATTATTATTAAAAAATAATGACGCTTACTAACCTTAGCAATAGGATCAAGGGACGTGGTGTCTACTACATGAGAAATATTTAAGTTTCGGAAAATTCGAAGGCTCGAATTGGCATTGGCTTTTGGTGTGGATGCTCCAGCTCCCAGACGATATTTCTAAAAGTAGATAACAGAATTAAACCATTTAATAGCAACGAACCTGTGAAAAATTTTTGCTTGGAGATTTCGTCCCTGCAATCTTTGGTAGTGCGGGAACAGCAAACTGAGAATCCTACGACAATCATGTTATAAAAGCAAAAATGAAGACAGAAAAAAACCTCGAGATTTTGCGAATCATCTTGAGTCCTTGTGGGATTTGCAAGTTCTGGAATTCTGCGGCGAAGCAACTCGTCAAAATCGGTAACACCATTTAACTTTGCTTCTACGCGATGAGCAGACTAAAGAATATTGGAATCATTTTAGAACTAGAACCAAATAATAGATATATACATCTGCATATCTCTTTTCAGCCTGTTTCGCAGCGTTTTTGATGTAAACATCCAATTCACCACGACGACGGGCTTCTCTCATGGAAATAGACTCGATTTCAATTGTGTCGTCTTGAGTGTCATTCATCTGTGGTAAATTCTCAATTTCTTTCCAAATTTCACTTTAATACCATAGTCTTCTCATTGCAAATCGTAGAATCGTCCTCAAAACCCCAAACAGCACAGGCATGATATGCATTCAATGTTTTCTAAATTTATATTTAGAACTTAACGCAATTTAATGTTTAAATTACTTTCCCGGGTCGAATTGCACACTGTTGAGTCATTATTAAAATTTCCGCTTATCTGAAACAATCAAAACAGAGCATTAAAAAGAAAACAGCAAAAAAAATTCAAAAAATTGAACCTGGCGCGTGCGCAGAAATGCGCTAGTCCGTAATACAACCAGCTGCGTGTTTGCGTACCTACCGTATATCGTGCTGCAGTGCAGAAAATCGCAAACATTTTTAGTGGAAAGCAAAAAAAAGCAATGGATGGGAATTTTCTGTTTTCTTATAATTTCAATCGTAAAATGAAAAACTCGGAGGTCCTAGTCACTTTTACCATAAATACTATTAAAAAATAGAATAATCTTCGGCCAATTTCTTATCAAAAATAAAAAGTCCGGCTGATAAGAACTGCATTCTTTCTCGAAATGCTTTTTCCCATTTTTGTGTTTCTAATTTTTTCTATATCTCAAGTATCAGCGAAATCATGCGAAGAATGTCTTTCGGAAGGAAATCAGTGAGTGAAAAACAAAAAACTGGTTGAAAATAACCCTTCAGTTACTGCCCATCCGTTAAAGCATGCAACTTTTCGCCGTGTCCCGACGTTGTCAAGGTTTTGAAAATCCGGATTCTTTAATTGATATAGCTTCAGAAACCAATTAATTGTCCATGGGTACCTAATTCAACATATGCTTATGATGATCATACAGCTCGAACTTTATGGCTCCCGCTTATTGGAGCTGGGGCGACTGATGCCAAGCATGCTCAATTATGTTTCGAGTAGGCTGATGAATTTTAAAAGAAAACCAATATTTGCTATCTTTTAAGTAATAATTGGCCTACTTTGAAAGTATCAAAGCATATTTTAGTCAATTGCTCCAATCCACATGAACTCCGTGAGTAGGCTCTATATAATCCATAATTTAATTTTGCCTTCAACTTATAGATTCGCAGTGCTCTATGATAACTGCATATGATACTACAAAGAAAATAATAGTCATGACATTCCGTGGAACAACTGGAAATGGTCAAATGGCCGACGAGATCCTCAGCTTCTTCGGGTATACGGAAATAATTTTTAATTTTTTAAACTAAAGTGTTAAGCGGAAAAAGAAAATTCTTTGATTCTGGAATGGTGTTCGAATACTTTTATGATGCATTCAATTCCCTCTGGAATGGCGGATTAGGGACAGAAATTCGCAATTTGAAATATTTGTATCCTGATTTTGAACTTTGGGTAATTAATTATATTGTAATTTGAAATTATTTTATATAGGCTTCTGGACACTCTCTTGGTGGTAGCCTCGCTTCAGTTGGCGCATCATGGGTGGTAAAAACCGGACTATTTAAGCCAGAAAAGATTAAATTGCTCACTGTTGGCCAGCCGCGAACGGGAGATTACGACTATGCATGGTGGCATCAGAACACGGTAATTCTAGTAGAAATAAGTGCAACAATGTGTTTCATTTAAAGTTCTTATATTCTTATCGAGTTGTTCATCATAAAGATCCGGTCCCGCATATACCACCTCAATACGAGCTCGATAAAGATCGAATGTATCATCATCGTACGGAGATTTGGTAAATTTTCCCATATAATAATAAAAGTTATATAAACAATACAGGTACAATAATAATATGGAAGTTGGATCTAAATACCACATCTGTCCCGAAGCCGATGGATTCCATTGTAGCAACCAACAGCTTGATCCGATCCCAATGGATCACATACATTATTATAATGTGGACTTGGGAACATACGGTGGATCAGGATGCCCAAGAATTAACTAATTGTAAAATATACAAAAATGAATATTCGTGAATTCTAAAAATTAGCTCTATTTATTAAAATAATTGTTATTATTTGTACAAAAATCTTATTAAAAGTTTACTGCTTTGTGATTTCATTCGTTTGATGTCTCACGAGAATTCCTCCTTCGTTTTCAAGCCCTTCGTCTCCTCGTCCAAAAGTTGCGTCGATAATCTGTAGATACAATTTTGATTCATATTAGTCTATCGAAAATCCCTACGTCATCCTCGATTCCTTGTTTAAAGAAAAACGATTTCAATGCGAATGGGTTCTGTGGGAAAGAGTTGTGAATTACAACGGTTACTTGATGATAATCAGGACATTGCTGTTCAGTAGTATCTAGGCAGCAATAATAATCGACCTGATTGTGGTAGCAGCATACCGTATCGGCGTTAGGCTAAACTTATTAGTTGCCTTTAAAACAATATAAAGTTAATTACCTTATCAGGAAGGGCGTTGATGCAAAGAGAATTCTGATGAGGTAAACATTTTCTCGGTTGTCCATCAGGCCTTAAAAGCGGTCTGGATCCAGAAGGACAAGGCGGAACTGAGATAGGGGTGTCTTCTTTCAGTTGAGTTGGAATCGAAGAGCAAATGCCAACTAGAAACAATCAAAACATTATTAACAATTGTAATATGCGAACAGCTACTTACTTAGGGCAAACCAGAAAAGAAGCATGGGTGGCACTCCAAGACGAAACAAAGAATTCTGCCCATTTTGCGAAGAGAGCGAAATCGCGGCCAATCCAGTATCAAGTGAAATCAGCTAGGTCACACAATCCGGTTTATTGAAGCAAAAGCGTCCACAAAAATTGTTTATATAAACTAGTACAAATTATGTGTAGTTAATAATACGAATAATATGAAAATCGTACAATAGAAAACAAGCGATTCGTTGTAAAAACCAAATAGGAAAAAATCTGATACACGCGACAAAAAAAACGTCATAATCGGGTGGAAATGGCTAAGGTTTCATATCTACTATGGCATTTTCGAGTGCTAAATACATGGAGTCCATAAATAATACAGAGAAACGTTGGTTTTTCCTATAAATCTCTCCGCCTAGAATTTCTGCAAGAAACTACTAGTGAAAGCTCATTTAAAAAAATTGAACCAGAGAGGGAGAAAAACGAGCAGAAGATTTTTGATTTAATTTGATTCAACAGATGATAATAAAACAAGAAATTTAAGGATTAAAAACAAACTTCGGCTAAAGGTAATGTTTTGATAATCACCATTAATTAAAGACGCATTTTTTCAGCAACTGCGGCTATCAAAGCTGCTCCGCGAGCACTTCCTTCATCGGCAGGAACAAGTTGCCACTGAAATAAAAAAAAACAATTTCTTTTTCAAATCTAATTTGTGTCTCTCGGTCTGTTCTTCATAACAGAAATTAATTTATCTCTCATCTTTCGATGAATATAAAAAGCGAAAAAGATGAACGACGCGAGAATACGCGTTTTTGAGAGATATGTCAAAAAGAAGACACGAGGGTAATTTAACAAACGTTTGAACTTCCGCCATTTTTTCTAGCAAGCAAAGAACACATTTTTCATGAAGAACCTATCTAAATTTTCTTACTTTCATGTTTAGCGGTGTGAGTTCGAGAAGCTGCTCCTCAAGCATTTTATGATAAGTTGGGTGGAATTGAATCAAAGCACCACCAACACCGATTTTGACGCTGGACAATTCCAAGTGACGAAGCAAAGCGCTGATTGCTAAAAGAAAGTTTAGTTTTAGACAAACGTGAATGATTTCCAACCAGCAGCGACGATGCTTGCGCTTCTTCTCGAGATCACATCGCAAACTTCCCGAATAATGAGATAATCAGTGGAGCCATGCATTGGTACATCGAGTTCGTCACAAATTCTACGAGATGCTTTAAAAGTTCCTTCCTCTTCGCTGGAAATTCGAAACAAATTAGTCATGAAACCAATGTAAACCGATACTTACGCGAGTATTTCCGAGATGTATTTGGTCGGAAACGTGTCGATGTCATCAAGTTTCTCGCAAGGCTGTCCTTCGAACAACACTCTAAAACAAATGAACCACTTTTTTTGGATTGCAATTTGTGTTTATTATATCAATATAGCTCAAAGAACGAGCATCACAAGTAATATATTGAATGCAAACCTGTCAAGGACGAGCTGGGAAAGCACACGACGAACAAGTTCGCCGAGATACAACGCGCCAGTAAGCTTGTCAATTCTGCAAAGGATGACTTGTAGATGGAAAGTACATAGAACAATATAAATGATGTCATAGAAAATCGTTTGAACTTACATCTGCTTTCCTTTATGAACACTAGCAGAATCAATTTCCCTATCAAACTGTGTTAAAATATGGTCGAGTTCCCCCTGAAAAATGAAACGAGGTAAAATAGTTAAAGATTTAACTTCCTTACATTGTTTCCAAATTCTTCCCATTCGGTGACAACGACCATGTTCTCGTGTTTGTATCCTAACGCTTTCGCGTCAAATTTCGCAATATTTGCCGTTTTTTCGAGGTACGACGAGTTACAACTACAATAAAAATATAATTAATAGAAATTTAAAAATTTGGAAATTACCCGTATCCAATAACGACACCAACTGTGCATTCGGGACCGTATTTATGAGCAGCAGCAGCGAGTTGACCAACTGTGTCGTTCATTACCGCTTTGATTTGAGCTTTAGTTGACTAAAATAAAAAATATACCAAAGTTACAAAAAATTTATTTACCATATTCATTTCAAGTGCTTCTTCTAGTAGAGCAACGACATCTTTTTGAAGACAATCTTTGATATCAAAGCCTTTCGTCCACCAAAGAAGGCGAGCAGATCGAATCGAAAGAAGCTCACATGGATAAGAAAAAACGAAGCCTTAAAATTTTAGTTTATTATTTAAAGTTTTTAACAACATTTTACCTATTGGTAGATTGGCGTCGACGAGTCCAAATTCTTGCAAAAATCTTTGAAGACAATTGACAATGAAAGTGAAAAGCTAAATGTTAAAACTTTTTTTTAAAGATAATCATATGAAGTATATAAATACCTGATCGCCGGTGCCCTTCATGACGTGATTTGGAACAATGTAGTTGATGTTATTCGCAACTGGCTCTTTTTCACGCCCGTACAGCGTCAGAAGCATAATACGAAGATTTTTACCAGACAAGTCTATTGCGACATATTTTCCCTGTTCTGGAATTAATTAATTTAAATTAAATAGTGGATAAGCGGTGAAACCCGATCCATCCGGAAGCGAAGGCACGTAAGAAGGAAGCATAGCAATACTGGACGCATCCTTTTTTGCTAAACCAATTTTAATTTGTTCCTCTATTTTTTCACTAATTTCGTGAAGTTGTTCCTTAGAGATAACAAACTTTTCAAGAATCTATAAATAAATCGATTTTTCTCAACACAATTATCAACAACAAACCTCTTTCACTTCTGTAGGAACTTGTACAACCATGTTCTGAAAAATATTGATATAAAAACACACGAAACTGAAAAAATGTGCGGTACGTTGTAAAAAAAACGAAGACGGAAAAAGAATAAGGCAAAAATCATGTAAACAATGAGGCCGAGGATTTTGTCCATATTGCCGGCGGCCACGGCCATATGAACTCTTCCGAATCGATTCGCGCGTTTCGTGTCTAATCTCGGAGATAATACTTATCAGAGAATCTCAAGTCGTTAAGTCATCTCCGGAATATACTGCTACTCTGTTTTGTTACGCAATATGATAAAGAATATTTGGGCAAATTGCGATCATGCGACGACTTGTTGAGTAAAATCACGTGCAGAGCTTGGAGAACAATGACGTCTCTCTTCTGATTTGTTTAATAGTATCCTAAACAATTGACTTTTAATGGTTTGAAAAGAAACAAATAATTACAGTTGGATTTTTAAGAAATATTTTTCAACGGCTTATATTCAAATGCAATAGATAATTAAATTTTTAAATTAGATTTATTTATTTATTTAGTTAATTATTTAAACAGATAAGATCAATTATTCCGTGTTGTTGATTCGTGGAATTGTTGGAATAGATAAGGATATGTTATAAATGATGACTCAAGAGCCAAATAGAATCATCACTCAAAATGGCACAATCAGTCCCACCAGGAGATATCCAAACCCAACCAAACGCCAAGATCGTCTTCAATGCTCCATACGATGACAAGCACACCTATCACATCAAGGTGATTAACTCGTCGGCTCGTCGTATTGGATATGGAATCAAGACGACCAACATGAAGAGACTTGGAGTTGACCCACCATGTGGTGTTCTTGACCCGAAGGAGGCAGTTCTTCTCGCCGTCTCTTGCGATGCCTTCGCTTTTGGACAAGAGGTAAGAATCCTTACAGCCTTACAGTAGAAATATGGATGTTTCAGGATACCAACAACGATCGTATCACCGTTGAATGGACCAACACCCCAGATGGAGCCGCCAAGCAGTTCCGTCGTGAATGGTTCCAAGGAGACGGAATGGTTCGCAGAAAGAACTTGCCAATTGAGTACAACCCTTGAGGAATAAAGATAGTTTTTTTTTGTAACATCATCATCGACTTTTTTGAACAAAAATAAAGATTGTGAAATAATTTATTGGATATTTCGATTTAGCAGCGATTTAATTCAGCGCACCATAAGGCGTCTACAACTTGTTGGTCAACAAATTTGGCGAGTTCTGCGATTTTCTTATCCGCCATGTGATAGCACTGATCGGCATTTCTTCCCTTTGGTAGTGTTGAGCAAGCATTATTGGCGAAGTTTGTAATATCACTCTGAAATGCAAAATTAATTGAAGGGTTTGAGCAACTGCTCCAATCTCAAAAATTTTCCATTATGTCTTAAATAAACCTTTGACGTTACCGCATAATTTTTGGCATTCTCAAGCATTCGCTCACAGAATGAGCAGGTTAGCCGCTTTTCGTCCTAAATCAAAATATTTGAAGAAATATTTGAAAATGTTTCAATGAACTAAGTACCGTTTCCTCTTTCTCCATAGAAGACTTTTCTCGAGAAATATTGGTGTCGATTGAATTTCGAGAAATATGCTTTGGATGACCACCGGGAGGAGGCAGAATCAACTATATTTTATATTATTATGCAAAAATGAATAATTCCAAAAACCTCTAAAACATTCTTGTGTCCAATTCTATCAGGTTCCAAATCCTCGATAACTTCGCGATACGGAGTTGTTGTTGTAGTCGGTCGCATCGTAGTTGTAGTCGTTGTAGTCCTAATAGTTGTTCTTCGTCGAGTTGTAGTTATAGGCTCCTCAATTTCAAAACTGCTCTCCTCTGGCCGAGGCCTTGGATTTATCTTCGTTGTTTCCTCAATCGGTGGTAGAGGACCGCCAATCTGTATAATTTTAGAAACTGTTTAGCTACGCCAATTTCAATTCTTACCGCAAATGGATTGGTCTCATCACAAAGATTCATCCGTACACACACATCTTTCGAAGACAAATCGTAATTGATTGAATAGTAAATTTCTGGAAGCGACGTCTCGACGAAGGCGAAACATTGTTCCTGAGTTGAGGACTGAATTAGAAGAGCTCCTACAGTATCAACTAGAACAATGAAGCTAAGAAATGATGATAATGTAGAGGAAAATATTAAAAGCGAATAACAAACAACACTCGAGTAAATATTTAATATCCACATTGATATTCTAACCATTTTCAAAATTTATTCGTCAATATATTCATTTTTGATTTACGTCTACAAACCTTGAAAACTGACGGTAAAACGCGACATTTTTCATATAACTGATTTCTCAGCTGATTTTCACTGAGCCCGACACGATGCTTAGTCACCGATAACAATTGGGTGCATAGAAAACATCCGAGATTCGACGGCGTGTTTCCGTTGGGTCTTAAAAATGCAAGAATTAGTTCAAAATAATTGAGAAATTGTCAAACTTTGGTGTAACTTCGATTTCGTCCCTCCAAAAATAGGCAATTGTAAATTTTGCGAAAATTGAAAGAGCTATTAAATAGAATATCGATGAGCGCATTTTGAGAAGCGCCTTGATGGACGGTGTTCGTTTTCGAAATGCGATTCGCCGAGAATGAATCCTCCCAAAAAGGCGTGAAGTCTGTAGATCGGCAGAGGGAGTGTTGGATGTGCAGAGAGCGCAGACATTCGAATCTTGAGATGCGCGAAATCGAGCACCATTTCGAGAGCATTTGCACACTTTTGAGTTTGAAATAATTAAGTAAATATTTTGAGAATAATAGAGGAGGTATTGCAATATTTGTTGTGGCTTTCCGAATATTAGAAACAAGTAGGGAGCTACGATTTTCGTTTATTGAAATATATGATGTTAAGTATCATTTAGGTATCATTTTTTTGCCTACAGTGTACGAATTTTTTTCCGATTCAATGACTAATCCAATGTTGGAAAATAAAATTTCTTAGCCTATAATTATGACTTTCTTAATGTTTTCTTCTAATCAATTCACATTGCGCACTTTTTTGGAGGAAATTTCCTTGTTGTCGCCGCTAATTTCACCGCTCTCAATTATAGGCATTTTCGCGTCGTGACTTTTCGCCCCCGTCGCTCCATTTTTTGTTGCGACCAACCGCGAGAAAATTGCTTTTATTCAGATGTTAATGAAAAACCGCTCAAAATTCTCAACAGTCTTGTGTTTTCTTTCGCATAATTATATACTAAAATATGCGCCCCAAATCTAAGAAACCGGCATTTCTATTTATGCACTTAACTTGTATACAAAAATATTTTTCATTAAAAACAGAGATTATTTCTATTTCCGATTCCCCTCTCCCTTCCAACAAGAAGTATCATTGAGAAATCATTTTTCTATGTGATTTATTATTAAGTTATATGTATGTAGCATAGTTATCAAGTTACATTCTTTCACGGTAAAGAAGGTGCTGAGTGAATAATTTTTGATTTATTACTTTTTTCGCTGAGCAAACAAATATAAATTAATGTTTGGGATGCGCGCACTTCATTTTTTAAACACCGCATTAGAAGAAAGGGAGGGAAAAAGTTTGAAAAATTAGTTAGGACGAAAAATCTTCCCATTTTTCTTTTCGTGCTGTGTGTTTTCTATTTCAACTTCAAAACCAACAAAATAAGTTGTTCTATTTTTTTTTTTGAGAATCAAACTTCTTTTTCATATTATCACTTCCTCCCAAGTGTGACTTAATACAGAAAAAAATTGACCTTTTCTTTTTAAGGAATGTGAAATAATCCCGAATTTCCGGCCAACGGAAATCTCGCAAGATTACGGTAATTAGAAAATTGAAAATCGACACGTTTCTTGCGAATTTCGCAGTTGTTTCATCACTCACCGTGGGCCGCCATTGGTAGATCAATTTGCTTTTGCCGAGGGTGTCAAAATTGATCCGTTGCCCTTCCTAGCGTTGTTTGAAGCCTTGTATGTCAACCCAAAACTTCCCACTCATGCTGACATGTTTCGTATGGGAAAATGACAGACCTTTTTTTCTTAAAAGGTGCATTATTTGACTACCTCAAAACGCCCATTTTTTTGTCATAAAGTAAACGTTGTAACGATATTTTGAACTCAAAACATCACGTAAATTTCTGGATTGGAATCATAGATCAAAAATGGTCACTAACAAAAATGAAAAACCAGCAAATTCATCACATTTTAAATCTCAGCCATTCATCAACGACAGGAACCCAGAGCAAAACTTTAATTATTCTCCATGTAAAAACATAGTCAAAAGACGATTTCCGGACCGGAAACGAACTCGATACTTTTTGAAGACGACGACGACGTCTTCCTCTTCTTATTCTCTTTTCGATTTTAGTCGTCTACCACCCCAAAAAAGTCTCGGCTTCGATTTCGCGCGCATTTGTTTGAAGAGGAGAAGCCGAGACATCATCATCTTTAATTTCATTTCCTCTCGTTTTTTTGCGCATAAATTTTCAGTCTTAATAATAATACCTAATCCGAGCAACACACAAAACCCCCCTGTAATAAATTATTACTAGCTATTCCGCCGTCATACAGGAATTTGTTGAAAAATATTCGAATGAAAACACATTTTTTCGGTAATAATTGGTCGGAAGGGAAAAGACCTCCAACATTTTCTAATTTCTGAAGATATTGCACTTTTTCAATGAAATGAACCCAAAATTCTCGTTTTGTGTACATCATCGTTATTTTTTAATAAAAAAAGAAATACTTAAAAATGAAAATAAATCGATTAAAATTTGTGTTCTCAAGCCACCAGGAACGTGTGAACAATGAACAATGTTCAGATTTCAAATGAATTTGAATGACACCAATTAAATCAAGTCTTTTTTCTGATGTTTGGCATTTAGAGGGTGTAACCTCTCTCGTCATTTCCGCAATTCGAATAGGATATTATGCATGCTTTATCCAATAAGCTTCATGTAGGTATATCTGAATATTCCTTTTTCAAACGACGAATGCTCTATCTTCTCATATAAACACTTATTTTTTTCTCAATTGTTTTTTTTTTTTCATTCACGTGTAATTCAATAATCTCGCAATATAATATTATATAATAAAACAGCTTCGATTTGTTTTCGACGAAAAAAAGTCATTTTCTTGTGGAGTCGGCCGCCCGCGTCTCGATGACCAAATAAAGATCAAAATTATTTCTGCATCATGCGCACTTCCGAATAATGGAATGGCCGAGAACAATAGCTGCTCGGCCAGCGGTTTTCTCCTCCTTCTCACTTTTCCGTGTCCCGATCGACCCGACGTATATGTACAAAAATAATATAAAAATTCATTAATATTCTATTAATAGTGGAGAATAACAATATGCTGAAATTCGCTGAAAAGACAAATCGAGCAAGAAGGTGATGAAAGTTAAAAAATGGGTGGATGGGGGGAAATGCATTAGGGCGAGAAAAAAACCAGTTGAGAAAAGTGTCGAATTTCGATAAATTTCGAAGAATTAACTCAGCACAACAACAAAAACTCCGAGATTCATTCTTCTAATTTTGCGGTTTTCCTTTTCTTCAGCTTCTTCTTCTTTTTTTTTTCAAAAACCATCTTTTGGGTGTTGATTTTCACAACATTTTTCATTTTTCACAGGAAACTTGTCTGGAGGAAAAATGCGTAATCAGCTGTGGATTCTTCTTGTTGCTCCCCCCCCATTCTTCCATTTTTCTGTTCTAATGCAACTATGTTGAAGCTCGTAGTAGAGACCGCAAATTCTCGCTCAATGTCTATTCGATTAAGCCATTCAAGACTTTTATGTTAAAAAAAAAAATTTTTTTCTCTTTGTGTACAATTTATCGTTTTTCAATTTATAGATTGTTTATCTATTAAAAACCTCCAAATTTTCTTGTGCAATTAGAATTTTTAAATTGAAAATGATACCGTACTTCTAAGTTAGTGCCTAACTTGAAAAAGGACCATGCAAGCTATTATTTTCTCAAAAAAATATTTTCGGGCCTCCCACGAGACCAATATCAATCATCATCAAAAAAGTTTTGCGGTTTGAAATTGTTCTTTTACAAATAAAAACATAACCTTTTTGGCAGTTTTATTTTTTGATACGTATTTTTTCAGAAAAAATCGCGTTGTTTGAAAATTCTTTCGAAAAGCTACGTTGTTTTTTTCCAAGCCATTCATGCATCCCTCTTAATCTGGATATGACTAAATTGAAGATCAATTTTCCCCGCTTCATTCGCTATTCATTTATGCAAAACCGCTTAACATTTTCGTTCACAATGTATTGAACGTGCTTGTTTTTCCATCTTGTTCGTAAAATCGATTTTTTTTAATTTTTTCAGTAATTTCTTTGGTCAATAAAATTAGAAAATTGCTTAATCAAAAAAAAAAAAAGGAATTTTATGAACTTTCAATAATTCTAAAAAAATAATTTTAAAAAATTCCCTATTTTACCCGTTCTAATTTGTCTTCAATAAGTCATTGCTTGTCTCCCCCGACCAATTTGAGATCCATTGTCAGTCGACCGAAAACCGAGGGGAAAATAATAATAGTAATAATAATAACTAAAAAACAAAAAAAGCGGGAGCAAACCTAATTATAAAACAACATCTAAGCATTTTAGTCATTCATCGTCTAATTCATTCACACAGAAACAAGAAAAATTAGGAATTGTACCTTCCAATCTTACATTAGAATTAGATTGTACATTTTTCATTAAACATATTAAGAATCTAGAAAATTAATTCAATTAACTAAAGAAACTATTTTTGTAAAGGATAATGCTGACCCAAAGTCCAATAATTCGAACCAAAGCCGCTGGCCATTAAATCGCCGGGGATTGCGTGCGTTTGTTCTTTTCTCAAAAATGTTCATTTCTCATAAAATTCGAGGTTTTGTGGTTTTTTTGCATCTCAAATCCGTTGGAAATTTTTGCGGTTGTGTGGCTAACTAATCGAAATTGCAATAAAACTATCTAGTGTGTGTGTGTGTTCTCCTCCTCCTCACACACATGTATTTTGGCTTCAATCACCCGGTCGCCGGCAAATTGAAATTTTGTTTTGATGAGTGTTTTTGAGTGACAAAAATGTGAAAAAGGAATGCGGCCGGTCAGTGTTTTTTCTTTGCAATTTATGGAAAATGACAGCTCGATATTATTTTTGAAAATTTGGAATTCATTATGAAGCAAAATAATTTACATGGCTCAAATATTTTAAGCTCAAAATATCCAACATGAATACCTTCCTGAAAATTTGCGATGTGTAAAACTCGATAAATAATTTGTTCCTCTTTGAGAAAAAAAATCTTTCCCGCTCTGAAAAATGGGTAAATTCTCAATAATAGTCGATTTTCCAGTTTAGTTGATTAGTCACCAAAGTTTCATTCCGAATTTTCTCTGCCGTTATTGCCTTCCAAAGAGCACAAGAAAAACTCGGAGAGAATCACTTGAACATTGAATAATGTGTTGCTCTATAGAGCCCCCCCCCCACACACACACACTTAATTGTTTTGTGAGGGGGAGTAATCTTTTTGTGATCTACTGCTGCAATATTCAAATTTCCTGCGCTTCTCCTAGCGAGTCTCACCTCAATCTCAATCAATCCAATTCCGTCCAACTTCTTCGCCATTTTTTTGCGCTCATTTGCAAATCATTGGTTTCGCCTAATCCGATATTCATTTTCCACACAAATCTTCCTTGAACCACGTTCGCCGTTCTTTTTTTTGGCCGATGTGATCGTCGACGCAAATATCAATTTCGCGAGGCTTCACCACACGGAACCCGTTATTTTCCAAAATTGAGTGCTCGATTTCTCTATCCATTTCAATTTTCGAATGAAACCCGGTAGGAAAGGATTGAATATTTTTTCGCTCTTGCGTGAAAATTTTTCTAACAACTCATCTCCCAAAATTGAAACCCGAAGAACAAAAATTCGCATTTCCGTGAAACTCTCAGTCAATTTTATAGCCTTTGGAATTCGTTCTATTTCGTTTCGGGATCCTATTTTAAAAAAAAGTTGGCACGAACGTAGACATTTAAATTTGGTGGCTTCTCGAAGAAATAAAAACTAAAAACGGCTCCACCTCTCGAAAAAACCTTTCAGGCATCTAATCCGCATTACACCTAATCCTGATATTGATCATATTCTTTTAATAGAACACACGTCGCCCAGAAATTTATGTCTAATATTTCATTTGAATAGGTGTATATGTACATTTATGTAGGCATGTGTGTGGCTCACCGTTGAATTATTCATAGTCCGAATAATTTATCTAATCTGCGCAACTTGTATCCTTTTCTTCACTCAAAGTTTTTTCGCCTTCATTTCACGGTTATTTCAGACATCGATGTGCCTTTAAATCGATTTCTTTACTCTGCGAATTTTTGTGTTGCTATGACATGGGCCGTATCGGCGCTTATTCTTGCGCACTTTTTTGCGACTGCGATTACTGTAAAGCAGGTACAGTAAATCAATTCGCTTTTTACTTAATAATATTCTCTAATTTAGGTGACTGTTCCTGGCCAAATCGTTCTTGGAGGTTTGTTTCCAATTCACGAAGCTGGAAGAAATGGCACCCATCAGTGCGGAAAGATCAAAGCGGACCAAGGGGTTCAACGAATGGTCGCCATGTTGTTCGCCTTGGAGAATATTAATCGAGAGCGTCAATTACTTCCACAAGCAAGCCTCGGCGCTCAAATTTTAGACACTTGGTAAGAAAAGAAAAACGTTATCAAGTAATAAGGATCTTTAATGTTTCAGTTCCGTTGATAGTTACGCTTTGGAACAAACTCTCGAATTTATAAAATCTGTTATGTCGAATGGTGACGGTGTTAGCTGTGCGGTAAGATTAATTTTTTTACCAAGCATTAAATCAATGTGTTCAGGACGGTTCAACTGGTACTTATACTAGGCAGCCAGTTGTGGCGGTTGTTGGAGCTGCCGGTAGTCAAGTTAGCGTTATGGTAGCGTCAATGCTTCAGCTTTTCAAAATTCCCCAAGTGAGCTACAGCTCAACGGGAGCTGAGTTAAGCGAGAAACCGCGATTCGCATTTTTCTCACGTGTAGTCCCACCAGACAATCTGCAAGCCCAAGTGATGGCAAGAGTGGTGGGCATTCCAAAAACTCGAATTTATCTTATTGGATCTATTCAGATTGGAGCCTTAGAATGGACTTACGTTCATGCTATCGCTGACACAGGATCTTACGGAGAACGGGGAATGGATTCCTTTAGAGCGGCAGCCGCTGAAAATGGGATCTGCATTGACGGGGATGTTCAAAAAATTTCAAGACGGTGGACCGAGAAAAACTTCAGGTATGTTCAATATTAATTATTTTTTCATTATCCGATTTTAAGGGACCTTCTTATTCGAATGCATCGTACACGAAAAGCCCGCGGGGTCGTGATGTTTGTGGACGAGGATAACTTGAAACGTCTTCTGAAAACATTAGACAATTTAATACACGAAGGGCACACCGAACTTGATCGTCATTTCTGGTTCGTTGCGTCAGATTCCTGGGGAATCAAGCAATCGGTTGTAAAAGGATTGGAACATCGCACATACGGCGCCATAACCATTGCTCCGATGGTCCGTCAGGAAAAAGGATACATCGAGTTCTTCCGAAAGCTTTCACCAAAAGGATTTGTGTTCCTCGAGGAATATTTCGAGTTTCTTGGTTGTGCTGATCTCGAGGGAATCACGACGTTCGGAGAATGCTTCGATCACAACAACATGACGCTGAAACAAGAATCTTATGTGCCTTTCGTAGTGGACACTGTAAAAGTGATAGCTAAAGCTATTAGCAAGTATATCGAAGATGATTGTAAGCACGTTCCATTCCACAAGTGCTCGTTGTCTCAGCATGGTTTTCGCGGCGAACGCCTTCAACGTTATTATAGGAATATGTCACTTACGAGTAACGATTTTCGTTTTTGGTTTAAATACGTCTTGAATTTTTCAGACGGAGAACCGGCGTTGATTGATCACAATGGTGATGGTATAGGACGCTACGATGTTTTCCAATTGGATCGTGAAGGAGTGTATCAGAAAGTGGGAAAATGGCGATCAACCGACGATTTTCTTTCTGTGGAAGTCGAAAAAATCCGGCATGCCTTTAAAACTGGACCAAACGAGCGTCCAGTCAGCGTGTGCTCAACGGATTGTCCAAGAGGCCACTATAGAGCTTACCAAGATCAGACATGCTGTTGGGCTTGCATTCCGTGTGATACCAGTACAAGTATTCACAACGAGACAAGGTAATAATTTTGAGATAAATTTTGGACCTCATTTTAAAATTAAATTTAGTTGTGAGGAATGTCCCATTGGAATGGTGCCAGATAGAACTCTTCGGTACTGTGTACCGATTCCGCCGGTCTCGATGCAATGGGACACTACATGGGCCTTAATCCCGGCGGCATTTTCAACATTGGGAATCGCTTCGACTATATTTGTTGTGTCTGTGTTCTTGAAATTTTCAAACACCCCAGTGGTGAGACATTTAGCCGCAAAAATTAATATGTGTCATTCATAATTTTCTAGATAATGGCATCTGGAAGAGAGCTTTGTTATTGCATGATGACCGGCATATCTATGTGTTATTTGCTCACATTTTTCTTAGTTTCGCAGCCAACAATTCCGACATGCTTAATGACCAGGGTACGTATCAATTAACTGTTTTTTATTTTTTAATATTTTGTAGATTTTAATGGGCTTATCGATGTCGGCTATTTATGCGGCAATAATAACAAAAACGAATCGATTAGCTAGGGTCTTCAGTCCAGATTCGGCGCAACGTCCACGATTCATAACACCAAAAGCTCAAGTCTGTCTTTCAATTTCCTTCGAACTCAAAATTGCGCATCTTACAGGTGGGAATTTGCATGGGAATCGTGTCGGTGCAACTGATTGGCACAATAATTTGGATCATTTTCGATCCACCCGGCACCATGGTCGTTTTTCCGTCGAGAACCGAAGCAGTCCTTACTTGTAAAGCCACAACCTCGCATTTACTCTTCTCGCTTCTTTATAATCTTTTATTAATTGTTGCGTGTACTGTGTACGCCTTCAAAACGCGAAAAATCCCGGAAAATTTCAACGAAACACGACACATTGGTTTCACAATGTACAGTACGTGTATACTTTGGCTCGCATTCGGGCCTATTTATTTCGCTACTCAAAGCGATTTTAGGGTTTGTGAAAAAAGAACAATGTAAAAATTGTGAAGATTATCAATTTTAGATTCAAATCACCTCACTTTGTATGTGCATTTCCTTATCGGGTACTGTTGCTCTAATTTGTTTCTTTGCTCCAAAGGTAGCTCGAAATACCTCTTTTTTTTTTGAGAGCATTGACAATATTCAGGTTTATATTGTATTATTCCAACCATATAAGAATGTGCGGACGCGACAATCCGCCGTCGGTCGACTCGTCAACCAACAAATGCGCTTTATGAGGTATTTCGGCGTGAGGGTTTCTTGTAAATTAGTCCCCTTTCCCGGCATGATAAAAGTATTGAATCTGAAGAACATAATATTTCTTGGTCCGCATACTGTAAAACATTCCAGTACACCTTTAGGCTAATTATAAATGAATTTTCAATTAATGTTTGACGTGCACATTTTTCCCCGTTTTCTCACGCTCTTTTAAAATTCAAAAATTAATAGCGAGATTGAATGAAATCCTACCCTGAATGTTCTTGCATGTTATAGCCAATTGACCTACAACCCGGATGGATGCCATTCTTACCAACCAATGTCTTCGAATCAATCTTATAAACCAAGCAGTAAGTGATGCGATGAACAGAAACATGTTAAACAACTTTTTTTCAAAATTTTAGTCGTTTCAGCCGAGGAGAGCTCTCACACGAGCAACGCTCAGGCACCTCAAACACGATCGATCCCGCCTCAAATCATTGAGCAATTGGCTTCAAGTCTTACTGCTAATGATGTGAAAGAGTCGAAAAATGACTTAGGTAACTTAATTTTTTAAAAAGTATTTTATCTTATTTCACATTGTTCAGTTAAAAAATTATCACTACAAGACAATACGAATAATAGCAATGAGGACGAAATTCGAAGGCGTCGTCCTAGTAGTGTTCATACTTGTCAGTTGGCCAAGAATTCAAAAGCAGTAATCAGGCAGGATACCGTGAAAAGCCGCACGAGCATTAATGAAAACCATCAAGTGGATTTGATCTTGGAGGAAATCGCATCTGATATGAACTCCACATTTCTTTAATCGGAAGCCGTTTTCATATGTATATTTGCTATTTTCTACTTCTTCAGACAACGAAGGAAAACACTTTAAATGCTCCATTCCATTTTCTTTTATTTGAAAATCTTATTTTTCTTGAACAAGAAAAGGAGTTGCATTTGATCCTGAATTTCGTTTCATTGTTGTCTACGCATTTTGTTTTCCTCAAAAAAATCTTGTCATGCCCAAAAAACTCTTTTACGGGTTTTCAATCTCTTTTTTTAATCTATCTACTAATTATCGTAATTCTCAGTTTTTCGAATTTTTGAAATTCCCCGCATTCTCGACCCAAAGTGCCTTCATTACTTAACCCTCTGAATTACCTATAAATATTGTTGTAATATAATTAATAAATATTAATTGATTTTTTTTTGCGTGACGATTTCCATCAAGCGACTTACACATTTAATTTGCAAATTTTCTTATTTTCAAAAAAAAAACGTCGCTATTGGCTTGTAGTAAAAAGGTAATTTTGAAATTGAAGCAAACTAAATTTTTTTGGGTAATTAAGCTCGCAAATGGGTGATAAAAATCCTTCTGTGGCAGGACTTGTCGATGCGGGACCGTCAGAAATAGCCAATAAACCGACTGAGCCAACATTCAAACTCGGACTTACCGCCAACAAAGTTTGTTTCAACAAAATAGAATCTGCGTATTCGTCAGTTATAGATAATATTCAAATGCGGCGAGGACAGAAAGCCGGTCAGTGTGCCGATTAAAATCTTCAATCCAACCCAAGCGACGGTCAGCTTCAAGATTCGGTGCACATCTGCCGATATTTTCCGGGTTCAGCCGCCTATTGGAATTGTCAAAGCACAAGGTGTCACGGATATCATAATCTGGTTCCAGGTGATTTTGCTGCACATATGAAATATTTTTTTTGTTTTAGAATACTCAAAAGGTTGACAAGAACATAAACAAACATTATTTTGCGTTCTATCATACAAAGGCAGATAGCCGAACTCCTAAGGAGATTTGGTCTAATGCTAAGCCAGATGGTGAGAATTTCATGAGTCTCAATAATTCGATATTAATTCACTATAGGCGTTCGTCGTATTCCGGCAATATTCGAATACACCGGAGAAAAGAAAAGCGTTTCGCAAGCATCGGCAACCTAACTTTTCTTAAAATCGTAGAAAGTGTTCTTTATAACGAATAAAATTGGATTAAAAAACCCGCCTATGTGATTAGGAATAAAAATAAAGATACGAGCATTGAGGTCAAATAATTGGAAGAAATTGATGAGTCGTAGAATCTCTGCGTTGTGGTGCCCGTCACCAGCCGTGGAACCGTGCAGCAGCATTGATCTCAAAAGTGCAATGTGTAGTAAGAATATAATCTAGAATAGCTTACTAACACAGACCGCATCTATGCTGTAAGGCGTACATTGATAATCCTGTGTGCACCCAACATTCAATTTAAAACCTCCATTAATACAAACGGGATACATATTACATGCTGAAACTATCAGATTATGTCGTTTTCTTTGAACACTGATCTTACGGAATTCGGAAAAGAACCTATAGGGATCCGATCCACAAATGTATGGATATCGATTTGATTGGGAAAGTTGGCAAAATGCCAATTTGGAATGAAGCAAAAATAAAAACAATAGGAACACTGAACGAAAATACATTTTGTTTGACTGGTTTTTTCTCCGATGAATCGTAATGATTCACATTCTGATTGCACACCTGTTTATTTGCTTTGCAGGCTCGAAATTCGTCCCTCTCCATAGATGAGCCGCATTGAAATTTGTCATGTTTGGGTGCAGTTGCGCCACCAAAAACGATTTATGGCAAATGGCGCATTTCGAATGAATGGTGTTCAGATGCGCCGCTGAGATAAAGAACGACAAGGATTTCATAATTAATGAGGCTCGCGAAGAGGTTTTCTCGTCGATAAGATTGATTCCATTCGCCGTCCACAGGTTTTCAGACTTCAATTATAATATATTTGATAATATTGAAACAGTGAAGCAGTGAATTGCTACAGGTCCTTAAACGACAATCCATAGCACAGGAAAATTTTAGCTTCGAAGCCTAAGCAACAAAGATCATCTCCCATATTAAGAGATTTAAAAGAATGAATAATTTTGAAAAGCATTTATTCTATTAAACAAACTCCAGATGCATATTACAACTAGTGGAAGAAGTTTTGAGACCCTTTTCTGCGTTTCGCAATTCAATTCCCCAATCCCTTTTGTCTATTCTAAAGCCCTCTCACTCAAAAAATCTATCCATAAATGTCAACCAAGTGATTAAAACATTTCGAATTCTAATCCCGCTTCTCCGTTCAGTTTTCCCAAGACGGCGCTCAAATGAGCACATGATTTCAATCTCTCCGAAATTAAGCAACGAAACTTTTGACCACCCCCACTCCTCACACCCATCGTTCGCGCTATACGAAAACAATTTGGTGGTCCCGTTGCGACCTATTGTCAAGTGGTGGTTTCCGAGTGTCTCTGATCTGATTATTCAAACCTATTTATTATACACCGAATACACATGCAGAATTCAAAAAATATACATACAAGGAAAGAACGAGAAGAGAAAAACAATTTCAACAGAAAAGCACGTTGTCTCAAATTGGTACCGGTAATTATGAGGGTGAAGAGCACGAAATTATTAGTGGAGTAAAGCAGATACAGCATCTATATTGCAACAATTAAGTTTTGCAAGTGGTGAGAGATAAGCTGCTGATAAATTACATTTGAAAAGGCCTCTCTTGTTGTGTAACAACCTGATGAGCTCAGCATAAGCAAAATATTATAAAGTGAACCCGAATCGAAAAAAAATGACTAGTTGGGGATCCCCAACTGGCAGGACTCAAAGGGAAGGGTTGTGATCATCACAGACTTCGACTACTCTATTTGGAATACTAAGGTGATACAATTTGCGGGAACGATGATAAGTAACGCTCAAGAACCATGACTGCATCAGGTCGTCCCATCACGCGAAGTGTTTGCAGAAGATCGTGAACCGCACGAACTGAGCCAAACGACGATGCTTCCCAAAGATCAAGAAGCAATGATGTTGGACTACAATCGGGAAACGATGCGAAAAACTGCAGATAACGGTCGTAATGCATTTTCTTGGCGAGTCCGCGCCAATCCGAATGTGAGTCGTTTGGAGCGTCGAGAAGCATGGCCAATTCTTCCTTGATATTTATTGGAAGATGGAATTGGACAATAACATTTCCGCGTTCACGTTCTTCACACGTTTTGTCGTACTAAATAATATAATATAGTTAAACAATTTAAATTTGAAATTATTATTACTAATTCTGGTTCATTCGAGACGTGCAGAACAATCGGCTCAGTGCTACTCAATTTCTGGTAGACAATGACTCTTGTCGAGAAGTGCCCGCTTACATTGATTTCTCGAGGTCGGAATCTTAAATTGCCTATTAAATATTTTTCTTTTAGGTAATATCTTACTTTAACGAGCAGTGAAGTCCGTTTTGGGCAACCCATCGGTGCTGTGTGTCGGCAATTTCGACAACATCCGGTCCATCAAGTGAATATGAATTGTGGAGATCCTCAACGCAAATGCACAAGCTTCCCTTTTCATTGAGGATATAGTCACAGGACTCCACAAGAAGACGTGAGTTCTCTTCTTGTTTCCAAACCGATTCCATGGCAGCGCCGGTTTCCGGCACACAATATGCTCGCAATTCGAACGATCTGCGATAGGCTGCTGGATCACTTGGGCCGAAGATTGCTAGATGAACACGCTTGGCAGAGCAGAGACCGTTCCTTCGGGTTTGTCCGGCGAGCATGAGACGACACAACGAATATGTGATCACGTGACACCATCCAAAGCCGTCGCCGAATTTTCCAGGCTGTTCAAATTGCACAAACATGTTTGTGTTCAAGTCTTCTTCGCCGACAGTAACCACTTTTTGCCATCCGGCCCCCTCATCGGCATACAAATTGAACTGCCAGTTGTCCCGTGGAAATGTCGAAGCGCTGTGACGGAATGAAACAACCACAGGTCGTCGAAGAATATTTGATGAAGCCGAATGAAGCGAGGATGTGGACGAAACGTCGCATTGACCAATGACAATTACCGGGCTGAGAGATGACTCATGGGCTGGAATTATTTCAATATTTTTTCATAAAGTAATATGTCCACATACGTGGGAGATGCGGCTGGTCAGATAAGGTGTCCGATACAGCAAGATACAACATTTTTTCTCCTTCGACGGCAAGTTCAGGAACGGTGAGCCTAGCACCAGATTTGGCCAATGACAATCTAGCTCCACTTCCGTCAATTTGAGCGGCCACAATAGATTGCGAAGTGTCTAGGCCTAACACGCTTCTAAAAGACGAATGTATAAGTTAATATTACCCAAAAACTATAGTATTACTTGTCTTCCATATAGTCGTAAAGAGTCGCGTAATTGTCATCATCAGAGCAATTGGAGCTTGAAGTACGCAAAATAGTTCGTTTTCCTCCCGATGAGCTTCCAGATGAAAATTCCTGAATTAGCGCTGCTCGTGATCCAGCATTTCTTGACGAGGAATATCCACTGAAGACGCTCTTTCCCGATCTCATTGTAGTCGATGGATGAAGTGGTGGTGGTGGATCGAAGTATTGTGAGCATGATGATATCTATATCATAAACATAGCTAATGGTACCTCAATCAATATTCGCTTTACCTTTGAGCTATGATCACCTAGAAGCGTTCCATGTTGATGTTCTAATAGGAGTCGTCGAACGCCTGGTGGTTCAGAATAGTAAATTCCGCCGCATTTTTCCACATTTTTCTCCCCTTTTTTGCCTTTTCGGCAACAGATCATCGCGATAATCGCAAGGATAAATGTGGCCACGATAAAGATCGAGGCAACCGAACCGTAAACCGCAGTGTCACTGATAATAAGGCGTGACGAATCGGTTGAGCAGAGTCTGAAAATGATAAACAGTCAGATCTAATCTTGAATAAAAGTTTCCTACTGTGTCGGACATTGTTCTGTAGTCAAATCATCTCCGAAACAAGGTTGTCCTCCATTCATGGGCGGTGGCACAGTACACGCTCTGGTTCTGTACCTGTGACAACTCGATGAGCAAGCTGACCATTCTGACCATGAGGACCATCCTCCATCTAATTTACATGCAATTTTGCAATTACGAGTCGCCTAAAAATGTTGGGATAGCTTTCAAACCAATTTTGATGGTACCTCTTCATCGCCCTTGCAATAGGCACCGCCGTTCAGCGGTGCTGGATTATTACATGTTCGCGTCCTTCTTTGATGCGGTAGAACTTTGTGTGGATCGGGAATTGTGTGTGCGTATTGTCGTAATAATGCGCAATCCACGTGGCATGTACCGACCCATTCGGTCCACTCTGACCAACCGCCGTCAACTGAAATTTATGGAAATGTTTTCTTTGAATTTCTGGATGTATTATTTCTGCTAGTTTTTTTTTTCACACGTCCTACTAATAAAATTGTCGTTTTTTCCATTTGCCGTTCGGCGCCGCTTATTCATCAAAGAGGCGAACACGAGTCAACCTATCCACCATCCGTCAAATTGTTATGCAATTTCACAGTCTGCGCATCCGACCCAACGTTTGCTATTTCGCGATTAAATGAGCAGCCAATTACATAAGTTTAGTGTTTCGCTCAAGTTTTACGATCTACCTGTTGAGCGGCGCGGCCTCTTTGAACTCGCCACCGATTGCGCAAGGACAAGAGGGAATGAAAACACAGACAAAAGTCAAATGTCTCAAGTTTCAGCCGCGCTAATAATAGACAAAGCAAGATAACGTGTGTATGTGTGACCCGTCTTAAATGTAGCATGACTAATTCGCACCAAGGTCGGAGCCGTTTTTTTTTTCTTTCTAATTCTTACCATAAACATGCACTTGCGCTGAATCGGTTCTCCTTGAATTTGCGACATTTGTCGCTTCACACGAATAGTTTCCACTGTCGCTGAGTCGGGCCGCTGAGAGGATCAGACTTCCATCGGAAGCGAGAATTACGTTTGCGTCTGATGCGATCACTTCTCCATCCTTGTACCATGTGAGCTGTAATCATGACTATGCAATAATGTTCGCGTCACATGTTTTTGGTGCTTGGCTTATTGTTTCGAGATCGCAATCGCGACTAGCTCATTATGTCAATTCGGTTAGCATGAATGTCGAAAGGTCGAATGTATGTTGGGCAGATGTTTTGGTCGCTCATGTTTCAATATAGGCTAACCTTGAATACCGGTTCGAAAGCAACATTAATAAGGCGTTAAAATCCTCTCGGAATAATGAACCCTCAAAATTGTGTGTGCTTTAAAAATACACACCCGGCTTTGTAACTACTAGTTGAGAATTCCCAACCACCTGGATTGATTCAATAAAATGACATTGAACACGTGTTTTTTTCTCGCAATTTGCTCATAAAAATTTCTGGCTCGCGGATGGCACCAACTCGTACCTGAGCTTTTGGATCACTTTCCGGCGCCTGGCATGGTAGTTGAACAGTTGATCCCTCGGCGACCCGCTGAGCGACGGGTGTTTTGAGAAAGTGCTTGCGCATATCTGAAATTAGGCTCAATCATATAATTCATTAATATTAAATAATTATTACAATTATAACGAGGGTTGACCTAGTTTCGTATAAACCCCTGAATCAAGCAAAGAAAAGAAAGCGAAGCGGGAAGGCGGCGGCGGCGGAAAATAAGTTAGTTAATTTCTCGGCGATGGTTTCACCAATGCCTGATTGGTGCACATTCACAACGCAGTTTTTCAAGTGGCGCCCACTACCACACGCGTCGAAGCTCATTTGCGATCTAATTGTGCATGAATTGCGGAGCAGAGAGTTGCGCAACAATTTTCCGCAAGTTTGGCCCATCTTTCCCACCATCATCGCCGCCAGTTTGGCGCACCTTTTGGTGTTGTAAACGTATGCCGATATTCAAATTTGGTCGGAAAATCATGATATACGGTCATGCAAATATCGATAATGTTTGCATTTAATGCAACACTGACGGCCTTTCAACCGTGCCGGTGGGGTTTACGGTACCTATCCACCAGTTGATACAGCTGATCAGGTTCCCTGGAGAGGGTGCAATATTTGAATTGACACCATTACGCCATAACACCATGTAAACAAATATAAATGATACTATGGTGCAATGAACACAGTAGGACAGTGAGTGTAATGTGAGGAAAATTGTGGCTACTTGGTTTTTATTGTTGTTTTATCAATAAAAGATAAAAAATGTGTGATATTGCTAAATTTTTACGATCTGAAGAAAAAATGGTTTAGCGCGTAACAATTTAGCAAAGAATTTTGCGACACGCATTGAATATTACGGAATGGAGCCAATTGGTTTCGTGAAGGCAGAAAACTTTCAAAAGTAATGCAACCCGTTTGAATGCTAAAATCTGAAGCTATGAAACTGCGAATAATCGAATCGTCAAGTAGAACAAGTTGTTTCGAGAATTGAAAAGTAATGGTATGGGTGTTCGCGCGCATCTCGCCTCGAATTCGACAACATATGTGTCAAACACTCATATGAATATTGAATGACTTGGACTTGACTCGACATCTATTATTATTATTATTTGTCTCCGGGGCCGTAACTTGATACGAAAACCCTGGAGTATCATGAGTGAGGACCACAATCGCAAATCGCGCTCAACTGAAAACAACTGTGTGGTTGGGTCTGGGAAGCGAGTGAGCGAGCGACGAACCGCCTACAGCATTTGAACGAGCAAAAATGAGGAGCAGAAATTTCGGAACGCTCATTTATTCTGAGCTGCGCACATTTGTTTTCAGGAAGAAGAAAGTATGTAGAAAACAAAGACAAAACTGATGGTGGATGTATGGTGACGGGTGTGACGTGCTGCTGGGTTAGTGGAAGAAGGGCGGGCAGAGTAAATACCGTGTCATTATAGGGAGGAGGCTGCCAAATTGCTACTCGCCTTACCCGCCCATATCGGTTTGCAATTATTTTGGCATGTTTGAATAATCGTATTGGGATGTAGGGCAGGAAGGAAAATAGTTTTGGTTTTCTTCGAACACGCATTTTTTTTAGTTATAAGTAAAAGGTGAAATGGTTTAATTTCGATTCCAATAATTTTTGGCATATTTTTCTAACCAGCTGGTATAGTATTCTTTCATGTTGAAAGTGCAATCGATGATTTCATTCGCCAACAAAAAAAGTGCAAAATTCGAAAATAATGTATTTTCGAGTTCCATTTCCATTTGGAAATTGGAAAAAGTGGCGAGGCCTGCGGCTCGCCAACAAATCCTTGCGCCAAAACGCCCAAGAGCAAAATTAGAGACGGAACGGAAAAGTGTCGAATTTCATCAAGGACTCCCCCACCTTGCACACATAATCCCCTTAAGTGAAACCTCCGTTTCCCCTTCTTTTGCTAGAAGAGCGCCCTTGACAAAATGCGCGAGAAGTATGAAGAAGAAGAAAAAACAGAAACAACATCACATACTCGACCTCTTCAATCATAAACAAAATGGTTTGTTTATTGGAATAATTGATGAGCAAATGACACATAAAAAATAAACATGAGAGTACTAAATGCAGTGTATAATATCGAAACGAGAGGATGAGTTCTAATGCAATTTGCGACGCGGTTTGTCGGGTCGGAAAAACGGGAGCTCCCTCCAGGGAGCACTCGATATCGTGTAGATCGAAAAACGAGTATGCAAATTTCGATGCGAACAATGAGATAATCCATGTCATGTTCGTGTCATTCCTCTTTTATCAATTGCGCAATCTTTTATGGTTGAGTTTCGGACCACGACCAACTATCTTATCTTGGGTTTTAATAACTTCAGTTGTAATAGTAGTAATAATCATGACTGGGATTTTATGAGTCTGGGAGGATCCCCGTAAATGGGAAAATAGAGACAATTAATACATAGGTTGATGAATTAATTATTGATTCTATTGGGTTTTATATTTTAATAGAGAAAATAGTATAAAGAGGAACATAATTGTAAGAATGCACAAGCAAATATGGTTGGTCTTGACATTTTGAAGGCGGAAAAAAACCGCCGAGCAACATTGACTATACATGTTGAGGAGAATGCGACGATGAATAACATACATGGTAGCAAACGGTCGTTTTGTGTACAATACACACGCAATTAGCAGTAAGTTTTGACTCACGTTCAATTATTATAAAACACAATTCGAAATTTCTTCAACGACGAATCGAAAGACAGAGGAAGAATGAAAAAGCAAAAAGAAGAGCAAAAGTGTGAGCCATAAAATTGATAGGTGCGCAGGCAGGAGGTAACGAGTTGGTCGAATAAATCACCAGAGTGTGGGTGCCGTGGAGGAAGATACCAACGAATTTTGTTGTGTTTGTTGACTATTAATCAGATAGGTCAAATGTCGCGAGATATTTGAAGCGCGTACGCATTGTAAATCAAGTATATATTGTTAGAATTTACAATTCGGACACGCAGGTTGTCGAATGACAATACGCATTAAGATTGATATTCGGCGGTTAGATAGCGAGAATGAGATAAAACTTGCCATCTGCAGACATTTGGCATGAGTTACTGATCGCCTGGTTTTTTTCTAAGAAAAACAACCATATTTGGAAAGGCAATCGCTTTCCCAAACATTGAATCAATCGCATGTTTATTTTGCTTGTACGAATTATGAGCAAAACTTGATTTTTTCCTGTTCATAGTGGTCAAATTTTCAGTTTACTCTTTACCATCGCGATAGAATGTGGACCATCGACTTATCCGGGGAATACATTTTGATTTAGATAGTGGGAATTCGGGTACCGTACTACGGATACCCTGTGAATCAAATTCATTGTACAAATGTTGCTCGTTTTTCTTTTGAATTGAAATACAAATTGAAGATTCAAATCATGAAAGATATCTTGAAAACACTCACATGCTAGATGAATTGTCGCGACGTCGGAAGCTACCACGTTGACGTCGCCCTCAGCGGACGCGTAGCACTGACAGGTGAAGGCGTCGACGTGTGCAGAAGTGTCAATATCGACACGCGAGATCTCGACAAACGCTTCTATAAATGGTGTGGATGTGGCGGGCTCAGTTCCGTGGGTGCTCTCCACACGATTCTCATCAATCTGAAAAAAAGAGGCGAATAAAAATGCACAATAATAACGTTTATTCGTAGGCATGTGTGTGTGTGTGTGTTGTGTGAGAATAGACAGAGGATAATTGACAGGTTTCGCAGCACACTTTTGTTTCTTCTTTTCGTTTTGTTGGGATTATTTCGGTGGAATTTTGAATGGCGAAAAAGGCGTAATCTTGGTTGTGTCCCTCAAGTCTTAAAAAATGAATAGAGACTTCCAGTTCCCAGGTGACTCAAAAATACGTAGTGGCAAAAGCACATTTACATCAACTGCGAACTGTGGGAAAAAATCGAAGGGCGTCGTCCGTCTAAACGCGTAACCCAATAAATATATGAAGTAAGAGGAAAACGACAACTTTCTTTTTTTTTCGTGTCTTGCGCGCGACGAAAAAAAAACGCAGAGAAAATCAAGAAAATATTCCATGAGCGCTGAATTTTTAATTGCTCGTCGCGCAGGTTTTCGCTCGAAAGTGCTAATAAGGGCGGCTCCTACGAATTTTTTTCTTCTCGGCCAAGAGAGAAAAGCAACAAAGAACGCTGGAAAGTTGTCTAAATTTGGAATTGGCGAAATCAATTTGTCTGCTATCAACAACGTTTGGGGGTTTGACCTGCCCGTCTCCGAATTTTGCATAACAGGTTTCTGCGCGAGGCGGTGCGAATGTAAAGAGAGAGAAGAAGATGAAGGGGACACCTTCATCCTTTTATTTTTGTTTGAATAGGTGAGTGCTCTCAGTTCCTGTTCAGCCGAAAAGGTCCGATAAATACTTGAGACGGTTGCAGGATTGTCGGTATTCCAAGGTTGCAAAGGCCTCTTGTGGAGTAGTAGGTGACAGGCTTGCGAGTGTGAAAACAATTTTCTAAGGATCTCAGTTTCATTTAAAAATTTGTCAATGCATTTAAAACTCTCCAACACGTATTTTTTCAAATGAGAATACCTTAAAATTAACAAAAAAAAATGTTTTTTTTTAATCAGTATAATGTTCCATATGAAATTGAAACCCATTAAAGTTTTATTAGCAGGCGTCCCGTCGGAACATTAATAACATTTACAAATATTTAGCCTTTGGGTGTTGTGGGAACGATGTGATAAGACGATAATTTGCTAAAATAACATTTGCTCATCGGCAAGTGCTACAGTAGGCGTTTCGGAGATAGATTTCGCAATGAGAACAATCCTACGGTACATAAACGGTTTGCGAAATTCGGTGCGGACCCCCTTGGGGGAGAGGTTGACAAAACATAAAACTCACCCATTTGCTGCTACATTTGAAACGAATTTTGGTGGCTTGATTCGCGCGGCACGTCAGACGAAGCGGCTTGTTTCGGACGACATATCCCGATTTCGGCTGCTCTGTGATCGCGATCTCGTCCATTACTGCAAACAACAAGTCATAAAGTTATTTTCCGAAAAGCGCGAACGCGACAGATGTCCACGGTCATGATTATTAGTTCATGTTTTGACCTTGCGCAAGAAATCAGTTTTATGGAGTAATGGGAATCGTAAAAATGTTGATTGGACTAACAGTGCATATTAAAATGGGTTCTGTAGAAATAAGGATGTTTGAGTAAGAAAGAGAGAGAGAGAGAAAATCGACAGAAAATGGTGTAATGAATGTTTTAAAAGTATTTTGTAATCTAACTTTCAAATCTTGTGACAAACTTTTCCAATTGACTAATTTTTGAAAGATTGAAAAACTCTTACCGCTTGATTGAATTCCACCCAATATGAAAATCAGCGTCAAATGATTATAAACAATACTTGAGAATAGTCTCATTGTTTCAATTTCGAATATTAGAGCTCATGGGGCCAATATGCGGTAAATCGGCAAAAGAATAACCAAAAAATGAGTAAAACAATCAAAATTATTTGTGTTATTGTTTTGTGATGATGCGGAAGAGGCAACGGGCGTAAGGCAAGAAGGCGGCGAGGGTCAACACAAGAGGAAGAGGGCGGGGCCGCGTGGTACCGCCTACTTTTTTAAGCGCGCACGCGCACTGAACGTGGTGTTCCGTCGATTATGCTAAATTTTTTTTCCTCCGATTTGCCGGGATTTGCAGAATTTTTAAATAGAATTATTTTTTTATAACGGATGCAACCGCCAATCGACCGATTTAACAACAAACAACGAAGAGTTCATCGAATATCAAATTTCTACGTGCAAATAATTATTTTTACATTGTAATTGTAAAGAAACAAAAAATGCGGAACTAATATAGCTTAACGGTTAAAAAATGAAGACTATCATTTGAGAAAAAAGCGAATCTTAAAATATCGTATTCTATTGCGTTACCCATTGATGTCTTTAATGGAACAACGAGGAGAGAAAAACAATTTGAGTTGTCATCCATTCCAACCCATTTATTGTTTATTCTCGACCAATTTCGAGCCTCAAGACGAAGAAGCAGTAGTGAGCGTCAGCAGAGATCAGTTTTAAAGATAAAATGCGGCAAGGATTAAAAGTTGCGCCATTGTCACTACTATGTAATACTACGAGTAGCGAACGAAATGTACGAAAAAAGATTCATTTTCGCGAAACCGCATTTTCACATCTTTATGGAACAACACGCGGACACCTACTGTGCTTAATTGTTACTACGCAGCTTTTGTTTTTTTTAGTAGGGCCTGGTAAATGTTGGATTCTTGAGAAACTGGAAACCTAGTATCGCATTCAATATTTTAAATTAAAAATATTAAAATAAAATGTTTAGCCGAGCTTTTATTTAAAGAACGCTTGGATTTTGGGTAGTTTTCAAGAAAAATTTTACATTGTGCGGTTTTCAACAATATTTCTTGATTTCCGCGCCATCACAAAAAAAGTGGCATCAATGCCAAATTCGATTTTCATCATTGTGTTTCAAACACGATACTCGACACACCTGCGCGGACAACTTCAAACATCTGCGGTAAAAAAGGAGAGAAAACGTGGCGTTTTATTACCGTAACTAATTGCTCGTCGGAAGAATTTCGGATCGGAATTGAAAGAAAAAACAAACAAAAGATTAATGGGACAGATTACGATATGTACTGTAGACGCCGAAAGTCCTCAAAATGGAGAATCGAATTCAATTTAACGATTCTTAATTTATGTCTTCTGTCGTGGATTATATCCGGATTCATAGTAGAAAATAAAGAACCTAAAAGTGGGATTAACGTATAGATTTCTGAAAACGCCCAATTTTCGATTTTTTCATTGTATGTGGTTATTAGGTATATATACTGCTGGAAATTTACCTCAAAACCATTCAATGTTGTCCTTGAGGACCATTTTTATTGGCATGTCATGGGTATGCGCATCGTCAAAACGGAATCATTGGCACTCGAACCCATTGCTCATTTTTATGTGACATTTGCCAAACGATGGGGGTGCGCGAGAAATTTGAAAATTTTCAAAATCAATTCTACAATGCGAAAACGAAATGGGACAAATTCATGTTCACAATAAATCAGGAATCGATTGTAAATTAATGACATCTGTTGTCATACGGTACTCCATATTTTATCATTTTATGTGTCTCGTTCGCGATTTCTCTCCCCCCCCCCAGAGTCTTGAAGGATATCATGGAATAGATGTGCTTCCAATTCGCTTCCACCTCCTCACTAAATCCGTTTTACACCTTTTTGCACGCTGCTGGCCGCCGCCAAAAAACCGCCCATCTATCATTTTTCGCACATGATAAATAAAACGAAGAATATGAGAGGATTTGCAGAAACCACAGAGAGAAGATATTTTGATGACACCTCGAACAACACGAGAAATTTCGAATCGAGACTGAGGTTCTCATGCTCTTTGCAAATGTCGCCGAGACAAATTGTGTTAAAACAAATACACGCTTACATGGCTAACGTCAACTACGGACAAAGGTCGCGAATGGAAGAAATATGACCATGTTTGGACAAAAATATGGAAATCATTCTGTGTTTCTCTACATTTTGAATATTTAATGTGGGGTATTTTTTTCGATTACAAGCCCATTGTTCCCCGTGCTTTATGTATACACAATTTTTCCAATAACCCAAGCCTTTACTTTTCGGCGACAGGAAAGCAGCAGCCCGTGTCAATACCATTAAACTACTAATGATTTGGTGACATCGGCATCGAAAAGTGTGTATGTCTGTTACAAAAAATCCAAGCCAATGCGCGCGGGGAAACGGCGAGCAATTGGTGACGACGCCTGTTCGACCACACAGAATCGAATGTTATTTTAGCGCGCGCTGAGCGAATGCAACAAGTGCGAAAACGTCTGCCACCAATCGTTTTGGTCGAGCCGACGATTGATGGCTTTTCCGATAAGCGGCGTTGAGATCGATTAAAACCGACATTTTATTTAAAATGAATTTGAGGGTATCCATTCAATATTAACCTTTAGAAGAATTCGTTCGGCCTAAAGTTTTTTCATGATCTCGCATATAATTACTTCCAACAAGCCGATATAGGGCATGCCTTTAATCCAAAAACAAACTTTTCTTGGCAGAGTGTCATTCAACTGCTCTTTGTCACCAAACAATCACTCTGCGTCTCATGATGAGCTACACACTCTCTCACCACCACCTAATATTTGTGCTCCAATGGACTACCGTAATTTGATGATATATATCAAACGGACCACTATAATGGCATCGGGAAGCTTTTGCGAGAGGGAAAGAGAACGTGATGAAATTTGACTTGAACGAAAAAAAAAACAACTCACTGGACTTGTAGTCGATAAAATAGTCGCTGTATGCGGCGTCGTCATCGTCTGACATGTTCTGTAATAAAACGAATTTTGTGATCGCGACGAGAAAATTGGGAAGGAAAGCCTAAGAGAAACATTTAACTGCTCGCGGTTTTTCTTTTAATAAAAACCAGATGGACGACACAAATTTGTGACCACAAGTGTGGATTTCAAAAAAAAACTTCAGCCGAATGTTTTTTTTTTACTTCTTCCAGGTGACAAACAGGAATGAAACATGTGTCGAAATTTTGGAATACGAAATCTCAATATTTTTGAATTTTTTGGTTTGTTTTGATGGATTGTGAGATTATACTGACAGCACACATTCAAAAATTTTGGAATTCAAATAAGGGAGAGTTTTTTTATTGAGACGAAACTGAATCAAGAAAAGATTTTTTTGGATAAAGAAGAGAAGTATCGGAAAAGAGCTTGAGAAGAATGATTCAATTTGCTCTGACACCACCAAATGTGGGGCCGTATTTATCAGTAGCGATAACAGCGACAAAATAAAGAGAGGAGCCGACTGCCAACAATAAGAATTCATAAGCAAATAGCAAACTCGCAATTATGAAAGTTTCCATTTAATAAATGGGAATTTCCGGATAAGGAGAGGGCCACTCAAAAAAATGACGCAAATAAAAAACAAGATTTTGAAGAAAAATTGCACTTTGAAGAAAGTTTGTAAACAAATTTGGTTGAATTTCAAGATTAGGAGTCCCTTGGGTTGACAAATTTTTTAAATTTCTCATTTTTATTGTTTTAGATCGCCGTAATCAATCAAAAATTTTTATGCTCATAAATATGTTAAGTTTATATACGTCCAAATAGGAAAATTAAATTATTTATAATAAATAAAAAATACGGACAAAAATAAATTGAGAGAAAGAGAAGGTGATTGGCTGGGAACCAAAATGCGGAGCGAATGAAGACACCTTGATGTGCCTCAATCTCCGTTTTGACATATCTATTATAGCTGAGCAGGTGATGGCTCCCATCATCTTCCGCCGGCGCGACCGGCTCGCAACAATATAGGAGCCCAACACCACTCAAAAAATGTTTAAAAAAGAATGAAACCCATGGCGGCGACACCACAACACCCTCAAGGGTGTCGCAATTATATCACGATTATGAATGCAACACTGCGAGATTACGAACGAGCGATTATTGAGATTTGCGAGACGCACACAGACTCTTCGGGCATACAATTGATGGGTTTTGATATTATGTAGTGCGTGAACTTTGTAACGTAATCCTCTCGGGTGCTTTCCAAAGAATAGATTAAGTTGGAGAATAGGCCTCGATTGGAAGTTTAAGTGCAATTTGAAAACTAATATTCGAGGTGGTTGGAAAAACGAATTATGTGATTATACGTCTTATGTTAGAAGCTTTGATTTCGTTCTTACTAATATAGAGATTGCATTATGACGAATTTTATTCAAAGGGTACAGATACAAGTGACAGAAAAAAACTAAACCGTAAATTAAGGTCGAAACAAATCGTTCTCTGAGCAAATATTCTAAAGAGAGACACAATTAAAGGCAAAACATGAAAAATAAAGCATACAGATGTTAATAGTATCATTAGTAAGACAGATTAGTGTTTTTCCATAAAATTCAGTAAATGAGCCGGATACTCGTCGGCAGGCAAGTTTTGGTTATATTTTCGTTTGAACGCGTGTGCAGCAAGACCTTTCAAAGTGATAAATCGACCTGAAAAGCAATTTCACAATCCTTTATTCAATTTAGTCAGCTTACCAAGAGGGATATCGGTAGTTTTCATTACCTCGCGTAATTTGGTGTAAACCACCTCATTCTTCTTATTGCAAGCGAATAGCAATGCTCCATGCTCAAGCAATATGCGAATTAAGCTTCTCCTAAATCTCATTACTCAATTTTTACCACTGCGCTGTTTCGTACCTGGACGAATTTGATTTGAGTAGAACGTGAATCGGAGAGTTTCCATTCGAGTCAACCGCTGATGTGTCAACATTTTGTTCAATGAGTTTCATGAGAACAGAAGCCTTTGGAAGGCTGAAAAAAAATTATTATCGATATTTAAAAATCTTAGTACCTCATATAATCAGCTGCTGCATGTTCATCGCTAGTTTCTTCAAGCGCATAGTGAAGAAGGCTGGCGTGAATTTTATCGCAAATATTCACCAAACGTTGAATCTTTAAATGTATATACAGTTTAAATTTACAGTTGAAAAGAGAATTACATCAAGATCAGCGCCTTTATCATCAATATCGTCACCATTCGCCGAGGGCAGCGATATTCGTTCCATCTGAAATTGAGATTTTTTTATGAAAATTATCAGTTTTTCAACATACGATATTTATTAATTGTAAGGCAACCGTGCACAATTTTTTCTTATCACTTTCAATCGATTCTGAACTGCATTTTTCTGATCCACAAGACTCATCGTACAGAGGTTTGTCGTACACGAAAAATCGTTCCAATTCGATGCAAATCCTTTCAAAAACATACTGGATCCATGACGAACTAACACGCAGAGATCTATCTGCATGCATAGCATTTACATAATCATTTAATGCCAATCCAAAGGTCTCCTAAATATTTTTTCTAATACCCCTAAGTTGTTTTTGTTTTTTTAGTACCTGAAAGGACATCAACGTCGTAACCGTGGCACCGTGAAACGGCTGAAAATGTTTCTGCTGCATTTCAAGCGCCCGTTTCCACAGCGTGTAACATTTATCCATCTGACCAAGGTCACAGCAAACAGCACCTCGAAATCGCAAATAGTAATGAACATCAGGATGCGCTTCTCCCAAAATTCGTTCGCGAATCACCAGTGACTGCAAAAAATGGATAAGAGTTTCTTGACCTTTTGCAGCTGTGACGATAAACATATCAACCACCGAAAATAGACATCGATTTACACTAAGTACTCTCCTAAAGTAGCTGTGACGCAACAGTGAGAACATGTGCCAAGAGTGGCTGATGCGAGTATCAATATAGGAAACATGTTGTTATTAATATTCAAGGGATAAACATAACTGACTGAACGACTGTTTCTTAGTGTTTTTTTCCACAATACAGAATGTGGTATTGTGGGCAAAAGGCAATAAATCAATGTTTTGAGCTACTGTCGGTGACTCAAAAAGCGGTGTGGGAAATGAGTAACATCAACGAGTCATATGTTATGCAATAGAAGTGGACGGTCAAATTGGTTGTGATTCCCGTTTATCATTGCCTTTGAGCGGCGGGAGTAAAGCCGCAAAGGGAAGCTGACTGTTACATATTCCATTGTCATATATCACTGAGCGCAAAATGTTGCGTGCTACACTCATTAACCCCCGCTCAGTTAGTCGCACTCTCTTTAATTAGTGCACTATTTTTGATTGGGCGGTGGAAACAAGACCAGGAAACAGCTCATCATTCCGAGCATCTAATTGACTCCGCGATGTTAAAACGCCAGCGGTTTACGACAATATTTTAGGGATTTACTATGGAAACATTAAATCAGGTATATAATAAAATCAATAAATAATTTTTATTATTATTATAAATCACCCGCACAAGATTAATTAATTATTTTAGCTCATTTTTTTTTGCTTCGCACACCTAATTGAGCAATTATTAAGATTTGCCTTCTTAGTTGAGATTAGCACTATAAGAGCACTTCAAAAGCAACGAAAAAAAGCGTGCAAGCTGATAATTATCGCGGCATGTTTTGAGGTGTTCTTCCGCACAATTTGCATCAAACAAAGAGTGCCCGTGAAGAGGAGGAACCCGACAATCTTCCAAGAACGCGCGACTTATTAATCTGTATACACAGAAATATAGACAACAATTACTCATGGCCTATGAAGAGGTCAATTAATGACCACGCGCGCATTCTAATAGGCAAGGCTGTCGTCGTAAATCCATGGACCACGTGCCGACAAAAAAACCCGATAAAACATTTGAAGAATAATTATGGAGAAAAGGGGGACTTGAAATTAGTTTTGATATTATAGGAATGGGTGATTTATAGATTAAAAAATTAATAACCTGCATTCTGAGTGCTTCTAGATTCCCTTCTATAGCCATCAATTCGCCACATCGGTGAAATTCACGAGAATAGTCATATACGTCCAGCGGTTCAGTAGTCGCTTCCCATGCGGAAATCTAAGAAAAACTACGGTAAACTTATTTTAATTTTGTTTTTTTAAAACCTCTTGCCATTCTTCATGTGTTAATTCTATATCAACAGACGTTCTCCAAAATGACAAAGCTAAGTAATTGTCCATTTTCTTATCGACGAAAGTGCATCCAAGTAGTTTATAAGCATCTCTTCTAAGCAAATTATTGGTGGTTATTTGTTCAAGAATTTCAACGACCTGTAATTTTGTAATTGCCAAACAATTCTACTGTTTTTTTTTCAACTTCTTGATGTCCACTAGCAGCAGCGCATAATAGTGGACAAACTCCTTGTGAATCTTTACGGATTTTTGCACCACGTTCTAGTAGTAGCTTCACAATCTCCACGTTTCCACTTTCAGCAGCATCGTGGAGCGCAGAATTTCCTACAGAAGACAATTATAACATTTTTTAATGTTACAATCAAACCCCTCGTAGTCTGTACATCAACATCTGCACCTCTTTCCAAAAGTAATCGAACAACGTCGACCTGAAATCCTTTTAGTTTTTTTTTTAACATTTAATACAACATGATTTAAACTTTTTGACGATAAGCAGCTATCATTAATGATGTATGTCCATGCTTATTAGGTTTATTGATGTCAGCTCCATGGTCCAATAAGTATTTTACTAAAAACGAGTATTAAGCTTATATTTGTCCATTCATTTGCAAACATTGATTTCCATTAGAGACAAAATTATAGTGACTCACCGATTTCTAAATGCCCGTCATAGCAGGCACCACGAAGAGGAGTGCTTTCGGTTTGTGTGGTTTGGTTCACATCAGCATTTGCTTCTTCAACCAAAACTTTCACTACCTTAAAAATGCAATTTTGTAACAGCTGCTCGTGACGAGAATAAATTGAAATGCGATAATTGTTTCGAAAATGGAAATTACATCGAAATATCCTGCTGCTGCGGCGGCCCATAATGGCGGAGCTCCCACTGAAACGTCTATTAAATTTACATTACTTTTTATTATCTTACAAATATCGTCGTTATCAAATTCCACACATCCTTGAACAGACGTGCTTGCTCCTAGTGACAACTGAAGTCAAATCGTCTATTATTACAGAGCTTCTATAATTTGCTTACAAAGTATCGAACAACATCAATGTGACCATTTCTTGCGGCAATAACTAAAGGGAAAGTGGGAACAAAATCATCATTTAAAAGATCGTTCAACCATTTAGGGTCATCTTTATTTGGTTCCACGAAGATCTATAAAATATACATTAATAATTATATATTTTCTAAATAATTATATTTAACGGTGAATAAAAATTAAACCTTTATTCTTTGAAGCTTTCCACATGCCGCAGCATTATAAACAACCATCCGAAACTGCTGCCCTTTAATAGTGTAGCTCATTTTTCTGAAATTTGTTATGTTTTGAGTAAAGCCATCGAAAAGGAGCATCGCGTTTTGTGTAAAGTGCTATTTATCCATGAATCCTCCGCGAATTTTGTGGTGTTTGCGGATTTAACAATGGAGCACACTTGCCAATCCTTTTATTGCACTCCGAATTTAAATGCTTTTAAAAATTTTTACCTTAAAACGTAAATTTTGAAACGTCATTGCTTTTTTTAAAATGTATTTTTAAATGTAAAACATTTCAGAAAACATTAAATTTTAAATGAATGTCATTATCTATGTTGCTCGCCCAAAAATTATCGATTTTTTCTCAAACAAAGAAACGCAGATAACTGCGTTTGTTTTGGAGAAAAAAAATTATCGAAAAATGTCAAGATGCTTTAATTTCTCACGATAAGATTGTGGCATTTGAAAATATGCAGGGAAGCTGATAACAATCTAATGCAGATCTGCCAAAAATAATTTGTTAAATATATTTCTGAAAACTTTTGATTTTATTCTGTGAATTGAATAATTCTTTTTTCTTGTTTTGCCATATCAAAAAAATATCTGCGAAATTATATTTTTTAAGTGTAATTTGTTTGAGAAAAAACTACGTTGTATTATATGAGACTATACGTGAGATTTTACACAAAATCTTCCTTTCTGCAGCCAAAATATCCCTCGAATTTTTTTTTGTCATTGATAAACCTTATTTTCCGCCCAATTGTACATTCGTGGGCGAATGTACAATTTCGTCATTTCAAAAACCTGTTCAGTTTTAACAGTTCTTAATTTTTTGTATTTTTAGATGGAAAATCTCATACCAGTTGTGAACAAATTGCAAGATGTTTTTGCTACTCTTGGACGAAAAGAAGACCAAATCCAACTACCCCAAATCGTCGTCGTCGGTTCACAGAGTGCTGGAAAAAGTTCAGTGTTAGAAAATTTGGTCGGTCGTGATTTTTTGCCAAGGGGAACTGGAATTGTTACGAGGAGGCCACTCATATTGCAGTTGAACTATGTAGAACTTAGAAATGAAAAGCGACGATTGGCAAATGGTAATCATTATTTTAATTTTTCGTTATTTAAACAAATACAGGAAAAATGATCGAGGATGATTGGGCGATGTTTGAGCACACGGGAAACAAAGTGTTTACCGATTTCAACCTTGTTCGAAAAGAAATCGAAGATGAAACAGACAGAGTTACTGGTGTTAACAAGGTTTAAATTGTTAATTGTACTATTCAATTTAATTTTTAAGGGAATTTCGACAGTTCCGATTAGTCTCAAAATTTATTCGCACCGCGTTGTTTCACTTTCCCTCGTGGACTTACCTGGAATCACAAAAATTCCTGTTGGCGATCAGCCGCAAAATATTGAAGAGCAGATTCGCGAAATGATCCTTTCTTATATTTCTAATCCATCTTCTATAATTTTGGCTGTCACGCCAGCCAATCAGGATTTTGCGACTTCAGAACCAATAAAATTGGCGCGAGAGGTCGACAATGGCGGTAATAGAAAATGCACAAAAATGTGTTAAATTTAAATTTCAGGTCAACGAACACTTGCTGTATTAACAAAGCTTGATTTGATGGATCAAGGAACTGATGCCATGGATGTTCTTATGGGAAAAGTCATTCCGGTGAAGCTCGGAATTATCGGCGTTGTGAATCGTTCACAACAAGCAATTCTTGATAACAAACCGATAAGCGAAGCGATTAAGGATGAGCAGTCTTATTTGCAAAAAAAGTATCCTACGTTAGCAAGCCGCAATGGAACCGCATACCTTGCAAAACGGTTGAATATGGTTTGAAAAAAACAAACAGGATAATTCTATTTTACAAATTTAGTTGTTAATGCATCATATTCGGAATTGCCTACCTGCTTTGAAAGCGCGGGTTTCCATAATGAATGCACAATGTCAAGCCGATCTCGTTGCATTTGGTGAACCTGTGGTACAAAGAATTTTCACAAAGGTTCTAGCAAAATTCAATTATAGGAAGATAAGAATCGTACACTGTTGCAAATAATAACGAGATTTGCCACTGCATACACATCCACCATTGAAGGAACATCAAGAAATATTGAAACTACAGAGCTGTTGGCGATTTGAACAAACCATAAATGATTAATTAATTTGCAGATGCGGTGGTGCTAGGATCTGCTACATTTTCCACGATACATTTGGAAAATCTTTAGAATCTGTAAATCCTTTAGAAAACCTATCTCAGTTAGACATTTTAACTGCAATCAGGAATGCAACTGTAAGAATAATCATTAATTTGATTGTATGAGGTTATTTTCCAGGGACCTAGACCAGCTTTGTTCGTTCCCGAAGTTTCGTTTGAACTTCTCGTTAAACGCCAAATTCAGCGGCTGGAAGAGCCTTCTTTGAGATGTGTTGAACTTGTTCACGAAGAAATGCAGCGCATGGTTCAACATTGTGGTTTTACAACACAGGCAAATAATTCAAAATACATTATAAAAATTTACTCAAAATATTTCGTTTTCAGCAGGAAATGATCAGATTTCCTAGATTATATGACAAAATCAATGAAGTTGTTAGTGGAGTTTTGAAAGAAAGACTCAAGCCGACAAACGAATTGGTTGGTTAAATTATTCAATATTGCTTTAGCTTAATTTTTTATATTTAGGTAGAGAACCTTATTGCTATCGAATTGGCTTATATAAACACAAAACATCCAGAATTTACTGAAGCGAATCTTGTCACTCTTTTAAAGGAAGAGATTTCATTAGATGAGCGCCATGCAAGAAGCCGCCAACGTGGAATATCGTCGAGCGAGCGGGCCGTAAGCGCTCATGGAGATCAAGTGATATTAAATTTGCGTTAAGTACTATTTTCAAATTCAGATCGGAGGTCCTCAAAACGGAGCTGATGTTATGTCTGCTCAATCCCAACAAAACCAAAAATCTGGAAATGGAGCCCAAGGAATATTTGGATTGTGGGGTAACTCTGGTGTAAATGCGAAAACGCCAAACCAAGAAAGTGGGTGTTATTATAGTTATGATTTAAACATTTATATTTTCAGAAGTTTCCGCTGCAAATTTCCTTCCAGAGGTTCCCGAAACGCAATTAGGACGTAAATTGACAAGTCGAGAACAAAGAGATGTAGCGATTATCGGTTGATTGAAATGTTCATAATAAGCAATTGAAATGATTTTTCAGAGCGGCTCATCCGTAATTATTTCATGATTGTTAGAAAGAACATCCAAGACAGTGTGCCGAAAGCAATTATGGCTCTCCTTGTAAATTATGTCCGTGTAAGTTATATTACAGATACAATTCCGCGTTTGTATTTAATTTTTCACATTTCAAGGATAACCTTCAATCAGAACTTGTACGTCAACTTTATAAACCGGATGAGTTGGATGATTTGCTCGCCGAAACAGAGGATATGGCGCAAAGAAGGAGAGATACCCTCGAAACTATGAGAGTAAGGCGTTTGATTAAATTCGTTAGATTATTGTTTATTTTCAGGCTCTCCAACAAGCAAGCGTTATTATAAGTGAAGTTCGCGAGACACAAGTGTGGTGAAATAGAAAATTAATTTTTTTTCGAATAGTCAAAAAATAGCTAGTCTCTACACAAAATACGTATTTGCTTCAATAGTGGTAGATTTAATGATCTCTTATTACACAACCGATGTTTGTTTTTTGTCCCGTCGCTTTCACCTCACAATAGGGTTTATAAAGCGAGAGTAATTTCAATATAACCCTGTTCGAATTAAAAAAAAAAGTAAGCTTGTAAAATCTGAAATGATTAATGCTGCACGACCGCTCAATTACTGTTTTATTATTTAATTATCATTTTATTCATTTTTATAAAGTATTCGTCCTGCATTATTATTTTTTCTTTTATTTTCCCGGTTTTCTTCATATCTTACTAATACTTTATTAATTAAAACATTCGAAACTTCAAACTCAATTTCAGATGCAACAGTATGAGGTCGAAAATATTATGGCGCATAAAACGTTAGAATTGCAGATAACGACTAGCTTTCAATGCTTGTTTTCAGATTTGAAGATGCAGTTAATGAAAGTCGCAACGGTCATATTATTTTTTTTCCCGAATCAGTAAATAGCAGAGAAGCTGTACACGCGAAAGACGTATATCTTGTGAGATTTTTTTTCGTTTTTGTTAAATGCAAAATGTCACCTAGAAACGGCTGTGATTCAATGAAACGTAGTTTAGCACTAACGACGAATATAGGAAAATCTCGGACGATTTCCAGCCAATTAAAACCGCGAATTTAAGTATTGCTTTGGTCCGGCTACGGTCCGATTCGAAACAACAAAGCTAGAAAATATATTTTCAACAATTTTTACGGATTATTATTTTTCTGATTCAATTTTTCAATTATTTATATGAAAAAACAAATATTAATACGAATTATTAGATAATTTTCACAAAAATACATATTGTAAAATTTTTTTTTCAAGCAAGCGAATAGGTACTGCCATAACAAACGAATTGGCTCATCTATTAGTTTTCTACGTAATTTAATTTCTGTAAAGCGGATTTTCAAGCACTGCAACTGACAAAAGAACAAACAAAATGGTTCAGGTTATAGAAGTATTTATTTTTCATCCATTTTTCAAAAATTTTTGTTCGTTTCCCAGTTGCACTGAAAAAAAACTGGTAAAAACTAGTCTCATCGCCCATTGTTTCAATTTTTTTGAACTAGTTTTTTGTTCGAAATCTGCCTAGTACCATAATTCAAACTCTTATAACAGTGTTATTTACAGATCCAATGGCAAAATTTCTCAAGACTTCAAAGAACTTGGGAGCCAGAGGAAAATCTGTGCAACTTGGGAGGAATGTTAAATGACTTCAAAAAAATTAATGGCCTAGATGTTGAGGAGTGCCGTATTGTTATTCGAGAATTCACCAAACGCAAGTCATTTTAATGAGTAAGCAGTATTTAAAATATTTCCAGAGGAAGTTGAGGAGTGGAGAACTGTTTTTTTAAAGTCGTATAGTAGACAGGAGGAAATTTCTAACCGAGAAAAAAGGGGGATTTCGCCTACAACCAGCGAAGAAGAATTCGCTAGTGGAATGCCAAAAATAGTTTGCCAACTGATAAAATATGTGAGCTATTTTATTCAAATTTCAGAGGAAAACTAGAAAGCGGAGGCAAACTGGTGCCTCTAAATTAAAAAAACGCGTGAGTCCTGCTCCGCCAATCCCGTCAGCCAATTGCCCACCAAAAGTTAATAAGGTTTCAAAAAGTTTTTGCTCGAAAATAAATTATTTTTCAGCAAAGCAATTTGTCTAAAAAAAAGAGGCAAGAACAAGTGAGTTCTTATTGGTTAACATTTAATTTTTTAATTATAATATAAGAACGAAATGACGATACATATGTAGTTAGGGTTTCCACGCGGGCGCATATTTAAACGCCCGCGCCGCCCATGGACGAGGCGGGTAAAAAGCGAAAGAGCTCTTTGTCTTGTGTTTCTCATAGATAGAGACCCTAAATGTGAATAACGAAATAACGTATTACTGTTTGGAAAAAATCGATTCTGATATTTTTGAAAAGAGATTCAACTAAACGATAGTGCACCATTTAAATAACAATTTGAAATTTTTTATTGTCATTTCTTTAAATAAGAAAGGTGTAATATTAAATAAAATATATTGAAAAGATCAGAAAATTTTAACTTACAGATATTTCCGTAAAACACTTGTCGTATAACATTGATGTTAAAAGTTAGACATATTTATTATATACAATTTTTAGGATTCTTATAAATCAAAGGCAAAAAAAAACGAAACACAAGCACAGGATTCTCATTCTGAGATTGTTTTTAATAGAAGGTTTGATGAAATCAATATTTTGCCCTATAATTCATTTTGTTTTAAGCTTTGAAGTATCCTCGAACCACTTCAGAAGTACATACGGATTAGAAGTAATGTTTTGTGCGAATTGTTCTTCAGTTGATGAAACGAGGTATTCCCTTAAAATGCTTCAAATCCACAGTGCCATCGCAAAAAAAAACGAGCCACAAACTGTGTGAATTTGTCTACCGTAATACGAAAGTCCAAATATCTAACTTACAAAAAATCTACGCAAGGTGTTTTTTTTGCGATTGTAATAACATCATGTATAAAATAAACAATTTTAACAGAGAATTTGATGAGGTCTCCCACAGTCTACAGGAAACTGAGCCAGATCAATTTGAGCGTCTCATTCAATCAAATTCGTCGAAACTTGTCAATATCTTTAATGAATTTGAAATGGTATGAAATTATTATAGTCGCCAAAAAACGAGCACCCTTTTTACGGTGAATTTGAGTAGTAGGATACCCGAATTCCCACTGTTTAAATTGAAAGTTAAGTACCCTGGAAAAACATGCGATAGTCCAAAACCTGGAAAGGTGCTCGTTTTTTTTGCGATGGTAATATTTATAAGAAATACGAAATTTTGGACATTTTAGGATCAACAAGTCAAGGAAGCCATTATAAATATAGCGCATTGCTATACAAGAAACCTGTTTGACCCGTTTCATATGTTTTTAAAATTTTGCGAAGAAGCATATAATACTACTTTTTCAAATGAAATATTGCAGGTCAAAATAAGTGTGATTACTTGAATGAATTGTGTTTTTAGAACTGTTTAAAACTTTGTAAGCCGTATACAGTGGAGAGAGCGGAATTCCATTGGACCAAAAGGAAATTGGAATCAGAAACGTATTAATGTTTCTTTAAAAAAAGTATATTTAGAATTAATTTAGAATGTTTGATGTGAGATTTGTCGAAACGGACGAAGACATTGACTTTTCTCAAATTCCATGTACTACGATTAAAAGGTGTTCACAAGATCACGCGAAATGTCAATGGCTGAAATTATTCTTGTCAACGGTCATCCCGCGATTCCGATTTGATACAAAAACGAAACATAAAGTACGGGAGTTTAGTGAAGACACTACAGATGAAAAGAAGGAAGAATATGGGTTGTTTACCTTTGATCTCATCGCACATTGTTTTAAATACGGAGCAGATTGTCAAAAAAAACATTTTCTAGAATTTGGTAACGGTCGGTTTTAATTGTTTTGGTTATTTTTAACTTCAGATTGCCCTAATATTCGGGAAGATATACCACTGGATGATACGAATAAAGGGAATTTAATTCACATTATTTCTTTGCAAGATACTAATATATCAAGAGTATTAATTTTTTATTTTCTACTAATTCAATAGATTTCCGATTAGATTTTTTTCTACATATCCCATGGAATTGATCCCAACGCTTTCGCAGTCAATATCACAAACGACCAAAAAATTCTAACATGTGAACAATTTATTAGAGAATGGATGAATGAGGTTTTAATTGATTTACTATTTTTGATATATTTTGGTTTTTTCAGAGAAAACAACGGGGAGATAATCAATTTAATGAAGTATTAATAAAAGAAAAGTTTTAAATCAAAAATTTTTAAATTTAAGCCTTATTATAACCGTCTGAAGGAAGATTTAAAAAACATTTCGAAATTACTTGAGAGTTTGGTCAAAACAAACGTAAACTCGGAAATTGAAAAGGCAATGGCAAATTATTGGCGATATCAATGTACGCATTTTCAACTAATTGAATAAAAATTGATGTTTCAGTTGATGTTACAGTTCCTCATATTTTAAGATTTCCGGTGTCATCTAATATCTCTGAAAACGGAACCGGGCAGGTTTATTGAATTTCTAAAACTGTCGACAACCAAACATATTTAAGTCCGACGTTGGAACGTTTCTCTTCTATCCGTTAGGATTTCTATACGTTAAATCTCCACTTGAAAAAGCGTCGTCGTCTGCAAAGAAAAAATATGAAAATATAATGAAGCAAATGGAAATCGTTAAAGGAATGATAGTATGTTTTTTATTTAATTTATTAAACTTTTAATTTAATGTAAAATTCCAGGTTGTTGTCGTGATTCGTCTTGATATTTCACTTTATAAGCAAGATAAAATGTTTGAATCGTCTACACTTCCTAGTTTTAAAATCGTTCCTAATTCGTCTGGTGTGAAGATTAAAGATATGAGGTATTCATGCTTTAACATTCCAGTCGATCTCTCTAATTTTCAGTATTGTACTGCAAAACAGTGAAGAAAGCGAAGATATGGTGATTAAATTAGATTATTTTCCCGCAATTACCACACCTGGAATCACGTGCTACAAAATCACGAATAATGAGGATTTCGGTATTTATATGAGATTTTACAAAAAAAAATCAATGTGGTACTTGTCGGTCATCTCGTACCGTGTCGCGCCTACATCAGAATGTATGCAGAAGTCGAGGAAACAACTAAATTTTTAGTGCAGACCTTATATTTTGGAAGTTGTGAGTTAAAAAAAACAAGCCGTGAGTATGAGAATATTTGCAGAAAACCCTCGAAAATTTCGGAATTTACTACATATTTCTCTACCAAATTTTTTAAAATCCTGTTATATTTTCTTCGTTTGTTCATATTTCCAAATTGTCAATTTACGAATTAGTATATTGTCTTTCGTCCACGTCTGAAACTCTCAATACCACATTTTTGAAGCTTTACTCGTTTCTGAAACATCGTTTTCTTATAATCTAATGCAAACCCAATTCTGTTGGGAAAAAATGACAGCCTAAAACCTTCTATCAAGCAAGGAGTACGGAGTTGTAAGCGTTTAAACTATTCTCTCGGCATAAACTTATTTTTATATAATTAAATATTTAATTTTATTTTTAAATATATTTAATTATTATTTTTTTAATAATTAATAAGCAATCTTCAATTATTCGATTTAATCTTGGGAAATAGGTCAAAACGTTGAAATAAGTTCAGTACACGGAAAAAAAATTCACCAACTCGTGTGGTAAGAGCGGAGGATGAAAGCGAGTTTCGGAGAAACGCCGGTGAAAGAAATCATCTCTTGAAACCCTCTCACAACCACGCACCCTCTATTCACCACTGTTTCACCGAAACTCTTTTCACCGCCGTGTCTGCAGAACGATTTTGCTGAGAAGTGAGAGTTTTAGATTTTCCCTCTTTTTCAGCATCCTTTTATTTATTTTTATTACTACATCAGTCAGAACTTTTCTCAAATTCCACTGACTTTCTCGCAGGAGAAATCATCTGGTGTAATAGCTTGAGCCGACAAAATCAAACAACTGATCAGTGCGCCCACAATCGATAATTATCACAAAAAAAAATAACGAACGGACGAAAAATTTTGCGAAACCGGATTTTTTTCTGTTGGAATCGTTGTCGTACATCAATTACGCGCATCAAAATTGTATTAAAGCGATGGAATTCATCGAGGGACTAGTTTCAGGAAGTGAAACTTCTTCCACTTGAGAAATTTCGATCAATATTTCGCTCGTGATCAGCATAGACACTCGCTAATAATAACCAAGATCTATATTTGGTGCTTTTTCTCACCGAGTTTCATTTTGAAAATATTAACTGTGTAGTTGTCAACCTGTTGTGTTGTCGTTGTCTTCACTGCTCTCGTCTTGTCGAGGCCCTCTCATTTCACCACACTCCTTTTTATTATTTTTGTTGCTATAGCGCGCATTTTATACACTGAAGATTGATGCTTTCTCATTTGATCGTATTGATTTTACTTCATTGGTTTTACTTCACCAAATTTGCAGATTCGGGTAATATGGATGATGAAGATATGAGTTGCACCTCTGGTGATGACGATTATGATTGTTGTGATGGTACGTAAACATAAAGTCTTGAAAATATTTTCTAAAAAAATACTTGCTTTGTAAAAAGTAAGGCTAATTTTTATAATTTAGTATAAAAGAAACCGATTCTTTTGAAATAGGTTGATTTTTTTTAATTTCTAGGTTTATCTATTATGAAGAATTTCAATAAGCTTACGGGATAAATGATTCTCGGATTTGAAAATTTATTTTTTTTATGTTTCGAATTCAATCGTGTGATTTTTTTATAATTATGTATAATTGAATTTCAAATGTGACTAATCCAATAAGAAATTAAAAAGTTATTGAACTTTTTAATTTACTGTCGTCATTTATTAATACCTAATTTTAGACGATTACTATAACGACTGTGATCTTGACGCCACCGATGAAGTCGCGGTGACATCAACTCATTCCGAAGACGCCAAATTTGAATGTCTAGAAGTTTCTCAAGTTGAGCGATTAATGGCGGATTCGGTGAAAATAGTCACAAATTTTTTGTCCATAAACGAAAACATTTCACGTATGCTTTTACATGCGAATTCTTGGGACATTGATTTAGTAAGACTTCAATATTTCAAAAATAACCGAAAAAATTACATTCTTAAGGTTATAAATATGTGGAGAAAAAACAAATCGGAGTTGTTTCGGCAAAGTCACATGGCGGCGAAGCCTGATTCCAAATATGAGCGCCCGATGAACGGATACTGTGCAGTTTGTGCCGTTGATGGGTATCCGGCATTACTTTTCCTGGCGTGTGGGCATTGTTTTTGTGAACAATGCTGGAAGTGTCATATTGAGAGCAGGTATAAATTTAATGGTATTTTTTCAAAAGAATTTATTGTCTCCGTCACGCTACTGCGAAACCTTGACTTTGCATTTAGCCAATTTTCCGAAGCTGCACAACATTGACATATATTGAGTTTTAATGTTTTCTCACATTTTAATCATATTCTTAGGTTAACTGAAGGAGTTGCTTCGCGCATTGAGTGCATGGAATCCGATTGCGGGGTTTATTGTCCTCCGGAATTCGTTCACCAGCTTCTCGATAAAGGTCCACTGCGGGCACGATATGATCGTTTTCTTTTTCGTGATTTAGTTCAATCTCATCCGGAGCTCAAGTTTTGTGTTGGGAAAGATTGTCAAGTTAGTTTTTTAATGTGGTTTCCATATGCGAATTATTGTTTAGATTGTCATCCGGTCAAAGGAAGAAAAACCGAAACGAGTTACATGCGAAAAGTGTCACACTTCATTTTGGTATGTTTTGGAGGTGGAAACCTGCATATGTATATGTAGTTTCAGTGTCACATGCGGTGTGGATTACCACGCTCCGACCTCGTGTGATACAATAAAGCAGTGGCTGACAAAATGTGCGGATGATAGTGAAACTGCCAATTATATAAGGTATTTTGTTCGTTTCATTCTTTAAAAATAATTATTTTTATTTAGTGCTCACACTAAAGACTGCCCACGATGCCACAGCTGTATAGAAAAAGCTGGAGGGTTTGTAGTAGGAACTAAGAATGTTGGGAATAAACTGTTTATTTAGATGCAACCACATTCAATGTACGAGATGCAGACATCATTTTTGCTGGATGTGCTTTGGAGGTAAAATTTTTAAATTAAATTTAATAGTTTGAAAATTTAATCTCCAAAATTTTTCAATAAAAAAGTTTTTCGCTAAGCCTCTTTTGTCTAGAGTTTTTATACGTTTTTATGATATCTAATCCTTTATTTCCTGTCTGTTTATTTTGTTGATATTTTCATAATCAATTCTAATACAGATTGGAAAACTCACGGAAGTGAATATTATGAGTGCAGTCGATACAAAGAGAATCCCTCCATAGCGGCAGAAGCGAATCACGTCAAAGCTCGGCGGGCACTAGAAAAGTGAGAAAGTTTAGATTAATTCAACTGTTTGTGGTTTTTATAGGTATTTGCATTATTTTGAAAGATTCGAAAATCATTCGAAATCATTGAAAATGGAGGAGCAATTACGGGAAAAAATCAAGAAAAAAATTGATGACAAGGTAGTTGTTGAATTTATAAAGAAATTCCAGAATTGTCACCATGTATAATTGTCATTGTTGAAATAATTTGTTTGTTTGTATTAAATTTTCAGGTTAATGAGCACAATGGCACTTGGATAGATTGGCAATACCTTCATACCGCTGTCAGTCAACTCACCAAATGTCGTTATACCTTACAGTATACGTATCCCTTCGCCTACTATATGCAATCGGGCCCCCGAAAGCAACTCGTAAGTTTTTCTATAAATTGCGCTGCTGGTGGTTATCAACGAACCGGTCCGGCACACAGCATGATGCCGATCGCCACGATTCGCAAATTTTCGGCCAATCTTTAACGAATTAATAAAAAATTTATGCGAAATGTGATGATAAATTATGCCGCATATCCGGATCGGTGAAACACCTCATGAGAAATTAAGCCTGCTCTTAAGCATACCAGAAATAAATGTGGTTTGATACAATTTTTAAACATTATTATGACGCAAAAAATATTTTCGAAATAAGAGTTTGGCAATCGCCTCGTATATTTTCAAATGTCCGCCTCGTATATTTCAAATGAATGATTAATTTCTGAGCAGGGTTGTTAAAAAAAAACATAGGCCCGGACCGTATATCTACGTGGGTCCATGTGGGACGCTTGTTCGAATTTTTACCGCTAATTTCTCGGACCGACTCGATAGGGCTCACATCAGGGTAGTCCGGCTCGCATTTTGACATTCCTGGATTTTCTAGTGCAAAAAATTTAAATATATCCTTTTACTTCCAATTCAGTTAATTACACCAATCTTTATAGTTTGAATACCAGCAAGCTCAACTTGAAAAGGAAGTAGAAGAACTCGCGTGGGCTGTTGAACGAGCTGACGCTACTGCACGCGGAGCCTTGGAGGCGCACATGCATCGAGCAGAGCATAAACGTCAAACGTTGCTTCACGACTTCTTCTTCTAAAAACAGTTATCTGGCCATTTTAGATTTTTTGTATTCATTGATATTATCTGTGATTTGGTTTTTCCTTTATGTATAGAGTCGATTAGTGGAAAAACCCCTTTCTAGTGCCTTTATTTTCACACGATGTGGTTAATCGAAAAACGCACTTTCATTTTATAAGATTTCCAAAAAAATATATATATACATACATACATATATGCATGTATTTGATATAGAAGAAAATTTGTTTCGCATATTTGTGTACATTTATTCGCTGATTACTGCGGCATTCGCATAATCCCCATGTATTTGTGAATATACGTCTGATTGAATAGTTTAACGGATGTGATAAGCAGCTCGTTAATCCCGCGCAAACACATCCACACCTCTATCCGTTTCGCCACGCCCCATTTTGTTATTGAGCATCCGAGCAGCAGTGAGAAGGCGTCGTCAGTCCGGCTGCTTCTTCCACTTATTCCGCCGTAAAGGTAAGTTCGCTTTTCAAACAACTGTCACAATGGGAAACAAAGAAATATTTTAAAACTATTAGCAGACGGATAATTTAGAGCATTCATCGAACATTCATCGTGCAATATTTGTGATTTTATTAAAAATATGTATTTGTTTGTATTCATGAATTATTGTCGAAGTCGTGCGACTGCGGAAAATTGGCTAAATGCCAAAGCAGGCGGTGGTCTTGGCGCAGAACTAAATGTAGATTTACGGGCCTATATAGTAAGGATAGGTTAAAGGTGCACACCGCGCATTGACAAGAGAGACCTCTTTAAAATTTTTTAGCCAATTTTGCGCAGTTGCGCGACGTCGACAATAATTCTAATTTATTAATTTTGAATGATATGAAAGAAAATCGTGTTCCGGTATGGTCTCCGTCGCGCGCCGTGACGAAATTCTAAAAAAATTTAACGAGACTGGTAACTCTAGAGCAATCGACTCCGAAATCAACCCGATCCGAATGTAATTTTGCGGTTACAATTGAAAAAATGCCGGATCCGGTTGGTTTTTTGGAAATTTTCGGATACGAATTCTACTTATTTTAAACTTTCGTAACCGATTTGAAATTTTTCCATCTGAAATTTGTCCTATTCGAATCCTATTGGTTTTTTTTTTGGCATTTAATGGTTTTTAAGAATAATATTTTTGTGTTTTTTTGTCTTTGTTGCTTTCCCACGCCTTCATCAGTTTTCAAAGAAATAATTTCGAAACGTTTGGAATATCGCATGCAATTGTTCTATAAAATCCCAGTCACTGTTGCCACTTTGAAATCCTTCATCGACTAATCCTACAGTAGGATTTTGATCCGCTCATTCAGCCTACAGTAGTAATAAGCCGGCCATAATCCGGTCGCCATTATGAGTGAGAGACGGCGAGAAAACCGTTTGCCTCATTTTCAACCTCAATTTGATGTGTGTGCGTCTGGTGTGTGTCGCGGTGCGGAGGCCTTCGATCGGCACAGTGCCACCCCCAAAAATAGTATGTGTTTTCTAGAGAGGACCCAAACAGCCTCCTATTCACGCGCACATCGTCTCGAAAATGGGCGGAGATTTGGGAGGGGAGAAGGGGAGGTTGAATGTGAGCGCCCGCCGGGCACCCATCAGACCTAGTCACTGGTGCCCGCGGCGCACGCATCGACATATTCGGACGGTTTTTCAAATTCTTCTACCCGGTATTGTGGCTGTAACTGATTGCTGTTGTATGTGGAGCATGTTCGCAATGGCACTGCATGAATTCACGGCATCGCGTTGAAACCGCGAATCATGTGGTACCATGGCAAACGTGCTCTCTGTTGTCTTTTCATAGTTATTTGAGAAAAAACTTTTTTTCACTATAAAATCGATTTGACAAGTACATTGAGCGCACCCTCTTTCTTTTCTTGTCCATACAAATATGGTGAATAGAGAACGAGAGAACATACATAAATATATAGAATATATTTATTGGCAATGACGACCAGTTGATCAAACAAAAATGACAAATTCGGCGAAACACGAATTGTATGAATTACATGCATGGAATGCGATTGGCTGGCCTTTGAAAAAATAGAAATTTAGTTAGGCGCCACGATTTTTTAAAATATTTATGACGAATTTAGGGAGTCATGCTCATGATTTGAAAATTTTAACGCCTTGTTCTCATAACAATCTCTTTAGTTTTTATCCAGGAAGAGTTGAGTGAAAACAACAGTTGATATTAAAGGCACTTGCAAAAGTATGTTTATTTCACATGGAGATCAAACGTGGATGCGTTTGATCATTCTATTATTTTAATTCGTCACGGAAGATAATCACGATAGTCTTTTAGCTTTTATGTATTAAGTTTTATTCCGAGATTAATAGTTAATAAATAAAATTGAATGAGTTCGATCTAAGTTTTATGGGAATAAAGGTAATATTCAAAAGTCGTCCTCCTTTCATTGCGAAAATGCATTTTTGTTTCGATCGGTTCGGTCATCCTCTTACAATGATTTGCCTCATTTTTGGCGGTTGTTGTTCTGTGGCGCGCGCGCAATTCAAAGAGCGCGGCGGACGACGAAACGCAGGAACAGTGCGCCCCGCGCGAACAACACAAAGACGCTCGCGAGCGCGCGCACATGGCCCCAGCCGAGGGAGAGACTGGTAATTTTCGTATTAGAACTGAAAACGACACATACGACCCGCGCAAGCGTATGCCCGCACACACACACTCACACATACACACACTACTCACACCTAAACATGCGAACAGAAAAGAAATTTGCAACAAAGAAAATCGCCAATCATTTTTCTGGATCACCATCACCGTCTTCTTTGTGTGTCGTGGGAGCAACGCGCACGTTGAGAAATTGGCAATATGTGGGAAAAGTGAAGGCAATTTGAAGGGGTTTCTGCACTTTCAAATCCATGTCAAAGTACATAAGAAATGTACACCACTCCTATGAGTTTTACCAATTTGAAATAAAATTTTTGGGAAGGAAAAGTTAAAGTTTATAATTAAAAAAAAACTTCACTAGATAAAAGGAATATACTTAATAGAATGCAGTATCGGTAAAACATATGCATTAAATTTTTATTTAAATGAACAACATCATTTTGAAAAGAGTTACTTTAGTTGATTTCGGGTTTTCTCATTCAAATTTTCAAATTTTCAGGCCGCAAGGAACCTCATTGACATTTCTTTCATTGTTCGAATCGACCTTGGGGCGCCGGCGCAATTATTGCCAAAAAAGCGGTGGTTTTCTGTGGTGCGATGTTGCGCTGAATATGGAAATTAATCGGAATCGCGCGTCTGCTTGGCACTCGCGAACCCCGCGCGATTTTACTTACGCGAGGTTGGCTTCGTGCCAAACAGATCGCTATCTCCATCACTTACTGGATGTTGTGATTGTGAAAACTTTCAGGTACTATAAAGGGTTTAAAATAAAGAAAAGTATTTTTAAATTTGAAAATTACATCGTTAGTGCCCTATCTATGGTGTTTTCATAACATTACAATGTTGTTTGTGTAAATACGGCATAGTCGTAAGCATTTGTACCTGAAGATTGTATCTGCATATACATTTATTGTTTTTAGCGAAATGGAAGAGAAGAGGAAAAGAGAAATAATGGATTTGAGATCAAAGTGATAGTTCAACCCGATGTTCAACACAAAGAATTACTAAGGGGATGTCCAAAGAATTAAGTTATTAGAAGCGCTAACACAGCAAAATTGTTTTGAGCTAAACGCTAAATGAGCTGGAGGGTATTTATGAGACGTTCTCATCGTATGAGAAAGTGCTCCATTTTCCAATGAATAGACATATATCAATAAATCGGAGCTTCCAATCAACAAAAATAGTGAATCGGGTGTAATTGCTGCTGAGAGTGGCATCTTCTGCAATTTGTTTATATACAAATCTATTCTTTATCGACTTACATTCGAATTTTGATGACAATTGAGCACAAATTTCTCATGTCCTTTAAAAGCGTCGACAACCCTAAAAATGTTATTTCGTGTTTTCAATAGTTAGTTGAAACACGAACTTAATCACATTGGAGTCAGTACAAACGATGATATTTTTTCCGTTTGGAGAAAATGCAATTTTTGTCCAGTTCATTGATTCGTCTTTGGGGAGTTTATGACTTATGAATGGTCCCTGATAGTAAAATAACTCAAAAATTTGATGTTTATTTACTTACGTGATCAAATGAACGAATATCATATAGGCGAATGGATTCGTCATTATTGGTAACAGCTAAAACTATACCCTCTGGATCGTAACTCGCCAGAGGTGAATATGCCGTTTGAATTAATCCCTAAAACTATATATAATTTTTCACGATTTATTTCAAATGGGGTTACGATTTGAGAGCTTCTCGTATCAAACATTCTCACAGTTTTATCTATGGATGATGAGACAAACGTTTTCCCACTTGGGTGGCAATTTAAGCTGGTGACTCTGTGAATATTTGCAATCTCGCATTAAAATTTATTTAATGAAAGAACTTGGCAATATGTCCCATGTAATATCGATCGTACTTACTCTCGGATATTATTAATGAACGAATTCCATCTAGAAACTTAATTTTGCGGCAATTTTGAGTAATAGTGAATTATTACCATCGATTTTCGTAGAGCTGTGAATACAGTGATTTGTGTTCATGTGCTCCACAAGACCAACACCATATTTTTTCGAATCAACCTTTAACATTCACTAAATTTTTAAATTTTCGACATCACTTACAACTTTCTGTTCAATACCAAGGTTCATGTTGTATAGAACAATTGAATCGTCTGTAGTTGATGTAACAAGTTCCTGTCCATCTCTTGATAGTGATATATCACGAAACGTATAATTCGGGTGAAAATGCTTTGTAGGCACCAGTGAGAGCATTGAATCCCGTGTTAACTGTAGGATGTCTTCGGACTTAAACATAGATTTAACTACTTATTTGATTTTAAAAATATTAATGTAACCTCTATTTCCATATTAAGATTCATCATTGCCGTTTCTGTAATTCATTTATTTTTATAATATTGACAGAAACTGAGTTGAAACGAGATGTAATTATTGATCGAACAATAACGAACATAAGCTTTCAAAATTATAGACTTCCATTTTATTTGTACATAATATGTCTTGTTTAAAGCGATGAAAAAACATTCAGAATGAAAATTATACAGCAATCGTTTTTTTTTTCAAAACTAACCGAGATCAGTCTCTGGAAAGGTGAGTATGCGAGAAAGTACAGAAAAGAACGTAAAATTATTAGAATTTGTTAGATGCCTGATTTCGATCATCGTCCGTTATTTTTGGAGTATTTTCACTAGGGCACCAAAGAATCTAAAATTAACAAAAATGAAAATGAACACGCGGTAAATTGCTTACAACTTTGTCGCTGGCACTCATAAACGCGAAAAACTTTGGACTGAAGAGAACAGTATGAGGTGGTGTGTGATGATACGTGTGGAAAGTATGAACTAATAATCCTAAAAGAAAACTATTTTTAATACTTTTTGAAACATTCGAACCTGATGAGGTTTCCCAGACATAAATGCGTCGATTTGTGCTCCCGCAAATAATATATTTACCGTCTGGTGAAAACGAGCCTTTTAGTGGGATATTCTTTAAAAAAAAAAACATCAAAATTTTCCTATTTCATTGTTTTCATACCGTTGAATTTTCGTGGCCCCTCAAAGTACGTTTTAATACACCTGTGAAGGCATCGAGAAGGCTGAAAAAATTAGGATTTTCAATTTTATAAACATTTTAAACTTACTAAAGTACAGGCCCGTTCGTACACACCAAAATATATTTTCCGCATGGCGAAAATTTAACATGCGTCCATTCCGAAGCCTTCATAGTTTGTGAGGAGTTAAACGTTGAGAATGGACCCTAAAATATTTTTTTATAAAAGTAAATCAACGTCTATTTACTTTTTCGAAAGACCGTAAATCGTATAAATTTATTCTATTGCTCTCCGCGGCAGTCGCAAAAATTAGTCCTTCTGGGTCGTAGGCGGCAATAGTGTTCTTTTCAACAGATATCATTCCCTTTAGTGAAAGCAAAAGTTATTTGAATTTTCTTGAAAATCAAACCACTGATGGATTAACTCGAAGATCCCAAAGTCTTAGGGTTTTATCGTCGGAAATTGACACAAACATTTCATCACTCGGAGAGGTTGTCAATGACGTGACACTGAAATGTTTAGTTTAATTTTAAATTTGAATAATTTACCTACAACTCAGTGTGACCTTCGCAATATCGCACATATTTGTTGTCGGAGAGTGACAGATACCGTATTTTATCTAAATATTCAACTTTCAACTGTTCAATAAGTTATTCTGAACGTACTATCAATTTTAGTAGAACTGTGTACTGCACATGTGTTATTGATTATGAACTGAATATTAGCGACTCCATACTTTTTGCTGTTTACATTTTTCTGTTTTGTTGCGTGAGTCATATCAAAGGTATTAATTGAATCATCGTCGGTTGTCACTACTGAGGTAAGACCATTGTAACTGAAATCCATGCCGGTGACGGCGTGATCACTTTCAGCATACAACTAAACTTCAAAATGTATATTTAAATATTTTTATTAAAGATTACTTTTCCACACACTAAATGTTTCAGTGTCTCTTCATTAATTTGGTATCTTTGATAAACTCTGCAATAAAAATTAATAAAAAAAATATTGTATAATTCTTCGTAAAAAAAACATTTGAATTCAAGACTTACCTTTTTTGCTCAGAAATAGATGTGGAGGTGTTGCCTAGCATTCTTTTTCTAAAGACATACGTTGGGACCATTTAGAGTTTATTGCCAATATTTCCGAATGTATTTACATTAACGTAGGTAATAGTATTGATTTTTTAAAACAATTTATTATAGTGAAATAAATAAATAAAAACAATAGTCTAACAGATTAAGAGAAAATAATTTGGGGAAGAGATCCTTTTAGGAAAGAATTGCGTTTTCCTATGTCGCGCTCACTAATTCGTCCTGTGGGCACCATAACACCTGAAAAATAATACTTTTTTGATCTATATATGTATATATGAAATTATTACTATTTTGTTTCCGGCGCTGACGAATGACAAGTATTTCGGACTGAATTGGACGATATGCGGTGTGACATCGTGTATGCCTGCATACGAATGGACAAGTGATCCTGTTTCAATATCCCACACGTAAATTCTTTTGTTGGAACTGCCACAAAAAACGTACTTTGCACATGGTGAAAATGAACCTTCTAGTGGCTCATTCTGCAACTTTTGATTTTTTTTTAAGGTATTGTAACACTTGAATTACCTTTTCGTTTACATGGCCTTCAAGGCAATGTTTTAAAGCTCCCGTAAATGAATCGATGAGCCTTAAAACATATATTTCTGAAAAAAAAAAGTTTTAATTCATTAGCCTTACATTAATGTTTGGCCGTTTGTACATAACAAAATATATTTTCCGCATGGTGAAAATTTCATGTGGGTCCAATTGCAATTTACACCGGGAGTATCAACTTCAAAACTGGAGAATGGGCCCTGGAAACCCTTAAAAATGTTATATAAATAATTTTGCTAACCTTTTCAAAAGAACGAAGATCATATAGTTTTATGTTACGATTGTTCATTCCGGCAGCAAAAATGAGGCCCTCTGGATCAAATGCAGCGATTGGAGTATGATGTACACTCATGATTCCCTGAAAAAATATATGATTTCAAGCAGGTCATTCCATAATACATTTTTGATACCATGCACGAGTAGGTTCTTAAATCCCACAATCGAATAGATTTGTCTGAAGAAACGGAGAGAAACATATCATCTGATGGAGAAACACTCAATCCCGTTACTCTGCAATTTTTTCTTATTTCCGTTTAATCAAATATGTGCCTTTACTTATCCGTATGTCCTTGAAAATATCTTAAATATTTATTATCTGCTAAGGAAAGATAGCGTACAGTGTCTGTAAAAAAACCTGGTTAGGAACGAAAAAGAAGCTTATCCTTACTATCAACTTTTGTAGAGCTGTGTACGGCGCATTGACCATTTGCAGCAAACTGAATATGGCCTACTCCGTATTTTTTACTATTCACTGATCTTGACTTTTGCCCTGATTTCATATCAAAAAGTAGAATGGAATCATCTTCCGTAGCAGTGATCATGTTTAAGCCATCGTTTCCGAAGGCAACACAGTTTACCCGTCCAATATTATCTGCATAGATCTGCAACCACAGTCATAAAAATATGAGATTAAATAGAAGTCACCTTTCCGCAGACCAGTTGCCTTAACACATTCTCATCCAGTTTGTATCTTCGTTCGGTCATTCTGAAAACAACCGTTACTCAACATTAATTATGCGAAAATTTAATAATATAAATATTTTAGATTGATTATTTTCAGTTGTCATCGTTTACTTTTTAATCGACATTCCGGTAGCAAAATTCGAATTTAGAATAATTCACTCTGTTGATGTCATCATTCTCGCTCTACTGCGATTTGGCTTTGAGCCAAACAGTGCGCAGCGGCTAGCGTCGCGTGTCCTTGGAGCATGTTTGCCTCACAAGAGCAATCAATTTTCAAATTTTAATTTTCGAATATTTGCCGAGTTTAATACTGTTGCCTCCAAATTTCGATCCTCATAGTAAAAAGTTTTTTTTTTCACAGATAATGGACCCTCAGGGAGACCAGTTACTGACCGAAAATAATATAGAAGATGAGGTTTAATTCGCATTTTACTTTATTTTCTGGTTACCTTTATTTTTAGAAAGAAGTAAAAGAGGTTCCGTTGGTAAAATGGAAAAAGATAACTTCCTCTAATGGTCCTATACCAAGGTAAATTGTTAATTTTAGAGTGGTACAACTTTGGAATGTTCATTCAGGCCTCGTCATGGACACCGCGCTGTTGCCGTTAAAGATTTGATGCTAGTTTTTGGAGGAGGAAATGAAGGAATAGTAGATGAATTACATATTTACAATACTGGTGACTTTTTTAAATCATATTTAAATTATTGAATATAAATATAGTTTCCAATCAATGGGTGGTTCCAACTATTCGTGGTGACCATCCGCCATCTTGCGCAGCATTTGGCCTTACAGCTATTGGAACACGAATTTTAGTTTTTGGCGGAATGGTAGAATATGGAAAGTAATAAAGTTAATTGTTTCGATGTGTTTCTAATTTACGCCTTTCTCTCAGATACTGCAATGATTTATACGATCTCCAAGCAACACGCTGGGAGTGGAGAAAACTTCGTCCACGTGGATATAACGGAAATCAGTTTCCATGTCCACGACTTGGTCATACGTTCACTGCATGTCCTTCCACCCAAAAAGTTTACTTATTCGGAGGTCTGGCGAATGCTTCGGAGGATCCGAAAAGAAACGTGCCTATATATTTGAACGATTTGTTTGTTCTTGATGTCTCGGTTGCCCCAAATAGTTTGCAATGGGATAAACCACTGGTGAATATGAATAATTCTCTTTAAATATTTAAAATATTTTCAGACTCACGGTCCTGGTCCTTCTCCTAGAGAGTCTCATACCGCTATTGTACATGAAACTGACTCGAAAAGAAGATTAGTAATTTATGGTGGTATGAATGGAGTTCGTCTTGGAGATTTGTGGTTTCTTGATTTGGAATCAATGACATGGACCAAACTTGAAAACACTCAGGAGACAGGAATACCACCATCTCCTAGATCTCTTCATACAGCTGTAGCTATCCGTGACAAAATGTACATTTTCGGAGGATGGGTTGGTTGCAGTTGAAAATTAGCAATTATATGGGTGTTTTTAGGAACCATTTGCTAACAAAACCTCAGAAGAGGAACAAAAGGCTGACAAGGAATGGAAATGTTCGAACACATTGGGATGTTTTGATTTAATTGCAAATCGGTGGCAACAACTACATTTAACTTCTTATGACGAAGGTAAAAGAAATACAACAAATAAAAAATAAATTTCAAAAATTGCAGAGCAAATTGCACGGCCACGCGCCGGTCATTGTGCGGCGGTTATTGGAAGTCGAATGTTCGTTTGGTCAGGAAGAGATGGATACCGTAAAGCTTGGAGCAGCCAGGTACTGAGTTTGTTTCTTAATGACACGACACGAAAAAGAATACAGTAGTATTAAAGATTTACGTTTTGTTATTTTTATGAAATGAATTTCACAAAGTTCGTTTAGGTGTGCTGTCGGGATATGTGGGTTTTGGAGACAATGAAACCAGAGCAGCCGGGTCGAGTTCAATTAATTCGCGCCAGCTTCAATTCTCTCGATGTAATGTTTTTTATCTGTTCAACATGCGCAAATAAGTGAGAAACCGAATTGACTTATTCAATTTATTGTGTTTTAACAACTAATCTAACCAACTAAATTGCAGATTTCCTGGTCCGTTGTTCCTACTGCAGATGCGTATTTCGTTCAAATTGCGCCATACGACACGAAAAATGAGCAATCGGATAAGCAAACGGGAAAGATAATACGTGGGCAGTCTGTTCTGCGCGTTGTTAAGCAGAATCCACCTGGAAATTCGCAAACTAAACAGCCTGCCAAAGCAATAATAATATCGAAGGAAGACGGTGTTCCACAAAAGTGAGATATTTACGTAATGAAATATCAAAATTAAATTTGTCAGGGTCCTCTATTTGTCCAACGACTCTGTAGACGGTATGGGTGATTCCACAAAACCCTCTCACCAAAGTGGTTCATTAATTTCCACGCAAGGAACTACGTACACTGCCCCAAATACCAATCAGCAACACGCAATGGATGAGGGTGGGCTTCCGCAAAACTTATTTGATGAGGCTGGAGCTGATGAAAGTGCTTCACCTCCAAAGTCAGAAACAAATGAACAAACTGATGCTCCGACACCGTCTTGTTCTGGAGAACAAGAAGGCCAACATGGAGAAAATGTTTCGAGCGCGGTATTCGATGTGTTCAGAAAATTGTAATCATAGTTTTAGAATGAGCCAACTAATGAGGAAGATTCGAAGAAAAATTTGCAATGTGAACATGAGGTGAAGAAAGAAGTTGAGGAGATTGCATCGGAATCTGAAGCAAAAGAAGAAAATTCCGAACAATTAAATATTAAAAAAGAAGAGGAAGAACAAGAGCAAATAGAATTGGATTGGCACGATATAGGATTGCTTGAGAAGACATCTTGTACTGCATCTCATTTCTTCTTACACAATCGGGCCCCAATCGAAGCGAACTTGCACGTAAGTAAACTTTTTTTTTGATGTAATTATTTTGAAATAAGCCTATACAAGTATTATTGTTGTTTATATGTATTCTTAAAATCTTTTTTGTAGGAATACGTGGAGAAATGTAATTATCCTTTCGCTTCGATGGAGCTTTCGGAACAAAATCGCGCGCCACTTCAGTCTGGATCCACTTACCGATTCCGAGTTGCCGCCGTTAATGGTTTAGGTCGAGGAACATGGAGCGAAGTTTCTACATTTAAAACATGCCTTCCTGGATTCCCAAGCGCACCGTCGTCAATCAAAATTACCAAAAGTGTTGATGGAGCTCAGCTCACATGGGAACCGCCAAATAATGCTTCAGGTAAACAAATGAACTTTTTTTTTTGAAAAGTTCATACTTTTCAGTTTCTGGACGTATTTCAGAGTACAGCGTTTACCTAGCGGTGAAAAACTCGACTGGTGGACCAGATAGCCAATTGGCGTTTATGAGGTTTTGTATAAATGTGAATTCAATCAAATTGATCTTTTTTAAGAGTTTATGTTGGAACAGATGCGGAATGCGTTGTCCCACAAAGCAGTCTTCAGACCGCATATGTCGACCAATCAAGCAAACCCGCAATTATATTCCGAATTGCTGCCAAAAACGAAAAGGTTTGTTATTGACATATTATCATGCCAATAAAACGAGGACCATAACTGGTTGTGTACCACCATTTGCAATTGTCATGAATCATTGGAAAGTTTTTCTGAAAATATTCTTTAAAACTTTTATTCTTTTCAATAGCAATTGAATGATATTAACAAAATGGAAGGCTTCTAATTACACGAAGATAATTATATGTAATTAAATCTTACAAAAATATCGACTTCTTATGGTGTTTAAAAAACGATAGCAGTAGTCTTTGCGCAAAACTAAAGCAATAAAAGTCATTTTGCCAATTTTCCGGAGTCGTGCGACGTCGATAATATATTCATCACGAAAGAGACATTCAAACAATTATTTTAGGATTTTTTTTATTTTTAAAAATCGTATATAAGAAAAAGATGTTAAGGGATATGGGCCAGCGACACAAGTAAGATGGCTCCAGGACCAGAAGCCAATGATTCCAGCGCCATCTCGCTATTCTCTGCCGGTGAGTGCTGCTCAGCCACAATCCTATCAGTATCAATATCAGTCCACTCACGCTCAGCATCATCAGGCTCCTCATCCAGTCCATGTTTCTGCTGCCGGTCACCAACGTCCATTTGCTGCCACTATTTCTCAATATAATCAGCAAGTTCCATTGGTGAAAAGAGCACGGATGGAATAATAATTAAACTACAAATTATTGTTAATGTAATGATACTCAATGTGCCTCTGTTAATTTTCCAATTGTTTCGTTTAATTTATATGAAATTTTGAACTAAAAGGATGCATACAATCACCATAGGTACTCATTTCCCACAACATTGTCATTTTCCAACTTCAGGGAATCACTTTTGTTTTATTCAATTATTTATATTCAATACAACGCGTTTGAATGAATCAGTTAATCCAAACGCCCGACCGCCCACAATCTCGTTTTTGAGCTCGCCGAGTATCTCCATGGTTACCGCGCTCATCAATTTCCTATATAAGGCTTATCATATGCTCCGTGGCGCATTTTATTCAAAGACGTTATGTTGAAGTGGCTTTTCAATCGAAGTCTCGACAATGATGATGAGTTTATGAGAAGCCAGAGCGCACGAGTTGAGCGTCAAAATTCGAGTGCTGCTGAAAATTTTCTTTTTATTGATCTGGTAATTGGAGAGGTTGAGAGCACTGTGGTTCAATTCGAAAATGAGCAGGTGAGTAAGTTGTATTTCACTGTAATCCTTTAAAATTTTTGTACAGGAAAAAATTCGTGAAAACAAGCGTATTGCCGAGCGAAAACCTGACTACTCATGGCTGATATCTAACAATTCGTTGCGTCCAAAGAAGTTCCTTTCGATTCAGGTATTTGCTGTTAGATTTTTTCCTACGTGAGAATGTTTTCAGGAAAGGAATCGAATTGAAAACGCGTGTGAACGTTTAAAACCTTCTGAATGGCCATCAATGCTCGAAAAATGGAAAGCAAAAGTTGAGGTATGTGTTTTTAGGCTTCTTTTGGACGTAAAAATCGGCAAGATTTTCGAAATTGCATCCTATTTAATCGCACGGATTATCTTGATTAATCCCACAAGTCACGCATATATTCTCAATTTTTTAGAATAAAACATATGCCAGAAGGTTCTAATAAGTTGAAATTTGCGACGATACTGTACTCCGGAAATTAGCATAATCGTTTTCAATATCCCACTTGCGCAAAATGAGAATACATTTTGGCCAATTTCCGCTGTTTATAAAAATTACGCCAATTTGTTCAAACAATGCAAATACATTATATTTTTCAGATAGCTAGCACGCGCGAGAAAATAATAGAGGAATTCATAATCGCCACTCATGAAACCATACAGATGCGTAAACACGAACCAACTATTGGTGAAGTGCTTAAAAAGTTTGCGACAGGCCGTTCAAGTAGTATGAGCGCAGTGCAAAGCGCAGATATGGGAAGAACTAATTCAACACGCTCACTTGCTGAGCTTTCTTTCATCGAACTTCAAGAAATTGTTTGAAATAAATCTTTTACCATCATTATATATATAATTTTTCTTTTTCTTTCGAGAAAACATCCAGTTGGTTTTATTATATTGTTGAGAAATGACAAATGTATCCAGCTGTCGTGGGATCTTACGTTTTGTACGCAATGCGATGAGCCGTTTACCGTAATCCTCGCAGCGATTTACGGAGTTTTTTTTATTTTCTTTCAATTTTTTGGTGTATTTTCTTATTTTATTTGGAAATCTTTTATTTAAAACCTGTAGAAACCGAGTTTAATTATTTATTTTTCAGGATATGCACTTTTCCATTTGTCCAGTTGAGTTGGGAATTATTGTAAAGATTTTGCCGCTCTAAAATTATTTTGAAAATGAAGAATACAAAAACAAGATAATAGAAACGCGTACAAAAAGCAAAACACGAATAAATAATTTTATTAACGACAAAAATGTTTTCTTTTAAATCTCTGATGTTTTTACCTAAAAAATGTCGTCTAAAAGTGCTTATTCTGCTAAATGAATTATTAAACTCGGGATCCTCCTACGACACCTGGATACATTTGCCATTTTTCAACAATACTTATTATTTTTCTTTCTTTTTTAAATAATTTTTAATTATTTAAATAATATTTATTGTATTGGCAATATTATTGTCGACGTCGTGAGAAAAGGTCAAATCTGAAAATTAAAAAATCTTATAATAACTTAGCAATTCGTACGAAACGCGGTTTGTTTTGGTTTAAACATTGATGTTCCACGGGAGTTCACAAAAACTTCAATAAGATCTGAGAAATTACCAATCGGTTCTGAAAATTTACCAATCGGATTCGAAAAATTACAAATCGGATAATTTCGGATCCGATTGGTTTTTTTTTAAATTTCGGATCCGATTGGTTTTTTTTCTTACGTAAGCAGGATGATCTACACACAATTCGCATACTTGGAGCTTTTTTGTTTGCAGAAATGTGCGGAAAATTATTTTTTATAATTATTTATTCGATTTTTCGATTTTCTCATTTTTTCGTTTTTAATTTTTAAAATTTTTTTCTGGAGTTACATGAAATCTAGTTTTTGATAGACGTTTTTATGTGCTGCAGTCACCCGGTAGATCCCGTAAAACCACCAGGAACGTTGATTAGAACATTATTAGAGCATCTAGAGAGGACTCTAGACGTACTTCTACGAACGTCCAAATCAGCGAAGTCTCCAAATGAACCAACATCATCCAGGAGAACTATCCGAAGACGTCTGGTGGAAAATGGATTGCACGGACGAGTCCAGTGAAGAAGCCGCTCATCAGCGAGAAAAACCGTAAAGCGAGAGTTGCATGGGCAAAAGAACATTTGACTTGGGGACGTTGTGAGTTTTCAAACCATGTCTGGAGTGACGAATCTAAATTCAATTTGTTTGGAACTGACGGAATTAAATGGGTGAGACGTCCTGTTGGATCCCGCTTCGACACCAAGTACCAGTGCCCAACTGTGAAACATGGGGCGGATCGTGCGTGGTCTGGGGCTGCTTCTCAGACACTTCAATGAGACCGCTTCATCGTGTTGTTGGAGGATCGGTTCGTGTACGAAGACATCTTGGAGAACACAATGAACCATGGGCACGTGCGAAACTCGGTCGGGCATTCTTCCAGCTGGACAACGACCCGAAACACACTTCTGAGCACGTCAAGAAATGGTTTCAACATCGTCGTGTGAATCTTCTGGACTGGCCGAGTCAATCTTCTGACTTGAATCCTATCGAGCATCTCTGGAATGAGCTGGAACGTCGTGTTCAAGGTGTCAGAGTATCGAATGTCAATCAGAAGTTTGAACTTCTCGAAGCTGCATGGAAAACCATTCCGATGCCTGCCATTCACAAGCTTCTGGACTCGATGCCGCGCCGATGTCAAGCCGTTATTGATGCAAAAGAATACACAATAAATTATGAATACATTATTTTTTTGTTTCGACCATGAACCATCGCTTTAAAATGTTTTTTGTTCTTTCAAAGTTGATTTTCCTTTTTTTCCGGTTTTTGACGTTTTTCATAAATTTCTGTTTTTTGGTCAAATTTGTCGAAACGAATGGCTACGAAGTGTTTGTATATTGTATTTTAGTGTCAGAAATGTTGTGTTAATTTTTCAGAATGATCGGTTTACTTTTAGAAAACTTATGCTCGGAAAACCATTTAGGACATTCTTTATGGCCAGTACGGTACACTGTAACTGGACACGGCGCAAAAGTTGTTAAAAAGTGAATGAAAAATAGATACTTCTATTTCCAAATATAGTGTGTAGTCAGCTAACTCCCCGTAAATTGGAACAGGGCGCTCGTTTTCTTTTAGGAATGGTAAATAATAATTCCAATCCTGACTTTTTACGGTAGACTTGTTTCCTTCAACTTTTGAAGAAAATCTAATCGGATAAGGTTGATTCCGGAGCCGAATTTTGTCGGATCCGATTGGTTTTGAGTTTCCAGAGTAGTTCATAAAAAATTTGCATTCATTCTCGGCTTTGATTGTAGTCTCGGAGGCTCGGCTTTGAACCGCGAAGAGTAACAATCAAAAACGAGCAAGAAGCATTATTACAGCGAATATTGTTTAGATTTTGCAAGGTGGACACTATCTGGAATATGTCTATGTTGTGGCATAGGCGAATGATTGAATGAATGCAAACGTGTCCAGTATTTATAGGGGTTTCTAGTGGGCCACGCCCACTGTTTGGAGCCGTTTTGTAATTGACAACATTTATTTTAAGTAGTTTCCATTATTGATTGTATTGATTTCAGCCAATTATCAATTTCTTCAAGGCCTTCTGTATATTGTCATCGTTGGTAATATCGGTGCCAAGACTTGTTTTCAATATCTTGTTGAAGCCCTAGAAGAAAAATTATTAAATTGTGGATAATATAAAATTTAAACATTTCCCAAAACATGCTCAGCCAGTAGAGAGTAGATAAACGAGTATTGTGTTACATTCTGTACGGAATGTAATCGACATGTGCGCACCTAAAAAGTGAAAAATAGAAAAACAAAGCTCTATTTTCACTAAAGCGACAACCTTCTTTAGGCAATCTTCTAAGCTGAAATGGGATGCTCTGCTATGTAGGGAAGCATGCGCATACTGAAAATTGAAGCTTTTAGAAACACCAAACCTCTTTATTCAGTAACAAACCTCGAGAGTGGCCAATGTTCCAGCTCTTCCACATCCGGATAGACTCATAATTACAATAGGCTTTGGATATTTTCTGTGAACACGCTAATTTATTTAATTAGAAATAATTGAGATTACCGAAGGGCGGATTGTAGTTGCCATACCGATTTCGTCGATTTCGGAATTTCATTGTGTGGCCAACATTTGAATTGATGAAGGTGCAAAAATGATTTGTAAGCACCATTAGAGATGCTTAGCACCCGTAATGTCCAGCCTTTGTTGACTTCAATTTCATTGAATTCACCAACTCTAATAGATTTTTCAGAAAAATGAAGGAAATCTCTAAATTGTTTTCATGTAGGATTCATTTTAATTTAACAAAAACCTATTCTGTGGAAAAACAAAATCTCCACCGAGAGTGCTATATTCATCATCAGTCATTATAAGGCAAATCGCTTTTACACGTTGTTCAATTATCTGAAAAATATTTAAAAGATTTTACTCATGATTGTCGTACGGCAGCAAAAAATAATCACGGCAAATCTATTATCAGTTGTCTCCGGATGTTTACTAAATATACATAATTTTTACCATTTGCCAAAAGTCAACTGCGGTATGAGGTAATGGAAATTGAGTGAGAATCATGTTGTGGTTGTCTTCGATTTCGAGCCAACTTGCATGAATATAGGTTCCGTCGGCAAGTGTAACTCGAGAATGGTCTAGGCAAACCACATCTGAAAATTAGCTCATTTACTCCTTTTTCGACTTCATTCAAAACCTGAAAATCTGTTCTTCTCCATATTTTCACTGAAAGCTTCCTTTGATACATATGCCGGAATATAATCTCCCATCGTGCTGAATTCTTTCTAAAGTTGGTCATTATTAAGGAAGCCTTTAGACATTTTTGAAAACTGTACTTCAGGTGTTGAAGCCCCCTCATCTGCAATCTTTTTAGCTAATTTCATCCATTTTTCCTTCTTTTCTTCATCTGCCTTCGATGACCTTGCGTCTAAATTTTTTTACACTTTTAAAATGTTAGAGAAATCGTAGTACTAGAATCCTTGAACTCTTCGTTTGTCGATTCAGTAGTAATTTTAGCTGGTTTTTCGTCTTTTCGATCTGGAGATCGTTTTTCTGCATCACTCTTATCTTTTTCTTTTTCTTTCATTCTTTCTTTGGAAAAGTTTGGAATTAAATCGGCAGACTGACCAGTGGTTTTCTAATAGATAGCGATTATTTTAATTGATAGTTAATTCCTACCTTAACCATTTTACCAGTATTATCATCATCTTTCGGCACTTTGATAACTTCTTTTGAAGCTTTGACAGTTTCCTTGGACAATTTGATAGGAGCTTTCCTTTCAGAGAATTTTTTGTCTTTGTTATTTTCTTTGTCTTTGTCTTTTTCCTTTTCCTTTTCTTTCTCCTTATCCTTGTTGTTATCATCCAAGTCTTCAACTTTTTCCATACTTCTTGGAAATTGAGGAGCTGAATATGTTAAACTATATTTATAATACTTGGCTTTGTTGTACCGTCGGGTTTTGCATCCATTCCAGTGGTTATGTTTTTCACTAACACGACGTCGCCCAGTTTCTAATTATGTAAAAAAAATTTCACAGATAATTAATGTATTTCTTTACCTCATCCAGTGCTGGCGCCAGTGGTGGAGGTTTTCCGTGAGCATGAGGTTGCTTCTTATTAACTTTCTTTTTATGTTTTCTGGAACGGCTCTTCTTCTTTTTGGCGCAACAAAATCCAGTTCTGAATTGTTTTTTTTTTTGATGGATCCAATGTAATAGCAACCTTTTTGTTTTCTTTTTAGACCGACTTCTCGACTTTCTCTTTGCCGATCCACCATGTTTGCCTTTCGGGTGCTTGCTCCGTTTCTTTGATCCTTTTTCATTGTTACTGTTCAATTTCTTAGAATATTCAAATACCCTTCTGAGTGTTATCCATTTGTACCTTTTCTGCCGCTGGCTGTGGCCCCTTTGGTAAAAGGTCAGCAGCTTCTGGAGGCGCTGCCCCCGCTACTTTTGCTTCCATATTTAGTCTTAATTAATTGGAGGTTTTGGGAATTCAATTGTATAAACCTTCAGGTTGTGACCACAGTGATGTTATTTCCTTAAATTCTATTCGAAATGAAGAATTTTCATTACGCGCACATATTTAAATTTATAATTGTTTTCCTTTAGATGAATTCACGCGTGGAACATGATTGTTATTCTCTTTTTCATTTAGCTGCATATACAGCAGTCGCACTTACAGCGCATTCCCACGAGGTACCACTATTATCAAAGATAGGTAAATTGGTAATTATTACTGCCGCAATATCGAGTTAATTTAGTGAAAACTTCACGTCAGTGTTCAGATATTTGGAATATATCGAGTGATTCGATTATGTGTCAAATACCGCCGTGTTTTCGAGCTTCCCCACGAAAGAGACTTTCAAAGCAAGCCAGTTGCGAATTTCCAGAAGCACGCACAATTTGTTTTATTATTTTTCATTAATTAAAATTTAGTCGCAGATTATTGTTGAAAACCCGCAGAGAATACAGCATGAAATCTCCCCAAATGTTGTCGGTGCTCCAGAAAAACGAAGATCACGGATCGAAGAATTCAGCGAGGACGAAGAGCCCGTATTATTGGATGCTTCAATTCTCGATGTAACTATAGATCTTCCGAGAGATGAGTCAAATAAATCTACCGAAAATAATAAACGTCGAAGTTCGAGAGTTCAGAAGTTACAAGAAAAAATAGCTCTGAAAAACGTAATACAATGGATATTTCATTCCGTGTGAAAACTACTATAATATTTCAGCTTTCTTCCAGTGTCAATACAAACTCATTCAGCCGGTCCGTAGTTAAGAGCACTGCAGTCAAGAAGTTAATAAACGCTTGGAATGAAATGCATCGGCAAAATTATATGTGGATCGAGTGCGCTTTTTTGCTTGATATTTTCTATATTTCCTATTTACTCTAAAGTTTATCCATTCAGAAGATTCACAAAAAATCAAGCACTATCTCGATCATCGTTTCACGCGCATTCGGTCAACAGTTGGAACGCTTTGAAAAGGTCATTTGGAAGCTTTGTGGTCAGTTACGATATCAAGGTATCAATGTGGTCCTTTTAAGCCTCGCACTAGAGTTGTTCATGAATCAACGATCAGATTTATGGTTGACACTATTCGATTACATGAATTCTTGCTAGCAAAAGGGCATATGGTTTGGTTCACACTGCGTATTATTGCTGTAATGTTCATTTAGGAGATCACATCGTCTCCATTCGACTTCTTCGAGAATGTTCTGACAAGGTTTATTGGGCGGCAAGGAGCAGCGTCGCCAACTAATTTAGCATGGCTGCAAACAAAAAATGTTGAAAGCTGACGTGATTATTATCACATTTTGCATTTTCTAGGGATTTGAAGCGATGATTTCCACAATCACCATATCAGAATCAATCATGGCATATTTGTCTTTGCTGGGCACAATTCAAATCAAGTATGATAATTTTAATATTTGAACTTTGAATTACGATAGATAAGGGTATCCGGTTTTTTTATGAATCACAAATTCCAGACGAAGTACCCTTGATAATGTAATATACATGTGTATATTTATAGATTCATCGACGCTTGGACATCGCGTAAATCCAAACGGGATGATGTGTTTATTTCATACGTAATTTCTCAGCTACAGTATATCAATTCTCTGTTGTCTAAGAGATTAGATGATATCGTTTGGAAGAAGAGATTCTTCACTGAATAGATTTATTAACTTCTTTACGGCCCTGTTGTATCTTGTAATATGAATCATGTATTATTCTGGAAACTGTTGTGTCACTAGATGACGCAAGCGTTATGGAAATTTGAAGACAATACGTCTTGGGATGTTGATTTGGCATATATGGGAGACCGGTCTAATCTCGAAACACCATCTTTATTATGAATGTGTTAGCCGATTGGCAATCGCCGACAGAAGCGATTTGATTTGTCTTGTCCGGATAACCACCCTTTTTTGTTATATCATTTACGCTGCCTCACTCTTCAATGATGAGGGGGGCGCTTATAATTCTTCTATTTTTTGCGAAAGTTTGGGCGAGTTCATATCCATGTGGTCCAAGCTTCGTGCCATGCACACGAAAACGAGCGTTTTCATCGTTACTGTGTAAGTTATTTGATATCTAAATGTTATGCCTTCTATATTTTTCAGACTCGACAAGAAAAAAAGTTTCAACGAATCGTTTTGAATTTGGATTTGATGATGATGAAAAGGCAAAGGACTTATTGAAGAATGAGGTTCTATGCATATATAGTAATTGAAGGAATACTTGTTTAAGATTAAAAAATCTATGAAAAAAGAGGTGTTGCAATTAGCAGCTTTTGAAGCTGTCGATTTAACTGAGAAGTTATTCAACGAAACTGAAAAACATATGGCGGAAGAACTAACCGGTAATTTCTAATTGTAAATTTTTCATAAATAGTTCATTGTAGACGTTTCTTTTAAATCTTCCGAATTTGCTTGGCTTCAATATACTTATGCGGATCAATATGCTAAATATATTTCATTTGCTGCTATATCCTCAAATCTCGCTGCAAAAACAATTATAGAGTTTTAGAATCTTGAATTAGCATGACATACGTCCAACTTTTCTAGAAAATCACATAAGAAAGCCAAACATGGTGTTAGTTTCGTGCCAGTTGAAGGAACAAAAATGAAAGAAATTTGCCCGATTGATCACATTGAAGAATGCATTATTGGAAAATATCGGTAATGATATTGAAAGAATGAATCATTAGTTGATTTAGGTCCTACACTGGCCACTGTAATAATATCAAAAAACCTAGAAGTGGGGCAGCATATGAGAAATTGCGCCGATTTTTGCCGGCAGATTACGGAGATGGTACTGATAATGATTAAGGATGAAAAAACTCTATTTTTGCAGGGATTTCCAGTGTTCGTTTATCCGTATCTGGTAATGAACTTGCTTCCCCTCGAGCTCTGTCATCACTTTTTACTCCATCACCTTCTGGGCATGCCGTTTGTTCGTTGTTGCTTGCTCCATTCCTTTCATTCATTTACGATGATATGGTCCACGTACCGTCAAATCGAATATTTAAACGTGAGTGAATCAAACATTTTATGGCAAAATTTACAGACAAAGAGCACCTTGAGCGTTTTAATAGCCTGGGGCAAGTCTTGCTGGTGGACAGTGATCGCAGCTTCCTGGAGCTCCGTTGTCTCCTGGCGCACCGACCTCTCCTGGAGCTCCGTTCTGTCCTGGTTGGCCTGGTGGCCCTGGAAGTCCCGCTGGTCCCTGTTGTCCTGGTTTTCCATTTTCTCCTGGTGGTCCAGCAGGTCCAGGCTGTCCTGGAGGTCCTGGTCGTCCTGGAGCTCCTGGTCGTCCTGGTGGTCCGACCTCGGTTTTGTATGTTCCTGGCTCTCCAGGTGGACCCGGGCGTCCTGGCTGACCTGGAGCTCCAGGGATTCCGGGTGGTCCACGTGGTCCTTGATCGCCTGGTTTTCCATCTTCTCCTGGATTTCCTGGAGCTCCTGGTGGGCCATCTGGTCCTGGCTGTCCTTGAGGTCCTGGTTCGCCTGGTGGTGCTTCACATGGACACTGCGGTGGGAAGAGTGAACTTGGGTCTGGGCCTGGCGGTGCCGGCGGTCCTGGTGGTCCAATATCTCCAGGAGTACCGTCAACACCATCCGCCCCATCGCGTCCTGGGTCTCCTGCTGGTCCTGGAGGTCCACGGTGGCAAGTACAGCAACCACCTCCCTCGTTGTTGAATGACTCAACACCAACAGATGGCGCGTCATAACCAACTGGTTGGTCGCGAAGCTCTTGATCATGTAGACGGCGAGCCCAGAAATCTTCGAGGGTGTCACTGAAACGATTTTGTTTGAATATGGATAAACCAAAGGACATAGACATTTTAAAAATATTACCGTTTGGCTAGTCTTCTGTGATTGATCACGATGTTAGCCAATTTGGCAGCATCTTTCTTTCCTCCAGTTTCGATATCAAGCATCTCCTTCCACATATCTCTTGCACGTGCCTAGAAAAAATCATAAAAATGGCATATCATATTCAAACTACCTGACAGAATTCAAGATCCAATTGAACTTGGGACTCGAGAGTTTGAATGTAGTGTAATATCAAAGGAAATGTAATGAGGCACGATGTAATAGCAACCGTTGAAAAAACGACTGCTATGAAAGCTACTGGACGAAGAGAACCTTTTTCTTTTCCGTCCTTCATTTTTCTAGAATTATGAATTGTAAGATGTGTCACAATTGAAAAGCCTACCGTGCTGCCGCAAACTTGACTAGAAGCAGCTGCGCAATTTGCCTCATCTTCTACTTTTATACGGTATTTGGTTCCGCCACTCCGTCCATTGTCTGATGACATCCGCGCAACACATAGTATTCCTCCCATCATCTTTCTGCGTCTTGCTGCGAATTATGAAACACTGCCGTGTTCACTTCACACTCGCGCTGTGGAATTCGTGTTAAAAAAAAGTTGTAACCAATTTTGAGGGAGATGAATATAATGCGAAAAACAATTGAACTTTTTAAGGCGATTTTTATGGGCATGAACGTGCTCTGCCATTACCTTGCTGTCGGGATCACAAACATCCAGAATGTATGGATATAACTGTGCCCGAAAATGATTCATCGAGACCAAGTAAATGCATAACGTTAATAAAATACGATTGTGTGAAGTTTCAGATTCAATTAAATGTTTCCCTTATTCAAGATCACTTCCGACGCCCAATGATAATTGTACATTTGGGCAAAGACAACAGCTGAACATGGTTTATATCTAAAAATATTTATCCTCATTATTCATCCTCGCATTGTGTGTTCGCTGTACAAATGCTTACTCTTCAGGCTACATCATACTTGGATTTGAGCCAAATATACGGAAACACAAATAAGGTGGCAAACAAAATGAGACTTTTTAGAGATGGTATGCTTTTTTTTCGTCAGTAATGTTTTTGTTCTTCATACATTATTTTTTGGATTTACCATTTAATTCGTCCACTTCTTTTAGGAAAACTTGCTCTGAGAACTGTAGCTGGTCTCTCTAATAGATTAGGAATCCCACCAGCTTCCGAAGATGGGTCTATTTGTAAAGCTTACGCTGGAAAACCATGCCTTTTAGCAGGAAGCACTAGGTATTCTTAACATTAAGAAAAAAGTTAAAAACTTACAGGATAAACTTCCTTCCAACTTCTGGAGTGATCTACACGATCTGGATGAGGCAACATAACCTAATTGCTGATAAATTGAAATCTGTCAATCCGGAATGGAATGACGAAAAACTTTTCGAGGAGTCTCGAAAAATTACGATTGCCCAATATCAGCATATTGTTTTCAAGTATTAAAAAAAATTCTTCGCATTTCAACGCACATAAATTCTAGTGAAATGCTTCCTATCCTTGTTGGCAAAGAGCAGCTGAGATCTATGGGTCTTAAGTTGCGTACCAACGGCTATGATAGTGGCTATGATTTGGTAAAAAAAAGTTTACGGAAAATCTAAATTTTTAACAATTTTTTTTTTTAAGAAAATTGATGCATCAACGTCAAATGTTTTTGCTGCAGTTGTTGGGCAATTTTTTTTCACTTTATTGCCAAATGTGTTTTACACAGACGAAAAAAAGTTTACGCGCGGAGAAGCGTTGTCCAGAGTGAAAACAAAGCGTGATTTTTTTTTCTATATTAAGCATTTCGTTTCAGCATTTTAACGATCCGTCTCTTATTTATGAACATGGAAAAATTGATGGAATTTTGAAGTTTCTGATTAATAATCCAATTGAGAAGCCGGGATTACATGTGACAACTCAGCTAAAAACAACGTTTATTAATAGTATGTGGTAATCTCGAAAATTTCAATATTTTGTGTTTCCGCAGAGGATCCGTCTGATTCGATTGATATGGTCGCAATGGTGATACAGATGGGAAGGGATCATGGAATCCCAAGCTTCCTGGAGTGGCGAAACTTTTGCCAATTAGAAGAGCACAGATCTTTTGCTTCTCTTAAAAATATATTTAAGACTTCTGTTAACATCACTGATCTTGAAAAACTTTATGATTCTCCTGAAGATATTGATTTGTTTGTTGGAGGACTTGCAGAGCAGCCTGTGCCTGGAGCCTTGCTTGGCCCAACATTTGCTTGCCTCTTTGCCCATCAAATGTCCCAGGTAATAGGAAATAGTGCAAAAGTATTAATAGATCCATTTTCAAAGACTAAAAAAGGAGATCGATTTTGGTACGAAAACTTTGTCTCTCCATCTTCATTCACTACGGAACAGATTGATGAAATACGCAAAACGACTATGGCCAGAATCCTTTGCGATAATACTCAACAGATTTCGCACGTTCAACATCAGGCTTTTTCTCTTCCTGACGATTATGGGTAATGATAACCGACATGTTGTAATTTTTTAGTTGTGTTGTAGGAATTGTCCAGTTACCTGTGACTCTAGTGCTATTATTCCGTCGTTTAACCCAATTTCATTCAAGGAAGGCGAGAAATTGTATTCTGCTCCTATAACCCCAGTAACTTTTTAATGAACAAAACTGATTAAATTTTGAGATATAATAGAAAATTGTGGAAAAAGCTATCCGTCTCGGAATAGAACAATTCAAGAGATATGAGGAGGGAGAAGGAAGAAGAATTCAAGCATTAAATCAAGATCCGAATCCATCTGGGTTGTTATCACATGCCCTTCTCATGGCCCCAAAAAAGGAATCAGTTGATATTGCACGAACTGCGTCGGTACTACGAGAAGCAACTAATATTTTGATCACCGGGTAACTACTTTTTTTCTTTCTTATTATTTTCGTTAATTCATAATTTTTAGAGAAGGACTGAGCAAAGAAGAGAAACTTGATAATCTTGATATTGCAACTCTCCAACAAATTTTACCGCAAATTGAAGTTGACAAGATTATTAATAATTTTGAGCCTTTTCTAGGTTCTATTATTTTATGTTTTTTTGAATATGGAACAATTTAGGACGTGATCCTCTTCCAAAAGAACAATGTCTTCCCGAGCCTCTTCCTTGCGATCATACAAATAAATATCGTAGTTACACTGGATGGTGCAACAATTTGAAGTATCCAAAATTCGGAAATGCTTTCAATCAGATGCGAAGAATTCTTGATCCTGCATATGATGATGGTTTTAAGCGAAAATAATTTTAAATATTTGGTTATTTATAGGATTCGATTCACCACGAACTAGATCTGTTGATGGCGGCGAACTCCCTTCGGCTCGAAGAATTTCGAATGTGGTTCACGCAGATGCTCCGGAATTCCACGTTAAATTTACACACATGCTTATGCAATTCGGTCAGATTCTTGATCATGACATGATGCATTCTCCTATCGCTAGAGGTTCACAAATCTAATCAAAAATATCACGAAAGCTAATTTGAGGTCCACATAATACTATTTTAAACTGTTCTTCTTGTGATTCTGCTGAGACTCTTTCAATTCATTGCTTTCCGATTAAGATTGAAGAAGGAGATCCTTTCTTCCCAGCTCGTGAACCAAATGGAAAACCAAGGTGTATGCCTTTTGCAAGAAGTTTATTAGCGCAAGTCAATTTAGGCTACCGTAACCAGGTAACCTTGAATATATTTTTTAAAACTATTAATTCAATTTTTAGCTCAATCAACTAACATCCTTTCTTGATGCTTCTTACATTTATGGATCAACACAATGTGAAGCTAATCGATTAAGATTGTTTAGCGACGGAAAACTCAACTTCACTGATTTGGGTTTCAATAAAGAAGCGCTTCCTCAAGGAAATCAAGAAAGAGACTGTCGATCTATTCTGAAATTCCCTCAAAAAAGGTTTTTACATATCTAAGCAATACATGAGATATTAATTAATCAATAGATGTTTTGTCGCTGGGGATGAACGAAGCAACGAACAACCTGGACTCACTGCTATTCATACAATTTTTCTCCGAGAACATAATCGAATTGCACGAGTTTTAAAGCAGTTCAATAATTTCTGGTCAGATGAGAAACTGTTCCAAGAAGCTCGACGGATCAATATTGCGCAACTGCAGAATATCATTTTCAAAGAATGGCTTCCAGTAGTTTTAGGATGTGAAAATATGGAGAAATTCGGATTAATGCCGCAATCAACAGGATATTTTGAAGAATATGACGATAAATGTGATCCGACGATATCACAGGAGATGTCAACGGCAGCATTTAGATTTGGACACACGTTAATTCGCGGAGTTTTTAATCGAATGAATGAGGGCTTCCAAAATGGAACACAACATGTGAATTTAACGGTTAGTGGGATTTGTATTTGTAGTCTGTAACCACGGATTGCAGGAAACTTTTTCGGATCCGTCTCCAATTTACGAAAAAAATTTGGGACACATGGAATCTATCTTAATGGGTCTAATTGGTGTAAACAGGTGATAAAGCATATTTTTATCTATGCATTTCATAATTTCAGTATGGCTTTTGATCGGCATATTGTCAGTGCTGTTCGAAATCATCTTTTTGCAAGGCCGGGTGCTCCCTTGACAGGTCTCGATTTGCCAGCCGTTAATATTCAACGAGGGCGAGATCATGGAATCAGAGGGTACAATGCTTATAGGTTAGTTGTTCTTTCAGACAGCAAAGAAACGGCATATTTAGAAAATGGTGCGGTCTTCGTGAAGCTCGTAAATTTTCGGACTTGCGCGATGTTATGAATGCTGACGCAGTTACAGCTTTAGAGACTGTCTATTCGCATGTTAACGATATTGACCTATTCCCGGGGATAATGAGTGAGACCCCAACGCGAGGAGCTCTTGTTGGACCAACCTTGGCATGTTTAATCGGAGAGCAAATGCAGAGACTTAAAAAATGCGATCGTTTTTATTATGAGAATAATTTACCTATGATTCGATTTACACCTGGTACTTTGTGTTTTGATTTTCAAAATTTTACTGCAAAGTTCAGATCAGCTCGCTGAAATTCGAAAAGCAAGCATGGCTCGTATTATCTGCGAAAATAGCGAATATGCAGCTAAAATCCAGCCGAACGTTTTCCTGATGCCGGATGACCTTGGCAACGCTCCTCTGACATGCTCAGAAATACCAGAAATCGATCTTACAAAATGGACTGAACGCGGTACTTTACACTTTAGGTTAATGTAAATCAGGATGTTTAAGAATATTGTATTATTGACGAAAGAGTTATCAGTCGCGGTAAAACGAAGAGAATAACTCCATGTGTAACTTGCACTTGCACACTGGAAGGTCCCGAATGTCATTCAATAACGAAAAACGATTGTCAAACCCTTCTACGAGATTATTCGATATCGGCAATTGAAAAAGTAAATATTTTAAAACGTATTGTCGGCGTCGCGCGACTGCGATAAATCTACACGTTTAGCTTTGAGCCAAGATCTTTGCCATTGTATTTTTTTTTGCATTTGCTAATTTTTCACAATATATAAAAATACTTCTTTCAGGATCCTGTATGCTTGATTCAATGCGCACATCATCTTAAGAAGTTTTAATGAACATTTTGTGTTATATATTTAATTTATTGAGAGAAAATAAATAATTAAAACATGTAATAAATATTTAATCTTATCAATTATTTGCAAGTTTTCATTATCTATTGAAAGTTCTGTTCATCTGCCCGCCGTTTCATGTTTAGCGTACTATCTTTGATATTTCAAAGACAGATAGAAAATTGTTTTTATTTTTTTGCAGTTCTCAGTCATCTGTTAATTTCAATGGATTATACACTTCCAACTAAATTTCCCAAAAACTTCCTATTTGGAACAGCTACCGCTGCTTATCAAATCGAAGGCGCTACGAACGAAAATGGTTTTTGATGAAAATAATTGTTTTACAGTTAATAATTTTAGGTCGTGGTGTCAGTGTTTGGGATGCTATTCGCCGTGAAGAAGGTAGAATCAAAGATGGGTCTAGCATTTCTCAATCGTGCGAAAGTTTTAAAAAATATAAAGAAGACATTGAGTTGCTGAAAAACCTTGGAGTAAGTTATTCGAAAAAATTAATTATTGTTATTATTGTAATAGGTCACTGCTTATCGCTTTTCAATTTGTTGGTCAAGAATTCTTCCAAATGGCACACTTTCTACAATCAATGAAGAAGGAATTGCATATTATTTAGATTTATGTGAACGTCTTGTTGCTAATAATATGAAGCCTATTGTAAGTTATCTGAGAGAAAAGTGACTATCATTATTGGTCGCTACAAAAACTACTCGAGAAGGACGTGCAGAGTTTGCACAGACTTCCAGCAGACTCTTATTAGGAACTGCGTAGTCTGATGGAAATCTGCGTAAACCCTGCACGAATTTCTCGTGATATATATATATATACATATATATGTCGAGCGTTGCGAATCGGGAGTGGTAATGTCGGAAGTTAATATGTCTTGCCGTGCCAGGTCCTTGATTTTTTCAGTAAAAAAAATTAAATTTAGGTTACTTTATTTCATGCTGACATGCCTCTCACCATTTACGACAGTGGGACATGGTTGAATAAACGAAACTGTGAACACTTCGCAAACTTTGCCAATTTATGTTTTCAAAAATTTGGGCACTTAGTAAAAACGTGGATAACATTTAACGAGATCAACATGCAGGCATGGGCTGGAGTTGCTAAATATGAAGGATGTCCATGGCACAGCCCAGACCGCCCAGACCCTGAAAATAAGGAAAGCGTTGCCTATCGGTAGGTCAAATAATTGATTGTCTCTCGCAAATTTTTTTCCGATTTAGGGCAGCTCATAATATGATACTTACACATGCAAAAATTTACGGCATATATCAAGAAAAGTACAAAAAAGAACAAAATGGTTCAGTTTTCACATTATAGACAATTATCCTAAAGCTGGAATCTATAGGTCACATTGGCCTTATTATTGGAGGACGTTTTTGCTATCCCGCGACAAAATCCATTAATGATATTGAGGCGCATATCAAAAGATATTGTGTTAAACTTTATTCATATTTAGGCTAGCCAGAGAGGCAATGATTGCCTTGTCAGTAACACAATTGAGCCAATTCTTGGAAATAATGGAAGTTATCCCGAATCAATCAAGAAATTTTACCCGGAATTCACAGAAAACGAGAAGGAGTTGATAAAAGGTAAGCAAATGATGAGGTCCGAGCCGGCGATTAAACACAAATCTTGCGGATAAAACCGGTATCTAACAATCTACTCCTTTTCAGGTAGCATCGATTTCCTCGGCATAAACTATTATCTGAGTCACTTGGTGAGAGATAATAAAGAACGCGGAAACGTGCAATATGAGAGCGATGGAAGGTTCAAAATTATAGAAGATAATTTCGAAAAGTTTTCTAAATATAATCTTTGGAACTAATGGCGAATCTCATTTTGTTGCAGAATTTGCGGCGAACAATGGGTACGTTATATTCCACAAGGATTGCACGATCTCTTAAAATATATCAAGTTAAAGTATGGAAATATTCCTGTAATGATTACTGAAAACGGATGTATGGACGTAGATGGATCAGATCCTTTGAGAGACGCACATAGGATTAAATATATAGAAGGTCACATCTCAGCAGTTTCAAAAGGTGTCCTTCGCAACGACTATGTTTTATATGTTTTATTTTAGCTATTCGTGATGGATGCAATGTAACTGGTTATATTGCATGGAGTTTGATGGATAATTTCGAGTGGGATGACGGATTTGCCATTCGATTTGGGCTCTATCGGTAAATCTGCTGAAATATGTTAAACTAGAAAAATTACAGAGTTGAGTTTGAAAACGATCAAAAAACTCGTATCATGAAAGATTCCGCCAAATTTTACAAAAACTTTATTGCTCGTTATAAGGAACACCATAAATTAACTCATTAATTCAAGTTTTGAATGCTCATACGAATTTATCAAATAAAAAGTCGGCTGGAATTTCATCACTTCTTCTGCTTTGATAGAACTGAGAGAAGCCATACGAACACTGCCCAATGAGTCACATAAATGAAGCATATTATTCCAGTAAGGATGGCAAAAATGACTCCAAATCCTTTCCTAAACAAAAGAACAATTTTTTGTTATTTCAAAGAAAATTATACGATCTCATTTTAGTTTGGGCAATGTTCATTTTATTTGACTTATCGTATTTGGATCCCGATTGTTCTTCGCCGCCTTCATTTTTTTTTGCATTTCCTGAAGAATTTGCTGGTTTTGGATTATTTTCTTCTGTTGCGGCTGGAGATTTTGGAGCTGGAAGTTTTGACACTGGGGCCTCGGGCGGAGGTTGAGTCGGTTGATCTTCTATTTCAGGGGCATGCGTCTCTTGATCGGGTTGTTTTGGATTTTCAGGAACAGTCTTCTCTTTAGGCAGTTGTTCTGGTTTTTCAGGAACAGTCTTCTCTTTAGGCAGTTGTTCTGGTTTTTCAGGAACAGTCTTCTCTTTAGGCAGTTGCTCTGGTTTTTCAGGAACAGTCTTCTCTTTAGGCAGCTGCTCTGGTTTTTCAGGAACAGTCTTCTCTTTAGGCAGTTGCTCTGGTTTTTCAGGAACAGTCTTCTCTTTAGGCAGTTGCTCTGGTTTTTCAGGAACAGTCTTCTCTTTAGGCAGTTGCTCTGGTTTTTCAGGAACAGTCTTCTCTATAGGCAGTTGTTCTGGTTTTTCAGAAGCAGGCTTTTGAGTTTTCTGCGTTTCCACTTTCTTTGTAGTCGGCTCTTCGGGCAGTGGTTTTAATTGAGGCGTTGGTTTTGATTCATCGGGTAATTCGATATCTCTGAAATATTTTAACGTCTTCTTTAGAAGATGATTTCACGGCAAGGTATTCCGAGAGTTTCTGCTAGCCAACAAGAAACAACAAAGACGATCGAAATATTTATTCTGGCTCATTTCTTATTTTTGTTTTCGCAAAACACTGATAAGACAGCCAAAAATCATCCAATACAGTAAATAAATGAGCGATAAGCCTCCTGTTACACTAGCAAACAACACTCCGAATCCTTTCCTACAAGAATCGGGTTCAGAAATCTATAGAAATTAAGGATTACGTTCTAATGTTGGTTTCATTCACATCGACGGTTCCAGGTTTACCAAATTTGGTTGAATTCCTTTAACATAATATAGTTTTCTCGAACTTCTCAATGCTTACTTTCTCGCATCGACAATTCCTATTAAAAGAATACCGCATATAAGAAGAAGGGTAAACTTTGACCCTGAAATGGAAAGTCGATTCTGAAAACTTACGAACCAAATTAACCAACCAGACATGAGAACGAATGTTATTAGAATTCAATGACCTTGCTGAAATGAACTGACATTTTGACGTGAGTTAAACATGATTTGGCTTTGTGATTAAATAATACCTAATTTAAATTAAATTTTTTATTAATTTATTTTTTTAAATTCAAATACATTATTATTTACAAAAAAAGAATATATTACAAATATGCACTTATGTTCCTTAAGAACAAATTTGATATTCGTTTGTGGAAATATTACGGAATGCACCGCAACACTGGAAATGATTAGAAAGTGACACATTAACGAATTCCGTACTGAGCCATTGTTTGAAGCACGACATTGTAGATGCGCTCGAGGAAAAAATCAATGTCAATATTGAGTTCCACATTGAGTTTATTAAAATCCAAATTCCTAGAATTAATATTGACAAATCCAAGAAAATTCTCCAAGTCGGGTGTGTCTTCAGAATCCTAAAATTTACATGTAGGGGTCAGACAGGATGAGAAACGTACATTTTTAATGTGACTGGATTTTTTATTCCTTCATTTTCCAGTTTCTTTCCAGCTTCTAACATTGCTGCTAGAATCACTGGTAATATCAGAACTAAAAATGGAAGGAACGAGCCTCCAACCTAAAACGTATCAATTTCTTCAATTTGTTAAATTTATGTTGCACAAACCAAATTAATAACAAGCCCAAAGTTTGGAACAACTGCAGCGCTTAAAATGATTGCTGAAAATACCGTTGTTCTAACGAGAAATCGGCCTATTCCAAATTCTTTAATTTAAAAGCATTTGCATTTAACGTATATTATAATTCTTACCATGCTTGATTTTTAGAATGTGCTCTGAGAATTGCATTAAAGGATTTACAATAATTAGAATAGAAAAGAAAACATGTGTCGCAATAAGAATTGAAACTATCCGGCGAACTGTGTCGTTTTGGACTGATGAAATCACAGAATCTATAGCTTCATAATTTGATAAATTTCAGATGCTGATTTCTATAAACCTGTCACACTCGATCCGTAAATCCAATATCCAAATATTGACACCGGGGCATAAATCAAAAAAAGTCCTACATAGCTAATTAGACATGTTCGAAAGAAATGCTGAGGAGTCTTCATATCGTGAATAATTGTAGGAATACATGGATGACCACCGTAGGCGAATATGATTGTAGCGAGACTTGACGAAATTGATTGAGGATTGATCTCAGGATAAGAGGCTTCTTTAATACAGACTGCGCTGTCCATTGTGTACCCAATTATTATTAAAACGACAGCTGTAAGTGTAGAAAACGCAGCGACAATGGAAACTTGCCTAGAATATCAATCAATTTTTGAAATGTCTGATTCGAAGTAATTTACCAAAAATGCATGGGACTTTTGAGCATAATAAACGGCCACAAAATAACGCCAACTGCTACGAGCATTGTGCAGGTTGAAACTGTAATTCCTAATCCGTTGAGTACTTCTCCGAGTGTTTTTGCAGCGAGAAGGGCGAAAACCGCTCCTCCTCCAAATGCTGTACTATGACAACATGCATTGGTGAAAATTCTAAAAGAAACCAAGTGTGTATGTGTATCTGGGTAGTCACACAGGGTACTTTTTTTTACATAATAAAAGATAATTTCTTGAAATTTTTTAATTAGGCTGTGAAATAGTAATATTCATATTTTATATACCTTTTTGCGGTTTAAGACTACTGGCATACTAGAAACTCTACGGGCCCTATAGATACTAAATATCACCATGATCTTACGCCATATATGGTCCCAAAGCGCGAAATCCCATTTCAGGATAAGGATTTCTACAATGGTCGGCATACTCGCTCCATCTTGATTTTAATATAATCCAATTATTGCTCAGTAAATATGCTGTATAAAACGTTACGACTCCCATTGCTATTAATGTTAAGATCCCGCCAAGGAGGCCTGAAACTTTTTATTTTATATTGTTAAAGCTTTCACAAACCTAGAGATAGCATTGAGCTTGGTAGAGCCACTAAGCCAGATCCGGCAGTTTCACCGAAAACAAAAATTACAGCAATGTACCATGAGTAACCCTTATCCATGAGATCTAAACAGGGAATTTTTGCATCGATTGATCATTGCCAAAAATGTTATAAATAGCCGAATATCACATGATGATACAACCAACACCTCATCATCAATCATAATTTGATCAATTTTTTTGCAATGTACGAATTATTGTACTTTATGGGGGTTGTTGCAAAGTAATAGAAAGGTTCTGAAAAAAATGCAATTCGTTAAATATTTGATTTGATTTCAGGATAGTTTTAGAAGTTACGTTCACAATAGAATAACAATATGGTTGAAAATTGTGACGAGAAGAACAGATGATAGGAAATCGATGAAATCGCATAATTCTGCGTGGCATTTTTATACATTGACGCTCATGGAAGAGATATAATGGAATCGCACATTTTACAAAAATTTGTTCATAAATCATTTATTGCCTTTACGCTCTTTAGTTCAGTTCTCTATAACTATGTTGTCATTGTCATCCAAATTTGGCGAGTTTCGCGTCTTAATGAACGCTTGAAGTTGATTTAAAAAATATCAAAATGGTCTTCCTATATCAAAATGTTCTTCCAAAAATATCAAAATGGTCATTATACAAACCGTCCCCATTTTTATTACAATATAAGTATATATTTAATGCGTTATCTTTTGCTGAATAATAGAGTAAAAAAAACGATAGTAATTTTAAAATAGACTATATTTGGACCTGATCGATCATTCCGAAAAAGTACGAAAATTTTTCGTTCTTTGGTAGGTACGGTAATCCTACAGTAATTCAACCCGACATCGTTAAAAAATGCTCAGAAGATCATGGGCCTGTATCGAGACACAAATCTAACCGATTGTTTATAAAAATATTATTTTAGTAAATTTGTGGAACAAACAGGCACGTTATCCAAATAGGATATAGAAGATTAGAAGGAATATGCGGAAACATATTTGGTTTGGTGAAATGCGATCGATTCTCATCGAATAACCATTTCGCCTTTACTTTTATAGGCCAGCAAAACGGTTGAATTTTACGACTTCGTTGATTTCGAGGAAGAAATTTATTGACGTTCACGAATTGTAGATATAATGATAGTTAGAGAAGCAAGATGCAATAGAAAATATAACAAAAAGCGATGCAAATATCGGATACCACATCCAGACCTGCAAAAAAATTGAATAAGAAGTATCATTTTTATTATATGGTGAGAGCTGCATTACTTTATGACTGTGGCAGCACATTGTACCAAAGTAACCGCAACAGTTGTATTCATAAAAAATGAAATTTTTACCGCAATATGTATCGTTCTCTTGTGGACAATAAACATTCCCTGACTTTAATGAACAGTGAAGTGCACATTTAGACCAAAACCATACCGAATCGACTACAGCTAATATTCCGCTTATCGATATCATTAGAAATATTAATAGGTTTTGCATATCTTTATACTTCGAAGAGTTAAATCGAGAAAATAAAAATGCAAATATTTATAAGGATTTTAGACGTGATTGTGTGAATTAAATATTTTTTATTTAATTTTTTTTTTGAAAATTAGTACGCAAGGCACGAATACGTATTATTGCACTAATGTTTTTTTTTACATTTTTCTCGGCAATTTTATCGTAGGAATCAGTGGGTTTTCCTATATAATTTGCCGTTCTAGCGCACCTTTTCGTCCATTCTCATTTTTAAACACTCCGAATATTTTTGTCAACCCAGCAAATGTATTTACCTTCAATTTTTAAAGTTTCGTATTCATAAATGTAAAGTAAATCATCATTTTGTTATCGTTTTAATGACGCCTTCTAGAAATTTAGAAAGCTCTGGAGTCGGCAATCTGTTTAAATTTGCGTTATCAGTTTCTAGTCAATAAACACAACTGTTTTCTGACAGGAGAAAACGGCTGATTGCCGCACGTTGATAAGGCTTAAAAATTCATTGTTGGCGTCGTTTCTTTTTTGATTATTGAATAGTTTCAGGAGTTGGATCTCCAAAATCTTCACCGTATCAAATGAAGAAATATAAATTCCTGCAGGTTTGACTACTGCTTGTGGTGTGAATTTTTTCCCGTGTTTTCTCTGTATTCTCCCCCAGAGGCATTAAAACTATGTATGTTCAAATGGGTTCTGAGTGTGCTAATTCGTTTTGGTTCTAAAACTCCCCCGCAGAAAAGCTAAAAATACTTGAGCCCAATTATGAATACATTCTATTTTTATTCAATAGAATTCATGAAATTTGGCCTCAGAATATGTAAACAAATCTTATTTGAATGAATCGCTGACGCAAAAAAACACAAAAATTGTGGAATTTGTGTGGCAACATGTCACCCTCGCCAGACGACATTACATCTCGCACTGTTTCGCCGAAAATTTCTGCTTACATTAAATATTCTTTTTTTTCTGTTCTGTCTGTCACATGGACCTCAAATTTAGTGGTCAATCGCCGTGTCTCGGCACTCTCGTGCCCGCGACTGCTCTATCGCACGGGTGCGGCGCGCACCCTTCGGACAACATAGACCAGACGAGATATCTGTCTCCTGTCTCCGCCTCCCTCGCAAAATATTGGCCTAAAATTTAATTCGTTCGCTCAAATTTCAATTTAGTATATCGACTCTGTTCAAGAAGGTTCACTCCAATTTGAATTAAATCACGTTTTCTCAAATCGCTTTTCAAAAACTGAATTAATACAAATAATTATTTTGTTAAAAAAAAAAAAACATTTAGTCAATATATAATTATAAAAATGCAATATAGTGTAGCTGATTTAATAAATGAAAAATCATATAAATAAATTTAATGTTTGATAAATATTGGAGTCATTTTTATCGTTTTGATGAGTAAAACATTGCAAACATCGAACGAATAGAAAAACTAGCCGATTAAACTGAGGATTATTTCAGGGTTTCATTGTTTCTCATATAGCAATTCAATTCGTCATGAATCGCTAAACCGAATGTCACGAGTTTTTTCCAAAAGTCTTTTCGGGCATTTCAATTATCGGTACCATGTCTCTTTCTCCTCCTTTCATCGTTCCGTATTCAAACATCTAATATTACTTCCTCTTTCTGTTCTTGGGAAATGTCTTAATAGAACCCGTTTTTCTTTGTTTCATTTTTCTGCTTTACGTACTCTGTTCGAATCCCATCTGTCGTTAATTTCACACTTACATTGACGAGATCATGAACACATTTCAGAATAACGTCAATCGTATGGGCCCCGGCGGCTCCTGCCGTCAAGACACTACGCGTAATGCGACCCCCGCGAGCACCTCCACCGTCAGTTCGTCAAGCTCGGCGCCCATTGTGGACACGAACAGTTCGTTTGAAATATTCGCTTATAGGACAACTGTGTGGAGATCGGTAAGATCAACTTCAAACGTAATTCAAAAACTGAAGAATTACAGATATTTTTCTACGCTTTATCTTTTGGAACCTGCGGTATATTTCGGTTAATTTTACACTGGTTTCCAAAATGGCATATCAATGTTCGTGCCAAACGTTGCGCCGTCGAGCAATGCAACTACGTGTTGGTAGTGTAAGTAAATGACAAGTATAGTCGGCGTCCGGCAACTGCTGTACGCGGGTAGATTTACGGGGATGCTTCTTTCTCTTAGTTTCGCGCGGACTAACTGGTAATTTAGCATTTTATGGATCTGTTCGATAATTTTTAAATCGAACGACTTTAGAAATCCTAATAAATGCCAAACTCATCAAAAAAATAAATCATTCACGTGAAAACAGAAAAATAAGCGTTCACACGTGGCAAGACCTTTTAAAGAAGGCATGCGTGTAAATCTACCCGCGTACAGCAGTCGCCGGACGTCGACTATAGTTTGATTTGAAGCCTATTTTCAGTGATGCTCATGACCATTGTAATATCTGTAAAGTATTTGTTCGTTATCATGATGGAACTGCGCCTACGGTAACCATTTATCCGCGGTTGACTATCTAGTTTAGTTTCCAGGTTGTTGCAAATACCGATGGTACAATACAAGAACTGGATGAACTACGATGGTTCATTTTCCGAAAACTGCAGTACTCATGGGTAGAAGGGAAATGGTGCACGCCGCATAGAGCATATTCGAAAATCAAGGCAGAAGAACTTCGCAACTCAACATCAGTGAATGGTTTAAATACAGACGAAGTTCATAACTTTCCTTTAGTTCTCCTCATTGCATATTAATTATAGGTCGCTCTTCGAAGAACTTATTTCGGTCTAAACGTTATGACAGCTGAGTTGACTCCATTCTTCCAGCTTATTTGCAAAGAAATCTTATCTCCGTTTTATTTGTTCCAGGCATTCAGGTAAGTCTTAAGTTGTACAGCTGTAAACGGACGAATACGAACAATTTCGAGACTCATACTATTTGGAACGGTGAACTATAATTACCATAATCCTAAAAACTCATAAAAGTTATGTTTTTTCTTATTTTGATTGTTAGAAATTGCAAAAATATTTTTGTATCATACGAGAGACTTGCAATTCAAATGTCAAAATGATATCATCCAAAATTTGTCGTCACCGACAATGAATTCGTTTCAAAAAATTAATTTTAGCGTTACGGTTTGGTTTATCGATGATTACGTGTGGTATGCTGCGCTCATTATTGTGATGACATCGTACTCAATTTTTTTGACATTGAGACAAACCAGGCAACAAGACCGACGGCAAGTAAAATTATAAATTCCTAAAAAACTGTAATAAATTTACAGAATTCGATCGATGGTGGTCGAACACGATAGCGTTGAAGTAATGCGGGACGACGGAAGAGTGAGAACAATTGACAGCAGCGAGGTAACAGTTATGACATATTAAAAGCATACATAGCTTGGGAAATTGATTTTTTCAGCTTGTACCTGGAGACATTATTATTATTCCACCGCAGGGATGCGCTGTTTACTGTGATTGTGTTCTTTTATATGGAAGTGTGATTGTGAATGAAAGCATGCTAACGGGAGAATCCATTCCGATTACTAAGGTTATTACTTTGAAAATCCGCAATATGTAGTTTTTTTAGACGGCGATTTCTGATGATGGTCATGATAACTTATTTACGATAGAAAAGAACTCAAAGAATATGATTTTCAATGGTACCAAAGTTCTCCAGACCAAGTATTATAAGGGTCAGCACGTAAAAGCTTTGGTTATTCGAACTGCATATTCAACAACAAAAGGTCAACTCGTTCGTTCCATTATGTATCCCAAGCCAACAGACTTCAAATTCTTAACTCAATTGATGAAATTTGTTGGAGTTTTATCAATGGTAGCCTTTTTTGGCTTCATCTATACTTCTATTATCCTTTTCTATCGAGGTACTTCAATTTTTACTGTATTGATTCGTGCACTTGATCTCGTTACGATCACGGTACCGCCGGCGCTTCCTGGTAATGCCCGATAACAATAATCCGAAATTATTAACCTTTTTAGCTGTTATGTCAATTGGTACATATTATTCATTGAAACGGCTTCGTGAAAAGAGTATTTACTGCATATCACCGACAACCATTAATACGTGTGGTGCTATTGACGTGGTTAGACTTAAATAACATTACATTTTTATGAGTTTAAGTTTCCAGGTATGTTTCGACAAAACGGGTACTCTTACTGAAGATGGCCTTGATTTTAACGCTGTTCGCTTGGTGAAAAGAAATATAACTAAGACCTTTTTTGATTCGGAAAGTGTTGCCGATGTTCGCGAATATCCAGATATCTTGAGAGCCATGGCTACATGTCATTCATTGACAAAGTTGGAAATTAATAACATAAAAATACGAATGTTTAGAAAAAACCATGAGCTTGTTTAGAATTCAAAATGAGCTCCATGGAGATCCATTGGATGCTATTATTTTTGAACAAACTGGGTTTTCTTTGGAGGAAGATGATGACGATAGATCAGCTGATTCGATGGATACTGTCCAGGTAGTTAGGCGAATATTGGACATTTTGTTTAACTCGAGTATTTTCAGCCTTGTTTGGTGCGGCCACCGGAAAAATGTCAAATTCAGGAAGATTGTTTCATTTTGAAGCAGTTCATTTTCAAGTTTAGCGCTTCGCAATACTTTTAGTCTTTGATTTGATTTTAGCTCCGGATTGCAAAGAATGTCAGTGATTGTCTCTGCGCAATCTTTACCATCTTGCTTAGTGTATTGTAAAGGATCTCCGGAAATCATCGCCACGTTATGCAAACCGGAAAGTATTCCAGAAGATTTTCATGTAAATTTCCTACCTTGTAAAATTTGATCAGCACAAATTTTAGAATGTCGTTGAGGAATACACTCAACATGGGTATCGTTTAATCGCAATTGCCCAAAAGAGTCTTGATGAAAACTTCGATGTCTTGAAATCTTCAAGAAGCACGGTAATTCACTACATGAAATGCAAGTAGTACACTATCAGTTTGCAGATTGAGTGTGATTTAGAATTAATCGGTCTCATTTCATTCGAAAATCGTTTGAAACCTGTTACAACTAGTGTGATCCATAAACTAAATAAGTAAAATATAAATTTGACAAAATTTATATGTTTTGCAATAATTTAGAGCAAACATTCGGACAGTAATGGTTACCGGAGATAACTTGCTCACCGCCTTATCGGTTGCGCGAGAATGTGGCATTATAAAGAACAACCGGGATGCTTACTTAATTGAACACGATGAAAAATGTTTGGATTCACATGGAAGACGGAATCTAACTATTCGGAAGGTAATTAATCATTATTAAACTCTAACTTTCTATTATTTGTTCATTTAAGAGAGATTGTCATGGAAGTCCTTCATTGAAATGCAATGACTTAAGCAAACTAACCACCCCGGGATATCAGTTTGCAATTGCTGGACCTACATTCACTGTCATCGCTCAAGAATACCCAGAGATGTTCGATCAGTTAATTTGTGTTTGCGATGTGTTTGCCAGAATGACACCTGATCAAAAACAGATACTGGTTGAGCATCTGCAGATTGTTGGGTGTACCGTCGCAATGTGTGGAGATGGTGCTAACGATTGTGCGGCTTTGAAAGCAGCTCACGCAGGAATTTCACTATCAGATGCTGAAGCCTCAATCGCAGCACCCTTTACTTCGAAGGCAATTAGTTAATACTTTAAACGGAAAATCTTCAAATTTTAGGTTGCTGATATTCGCTGCGTGATCACAATGGTTAGCGAAGGCCGTGCTGCTCTTGTCACTTCGTTCAGCGCATTTATGTTCATGGCGGGATATTCATTGACACAGTTCATATCAATCCTACTGTTGTACTGGATCGCTAGTAGTTTATCTCAAATGCAATTCCTTTTCATCGATATGCCTATCGTCACGGTACTCGCATGGCTTTCTTCGCGAACTACTGCTTATGCAACAATTGCACCATCACCACCACCTTCCAGCATTCTTTCGGTCACTAGCATGGTTTCGTTGTTTGGTCAATTAGCAATAGGTGGATTTGCACAGGTATTATTAATTAATTATTAGTAGCAATTACAAAGAAACTCATAAGGTTCTTGTGTTCTGCATAGTCACATTACAACCTTGGTTCCTACCTTTTGTTGCTGATGAAAATGATACTGAAGCTTCTCGAAGAAGTCAACAAGTATTTTTTCAATATATTAACAAAAAAAAAACACCAGAAACCTTTCTCTAGGGTACCTCCATTTTCTTCGTCTCAATCTTCCACTATATTGCTATCAACGCAATTTTCGCTAAAGGTCCACCCTACCGTAATACAATCTTCTCGAACCGTCCATATTTTGGGACTCTTATTCTTCTAAGCATTGTAATATTATATTATAACATTTATTGTGGAATTGGAGTACATTTCAGTTCTGCATGTGGCTCGTTTTATGGGACTTTACAATTGTCCAAGAATATCTCGGCTGCGTAAATTTGCCTTTTGAATTCCGAGCAATGATTCTTGTTGTGGCGTGCGCTGTTGTCTGCATTTCTTTAATTTTCGATCACTTTTTGGAAAAAATTTCGAAGTACATCCGAGAAAAGTACGTTTTTAGCACTTATTGAATAAAAAATGTTTTATTTGCAGGATTCATCAACGAAAAAAAGCTGCAAAATAAGAAGTAAAAGTATTTGTAATAAATTATTATTATTATGAATAGCATTAAGTGTTGGATTGCGGTATATAACGAAACTTTAATTTTCTTTTTTGAAAAGGCCTGGTTGAATTATCGCGTAACGCAGAACAAATATTAAAAAAAAAAAGAAAAAAATAGAAAAAATTTTTGCTCCATTGAAATTTATCCCTTTTTTGCATTCACTCTTTAGAAAAATACTTGTGTTACATTCCGAAATAAAGCTGGTTTCATTAAAATCGTATAATTTTGATAATTATTCATGATTGCCATTATGAATCGTTATGATCGATTAAAAAATATCTGAACATCCTTTTGCCTTATTTAAACAATTTAAAATTATTGCACTCGGCAATCCGTTTGGGGGAAAAGGCAGAGTTTCTGCTGTTGGTATCTTTTTATCTTAAACGGGAGCACCACCGCCGTATCTCACGGACTGATGAGTAAAAACGTCCCACAAGGAAATGTTACCGTAAAAATGGAAAAGAAAAATAAATGTCACGGTCTCTCACAATCACACAGTCTCTCAATACTCAGAGTTACACCCAAACACGCTACGATTTCCTGAAATTTTAAATTGCCGCTTCTCTTGTAAAGTCCAATGGAGCATGTTTGCTGTACGTCAAATTTTAAATTATATGTATACCAATTTTCCTTGATTATTATATATATGGAGTAATTAATTTTATCTAGCTTATAAATACTCCAGTAGCTGAAAACCGATCGTATCCGACTAAATTCGGTTCCGGAATCAACCCGATTCATGTAATTCGATTTGTATTAGCTCGTATTCGATTGGTGATTGTTCGAATCCGATTGTGTCTTCATTATTCGAATCCGATTGGTAATTTACGGATTTCATTGATAAAATAAAAAAAATCAATTCGGATCCTATTGGTTTTGAGTTATTAAAGCGACCAATTTTTTTAAACAAATATTTATAGGACCCTTTTAATTGTCTTGCACACTGTTTAAATGTTTTTATCCGACGTTTCGATCTTTAGATAATCATCAGGGAAGGTCAATTTACCTCAAACTTGGGTAATTAAACCGTCGAATAAAAACATTTAAACAGTGTGCAAGATAATTAAAACTGTCCTATCAAGAAGATCTCTTCTACTTAACAATATTCCTGTTTTGGCGAAACTTTTGGCGGCTTCGAGGAAAATAAACAATTTTCTGCCGTAGAAATGTTAGTGAAAATAATTCGCTGTGCAGTCGTCTGAAACGAACACCAATATAAAAAACCAGAAATAACCTTCATTTGGGTATAATATATGTAAACAATCCCCCCCCCACTTGTTGCAATTTGACAAAATTATTTGTTTTATTGAGTAATTTTAGATTCATCGGTCTTTTGCAACTTGAGTGGCCACTAATAATGGGAAAGGAACAGTTTCGTGAGGCCGATATGGCCCTAAAAGTGTAAGATTAATTATATACTATGTAATACATGCATACAATTTCAGAGTTGGTGTAAAATTTGCGCCCGGTGACTGCGAATTCATGCGGCAGACGGCGTACGTTCCGGTATACAACAATAAACTTTATGAAGACGTTGGAGGAAAGCTACAACCTGCAGCTTATGGTCCTTTGGATCCAAAAATGGGGACATCTACGAAAACGGGAACGTGTTCTACATGTGGCCTAGGACTTACCGATTGTGTTGGCCATTTCGGATATATGGACCTCGACTTTCCAGTTTTTCATATTGGATTCTTCAAGCTCACTATTCAGCTTCTTCAATGCATTTGTAAAAATTGTTCTTCAATTTTATTAACTAAAGAGCAGTTTCGCAATTTTTCGCGACAAGTCATGAACCCGAATATAGATTATTTACATAGGAAAGCTCTCCATAAAAGAATTGTGGCAACATGCAAAAAGAATGGAGAATGTTTTGAATGTGGAATGAAAAACGGTATTCGTTATTACAGTTTTTCAAATATCATGACTAATTCTAAGGTGTTGTTAAAAAAGCGGTCGGAGCTGTTTTGAAAATTGCTTTTGCAAGCCCTGTTCCAGCAGAGGAGGCATGTTTTTTTTTCAAATTAAAAGTAATTTTTATCCTTTTAGTTAGGTAAATATGCGACCATGTGCGCTTCGAATGTTGAAGTCGGTGATTACGTCAAGAAAATGAAATTTACACTTCTCAACCCTCTCTTTGTGCAGAAGCTTTTCTCAAATATTAAAGAACATGTGAGTTCTATTCCGTTTTAATATATATCGCATTTATTAAAGGATATTCATGTGTTGATGGTGCGATCCGGTGAAGATAAGCATCCTAATGAGCTTCTTTTGACAAGAATTCCTGTTCCGCCTGTCTGCATTCGACCATCGGTGGTGTCTGAAGTAAAATCAGGAACAACAGAAGATGATGTAACAATGAAGCTAATGGAGATCATGCTTACAAATGACGTTCTGCGGAAACACAAAAGAGATGGAGCGCCGACAAAAACACTATTCGAAACATGGGAGCATTTGCAGGCAAAAGTTTATTCTACTTAAATAAAATTTCTGAAAGTTTTAGATCCAATGTGCTCTTTATATCAATAGTGAAATGTCAGGTCTTCCTCCGGATTTGCAGCCGAAAAGAGTAAGCAAAATTCTAAAGTTTTTATTCTAATTTATGTTATATTTCTCAGGCCACTCGCGCGTTTACTCAGCGGCTTAAAGGAAAACAAGGACGTTTCCGGGGAAATCTTTGCGGAAAGCGCGTTGACTTCTCAGGAAGAACTGTCATCTCACCGGATCCAAATTTGAGGATTGATCAAGTCGGTGTTCCGATTCATGTCGCCAAAACTCTCACATTTCCCGAAATAGTAAACAGTGCGAATATTGACAGAATGCGACAATTGATTATAAATGGCAGCGATATTCATCCTGGTGCAAATTATTTGGTTGATAAAAAGACTGGGAACAAGAGACTTTTAAAGTTGCCGTACCAAAAATACAATTATACATTTAAAATTTCTAGGTATGGAAAACGTGATGAATTGGCCAAAAATTTACGATTAGGTGATATTGTTGAACGACATTTGGACGATAATGATGTTGTACTGTTTAATCGACAGCCCTCTCTTCACAAAATTTCAATCATGAGCCATAGAGCAAAAGTTATGCCGGGAAGAACATTTCGGTAAAGTAATATGAAGAAATTTTATTGAAAAATATAAACATTTAGTTTCAATGAGTGTGCATGTACGCCCTACAATGCTGATTTCGATGGAGATGAGATGAATTTGCATTTACCGCAGACCTACGAGGCGAAAGGTATTTTCGTTATTGCTATTTTGAATGGTGTATTGACATTTTCAGCTGAAGCCAGCGAATTAATGAACGTTAAGAATAATTTGATTACCCCACGTTCTGGAGAGCCTCTGATTGCCGCTATTCAAGATTTTATTACTGGCGGTTACCTATTAACGCATAAGGACACTTTTCTTCCTAAAGATGAAGTTTATCGATTCGCAGCAGCTCTCATTGATCCATCGGCGAAGAAGCAAGCAAAAATTCGAATTCCGCCACCAGCGATACGGTATCCTGTTGAACTTTGGACTGGAAAGCAACTGATTGAACTAATCATCCGACCGGACAAAGGGTCAAAGGTCTCGTTGAATTTGACAACAAAAAATAAAAGCTACTCCGGAAATCTGGAGTTTTGCGGAAAAGATTCTTACGTAATTATTCGGAATAGTGTACTTCTTTGTGGAGTTCTCGATAAATCATTACTTGGATCCTCATCGAAAACAAACATTTTCTACATGTTGATGAGAGATTATGGTGAAGATGCCGCTGTTGATGCTATGTAAGATTAAAAAAAATTATTTTCATAGATAAGAAATTTAGGTGGCGATTGGCAAGATTGGCTCCAGTTTTTCTGTCGAATAGAGGATTTTCTATTGGAATTGGAGATGTTCGACCAAACGAAAGGCTTTTAGCTGAGAAAGGGCAGCTTATTGATAAGGGTATATATTTAGAAACATAAGAAAAAACAAACTATATAACGATCTAACAACATTTAGGATATGCTGAATGTAATCAATATATTAAACAGTTAGAAGAAGGAAGGCTGAAAGCTCAACCAGGTTGTACTGAAGAAGAAACTTTAGAAGCAATTATTCTTAAAGAATTGTCGACTATTAGAGATCACGCTGGACAGGTAAAATTTTAGTTTCTTCTCGTACTTAGCAATTGGTTGCAGATTTGTCTTCGAAATCTTTCTAAACACAATGCTCCACTAACTATGGCCGTTTGTGGCTCGAAAGGATCATTTATTAATATTTCACAAATGATTGCTTGCGTCGGACAACAAGCCATTTCCGGGCATCGTCCGCCTGATGGATTTGAGGATCGTTCACTCCCGCACTTTGAACGTAAAAAGAAAACTCCAGAAGCGAAAGGATTCGTAGCGAATAGTTTCTATTCTGGACTAACACCAACGGAGTTTTTCTTCCACACCATGGGAGGAAGAGAAGGATTAGTTGACACAGCTGTTAAAACTGCCGAAACTGGATATATGCAAAGAAGGCTCGTTAAATGCTTAGAAGTATGTGTTTTGCGCTTCCGCGAACTCATAAAATTTTATTTCCAGGATCTGTGCGCAAGTTATGATGGAACAGTTCGATCATCGGTTGGTGACATTATCGAATTTGTGTTTGGTGAAGACGGTCTTGATCCCTCTATGATGGAAGCCAAGGATGGAAGCGTTGTGGATTTTGCACATATAATGGAGCACTCTAGAAACACGGAACTAGGTGAATGTCCAATAAAAGTAGAGGAAATGGAGGTGGTTTGATGTAACAATTGCATATTTTAAACAGTATTTTAAGCAATTTGTGCAAGCAGTACTCAAGAAATACTTCAAAGGAGAACACAAGCATTTTGCGGCTCAATGTGAAGAATATCTTGTGAAGGAGCTTGAAAAGTCAAAAAAATATCTAACGATGTCGGATACTTGCGCAGAGCATGAGATCATAACTGAGAAATGTGCTGCTTGCAAACAAAATATGGCGTACAAGTATAATGATCAAATTGTGATTATTTTAAAACTCATCGTATTTCAGAAAATTATTGGTTTCGAATTGTTGTCTCACTCATGCTCAAATTACTACTTTCGTCAAGTTATGTGCTTTCAAATGTGCTAGAGCAATTACAGAACCAGGAACTGCGGTAGGAGCTATTGCCGCTACTAGTATAGGTTTGTCTAAAATGTTGATATTGATTATCTTTAATCGTAATTTTAGGTGAACCCTCTACTCAAATGACTCTTAAAACATTCCATTTCGCTGGTGTTGCTTCTATGAACATCACTCAAGGAGTACCAAGAATCAAGGAAATCATTAATGCCGTTAAAACAGTAATTTTTATATAACTAAATTTTAAAATGTTTATTGAATTTTTATATTTCAACTCCTATTATTACCGCAAGCCTTCTTGACCCATACGACGAGACACTTGCTAGACGAGTGAAAGCAAGAATTGAAAAAACAACGCTGGGTTGGTTTCTTTTTAGCAAGTTTGTTTTATTTTAATGCTTCAGGAGAAATTTGCGACTATATTGAGGAAGTTTATTTGCCTGACGATTATTTCCTGCTAGTTAAATTGAATTCGAAGAGAATTAGATTGCTTCAATTAGAAGTTAGCATGGAGTCTATTGCATACGCGATAGCGACATCAAAAGCCTCGCCGGTTTTGAAGGGGGTTAATGTGAGTATTCGTTCCAAAAAAATGTTTTTACTTTTGTGTTTATCAGATTGTATCACATGGAAAAACGATTATGGTTGTCAGACCAGCAAAAACATCGAAGTTTAGTAAAACGATGACAATGCAGATGCTAAAATATTCTATGGCGAATGTTGTTGTGAAAGGTTTTTTAAGGAAAAAATAAATAAAACAATTATTTATTCTAGGTATATCTTCGGTTAATCGCTGCGTGATTCACGCAGATGAAAAAAAAGGCGACAGCTACTCGCTTCTTGTGGAAGGGACCGATTTCCGTGGCGTTTTGTCGTCAGTCGGCGTTAATCCAAAAAAGACCAATTTCAACAACGCTCTCGTCGTGGCGGAAGTTCTCGGAATCGAGGCAGCCAGAAGCTGTATAATAAATGAAATCATTGCGACCATGGATGCTCACGGCAAGATCTAATTATTGGGGCGAAGTTTTTAATTTATTAATTTTGATGCCATCTTTAGGTATTGGCTTAGATCGACGTCATGTTATGTTGCTTGCTGATGTCATGACTTACCGGTTGGTGTTTATTTCTATTTAAAATAATTATTGAGATTCTCGAAATTTGACAAACAATTCAGAGGTGAAGTGTTGGGAATTACGCGGAATGGTTTGGTTAAAATGAAGGATTCCGTTCTTTTATTAGCATCATTTGAAAAAACAATGGATCACTTGTTTGAGGCGGCGTTCTTCTCGCAACGCGATATTGTATGTTTCTATTGTCAACGTCGCGCGACTGCGGAAAATTGGCTAAATGCCAAAGAATTTTAGAAAGAGGTCTGGGTGTCCGCTGTACGTCTCTAACCTGTCAATATGCTTACAGGGGGGCCGTAAATCTAATCTTTTAGTTTTGCGGCAAAACCACTGCCATCGATTTATCGCGTTTAACTAATTTTCCGCAGGCGACGCCGACAATAATGACGTTTTAAATATATTTATTACATCTCATATTTAGATTCATGGGGTATCAGAATGTATTATTATGGGAACACCGATGACTGTTGGAACTGGAACGTTCAAGTTGTTACAGAAATATGAAAAGAAGCCTGAACTGAAAAAATTAAACCCAATTTTTGAAAATCCGGACTTCAAGTTAAATATTTGAAAATTGTTAATTTTTGTTGTTATCTGTTTCATATCTTACTCATATTCGGATTTTATTCCCTTTTTTTTATTGTTTTTGTTTTTTCGTTGGTTGTATTATAAGATATTCATCCAATAAGGTATTGATTGCTTTAACGAAAAGGTCTCATGGCTGTTGCTGGTCTACTACGTTCTCGAATTGATTTTGCCGATTTTGATCTACGATTTTCTTGGGAAGAGCGCACAAATCGTCGAGGCACCATATTGCTTGGAGGAATCCATGGGATTGGTGGTGGTTCGACAAGGACTAAATTTGCCATCATGTCCCGTTCGTGGTCCTATTAGAAATTTGTATAAATATTTCAACCTCTAGAAAGATTACCTTCATTTCCAACCAAGTTTCGTATGCTTCTTGTGCCAGAAGAGCTTTATATTGCCGAATTTCATCCTTTTCTTTTTTAACATCATTGTTACGTTTTCCTTGTGGCGACTTTTTCTTTTTTTCCACCCTAAGAATTTAAAATGATTTAATATAAATGAAGGAATAATCTACCATGCAAGATATGCAGCATGTGCTTCTTTCTCCTTTTCAGCCTTCATTTTTTCCAACTCTTGCCTTTTCTTCAGCTCTTTCTCGTTTGCCTTGATTCGTAAATCAGTCATTGATTTTGATCTTTCTTTTTTCCACATTTCAAACGTCTAAAAATTTCATTTTATAAGATGTATTCAGGTGTTATACCTTTTGTGCTTCCTGCTTTTTCCTCTCTTTTTCTTCTTTTTCTCTTTGCAGTTTTTCTTTTTCTTTTCTCTTTTGTTTTTCCTTTTCGATTTTTATCCTTTCATCCCTTTCGGTCTTCCACCGCTGGAACAGTTTTTCCGCATTTTCTTTTCGCTCCTTCTAAATACCGTTAAAACTGTACAGCCTGCACACATCGTTTTATTCACCTCTAGCTGCTCTTTTCTCTCCTTCTCGGCTTTAAGCTTTGCCATCTTTTCCTTTTCTTCAGCGATCTTTTTTTGAAGCCATTTTGAATGGTGGGAGGAGCTATTTGATTTTAACAGTTGATCGCTTCTTAAAAATTCTGAATTACAGTAAATTTCTAAACACTTGCAAGATGCTCTTCGTTTCCGGTTTAATGCTCGAAGCGGGTCGAGATCTTGGTTTTAGCTCAGGTGTTTTCGGCACTCGAAACGTGAGATTTGAAGCGCTTCTTGAAATTGGCGTAGGCTCTGGCTGGTATTCTTCAACTTCCACGTGGATCGGTAAACGTGTTGAACATGTTATATTTTCTCTAGTCTCCCTTAAGTTGGCATGTTTTAAATGTTTCTTTTTTTCGAATTACTTGGAAGTTGAAGGTGCTTCCATTGTTTGTATAAGAGATCGTCTCCGAAGTTCATTTCTACAAAAAGAGATGAATGAATAATATCTTATGTGGAAACATTATATACAATTTCTTTAAAAATTCGTCGTCGGTTTCTTCTTGTGTTCTAATGGTTACATGTTTAGATGAGGTAGAATCAGGAACCTGAAAAATCTTTTTACCTGATTTAATGTAAGCAATTCTAACATTGTTTTCTTCATTACTACTTGCTGCAGATTCGCGTCCGTGTCTAGTTGGCGGACGAATTGTCGAATTCACTGAATTTTTCTCTTTTTTTGTGTCCAGACCTAATATTTCGTCGAGAGTTTGGCTGATGGTCAAATTACGGGATTGATGTAGATCCATAGAACTAAAATTGTGTTAATAGATTTTGAGCGAACCAACGAAAATAGCTTACTTTGAGGCAACTTCAGTTTGGTATTGTCTAAAAATGTTGAGTTAAAAGAAACAAATAAAGGACGGCACGCAGTGACCGCCGAAGCGAGATAGGAATTCGGTTGTCATGACAACGGATGTCGATTTTAGTTGTCTAAAGTAAGACCACTCTCAATCAACGAATATTGGTGGAAACATGAGAACTGCGTTATGGATATTTACAAAATGAAAGAATTTTCTTACTCTTTTGTTTCGAAAATACATTATTTTCTCAATTGTAAAACATATGTATATTACCCATATTCTTTGGTGTATAATGTTCTAGCCTATCCAGTTTTGAATGTTGAGAATGCATAAAAGAGACAGAATGAATCATGATTCAAATTGCCTTATAAGTAATTGCCAAACGTCCCTTTCGCGCCATCTTCAACATTAGTATAACGTCGGTATTCCATAGGCGAACAAAAAGTGGATTACGCATGAATTTGACGCGCATAAGAAGCTTCGAATTATAATGGATGCGGCGAAATAGTACGTCAAGTGGGTAAGACGCCGACAGACTCACCACTCTGGCCGTTTTCTTGAAACCAATCACAGGTATAAAAGGACGCCGATGCAACGATTATGGTTGTATACATCTGCAGTTAATACGAATTCGATTAGTTTTCTTTCTTTACCGTTCAACATCTTTACAGTATATTTCAGTAATAATTACGAATTAAGCAAATTTAAATTCACATAATCTGGTTTTCAGTTTATGAAAGGGTTTACCGCACATTCTGCTGGCATTACTGCTGTCGCTTGCTCGGCGGGTGCAATTCTAGTTTGCCTCTTCTATGTTCCAGCTCTCGTCGTCAAAATTCAGAACATCAACGATCAGTTAAAAGTTGATAGTGAAGAGTTTCGCTCTATGGCAGATTACACCTGGTCAGAGCTTGTTACCATGAGACGTGGAAAACGTCAAGCTTATGGCGATGTACCAAAAAAAACATATCCGCTACATACCGCATATGTCAAGGAGGATGCATTCGTTGAAAGCGGAGGTCAGTGCAGTTGCAACCAGAAAAATAGCTGCCCACCAGGCCCTCCTGGTCAGAATGGAAAGCCTGTAAGCTAACATATTTTATTGGAACATTTTCATTATTTTTAAAGGGATTGGATGGAGAACCAGGAAAACCTGGAGAACCTGGGGCACCAGGCCTGGCTGGTATTGCTCCGCCTGTTACAATAGATCCGGTAGCTATTGAAACGGGAAAAACATTAACAATTATGTTCTGTTTCAGTCAAAAGGATGTCGTGTGTGTCCAGGTGGGCCACGAGGACCTCCAGGTCCACCAGGCGAGGCAGGACCCCCAGGACCGGAAGGACCACCAGGAAGCCCGGGACGCATTGGAGAGCACGGACGCGAAGGTTATCCTGGACAGCAAGGAATTCCTGGAGAGCCCGGAAAATCCGGTAAACTTGGTGAACCTGGACTGCCTGGACGCGATGGAACTCGTGGAGCCAAAGGTCCAATGGGACCGAAAGGAGAACCAGGACCACCAGGGCAGAAGGGTCCTGATGGTTATCCAGGGCGAGATGGACAACGCGGAAACGACGGAGAAGCTGGACCCTCTGGACCACCAGGACCTGTTGGTTTACCTGGAGAACCAGGACAAATTGGAATGGTCGGCGCTCCTGGCTCACCAGGGCAAGACGCCAGCTACTGCAAATGTCCTGAAAGAAACGCAGGAGTCAACAAATTTGAGCCACCACCACCACCGGCGGAACAGCCCAGCTATGAACCGCAAGCAGTAATTTAATTGATCGTTTTCCCAAAATAAAACCTAAAGTTTCAGCCTGCGACCTATGCACCGGAAACTCATCCCGATGCTGCCGTCGAACAAGCAAGAAGCCCTTACCGAAAGTGGAAATGGCTTCAATAATGCAGTTGATATAATAAATGGATTAAAATTGCTCACAATAATTTATATTATCACATTTCAGAAATGGATCGGGGAACTTCGAAATATACAAGATTATGCGTTTATACTGTCTGTTGGAACGGTTGCGGGGTTGTTGGTTGAGAGCGTCGGAGAACATTCAAAAAAGCCCATTTTGAAAAGTAATTTGTCATCTGTTCGGTATTGCTCCATCGACATCTCAAGTAGCCATAGAGGTTGGCAAGACTCATCATAGCTCCGAGGAGTGCAACAATCATCCATTCGAACTGAAAAAATCTTACATGTAAGCGGCATTTTTACAAAACAAAAAAATAACCTTTAATGTTAAAAATGCTGTAATAACAAAGAAACCCCACGCCAACGGCCCTGCAACAAGTCCCAACCAGAATACGCGTCGATCCATTGCAGGAAAGCGAGAAGAATCTTTAGCACTTTCAAATTTCCAATGATTATTTCCATCTGAGTCTACGAAGTTCCACCATCTGAGTCCTACGAGTAGTCTTCCAGTTATATTCTTTACTGTCCAAAAATCCATCGATAAAAGGGTTAACTTAAACGTAATTGCGAAATTGATTGCTTTGACTTGTTAAAACCCACAATTATAAGAAATTGAACGATAAAAGAATTTGTGAAAAAGTTGGCGAAAAAGTAGAAAAAAAGAGCTGCACTTCGGAAAGCTAAATGTGCAATAACTATGGATGGCTTTCTGTAACCGAAATATCCATTAATTGTTCTTATTTTTATTTTTAGCATACCCAAACATTTGTAAACTAAATCCTTGCGATTGATTACTTTGAACTGATGAGCTTCCAATGTTTAAATCGCTTTCAAACGCGGACATTCTCTGAAAGTTTAGGCAATAATCACAGAAATGTGAAAAGAAAATAATCCACGAATTAGAAAAACAAAATGTGTCGTCAGATACAGCGCATTGGGTGTACCACGTATATGTGTACCGTATAATTTTGGGCGATTGTCATTCAATCGCTCGGCAACTCGTTGGGCGAAACAGGGATTTCCCTTGGCACACACGTTACACTCTTTCCCGGTTTAAAGAAAACAGCTCATTTTCTCTATTTTTTATGGCACTGTTTCTTCTACAATCCGTTGTTTCACCAAGCACGAAGAATTCCTGTTTTGCTCAATAAGTTCGCCCAGCGTTTCGTCAATCAAGAGAAACGGTTGTTTTTTTTGCCATTTTAGATGTGTTTATTTCCACCGCAAATTAATTATTTACCGTTAATAATTTTCGAAATCATAATTTTGATTTCATAACCTTTTCGTTTCGGAAAATTTTTAAAAGCACGCACCCCGTGAATTTTTAGGATTAGTTTGATTTGTAGGTTATTCGTAGAACAGTACAGTAATTAGCACGCAAAAAAAATCTTGGGAAAATTACCTCCACGTTTCAGTGAATTGTTTCTGTGAAATGCTTTTATCTATAATATTTTTAATAAGAGTTTGTAGACTTTTAATAAGAGTCTTATGGCGACAAGTCTTCTTATCGAAACCCTGTTTTATTTTTCCCAAATTAAATATCGCAAAATTGGCGTGGTCTTTTTTATTTTTATAAAAAAGGTAAAAAATTTGAACTGTCTAGAAAGTGAACATAATACAAACCATTCGAGAAAATATAATATGTATTGGAAAAAAAAAAGAAAAAAGCTAAAGTTTTCTTGTTTTTTTTTTTCAAACGTTCAAACTAATGTTGTTTTCTCTTCCAATATTGCCTGTTTGGCAAAGAATACGTAACATTTCATTCTGATGTTGAAAGTATGTTTACATGAAATACGCAGTCGTACGAGGTTATATATATATATATATATATATGATTATATATAAATGATATATGTTAACTTTTTTAAAGATTTCCTCCCTACATCTAATAAAGCCAGTCCTCGGATCTTATAATTTTCGGTCATAAATTCCATTTCTGTGACAATCCTGGCGTTTGCAGGAAAATGTTCTAGGGCAGAGATATAGAGGCCCCTCTTCCATATTTTGTCAAATAACCCGATGAGAAATCTAAGATAAAGCGCTAGATAAAAGCGGGCGGCGCTCAATCATACCACTGCACTGTTTCACTGGTCTGTTCTCTGAACATCTCTATTCTAACATTCGTTATTTTTGCTTTTGCGATACTCTCAATAGGCAACGCAATGTCTTTCCTTTCCTCCTCTTCTTTTCCTGACTGGGATGTCTTCGTCTCTTGCGAATCAGCTGATGTCAATAGCGGGCCCCGTCGTCTAGGTGTCGTGCTTGAATTTTGTTCCTTCCCTCGTTCAATTTTTGTGTAGATTTCATTGGTACTTAACTAATTTTCGTAAAAAATGGAGAATCAAGAACAACAAATGTATGGTTTTGTAGTACTGATTTTTAAAAACCAAAGAGATTGGGAGCCGTTGAAAATCACACATTGTTTGTTTGAATGTGTAAATCAACCATTTCAATCAATATTTAAATACAAGCAGAGGAGCTTTTCGACCGAACGTGATCTACAATAGAACTTCTATTGTCGGAAGTATCACGAGAGGTCATCATGATTTTAATTGTGTCTCGATTCAATAAATGTTTGAATTTTTCAAAGTATTTTTCCAGGGACTAAAATACGAGTTTCACAGTAATAAAAATATGCCATATTTGAAAACCACATTTTTTTAGTTGTTAGTTCAAAGAGAGTATGTATAAGTGTAAAGATACATAATATAAAAAATGAGGATATATTCGAATGCACAAGGATCGTACCGGGACGTATGGTTTTTATTTTAATTTTAAGGGGGATTCGTTCGTCATAAAAAATGTTCTATTTGACTTTATGACCGCGATACGCTGTGCATAAAGAAACCTTAGGATGTTTGTTTTAATTAATTTCTCCATTTATTATTTTTGGTGTCGATGTGATTGTAAGATGGCGTATTGCTTCATTGAAGGATCCCGACATTTTTAGTTATTGATTTTCTTTTTCTTCTTTCTCCGTCTATCCCTTAATTAGAGTATATACATATATAAAGCTTATATTATAAAGGGTATGCTTGATTTTTTCTTTTGATTGGCAAGAGTGGTATTTGTCATCCTACTTTATCATTTTTTATATAGCGAGTTTAAGAAACGAAACTAAGGCGACGTTTTTTAACCGAAAAACTACTTCAATAAATTTATGCGAGTGTTGAAAAAAAAATAATTTTTTTAAATGCGTGGAACAAACAGACATGGTATCCAAAAATTATATAGAAGATTTTGAGATAAATAAAAAAGTTTCATTTATTATAATGCTATTCGGTGAAGTGTGCTCTATTGAGAATCGAGGTCAGCACAATCATCCATATTTTTCGTTTCATCATCTGACGTGAAATTTCGAACCGTGTTTATACTTGTTCAAGTCATTTCGAAATAATTCGTAAATATTGAGGTATACCATTCTCCATATAAAATGTTTGTATTATTTATTTGCAGGTATTAATTTTTTCGCAAAAAATTATTTTTGGATTACACTGAATAGGTCTATTGAATAGGAATTCTTAAAATCTCGGAGTTGCGAAACCAAAACTGTTGGCAAATGCGCTCTATCGTCTCGAATTTTAGTGCAAATGAGTGTCATTTATTGACATAGAATGTTGAGTATAAACTGTATTATGATTTTTACTTCGAGAACCTTCTTTTTCTTCATTAAATGCATTTAAAAGATTCCCGAAAATCGATATGTTTTCGTAATATATTGTGCCTCGCTCCTTGTTTTTTTTTCATCTTTCTTTTCCTCCTCTTCAGATTATTTTGTTGAGTTCGTTGGGAAAAACACCGTTTCCTCAATTCTTTTTTTTTTTCAGAATTGGGTAGATCAATAATATAATCTATATCGAATTAATCAGTTTGGATAATTGTATTATAACGCTGGTCACGCAGGTATTGCGGATTAATAAATGTAATTTGAAATATATCTCATTTTCAGAAATAATGGAAGGAATTGATCCAGATGTGCTGCTTGAGTGGCTTCAGACGGGTATTGGCGAAGAACGGGATTTGCAATTGATGGCGTTAGAGCAACTATGTATGCTTCTGCTTATGGCAGACAACATCGACAGATGCTTTGAATCGTGTCCTCCTCGCACATTCATTCCAGCACTTTGCAAAATTTTTCTCGATGAAACAGCACCTGATAGTGTCTTAGAAGTAAGATATATATATATATATAGTCGGCGTCCGGCGACTGCTGTACGCGGGTAGATTTACGCGCATGCGCCTTGATAAGGTCTCACCACGCGTGAATGCTTATTTTGCTTTTTTCACGTGAACTGCTTCATTTTTCTTGATAAGTTTCTCATTTCCTTGAATTTCCAACGTCATTTGAGTAAAAAATTATCGATCCGGTCGCAAAATAACCAGTTATTCCTTGCGAGACCATTTCGAAAGACGCATTCCCGTAAATCTACCCGCTTACAGCAGTCATCGGACGCCGACTATAGCATAATTTTTAAAAAAATTAATTTCGTAGGTAACGGCCCGTGCCATAACGTATTATTTGGATGTTTCGAATGAATGCACGCGTCGCATTATTCAAGTGGAGGGCGCTGTCAAAGCAATTTGTACGCGTCTTGCTGCTGCTGAAATGTCCGAAAGATCTAGCAAGGATCTTGGTATTATAATCCATCATGAATTTGAAAATATAGGTTTCATTTCAGCCGAACAATGTGTAAAGTTGCTTGAACACGTTTGCCAACGAGAGACAATGGCCGTATATGAAGCTGGTGCTATAAATGTTATGCTTAATTTGGTTAGACAACATGGTGGGCATGTTCATCGGGTATGATTTCATAAATATACTGTAAATGAAAGTATTTATATCTTTACAGGACACAATTTATTCCGCCATGTCTGTCGTTACACGATTGTGTGGAAAAATGGAGCCTAACGACTCAGAATTGGCAAAATGTGCTGAAAGTTTAGATGCTCTACTTGAAAACGACGACGCTAAAGTTTCGGAAAGCGCGTTGAGATGTTTTGCGGCTCTAACTGACCGATTCATTCGTAAAAATATGGATCCAGCGGAATTAGCAACACATAGTAATCTTGTCGAGCACTTGTTAGGCACTTTGGCTAGTAGTAATGACGAAAATTCGAATGTTTCTACCAACTTTTTGTCAATTGTGCTCTCACTTTTGAGCAACTTGTGTCGTGGATCGACAATGATAACAGAAAAAGTTTTGAGGTAATTTTTATGCGTAAGCGTATATCGTGTTGTATATATTTTTTAGTTCTCCGAATATGATTAAAGGATTATCAGCTGTTTTGACTAATAAGGAGGAGCGAGTTGTAACGGACGGTCTTCGTCTTGCCGATTTGCTGCTCGTGCTTCTTTGTGAAGGCCGGTCTGCCCTACCAACGGTATTGGGTGTGTCAGGTGACTATCCAAGCGGTGGAACGGAAAGAACTCATCGACATTTGATTGACGCAATTCGACAAAAGGATACAAACGCATTATATGAAGCGATTGAATCGGGACAGGTTAAGATAGAAATGTTCAAAAATTCATCTATTAATTTAGGTTGATGTGAATTATACAGATGACGTTGGTCAGTCCCTTTGCAATTGGGCTTCGGCTTTTGGTACTATCGAAATGGTTCAATACTTGTGTGACAAAGGCGTTGATGTGAATAAAGGACATAAAAGCAGTAGTTTGCATTATGCGGCATGCTTCGGAAGACCAGACGTAAGTGTTGTTCCAATTCATATGCTACGAAAAGTTCAGATTGTCAAATTGCTCCTTCAGCGTGGTGCCAATCCCGATTTGCGTGATGAAGATGGAAAAACTGCATTAGATAAAGCAAGAGAAAGAAGTGATGAAGATCATTCACAAGTCGCCGTGATCCTTGAGAGTCCTACTGTTTATATGCATTCTAGTAAGTCATGAATGATTAATGCCATTAAAATTTTATTAAGAAACTGACGATGGAAAAACTAAAAAAGATCAAGCTTCGACAAATCAGGGAGCGTCATCATCATCCAGCAAAGCCGAGCTGCCTGATCCTGTTCTTGTGAAAAGAGTTCTACATCAATTGCTACCTATTTTCTGCGATATTTTCCAAGTTTATAGTAATCATTTCGACTGCAACAGCTTCATTAATTTCAGAGATCGTTAAATGCAAGTGTTCGCCGAACATCGTTGTCGCTAATGCGCAAAATTGTTGAAAACATTGGCGACTTGCGTCAACCGTCTGTGGACAAAGATTCTATGGATACAAATGCGAGAAAAATGTCAACTGGAGTTGTTTGTGCCGCTGCAGAAAGCCTTATGGCTGTTGTCGTCTCCGTATTGGATCAAGAAGACGATCACGAAGGACAGGAGCAAGTGCTCATGATTATCGCGACACTTCTAGAAAAAGATCCTGAGCTTTGGGTCACTGAACTTATTCGTCTCGGAGTTTTTGAGCGTGTTGAGGCTATGGCGAAAGAGCCACCGAAAGGATTAGAACAAGTTCTTAGTGAGGTTGAAGCGTCCTCGAAAGGAAAAATGTAACTTGAAGTTTGGTATTTACGTTTTTTATTAAAAATTCAGTAGAACTACTTCAACTTCGACTATAGCGATGGAGACCGACCAACCAACTATTCCCACTGATGGTGTGAACGCAGAACACGCAGATATTTTGAATATCGCTGTAGAAAATGATATCGATATGGGACTGGCAACTCAAACTCCGCCTCCAACTGTTGAAATTGGAGAATCAACTCCATCGGCTTCACGAACAACTCAGTCTGCTGCTGCTACTGCGTCTTCTGCCATTCTTCAGGTGGTATCAAAACTCAGCGGAAGTGTTGTTTCGTCAGAAAAATCGGAGAAGAAAGCCAAAATTCCATTAGCGCCAAATACGGCTTACCGATGGAAGGAGTGGAGAATCATGCGTGGAGCTTCTTCAGTGTTTATTTGGAGCGATGTTCTTCTTATTGAGTTGCCTTTCCAAAGCAATGGATGGTTCCGATATCTTGCTGACAATGATTCGCACATGCAGTTTGTTTCTGGAATGGCTACCGTTGATCAGACTGAGGAAGAAAAAGTAAAATATTGAAAGTTGTAATTCTTACCGAAAATTTAGAACAATGAACGAAAAGCTATGGTTCTCCGCTGGAAAATGGTTAAGGATGCCTACGAGGAAGATATGAGTGCAGTTCCGATATCGGTTTTAGGAATTCCTAGTAGTTCGAAGAAGGTTAGTCAGAAGGTGTGTTTGTGATTGGTGCTTATTTGGTTCTTTTTATTCGTTATTAATAATTTTTGACGCAAGTATAGGATTTTTTAAAGCTCGAGGTTCCTGGTTGGGAGTTGTGGTCTACGCGATCGTCCGAATTGATCTTCCGATCAACAACGTCCTCCACTCCGGATGGCCAACAAAATAATATGACAACTACAATCAAAGTATTTAACCTGAAATTTTAGAAAAATATTATTACGTAATTTAGGACGACTCCGGTGGATTTATTTTTGATTCGTCGAATGGAAGAAAAGTAAATGTGATGCCTGAAATGCCACTTCCATCCGATTTCCACACTGGATGGAGTTCTCATGGATTATCCGCTAGAAAACTGAAATTTCGTGTCGAGATTCAGCAACGAAAAGTACAAGAATTGGCGTGGAAGTTGTGGAATGAGCATCTGAAAGAAGCGCATGCAAAACCTAGGGAAGCGCTTGTACGATTGGAAAAAGCGGCTGTAACAATTGAAAACGCCGTTAGAACAGCTAAGGCTATGCGTGTATCCAAGCACAAAAACGTGAAACAACCAAGAATTGAACGAGTCCAGGATCTTGTCTCCGCGATGCGAGTTGTCCATGAATCGATTGTTGATGATAGACGATTGAGTACCTTCGAGTTTTCAGTATCGGGAATTGTTCCAGCTCTTTACAATCTGCTTTCGCTCATCGAAATTCATCCAGAGAGCTATCCAGCTAGCATTTTCCGCGAAACGTTCTCTAGTGGAGATGCTTTGTCCCAGTTGGCTCAGAAAATGGTTTCTGTTCTGGAAGCGAACGAGAAATTTCCGCAGCATCTCTACGATACTCCTGGTGGCTCTGCGCTGGGACTTCAACTTCTTGGAAAACGTGTTCGCACTAAGTTGGAGTTGTTTAAACCAGATGGAAAAGAAAATGATGGAGTGTTGGCCGACAAGTGCGTAAAAATTTGTAATTCATTTATTACGAAATTGTTTTAGGACCGGAAAGCTTGTGAAAGTCGAACCACTTGCAACGACAAACGATATTACACAGTTCATTTTGAAAATGGTGGCAAAACAATGGCACGATCGCGAGAGAAGCGGTTTTCGATTTGTACGAATAATCCAAGACGCAAAATCCAGAAATGAACCGCTCAAATTTTCGTACACCAGTGATTTCGACGAGCAAGGTTATAATAAATACCTTAACGTTAACTTTTAATATTCTTCAGGCATAATTTATTGGCTTGGAACAAATGGCGGAACCGTATCGGAATGGACTAATCCAGCCACAATTAACGTGGTTAAAGTAACTTGCTCGGATAGCAGGCAACCGTTCGGAAAGCCAGAAGATATTTTGAGTCGAGATGATCAGCCAATTAATTGCCATACCAGCGATGATAAGAACTCGCATTTTACTATCGATTTGGGAGTTCATGTTATCCCAACCGCTTACTCTTTGCGACATGCGCGGGGTTATGGTAGATCAGCTCTTCGCAGTTGGATGATTCAAGGGTCCAAGGATAAGACCGTATGGGAACTCATTCATGCTCATAAAGACGATCAGAGCCTTGGAGAGCCAGGATCAACAGCAACATGGCATTTTGCTGACGAAAATCGTCCTGCATACCGTTATATTCGTTTGAGTCAAAATGGCAAGAATGCATCAGGCCATACCTACTATATCAGCCTTTCTGGATTTGAAATTTATGGAGAAATTGTTGACGTAGTCTTGGAACCGTTATCTCCTCCGGGAGAAAAGAAAGAACCAACCCCATCATCATCATCGTCTCAAGCACCATCGACTTCAAATGCCGGTGTTGCATCCGCAAATGTGTGTGATATTCTTCCAGCTGGCGAGCAAAACAACAAGTTCAAATTTGGAATAACTGTGGATGCTATATCTACATTTTTGAACAAATCAAAATCGCGAGGTAATCGTAACACATCAAAAGGAAACGAGACGCGAGGAGTTCGCGTTGTTCGTGGTAAAAATTGGATGTGGGAGGATCAAGACGGTGGCAATGGAAAAATGGGACGTATTGTTAACGGACCCGACAATGGATGGGTCGATGTGCTTTGGGATAATGGCTACTGCAATTCTTATCGTTATGGAATAAATGGGCAGTTTGACGTCGAACGAGCTCCATCATCAAGCATTGTGCCATCCGGAAGTGGAACTTCATCGTCTAACGCGACATCGGTATTTTCTGAAAACTTATTTTGAATTGCGAATATTGTTTTAGGTAATGGATTCGGTTCGCACAAGAAGCAGAGGCTTGTTGCCGAAAACAAGAAGTAAGCTTAAGTTTCTCATAGAAAAATTTAGTCTACTAACGCTTTGTTGCATTTCGCTTTAATCTAATCTATTAGGCGATGGGCGATATTATGCCTTCACCGCTGTCGCTTCTGGCGCTACTTCTGGTACGTTATCTTCGATCGCGTCCGGCCTAGGGTTTGGACTGAATCGCAAAAAGCTCACAGGTAACGGTGTTGCCTGACGCGCAGTGTTGTAATCACCTGCATGATGATTCCCATATTGAATTGTTAGTATGTTGTAGAGGAGAATTGAAGAGAAAAATTGATATTGTCAACTAATTCAATGTAATTTCATCATTTCAGCTACTTCGACAGCCTCTACTCCATTATCACGATTCGCTTCATCCAGAAATACGCAAGCTTCTCAAGGAAGCAATTCAGGATCAACAGCGTCTAGCAGCATTGGTAGAAAATGTTCAGTAATATTAACTCTACAGTATAATTTTAGGTAAAAAATCAATGTCCACTACAAACCTAGTGGATGATCGACAAAAAACTTCGGGCCCCTCAGTTGCTTCCACTGGACAAGCAGCAAGTGCGGAATCTCTTCAACACCAAACTCCATCGCTAGAAAATTTGCTGGCTCGTGCGATGCCGCATGCATTTGGAAGAATAGCAGAGAATCAAGAGCCTGAAGAAGGAAATGAAGATGAACCAATGGGAGGAGAAGAAAGTGACTCTGCTACAAGCATGCAGTCAGCAGCATCATCACACTCTCAAATGTCTATGTCATCAATGAATTCATCAGTTCCTCCGCAATCGGAAACTGTAACTCCACGAGATACCACTGGAACGCCACCAACTCCGCGCGATGAGAAAGCCAATAATTTGTCGGTTTCTGCTCCAGATCTCGCTGCTGCTCGCCAAAGACAGCAATCTGCAGAAACGCAAGACAAAGCAGCAGCTATGGAAGAGGAAGAAGAAGATGAAGAAACCCTCGATGAAGAAGAAGAGGATGAAGACGAAGAAGAAGCTGAAGAGAGTGGAAATGAGAAAGACGAAAAGGATTACAACGAAAGTGAACGTGGCCACAGCGGAATGTTCGACAAGATCAAGGATATGCTCGTTGGAGAAAGTTCTTCAAATCAATCGACGTCGTCGGGTAATGCACGAACGTCATCAGGAAAGAAGAGCAAGTTGACTACAAGTGTTTTCAAACAAAAAATGTCGGATTTGTTCCGTGGAAAGCTTTCGGTTCGATTTATTTCTCCATAACTCAGCTACGTATTTTATTTAGAAAACTCAGCTGTTCGAGCAAGCTGCAGTGAGCATGGATATGGATGATTTTATGGATGATGACGATTATTATGATTATTCGGAAGAAGGAAACGAGGAGCCGGAGGAACTTGAATTGGTTGGTTCAAATTACTAACGAGTGATTGAATACTAATGACAGGTTACTCAGGAACTGGCATCGCATCTCGGAGTCTCAGCACAAGCTCTTCAGGATATATTGAGTGGTCGGGCACCACAGGGAGCATGGAAGCAGGTAAGCATTGTGGAACTTTTTAACGTTCACAATTTAAAAGGGTCAGCACCCGCTAACTCAGAATTCTTTACTATAATTGAACAGGACTTACAGTTGACTCGCTTGATGCTCGGAACCGCCGGTAGCGGTAATCGTGATCGCGCGAATCGCGGAGGCGGTATGGGCGGGGCCAGGGCTGGATCTCATTGGGAAGATGAGCTAGTCGTAAAGTGCAATTTCCATTCATTAATTCCTGCTTTTGATCCACGTCCGGGACGTTCAAATGTTAACCAAACGTTAGAAGTTGAACTTCCAGCAGTTGTTTCCAATAATTTTGGAAAAAAAAGACACCTCGTAAGTTGAAGCATGAAAGTCCATAAATAATACATTTAATTCTTACAGTTTGAGCAGTATGATCAGCAAGTGAAGCTTTATTTGCGCGGTCCTAATATGAGTGGCGTCGAAAACGTTACAATTGAAATGAAAGACGAGGATGCTTCAATTTTCAAGTACATGCAATATATTAACAATACGGTTAATTGGGCTACGGTAAAATTTATACAAGTAATATTAAAGTATTTGACGTTTTTAGAAGAGCGACAAATCACGAAGAATTTGGGAGCCTTGCTATACTATCCTTTATGCGGACGCGTCGGAAAATGTTCCTGTGGAGGTTACGAAAATTGCTTCCGAAGAAGAAACTGTACCACTACAAGTCAATCAAGTAAATTTAAAAGTTGTTTCTTTTTAGTATATATCTATTCTAGTGTCTCGAAGTTATTGGACTTCTCTCGAAAATTCAAGAAATGTTACCGGAAGCTTCTATCACACCAAGTGTCTTCATCAGTGACAAATTGACAATGAAACTTACTCAAGTTTTATGTGATGCGCTCGTTGTAGCCACTAGATCTCTTCCGGAATGGTGCTCGAAGCTTGTATACAAATATCCATGTTTGTTTTCGGTTGAAACCAGAAATATGTACATGCAGGTAAGGCAATTATCAAAATGTAATCGCTGTTTCAATACATTTAGGCAACTGCGTTTGGTGTTACAAGAACTGTTGTTTGGCTTCAGCAACGTCGAGATGCTGCTTTAGAGAGAACGCGAGGAAGTAATCAAACCTCGGGAAGCAGCGCGACTCGGCAACACGACAGATATCATGAATATCGCGTTGGCCGTCTGAGGCATGAACGTGTGAAGATTACTCGTTCGGAGGAGCTCATTTTGGATCAAGCTGTCCGTCTTATGAAGTTCCACGCAGAGCGCAAATCGGTTCTAGAAATCGAATATGCAAACGAAGAAGGAACTGGCTTAGGACCAACTTTAGAATTCTATGCTTTAGTTGCTGCCGAGCTTCAAAGGAAAGCGTTAGCTATCTGGGTATGCGACGATGATGATCAACAACCAAAGGCTGAGGAAAGAGAGCTTGATCTTGGAGAGGGAAAGAAACCTGCCGGATATTATGTTAGAAGAAATGGAGGGTTGTTCCCAGCACCACTTCCACCACACACTGAAGAAGTTAAGCGTGCCGCTGAAATGTTCAGAGTTTTGGGAATCTTCCTGGCTAAGGTTCTACAAGATGGAAGGCTTGTTGACTTACCACTCTCTCGTCCCTTCCTGAAACTTCTTGTGCATCCACAAGTTAGCGAATTGCAAGAAACGAATTTGCGAAAAGTTCTTACACTGGACGATTTTGAAGAAGTCAATCCAGTCAAAGGTATTAATACTGATAAGTGTAAAAAAATATTTTAATAATGTCTAAGCATTCATGGTTTTAATAGAAATCATAATGTTTATTTTATAAAATTCATTTAGGCAACTTCCTGAAAGAACTTCGTGCCCTTGCTCAAAGAAAACGCGCTATAGAAAATGAACCAAATTTGGATCAACTTGCGAAGAGAAGAAAGATTGGTGAGCTAAAGCTACAAATGAAGGGAACTACGTGCCGTGTAGAAGATTTGGCTCTAAGTTTTACGTAAGTTTTAGTATTTAAATCTGTTTGTTAAAAATGTTTTTCTATTTAGCGTTAACCCTCCATCGAAAGTGTTCAAGTATGAAGAAATGGAGCTTGTGGAAGGAGGCGCTGATATAGACGTTACAATGGACAACGTGGAGCAGTACGTGGAAAAATGTGAAGATTTTTACTTGAATACTGGAATTGTTCATCAAGTATATTGATAGAAAATTAAAAGTGAAATTCATGGACCTAAAATTTAGATGCGTGCATTCCGTGAAGGATTCGATCGCGTGTTCCCATTACGCGCGCTACGTGCTTATAGCCCAGAAGAGGTTCAAAGATTGTTGTCCGGCGAACAGTGCCCGGAATGGACTCGAGAAGATGTCATTAACTTTACGGAGCCGAAGCTGGGTTACACGCGCGAATCGCCAGGATTCCTGCGATTTGTTGATGTTATGGTCGCACTGAGTGCACAAGAACGAAAGAACTTCTTACAATTCGCAACAGGATGCTCTAGCTTGCCGCCAGGTATATTTACGTGAATATCGAAGTTTAAAATTCTATTAAATTACATAGGCGGTCTCGCAAATTTGCATCCAAGATTGACTATCGTACGCAAGGTTGAAAGTGGTGATGGAAGCTATCCATCGGTAATATTTATAAAATAACGATTACTAACATAACAATTTAGGTCAACACTTGTGTGCATTATTTAAAGCTCCCAGAGTATTCCTCAGCCGAAATTCTGCGTGAACGTCTCTTGACTGCAGTAAATGAAAAAGGATTCCACCTTAATTAAGTGCACCTTGTTCCACAAAACTATCTCATTTCTTTCTTACTTGTTCAATACGATTTCGTTAAATCACTGGTCCTAAGAAGAATTATTCGCGGATGTTTGTGAAATTTAGGTTTCTAATTGTTTAACTACTATAAAATATCATTTTCGACATCGGAGCGAGCAATTCTGCCCCTTGAATTGTAAATGTTGGCTTAACCGGTGAAATGTTCCACTATTTTTTCTACTGATTATTTTTTTTATTAATATTATCGCTATGACTATTGTTAATACTATGATTGTTCTTTTTATTTCGTTTATAATTTCCATTTTGGTCTTATATGACATACCATAATTTTTTGGTTAGAGCATTTTAAGGTACTATATTGATTGAAACCAACATTTATCTCTTCATTGTGTGCACCGCATCACTCGTCTCAAATAATTCTAATGTTACGAATATATGGTATTAAAAGGAATAAAGTAAAAATTCAAGCAATAATTGTTTGTTTAAAATGAAAAGTTTCCGTTGTCGTAATATCTAATTCATGTCATGTCATTCAAATATTTATGTTCGAACTGTAAATGTTGAATTCGTTTCCAATCATAACATTCAAAATTAACATTTCATTTGAATTGACGTCAGCGTAGTGAAATGTGTCACGTTAGTCTCTAAAGCAAACATGGCCGCTTCAGCCCAAAACAGTGATTTTCATTGATTTTTTCTTTACTGATTTTAGATGTCGATTCCAGCTGTAGTTCGAGAAGTTACCTTTGTCGGTGAACAATTGTTTGACCATTCTGCTCAGGTTTTTTTCGTTTAAATTTTAAGAAAGTCAAAATTGTTTTAGGTCCGTGCCGAAATCGATCGTTTTGTAGAACGCTTTGAAAGAAACGAAAGGCATCGAGAGTTTGATGGTCTTCTCAGAGCTAGCCATGCAGTAAGAAACAATACTCCTTTATAAATTCGATTCCGTTTTCAGCTTGTTGAAGCTTCTGAAACACCTGTCGAAGGGCTCTTCGACATTGGAAAAATGGAAATGATGAAGAATGATGTCGATGAGATTGCTAATAAGTTAGTGGCCCTTACGACACCACGATACGGCGATGTATACTTACGAAACGTAGTTATTAAAACGCTTTATTTGACTATTTCAGGTACACGAAAATTATCTGGCACAAGTGAGAAAAGAACAGAAAGCCTATATCGATGCCTGTCGTGAGCAGGCAATGATTAAAATGAGGAATCTAAGCGTTAATCGATAAAATCGTGTATTTTTTCTTTACGATATTTTCTTTTAATTTAATCACTTTATCGTATTTTGACTGCGATTTAAAACTATTTGTATACAGTTATGAATGAAATTATTTTGAATTGAGCAATCTTATGTTTTCTTTTTCTTTTTTGACATTAATCGGAGATCTTCCATCTGCTTCGCAGCAATATCTAGCTCTGTGAGAACATAAGCCTTGATTTCAGGGCGCTCAATTTTTTCATAAAGTTCTTCTTTAACACGTTTCAAGCTATTGAGATCACTTGGATATTTGCATCCTAAAATTTTTCAAGTAATTATTTTACTTTTCATGTAGCCTGAAACATACGATAATAAACAATCAACTCGTTTGCGTAAACAAGCCAAACACAACTTTCGCATTGATCTCCGCAACATAATCCTGGCTCAGGTTCCATTGGCGGTGGAAGGCCTTGAGCTAATAATCTCCGAAAATTTATAGTCATACGAAATATCCGGCATGCTAAATAATTCATATACTGTCTGAAATAATTTCAGTAAAAGTAAGTTAAAGTAAGAAAGACAAATTTTTGAGAGAAACAAAAATAAATACGTATTACAAATTGGTTGCTTTCCTCAAAAATTTAGGTCACTTATTGTTTGCAAAAGTGCTGCGCCGCAGTTGCGAACTTTTAAAATACGGCCCGCCCTTTCATCGTTCGAACTAGTAGTTTTTCGTAATCGGTCGAAGTAGTGGTTTTTTTTGTGCGAAACAATTACAATTTTTGGGATAAACTGTGGGAAAAATTAGAAAGGTTGTTGTTTTCCTTAAAGCTGCGAAACGGTATAACTTACGTTTTTCGCCAAAACCGAGGAAGCCTTTGTTTCACCCGATGATTTCGTGCGGGAGAAGTGTTGGAGAAATTCCGCCGTTTGTCCAAAACGCGAGAAACGGCGCCGTTTCTCTCGCATGGATTGCCGATAAACGTTTTTCTTAGTTATATCATGTATTTCATTACTATTTTGCCCGAATTAATTATTTCAGGATTATGCCAGTATCTATTAACGATCAGGCGCCGCATGTCGTCCTCGAGACGAGGTCAGATAAATTTTAAAAAAATGTTTTTTTTTTAAATGAAATACTTCAGCATGGGTAAAATTGTTCTCGAGCTTTACTGGGATCACGCACCACGAACGTGTAAAAATTTTTCACAGCTTGCTAAACGTGGATATTACAACGGAACAATTTTTCACAGGATTATCAGTGACTTCATGATTCAAGGTGGAGATCCGACAGGAACAGGTAAAATAATTTTTGGTAATAACAAGATATTCTTTCATTTTAAGGACGTGGCGGAGCTTCGATTTATGGCGACCGTTTCGCTGATGAAATCGACGAACGGTTGAAACACACTGGTGCCGGTATTCTTTCAATGGCTAATGCTGGGCCGAATACTAATGGCTCTCAATTCTTTATTACTTTATCACCAACGCAACATTTGGATGGAAAACACACAATTTTTGGACGAGTTGCCTCTGGAATGAAGGTTTCTTTTATGTTTTAACACTATCGACTTTTAATTTTCAGGTTGTTGCGAATATGGGAAGAGTAGACACTGATAACCATGATCGCCCAAAAAGTGATATCCGAATTTTAAAAGCATACCCGTCCGACGAAGTTTAGTATGGTTGATATTTTTTCTGATCTCGATATTTGTTATTTTTTCAATTTGGTTGAATATAATTTAACGCACGTTTCGATCAAACATAAATTGAAATCGAAAGCATTATTGTGGGCATCATTTAGCGAAATGTTTGTCAATTCACTCTTTTCTTTGTCAAACTTCGATATCTTTAATTGATCGCGAGAAAATAGTGTAACTGACTTGATTGTGAAAACACAACTTCCTTATCATGGGTAAAATGTAGGCGGTACTTTTACGCCAGTATATAAAAAAGCAAAAAAAAAATTTTAAACGAGATCTATATCAAAATGCGACCGGTTTTAGTTTTTTATCTACTGGTAACTACTTTTGGTGTTGCCGCACAGTGTAAGTAAAAAAGTCTAATGATCATTGTGTATTGAAGTTTTCAGTCGGATTTTCTCCATTCTTTCATCCACCACCGCCCCATCCATTTTGGGGGCCACCGATGTTTGGACGTGGACCACCGATGTTTAGTGGGCGTGGGTTCGGCGGTGGATTTGGCGGCGGACCTGGCGGTGGATTTGGCGGCGGACCTGGCGGTGGATTTGGTGGAAATGGCGGTGGATTTGGTGGAAATGGCGGCGGATGGGGAGGCGGTGGCGGTGGCGGTGATCGTGGAAGTGGCGGTGGTCGTGGCGACGGTGGTCGTGGAGGTGGCGGTGGTCGTGGCGGCGGTGGTCGTGGAGGTGGCGGTGGTCGTGGCGGCGGTGGTCGTGGAGGTGGCGGCGGTGGTCGCGGTGGAGGCGGTCGCGGTAAAGGCAAGAGATAACCACTTCATCCTGCTCACACTATCAACGGGTCTAAAATGGATTTCATTTCGAATAAATAATTTCAAAGCATTCAATATATTTTCCAATGAATTTGTTTACTCTATACTAGGACGCACATGTGCCCATTAACGAGTTTTTAACAGATTTTTCGTTTTTGTCATTATTCGTTGCCAGGAAATGCGTGATCGGCTAGAGGAAATGCAAAAATTGGCTAGAATAGAAGAAGGTAGGAGTCCCCAGGAATCGAAGAAGAAAAAAAATGCAGATTTTCCAATACCATTATTAACACCCAAGGTACTGTATATTTAATAAACACATCCGTCTATTTTATCATTAAGAAAAAAAAATTAAAATTACTGTTCTGTGACGGGTTAAATTTCAGTGTCGATCTACGAAATTGTAAATATACGCGTCGGATAAATACTGAACTCTAAAATGCAGAGTGTGCAGACACGCACGCACAATTCTCTTTGCCTCTATGCACCTGGCAAATAGCATAAAGGAAAATGTAAAAATTTCCTTTAGTCCTTTGGCACCGACAATATTTAATGGATCTATTGCCTACATTCCTCTAAGTAAAGAAACGTGCGCGTGTTTGTGTATACTGCGTCTTAGCTTATATTCTGCCAGCACGAAAAATTTACAAATTCGTAGATTTAAACTGATTTTGCGAAATTGAATTTCCGGCCATCTAAATTGTCGGTTTGACGCCGAGAATATGAAGGTTTGATTTCAAACGTGCCTTTTCGTATTATTTTACGTATGATATTATCATTGATCTTATATCGTTGTCATAAGATAGAAAAAAGCGAGAAGGTTATCAAAGATTGTTAGTAGTCCAAAGTCTAGAACTACAGATGTTTGTATTCAAGATCTGTGGAATTACACCAAATTTAGAAATGGAACTTCTAGAAGTAGGTATTCGTTTTTTCCAGGGAAGCCGAAATGATTCTTTTGATGATTTCCTTATAAAGGTTGAAAACTTTCGACACGCCTTGACCCATTTTAACCAGGATCGCGAAGATATCAAATCCATGCATCGAAGTCTTCTGATTACACCAGGAAACGATGCTGTGCGTACCAAAGAACTTCATGACAATGTTGGTCGATTCATACAAAGGGCGAAAGTACTACGCGACAAATTCGCAAAGTTGAATGAAAGTGTTATGAGAATACCAGATTCTGGATATGGTTCTGCTAGAGCTCGTCGTGAACAAATTCGAGTTCTGAATATGACTTTCGAAGCTATTGTGACGCATTTCAACGAAGATCAAGTTGAATATAAGGAAAAGGCAGCGTGCAAAATATCAGAGTATTTGAAATTGCAGAATATTGAAGTAACAGAAAATGATTTTTTTCTTCGCAATTTTTAATATTTAGGTGAGCGATGATCAAATAGATGATGCTATAGAATCTGGAAATCTAGGGCTACTTACAAAAAACATTCATCTGGGAATTGCGCAAAAAAAAGCCCTTTTTGAAGATGTTAAGCAAAGAGCATGTGAAATATTGGAACTTGAAAAGCAAATACGGGAAATCGATGAACTTGTTTGTGATCTGCATTTATTAGTATCGAATCAAGGTAACTATCTTCCAATTTTAATTTATCAAAAATAAATTGGATATGTTTTAGTTTTCGATTGTATTTATCATTTTATAAATACATGTTTTAGGAGAGACCATTGACCGCATCGAGACAAGCGTGAACAATGCCAGTGAATATACGAAGAAAGCGCGAGTTGACGTACGAACAGCAGTGGTCTCGCGAAGACGAAATCGGAAATTCAAGTGTCTTGTCCTGATCTTAGCTATTTGTCTGATTACTTTTGCTGGACTTCTTATCAAAGAATTGACATGCATTTATACCCCGCTTTGCTAACAGCCTGCTAAATTTAGAATATTCTTGTTAATAGCATATATGATTTTAAAAAGCCATATGAAACGGTTATTTTTGCATTTTAATTTTCGCATCAGAACCCAGGCCTCTTTTATCTGTCAAATTATTTTTCATAGCAGATAAATCGTTTTTAATTCCAATGCTTTATTTAATATTTTACCAAATTATCTTTTAAAACAGTTTGGTTCAAAAAGGTCTTTAGTAATTACGTTTTTCGCGATCTTTTTGAGTTCTTATCCATAATCAATGGAAGATGGCCTGGTGAAAGCGCAAGCCCTTGCTGTAAAATGTTGGATAAGACCATAAAAATTTGATTAATCAACGTTCTTGAAAAATCATTTTATCTCAAAACTTACCTTAATGACCATATCGACAATGCAACGAAGAAAAGACAGAAAACACTTTATTGGCTTAATAAGCCCCCCCCCCCCCGAATATGGCCTAAATTAAGCATTGCTCATGATTGTACTAATAACCAAATTACTTAAAATTCATTAAAATTATACATATATGTTCCTTTATATTAGCGAGAAAATGTAAAAATCGCTCCTAAAAGTTTTTCAATACGAGACCCAAGGCGGCGATTCAAATAATAGAGCAATTTCACCCCAAATTCGTCGTCGTCGACTATACTTAATTAAATTTACGTATGACTGCGGCCGAACTTTATTTTTGAGGACTTTTTCTCTAGGCCACACGTCAGTTGCGATGAGCGGTGGGTTTCTAACGTTTGCTCAAGACTTCTCCCCAGAAGGGGATTATATGCGTTTTTACCCATTCACCAGCTGCAGTGACATCGGAAAAATAATTCATAGATGAATAAATACTATACCGCAATAATATTTTGAGTAGAAGGAATGGCAAAATTTGGTGAATTTGCGTTGTACAATTGTTCAAGTAATTTTACAATCATAAGTACTATTAATGGTACTAAAGCTGCAAACCATAGTTATGTTAGTAAATTTAGTAATTTTACCCATGACTATAATAAAAACACTGAATTGTAGGCTGAGCATTTTTTTGAAATGATGGTCACGTCAATATCATTATTAGTCATCGGAAAAGAGAAAAATTTTTAGAGCCGTTTCATCCCATTGGGACCATTATTGAGTATGCAAGCGCTTATTTGGAGAATAATGTTTTGTTTTCCGTTCTTTCTAACACAGAGTCTGCTCAGACATTTTTAAAAAATATTTTCTACATATTATCGGAGTCAAACGACTTAATCGAGGCAGGGCTTTCATTCTCATAAAATTAATTTAGATTTACGAAAGCGTGATTTTAGGTGTTAGCTAAATATTAAAATATGCGTTTAATAACCGTAAGGTTTCAGCCAATGCTTATTTTCCATTGGTGCATCTACAACAATATTTATTTGCCATGGAAACAACCGGGGAATTTCGTGCACGATTTAAAGAATTATGTAAATTTTTGAACAGTTTGTATTGTTGAGAAATGACAAATGTATCCAGGTGTCGTGGGATCCTGCGTTTTGTAGCAATGTTAAGAGACAGTTACAGCAATGCTAAGAGACAATTTAGATAATAGAAACGAATACAAAAAGCAAAACACGATTAAATAATTTTATTAACGACAAAAATGATTTCTTTTAAATCTCTGCTGTTTTTACCAAAAAAAATATCGTTTAAAAGTGCTTATTCTGCTAAATAAATTATTAAACTCGGTTTCTGCAAAATTTAAATTACAAAATTTCGAAGGGAAATACGAAAATTGAGCGAAAAATAAAAAATGAATATGCGAAATTAAATAAAAAGTCCCCGTAAATCGCTGCAGGATTACGGTAACTGTCTCTTAGCATTGCGTACAAAACGCAGGATCCTACGACACCTGGATACATTTGTCATTTTTCAACAATAAATAAATTTAGTTTATATGGCAAATTATGCTTTGAAGAGTTTTAGTAATGTATATAAAAAAACAATTTCCTGTTGCGTAAAATTGTGTGCATCCTTGACAATCAAGTTAAAAATCCCATTTACTTTCGCACTCTCTGTTTTATTTTTGTGCTCGTGTATTTGTGCTCAATCAATTCCATGCAACATCATTTATTTTGCGTTTTACATTTCTACCGCGTTTCGAATAATGTTCACTTTAATATGTATTCATATTTCAAGAGACAAATTCAATTTTGGACGAACGAAGTAAATTGAAAAAATGTGAAGGTCGACCGTCTCGCAATGACGGGATAATCCGGAATTTCCGAATATCGCATGCACTTACTCCTGCGCGTTGTTCGTATTTTTTTTAGTACATCATCGTTTTCACATGTTTTCAGAAAAATAGCAAAAACTCATTGCTCTATACGGAAATATCTATGCAACCTGATTTTTGGAATTCTAGCTCAACCCTTTTCAAAAACGTAAAAACGTCCTATTTTACAGTTAGTTGTTTATTTCGAATTTTATATGTTAATGCGCATTTTTCTATTTTCACATGAACTGTTTATTTTATCTTGATTAGTTTCTTCAAAAAAGATTCAAAATAACCAGTTAGTCCGCGTGAGGCCATAGCGAAACACCTAAATCTACTCTCGCACAGCAGTCGCTGGACATCGTCTATATACGATTTAGCATCATTTTCAAAGAAGAACGAATTAAAAAATTTTAAAGAGGTCTCTCCGAAAAATTTATAAAGAGGTCTCGGCGCGCGGCTTTAATCTATGCTTATTCTTATGTCCGTAAATTTTCACTTTTTGTTTTGCGCCAAGACAACCGTCATTGTTTTTGACATTCAGCCAATTTTCCGCAGTCGCGCAATGCCGACAATATGAATTCATTCTATTTTTTGACATCCCGCTCATCAAATGAAATGTTGAATATAATCAGTGTAAAGACATGCGATTTCGATAAATGTGTTTTAAAATTCTTCCAACTTTTGCTTTAAAAATTGTAGTGAAAAAGATAAAGATTTTAATCATTAGCAAATAGAAAATAAATTTAGAATGATGTTTAAGTTGAATATGGTTGACCCTGCGAAAAAATGCCTTGCGGCAAAATTGCGGGAAAACGACGAGCTCATCAAACAACACCAACTGTTAGTTCTGAAAACTTGTGATACTTTTTTCATAAATACGACATTAGTCTTGTACAATTAATAAGAGCTATGTTGTTAAATGTCATTTTTTTTCAACGCTAAGAAATGGTAAAACGTTTTTGATTTTAAAATTGCCAAATTTTGATTTGAAACGATGGGATTCTATCTGAATAGTATTGAACTGTTTCCTATTTCTAGCTACTATTACTTCCAACAATCAATGAATTTTAAAAATTATTTCAACTTTTAATACATACACGTAAAGACATCCATTGCTTAATTTTCAATGGCAGCCTTCGTCTAGTTTCGCCTAGTTTTTGTTTAATTGTAAAGACCAATGATATATGCCCAGTCTTTCTCTTTTTTCCGGCTTTCTTGCGGCTCGTTGTAATCAAAATCTTGTCATTTGACACCACTACTTTTCTTCTCGGTTATTCTTCTCACCAACCTGCCATTTCTTATTCTTCTTTCCTATTTTTAGCCACCAAAAACAATATTCTTCAACTAATTATTCTGATTATTCTACCAAAATAGAAAATAAAGCTTAAACATTCTTTTTTTTTAGATATTTGAATTTCAGATTAACAGAATGACAAAATGGAGACGATAAGTGATCGATATCACCGATGTCTTTTTGGATGGCTTCATGTCTCAGTAAGATAATTGTAGTACTATATACTGTAGAAAAAGCAAACGATTCCTCACTACCGATTTCTCACTCCACTACCGTTTTTTCACTACCAAATTTTAACTACCGAATTAATAGTTTTTTTCACTACCAATTTTCATATACTCATTCTTCTTGATTTCATCAATAAGCCACTTCATTTCAGAAAAACAACTAGTTAAAAGAAATTCTTGTATATTAAATATTAAGAAAAAAGCTAAATTGATTTAATCTTTAAACGAGTGAAAATTAATTAAAAAAAAACACTTTACAAGGAACAAAAAATATTTCAAAAATTATTTAAGGGGACAAACAATTATTATTTATATATATATATACAAACAATTATTATTTATATATATATATATATATATATATATATATATATATATATATTGAATTTTCCTAAATGCATTCCTAACTTGGAATACAAACTTTTCCGTGTTGAAAATAATGTGAACAATATCTATAAAATATTTTTAGAAATAACCTTGTTAATCACACGAATAGAAAAAGAAAATTTAAAAAACAATGCAGTTAGGCTGATATTCATGGCTGCGGACGGAAGAAAATTTTGAAATATTTTTTGTTCCTTGTAAAGTGTTTTTCAAAATTAATTTTCACTTGTTTAAAAATTAAATTAATTTTGTTTTTTTTTTTAAATATTTAATAACAAAGAATTTCTTTAAACTCCTTTTTTTTAATGAAGTGGATTATTGATGAAATCAAGAAGAATGAGTATAAGAAAATTGGTAGTGAAAAAACGGTAGCGGAAAATCGAAAGTGAAAAAAATGGTAGTGCAAGGGGACCAAGTTCCAAATGGGGCGAAGTTCAAATGTCTATCTGGAAAATAGGTTTATTTTGTAGATGTAGATAGGCTTCTTAAATTTTTTAGTCTTTTGGGCCAAAAATGCCAAACCATTCGGGATTATTATGGATCTATTTATGCAACGAAAAAAAATCAATTTTTTTTTTCATTTGAATTTCCTATGCACGCACGTCGAAAAGTACAAAAAAAATTGACACGATATTTCGTAATTCTCTGCTATTTATTTTCAAAGGCGCACGCGAAAAGTTTTCAAAGGCGCACGCGAAAAGTTGCAGGAACGGCGCGAAGTCGGTACTGTATTTTTTTAAATTTATAATTCTGTCTGCTATTTTTCCGTATTTTTCGAAAACTTTGAAGAGGAAAATGATTAACGGACTGACGAATGTATATATATATATATATTCGAAAATTCAAAGTTTCAGAAAGAAAGACATAATTCGGCATCGTTTGACAGATTCGTATTCCATGCCCAGGTTCCATTTGACAAAATCGCATCGTAATATTTTTAGAAGTAGTCCCATTTGTCATTTCGGCCCCTTTGTCACTCAGCCGTAGTGAATAATATAAAGATTTACTTATATACACTGGAACTGTGGAAAAACTGGATAAGTGTTTTAAAGAAATAGATAAAGTCGGTGTCCGGAGAGTGCTTTACGCGGGTGTATTTACGTGAATGCGCCTTCGCTTTGGTCTCACATAGACTAACTAGTTATTTTGCATTTTAGAGGTCATTCCGTTAAGATTTAACTTTAGTGATATTACGTATTCAAGGAAATAGTATACCAATAAAGAAAAATTAAACAGATGGTCACGTGAAATTTCGCGTGGCGAGACCATTTCGAAAGGCGCACTTGTAAATCTACCCGCGTACATCTGGTCCATTTTTATTCACCTTTAACTATTTTTTGTTTTTTTTTTCCATTTTCAGTGGCTTAATATTTCAGATTGCGATACGAATTGTTTTAATCTATTTTTTGGCCTATAACACTGTTTTGGCTTTCCTTGGGCTACCAAAGTTTTCAATTTACGTAGCATTTGCTGGCTATGGAATTTCCATATTTACCATCATTCAGTTATTTAAGAAAAATGCAAAGCTGCTCTTGGTTTTCTCTCTTTATGTGGTCTGTTATAAGAAAAACTACACCGATCTAAAAATATTTTTTCAGTTCATCACAATAGTGTATCTTTTATTTCTTGGTGGATATTTCTTCTTTGTTAATATATTTAACAAAGATCTTGTGATAGGCGAGTACAATCATTAAAGCTATAATTTTTAAACGATTCCTTTTCAGAGGCGCTCGGCACTAACTCAGAAATTATTTCATTTGTTTGGCACTTTCTCGTGATAGTGCTAATAATTATCCATGTATGGGCGATAAATGTGGTCTCGAAAACACGACAATATTTGCAATATCTTGCCAATGGAGGACAAAAATGTATGGTTTTTTGTTAGATATCTTGGGTCTATTAGAAACCACCCCCACTTTTTAACCCCCACCCCTGCTATTCCACCCCGACTTTTTAACCCCTCCTTTTATTTATGATACCACCCCCACTTTTTCACCCCCTATTTTTAAGTTTCACCCCCACTTCTTCGCCGCACTTCAAAATTTGCAGTTTCTAACAATAATGTTTAGCAGTAAAATTTTTTAAATTTTTTTTAAATTTGCAATAATTCAAGTTATCAAGAGGAGATTCGCAGGACTGATGTCTAGATTTTTCAGAAACTATGTAGTGTTCTTATGAAAGGCTGAAAATTTTAACAAGAAATGAACTATTCTCGAAAGACCCGGTTCAGAAAGATTTCGTATTTCGTAAGCTTTTCGTATTTTCCAACAATTGTCAATATTTCAAGTGTCCAATTGTACATTTTGATATCAAGCTTTGCAAGCCTACATAGTTTCTGAAAAATCTAATTTAGACATCAATTTTGCCAATTTCCTCTTGATAACTTGAATTATTGCAAATTAAAAAAATTTTTTAACTTACTGCTAAACATTACTGTTAGAAACTGCAAATTTTGAAGTGCGGCGAAGAAGTGGGGGTGAAACCTAAAAATTGGGGGTGAAAAAGTGGGGGTGGTATCATAAATAAAAGGAGGGGTTAAAAAGTCGGGGTGGAATAGCAGGGGTGGGGGTTAAAAAGTGGGGGTGGTTTCTAATAGACCGATATCTTGGCTTTTCTAACCAGCATCACCTTCTTTTAAGCTGATCTTAAAAGAAATTTTGTTCCATTTATTAAGGAACCACGTCGAATTAGTTTATCTTTGATAAATACAGGTCATAACCTTGAAAGAAACGGTAGGATTGACTCAAAATCCTACGACCCATCTAGCTACAGTATGATGATGATGGGTAAGCCTAAGAAATGTTGTGATCGTTTTAAAGAATTTTAAAGAAATCATCTTCCAAAACTTACAATATTTCAGTTGAACTCCCAATAACTTCATCGCGTCACGAATCAAAGCCGGATATATTTTGATCTCTCATTCACAATATGTACATTATTTAAATCCAAAAATTGTATTTTCGGGTTATTACTAGCCGGTATTATTCATAAATTTTTATTTTGGGAACTAGCAAAAATCCTCTCAAATGCGAAATCTCAATTTCATTGAGCAAGGGAGAACGGCGTCGTCAAACCGAGACAAATTTTTTTCTAGATTGGAATATGCAGGACTCTAAAAAAGGTATAATTGGCATATAGTCGGCGTCCGGCGACTGCAGTACGCTGGTAGATTTATACGCGTTGAAAAGGTCTCGCCACGTGTGAACGCTTATTTTGCTGTTTTCACGTGAACGATTTATTTTTTTTTTTTGATGATTTTGGCATTTTATTGAATTTCCAACGTCATTCGATTTAAAAATTATCGAAACGACCCATAAATGCAAAATAATCTGTTAGTCCTCGCGAGACTAAGAGAAAGACGCATCTGCGTAAATCTACTCATGTACAGCAGTTGCCGGACGCCGACTGTATTAATATTAAACACGCACAATAAATCCCTTTTTGCATTTATTAGTGCGACTTACCGGAGATCTTCCAGTCTGCAGTGATGTATCACTTCTCATTTTATTCAAAGACTGAATTTTCTTTTTAATTGTGCTTCAAAATGTATAAATACCGTAATCTGACCATTAAAGGCACTAACAATCTTTTCGACAATAGAATCGTCTAACTGGTTTAATGGAATAGCCATTTACTATAACTGAAAAAAATTAAATGACGATATTGATATTTGTTGTTCTAAAAATTAATATTTTTAGCGTTCAAAACGTTATAATAATTATTTATGCATATTTTGATCAGTAAGCTCAATATGCAATGTAGAATCTCAAATAATAACGAAAAACAGAAAATGTTGTTTTTTGGTAGTTACAGCACCTCGTTTTTGCAAGAAAAGTATTAAATATCTAATAATTTGGTACTACAAGTGTAATTGAAATAATTAAGCAAAAACGATAAAATATAAATGGAACAAAAATCATATATTGAATATCGAGGTGATTAGGAGCCAATGATAACCGGAATGCTATTAACAATGGTAGAGAAAATATGGGCACGCGTATCTAACACAAAAAAAAGCGTCAGCAACAAATTAAAATAAGTCGTATCTGCTACAAAATAAGAATATTGCTGCTTATGTCGAAATTATTACACTATTTCTCTATAAGCTGTTTAAGCTTGGTTTTTCATTTTCATTAGTCGAACAGCTTGAAACAGCTTCCGTAGCAGGCGTTGCCGAGGCAGAATTAGAAGTCCAGCGTTCTGCAGATAAACTTGTAGCTTTCGTCATTCGTGTGCTCATAGGTGATTCTTCTCTTCCAGCTTGTGCTCGTTTGGAGTTGCGACGAGCTTGCGCTCGTCGTTTTTCAGCTTCGCGTTCGCGTAACTCATCGATTGCACACTGATGAAAAATTGATTGAATGAAGACAAAAAATAAAGTTACAACCTGAAGACGCTTCACATGTCCAATTTTCTTTATTCCGAGCTCATGAATATCACTTCGTTCCAAATGGATTAGCTCATTTCCCTGAAAATCTGAGGTCAAAACTTCTCAAGACTCGATTTTTACTTGTATATCGTTCATCTTAAATTGTTGGGAATATTCTGAAAGTCCAATGGTGTTTAGCCACGTACACACAAGATCCACGTTCCAGTTCATCACTTAAATCAAAGTTAACTGCCTTTCTATTCGGAAAATATAACTAAACCTTGATCATAAGAGAGTTTGTTAGAACTAGACCCAAATTTTTTGCTAAGCCATTCAGTAAGACGGCTTCGTTTTGTTTTCGTTCCCGTTAAATTTTGTTGACGAATCTCTCGCAAAGCCGCTTCCTCACGATCCATTTCTTGTCTGATGCTGTTGATCACATACTTCCAATTATCTGGATCGTCTCCCTTAACTTTACATGAATTTCCGTCAACCAAGTGTTGTATACATGAATTTCAAAGTTGAAATGAGGTGCAGGACCAAGTCGAGGCTGCCCAAAGGGAGCTTTTGTTCTTTCCGGCCATCCAAAATGATCTTCAAGTAATTCGACAACTCTCTCAACTGATGCGAGGATCTCTTCCCGATCCGCTAGGTCTCCAAGAACCTAAAAAAAAATAGTTATTCTCAAGGGCATTATTATAGTTTTCACATAAGTGTAATGTTAATTTCCAACAAATAACAAAATGCGCACTAATTGCCAATTTCCTACTATTTTTTCTCTCTGAAAAGCTAATTAAATTTTAGTATATAGATGCTATAGATTAAGCTAATTCTTTGCGAAAGAATAACTCATTTCAACTTAAAAGCATGAGTGTCGTTTGTTATAAACATAAACACGAATCTTAGAAAGCAACGCAACTTTAATCCTGTGAGACAGCGCCTTTGCACAAATTATTTATTCATAGCGGTGAAGAGTTCGCGTGTGCTTCGAAGCGGTTTAATTTTAAGACGGGCACTGGCCCAATTTTCTACATGTTTCTCATAGTCTTTCTATAAGCCAATTCAAACAAATTTTTTACTCGTTTGCTTTTTCATTTACACTTATTCGTTTCACTTCTAGATCATCAAATTCGAAGAATATGGCAATTCTTGTTTTCGAAAAACTAACAAAGTTCGCAAATTTCTCTTCTTTTAGTGTTTTGAAGGCATAAAAAACATCCAAGATCGAAGAGTTAAGAAAATATCAATTTAAAACCCCCGTTTTAACCTACGCTTGATTTTATGTATTCATTCAGAATACGATTAAAAAACCGCCAATATGTGAAATAAATATTAATCTCAAATAATTTGGCATTTTAACCACAAGAAAATTAGACAACGAAGATTATGCTGAATTTGGTTAATTTTTCAAGTCCACATTTCAAGTCCTGATCCCATTTGGCTAAATCGGGCGCGGTCTCTTAACGAAGTCGACCTCATTTTTCCCACGGTCCCATCTTGGCTCTATTTAACATAAGCCCAATTCGCATTGCGTCTTAAAATTTTGTCCATTAAATTTTCTATATTACGTCAATTTTAGTGCCCACAACATACTGTAATGAGCACATTGAGGGTCGTATATCATCAAATATGAACGTCAAAACACAACCATGGTTATTACGAGCTACAATTTTTATGGCAATAGAGTTTATATTCTCTGCTAGCTTCAACATTGCTATAATATGGACATTCCGATTCGATCACAATCAAGTTTGCAATATACTTTTACTTTTTGCCCTGAGTTTAAACCTTCTCGCATCGGGAAGGCTTATTCTAAAACTACAACAGAAGAAATGCGCCTCTTCTGTTATGGTTTATACCCTTTGAAAGATAATAAAGGTCATCATCATTTGCCCCGTGGTGGTGCTATTCACATTTATAATCATTGATGTATGGCAAAATAAAATCATCAAAACTTTTGTTGAAAATTACAGAGATACATGTCGGAATGGGAAAATCGATCAACAGCTATTCATGTTTTAGTGACGATGTGGGCATACACTGCATACTCAATTTTTTTAATAATTTATTTATGTAAGTTTTACCTGTTAACCCTAAGCGATTAAAATCTTTAAAATATGTATATTTTAGCTTGGGTTGGACGATTTCTGTGGAAAGTCCGCGATGATAGCTTGCGTAGCACAGAGATAGCTTTCATCGACTTCGAATGCAAAGATTCAAAACATATCTGCTCATGTAAATATGAAGAAACAATTGAAATAGAATTAAGCCCTATTTCCTCAATTTGTGGCAGAGGATGTAATCCGTCAACACAATTCTCATCAACAATTTCATCATACTAACTGTTTTGCATTCGTTAAAAACACATATGACAATAAAACCAACCTGTTCTTCGTCATCAGTCCGGCCAGCACGCACTAGAAGTGCCGCTTTGTCAAGCGCTTCAAGGAATGCAGATGAGACCCCAAGCTGAGCAATTTCCGATTCAACTAGTCTTAAAAACTCAGCCGCTCTTCGAGAGAAAATTATAGTTTCCGATTGCGAAGAAAGTGCCGTCGGTGTTGATGGCGCTGTGTTCGATCGTTCTTTTTGCTCTTCCCATTTTTTCAAAGTAGCATCAAAAACCTGAAAGGAAAACGTAAAAATTTTCGATTAAAGGAATGAGGGGGGATTATCCTAAAAAAGATAATAACCAAAATAATCTGATCAAATATTTTCAATCATATATAGACAAAAATCGTTCTTATATATAGGTATTTTTTGATTTTTTCACTAATGCCCCTTTTCAATACAATGACTCACTGGATTCTTAGCAAGCATTTGGGCTCTATTTTTATGAACGATTTGCATTATTCCGGGTGGTTGAAGCCAAGGCTCGCCGTCGACTTGTACGGGAATCGGCTCATCTCCCAAGATCACAATGCGAACATGCCTGCATTGAGCAATACGATGATTTTGAAGTCGTACGACATTCGGTACACGACTAGTAGCTACATGAATTACCCCAAACAAAGCAACGACCTGAAACACGGACAGTTGAACGATTTCATTATTGAATTATTAGAACCTCTAAAATCCTATCATCGAAACTTTGCGCAGTAAAAGAATCATCTTTTCCGCGTCCCCAGAAATTTGCACCGCCAGAATACGACGGAATATTAAGAATAACAATTCCTTGAAGTGATGGTAAATCGATTGGTACTCCATCGCACTCCAATCGAATTCTTTGGTCCAAGTTGCGATATGTGCGATGCATAAGTTCTTTCCCGCCAAGCATTCCATACCAAAGGAATAGTTTTGATCTACTGCGGGTCTTTAAACATCGACAATATTCGATATTACAAAACAAAAAATACTTTTTCCGATTCTTCTCTTTTATTGTGAAATTCTAATGCAATTTTTGCATCGAGACCAATTCCGAAGTAGTTGTTCATTACACAAGTTTCTTTGTACTGATCGCTAGAATAAAATAAATAAAACAAGATTGAAGACATATAAAATCGTACAACAGAGTATGGCATACAACACCCGAAATTGGTGGTCTGTTTGGTTTCACTGTACTTAAAACTCGAGCATTTAATAGTAAAACCTCAGCAATAAGCGATCCTCCGGTAAAACCGGACAGTATGTTACGGCAACTGCAATGAGTTAGCTCACTTCAAAACGAAAACATTCATACCAAATACCTCTTCATATTTGACGAACTAAACGATCCAATTTCATTTTGTTTTCGATCTTTACTCCTACTCCAAGATCCATCGCCGCAAGCTTTTGCTGGAGATAAGGTACTCCTAGATGCAACTCCAGTTCCCGACGACGAAACATCTGGGTGATCTAATTAGAAAATATTCACAAACTCTATTCAAAACTTGCCATATAAACTGCTATCTGAATGGCTGACTTTAATTATTTCTTTATCCGGATGCAAGCAATGTGATGGGGATGAACCGAAAAATAACTTAGGGGAGCTTTCTGCAAAAATATTCTCTATTTTGAAAAAAATACGAACTTGCCGTTGTTTAATTTTGGTTCGGAATAGATTCTGTGGCGATCGGTATTTTGTTCACATACTGTGCTTTTTTCCATTAAACATTCAAACCCTTCATCATCGTTAGCAGTGGATGGTTCGCGGGTTCCTCCTGGTGTAGGAGGTTGAACGGTTCCAATGCTTTAAACGATTAATATATTTCAATAAATATCAAAATGTCACGTACCTAGGATTTGGAAGCTTATCTACAATAGATAATGCGGTTGTTGAAGAAGATTCGAACTGCGAAAGCTCTGAAGCGTTTAAATAGGCATTATTTTTTCCATAATATGCATTACCACAACCACTAGTATTTGGGTTTGTTTTGCATGACTGCGATCTAAATTCTTTGATTACGGGATCACAAGATTTCATAGATGGATATGGCGAACACGGGGGGGAGCATGCGGACGATGATGAAAGATTAGATTGAGAATTTTTATAAACGCTCGGCGTAGTTTTGCTGCGTTTCTTTCGAAATCGCTCTCGCTTTGTGCACGCTGAATCTTTGTAATGCTGATCAATTCCACGTTCAGCTATTGCGATTACGTCCCGCAAAGCTTTTTTTAAACTGTTAGCACGATTAACAAGCGATTCTCGACGTTTAAGTTCATCGACGACAAAACCTAAAAATCAACTTTTAGCAAAAAAAAACTGAAAAAGCTTACATTCATCCTCATCGTCAGGCTCAAAACCACTTTCGCCACATTTATTAACTTCATTTTCCAACGATCTCATGAGTTTATCCAATTTTTCCAGAAGAACGGTGCACCTGAGTTATTTTAAAATGATCTACAAGTATTTAATGATCATTTACTGCTCAGACATAGGATCAAAGGTATCTCTTCCATCTTCACGTTCCCACTGTTCAACCTTTGAGTATGTCAAAGCCATGCTACTCATCAGCTCGCGGATCAACTCGCACAGAGAGGTTACAGCAACAATTACATCATGTGGCTGTTCAGCTTCCAGCACTGCACGAACTTTTTCGATAACAACATCCTCGTACCGTCTAACAGCGTCCGCTTGCGGTCCTAGATGACATAGAGAAATTATAAGATTGAGATTTTTAAAATATGCCTTCTATCGATAGAACACTCCATCTATCCAGCATTTTTGTATGTGCTCGTTCCAACGTGCGAACAAGTTGCGGCAATTGTGTGTCATCATAAAAAGCATGCCCCCATCCAAGAACACGAGCTAAATCGTTTCCTGTGCCAAGCGGGAGTATGGCTAGTTGGCACTATATAATTCAGAATTATTAGGATAATGCATAAAGAGAAATACTTTTGAATGTAAATTGAGTCTATCAAAAGCGCTGAGTACCCATCCAACTGTTCCATCTCCACCGCAAACTAATACACGAAATGATTCAAACTGAGAGAAAAACGTAAGCCTGAAAAATTGTAGTGTATTATACTATGAAAAACGCTTAAACAAACGCAAATTCAGGTGCGGACGTGATGAGATCAAAAACTTGACATGGATTGAGCAATCTTCGAAATTTTTTAATAATTCTTTGACCTTGACTATCACCCGATTTCGAATTAATAAGCACTATTAATGGCGATCCACCTCCACACTCGCCTCCTGAAAAATGTTTGTTGATTGTTCGTTATGGAAACTTTCATCATTAACCATAAGCATCATCTCTAAGAACGGCAGTTCCTTCCTGTGATACTTCCTTCATAGCCAGTGGCGGAATCACTGACAGAGACGCAGGTCCCAAGGAGCAACCACGACCAAGTTGCGAAAGACATGCTGAATGAACACAACACGCGCACCATAAGCACCTCCAATCCTAAAAATCATACTTTTTATAGGCAAATTTTAATTTAAGAGATATACACCTGCAATTTCCGTACTGAACCACATGGTTTTTCACATACAACACATTTTGCAGGCATCGGCAAATTTCCCTCAACCCATTGATGAGGAACTATCGAGTTCTAAATAAACTATTTAATACATTATTTCGTTATTGATTGTATAAACCATACTTGCAAATTTCTTCCCTTCCCCGAAACAGCGGATCGAGCCGCAGTTCGCGGAGTGGTGGTTCTCACAAGTCAGCTGCCCGACCCGCCCCGTTGTATATATATATGCCCATAAATCTACACTTTTAGTTTTGCGTATATACCACTGCCGTTGTTTTTTGGCATTTAGCCAATTTTCCACAGTCGCGCGACGCCGACAATATATATATTTTTTAAAAACTTACCTCTGGACTAATATATTGCAAATGCTGCGGAATGCTTGCTTCGACAGTCCATTTACACCTATCTAGTATTTTTTCCGTACACTTTCGATGTGCTTTAATCTTGCAGACTGAAAGTACACTTCATTTTTAAGGCGTTAAACACTATCGTACTGTCACAAGTATAACCATGCCACGGTACGCCAGATAATTTTTCTCGGCAATAATTACAAAATGTAGGTCTCGGATGATTTGTTTGAGTCCATTGATGATTTCCTGATGTCCCTTCCAGCATAGAATCTAATGCCATTGCCTGTATTTAATTTCCAATGATAGGTTAATTTTTTTTAACTGACCTTTTCCGGACAATATAATTTGGCGCGAACAATTGATTGTCTCCATGCTTCTGTATCATCGATACTGCGCGAAGACACCATTTACAGTATGTTCTGATACAGTAATTGCGCGTACTGTCCACCACCACCCGCCACACACACCACAATGCGATAGGCAAGATCGAATTTGTAAGTTTCTGGAATTCAAAATTGAATTTTGTAGAATCAAACTCATAAATGTTATTTGGTAAATATTGCAGTGAAAATTAAAAAGAAAGAAGATTGTAAAGAAAATCCCGACGTCTGGGTTTTTAAGAATATCTCAGAGGTTTTCGAATTTCGAAAATATTTTTGGATACCCTAATGAAATGCTAACGCAGGTTTTGGGATCTTTCAGCGGCCGATTCCGGTAGCCACTTTTTTGGGGGACAGACAATAATTCAGTTTCCAATGCATTTTCTAGAAAAAAGAACTTACTAGCAAACTAAAGATATCGAAAAGTAAGTAACAAAATTTGTAGATTGTATTAGTGGGATTCGGGTACAGTACGACGGTTGCGAATGAATCAAGTTCACCGTAAATCCGCTCAGAATACTCACTTTTTGCGACTGTAAAATTTAAGTGAACGAACGGAAATAAAAATTCCGGATTACTCTGGTAACTCAAAACTAATCGGATCCGACAAAATTTGGCTCCGGAATCAACAAGATCCGATTGGTAATTATACGGATAAGATTGTAAAATTGTTTGATCCGATTGATTTTTTGGGTAGTTTCGAATCCGATTGGCTATTATTCGAATCCGTTTTGTTTTAATTTTTCAATTATAATCGGATCCGAAAATTCCAAAAAAACAAATCGAATCCGACAATTTTATCCGTAGAATAACCAATCGGGTCGGGTTGATTCCGGAGCCGAATTTTGTCGGATCGGATTGGTCTTGATTTACCACTATACGGTAAATCACTCACTGTATGTACGAAAATTCAGAATTCCATAAATTAGCCATTTTCCTTGGTTTAGGAATAAACGAGGTGACACCACTAGAGCTCCGAAGGCCCCGTCCGGTGTTGCGCGTAAGTAAAAATTTAAAACGTATCTCACATCGAACACCGCTCAGAAGGGGTTTCTATAGAAAAAATTTGACTGTTTATTTGGTTATTATCACTAGAGCTTTTTATTTTTCGTAGTCAATTTTTAAATTGCATTTCTAATGTAAGAAAAATAGAGAATTATCGAAAACAGGCATTTAAAATAGCTAGTTAGTCCAGGCGAGACTACAGAGCCGTAAATCTACCCAACTACGACCGAACGCCGACTATACTACAATTGGAAAAAACAAGAACCGTGACTTGTCGACAACATTGAAAGACGGTAGCCGCTTTTTTTGGGAGGAAAAAAAAAATAGATCACAATCGCAAAAAAAATAAGCGGTCTGCGTAGATTTATGGCGAGTTTAATTCATAAGTAATCAGCAGTACGATATCTCGAATTCCCACTGTTTTAAATCAAAAATTGAATTACCGCCCAGAAAAAATACGATGGTTGACAAATACTCAAAACGGCTCGTTTTTTGCATAATATTACATTAGCGTACTTGAATTGCCACTATTTACTTTTAAAATTAAATTCAAAGTTCCAATAATAATCATCAGAATAAATATAAAAAATATCACAAAACATTTTTGCATGTCGTTTAAAATAAAATTTAGTTTCATTGTAGTTACAGGGGTTAGACCATGATTTTTCACACGTCGACTAGAGCAGAGAAAATCAGGAAAACTAAAACATCCGACAAGAAAAAAAACGACAATCCATAAATCTTCCAAGTCCGTTTTGGCGAAAAGCAAATATTCGGATAAATAAAAACTAAAATTAAAAAAAAAATGACCAAATGTCTTCCATAATTAATATAAAGAAAATCATTAAACACGGGTTTCACGAATTTGTAGAAAAATGTGACAATAACTTATATGAGTTAAATAAAATGTTTCGAAAAACGCTTGGTCACTGACCACTTTATTAGATCATCCACTCTTTATTTAATGTATTTGTGCAAGTGTCTGTGCGAAACGGATAACACTCTCAAATACACGCGCACACACATACAACAATTGTCTCTTCCTTCTCGTTAGTGTGTGCGTAGTGTTCGGGAGGGTCCCATTGGTGAGGACACAACGAGAAACACAAAATACCCGCTGCTTCTACTCTACTTCTGTGGATGGCGCACACAAAAAAAAACGAAAACAACGTTTCGTAAAACGAGGCGCAGATTCTGAGCAATCGAAAGGGTCTCTGAGGAAAGCAAGGCGCAAAAAAAAAAAAGAGATGGAGTTTGGAGGGCACAGAGACGGTCACTCGTCGTATGTCCTGAGAGATGGAAGCGCAGGCGATAAAGGAAACACACGAAATGAATGCGAGTCGAAACACGGCAACACTATACTGCTCATCTGTTTTGGCAGTGACCTCTGATAGTGTCACAATGATCAAGAATTTTAATTAGGCGAATAATGGACCTATTCATGCAACGAAAAAATTGTAAAAAATTTTTTCATTTGAATTCCCTATGCACGCAAGTCGACAATTCCAAAAAATTGACGCGATATATCGTAATTCTCCGCTATTTATTTTCAAAGGCGCACGCAAAAAGTTGCGCAGGTCACGTCACGAAGTCGGTACTGTATTTTTTAATGACTGTTTTTCTTTTAAATTTTTTATTCTTTGAGCGTTTAAAACTATTTTTTTTGGAAATCTGTAAAAGTATTTTGTTTAATCAACGCTAAACGTTCATAAGAAGCGTCATTGAACGAAGTCTGCATCAAATCAAATGAAAAAAAAAACAGCCTTTAAAAATTTTCTTCTGTTACGAAACTATTTACATTGAGTATGAAAAAAAAACGTGATATGCGTATAATAAATATTCAAATTAAAATATCTAAAGCGGTAAATTTTTTTGACATAGTAAATTTATTTTATGTACCTAATTTAATAAAAGAAAATTCCGTTTTCTTGTGCTCAAGATTTTTTATTAATCAATCATCGCTAATTAACCAAAGTTTTTTTGTAAATGAAATATATTTTCTTGGCGTCAGTAAATAATTTTGTCTGCGCCAAACGACTGAAAAAAGGTTTGGCTGTCAAATTTTTTGCTTTGCGTAAGCGTAAATGAGTAACGTACTTAGCAAATTTTTGGGATATGGACTGGAGGTAAATCGTGAAAACACGGGCCACGAAGGGCAAACACGGAGCAACGTTTGCCGGAAGTTGAGGGCAGATTCGGGCACGACTGCTGGCTAAGTGGAATTAAGCCCAACAGTGGTGCCAAGGTGTCTCTAGGCAAGGAGATTTGGGTGTGTCTGCGTACTCTGCATATTAGCGTACGCGCATTTAAAATTTAGCCGCACAAAATTTTACAAATTCGTTGGTCTAAACTGATTTTGCGAAATCGAATTTCTCTCCACCGATCTTGGAGACGACAATATTTCAAATGGAAATCAATCGGGTTCGAAAAAAGATCGTTTTCGATTGAAATCGAATATAAATTAAACAAAAATTATTTTCTTTTATTGGCCTATTAATGAAATGTGATTTTTTCCAAAAAAAAAACAATGTAAAAATTACATGGAATGGACATTTTGTATTCATCACATATTACCCAATTTGAGAAATATGTAATTTTTTTTAAACTTTTTTTATTGCATAAATAATTCCATTATTTTTTTGTTGATACAAAATATTAAACACGTGTAAGTGAGTGAAAAAAACGACCTGATTTCAGCAGGTGAAATATTTTTTTCTAAAATCACGGCCTACCCACGGTTTTAAGTTCATCATTATTTTCAAACAATCACTTTTTCGATTAACAAAAATTATAATACATTTATTACAAAATTATCATAATTGCCTAACGGGAAATGTCGAATTAGAACAAAATTGGGCAAAATGGTACATTTTTTGAGTTGTAGCGATCCATCCAAGAAGGCCATCTCAGGCAAATCAAATAAAATATTTTGAGAATCAAATATTCAATAATGAACTCTAAAAAATTATGAGAAATTCTAAAGTTTATTAATACTCTCTAAAATTTATTGAGAATCTCTAAACTTAAAAATACTTTTTAAACTTTTATAAGATTTCCTAAAATTTATTGATCAAATTCTAAATTATCTCAATAAATTCTAAAATCTTATAATAATTTCTATTTCATTGAGAAAAGTCTAAAATGTTATAGAGACACGTTTGTTTCTTAATGAATATCAAAATATTTTATTCCATTTACCAGAGATGGTGGATCAATAGGTATACTCAGGCAAATCAAATAAAATATTTTGAGAAATTCTAGTTTATTGATACTTTCTAAAACTTATTGAGAATCGCTAAACTTATAAATATTTTTTAAAATCTTATAAGATTTTCTAAAATTTATTGATCAAATTCTACATTATCTTAATAAATTCTAAAATCTTATAATAAGATCAAAAGTTGATTGAGAAGATTCTAAAATATTATAAAAACACGTTAGCATCTCAACGAACCTCATAAGATTTTAGAATTGTCTCAAAATATTTTTTTTATTTTCCTGAGTATATGAATAGATATTTTTAGTAGTCTCCGTTAGTTCAATGAAAACACAGTTTTTATTCGGCAACATATTTATTTAAAACATTTTTTTAAAAGTAACTAATTATTGAATTATTTCGATAGGTCATTTATACCGTAAAATATGTATCAAAATGGTACTTTTAACAAAACAGCCTTCAAAAAAATTCTCAAAGTATTACGGCAACAATTGTTTTAAAGCCCAAGTTGGGGGAAAGGTCAGGGTGGGTTGTAGTAGGCCTAAAATCACAAACGATAGATTAGCATTTACTTTTCTCGAGACCGTTTGATTTGCATGTTTTTGGAGCAAAGACTAAAAAAATTTAATAAAAAATTTTAATAAAAAAGAAATAATTGGGGCTGGCTCGGGACACACAAGAAAAATAATTCAAAAAAAGAAGAAATCAATCTGATAATTCCAAAAGAGAACACACGAAAAAGAGTGAGCTATTCATGGCATTCCATGTTGTGGCTGGTGTGAGAAACGAGAACTCATTGTAGAGAACAAAAATGATTGAAAGTGATGTTTCGCCTATGGAGATGCCCACGAAATCACCCCACGCTTATTTAGATGAATATATAGAATTTTTATCGTATTTGCATTTTAAAAATTTAATTATTAGACATTAACAATTGTAAGAGCAAAAAATAAATTGGTAGACAGAATTTGGGGAAGCAATAAAATGGCAAAGTGCTGTAGTAAACGTATCGCGAGTGCCCGCTCAACTTTGTTCATGAATATAAAATAAACGCATAATTGTGTGCAACACCGCGTGTTTAAGCTCTTCCAGTGAACACAGTGGGTGGTCAGTGCAACCGTCAAACCACAAAAACGTCATTATTGGTCGATTAAAAAAATGTCAAGAACAATTTATAATCAGTTAATTTCCAACCTCTAGAATTTTCCAAAAGAAAACATTTACATTTTTGAAGTCTTCTGTATCGTCTGTTTCCATAATCACGTATTGAGACATCGAATAAATACGGTAGACAATTCTTTGAGAAACAGGCTATACGGCGGGTTTTAAAATTCGTATTGATTATAATTGAAAGTTTTTTTTGCATACACATCTTTTGGAATTTTATAACCAATATTTTTTTACCAACCGATTATAATTATTTATTTATCAGAACAATTGTAGTCGTTGATAAATCTACTTATTTCTGATTTACTCTTAGACCGCGAGGATCATTTTTTGAAATTTTCAAAATATGGCTTCTAAGACCATACTTGCTAAATTGACCCGGCCGTGTCAACGAAAAATTTTCAACGATATTCCAAAATTGTATAACCTTTTTTACAAAAATTGAAAATCCACAAATCGATTAACCAGAATAACCGGAGCCATATGCACAATGCGATTTCCACCGGAAACCGCATGTTTAAGGGATTCAGTTTTCCCCCGGTTGATAGAAAAAAAAACTTATTGATATCGAAATAATCAGTAAAACTATAAATATGTATTAGATCGAATTAACCGGTTTTACACTATAGCTCACACCAATTTAAAACAGTATATGCATTTATTAAAAAAAATGAAACAATTATAGTCATTTATGTCAAAAAATACTTTCATATCTATCATTTCCGGCCGTTATTTCTTCTTCTCAAAATTCAGAAACGATTAGAAAAAACACTTCAAGAACAACAAGGGGCTATTGTAGCAAAGTTTAAGATAATTAATACAAATAAAACAAAAAAGATAGAAAATCGACAATAACATCATGGATCTTTGGAAAATCAACGTTTTTTGTACAGGCATGGTTTTAGCATCAAACCATAAGGACGCTTTGATTCACTTTTCTCAATTTTTCGGAATTCAAACATTAAGAAATAGTTAGTAAGAAGCTTCTTCTGAACATTCTCAAATCCCATTTTGCAAATAGCGTCACTGAACATCCGAACGTTTGAGAAACGACTCGACACTTCGGCGATTTTTAAGGAACCCCTGTAAGGAAATTTCAATTAATAACAGATTTGCATTAATGGACTTTCAGTGAAAGTTAAAAAAAAAACTACAAAATCAATCGTTAATTTTTTCGATTTTTGATATTGCCGAAAGTGCGCGACTACGGAAAAATCTACAAAAAACAATGACAGTGGTCATACCACGCCAGAAGCATCCAAAAACAATTTTTAAATGTATAATTTTGAATATGCTTATAACTCATCCAACAGGTGTTTGGTATGTAGAAGGTCCCTTCGAATATATGGTATTTACCCAATTCGCAAAACTCTTCTAGCTTCGCGGATAAAATCGTATAGGTTAGTTCCCATTAGAGATAAGCAGAAAATAACAATATCTGCACAACCGTCTTCGGCCGGAATTTTGGACATGTCACATTCTTCTACACGAGCATTCACGGCAATTAGATCAAAAGATCGAACCTGAAATTTTATTGTAATTGATATAAGACAAAAATAAACCTTATGCTTTCTCCCCACGCTTTCCGCGATTTTCGCCTCTCCGCATCCCAAATCAAAAACTATTTGCCTGTCTGGTTTTGAGTTCAACCAGCGGATAATTTCATGCAATGGATGGTTCGGCCACTTTTTAGCTTGTTCGGCAAAACCTTTATGATAACATTCGAAAGCAGCAGGATCTTCTTTGAAGAACTCAAAAGCTTCATTCCCAGTGATCGTGTACAACCTTTCATTTAGATATCTGGATTTTGAAACTATATTAATCCGTTTCTTCAGGAGTACCTAAATCTTGCAGCATCAAGCCGTTTCTTAGCTTCTTGTATAGGATCCAAGTGCACGTCGTCACTGAAATTCTTTTCTTCCACTTCACCTTTAAATTTCTTTTTCTTGGGCCCCCTCTTCTTCTTCGTATTTTTTGAGAACTCGTCGCAACTTTTAGAACCCAAGTCATCTATCTGAAACAAACGTTTACCATTTTTTTTTCGTACAGAGTAAACTTACACGCAGCGAATTTTCTCTCTCTCTCTCTTGAATTTCTCGCTTTGCTTTTAATTTCGCCAATTTTCGAACTTTATTTCGCCAAGGTCTTTTCTAAATTACAAATGGTTATTGTCCTATTTTTATAAATAAAGAATAGGTGTATTGCAGGGCTGTGCGGCAATGGAATTGCCGATTGCCGAAATTGCCGATTTTTCAAATTGCCGAATTGCCGAATTGCCGAAGAGAACGTTCGATCGGCAAATTGCCAAATTGCCGGATTGCCGAAATTTTGATTTTCGGCAATTTGCCGAATTGCCAATTTGCCGAAATTTTGATTTTCGGCAATTTGATATCAAAAAAAATCGGCGAAACAAAAATCACTGTCCATTGAATAATTTGCGATACCGTGAAAATTTGGTATTTATATTTCGAATTATCGTTGAAAACATTTAATAGACGAAATTTTGATTTTCGGCAATTTGATATCAAAAAAAATCGGCGAAACAAAAATCAATGTTCATTGAATAATTTGCGATACCGTGAAAATTTGGTATTTATATTTCGAATTATCGTTGAAAACATTTAATAGACGAAATTTTGATTTTCGGCAAATTGCCAAATTGCCGGATTGCCGAAATTTTGATTTTCGGCAATTTGCCGAATTGCCGGATTGCCGAAATTTTGATTTTCGGCAATCTGATATCAAAAAAAATCGGCGAAACAAAAATCACTGTCCATTGAATAATTTGCGATACCGTGAAAATTTGGTATTTATATTTCGAATTATCGTTGAAAACATTTAATAGACGAAATTTTGATTTTCGGCAAATTGCCGAATTGCCGAATTGCCGAAATTTTGATTTTCGGCAAATTGCCGAATTGCCGGATTGCCGAAATTTTGATTTTCGGCAATTTGCCGAATTGCCGAATTGCCGAAATTTCCGATTGCCGCACATCCCTGGTGTATTGCACCCTACCTTTTTTCGCGTTTCTGATTCAACCGTATTCATACATTTCCCATGCATTTCACTGGCATTATCTCCATCGCTCTGAATATTTAAATATTTTACATACTTTCGGTAACACGCAGTTGAGGTCTTCCACATGCGCAGCATAGGGGATAATTTCATTTCAGCTCTACTCAAGTTGGAAAAATGAAAATCAATCGAATTTGAAAACAAATTCGTTTTCAATCGAAATCAAGTATAAATTAATATGTTTCGGAGTACACGAGCATTTTAATCGAATATTATTTCAAAATTGAATTTGAGAAAGAAATCAATCGTTTTGGGAGATTTTTGAATCAAAAACTTATTTTCAAAAACACTTTCTTAAAAGAACTTTTTTTCAATCCCATTTGAAAAAATTGGGACATGCGTAACACTTACCACAACAATAGAAGTGCAATCGATGATTTTATCTGTTTTCCTTTTTTGAGATGAAACCATACTGAAAATTTAGATAAAACAAAAAACAGAGTTTGAAAAAATACGTTTGCCAAAGATTACGCATATTAGTTTGAACTCTAAAACTATTCTATTCATTTTTATTTTATTCCGAAAAAAAGAACAACAATATTAGTTTAACAATAAACGATAAAAGAACAATCAATGGGAAACCGCCAGATTTTAAAGAAAAAATCCAGCAAATGTAAACATCAAAGTATCGTAAAAATGAATAATTCGAAATTAACGCCAATCGGTTTTTCCTGACCCACGTTTTCCAGTAAACAGATGCTTGGGTTTGAGGTCGTAGACATGCCGATCGGCTTCTCCTTTCTTTGCGTCTCGTCGTAAGTTCTTCATTGCTTTGGAACGCAATTTATTCGCATGCATTCGTGCCTTTTCATCAGGAATTGCAATTTCATCCCTTGGTGCAGGACGAACAGCACTGAGACTTCGTGATCGACCAACTTTCATTTTCTTTCCAAGTTGTGGTCTGGCGCATTGCCCTTGAAGATTTTTCATTTTTTTGGTATCAATCTAAAAGCAAAAATTATTTAAGAAAAAATTGTGAATTTTACATCAACTCCCAAATCACTTAATTCGTTCTCCAATCGAGTCATGGATCTTTCCCGCTTTCTAGTGTGAACTCTGCTTCCAACACGCCCCTGGAAAAAAGTTAATCAAATGAATTTGATATATTTCTTTATTACCGCGATTCTCTTATTAACTTGCGTTTCCAAAGTGAGCAATTTCTCCTTTTCCCTTATCTGTAACGCGAGTTTCATTTTTTCGGTCGTTTCTTCATCATCGCTGTCCAAGTCGGAATCATATTCACCAGCTATTTGTAACAATTCTTCTTCTTTCATCAAATCTTCGAGTTTCTACAAAAAAACTTACATGGTACATTTATGGTTTTTGTCTACCTTTTGAATTTCGGGGTCTACAAAATCAGCTAAATTGTGACCTTCCCAAATTTCAGGAACAACATCATACTTCTCTTCCGGGTTTTTAAGAAGATAGTGTTTCTTTAAATCAAGTATGTAATCATCCTGCATTTCCAGCTCTAGTTCCCGCTCAAGGCGGCGGGTATCTATATTACAGTGGCATTAGTTATTATCAATTCCGATAATTGCAAACATACTTTCATCTCTAAATTCGGCATTGTTTGGATTTATGTTGCCTTCATCTACATCCATAGAATTTTCGTTAGAAATTTTTTTGGCAGCTTTCTTTTGGGCAACTGCAGGAGGAATATATGGAGCGCGAACTTTATCGTCTCTGGGTGTTGGATAAGCAACGAAGACGCGATTGAGAACAGTATCCTCCACTGACGTAACTTTTTTCGCTTGAAGCTTTGCTTCAACTCGTTGGGCCAAGAGCTCATCGCAGGCACGATCTCTAAGGGTCATCACTCCTTCCTTAGTAAGAGTTGAGGTTTCAACAATTGGCACACCCTCATTTTCAAGCTGATCAAGAATGGCAGCTTTCTCTGGTGGTAAATCAGAGCGATGTCTGATGTCAACCTTGTTCAATCCAATAAGAACAGGTTTGTTAGTGAAGAGTGGTCGAATCGATTGAAAAAGATGAACTTGCTCTTCAATTGTACGATCACATTGCTCAGAAACATCCATCATGAACAAGACAGAAGCCTTTAAATGTGCCAAAGCTGTAACTGCCTGCATTTCAATTGTATTCCTGTCTTCCAATGGTTGATCAAGAATTCCAGGAGTGTCAATGACCTAAAAAATTTGTATTTTTTTTCCAATTTTTACAGAATCAACTCTACCTGCCATCTTAAGAAACGATAGTCCAAATGACCAACATATAGAGCTTTCGTTGTGAAAGCGTATGGTTGTACTTCAACGTCAGCACGAGTAACGTTATTGATAAATGATGATTTTCCTACATTTGGAAATCCACAAAGGATCAGCGTCCTGGTACCAGGATCGATACTCGGAAGACGTGACAAATGTTGGCGAACTTGTTCCAAATACTCAAAACTGCTCTTGTTTCTTTTAAGGAGTTTCACCATTCTTCCAAGAGCAGCTCTTTTAAGCATTTTACATCGATAAAGTGAATCACTATACTTCATAAGCCGGACATACTCGCGTGCAATTCTAGGATTTGATTAATTATTTTTTCTTTTACATTTGTATTTTCAAGGACGGACGATTGTTATTTTAAGTGTAAAATGACGGCGCCAAAGCAAGTTTTATTTTACGGCAAAAATTAATTTTTCAGCTCGTGAAATTTAATTTTGGCAAATTCGTCCGTCCTTGGCAATATTATTAGTTACCCATCAATCAAATGTCGAGCGGTGTTCATTTGTCCTAGAGCAATTTTAAAATGATCACGATCGTAAAGGATGTTCATTAAATCGGAATAAAAAGGATGAATTTCCTTAAATTGAATATCAGTTTATATAACTAATGGACCTATTCATGCTATAAAAACGCGAAATTGATTTCTTTTATTATGGTCTTTTTTTGTTTAGACTCAGACCGACTCGGTTTCGAAAAGACAAGCCTAGTAAAATTTACGTATAATGTAATATTTACTTATATTATTGAAAAAAATATATTTCATGAATAGGTCCATAAATATATTCATCCTTACCTCCATTTTGGGAAACTCGTTGATAATTTGAGTCAATTTATCATGAAGAGTTTGTTGAAGGAATTTAATTTTTCTCGCATAAAAAGCTCGAATTCTGCCAATTGCGTATTGGCGATGAACGACAGTTGGTGTCTTACGTTGAGTTTTCGAAAGGACGACATTTTTGAGCTCCTAAAATAATTATCTAATTACGAGATAATGCTAATATGAACTTACAGATGCCGATGGAACGACTGTAATACGTTTAAAATTGTAATATGACGTCATTGTTGTGTAGGACCCTTATTCGATTTCTGAAAATGAACAAAACCATCGATTTCTATAAATTTGTAAAAAAGAAAAAAAAACGAAAAATAAATTCTTAAAAACCTCTGAATTTTCTGTTCAATCACTATTTCAATTTCATGAATTCAATGACGAAATTAAAATAAAGAAAACAATCGATTTTTATAATACAGAAAATGAGTTTAGTTCATTTCAATCGTAATCGAATGTAAATAAATCTGTTTCGTACCACACGAAAATTTCAATCAAATGATTTCAAAAGGACAATGAAAAATGAATCAATCTTTCAAATAAAAACCAATTTTTCAAATCGAATTTGAGCGTTTTCTTAATCGAATCAGCTTCATTTATATTTTATATTTTTCGAATCCGATTTATCTTACTTTAGAAAATGATGAATTGGCCTAAAAAAGAAATAAACTCATTTACAAAGTTGGATTGAAAAATGTCTCACATATTAGAATCTTAAATATTTTATATAAAATCCAAAACAATTATTTTCGATAGAATTAAAAATATACATATAAAATGATTACGAAGATTTTCCTGTTAAAGAAACGCAAAAATATTAGGTAACACTTGTTCCTTTTTGCGTCACGGTGAACATTGAACTCGGTGAATCGCGTACTTTCAAAAGTATCGTAGTTGGAATAAAAAATACTCAGCGAACTCATCGAACGAAACAATGGATTTTTCGCATTCGGCGAAACAGTGGCAAATTTTGGGAGAAATATTGGCAAACAATTGAATTAATGTGTTGTTTTTCTCAAAGCCCCGGAAGAAGTGGTTCCTGTGTGTTGTGTTTCAACAAACCAAGAAATGCTATTGAAAAAAAATTTATAATGCGTTTCCCTAAAAATGCAGATACCAGAATTTTCACTGCAGGACCTTGTAGAGAAAAGCTTAGTTTTTTCACCATTAAACGGAAAAAATTCGCTGGTAGAACCAAGCGCGAGTTCCAACGTCATTCAATTAAAAATTATCAAACCGACCCATAAAATTTGAAATAACCTGTTAGTCCTTGCGAGACCATTTCAAAAGACACATAAGTACTCCGAATTAGACAATGTATATATTTTCTTCTTCATTTAGACACCAATTATCATGAGAAATAGAGATATTTGTGTTGATTTTATGCAGACTTTGCTCGATGACGCTTCTGATGAACTATTAACGTTGATTAAACAAAATATTTTTACGGAATTAAAAAAAAACGTTTCGAAATTTATGCTGTTGAATTTAACTATGATATGGACGCATTTCCTGTTTAATTATTCTGTTTTCATTTGTTATTATTATAAAAAACCTAATGTTTCGTTGTAATGCAATAAACTCGGCTTTTCTGAAACGGATTTGCACAATGGTTGAAATGGAACCAAACCGATGGAAAATAGATTTTTAAAAAACAGTATAAATGAGCAAGGAAAATTGATAAAAAACAGACGAAACGTGGTTGATGACCTGGCGGAAAATAGATGAAAACCCGATGAAACATGGATCAAATGCGGACAAAAAAATGATCTGTGGCAGACCCCTTTTTCATCAGTTTTCTGCGCATTGTTTCATATGTTTTCCGTCCGTTTTATATATAATTGGAATTATGCAGTGTCAAACATTCAAAAGATTAAAAATCGAAAAAAAAAACAGCTATTTATTAAAATTAAAATATCGCGTCGATTTTTTTTAATTTTCGGCGTGCGTGCATTGGGAATTCAAATGAAAAAAAAAGGACTTTTTTTTACAAGGAGTGGTCTCAGTGTGCCCGTAAAGTGGGCGTAAAGTATTGACCTAAGCTATATGACTTGGCAATAATTTACGGTTTGTCTGCGTATCCAACATAAAACTTTAGTTATTCGCGACAAGAATTTAAATCGATTTTGACGTATATTTAAATTTCCGATAGTTGCAAGTCTTCGTCAATACGTTAAATAAAAATCTTAAAAAAAAAATAATTTTTACTAACAATAAATAAAATACCACATAAGTAATATATATGTTCCGAAAAATAAAATGAAGAATTATACAGGAAATCAGTTTAAGGTGTCTGTCAAACATTATGGCGGAATAAACAACAAAAAATCATAACAACGCAATTTAGTTGATATTTTCTACTTATGTAAAGCCTTAATAGAATTGAAACGAAAATTTTCACGATAACTAAATTCTAATTTGAGAAATATATAATGACAAATAACAACTAAATATTAGTAAAAAAAATGTATATGCAGATGAAAGGCCACTGCAAATTTCACAATAACAGGTAAAAGTCCTACAAGAATATGAAAATATGAATATGATCAGAATCGACCAAAATTGACTATCATACTTTCAATTTTCGATAGACGTTTGATTGAGCCCAAAATCACATTAATTCATGATCATCGCGACCAATATTATCACAATTGGTAAAAGAAGAAGCTTGACTTAAAACCTAGTTTTCGCAAAACAAAAATTCGTAGTAGTTGTTTTAGTCCTATGAAATCGGCCAGTACCTCGTATATACAAACCAAAGAGGGGGAAAAACAACAGTTGAAGGTGATAACTGACAAATGAATATCAAAAATATATTAGACAATCGAAGTTAGTCCAAATTACTAACGTACACTACAATCGCAAAAAAACGAGTACCCTGCATAAATTTACGGTGAGTTTCATTCACAAGATATCGGTACTACGGTGCACTAATTCTTAATTTTATATTAAAATTTGAATTACCGCCTCAAACGAAAAAATTTTCTACAAACACTCGGCCTCCTTGTTTTTTGCGATTGTAATACAAAAAGCATGCATTTTCCTAAGGCGTGGTATTTTAAACCATAGCACATTATATTATGTCTAAAACTAATTATCATTGCTTGCTTGATCAACAACATTTCCGGTTGCTTCATTGACTGAGGAATCAATTCCAGAGTAGTCAGTGGTGATCATTGAGCTGTTTGGCTGAATTTGAACGTCCTCACTCTGAAAAACTATACTGAGACCAGGTTTAAGAGAAATTAATTTATAATATTACAGACGTACGTAATGTCTGTTTCTGTTTCAAATATTATTTTCCTCTCAAATGCACTGTTATTACCGATGACGATGAACGACTGCTCGCAGAATTGTCCCAGTTGCTGCCTGGATCAGGATGATAACTCCGAACCTCATTGTCGACGTCAGTATCGTCCAATAGACCGAACTCATTTGATGCATTTGTCGCAACTCCTTCACTTTCCAGCTTCAAAGCATCAAAATCCTCGAAACTCATTTTTATAAATGGTAATTTTAGAAACACTTACAACAGGTGTTGTGGAACGTTCCCCACATCTTGTTACATCAGAGATTACTGTTGTTGCCGTCCCGAGGCGTTCTGAGCGCATACTACCATCACAATTATTTAACAAAGGACATCTAAATGAATTCTTATTAAATTTATTAGTTCTCTCTCATTACAAATGGTTCGAAGACGGATATTCGCTTGTAGAATCTCTGCGTTGTTTATAAAAAAATCTGCAGTAGCGGTCATCTCTGGCGCGTGGATCATCTTTATATACGTGGTCACTCAGTGTAGATGCTTCTCCACCACTTCCTTGCATACCAACATTTCCGTACTGTATGACAGGAGGCCACGTTCTTCCAGCGCCAAATTCAGCTAACTTCGGCTCATTGTCAACATATGATTTTCCACGTTGCGACTAATTTATAGTAATTAACTCAATATGTTTATAAATTGCGCTGTTACTTTTGTGTAAACATCGTCATTGACTTTTTTTTGTTTTTCGTAAGTAACTTTCATAAATGCTTCCGCATGTCTATTCATTTTTGGTTCGACGCATTTAGTAACAACAATTAACTGCAAATGATTTAAATGTTTTGGATCATGGAATGAAAAAAAAATCAATTTTGTCCATTTGAATTTCCTATGCACGCACGTCAAAAATTACAAAATATTTGACGCGATATATCGTAATTCTCTGCTATTTATTTTCAAAGGCGCACGCGAAAAGTTGCGCAGGAACGGCGCGAAGTCGGTACTATAATTTTTTTATTTTTAGCGAACCATTAGCGTGGATAAAACAAATTATTTTTACGCAATTAAAAAAAACAGCTAAAAACGCTCAAAAATTCGAAAAAAAAAATACAGCCATTAATCGCGCAACATTAAAAATAAATTGCAGATCGCGTCAGTATTTTGTAATTTTTAACGTGCGTGGGGAATTCAAATGAAAAAAAATTGATTTTTAAAATTTTTTCATTGCATGAATAGGCCTATTAAAAAAAAAGATTGTATCACCTTAAATCCAGTTTGAATCGAATCATTTTTACAGGCACGATCAATTTCCATAATCGGAAACACCGAAACATGCTCATCGAAATTTCTTAACAAACGGTTTGGTCCAGAAGCATTGGGTTTTCCTTCCGGCGCACACTTCACCGGCTCTCCTTCACTAGGAACACTTCGTCTTCTCTCATTGTAGACATCTTGTACAAGCTCTTTTTCGTGAGCTTCAACAAGCATCTTGCTAATTGCGTACCGAGGACTGTAAACGTTATATTTGTATTACTGCAGAAACGGCGGAAAATTGACTAAAAGATATAGGGAAACTTCTTATAGAGCTCTAACCTAATCTTATACATACTTAGAAAAATATGCACTTTTATTTATGCGCCAAGGGTCGATTTTTTTAAAATTAAAAACAACTAGAAAATGCTTTCGTAAAGTAAAAAGAATAATGAACATACGGAATTCTTCCTTTTTCTCTATATATTCTATCAAGCGATTCTTCCGGACAGTGGCGATTAAGACCTGGCGGTTCAGATATTTGAAGTTCGTCAAAATTTAATGGTGGACGGCTTGGCACTGTTGATGAATACACGGCTTCTGGGGTTGAACGACGATGAGAAGGACTGACAGCACTAACATTAATCGCTGGTTCACTGGCGCGGGATTTCGCACCTTCAGAACTAGTAAATACTGGAAAAAAGGTTTTCATTACAAAGTCTGCATTGTTTCATTAAAAAATTCAATTCTTACTTCGTTTAGCTGCTTTCGAGGCTTTACTCAATCTCGACGTGGACTTTCTGGCTGCATCTTTCCGTTCTTTAGATTTGGGAGTTAAAGTTGCCGCAGAACTCATTGATGGGCTACTCATTGCGCCAACAGAAGTCGCTGGAGATCTCTCTGGAGACAACAAGGGAGAACTTTTTGATTGCCCGGAACGAGCAACAAGAGGTAAGGGATTGATATCCGCAATGTCGCAGGATTGCAAAGAATCAACCTGAGATTGCTTCTGTTTCAAGGGCTCATCAAAGGTGTCCTCGCTTTCTCTATTGACATTTGAGCTATATACTTCATCATCTCCAATAGTGAACTGCTTTTTACGAGCAGCAATTGTGGTTTCTCCTTCGGGATACGGATGAGCTTCATCTCCATGAACATACGGATCTCCACCACATGCACCAGGACAGGAAAACATTGTATTAAACCATATATGTCCAAGCTGAAAAAGAAAAACAAAATCACAAATAATTACTTACTAAGTGTTACTAAAAATTTTAATTTTTTTTAAACACTTTTTATGCGAGCACCGTTTAGAATAGGCCGTGATTCAAAGGGGGGGGGGGTAACCTTTAAAAGTAAAAATTTGGATGGAAAATATAGTCGGCGTCCGGCGACTGCTGTACGCGGGTAGATTTACGCGCATGCGTCTTTCGAAATGGTCTCGCAAGGACTAACAGGTTATTTCAAATTTTATGGACCGGTTCGATAATTTTTTAATCGAATATCGTTGGAAATTCAAGGAAATGCGAAAATTATCAAGAAATATGAAGCAGTTCACGTGAAAACAGCGAAATAAGCATTCACGCGTGGCGAAACCTTTTCAAGGCGCATGCGCGTAAATCTACCCGCCTCGCCGGATGCCGACTATAGATGAAAAATACAAATAAAAAAACGACAATTCTACGTTAATTCGTCGCGGAGACGATTGATTGCGAAGGCAAATAAAATGCACAAGTCCACAATGTCATTTCCAGCTTCATTTTGATATTCCTGGACATTTTATCATTAGTACTTACCACTGACAAGACCTCCAAACACAAAAAAATCGGGCATAAAAAAAGCTCAATCACGTAAAAATTTCAAATTTTAAAATAGCCGTCGAATAAAATGTATAAGGTGTACACACGCGACATGTTTATTTATGGAAATTCTTTTTTTAATTACTGATTTTGTCTTTTGCGGACTTGTGAATTTATTTGCCAAAAATACACATGTTTTTAGTTCGCGATTTATTTTTTTTATACTCGTAAAGGTTCTCCCCCATTAACTTTTGATTTTACCGCATTGCGGGGATCTATTAGGATAGTCTATGTAAATGCCAACATTTTTACAGAACCGATTTTTTTATCCGAGCTCACCCATCGGAATTATGCCTAAAAAATTGGGTTCTTCGACTTTCGGCAATATAAATCATCATAAAGTAGTAAAAATTAAATGCAAGTACGGTAAAATACAATGTCTCGCGTGCATCTCTTTTGGCCGAAAGACCCAACTCATTTTCTGCATTAGATTACTATTTTGAAATCGAAAACAAAGACCGAATTTTGAAAATATTTGTTGGATACTGTATCGAAAGAGGAACGCCGAGTCTCGCATCTATTCTGGTAGCCACTTTTTTGAAACAGGGTAAAGCCAATTACAGGGTGTCATTTAAGTTCCCGCACAAAAGTTTGACGCCATGAAGAGCTTGGCTGTCGCACTTTTCGTGCACCAATACAATTTATTTTTGTTAAATAAGGTATATTTTACTTACTTTCCAAGTTTCACCTCATTCGGATGTGTTTCCGAGAAATGGCGAAGGCTAACATCCATTGCGCTTCCATTATCGAACTTCATAAGCAAAATGTGAGCTCGAGAGACATCATTCAACGGGTCGGTGTGCCTCGTAGAACGGTTTGCGACACCATCAAACGTTTCAAGGAGCTAAATACGACCAGTCACCGTCCCAGACAAGGAAGACTCGTCTCAGTAACCACTCCTCAGAAGATCAACGCCGTCAAATCGAGGATCAGGCGAAACCCCCACAGGAGCATGAGAAAGATGGCGTTAGACATGGGAATGAGCATCTTCGCTATGGAACAAATTGTCAAAACGAAGCTTGGACTGACCCCATATCGTGTCCAAAAAGCGGCAATTCTATCGGCCGTCAGCAAGCAGAGACGCTTCGAAAAAGCAAAACGACTTCTTGCTCGCACGCGGTCTGGACAACACCTCGTCACTGTCTTCTCCGACGAGAAGCTGTTCACTGTGGAGACGGCATTCAACTCACAAAACCATTGAGTACTTGCCCAGACATCCCAGCAAGCTTCTGAGAAAAGAAGAACATATCATCCAGCCTCACATCCTGCCAGCATGATGGTTTTCGTTGCCATCTGCTCAACCGGGAAGTGCCCCCTGGTTTTCGCGGATCAGGGGGTGAAAGTGAACAAAGAAGTCTACGTTCGGGACATTTTGGAGAAGCATGTGATGCCCTGGACCCAAACGCATTTCGGTGGGCAGAAATGGGTCTTTCAACATGACGGAGCAGCCGCCCACACTGCCAAAACTACTCAGGAGTGGTGCCAGACCCATTTTCCCGACTTCATCAAGTCATCCGAATGGCCTGATTGCTCCCCAGACCTGAACCCGCTTGACTTTCCCGTGATGGGGTCTTGCAGGAGAAGGTCAACGCAAAACCCCATTCAAGTGTAGAGGCTCTGAAGAAGACATTACTGGCGGAATGGGACAATCTTTCCATCGAATACCTGCGTACCACAGTCGCATCCTACCCGAAGCGTTTCCGTGAAGTCATAGCTGCGAAAGGAGGCCGAATCAAAAAGAGTTAATAGATAAATATTTGTTATACTATAGATAAAAAATATTTTGAGTCTCGTTTGATTTGGACTTTTAGTTTCAGAAATATACGTCTTCAAAGTTGTGCGGGAACTTAAATGACACCCTGTATTTTTTGTTTCGGTCAATCGTTAGAAACCAATAATATCATTTATTAAATTACCTTATTTCTTCCTGTCGATGTGAATATGTTAATGAACTTTTTATGGACGTAAAGATCGACCCGAACATCGCCTTCAAGAAATACAGGTTGGGTAGATGGTACTGTCCATCCATATGCTCTTCTCGAAATGACATCCTCATTTGGAACAGGACAATTGGGGTCATAAGAATCAAATCCCTTGGACACAACATGTCCCGCCCAAGCGGTTTCTTCTTCAGCCCAAACATCGTCGGCAATATTCATAGGTTGTCCATAGTAGACGTCTACATCTCCGTTAGCTACTCGCATGCTCAGCTGATCTCGCATTAAAGGTCCTGTGAGAATCTATTCCAATCGCAAAAAAAGAGCGCCCTGCGCCGATTTACGGTGAGTTCGCAGGTTATTCCTAGTACGACGAAGTTTCACATTCATGCAATGGAAAAAAAAATATAAATCAATTTCGTTCATTTGAGTTTCCTATGCACGCACATCGAAAATTACAAAAAAAAATTGACGCGATATATCGTAATTCTCTGCTATTTATTTTCAAAGACGCACGCGAAAAGTTGCGCAGGAACGGCGCGAAGTCGGTACTGTAATTTTTTATTTTTCATTCTGTGTGCTATTTTTCCGTATTTTTCGAAAACTTTCAAACGGAAATGAGTGAAAGATTGAAGAATGAGGAAACAACAACAATTATTGGTATAATTACTCCTAATTTGACAATATGATCTACTTTTCGTCATTTAGATACCAATTATTATGAGAAATAGTGTTATTTGTGTTTATTTGATGCAGACTTCGCTCGATGACACTTCTGAAGTACATTTAGCGTTGATTAAATAAAATACTTTTACAGATTTCCAAAAAAAAACGTTTTAAACGCTCAAAAAATTAAAACATAAAAAGACAGCCATTAAAAAATACAGAACCGACTTCGCGACGTGACCTGCGCAACTTTTCGCATGCGCCTTTGAAAATAAATAACGGAGAATTACGATAATGAAAAAAAATTATTTTTTTTCATTGCATGAATAGGTCCATAACCATTTCAAAAGTAAATATATTTTTTCGGCGTCGCGCGCGCGGCTGCGGAAAATGCATTAAAAGTTACAATAGATATCAAAGGCACATGCGAAACTTTGTTGATTTCGCGCTAAGATCAAAAATGGCTAACGCGTTTAATCATTTAAATTTGTCAAATTCGTCCGTCTTCGACAATATATTGTCAGAGTTGGGCGGAATGAGTAAAGTTTGTAAAAAAAACAGCTGACGGCCGGGTTGAAAAGACGATGTTTTGAAATTGCGCTACTTTGTATAAACAGCTAGCAATTAGCGGGGTGTCGGTAACTCAACCATATAAAATATAATTACTAAACAGTTCTAGAATATCTAGAGAAACTCTTCGTTTCCCATGAGAAAGAGAAAAATACAATATCGTTTTTGTGTAATTAGTAATAAAGGACTACCATGTATCTTAGCAGGTAAGGCAAAACTAAGCTTTGAAACCGTTTATATATCTATTGATTAGAAATATAGTTGAATATTGAATTGGCGCCCGGCCATCTCTGTTTTTTTTACAAGCCTGGAATGCATAATATGAAAACGCGGAATGTCGAAGCTAAATAAAATTTTGGCGGAATGCCAATTACGGAATTTTTGTCAATGACGGGATTTGATGCAATTTTCAGATTCTGCATTGGAATGAGTCAATTGAAAAGACCAAATGAAATTTTTTAGAATACGGAAGCGGAATAGGAAAATAATAACGAAATGCAGAATTCCTCCCAACCTGCCCGTGATGAATTGTCGACGTCGCAGGACTGGCTAAACGCCAAAACATTTTAAAATCTTTATACGTAATACCGTAGTCGCGCGACTTCGACAATATCTTGAAGCACAAAGAAAATTGCGAAGTTGTGTTACGGTAAATTTGCAAGTGTTTAAATTTTTCATAATTTTGGAAAACGACAATAATATACCTCGACTTTTTGGCGGTCTTTCTAGATAAATTCCAACAAGTTGCATTCGGCAGGGTAAATAATTCAGCTTATGCTTTCGGAGGTGGTCGTAATAATAGACATATCGACGTTGTGATGGAATCGTGACTCCTAAGAATTATGAGTCGTTTGTGATTGAATTTTACTCACCTTTATTATTTCTAGTTCTCACGACGGAATAATAGTCCATGTTTTGGCGAGGAGAAGGATAAAAGCAACAATACGAAAGATAAGCGCAAATCATGACACCAGTTCGGCCCTGAAATTGAAACAAATTTCTGATGTTCTTGATTATAAGTACTTACTTTTCCGGCTTTACAGTGAACTGCGACTACATTTCTAGGGTCCTCACATAGCCATTCGTGAACCTAATCAATAATTTCAATAAATATAACAATAAACTATTGTACCTCGCGACAAAATGGTGCCATTAGCTCAAGTCTTGGTGGATGGTGGTCAGTCATTTCAAACGAAACTACACGATTTTTGAAGTTAGCGGGATCATAAGAATATTGGCCACGTCTGAAGATGTGATGAGACTGATATAGGGTCCTGAGCAAAAACAGGCGTCACGAATTGTGTGAGACACCGCGCGTTATGTGGCAATGAAATACAATTATTACTATTATTAGCTATAGTTTTCGTCGGAACTTCATTAGAAATGTCTTATGATGAGTTTTTATTGTTTCCGAAAAAAAACCTGCGTGCGTTAAGAAAAAAAAATACATTTCTTTCAACTTCAGATTCTAAATTAATAGCAAAAATGAAGTGCACGTTCCCACGATGTAAATTAAAATTTGAATTACCGCCTCGAAAACGGTAGCCCGCAAATACTTAGGGTTCTGGTTTTCTGCGACCATAATAATTAATTAAAAGGACATCACGTGATTGATGAGTTATCGACGTATTTTGTTTTAAAATCAATCTACGTTTGAAACGTTAGAGCATATTTGATAATGATAGCTCTCACTGCGGCTTTTACAAAAACATCTTTGTTTCTTCAAAATCATGATGTAAATAATCAAATTAAAACTTACAAATTAAAGACTTTGTAGTGATCTTTATGGCGTTTCTCGAGAAAACGAATAATGTGTTTCATACTGTTGCGATAAAGAGCTTCAGTAGCATTTGCTGGATATCCCATTGCAATAATTCGATCAGTTATATCTATTAAAACACTTTAAACTGGAACATCGGAAATTCATATTACTTACATGTTAGATCCAAATCAAATCCGTCAGTTTTAATGCGTCGCCGATTTTGCGATACAATCACACGAAACTTTGAGCAAACCATTTCTTTCAGACCTTCTAAAGGTCCATCACGATCACTGCGTTCACGCCTTCGTACTGCCATTTCTTGCTTTGGTTCCTCATCGCCACTCGCTTCACTACTGGTAGATGATGACTGTTTGCGGTGGCGACCGGTGCGTGAGTGCAAATTGCTATTTCTCGGCATCTTCGACATATTCGAAGTACACGGTTCGCTACCCGCCGCCACCGGCTTCTCTTTAGGCATTTCCTTACAAACTTGGCTTTGTTTGAATGCAATATCCTTGAGTATTTTCCAGCGACCTCAAATATCTTGGTAATAGAAAGAATGCAATAGGATATTTCAGTATAAAACAATGAAAAATTTACTTAAATTAATAACAACAAATCATGTGTCTTTAAAGGAATAGAAAAGATTGCTCAAGTGGTATTTAGTCTTGAAAATTTTCGGATAACAGAATTACTATCATTGCGTATTACAATCAGAATGAAAACAGTGAAAATTAGTGTACCATAGTATCGATAATCTGCGAATCGATTTTTCGTGGTACTCGCTTTACACAGGATACTCGCTTTAATGCAAACTTATATTGTTTTTGGTATAAACATGGCAAAAAGATATCGCGGCCCGTCACAAAACTTTTAAAACTTCCACTATGGTAAACGGTTTGTAAACGATTGCAACGGCAGTCGTCTTTACACAAAACTGAAAGCATGTTTACATTCATAAGTATAAATTTAAAGATAGTTTAACTTGCCTTAAGGTTTCTGCCTCTTTCTCTCCTTAATGGTCCACTCAAACCATTTTGGAAAGCTGTGGTTCGCACCTCAAAAGGCGAAGGAAGAACCGACTAAGTGACTAACAAAGAAAGAAAGTAAATAATCTAATTATCCACGCTGACAATGTACGATTTTAATTTTATATCATACGGTAAAGAAATACAGTTTTTTCGTATACAATCCAATTTCACATCACCCTAAACTTAGAGTGTCGGGCTAATTCGTGCACGACTTTACTTTCGATTGTTGTCGGTGTCAAACGACTGAACGGAGGCTAGGTCTTCAAATTCGCGAAATCAATGTAATTTAAATTTTTCGTTGATTGAATATTAAATGCACGTACGTTTAAATGTAATGTACACAGTTTCGCGTACTTCTCGCTGCCTCGAGACGCATTGACACATAGCCAATCATTTTTTTTATTTCGTCAAGTCGTTTGACTCCGACAATAATTGCATCGAATTCATCTATCTTTAACAATATTTATTGTCAAGTAGGATGAATTTGGGGTGCGATTGATTTATCATTTGAATTGCCGCCTTGGTTTTTTTTCTAAAAATGTATTTACCCATATATATATATATACGTCAGAATATACTCAGTATTACCATCTTTAGATAACAATGCAGTCCGTTAAAAAATCCCGAAAATTACGAAAAATAAAAAGCATTCAATGAATATTTTCCCAAAGTATTATCGATCAAACATAATCCTTCAGTAAATCTGAGTCTTCAGCTCATTTCTATACTTATAGGATCCCATAATCCTCTACCTACATCCTATCCATGTTCATTAATCGGAGATAGATATATATATGCGGGTCTTCAAATTGGCAAAGTTAGTGTATGATTTAAATTTACCATTGACTCAATGCAATGTCTTTTTTTTTTCAAAAAAAAAAATGGAATGCATTTTTTACATGCCTGCATTGGAAAATTTGCATTTTTTTAAATTTTTATTCCATTTGCAGGTCCAAAAATCTTAAATGATCAAATTGCTGCGCTCGCAGGTGTTACTTAAATCTTCAATGTGTTTAATACTAATAGATCAAATAAAACACGATTATTATAACACCATTATTGGACCTATTCATGCAATAAAATCGTTAAAAAATGCACGTTTCTCCAATGCGGGGTAGTTTAAAAAAAAAATGCCCATTTAATGTAATTTTCTTTAATTTTTTTTTGTAAAAAATTCCATTTCATGAATATGATAGTCTAAAATTTAAATCACAAGCAACGCCTCTCCACAAAAAAAGAAAATGCACAATATAAACTATTTCGCATGCAAGTGCGCAGCGAAGATGAGAAAAGAATCAGACGTCGCGTATGTGAACAGCAAGAAGGAAAACACTGCAACAGCTAGGGACAAAATTAAATGCGGCAGTGGCACTGAGTAAGATGAACCATTCTGAGTGGATTAGAAACGATAAATGAACATTGAAAATGTGAAATCGACTAATTTCGTGTTTGCTTCTAACGACGTAAATTTCTTTCAAGGAGAAATCTACGAAAAATCTCTATGAACAAGATCAAAAAAAGATAATGAGATGGAAATGATAAGGAAAAATCGTAGTTTTTAACGAAACAGTTTTCACGATAATGAAACCGAAGTACTAACACGATTATGTTAGCGCGGGAATATATTATAAACAAGTTGCTTCTAACAAAATCTATTAATTAATTGTTTGTAGAATAAAAAAACAGCCGTCATAATACACTTTAATGCATATTGTAAGTATAGAGTAATTGATAGGAAACATACATAAACAGTTTCTGTTGACATTAATTTTTCAAAATTTCGATTGTTGAGAGTAATGTGTGTAAATTAAAAAAAAAACTGAAAATTGCGGAGTAACAATTTTGACAGCGTAATATGTAAAAAAAAATGGATAATTGTTTAAAGAAATTAATTTTTTTACATCTCAGAAAAACAGAATATATTTATTCATTGAAATAATAATAAATTAGATTTTGTAAAAATATGAATTCTCGTTGTAGCATTTTCGAAGCTTATATGATCATAGGTTACGAAAAAAACTTTTATTATATCATTTCTTTACATTTTTAGAGCAGTCAGTTTTGGATTGAAGTGGTTTTTCCTTTTTAATAATCAAAGTGTTTCCCAATATGTTTTAATGGCTGAGTTCAAACAATTGGGAGATGATTGTTAAAAGAGAAGAAGAGACATACAAAGCGACACAAATTCCCTTCAAGGTTGACGGAGAACTGCCCCGAACATAAATGACCGACTGGTAATGTTACGGAAGGAAGCACGAGAAAACTAGACAGCCTGACGCTGATTCGACGCCGACAGCACGAATACACCAGAGACAATAACTCTTCAGAAAGCAATAGAGAACCATACAGAACACTGGTTAGGGAACGCAGACATTCCGCTAAATTGCAAAAAAAGGCATATAGGCTTAATAAAATGAGCAAAACGAGAAACGATGAAACGGCGAAGGATTTCTTTTAATCTTCTTTGGTCGTTTATTATTCCAAAAACATGTCCAATTGGAAGAAATAATTTCGAAAATTATTGAATCATGTTTTATATTTTTTTTTAACTCAAGAAAAATAATCAAACTAAGAATCAAATATGTCATTTTGTATGTATTAATAAAACAGGAAAACCCTCAGACAATCAATCTCTCCTCTGGTAACTCAAAACCAATCGGGTTGGACAAATTTTAAACGCGGATACGAAAAATTACCATTGGGATGCGAGAAATTTCAAATCTGATCAGACATTACCATTCGAATCCGAAAATGTTCAAAAAATCGAATCAGATACACAATCTTCCAACATTATCCGTAGAATCACCAGTCAGATCGGGTTGATTCCAGAGCCAAACTTTGTCGGATTAGATTGGTTTTGGTTTACCAGTTTGTTAAATCAAAACGCGAATTGTTCAAAATCTACAAATTGATACGGGAAAACCAGTGGCAAGCAACTAATTGTCGACCTTTTTGATTTCTTCAGTTTCCATCATATTTTTGTACTTTTAAAGCATACCCCTTTTAATTTCGCGTACGGTAGTCGTTTGACGCCGACAATAAAATCGAAAAGTTGAAAAAAAACCGGAGTCGAACAATAACCAAGCGAATCCGAAAATATCCAAACAAAAATCGCATCCGACAATCCTACAATCTTATCCGCGGAATTATAATCGGGTTGATTCCGGAGCCGAATTTTGTAGGATCCGATTGCTTGTCAGATACCAGAGCTAAAATAATATGAGATTCAAATGTACTAAAACGCATTATAAAATAATATAAGCTGTTGGTGTAAAGTTATTTGATATTTCATTAAAAGTTTAATAAACTAAAACGTTTTCGAAAGTATGATGAAATTATTCATGCAATAAAATAATGAAAAAAATTGATCCAGAACGTTGACAAATGCTTATATTAAAACCCATAATTTCATTATGAATACTTTCAAAGCAATAAATTTCAATTTTCTTTAAAATGAAAATAAACGGTATAAGAAAAGAATAAACGAAAGCAACACATAAAATCAAAAGGTGGTTAAAGGCGCATAGAATTTCGCAACTCTGATATCTCGTAGCGAAGAGATTTTTTCTATTTGAGGGGAGGTGGTTTGCGCTTTTTTTTTTACTTTGAAGTGTTTCCGTGAATTCCGTTTCGTTTACAGTCTTTCGGATTTGCATTAACAAATTTCTATCCAATTTTTCATTTAAACTAAATTTTATAAATCATTGATGAATCATTGAACATTGTTGTTTTTTATTGAACCAGAATCAAATTAGAGTTTTTTTTTAGCAAAAACGTGAAATCTTTGCTTCATCATTTATACTATCTTTCTAAAATATAAATTTCAGTTTAATAACATTTGATGAATATCTAAAACTCGTCAGCCGAAATATGGAGTTTTCCTAAGTTTTTTGCTCAAATTTTTTCATCGCTTTTCTAGTGTTTTTTTTAAAGATTACTTTTTTACTTTTAATTTTAGAATGAGTTTCCGTGGTAGAGGAGGTGGAACCCGAGGAGGTGGATTTCGTGGTGGAAGAGGTAGCGGAAATAGTCGTGGTGGTAATCGCGGAAGTTTTGGTGGAAATCGCGGAGGTTACGACCAAGGGCCACCAGATGAAGTGACGCTTTTGGGAGTTTTTTCGCATACTTGCCAGGATGATATTGTTTGCAATAATACATCCGGAAAGATTCCATATTTCAATGCACCAGTTTACTTTGCAAATAAAGAACAAGTTGGAAAAGTGGACGAAATTTTTGGCTCCCCAGGAGAAAATGTAAAGTCAAACTCATGTGTCTCACATTTCAGCTTATTTTATAGGGCTTCTCAGTTACTTTAGCACAAGGAATTAAAGCTAGTTCGTTCAAGTCTGGATCCGAACTCTTTATTGATCCCGGAAAGTTATTACCCGTGGAAAGGTATAATTATTTATTAATGTTGACGTCGTGCGGCGTTGACAATACATCCCGAGTATTTTTATTTAATAAAAAATATGTTTTAAAGGTTTTTGCCAAATTCTGGTGGCGGTAGAGGTCGTGGAGGCCGTGGACGTAGTGGTGGTGATAGAGGTAGTCGTGGCCGTGGCGGTTTCGGTAACAATCGAGGAGGTTTTGGTGGCGGTCGTGGAGGAGGTTTCCGTGGTGGAGATCGAGGAAACCGCGGAGGCGGGTTCAGAGGAGGAGATCGTGGCGGGTTCCGGGGCGGACGTGGTGGCGGAGACAGAGGTAAACGAAATACGTGGGGATGTGATTGAGCAATGGATTTGTTCTACACATTTGTAAAAAAAAATTATTGTCGACGTTGCGCGAAACGATGGCAGTGGTGTTGCCGCAGAAATTAAAGAGTAGCTTAACGGGGGTATATGTAAGGATAGATTAAAGGCGCACATCACGCACCGAGACCTTTTTTGGCATTTGCCTTTTTTTATAGTCACCCGATGTCTACAGTTTATTTCATGCATAAGCCAATTTTTCCCTCTTAAACAAAAAACAAATTTTAAATAAGAATAAATGTTGGACAATAGTTAATTTATGTAAAAAAAAGCCAGACGTAAAATTACTGAAAATAAGTGGTCTATCAGTCATCTAAATTATTAAGCTAGTGGTGTTCTCTTTTGGATTTTGGTTTTGTGGTGCGTCATTCGCCGCCCTTATCAAATAAATCGTAAATTAAGGTGGATTCAAACGATCATTTGATGGAGGATTCAACTCTTCCAACAAAAGAACAAAATTTGATTGATTTGGAAGTAAGAACACAACCAGCCGTTATACCTGATATCTCCGACTGCCCACAATTTCCAGTTGTTTCACTGCGGATTTGAGAAACTAGTGTATTTCTCGTGTTTGTTAATCTGTTTTTGTTACTCTTTATTGTTAAAATTGTTGAAATTTGAATAAATGTTTGGATTAACATTTGTTGAAAATCTCATTGTATCCAGGGCAGCCAAGACCTTCGACAGCAATTAAGTCATAAAATCCACCGAGTGATTCTTGAAAACCTTTTATAATTGCTTCGAGCGTGGGGAAACCAAGAAGTGTTTGACACTAAAATGTTAAATTTTTATATTGTCGTCGTCGCGCGACTGCGGTGTAACAAAAAGCGAGCACCGTGAACAAACATTGTATTTTTCGAATGATTAAAATTTGAATTAAAATGAACATATTCATGAAAGTACTTTTACAATAAATTAAGAAATTACATGTGCATTAAAAAAATGTTTTCCATTATTTATTACTGAAAAAGATGCAAACAGTGGCAATTCTCCTATACCAGGTGCTCGTTTTTTTTCAGATGTAAAATTACCAATTCATGATTTATGAATACGCATAACTGGTCCAAAATCTCCTTATACGCTGGGAGAGAAGGGTTTTCCAAAATGTCTTTAAAATATTCCTTAAAAAGAAAGATTCAACATTCAAACCATAATTGATGTATTTCAATGTATCGTAGACTAAAAAGCATGCAGAACATTTTGATAATTTAGTATTGGATGCATTCTGATTGATTATAGAGAAGCCTGCAATTTTTAATTCTGTAAAAAGAGATTTTAACGCGTACCTTTCTGACAGTTGACATGAGCTTCTCCGACACTTTTCTTTGAATTTTGGAAGTGTTCGCTGGATTGTTTGTCAAGTTCGTAATGAATTTTTGACACGATATCACATTCGCTCATTGAATATTGACATTCAGAAAATTTTGAACACATGGAAAGGATCGAAGTTCTTTTGTCTTCATTTAAAATTTCAGATAATTTCATGTACTCACAAACAGCACATTTAAAATTTTTTTGATTCTGAATAGGACCAGAAGAAACAATCCCGACGAGAATAGAACCAAGAACAAAAATGGAGAGATTCATGCTTAACAGGAGTAAACGTTTATTGATTAAACGTTATCAATTTCAATTTGATATTAAACGCTTTCAAATTTTTATCAGTGACATATATGAAGACAATTCTTAAAACATGGGAAATCACGTGTTAAATTGGAAATAGATACTTCTGCGATTATTCTTATTACGAAAATAGGATTTAATAATACTACCAAACGAAAATGAATAAATGAATCAATCCACTTGCGTACTGAATGATTTCCTGACTCCCCAATTTCGATTCACCGAAAAATCGATCAACAAATGAAATGGGTACTTCGCCAATGCGATATCCTGCCTTTTTTGCGCGGAACATCATTTCCATCTGAACATTTGTATTTATTTAATATGAAAATATATATACATATATATTGTTGTGGACGGAGAGCGTAATGTATTAACAAAAGTTCTTCGTCCACACCCAATATATTTATAGCGTTACTTGGAAAACGTATCCTTTACTAACACACTCCGAAATTAATTTGGCCAAAATCTCTTTCTTATACAACCGGAAGGATCCAGTGAGGTCTGATACTCCAGGATTGAGAAGAAACTAAAAAAAATTTAGCGTGATCACTTTTTAAGAAGCTCCCCTTCATTAAAGTTTTATAGAAAATACCACCCAAACCCGAAAATTTAAAGAAAATGCACATTTTCAGGCTAGTAAAAAATGCATATTTAAATGTAATTTTTAAATAAATTTCATGAATAGGTCTATAGAAGACGGAGAAACGCGTTTGGAATGTCTTCAAAACAGCTGAGATTTCGGCTATATTTTGTATTTTCTCCCTCTAAAATCAGTTTTAATCGCAGATCGAGTCTGGGGGGGGGGTTCTTTAATGAAACGTATTCAAAATGAAAAAAAAAACACCTGGGCTAAAAAATTGGCTCCTTTACTAATTGTTTTCCTTTTCAAATCCCATCCACTGACACCACCATTCTTCGCGTAACGAGTCCCAGTAACGATATCCAGCTAAAGGTATTAATAGATTAAACGTGATAGTTCACACATTACCTTGTATTTTTGTTGAAGCGTAATCATTTCTGGAATATATTTTGGATGATGAGATAAATCTGCGTCCATCAATATAATGAATTCACCACGAGCGTGTCTCATTCCATGAACATACGCAGTTCCTAGACCAAGTTTTCCTTCTCTTGGCCGTAAGACAATTTTATTTTCACCAAACTCATTTTGCAGTTTCTTTGCTATCTCAAGTGTTCCATCAGGACTAGCATCGTCGATAATAATAACCTAAAAACATTAGCATTACCAATGCGTAATTATATTTTTTCACAGCTGACTGATGAAAATTTCACTATTTCACTAAAAACAAAGAACAAGCTACTGAAAATATAGAATAAATTAAATCTGAATACTATCGAATTTTTAATAATTACTTAGTTAAATATACAGTGCGCGTCATAATAATACACCACCCCCCCTCCCATCAAATTTCGCAGTTGTGAGAAAACCACATAAATTGGTGACAAGATAATTTTATTTTTGAATTCAGGGCCATCGAAAACCTATATGTGTCTTTTTTTTTTCGGCATTTTTACATGTTACTTGCTGATTTTTCTGCATTTTGTAAAATTTTAAACAATTATGTCTTTTTATCTATAGAGCGATTTTTAGTTTGAAATCGGGCCGAATTCGGACCTTTGAATGACTTCGTTTTATTTAAGGACTAAAACGCAAGAAAAACGTCTAAATAACCATACGACAACAAGTTTGAATGCAAGAACACAACAAATTTGCATTCTGCCGGTGAGTTTCTCGAGTTACACAGGAACCTACTGTTCCATTCCCGTTTAATTGTGGCCTTCAGCTCTTGAAAGGCTGGCATACTGCTTGCATTCTGTGTGCCGACAGTCTGGCCGATTGTTTTTCACTTACCTGTCGCGGAAAACCTCTTACATTAGCTCACAGGAGAAAGCTCAAATTGGTATTATGAAATAACTTAATCAAAGTGTCAAGACTATTAAGCATGGAAGTGGACGTTCTCGAAAATCTAACTGTATACGGAACTACGAAATTGCTTTAATATTTTTTTCACAAACTCCAACATGACAATGCAGTCATTCACAAGAGCGACAGCATCTTCAATTGGTTTTCATCTAAGAAAATCAAACTTTTGGATTGATCAGCCAGCTCCCCAGACTTCAATCCCGTCGAAAACTGAAGGCTTCTTACACATTCCGTTCGCGTACAAGGCAAGCAGTATGCCAACCTTTTATGTGCTGAAGGCCGCAATTAGACCGGAATGGAACAGTCTGTCACCTGCATACCTCAAGAAACTCATTAACAGAATGCAAAGTCGAATATGTGAAATGATCCAAAACTATGGAGGGACTACTAATTATTGAATTTATCGTGTTCTTGTAGCCTATCATTATGACGAGCACTGCATAATTCTTATTAGTGTGAATTAAAAACCAAACATACCTCATAGGCAATATCTTTAAGATATTTTTCAATGAGCCAAAAGCAAATGGGCAAGTTTTCACGCTCATTGTACGTAGGGAGAATTATGGTGTACTGAGGATCACTCATGCTAAAAGAAATGTTGAAATTTAACAATTTTCAGACAAATAATAATTGGTATTTACCAATTTGTATTAAGAAAAACGTTAGCATTAAACATTTATCGAACAAAAGACACTTCTAATATATAAAACTATTCAATTATTTTTTTGATGTTATTCCTTTCTCTTCACAAGACGCGGATGCCCAAAATTTCATGTATTCGCGTTCATCAAAATTATCATCGATAATCTCCTGTAATTTATAAATAACCGCAACGCGTCCAATGACATTAAATAATTAGAGTAGCCGCTTTTTGGAAAATAGATAATAACCACTATTATTACCTGTTTGATAGCCTTAGCTTTGGGTTTTCGAGCAGCAAGGCGTTGCCGTCTTTCCTCATCACTCAGCTTGTTCAAGTCAATCGCTGCTTGAAATATCTAGAATTAAGCTATTCAAATGAAATTATATATAAAATTAAATTTGAACAGTTATCCTACTTGCTTCGGCTCAGAAGATGGTATGAAAATGCTAGAACCATCAGGGCGGATAAATTTCACCTCGTATCTATACAAATATTCTTTTCTAGTCGTTCTGCCTAAACACGCACGCCACGCATTTCCTCTTTCTAAATAACATTAAATATGAGAAAATACTCATTTCTCCTTACCTTGCGTTTCGATTCGACCATAACGTGATAATAACTTTAAAACAATCCGAAGAGAGAGCCCCATCGCACCACTAAAACGTTTCAGTTTAACCGGGATGCAATGTGGCGACCGAAGAATGAAAACTTTTTTAGGTCACGGTCATCGATGTACTTGATCATGGATAGACATATAAATATAGGCTTTATATATATATATATATATATATGTAACTAGAACAACCTCGCTGTATAATATTAAAACAATATATATATATATATATATATATATATATATATATATATATATATATATATATATATATATATATATATATATATATATATATATATATTGTTTTAATATTATACAGCGAGGTTGTTCTAGTTACATCTAGTACATTTAAGAAATGTTTTTCTATTGTAGACGAAAAACTTTTGTGATATTTTTGTCGTAGTTGTGGCAGCGGTGATTTTGGCCCTTTTTTCTTTTTAAATTTTTCCTTTTTTTTGTAATTTCTTTTTAATATCGCGACCTACAGTACTCTGCGTGATTAAGCGCATATTGTGACAAAAATTAAGGCGCTGCATGATGCAAACTTGTTGTATTTGCGCATTTTGGCAATCAGTCGATAGGTTCATCAAAGATGTGCATGTTCAAACCCTGAACTTTATGGACAACATGAATGACAAGTAATTTTTTTGGAATCCGACCTTTAATTATGATTTTATTTAAAATTTTATGTAAATTAGTAGGAAAAGCGTCATTTAAATATATGAAAAATATTTAAACATACCACCCAAACTCGAAAATTTTCAAATGAAATGAAAAATGGGGTTTTAATCACCGCTAAAACAGTGTTGCTTGCAGGCTTACATTTTCTCACATATATCGTTAATTTATTGGTTTTCGATTTATTAACATTTGAGGATTAAAAACAGTGACGCACAATATATTACAAAAACACCTACATGGCGCACCAAACAATTTAAATGATATTTTGTTGGCGTCATAAGAATGAACGAAATTAAAAAAAAAATATTGGCTATTATTCTTGACGCCGAATATCATAATTTTTGTTTGGGTTCTCTGCTGTTGAAGTTTTTAGCCATTTAGTTTCATGCTTCTATTGGGCATATAATTAATACCGTATAAGTAGTTTATACGACACATCGAGTTTGGGGGTTACTTTAAGTAATAATAAAACTTTATAAATCATCTGGCGTACAATATATAAAACATTTGTTCCAGTGACGATATTGATCATAGACGCATCTAAACAGTAATATCAGCCTTACTTAAAAAATAAAAATTACCGAACATCCAATTTTGTATCTTCCATATCAATCGGGCATCGATAACCTTCTGGGCATTCGCATTTATGCGAAACTGCAACTGTATTCAAGCTTCCATCCAAAATCATCTGAACAACAATTTATTATCAATAATTAATGACTTCTTAGCGCAAAAGTAGTTCTGCAAACTTCAGACCTTGGACGTTTTCCAAAAAAAGACTTAAATTTTTTTATTTTTTAAAACTTCGCTTTGCTCAGAGCAACAACTCCTTTGTCTGTTTCGATATTTGCAAGTTTTTCATTTTCAATTAAAAATTAAGTCCGTCCCTTTTTCATATTCAATCTCAGCTCGAAATTATAAAAAAAAACACAACAATTCGAACTATTTGGCCTATTTAAAGACGCGTACAACAAGGGGGTACTTGGCACACGGCTCGCCGCAACTCAGGTAAGGCCTAAAAATTGTACGCACGATCACACTTGATTTCAAAAACCAAAAATCAGCATTAAAGTCATTCTACAGATAAGATTGGTGATTTGTCGAATCCGATTCGATTTGAAATATTAAAACAAAACAGATTCGAATAATTACCAATCGGATTCCAAAAAAAAACAAATCGGATCCGACAATTTTATCCGTAGAATAACCAATCGGGCCGGGTTGATTTCGGAGTCGAATTTTGTTGGATCCGATTGGTTTTGAGTTACCAGAGCAACTTCGTAGAAATCCAAGAAAACCGCGAATAAGCATTACACATAATTTTAAAAATTGGCCTGTGATAGTGTGCCGCACTTGCAGTTTTGCTTTTTAAAAGTCTCGACCAAATTAGGTGCACAAAATCAGTGGTGCTTAAAATTCAAATGTAGGGGTGAGACAGTGGGAGTAAGAAATAAAAGGGGTTCAAAATAGGGGATCGGTGCGAATTATGAGACTAAAATATTTTCTAGATGAAAATGTATTATAAATCAAATAATTGTTTCGAAAATTAGTCAGTGGGAAGACTAGTCAGAATAACGCGAAAAATACCTACGTGATGACGTCAGACAAATTTCAAGTGTGCGCGACGGTCTAGTCTACATCAGAAAGCGCAAGCTGGGATGATACAAGTAAATCCAATTAATGTAAAATAGGACAAGTAATGCAAAGATCAGATGATCGTTGGACTACATTGGTGCAAGAGTAAATCTCGAGGAATGTAAAAAGCCGAAAGACCCCCCCCCCAATAAGATGGACAGATTCGCGCAACAAAACATTTCTATTCGAGCAGGAAACAGGCTGGTTAGTTCGAAAAAAAAATTTCCTCGGAAACACAAAACGGGAATTTTTTTCGTTTCCGTTGTTTTACGGACGAAAAAGCAACACTGCTTGTTTCCCAATTGTAGTGCATGTAATCATACCATCTTACAGAACTGCATCTCATCCCGAATATTGCATTCTTCATTTACTTTTGTGGGGACCTAAATAATATTTATCGAAGCGATAAAAAATAGATTATACCAAAGTTATAAATGTGCTTGCAAAAGAAATCATTCCCATAAGTGTGTAGAAAAAGCACATAGCTGACAACATTGTGCTTTAAACGGATTCAGTATAAAAATTCGTATGATGATTACAGAGAGAAATGGAACTACTAATATAATAATTACAGTCACAAGTATTACTTGAAAAAACGGTCAAGATTAAACTAATGCGCGATCGTTTGAAGATAACAATTCGCTTTGTTCTTTTTTTGTTGTTTGAAGAGATAATTACTGTGTTCTTTGTTTGAGAAATTCAGACACGTTGTATTTATTGTTTCAAAGCAACAAAGAAGAAGCGACGAATTCATTAAAATTGCAGGACCTCATTGAGTATCGTTCAATACTGACATGGTGCATTTTTAAAACACCAATGACCTAGAAACAAAAAATTACTGAAGTTTAACGAAAGCTCACCATTTCTATAGTTTCGCTATCTTCAAATGGCAGCAAGAGGCTTAAACGATAAGCCGAGGAACTCGGCATGCATACCGCATCTTTCAGGGTTCCATAAATTACTGTTGCAACTTCTTCCATGCGATCGGTGGGTTTCATGTCAATTTCAACAACCAAAGCTCCCATTCTATAAAATTAATATACTGTTTTCTTATCAGGTAAAAATTTTTGAATATTAATCGAAGTTATATATTAGTAAAAACTTTCTAACGAGTTTCATAATTCTAAAAATGGACTCGGTAAATCACACCGGCGTCCGTTCTGACTCTACTGTTCGTCTGTTGAGCACCCGAGCGGTCTGCGCTATGCGTCCGCTCGGTTACCGTCATTCGTCCGAGCGGTAGCCGATAGGTGCGTCGCTCAGTGTCCGTAAATTTTCGAGCATCGACGTCCGCTCTGGCGTTACTGTTATTCCGCTACAACGTCTGCGTGGCGTCCGTTGTGATTTACCGAGAAATTCTGCAGACAATTTTCAAATTTGGAGTAAGTGTATTAGCAAGAGATGTCAAGGGAAAACATGTATGACAAACGCGCTGAATTAAAAAAAAACCATTTTGTAGGATACATGAAAATTGGATCAGGCCTTTCTTTTGGATTATAAGAAAAACGAATACACGAACACAATCGTTTTCCGAATAATAAGGCAGGCAATTCAGTTTTTGCAATGTAATTTTAACAATTAGTCAAAAAGTAGACACTTCGTTAATAAAAAAATACCGTTTCTTAATACACTGTGGAGGCTCTATGGCAACAAATTGACATTTGTACATGTGTGCTACCCTTGTGCAAGTATGTTCAGCAAATTTAGAGTTTTTTGAAGTAAATAAAACTGGTACACGGTCGTCGCGCAATCGCGAACATAAAGCCCTATAGAAATGATAATATTTCATATGTAATATACTGTTTTTAAAACTCTTACCATACTGTCATCATTTTTGCATGAGGTAGAAACATATCCATTTGATCTAGTATTACTAAGGTCGGTTTACATAAAATTTTGGCAATCAATGTAAGGATACATCTCTCTGAATCTCTGTAAAAATTCTGTCTGACGAGATAAAAAATTTTGGTTTTAATGCGAACTGAACGAAATAATAAAATATCGGCTATTTGTTAGGTATTTCCAGGCAAAGATATGTCTATGTACGGATCATTTTAGCGTAGGCGCAGTTAATAATAAAATTTACTATGTCGTAGATCTACACTAATTTTAATTTTGTGAAATTGAATTTCCCGCCACCGATAGGTCGTTCGACGTAGACAATATTTTATTTTACCAGAGATCGGCAAAATTTTCGCGCAGACATTATACAACTTCTAATCAAACCGAGCTTAAAAGTGATGAAGTCTGTTCTAAAATTGTGCCATCCCAGTTTAAAAATTGCAAAGTTTAAATAAATAAAAACTATTAATTAAAAAAAAAACAGACTGCACGACTTTTAAACTCGGCTTGTTTAGAAGTAACTCTATCTGAGAAAAAGTTGCGAGGTTTTGCCGAGCCTTCGGAAAAGGCCGGGCCGGATTTCGGCTGGATCTCGAAATTGGCAAGCCTGATTTAGCACATTTTACGTGATATTTTAATTACGTAAGCGTGTCGATGGTTGACTTCGCTAAATTTTGCATGTTGAATGCTCCTAACATATAATCCACTTGTTTTTGTGTCTGAAAAACGGGTTTACATTTTAATTATCGGGCAGGCGTCGAAGTTTTACCACATTTATTCCATGGCAAGCAGCAACAGTAAAAAGTAGGCCACAGACAGTGAACATATCCGGAAGACAGTCATTATGGGAAACGTAAGCGATATGATTCTGAAAGAATAAGGCTGTAGAAGATTTAAAAAGGTTTAAGATTTTGTAATTTGACTTTTTTGAGCGCAAAATATTTCGGGACAACATTGTGACGGTCAATTTTTCAGCCTTTCACCCGTTGAAGTAGTCTGTCTTTAACCATAATTACAAAACATACATCGTTATTTCCTTCGGCAATAGTTTGTAGCATGTTGCTAGCAAGTTTTGTCTGATCTCCAGTTAAGTATGTAATATAGTCTCCAACTTCAACAGCTTGCTTGTATTTGCAGAACTTCATTGAAACTACTTTGCTGATTATTTCTTCCTCATACTGTGTAATAAACGAGTTATCTGTTTGATATTCTTTTTCAAGTTGTTTTGATTGGGCTGCTTCTGCGGTTTTGATAGCGATGAACGTTTGTGACGGCTCTTTTTTAAATTTCGGCGGGTGAACCAGAGGTGGTGCCTCAATTTTTTTCTTGCGTTTTGATAATTTTTCCAATGCTTTGCGAACTGAAGACTCGGCAGTCGACTTTTTTGGGTTATCTGTTCGAACAGTCATAGATTTGTTTAATCCATTTGATTCAACGGATTCATGCTTTCTTAATGACGCCCCGATTTTCATAGAAATGGCAATTCTCTCATCTGATTTTTGAAGTAACAGCTGAAAATGTTTAAAAAATTAGAGATAATTAATTCTTTTCAAACATACCCTCAGATCTTTTTGAATGTCCTTTCTAAGTTTTTCATCACCTTTTGGCAACGTTAAAATAGGCTTAAGGCTCAATGCATCTGCAGCATTTCCCAAATTTTTCTTAGGTATGTTATCCAAACTCCGATCTTTTGCTAATGGTACAGCAGTGCGATCATTACTGATACGACTCTCTTTGCGGTCTAATGGATTAGTGGTTGCCATCTTTTCTTTTGATCCGCTCTCTTTGCGATTGGTCGGAGTTTGAATTGACGCCTTTTTGTTCGATTTGTTAGATTCGCATTTCAATTTGACATCGGTTTTACTTTTCACAAGCTCAAATTTTGGTGTCGATTTCTTTGCCTCTTTTTTAAAGTTCGTTTTTGTTATTTTTTCCTGTACTACTGGCATGTTCGGAACTAATCGCACAGTCTTCATATTCTTCAATTCGGCAGCAGTTGGTATATCAGTGTTTGGTTGTTTCGAAACTCCATCGCCCTTTATTGGCTTAGAGTTAATTTCGATTTTAGATTGTTTCGGAGGAATTTCGGTTTTAGAAGGTTTTGCAGCAACATCCAGATTTGATGTTCTCACAGTTTCGACCATCAATGGATTCTTTCGAGTCTCGTTTGTAGGCGTTTTTGTTGGTGCATCGCTTTTAAGAGCATTGGTATCGCCAGCAGCTCTTTTCCGCTCATTATCCTTTTGGTTAGAACCAGACGGTATATTTGAATTGTCAGATGGAGTAGCCGAATTAGTAGTCTTAACAGATTGGCCAGTAGTAGTCGTTGACGGGGCGATTACTGGCTCAGTTTTAACCAAACTCTTTATGCTGTTAATTAGGCTTTGTGCGCCGATAGTTTGCCGGAATATCGCACTATCGCGGATTCTTGTTCCGGGGCGGATTGCGCTTCCAATATGAAAAGGACCGCTTAATTTAATCTAAAATGATGTTCTTAAAATTGCAAATTGCGTTCACATACCCAAATTCCATAACTATGTTGAAACAATTTTTCCCAAGCAGGAAAAAAAACAAAAACAATGAACAAAAACGTGATAAAAGTGTGAATGCAACAGCAAATGATTAAAAATCTGACAGCTGAACAGAAGTCATGTTATTGACAGTAATTATCTACAGGCTTTTTTTCCAGCCGAATAGGTCCATAAGATTTAAAAACAAGACCCCATTTCGACAACCCACTTTCATCGTGTTTTTCTGGATATGTCGGAGAATTCATAAATGCTATCAGAAGTTGAATTGCCGTTGGAGGACTGAATAGACAAGATATTCCAACCAGTTCAACGATTAGCTAAAAATAAACAATCCTAGTTTTATTTATATAACTCCTATAAAAACCTCTAATGAAATACTGTTCTCTGCCGAAAATGATACAATGAGTTGAGGAAGTGCAACTACGGAAGCGATAAAAGAAAACACCATTGAAATAACCGGAAGAGTTTGTTTAATCGTGTAAACGAAAAGATAAACTAGGGGAAGAGTTGTTAAAAATGTTATGAACCATACTCCAAATAATAATCTGAAAATTTAAAATTTGGGCCAACGATAGGCCAAATTGGGTGGAATAACAAAAGGGGCTGAAATGAAAAATAAAGATTTTTCGCTACAGATTCCTTACTATCCAAATTTTTACGGATATATTCATGCAATGAAAAATAATCAATTTTTTCATTTGAATTATCTATGCACGCACGTTGAAAATTCCAAAAAAATGAAGCGATATATCGTAATTCTCCGCTATTTATTTTCAAAGTGTTGTTGAAAAATGACAAATGTATCCAGGTGTCGTAGGATCCTGCGTTTTGTACGCAATGCTAAGAGACAGTTACCGTAATCGCAACGATTTACGGGGACTTTTTATTTAATTTCGCATATTCATTTTTTTATTTTTCGCTCAATTTTCGTATTTCCCTTCGAAATTTTGTAACTTAAATTTTGCAGAAACCGAGTTTAATAATTTATTTAGCAGAATAAGCACTTTTAAACGATATTTTTTTGGTAAAAACAGCAGAGATTAAAAAAAGCACTTTTGTCATTAATAAAATTATTTAATCGTGTTTTGCTTTTTGTATGCGTTTCTATTATCTTGTTTTTGTATTCTTAATTTTGAAAATAATTTTTAGAGCGTCAAAATCTTCAAAATAATTCCCAACTCAACTGGACAAGTGGAAAAGTGCATATTCTGAAAATTAAATAATTAAACTCGGTTTCTACAGTTTTTAAATATAAGATTTCTAAAGAAAATAAGAAAATTCAGCAAAAAAAATTGAAAGAAAATTAAAAAAAAAACTCCGTAAATCGCTGCGAGAAATACGGTAACTGTCTCTTAGCATTGCGTACAAAACTCAGGATCCCACGACACCCGGATACATTTGTCATTTCTCAACAATACTGCATTTTTTATTTTTTATTCTGTGTGCTAATTTTCCATTTTTTTTTTTTTGAAAACATTGAAGAGGAAACGAGTAACGGATTGAAAAGCGAGGAAAAAACCATTATTGGAATAAGTACTCCTAATTCGACAATATAAACCTATTTTTCGTCATTTAGATACCAATTATTATGATATTTGTGTTTATTTGTTGCAGACTTTGCTCGATGACGCTTCTAATGAACATTTAGCGTTGATTAAACAAAATACTTCTACAGATTAAAAAAAAAAACGTTTTAAACGCTCAAAAAATTAAAACATCGAAAAAAACAGCCATTAAAAAATACAGTACCGACTTCGCGACGTGACCTACGCAATTTTCGTGTGTGCCTTTGAAAATAAATAGCGGAGAATTACGATATATCGCGACAATTTTTTGTAATTTTCGACATAGGGAATTCAAATGAAAAAAAAAATTATTCTTTCTTTTTATTTTTCATTGTATGAATAGGTCCATTAAAAATATTATTTTAAATTGATGTCTGAAAAAATGGATATCTCATATTAACGTTATTCTTTTATTTAGTATTAGTAACAAGGCATCGCAACCCGACTGTTTTTTTTGCGTTTTACATTTTATACTTTTCAGCGTTTATTTGTTTTCTATATTGCATATAAAACTTACAACAGTATAGGGATGTCGTTCCGTAGAAAACCAAAGAAATAAGTAGTCATTAAAAAAATAATCATGACTACTATAAAAAGTATGACATCAGCTGTAATAAGTGATATGAAATATAGTGATCGATTCCAAGGAAACAACAGACTCTGTAATGGAAAGTTTCAAAAGAGCTATTATTACATTCGCAAAAAAAAGAGCACCCTGGCGGATTTTTTTTTACAATTTGCTTCGCGGGTTATCCAGAGTACAGTATCCAAATTTCCCCTGTTGAAATTCGAATTTGAAACTTTAAAAAAACGAGCGCCTTGCGACGATTTACAGAGGGGCAGCTTCGCAAGTAATCTAGAGAACAGTACCCAAATTAACAATTTGAATCACTGCCTCGAAAAACATTTTTCGAGTGGTTATTCAAATTCGAATTAAAACAATAGGGATTCGGATAGCAGACATATCTACGACTGACCGAAATTCAAGAAAATCTTGGCTATTTTAGCGATCCAGAAATAGCTAGTTCTCACTAACGGTCAAAAACTCTAGACGGCGACAAAACTTTAAGATTAACACCAGAGTCATTAATAATTTGAAAACAGCAAAAAATCGTATAATTTTTAAAGCGTCTTGAAAGTTGAGCTACTCTTTGACCGCGAGGACCAGTTATTTTACGGTGCTAAATTTAAAAAAAAACGCTCATAAATCATTGTATAATTATATACGGCCTACCGATTCCCGAATATTTCTTGTTACTAAACGAAGAGCGAGAAGAGAGCATGCGACGTAAATAAATATTTGTACCATTCCAGTCAGTGTTAAAAGAAGGTACGATCGTGTTACTATTAACGTAACATCAGAAGTCGTTGCGTCAGGAAAAATTCTAGAAAACTCTTCCGCTCTTGATGATGTTTCGAAATTTGTTTTTTCGAGAGTAATAGAAATTGAAGGATCTGAAAACAAGAGGTCAGCAAAATTTTTCTCATATTAAATATTGTCCACATCGCGCGACTGCGAAACATTGGATAAATGCCAAAAAATAAAAATAAAAACAGGTCTAGGTGCGTGGTGTGCGCCTTTAACCAATCCTTATACATAGGTCCGTAAATCTACACTTTTAGTTTAGCACCAAGACCACTGCCCCTATTTTTTTACGCAGTTTCGCAACGTCGACAATATATAATTTACAATTCAAATATTTACAAATAGATGTTTACCTATTTTCATTTGATGAGATCTTTTTAAATATTCTTCTGCGGCGAGCTTCGTGGCCAGAAGCGTAAATATCGGTTCGCCATAAGAGTATATAATGGTTTTGTTCATAGGCGGTGTAATTTTAAGAACTTTAAAATCAAATAATATTAAATTGTAATTTAAACTTTAAATATACATGCAGTATTCCATGAAATCATTTCGTTATAGTCATCAATATGAACTACGTCTAAGTTTGAATTCTGGATGTTGCACTTAAAATTACAAACAATTTTTCCTCGATTTCCTAACACCAATTGCGTCAGTTTTAATTGTTGTGATACTAAAATTTCAGTTTTAATTATAAATAAACAAAAAAATTGCCATGTTCTTTGATCCCGTCTGTCGCTACAATAACTGTGACAAATAGTGTGCCAACGCCTACTAACACTATTAATACTAAGAAAATTTGCATTAATGAAGGCATGTCCATTTGCATGCGCAATAATGTAAGAACGCAATTTTTGAAACTACTCTTTTTTGTATCTGAATACGCTTATTGTAAACCTAAAAAATTTATAGTGTGATAATACCTTGCGGAACCATTTTTTTAAAATCATCATAGTTTGCAAGAGGAGCATATTGTTGAGGTTCGAAACAAGCACTAAAAATTAAATATAGAAAAATTAATGTAATAATATCACAAATACGTACACAAGCATTACAAGTAAATATTTTTTCATAAGCCTTATTTTTTGAATATGCGCAATTAATTTAAAACACGATAAAAATAAATCGAGGGCACTTTAATAAACTTGAAAATTAAATGTAAATCTCGAAAAATTTTGAAGAGGGAAAAGGAATATGTCATATACATATACGGGCGAAAAAACGTGCACCAGCTTATTTTTTCCCTTCATGATAAGATTAAAAATAGTATTTTCGTGAACGGGTGAATTCGAGGCACTATTTTCTTTGAATATTCCCTAAGTTTTTTTTTTCGATTTCGTATAGCTTTTTATGTTTATATTTTGGATGGAATAAAGATACACTTTCAGTCTACTTACGTTGTATAAATGTCGTGTAGATTTGGACGCGATAATTCAAAGTAGCTTATATCCAAATTCCCAGCTTGTTGCTCTAGTTCTTTCCATATAAGTGGTAACCTGTATAAGAAAATACATAATTTGCTCAATGCTCAAAAATTGCTCACGATTTTCTATAAATCACAGGTATTGTAATACGCAGTTTTCCGTTTGGCATTTCCAACAGTTTTACTGATGACCGAAGCTTTTTATCTTCACAAGTTACTAGTTTCTTAAAAAAACATTCACGTACTATAGTTTAAATATCTAAAACCATGATATCTTTTATCTGATCATTACGAAAATAATCTACGGGCCAGACACAGATCTCAAAAGAACTATGAACTCTAAATTTTTTTACGTCTACAATCATACTTGTCATTCTTACGTATCTAAGAAAGTTTCTGTAGGTCCATTAAAAACGACATAGCCCTCACTGAGCATTACAATTCTATCCGATAAAATTTCAGCTTCTTCTGCATCATATGTTGCAATAACAATGGCACTTTTAGTTTTTCGTGCTTCTATAAACAAGTGAAGAGCCGATCTTGTCTCGGGAAGTTGCTCTCGAGTTGGAGTATCAATTAACACTATATCCGCATCGCCGATAAATGCTGATACTACTCGAAGTCTTTCTTTTTGAGTACATGACAACAAATTAAGCGATCGATTAGCAACTTTTGAAAGATCCGTGTCTTGCAAGTAAGAAAGTATATCGCCTTTTAACATTTCCGACTGGCGCAAACGGGCAACCATCATAAGATAGTCTATCACTGACAGATAGTTAATATTTGGAACGTCAATAGCGGTAGAAATTCGAAGTTTCTTAAAAGGATAATGTTGAATTTTAGCTTACAGTTTTCCCACCCGTGTCAAGCCTTCTGCATTTATAGTGCCGAAATCAGGTTTCATAACACCCAAAATCATTCTCAATATATCGGAAGATCCACATCCCACATGACCATAAAGGGTAGTTATCTGATTGCACCGTACAGAGAAACTGACTTGATTCACTTTCCATGTTTTTTGAACTCGTTTGCAAACTCCTTGAAGCGTTAATATTTTAGCAGGAAGTTTTTTTATGTAATCTTCTCCTTCCACAATCAGGCCTAAAGCTTTTTTCTTCTTCTTCTGCAAAAATTAATCGTTAATATACAAATGCTCGGACACACCGTATTCAGGTGAACATTTTGTTCATTGAAAAATTTGTCCAAACGCGGCTCTCGTGTTTTTGGATTCCAGAATTCTATCATAAATGGAAAATAGAACGGTAACGAATCGTAATTAATATTGAAATAAAGCGTATCCAAATACAACGTAATAACTATCATAATGATCATATTAGAAAGCATGCAGACTAAAGCGAGACAGTCATTTTGAGATATAAATGTATTTGACTCAGAAAGTCCATATTTTTTAGCTGCCAACGGAAAGAATACAATTCCGTGGTATAATGTTCCGAATCCATATTGACCTATACTGAGTAGGAATACGCCAACTAGAAATAAAATAATTTTTGTTTTATGAGATAAATGCGGATGATGCGGTTTAGGCGCGGACAAATGGCGGACGTATAGAGTACCGCGAGGAAAACAACATGTATGTTGTCGGCAAATAAAATTTATAGTCCACAATGATTTAAATTTCCGTTATTTTCGGCCAATAATTATTAACTTAATATTTTTTTAAACTAAATTCACTAAATATGATTATTGAAATTTTTAACTAAATTCATATTTTTCAACCAAATAAAATATTTTTCAACTAAATAAATCCAATTATTAACTAAATAAACCTACAGTAAAAAGATACGAAATAATTAACTTTCTTCATAACCAGTGTGTGCTCTCGAGAAAAAATTCTCGAGAAAAATCGAGAAAATTAACCGGTACCGAGAGAATTTCTCTCGAGAATGTCTTCGAGACTCCCGAGACTTTCCAAAAAGTACCGAGACTTGCAAGAATTTCTCGAGACTTTCTCGGGAGTCTCGAGACTTGCGAGAATTTCTCGAGACTTTCTCGAGAAAAATCTTCCGAGACTCCCGAGAAAGTCTCGGGAGTCTCGAGACCTTCATGGGAATTTTTTTAGTGAACAAAAAATTATTTTTTCTCCTTTAAGTTCGTTTCAATACTAACAAATGCTAACAAGGGAGGTCTTTTTGCTACCCGTCTTAAAAGTTTTCAATTTTTGCATACAGATCCTTAGAAAATTTCCAATCGAATGAACTAAGTTCCTCCCTACCTGCGAAAACTTCTAGTACGCAAAATTCACGTGGGTGGGGCTAAAACTTTGATGGTCCATAACTCGATAACTAGAAGTTTTCGCAGGTAGGGGCCTAGTTCATTCGATTGGAAATTTTCTAAAAAAATCTGTATGCAAAAAATTGACAACTTTTAAAACGGACAGCAAAAAGACCTCCCTTGTAAGTTAAAAGTGATTGATATGCCACCCAAACTAAATACTCACATTACGCATCAGATAAAGAAAGAATTTAAACGAATGAAGATATTTCCTACATATTTGTGAATATTTTCGAAACTAAAAAAAATAGCTGTTTCGCTTTAACCGCGACGCATACGCGTCGCGTTTTGGCTATTAATCGCGGTCGGCTAAACACGCCAAGAAATTCTCGGGAGTCTCGGAAAAATTCCCGAAGAAAGTCTCCAGAATTTCTCGGGAGTCTCGGAAAAATTCCCGAGAAAGTCTCGAGACTCTCGGTTCCCGTACGCGCGACTACCCGTATAGTACCGAGACTAATAATTTCGAAAATTTCTCGGTGCTTCCGGGAGTCTCGAGAATTTTGTTTCTGGGTAGTTTAGGGAATTCTCGGGAAATTCTCCTCCGAGAGCACACACTGTTCATAACTTTTGAACGAGTAGTTCAATCGAGCTGAAATTTTTAGCACTTAAGTAAGTAAGTAAGTATTTTCATTGATTTAAATGTTCAAAAACAAGTTTTTATTTTCGATGTAAAAAGAAAATTTTATATTCGTACTCATCTTTGAGAATTCGAAATATCAAAAATTGGGCATTCACAGTGCTCATCATGCATTAAAATAATGATAGAATAAAATGCATTAGGTTTAAACACACGACATTTTCAATGATGGAAATTAGTATTTCAAATACTGATTTTTTTCTCAAATACGTAATCAGGTTAGGTACAGAATGACAGACAAATAAGAAGTTAAATTTTGAACTGAAGCCGAAAATTATATTGCGGACTTGTGCATTTTATTTTCCGATGATACACATGTTGTTTACTTTGAGATTGATTTTCTCCTGGACGAATTAAAGTCGAATTTCCGTTATTTTGTTTGTTTGTTCAATTTCGTATCTAGTTTCAATGATATTTTTGTACTTTTAAAGGTTACTTCCCCGCTTTACGCGCGAGAAAAAAACTGTGCGAAAAATTTTATAATTGCCGTAGCTGTGTAAATAGACAAAAGTCCTGCTTTGTACCAACCTATTTTTGCAAAAATTGGAGAGTTAACAAAAAGTGTAGCGAGCAAAAATGAATATGCAACCATGCATCCATTAAATATAGTGATAAACGGAATAATAGCAAGCGGATTGACACGAACGCTCTGAAAAAAAAAAACATTTTAAAGAAGCTTCTAACAAGATATTTACCGCAGACATATTACCCATCCAAAAAAATCCCGAAATTATACTAAATACTGCATAGGCAAAGATGAACTTTGCAATAATGTACTCGAATCGATGTACTCCGATTGACATTAAGAATTCCTGAATACTCAATTTTATTTTCTATAATGTACACAAAGCTACAAAAAATCCATTTTTTCTATCATCCGACCATTCGTCAATGACCCGAGCGCAAAATGGTAGTAACAGTATCCATGAGAAAAATATACTATTCTGAATAATTAATTCTTTTCAGACACCTAAAAAAATTACCTGCTTCATTTCGTACCAACCATTAAGGTTCGACGACAAAACAAAAACACTGGAAACCTGAGACTCCAATATCTTGTTCACATCTTCCTTCTCTAAAAATTGAGAAACAAATTAAGAAAGATATATTTAAACATTATAAAATATTTAAATTGAATTTATCAATGATAACTCTTCTTTCTTAAACTGAATTTAGATATAGAAATTTTGGGATAGGCCCGCTTTTTGGACTCTAGCCATTATTTTCGGTATTGTGGTCAAAACTTAGTTTAGAAAAGAATATAAACAATTAACGATTTTTGTCCAAAAAGTTTTTATATATTTTGAAAATTTCTGAAAAACTTGGCAAACTCATCGAGATAAACACGGGCATTTTTGGTTATTTTAACACTGGTTTCGACACTTAGAAAAACCAACCAATTTGTTCTGTTTTTATGTCTCTGTTTCAGGCAAAATGTGCCAATGTCTTGCCCGATGAGTTTAAATAAAAATATTTGAAAAAACCCAATTTACTTATTTCCGCGCAAGAATCGAAGAAATAAGAAGCAATGCTCCTTTAATGATAATACAGTAACTAACAACATCTTATTTGATTGAATAATTATCTCTCCCCTTTCTTTCTTCCTCGACCTTGTTTTTTACCAATTTTTAAAAAGTTGAAGAAAATTCACCGAATTTTGTAATTTTTGGTGTTTCTCTGTAGTCGTTCTCTCTTGATATCATAAACAGCCGATTCATAAGTAACTGTGCTTCATGCGCGTAAAACCATTCTCGTTTTTTACTAATGTCGCATCGATCGCAAAAATGATTAGCCAATTCTCCTGTTCGCGTGATTAAATTATACGAGATGTTTGCCATCCGCGGATCGTATTTGTCCAAATAAACTAATACTGAAATATATTGTTCGATTGAATAATTATAAATACTTTATGGTTACTATCATAAGACTGTGATTGAATCGCCTTTTTTGCCTCTTGGAGATTTGTCGTAAAGTTAAATGACGGATATATCAGTGATAATAACGAAACGTGATCATAAAAATGGCCCCATTTGTAAATTTCTTCATCTTTTGAAAAGAACAGCTGAAAAATACAAACTCTTGATTACCTTTCTTCGATTTTTTAATTGCTCCAGTTATGGATTTTAATTCTGAATCAAATGAGCTACGTGCAGTGCTGTATATTGCGCTATATGCATTTCCAAGCATGCGGGCGATAAAACGTTTTTTGACATTTTTGCGTAAAATGCAACTTGGGATATAGCTAATTGGAATTTCACTAAGGCAATTAAAATATTCTCGGACGGCTGCTATACACTGCAACTAGGAAAGGGGCAACAAATTTTTAAAAGTGGATGAAAAATAGATACTTCTATAGTCTCAAATATTTTTCATCCGCTTTTAATCCATTTTTTGTATTTTACCCAGTTGCAGTGTAAACACCCCTCCCTTGTTAATCGCACCAGTATTTTTGTAGTAATCTGAAAGTAGTGTCTATCGCTATCTGCCACAAAATATTCTCGTTTGATCAATTCAGCATCCTATGAGGAAATATACGTTTACTAATAAATTCATGACAGCTTTTGAACCTGCGGTAGATTGTAACCAATGTAGACAACGATAGCTAATAAACAGAAAATAAGGCTAAATAGCGGAAAATGAGCAACTAAATATTTTAATTCCTGTAAATATTAGTTTTACCGTGAAATTGCAATCATATAAACTTTGAACCAAAGTTTGCGAATTGATCTCATTTTATTTCGTTTTTATAGAAAATAACAGTCCAAGAAAGATTTTGATATTATAAAACACGGGGAAATGATGAAAATTAATTACTTTGCATTATGAAGTAGGCTACGCAAAATTTATTTTGTCCACGCATTAATAAAAACAATGTCGTTATTTAGTTATTGAAATATCAATAATTAAATCTGGTGGCGCGTCGCACTTGTTATTGTTACAGTCACTAAAAAAACGATCGCTCTGCTCAGATTTATGGTGAGTTTGCAGGTTATTCGCAGGTTATTCCGTTGAACGGTACCCGAATTCCCACTGTTTAAATTCAAATTTAAATTAAAGCTTCGAAAAAATGCGATTGTCCACAATATTCAAGACATACCTTGTTGATCTGGAGCGACTGCGTAAAATTGGCTAAATTCGAAAAAAAGAGGTGCGATACGCTTTTAGCCTATTTTATTATCTTGACCGTCTTTACGTTTAGTTTTGTGACGACAGCCCTCCGTCAATTCTCTGGGAATTATCCAATTTTACGCAGTTGTGCGACAGCGATAATATGACATTTCACGATCCTCGGAAACTATTTTTGCAGGTTTTCAAATGGATGAACAAAGGATATTTCTCGATATTTCTATCGATGGAGAACCTATTGGCCGAATTGTCATTCAACTGCACACAAGTTTAGGTATTCAATTAAAAATAAAAAAAATTAAGAAAAATCACTTAGCTCCAAAAACATGTGAAAATTTCCGTGCGTTATGTACTGGTGAAAACGGCAAAACACCTGATGGGATGCATAAGCTATCCTATAAAGGTTCATCATTTCACAGAATTATCAAAAATTTCATGATTCAGGTGCGTATTCGATTTTTTGTTTTATTTTCAAAATTTATTTCAGGGTGGCGATATTACACACGGCGATGGTCGAGGTGGGTACTCAATTTATGGCCGATATTTTGATGATGAAGAATTCCTTGAATCTCATTCTAAACCTTATATGGTTTCTATGGCAAACAAAGTTTAAACAAAGCTCATTTTTCGTGCCTTATTTTAATTTAAGGGAGCTAATACGAATTCTTCGCAGTTTTTTATCACGACCACCGAGGCCAAACACTGTGACAATAAACATGTTGTTTTCGGAAGGGTTAGTAGCTCAATCAAATTGGAATTTTGTTCCAATCCGCAATTCAAAAATACTCGGGCCCATTCTAAAAATTCATCTTAAAATTTTGGATTTTTCTCATTTCAGGTTGTGAATGGGTTTTCCGTTATCGACAAAATTGAAAAAATACGAACTGCTGAAGAAGGAAAACCGTTACAAGATGTCTGTATTTATAATTGCGGTCAATTATTCAAAAAACCTCGTCATCATATAACTATAGAGATGCCTCTAAAATGCGATGAAAATTCCCGCCAGAGAATTGAAAATAATAGAGAAGAGAAAATTACAAGTGATATTCCAATTACTCCAAGGTCGTGGCTCTATAGATCCTCAAAGGACGAAAACCTTAAAAATAATGTATAATTTTTTAAAAATCGACTATAAGGGAATGATAATTTCTTCAGAATGAACTCGCAGGGGTAAAGCGTGCAAGAATGGAGAAAAACTGTGATCCCCGCGAGGTAGATAATTCAAGAAATCAACACGAAATCAAGAAAAGCAAAACAAGCATTGGTTATCATCGTGTGAAGGGTCGCGGGAGTTTCAACTATTTCAAAAATCGAAGTGTGACTCCACCACACTGGAGGGAAAATGCTCCGAAAATGGTTAGTTTTCAATTTTTCAAAAATTAGATTTTATTCAGAGCTATACGGAATTTGTTGGTCTCAAAAAAGAAACACAGATTTCCTCTAAATAGGATATTTCTTTTATTAATTGTTTTCGTTTTTTCCCAATAGTTAAAATAAATATTTATAAATTTAAAAATTTCAATTCGAAAGAATGGATGTAATGTAAGTATGTACAGTGCTGGCCATGATTCTATCCAAAACCGCATTTTCAGTCATAACTTTTTTCAAAGTTGGCCGATTGATCTGAAAAATTTTGACAATGTTTCTGACGCTATGTCCAACTAATTTACCAATCCACTTCTTTAAATTTCAAAAAGAAAGTAAAAAATTGAAATTTTATTGAAAATAGAAAAAATTCAAAAATGAGGCAGCACTTAATTTTAATCATTTTATAGCTCATACCGCTATAGAGTCAATAACAGCTTGACATCTTCTTGCCATTAAATCTAGAGGAGCCTCAAAAACACTGATCGGGATGAACTTCCACGCCGCTTCGAATTGATCAAATTTTTGAACCGAGTTTGTGGCACAAACTCCATAGAGACGTCTTTCTAGCTCTTCTCACATGTGTTCGACTGGATAAAGGTCTGGAAACTGGCTCAGCCACTCTAAAACATCAATACGACCAACATCGAACCAATTGATGATAAAGGGAGGAGTGATTTGGATTGTTATCCCGTTGGAAAACGTATCGGCTTCCGACGTTTCGAAGAGCCCATGGTCTCATAGTGTTATCAAGCATCTTTTCGTTCTGGAATTGGCCCATGATGCCAGTCATTCGGCTCAATGGGCTCATCGTCGTGTCCGAAAAGCAGCCCCATAGCATACAACTTCCTCCACATTCGCCACCTGATACTTTGGCGAGTATCGGGAACCAATAGATTGACGAATTCACTTTGCACCATTGCTGCCAAACCGATTGAACTTGCTTTCATCGGATAAGATGTGTAGGGCCTACTCACAGCGTCCCGAGTTCAAATTCTCCGTAGCCCACCTCACACGAGCCAATCGGTTTTTGCGTTGAAGAATGGTTTCTTCACCGGACGTCGTCCATGAAGCCCATTCTGTTACAGCCGTCTTCTGATTGTTCTCTGATATGATGCAAATTCGTTTGAAGTAGATACAAGAGTATAAATGTCAGTTAACGTCCGGTGAGGATCTTCTCTAGACGCGCGAACAATGTTACGATCAATGTTTTTCGAGGTAGAAACCGCTCTTCCGGGGTGGGCACCCATCAAAATTTTTTTCTTGAAGTGTTAAGATATTAAGAAATGATTTTAGACCGTTACATTTGAAAAATAACGTTTAAGTGCTTTATAAACAGCAGATATCAAGCACTGAAATTGTTGCGCCAGGTACTTGACAGTCGTTCCGTTTTTTCTTTCTCGGACGATGGCTTCTTGTATGTTTTTGAAAGATTCTTGTTGCCAGAAGGTCTGACCATGTTCTTGAGAATAATATTATGACCTGTTAGAAGCGTCTTATACATTACAATAGTCATTAATGAAAAAAACTGAAAATTCAAAAAAACAAAAAATTCAAAAATTTAAAAATAAATGAAATTTAAAAAGATACAAATTGTTGAAAGAGTGCTCCGCGTATTCTGTAAAAATTTCAGATCAATCGGCCAGTTTTGAAAAAAGTTATGGCTGAAAATGTGGTTTTGGATAGAATTATGGCCAGCACTGTACTTATTTTTCTCGTTGAAAGTTTCAATTGGTATCAGTGTGTTGAACAAACATTTTCGAACAATTCTTCATAGAGCGCATTTATCGAGGAGAAACATAACGACGAAGAAAACACCCTGAAGAGATTCATGCACGTACTGTCGCATCTTCCCATCTTGTTATATTTAACCATTCGGTCGTTTATGTGTTTGTCTGTATGTGGCGCACTGAACAGAGAAACAGAAATAGAGGAACACTTACGCACCTTTAACCTACTTTTTCCTTTCTTATTCCAAATCTCAATTGATGTCTACTAAAACTTTGTATTTCGCTTGAAGATTTTTGTATCGTTCTGTGCAATTCTTTGTTAATTCTAGAGATCTTAATTAAAATATATTGATGTAATGCCGGTAGGCACCGAAGAAGAATTTGAACAGCTAGAAGAAAATCTCAGGATGGAGAAAGAAGATAGAAGAAGAGCAATCGAGAAATTACAGGTAAGTTAAATTAAATAACAAGATCCTTATTATTGCATTAAATATTATATAAGTGTTTTTTGAAGAATGATATGGAGAAGGAACTAAATGATGCCGAACAAAGGTGGATGGAGAAAGTTCGAAAGGTCGTCAATGAACGGGAAGAACTCGCCAGAAAGGTTGATGAGTTTGAAGAAAAAATCGACAGCTTGAAAAGACAGGTTCATAGGTATGCTACATTGATAACTCAAAAAAAAATGTTTAATAGATCGGAAACTTATAAAATGGAATTCGAAGAAACAAATCAGCGTTTACGGAAACAGTATGAAGCATTACAGCGGGATTATGAAGATACTATGCAAGAACGAAGTATAGTCCTTGAGGAGAATGCACGTCTTATTGAGGAACGAGACAAGCTTCAAATTGAGATATTGAGGCTCAATGAAAACTATAAGCATCTAGTAATTTTTATTTGTATCAATTTGTATAATTCAGAACATTTTAACAGGAGTCAGAGAAACTGAATGAGCTTAAAAAGAAGCTCGATCAAACTAGAAAACTGCTTCAAGTAAATATGGAGGAAACTGTAACGATCAATGCTCAAAAAGACGCAGCATTAGCAAAAATCGCTGAAATTGAAGAAAAAGGAGAAATCTTAGCAGAGGAACGAGATGAAGCACTCCGAAAATGCCAACAATCAAGTAATGAGGCTCTAGTAGATATTTGGAACACACATTCTGTACAAATTAGTCTGGTATAAGTTTGAAATTATGCCTGTAATATTTATAGTTTCGTTATAGCCGTTTCCCAAGCCAAATCTTGGACTAGTTCTGGGTGGAGGGCGTACTGATGATGGAACAGTTCACGGGCCAATTTACGTAAAGCATATTGCGGTTGGATCACCGTTTGAAACACATATAAAAAAATTTGATCACATCGTAATGGTGAATGATATCTCAGTAACAGAAATGGATGAAAGAAGCGTAATGGGAATGTTATCAAATTGCCATAATATCCAGCTGGTTGTCCGTAGACGATCAAATTTCAATCGCATAATAGATGTTTGCCTTCCTCTGAATCACGGTATATATTATTTTAATTGTTAAGTTATGTATTTTTTAAGGAGTTGGGTTAGAGCTTGCAAATGGAGTTTTCGTAAATTCATGCGAGCCGAATGGAGCTGCAAGCCGCAGTGGATTAGCTCCTGGACAAAGGATTGTCCATGTCATGTACACGCCTGTTTATGATGCAAAACATGCAGAAATGTTGATAAAAAGTTTTGTTTTATATTGTGTAAGTTTTAATTGAGTTTTTAAGATGCTTGTGAGCCATTGGTTATCGGAATACTTCAGTCTAATAAGAAATACGACATTACTAGTAAAGATAAACAGCGGACGACCATATTTTCAAGGGTATTTTGTTACGTTGAATTGCAATTAATTAACAGTTTTTAGTGGTTTGGCCGTAGTGTAGATAAGGAACGGAACGTAATAGCTAAAGCAAACATTGAGCGAAATAATAATGATTCTTCACTATTTCGTCAAGGATCTTTGCGTATTCCCCAAACTAATCCTCTAGTTTCCCCTCTTGTAAGATATGGATCACTTAGAGCACCAAACTACTCGAACGTCATTGATCAAAAGAAATTATTGATGGAATCAATCGAAAGTCCCAATAAGAAATACAATGCTTATTCAACAACACACTCAGAAGTTGCGGTGAATCCTTATTACGGATCTTCATCAGCTCATAAAGACCATTTGGTTTACACTGGATCGAACGTCGAAAGTATTCCTTGTTATGTTCCAAAAAACAGTGTGTTCAGTTCTCCAACGTCTCCTGTATCGTATGTATAATTTTAATTTTTCGAATTATTATGAGTTGCAGACGTTTCATACGACAGAATAGTGATCTAAAATGTAAAGCGACAAATTCCTCTCGTTGCGTTGGATGGGATGGGAGAAGTTTTTCGTCTGCAACTACAGCAACTTCTGAAATCGGCCGACCGTATTCAATGCATTGTACACCCAAGTCTTCAACACTTCTAGAGACACAACCGAATCGTCAGTCGGTTTACAGCCCCACACAAGTATATCAATTAAATCGTGAAGATTCACTGTCATCTGTGATGTCTTCGAGTAATTCTTTTCGATTGCCATCAGCATCCTACTACATTAACAATTGTAAGCATTTAAATAATTTTTATTTCTCTATATATTTTATTTTGTAGCCGAATGCAACCTTAAGAAGGAAGGTAATCAGCATAAAATTGATAAAGAAGATAGCGACATCTCGCTATCGCTAGATGCTTCTACTTCAAAAGTCAATACATCTTCTCATGTGGATAATCTACGCTCAAAGCGACCATTAGATCCATCAAGAACCCCTAACTATAGAAATAGTCATCATGATGAGGTTGCCATTCTTGTGAATCGACCCCCGCAACCTCGTCTTATTGGCGTTCCTCGATTTTGTGTACGTCTTTGTGGAGGAAACGCAATTGGCATTATCGCTGAAACAAGTGTAGCTCCTGATCTACTTGAGGGAGATCTCATTTTGGAAATTGATGGGAAATGTGTGCGAAACACTACATTAGAAAGCGCTGTTACCACGTTGATGTCCGATGATGACGACATTACGCGATTGCTTGTTCAAGATGGCGGAGATCGTTTGAATCGTTTACGTCTTGGTGCCGATGGAGACTCTTTCTTCCTTAGAGTGAACATTGATCGAAATGTTGAAAACAAGGACGAATTAGAACTTAAAGCTGGAGATGTTGTATTTGTTGATAAAACAATGTATCTGGGAAAAAAAGGTCGATGGAGAGCATGGAAAGTGGACAAAGAAGGCAGACAACGAGAACATGGAGCAATTCCTTCCTCGTCATCTGTATATCAAAGCATTCGAACGGTATTTCCCATTTTATTTTAGTATAACGAGTTTTATTTGAAGAATCGAATGTCAAATCCTTATCCCAGAAAAGCATATGAATGGGTGGAAAAACTTGACACCAAGATAAAAAGACCAATATTGTTGTTTGGAGCGCTCCTAGAACCATTTGTCCAAATGTTAACGGAAGAAAGTGACAAGTAAGTATTCGAAAACGATAAAATGTTTCAAGGTGGGGCGGGAAAGCTGAAAAATCGTAAAAACATCATAGAATGTTGACACGACTTTAAAAAAATAAAAGAACAAAAATTCTAAGTTATTTTATCACGGAACAAAAACGTACACGAACAAAAAAGCCTGTGTATTTTTCGCCAAATAAACTTTGAAAATTTAACTCTTATGATTTTTTTCATTACATAACAAAAAAAAATACATACACATGTTATTTACCTAATTGTAAATGTTTTTCTCCGTAACTAAATAACGTAGAAATTTCGTTTTTTATTTAATTTTCGAATTCTTATCTAGTTTAAATTATATTTTTATAATTTTTGAGTTTAGCCCCCTTTATATATCTTTTTAGGTTTGCGCTTCCTCCTACTGAATCAATTAATGCTTCATTTGATGAAATTACTTCACTTATTCGTGAGCACGTTATAATAGACTCGAAGCAAAACGATGAAAATGACCAATTACACCATGTGATATTCGCGTCCCAAATTCGCGACATTACTACTCAAGGTCTTCATTGCGTACTTCATGTCGATCCCGTAGCAATAGAGCGTCTACGCCAGTGTGGAATTTATCCCATCATTATTAAAATTCGCTTCAAAAGTGCTAAACAACTTAAAGATATCAATGAGCATGTTTGTGGTGAAAAAATAACATCAAAAGAAGGAAAACAGCTTATTGAAAAAGATTTGAAGCTCGAAAAAGAGATTGATGGAGCTGTTACGTTGGTTGTACCAAGTCATAACAGCGCAACCTTCATGCTTTCTCATTCACTATTGCAGGTAAAATGCATTATGAAGACTATGCGACTTTTCTCCCCCTATTTTCCTAATTCATTAATTTTTCTACTTTTTCCACTTCTTTAAAAAAAACGAATTTCGGTAGGAAATTTGTGACCAAATTCGAAAAAAGTGGCTTGGCTAGTGATTTTTTAATTTTGAATGTGACTCGTACGTAGTACATATATTCTTTGGCTCGCGATTTGTCGTCCGTTCTGAAGTGGCCTACGGCAAGAAAATTAGAGTTGCTGAAAAATATGTAATTTTTCGAATTTGAACCCCCTTCAACACTATTAGCACGTTTTAGTATCAATTTCTGAGTTGACCGACCCCTAGTATAATTATCTGAAGTTTTCAAAAATATTGCAAATTCGGACCCATAGGGCGTCCCTTCACCATTTTTTACACCTTTTAGTAACAATTTCTGAAATACATAATCGACAGATTAATCTTCAGAAATTAAAAATATTTAAACATTTTTGTAACATATTCTGTAATTTAGACCTGAAAAAGAGCCAAAAACCACAGGCCAAAAATTACACAGAATAAGGTTCGTAAATTTGGGGGAGGAAAGTAGCATTTTTCAAATTGTGATAGCTATGACGAGTTATTACAGCTTAAAAAGATGATTGAAGATGAGCAGAAAAAAACGGTATGGATTCAAAGAAAAACTGATAACGATAAATACTGAATACCAATTAGCTTATAAAACAATAAATTTTATTTTTATCATGCTCTGTTTGTTTTTGTGAACAAAATTAAAATAAAATATTGGTTTTTTTCCAGGTGTCTCAAGGCAAAAAATCGTGCGCATGTCTACGTACTTTGCATTTTAACAATTAATATTTAACCTGTTCGTAAATTTCAAATTTCGTAAATCTACACTGATTTTGCAGAAATGAATTTCAGCCACCAAAAAATCGTTTGACGCCGTCAATACGATACAATTGAAATCGTACTCGGGAAATCACAGCCACTGAGCGTCCGCTGTGACGATATCGTCCGCGCGGTGTCCGCGAATTTTCGATCATCGGCGTACCCTCTGACTCTGCTGCTCGTCCGCGCGGCGTCCGTCAATTTTTTCTATAGAAAGTCGTCCGCTGTGATTTACCGAGGTATGTATATACGATGAAATCATGATTGTATACGGTGAAATATCGTATTTGGCAATCATATTTGGCAACGTTTGAAGATCTCTGTGGACGTATGGGATTACCAATGCCACGAAGAGCTGGTTACCGTAATCATTACAAAAATGACACTTCTCGTTTAAATTCCGTAATATCTCGTTTAAGGAGTGACACCTTTCGTTGAAAAGTTATTTATTTTTGCTTACCGTGCCATACACCACGACAAAATACATTGTTCTGGGATCTATTTTTTGAAATATTGAAAGAATGATCCTATCGATGTGAGATTTCAGAAAATATTACTAAAAGGGGCCAAAAGTGTTAAAGGGGGGGGGGGTCGAATTTGAATTTTTTCCATTTTACGTTATTGGCCCGATCTCTTTATAGATATCCAAAACTGCCAAAACTTAACTATACCTGTAATGACTTTGGCTACATTTTCTATAGTTTTCTTCTTTGTTGAAAATTAAATTATGTTTCAGTATCAATATCTTAAATATAACTGCTACGATCATTTTCAGAAATTTTGAATTCGGACCCCTATGACCGTTTGAGGCTAAAATTTGCCGTGGAAGTAATAGTCGAACTGCAAAGTTTAAAACATATATCAAAAGCCGGTAAACCAGTTTGGTCAATTCATAAAACCGGTTAACTGTTTAACAAGTTAAAAATTTTCTTTAAAGAAACCTATTAACGGCGTTATGGATTTAATCACTTCTACCGAACATTTTGCGAATTGATTCGTGTTTTGACCAGTTTCACGTTATAATCATTCAATTTTCGAAAAATACGTATGTGCATTTGCGCGGGCAGTGCGCATTTTTTTCCGGGAAATTTTTTCATCAACTTACGCGAAAAAAGGTACCAGATGGACACACTGCTCCGCAGGGTGCTCGTATCTTTAAATCAGTATAGTGCTTTTTGACACTCCTAGAAGCCATTCTACATCCGAAAATATAATTTTCTTCTTTACTTATTTATTCAATCCAGACATATTTTTCCTAAAGAAAATAATTCATATAAATATGTAACATGAAAAAGAAAAAACACGCAATGAGTTTCTCTTGAAGCAAATAATTGAGTGGTAAAAGGCATGGAATAACATAGAATATAATGTAAAAGAAATCAGTTTTTTAACAATCTGGGTGATTTGTTTAAGTTTGCACGGAAATATAAAATAATCGATTATGTTTGAAAAATTGATTCAAAGAAAACAGAAAAACAGGGTTTCGGTTCATCGTTACATCATCACAGTTGAAAGCGAATTATAACAACGACGCCATATATAATTCTTGTATACATAATATTGGCTGAAAATAAATGGAAAAAAAGGTAAAACGATAAAAAACGTTGATCAATGTCGTATCGAAAACTAGTCAAAGAACACTGCACTTGCTCTTCTTGGTTCTTTGTGGCGGTGTCAAAACGGCGCGGATCGCTTCATCGAAAACCTCAAAAAATTAGATTTAAAATGATTAACTGTATTCAGATCTTACTTGTTTGAGACCTCTTTGAGTGAGGGCGGAACATTCAAGGTATTTTACTGCTTTAATTTCCTTTGCCATAACATATCCCTGCGTTTGACTAACAGGTTGAAGTCTGCGTTCCCGAAGTCTGAAAAAATATTACCATGTTGCATTTAATATTCTGAAATATACAAAAGAATGAACAAGACCAAAAATAGATGCTATTATATAAAAATTGTGAAGTGCCTCCTTTTTTATTTTAATTTATGCCGAATTTCTTTAAGAAGAGAGTTACAATGGGAATAGCATAACCATCCTTCTCCAATCTCCAATCTTAAAATAAAAAACCTTTCGAGCGTGTCCCTGTCTTCGCGCAAATCTGCTTTTGTGCCAACTAGAATTATTGGTGTATTTGGACAGTGATGAGACACTTCTGGGTACCTTAAACCTATTCTTGAATGAATAGTACAAATTTACATACCACTTGGCCCGAACATTTTCGAAACTGGCAGGGTTTGTAAGCGAAAAGCAAACAAGGAAAACGTCAGTTTGTGGATATGAGAGAGGGCGGAGTCTATCGTAATCTTCTTGTCCAGCAGTATCCCAAAGGCCCAAATTAATTGGACGACCATCCACCATAACATTTGCTGAGTAGTTATCGAATACCTATTGTAGATTTATTTTGTTATAAAGATGTTTTTATTTATTTATTTATTTTTCTTATTCCTTCTAAATATATTGTCAATGTCGCACTACTGCGGAAAATTAGCTAAAAGCCAAAAACAATGGCGGAGGTCTTAGCGTAAAATAAGGATATAGCCTTTTATTTGTGTTTGGAAATTACCAAGTCGCACGACGTCATCAAGACATAATCATTTCTTCAATTAATTTTTTCATCCTAATACTGATATGTGACTACAATGTTGGTAAAATATTAATATTGTCAGAGTCAAACGACTGAAGGGAGGCGGCCGTTCAAATTTGTGAAATAGGTGTAGATTAAAATTTTGCGTTGAATGAATATTAAATGCGCGTACACTATAATGCAATGTACGCAGTCACGCGTACTTTTCGCTGCCTCGAGACGCATTGGCACAAAGCCAATAATTTTTCAAATTTCGTAAAGTCGTTTGACTTCGACAATATACCGTTGGAATGTATTCTCCCGGAAACGCGTTTGTTGTGTAAGATATAAGTAGGCACGTTTTACCAACTGCTCCATCGCCAACGACCACACACTTAATCGCTTGCATTCTGAAAAAACCGAATGATGAAAAACTTCCCTGGTTAACGCAACAACCTTCAACTGTTTGGATTCTTGAAGAACTATTCTCAAAAGTGAAGAGCTGGATGTACGGATCTAAAAACCGCGATTTTAAACGTTAAAAGAACGAAAGATATAGAAACCGAGATCAACGGCATAGTAATCAACGTTCGGTGAGTGAGAACATAATCAACGAATTTATTGAATTAAAGTATACGCTGAGAAAAACAAGTAATAATTTAACGAATATTCAAATTGTATGAACAGTAAACTGAAAAAAATATATATCCAACTCGAAGAAACGTCCGATGAAACATCCGGGGTTATATATATATATATATATATATATATATATATATATATATATATATATATATATATATATATATATATATATATATATATATATATATACGTATCTGGTTCTACCTAAAAGAAAGAATATACAAATATTTAAACTGTGAAAATTTGGGTTGATAACCTGCGAAGCTGCGAAGCTAGCTCATCGTAAATTGATGCAGGGGTTTTTTTGCAAATGTAATACTTAAAACTCACACAGGAAGACCGGCCACTCGACGACATTTCTGCATCGTAGCTCGATAAATGAATTGTTCACGCGAAATATCTCTAACTCGACGAAGATACTCCGAAAGGTTCATATTCCCACTTTTTAGAGATTGTCCTAAAATGAATACATAAAAAATCATTTAAATTTGCAAATCCAACCATTCAAAACTACGAAGTAAATTACTACTGTATAAATAATTCATATCTCACCTAGTGCATAAATAACATCATCACACGTTAAATCTTTTGCGTAATTGAGCACAATTTGTCGATGAAGTGGAGTTGCAGCATCAATAGCGTCGTCAATAGGAGGTGATTCAGATCCTCCTGCATATTTTAGAGCAGTCGAAAGTTCTTCCTTCTTTGTCTTAATTATACACATTTCTTATACGACGTTCCAATGTTTTTTGATAAAATTTCTAGTAATTTCGATTCAAAAACAATAACTCACAGAATAGAATTCGACTACAGTTTGCAATCCCTTTTTCTGTCCTTCTAACTCGTCTAGAACTTTTTTAAGTTTTTGTTGGCCTTCGCGTAATTCGGCTCCCGTAGATTGTATAGAAGCCAATTCTGCACTGTTAGTACCTTAACCTTATAATCTCGAAAAGAAAAATATAAAAGAATTACCCATCTTATCTCTCAATTTTGATCTCACTTTTTCTTCAATTGCACTTAAAACCGAAACTCGAATTGTGTCTGGTTGAATTGTGCCTCTAGGTAGATTTGGACGTGGTGGTGCTGGCTGCTGATATCCGCATCCTAATGGATATGGAGTAGCCGATGGAATATTTACATACGGGCTGAAATCCAAATGAGCTTAGTCAAGCAGATAATAATCAAAAATAATACATACTTATATCCACTATTTCCAACCGCTGGATACGGTGTAGGAAATGGTGTAGAAGTTGCTGTTGCTGGATAAGGAGTTGGAATTGAAGGAAGGGTTGTAGGGTATGGTGTTGTGATATTTGAAGAAGTTGTTACAGGAGTTGAACCAGTTGTTTTCCGAGCAAAAACTGGGCATTTCTCTTGGAACACCATTGTCATAATGTAAAAAATGCACGACTAAATCGAAAACAAACAACACTTATCTGAAGTAATCCACTTAAATCATGTCCTGGAAAACGCCATTCATTAAGATACGGCAGAAATACTTTTCCTTCTTTATTGACATGCTCTGATTCCTGAATATAATATATTTATAAATAAAATTTGATAAGCGAAACTTTTATAATCATTTTACTAGTCGGGGTTACATAACAAAGAGGCGCATAATATGGATGAGTATCCCAAAGTATTACTGATATTGGAATATTGTAGAGATTACCCTGTAAAAATAAAACTAATTTTTGCAAATTGCTGAAGTTTTTACCTTGTAGTTTATCGGAATTGTACCAACTAGCTTAAAAGCATTTCTTCGCTTTCCATCAGGAAACATGAAATTTTCTGTCATCGGTCCCATATCCTATAAAAACTATTCAAGATTTTAAAATAAACAGCGAAGATACCTTAAACTGATTTAGAGCGCCTAAAATATCCTTTTTTGCCGAATCGCTGTATTTCGCATTCGAACGTTGTAAACATTGATGCACCTAAAATAATTTCCATAAATATTTGAAATTTTAAAACAGAATACTTGCTGTGCTGACATGCTTTCCGTAACAAAATAGCTGCTTTAACACTGATTCGCTTGATTATATGTCTAAAAGTCTATCTTCAAAAAATGATACAGTAAAAATAGAAAGTAAACATTTTACGATCGATAAGATATGGGTGTCGAAATCACGAATATTTCTGAGCCATTATTATTTGTATGGTTAAAGTTAGATGGCATACATATAATATTGAAAACCATTAAAAACAAAAAATAAAACAAATTTCATAAATATATCATAATAACGAAAGCTATTAACAATATCTACTTAAAAAAGCATGTTAAGGTTCATGAGAAGAAGAGAGAGGAAGAGAGAGTAGTTGCTCTGCGTCTCTTACCTACTGGTAGTCACAATAACGCAGCTACGCAAGAGAACTTAGACAAAAAATGAGGACTGCAGCAGAGAAGAGACGCTGAGTGATACATCACCAACATGCTTATGTCAAGGGATGACCATTAGCCTATATATTGTGCTTTCGTAATATTGACCATTGAGTTGTTCTTTTTTTTTCTATTCGTATAAAAGTTTAAGATAGTAAATTAACGGCTCTAACTTTGTATTATAGATAATAATTGAAAAGATAACACACTGGTTTTGCATCATTGCATCTATAAAAACACATATATTAACGCAATTGGGTTAATTCCCTTATTGACCTATTCATGCAATATAAATTTTAAAAAATTACACTTTTTTCAAACGCAGGTCTGTAAAAATGCACATTTAACGGTTTTATTTTGTAAACAAAAAATTTAATGAGTAGGTCCATTATGATAATAGAAATAAGTTCAACAAATTTTCAGTTTTCGTTTTTACCAAAAAAAAAAGGCCCAAGAGAATAATTGAGTACCTGATCGAAAAATTATTTAAATTCAACAATTCTTTTTTAAAATTTAGATAAAATATTATAAATATTACAAAAACGTGCGCTTTAAATAATTGTGGACTATCGCACTTTTTCTAGGCGGTAATTCAAATTTTTATTTAAACAGTGGATTTTCCATCGGGTAACATACTCAATATAATAACTTGCGCAACTAACTCACCGTAAATCGGCGCAGGGCGCTCTTTTTTTGCGAATTTAATACAATTTCTCATAATATTTATGAGAATTTATAATTTCAATATTTGATACTCACTTTTTACATTCATTTGTGTTTATTCGAAAGTCCTCGAAGATTTTTCGAGAAATATTTAACATCAAGAGTCGCTGTGACGATCAGGAATACTTTTGGAGGTGTTCATAAAGCTTTGACCAAACCGTATGTGCGCATTTGTCTAGGTTTGAAATCTTGAAATCCGTTTACAGATATATAAGTTGTATTTATCATCCACTTAGATTTCGAGGTTTTAATCTTAAGCATAAATTTCATTTTCAGGTTATTGCGAAAAAGCTATTTCCGGAGAATTGAACATAGAGGAGCGCGCCGAATAGGTTGACAGCGTCGAGATGTTTCCGTTTTTAACGCCGATTAAACAACCAAACCATATGTAGACTAATGAATTATACAAACTAATACGCAATATTTTTTAGCGAACGAATTGAAAGTAAAGTGTGTTTCGTGGAGATGACATTTTTGGCAGCATCTCCTTTTGGGAGTCGCGCTAACTCGTCCGCAAGTACACGTTTCCCATCTGCTTTGTGCAGTGAACAATCATCTTCAGAATCGAAAATCACAGAAGGTATTATACAGAGCCATCGTATTAATTAATATGGATTCTATAGGTTTTAAAGCTATACAAACCACATCGAGACCATCAAGTCGACAAAAATCAAAGACTGCGATGTCAACACAACCTACTGCTGTGCGTTCAGATAAATCCTCTCCAGTTCCCGTGAAAGAGTGTGTCCCTCAGTTTACGCGACATAAAAATAAAGGATTAGAAATGTCTCCGGCTATGATGGTAAATAGATGTTTTACATAATATAATAATTTTGAATTTAAAGGAACTGTTTGGTGCAAGCAATAAGCAAGTATGTCCTTTCTCATCGGGTAGTAAAGCCAAGGAACCAAGTGATGAAAGTTGTACGAATGTATGTATTTCTATTACAACAATTTGTGCTGAGTTAGCTTCACAGAGATTGAACGGTACCCGAATCCCCACTGTTTAAGTTGAAGTTTGAATTACCGCCTCGAAATAGTGCGTTGGTCCAAATTATGCAAGTCGCTCGTTTTTTTGCGGCGTTATTAAATTGCTTGAATAATTTTAACAATTCATTTTCAATGAGATATTTTAGAAGTACGAACATATTGCGTTCAAAACAGTAAGAAATAGTGAGCTCTCGCAACCTGGGCCTGAATGGTTTGAAGGTTTTGAAAAATTGGAGGTGATTGGAGCAGGTAATTTTAAGAATCTTATTCCATCTTCGATATTTAATTGAATGCAAATTTGCAGAAGTTCCAATAATTAACATTTTTACAGAAACTTATCCTCGTTTAAACGATGGCATAAATGTATCGGAACATACTGATTCCGTTGAGCCAGAATATCATGAACGGATAACCAAGCCCTTGAAACGTCAAAATCGAAATCTTAATATCGCAGCCGAATCACTTCCCGGCCCTGATATTGGAGTTGAAATCGAAGAGGATATAGTACGTTTTTTTGTATTTATTGACGAAATCGGACAAATTAATTGGGAAATTAGTTAATATTTTAAATATTACGCGAAAAACGATCACCCTCGCTACTGTAATTTATAGAATTGAGTTCGATTCGTAGGTAACAGTAGGGTAAAGGTTTTGAAACAAACTACGGAAGTTTTTTAACTACCGTGGAACCACAATGCTTACAAAACCAATCACGGTTCGCCTTTTCGAATAACTAAGATATCTTCCAGCGAAAACCTTCAAAACCTTAAATTATTCTATAAGTAGATCACGAAATTATCAAAATGTATTGACTTTTTACCAGACGTAGATAATTATTAGAAAATTGACTACAATGAATAAAATTCAGTGAATTATTCACCAAAAGCCAGTCGATTACGTTAACTTTTGGCGTATTCCCATTTGTTTGTTGTTGCTCATTATTTATTTCGCGATCAACTCTTTCCACTGTGGAAAATTGAGAAATTTTCGCTGGAATTGATTGTAGTTCATATGGGTTGCGGTTCCTGTTTGTAAAAATTTCGAAAAAAAAAACAATTTTTTTGAGCAATGAAAAATGTATCCAGGTGTCGTAGGGATTCCAGACGCTATAACCACCGTCGCGATTGCTGAATTGTTATTTTTCTGAAACAAAACAAAATTTATACGACTTGAACTGCTTTTTACTTAAAAGAATACTTAAAGAATAGTAAAATTTAAAATTTCATTCATGTTTCATAGGGTTGTCGTGCGGCACATAAGCATTGTGGCAATCGTGACAGTTACTTTTTTCTAAAGAAAAAATAGGTATAATACGAATCGTACATATTTACATTATTCTGTACTTATTTAAGAATTTTCCATTGGTCAGGTTGAGTTGGGAATCATTATGAAGATTTTGACGCTCTAAAAATTATTCAGAAAATTAAGAATACAAAAACGAGATAATAGAAACGCGTACTAAGAGCAAAACACGAATAAATAATAGTATTAACGACAAAAATGTTTTTTTTTTTTTTAATATTTGCTGTTTTTACCAAACAAAATATCGTTTGAAAGTACATATTCTGCTAAATAAATAATTAAAATAGGTTTCTGCAGATTTTAAATAAAAAATTTGGAACGAAAATAGGAAAATTATGCGAAAAGTTAAAATACGAAGGTTCCAGAGTTTCAAATAGTCACCACTGGTGACTGATTCTTTTTACTTTTTTTCAACCATAATTTTGAAATGTGTAATGTTTTACATTTTTATTGCATGTATAGTCGGCGTCTGGCAACTGCTGTACGCGGGTAGATTTACGGGGATGATTCTTTTTCTTGGTCTCGCACGGACTAACTGGTTGTTTCGCATTTTATGGGTCGGCTCGATAATTTTTAAATCCAGCGACGTTAGAGTCGCAGGACGTCGACTATATAAGTCCATATTGTTAAAGTTTCGCGACTGCGGAAAAATGGCAAAATGCCAAGAAATAAGGTGAGTTTTCGGTATTCACCTTTAACCTATTCGTGTGCTTAGACGTCTACGCTTTTAGTTTTGCGTCAAGAACGCTATCATTGTTTTTTGACATTTACATTGGCCAATTTTCTGCTGTCCCGCGACATCCACAATATGAAATTTTATCTACAGAATTGGAAAAAATAGGTCCTCTAGATAAATTAATAATACTTTAGTTTTGTGACTTCACCTTTTTCATTCTTTTTTTGTTGTTTTATTAGTTTGATTGAAGTTGAAGTTTGATTACCTTCGGCAAAATTATTCTTATTAAGAATGTTTGGATGGCGATCTGATATGTCTGAGAAATGTAGAAATTATTATGTTTTCCAAGGTCTTTTGACGTTGACACTGAACTGTGGTATTTTTTTCTGATATTTGAATAATTTTATTTTTCTTAAACTAAGTTCTATAATCTTTTCTTCTCCTGAAGAACTTTATTTTAAATGCATTGCAACCAATAAATTTTAGGACGTTTGCAATGTCGTGTCACTTACTGACGAAACACACGATGTTGCAGTCGATTCGCCAACAAAAGATTGTAGTGATGAGCAGAAGGGAGGAAGCGACAAGCTTCCGTCGACCACCAAAAATGGTGGAGAGAGTGCAGATTGTGAGAGACACGGATCGACAAAAGACGCAGAGGATACGAGAAACGACGCTACCCACGAAAAAAAGGAAAACGACGCTTCAAAGAACGGCGGTGGTGGCGTAATGTCCAGCATATTGATTAAAAGTGCGCAAATTATCAACGACGATTCAATATTCATTTCTGACGTACTCATAGAGGATGGAGTCATTAAGTAAGTTAATGTGACCGAATTTTTTTCCTAGAACAAAGAAATTTACTAAATTGCGAAATTGAAATTTTTACTCATTGCTTGAAATAAGTCGCTATTGGTTGCGTTGCAATACACTTATTTTAGTATGGTGTTTATATACGAAATGAAAAATTTATTCATGTACCAATAATAAAAGAAATTTCATCGCAAAATTTCAGAAATATCGGTTGTAATCTCGAGGTCCCGTCTACTGCGGAAGTCATTGATGCAAACGGAAAAATGCTTATTCCAGCTGGCATTGATGTTCATACCGAAATCACATCACCAGAGTCATGTGATGATATTGTAACAGGAAGTAAATCTGCTCTTGCCGGTGGAACAGCTACAGTGAGCTTTAACACCCTATCCTAATTTAATAGCGAAGGATATTTAAAATAAAAAAATATTGGTTTAGATAATTGAAGTAATCTCACCAAATCTGGGCGAATCACCATTTTCTGCTTTCAAAAGGGTTCGCAATTGTTTTGACAAAGCGTTATGTAACGTTGCTGCTTCCGTATGTTTAAAAAATTATGTTTTCATTATTTGTTTCCGTAGGTACTTATTAATTCTTGGAGCGAACAAATAAAAACAGATATGGAAAAGCTTGTTCTCGAAGGTGTAAATAACTTTGTCATCAATGTTGACGACGATCAAAAATTGTTTCAAGTAAATAAAAGTTTTAGCATGAAGTATCATAATTTTCCGTAATTAATTTAGCTTTTCGAACATTGTCGAAAAATTGGAGCGTATGCACGTGTAGTTCCTGAAAATCATTCTATTGTTTCAATCTTGGAAAAGAAGATGTTGGCACTTGGAATAAACGGCCCTGAAGGATATCCCCAATCTAGACCAGAAATTGTAAGAAATATATGAAATCAGTTTTAATTGATAGATTTTAGTTGGAATTCGATCGCGTCAACAAAGTATGTGTTTTGAGTCAACTATCAAACTGTCCCATATCCATCATCTCGGTAAGAATATTTCTTTTTAAGTTATAATCAATTTCTTCCAGCTGTCGTCCCAAGAATCGTTAGAAGCAATTGAAAAGGCACGTAGCCTTGGAACTCTAGCACATGCTGAAATTGCCTCGGCTGCTGTTGCCACAGATGGATCACAATATATGTCGAAAGATTGGAAACAAGCGGTTGCTCATTTAACTCAAGTACCTTTACGAAAGGGAGCATCAGATCGCTTGATTTCAGCATTAGCGAGGTATTATTATTAACTGAAAAAATACTAATTAATACTCAACACATTTCAGCCAACCTCTTGTGATTTGCTCATCGGGACACAAAGCTATAAACGTAACATCTAGACCCGCTTGTAAAAACTTTATTTCGATGCCTAAGGTATTAATTTTTTTCTTCCGCCTTAAATAACGCTATCTTTGTAGGGGTCTGTTGGAGCTGAAGAAAGAATGGTTGTTGTGTGGGAAAAAGCTGTAAGGACAGGGAAAATTGATCCAATGCGTTTCGTGGCTATCACTTCTTCGAATGCCGCTAAGGTTTTCAATATGTATCCTAAAAAAGGACGAATTGCTGTTGGGGCCGACGCAGACCTAGTTATTTGGGATGGGACTGTTAAAAAGACAATTTCTTCTTCTATTTCCCAATCATCTGTGGATTACTCATTATATGAAGGCTTTACCGTCCATTGCTCTGTAAGAATTCGAAGAAGTCGTGTTAAGATATTTTGATTTTTAGGTGTTTGCTACAATAATTAATGGAATAGTGGCTTATAAAGATGAAACTATAAAATCGAGCGGGATTTCCGGAGGATTTTTATCATTGTCGGCTAACAGTCCATTTCTATTTAGCGTTGTTAACCAGCGTGACAAGGTTTGATTTTTTTTTTGAACATGTTTTGCCCACAAAATCATTTTTATTTGCGACAGCGGAAAATTGACAAAATGCCAAGAAACAATGGCAGTGGTCTCGGCGTAAAACTAAGAGCCATTTTTTCGCAGTCGCGCGATGCCCACAATAACACAATATGAAGTTACAGTTTTCCGCAGTGGAAAGAGTTGATCGTGAAATAAATGATGAGAAACAACAAACAAATGGGAATACACCAAAAGTGAACGAGTTTGATCGTGAACGTAACCGTAAACATTTGATGGAGTCAAGCATTGATTTTGGTGGAAATAATTCAGCAAAAACTCGGAAGCCCTCTGGAGGAAGATCGACTGGCTTTTGGTGAATAATTATTCAATGTATTTTGTTCATTCTAGTCAATTTTCTAATTATTTTCTACGTCTAGTAAAAAGCCAAAAAATTGCTAATTTCGTTTTTTACTTATAGAATAGTTTAAAGTTTCGAACGTTATCCGTGGAAGATATCTCAGTGATTCAAAAAGACGAACCGCGATTGGTTTTGTAAGAATTGTGGTTCCACGGTAGTTTAAAAAAAATTCCGTAGTTTGTTTCAAAACCATTACCCTACTAGTACGAAACTCCGAGTACACATTGCCCTTATCGTGTCGTGCTAAATCGTGGGCGACCTCGACTAAAAGTTTTCGAAACGTTCCCTATTCGCCTCGATAGAATCGCTGAGATATTATAACACGTACTATGCGTAATCCTCTTATTTATTAACAATTGCTACATGCTTCGCATAATTCTCTAAAGTTTATCACAGTTATATCTTCAGATTCTTGTGTGGTTTTGAGATACTCATTTAATTCAGATATTTTTTATTGCATTCCGAACATAATGAAAGCTTTTAAATAAGCCTATTGTCGGTTTCAAATGACTGATCTATGGCAGTAAACCAATTTCGCAAATTTCGTTCAGTCTGACATTGACAATATTTTATATGTATAATCAGTTTCCCGAAAAAAAAAAACTGCTAATATTTATTCAATCTGTCCAGATGCACGGCCGATCACGTTTACTCGAAATTTTTTTAAAAACTCTTGTAGAAGCTTTTCTTTTTAGGAAACGCACTATCTATTATCTAATTAATTAATTAACGCATATTTCAATAAAATATTTTATGGATCATTGCAATCTTCTGCGGATTGTTAGTAATTCAGTTTCAGTTTTAAAAACAGTTGAATAGAGTTGAATATTAAATCTCTATTATTATTATCTGGTTTTTATCATTTCAATATATTGTGACAAAAACGAACACCGTTATTTTCAGGCTTATTGTTTCTACCAGTGGTTGCGTGATTTTCCACAGCAACTCTTACTGTCGAATATTTCTTGAGAAATCCTCGAACATGTTCAAAACTCAGACAATGAAAAAATCTCAAATTATCCGTAGTAAACTTTTAAAAATATTATGAGAAATTGTATTATAGTCGGTGTCCGGCGACTGCTGTACGCGGGTAGATTTACGCGAATGCGCCTTGAAAAGGTTTCGCCACGCGTGAATGCTTATTTTGCAGTTTTCACGTGAACTGCTTCATTTTTCTAGATTAGTTTCGTATTTCCTTGAATTTCCAACGTCATTCGATTAAAAAATGATCGAACCGGTCCATAAAATTTGAAATAACGTGTTAGTCCTTGCGAGACCATTAGGAAAGACGCATTCCCGTAAATCTACCCGCGTACAGCAGTCGCCGGACGCCCACTATACATTCGCAAAAAAGCGAGCTACCTGTCCCGATTTACCTCTGGTAACTCAAAACCAATCGTATTCGACAAAATTCGGCTCTAGAATTAACCTTATTCGATTGGAAATTCTACGGATAAGATTGGAAAATTGTCGTATCCGATTGGTAATTTGTCGTATCTGATTGGTAATTCTACGAATAAGATTGGTTTTTTGTCGAATCCGATTCGAATTGAAATATTAAAACAAAACGGATTCGAATAATTACCAATCGGATTCGAAGAAAATCTTTTTTCTAGAGCCGAATTTTGTCGAATCCGATTAGTTTTGAGTTACCAGAGACGGTAAGTTAGATTCGCAGGTTATCAGTTGTACGGTACCCACAGATTAAATTCAAATTTGAATCACATACTCAAAAAAGTGCGTTGGTCCACAATTTATGCAAGTCGCTCGTTTTTTGCGATGGTAAACAATAAAGTTATTTGATATTTCGTAATTCTTATTGATACTCAATGAACTCTAAAATATTATTGCGACATGTTAGTCTCTTAACCAAAACTTATTTGATTTTCCTGAGTGTTTCGAAGATTTCTCGAGGAATTTTCGATGATTTTTTGTCGTTGCTGTTTGAAATTTTTGAACTCTTTCAAAAAAAAAATTTACCGAATGCGCTTTCCGCACATTTTTGATGATAATTGTTTATTGTGTCCCAATTCAATGTAAACACTTTTTCACGACTAGTCTTTTTTTTTTGTGTTTTTCTTTAATTTCTTCTTACAGTTATGCATTTTGTGAAAAAAGTTCCAACAAGTGAAGAAGAACGTGAATTAAAAAGGAAGGAGAACGAAAAGAGGTCAAAACAGTTTTTAAATGTTCGGAATAAAATTGTGGAAAAGCGCGAAAATGGCAAGTTTTCAATAGTCCAACGGAATAGCTTATTCTTCATTGCATACTTGCAACGGGGCGGGTCAGAGTGAAAATTCTACCGACCCGACCCGACCCGCTCGACCCGCTAATAAATTTTTTGAACAAAAGTTTATTTTAAAAAATCGAAAACGAAACAAAAACAGTGAAAGACGGTTCAATCAATTTTGTTTGAGGACTTCTGAACAATATTTGTTGCGAGAATAATTAATTCTACTCAAATAATGTAATTCGAAATTTTTTTTCGCTAAACAAGGGCCTCGCTGTAAACTTGGAGAAATTTGCAAGTATGCTTCATTGTGTTTACAATAACGTTTCAGTTGAATATGACGATGAAATGTTATCGTTGACTCAATCCGCTTTGGAAAAGAACGCAGATATTTACACTTTTTGGAATATACGTCGTATCACAATTTTGAAGCGACTTGAAGCAAATGAGATAGTCCAGAAGGTATAATCCTAGAGTGAAATGTTATATTTTTTTTTGTACAGGATTCCGAGGTTTCTCAAGACGAAAAAACCAAATCTCAACGAGACGTTGACAATATTTTAGTTGGAGAGTTAAGTTTATCCTATGAGTGTATCAAAGTAAATTTTTAATTTTTTTAAAATCATATTAATTATTTCAAGAGTAATCCAAAATCATACTCATCTTGGTATCATCGCGCATGGGTGTTGGAACGGCAAAGCTGCCCAGATTTCTCAAAAGAGCTTGCTCTATGTGAGAAAGCGTTAAAAACGGATTGCAGAAACTTTCATTGCTGGGACCATAGAAGAACAGTAGCAAAACTTGCAAAACGAACTGAACAAGAAGAATTCGGTTTTTCCCAAAAATTGATTGAAGATAACTTTTCTAATTATAGTGCTTGGCATTATAGGTAATTGTGATATAATTATTAGAACGCATGAAAACTAATTTCAGATCGATATCCTTGAAAAAGTTATACAGTGAAACAACAGGTCAATTCACGTTGGATCAGGAGATCATTGGGAAGGAATTGCAAGTTTGAACTTGTTTCTGTATTTCGTTTTGAGCATTTTTCTAAATTTTAGAAGGTGAAATTTGCATTTTACATGGACGCGGACGATCAGAGTGCATGGATGTATACAAGATGGCTTCTCGAGGCAGGTTCCGGAAAACAATTTCGTATGCAAACCATCTGATTTCTTTTGAGTTTTTTTTTTTAGTGCGACCAGACACATATATACCCATCGAACTAGTTTCTGCTTCTTTTCACGGGACTAATACAACGTTGGTCTTTACTAGGGCAATAAGTATCGATTATTTGCTGAGTTTCGTAAACACAGAGGACCGTACAAGGTGGAGGGGGGTAAGATATATTATTTTTAAAGGCCAAATTACATTTTTATCTATAGTTTTCTTCAACTTCGCCATGTCCAAAATCAAGCAAAGTATGGCAATATCTCTCAGACGCACCACTTCGAATTATTACTTCGCTGAGCAGTGAAACATTAAAATATATCGATATTTCGGAAAAAAAATTTGTTAACACCGTAGGAACAACACTAAAAATACATATGTATATATATATATATATATATAAATGAAATTCTTCAGAAATTAATTCGAAAAATTTATGGCACATGTAGCATTGAACTTCCTAGTTTAATTTCCGAGCTGCTTGCAGACTGTTCTAAATTAATAAGTTTAGAACCAAACAATAAGGTAGGTTGAATGAAATTTTGTCAAAATATAATTACTTTCAGTGGCCGCTTTACATGCAAACTCTTATTCTAATTGAGTACCAACCCAATTCGGAATTCAACACAATAATCAATAATTTGAAAAAATTGGAGACTGAACTTGATACTAAGCGAAGCAAAGTTAGTTAACCAAAATATGTTGGTTCTTGTTAATACAATATAGTCGGCGTCCAGGGACTACCACGCGGGTTGGTTTTACGAGTTTCCCTTTCGGTCTCGCTTTAGGTCTCGCGCCACACGTGAATGCTCTTCTTTTCTTATTTGCCTCCAAAAGTGCGATGGTCCACTATTATGCAAGGTGCTCGTTTTTTGCAATGGTAATAATTATGGAAGAATTTATGATCGTACTAAAATTTTAACAAATAAAAATAAAAAACATTCAACATTAATACCACGGCCAGAAAACGACCGCCTTGAAAAATTGTGGATCGTATATTTTCGACCAATACTGAATGCTGGGAAAAAGAACCGTTAATGGATTGAAACTTATTTCGAATATCTTACAAAACAAAAACATTCGTGCAGTAAGTTTAAAGTTGTATCTAGCAAATCATTCAGTAATCGGAATAATTAGGTTCAGACAGAGTCGGTCTGCAAGACTAGCTGATTCCACCAGATGTATATAGTGCAGGCTGAAATTTTGTGAACACACTGAGATGACCTTCTACTAGTTTAATAATCTTACCCCCATTCAGATAATTTTTCAACATTTCCTCCATTCAGCCCTTCCCACCCTCCATTTAGACAAAAAGTAGACGTTCCCACATTCAGCTTCCTCTCCGTTCACTATCTACTTATATTTTCGGGCGGTGTGTTAATATTCGATTTTATTTGTCGGTATTCGGGTACCGTCCTACGGATAACAGATAACGTGCAAATTAAACTTAGAGTAAATCTACGCAGAGTGCTCATTTTGCGCGATTGTGATATGATATTTTTTTAAATTAAATTCATATATCTTTTTTTTCAGCTATATCGTAATTTAGCATCTCGACAATGTCTCAACGCAGCTATTAGAGAAAATGATTTATTAGAAAAGTTACTTCGTGGCGAGACTGACTACGTTAAAGTAGCAAACTGTAAATTAAATTCGTAAGATTGGCCTGTTTAACGTAATAAAATATTAATTTCCAGCCTAGAAGGAATTGAATATTTATCAGGATTAATCGGACAAGCAGATTTTAGTGGAAATGAGATACATGATATAAGAAGAATTGTGTTACCAAACGCTTACCATATCAATCTAAATGAAAACCCAATTAAAAAGTTTTTTTTACTTTACAAAGTTAGTTGTAATTTTCTTTTTCAGGCTACTACCAAATGCATCTCTGTCTCATCTCAAATTTATATCTGTTGCTTCGACAGAAATTGCGAATGTAGAGGATGTTATGCCCTTGCTTCAAGTAACGCCCTCTCTTGAAAAATTCATATTTTGCGAAACTCTTCTCGTTGACCAAAGAGTCGACCTGGCCGAACAATTACCAGGCGTACGTCTCATTCCGTATTGGCTATAAATTTAAAATGAATGAAATATTTTATTTATAAATTATATTGAAAATTGAAAACCCGTCCTACTACAGAAATAATCCAATTGATTTTCTTTTTTCCGTTAAAGATATTCAGCGTCGGCCTCATCGCTTTCATATATACTTTCCAATAAAATATCAGTGTCAGTGCTCAATTTTTTGTAGCTGTTGGCAGGGAAATAAGAATATATGTAAATAGAAGACATAACCAAGCTAACACCATAAATTAGATAAGGTGTCAGAAGCCTTTCTCCCAATAAAATGGAAATAATTGACGTAAGACCTGCAACAACAAAAAATTAAAGCATGTGTAGACAATTTACCTATCGCAAAAGACTGACAATACGTTTTTACCACATTATCTGTGTATTTCATGACAAGACTAATACAAAGTCCTCCGACTGAATTTAGAAATGTCACCAGCCAAACAACTTGGGTCCAATTTTGAAATATTCCACCTTAATTGAATCATATTAAGGCATATTCAAACTACTAACTGTTAAAAATAATTTCGCCATCTGATGCAATCATGGTTATTCCTGCAAAGACCAGTGTAAGAAGTGAAAGTCGAATGTTCTGAATCCAAATATCCGCGGTCGAATTTTTGAGCATTTTTTCGAAATAAACTCCGGCAAAAGAGCTTGTCCAGCAGATCCCAACAACTGATGATATTCCAATAATCAAATTTCCTTTCGGCGACGAAGTGTTTTTTGACTTATCGAGCTGAATTTATATAATTGAATTTGTGTGTCTCATTTCAATTTTAAAATGGACTAAAAGTATGGAATCAATGGAATTCTAATTATGAAGATATTTTAATTGCCAGAAAATAATAAAAGTGATTCGCACCTGAACAAAAATCACCCCGATTAATGCCAGCAACTGTGCAGCCCATTGTTGCCGTGAAAGTTGTTTGTGTAATAAAGAAACAGATAAAAGGGCGGTAGTTAATATTCGCAGTTGCAGAGTAACCTGAATGTCTTTGTTAAGTTTTGTGATGTGCGTTTTATAGAAAAGAATCATGTTAAAATATATTAACTTAATACTTTTCAAGTTTAAGCTTTGCTGAAAACCGACAAACTATCTAAATTCTTCAATTTTGTCACTTTAGTATTGTCACTCAATTCATCCAAAAGCTTCACATAGTGAAGCCACGTTTTATGCAAAAAAAGTAGTAAAAGTAAAGTAAAGTAGGAAAGGTCGGGGATCGTGGAAATATTTTCTTTTTGGATACGCTAGTTAAAGGCGATTTCTGATTTTGTACCGATTACCAACAGGCTCATGTTTCTGGAAAATTATTGGAAAAGGTAGCTGCGAGGTTAAGCCCAAACCAAAAAATATTCGGTGACGGGAAATTCGAATTGAAAAAATTGAAGGAAATCAGCGGTGGTACTGCGGCTCGCCGCAAAGCACCATAGAAAAATTGGTTGACACTTTCAAAAAGCAAATGCAACGGCAGTATACAACTTCTGAGAAATTCTGCAAGTGCAGCACACTACCTATCGACTTATAAACTTTTCATGTCGATCCACCTAGCATATTTAGCCCAAATATCGTTAAAAATTTCATCGAAAAAATATGAAATTGATTACACTATACCGAATAAGTGGTTGGGTCGATATTTGCCAAAGCAATGTAATACAGATTGTTTTGAATGGCATACGCTACAGCTGGAATAGCAACCTATAAAATTATCACGTTATTTTAACTTTATTTCAATTTCATATTGTCGGATGACGACTGATTTAAATTCTGAAAAATAATTGGCTTATTGTTTGAAGGGAAGACCCTTGGGCCTATGTTCATTGACTCATACGTTTTGACTTATTTTATGATTTTTGACTAGTGATTTTTGACTATCAATTTTTGACTAATGATTTTCTGAATTTTTTTTAGTTGTGATTCCTGCAGTTTTTTTCAGTATTCAATTCTGTTATTTTGGCCAATGTTGATGGGTAAGAAGCTGAAGGGTGGGAGGAATTGGGAGAAATGTTATCACTGAATGGGGGAAAGTCTTTCGCCCCTATACCCAAGTCTATCGATCGATTTGCACGTCAGAACCGATGCAGACTTCCACCAGAGTTTCCTCTGGCTCATCCTGCTCAGGAATAGTTCACCATCTTTCGGGTCTTTCCCCTATTGCTCTACCTCTACACAGTTACAAGCAACACGCATAGGGTTGTGGTGCGCGTTATTGCGCGTTATAGTTATTACTAAATGAGGGAAAGATTATTTCTGAAAGGAAAAAAAGTTCTTTTAACTTCTGTAAGAATAAAAAATTGTTTTTTTTTGGCATTTCACCGCTTATCGATATCAAAAAGAAGCTTAGGCCCAGCTAAGCGGATCCACCGAAGGAATCGACTGTAACATTAAACGAATATCCGTAGTGGGTCAATTGGTATGTATGATTTGATATTTTTAGTAGTCTCCGTTAGTTTAATGAAAACAATTTTTTATGCTTAATAATCTTTCCCCCATTCAGTAATAACATTTCTCTCAATTCCTCCACCCCACCCCCAGCCTTCAGCTTCTTACCCATTAAAATTGGACAAAAAAACAGAATTGAATACTGAAAAAAACTGCAGGAATCTCAACTAAAAAAATTCAGAAAATCATTAGTCAAAAATTTTTAGTCAAAAAAAAAATAGTCAAAAATCACTAGTCAAAAATCATGAGTCAAAGAATAAAAAATCATGATACAATTTTTATGAGTCAAAAATCATGAGTCAAGTCAAAAAGTATGAGTCAATGGCCAGACACTTGCAAGACATAATTGTCGAACATTATGGTGAAACTTTAGACAGACACTGATTTTTGCTTAGACGTTGGCTAAGCACCGCACCATTTGAAATTGGGCGTACTATTGATTTCTATAAAAAACTGCAACTTTCAAATTTCACAATCATTATATGCATTGTGCGTTGTTTTACACGCTTAGCATTTTAGTGAGCGTTTATTTAATTCCCAGACAACTTGTAAATTTACATAGTCGTAAATCTACCCCTGTCAATTGCTTGAAATTCACAATACCTTTATTGTTTCAAATCGATTTTCTATTAAAGTGTGGTGCAAATTTTTCAAAGCCCTGAAAAAATTAAAAATAAATAGTTTATGGTTATTAGATTTAGTTACCTCAAAATTGACCCCTCTTTGAAGATTGTTATTATAAAACAAAATATTAATTTTAAAATCTCCATTATAAAAACCGAGGTCGTGGGAATGAAATGTGACTGAAATTCGTGATGGTCAGTATATACAGTTAGTAGTTAATAAACAATTGTTCAATATATTTAAGAATTTCCAATTAAAAAATTGAGAAATAAATACCTTGTTTGCTATTCGCACCAAAAATGGCATTATTGTTGCGTGAAGAGTAACAGACAACATCGAAAATGTTTGAAGTGACCATATTCGATTAATAAACTAAAAGGATATTTTGCTTATTTTTGCAACGATGCAATACAATAAATTAAATATTAGATACTTATTTTAATTTGGATTCCAACAATTCAATCTTACCGATATTTGGTCTCGTTGTATTACAATTCCTTTTTCTCGCAGAATGTTTGTTTTATCTCTGTGCATAACTATAAATTAAAATATGTCTAGTAACCGTATTGCACACACAATCGATCAATATACATTCCATTTTAGCAAACATTATCTATTTGCATAATGAATCATAGATTGCAATACGCAAAAAACAAAAGATTATGTTCTAAACACAATTTCAAATACAACGCTATTAAAATTCGTGTTGTATAACTGAAAAAAACGATCCAAACGTCACCCAATCTATCCCCACCACCCGTGGCTTTTTTTTATTATTTATTTTGTCGTTTATTTTAAATTTTATGACATGACGAAGTAAACATAAAACATTGAATGCTTTAGAAGAAAATCAAAGCAAACGTCGATGTGGAATCCATGGCAACCACAACAATAGCAAAATCGATTTTTGCAAATGCAAATATTATAATAAAATATGTATAAACCGAAAACTGTACATGTCTGCCTACTCCGCATTTTAGTGTACGAGCAATTAATACGATTATTACCATTTAAAAATGCAAGCGTCTTGAATTGTGGACCATAACACTTTTTCGAGAGAGCAATTCAAATTTGAACTGAAACAGTGGAAATTCAGGTACCATAATGCGGAAAACCTGCAAAGCCAACTCACCGTAAACCTCCACAGGGCGCTTATTTTTGCGAATATAATACTCTGTTTCACAAACAAAAAACGGCTACCGTAATTATTCTATAATTTGCGGAATTGTGTATCCAGATATCAATAATCGATCATTAGTAACTACATTTATTTAAATATTCAAATTGATTATACTGAAGGAAATCTATTTGCTTAATATCAATTATGGGCTTATTCATAGAATGGTTTTTAACAAAAAATTAAATATTACATGAAATGTGAATTTCTTACATGCTTACATAAAAATGTGTAGTTTAGAGAAAATATTTTTTATTACATGAATAAGTCCACTAAAAAGCAAAAATGGCTCTTAGGTTGGGCTATTGTCTAATGAATTTTGTTGTGGTATCTGAAGATGCTGTGGGCTCTCTCTGCGTCGATGTAAATCAGAGCGAATTCTCGGTGATATTGCGCGATGAGGAGGGGTCGAAGTCATTGTTGACGGCATGTTTGGTACTTCCACTGATGGAATTGCGTCGACGCCTCTTACACGAACAGAGCGATGCTAAAAACAGTTAATGTATACATGTCATTGAAAAATGGTTACCACTTCTGCAGTATTGCAGGAAATTTCTTTTGGTGGTGTGTTTGATTCCGATCTTGAAGCAGTATATTCACTTCGTTCTTCAACAGGCGTGACAGTAGGCTGCCATTCAAGTGTTGATCCTTCATTTGCTAGACTCGGCGGTGCAGAAAGCAACATGTTATTCACGTTCTCATCCGTTTTCACCTTTAAATTTTGTTTGTTACCGAAAAATAGCGGGTGCCAATTTAGGTCAGCAGAACAGTGTGTGCTCTTGGGAAAGAATCTATTGAGAATTCCATAAACTACCTATATCAAAAAATCTCGCGGACTCGCGGGCGTACCGGAAAATTTTTTGCAACTAATTAGTCTCAAATACCGTGGGGTACTTTTTTGAAGCTGAAATTTCAGAAATTTAAACTGAATCTTGTTAGAAGTGTTGAAAAGTGTTCTTATGGGTCAATTTAGGATGTTAGAAAATTTCAGGAAACTAATTTAGCGAACTAAAATTTTAGAAATTGATACATCTGTCAAAACGTGCCAAAAGTAAGTATAGTTACTATAGTAGTTATTGACGGTTTTCAGACTTGCTTACGCATTTTTTCAAGAGGTTTCTTCTCAAAACGGCTCAGATAAACACAAAATTTAAGAGATTTTGAAATATCTCGAACCTCGCTTGTAGTTGCTTTGACTCGTTTGCTAGAATGCGTACTTGTTTGCAGTCTCGTGGGCGTCCTATAATGTGATAATAACGTTATCTTCTAAAACTTCGAACCTCGAGCGACTAGGAATTTTTTCCTGGTGTTCTTCATAAACTCTATCCAAACGGTCATGACCATGAAGCAAAAGAATAGCCTGCTCTGTTCCAACTTTATCAATTGTGTGAATGACCTTAATAATGCAAAATAATTTTAAATATAATAAGCCTGGTAACCTTTCGTCCTATATTTTTCCAATTGTAGATAGCCTGTTTTCTTTGTCGAGCGCGCGTTTTTTTAGTTTGCTTTATGACCATCAAACCACGAACTTCCATACCCGAAGAGCCTTCCTGGTCTAGACGAATACTATACTCCAATTGGCTGGCAGCTAATCGTTCTTTCCCAACTGATCGCTCCAAAACCATCACAATTTGAGCATACTGAAGTGCTCATCATGGAAATAGCGGAATTATACTTCATACCTGTTGACGCCAAGCTTTCTCAGCTTGAGCTATAACGGTAGTATATGTGTTACCCATCATCGCAATGAGAATGTTGATCATCATAATTGGCATAACAAACATGTATAGGACAAATAGAGTCTTCGTTAAAGGCTCATAGTTAGCGCATGAGAATTCTTCGTACTAAATTCAGCTATCGTTTTTTTTTTAATTGAAATGAAAACTACATCGTATCCACCCATAGATGCGCGAAAAAGTGTAATGAAAGTTTCTGGAAAAGTATTATAAGTGTAAATAGTGTAGCCAGATATGCGGCATGCGTGAGGGTTGGTATCTTCAAGTTTCTGCTTGGCGTCCATGTCTTTTCCCACAAAATAGAAAACTGAAAGTCTTTGTCAAACGTTTTTAGCCATTTTTAAAAACCTTGTGAAAATGATACAAGAAAAATTGCCGATATTATTGCGAAACGTATCATATCTCCAGCAATCATACTATAAATCATTTGGACGAATGGACCAGTTAATTTTGCACTCCTGGAAAATGATACAGATAAAATTAACGTATATTATTTTCAAGGCAGAAAACGAGAACGTTTATCAATTTCAGGACTAGCTCCAACTAATTTTTAAAATTCAGATTTTACCTTGCAAAAAATAGAAGAAAAATCCACGATCCAGGCAAAGCAAACACAAATAATGCCTCTTCAATCTCATGAAATTTTAGAAAACGAAATGGGATACAGAGAAGTAAAAACAAATTAGCAATACAAAACACTGCTTTTGCCGGAGCGGTTTTCTGAAATTCAAATGATTTTTTTTTGGAAACTTTCAGGAACTAACCAAATTTCTTAAATAACCTCGAACTCCTTGTGTTCTTATTTCTCCTACCTGTTGATAGCAAACAAAAAACAAACAGTTCAATATGGTTAACACTTCACAAGCCGTTCGAATCTGGATTTTTAAGCAAAAAAAATGAAATTTAAACCGTCAATTTAATTACATAATCGTCCCATTGTGGGGACTTCATGTAAAGTCTCTCAAGTTCCGTTGGGCGAATATAAACCACGATAGAGAGCGTGATTAATTGAAAAATAAGAAGAACGAGACGTTCAATGAGTTTTCTCTTTAAAATATAATAAATTATGAACAACATTTTTTTTTAGATACTTGTGCAAATGCTTTCCACTTATCAGCAAGCAATCTTTGAATTACTTCACTTCCAATCATGTCTAAATGTTCCGGTGTTGAACCATTTATAACTGTCATCAATGCAGAGTCATAGTCTGCAAAGTCACTTATTAAAACTCGATTCAAATTTGTTAAACTTGTCGATCCATCTGGTTGAATAGTGTCAAGCGTGTTTAAAGGATATGCAGAGCACGTCATGTCAGAAAATCTCCAAAACTCCACTTTCATGATTTCCAGCATTTCTTCAAAAATGTGTTTGCGACCCAATTTTGTAGCAAGGGTTAAGGGAGTGAACCCAGCGTGGTTGACAACATGCGGATCCGCTGGTTTCGCCCAATGGCGAACAGCATATGAATACATCGACTGTAAATAAAAATTTCTTGTGCTTTCTTACGTTGACCCTACACTGCTGTAATTGATTACACACATATGTAGTATAGTATTTCCAAAAGAGTCTTGCAAATTTGGGTTAGCACCAAACTGTATTAGTAAATCGTAAATGTCTTTGTTGCCAAAACAAGCTGCAAAAGCAAGCGGATACTCTCCGTAATAAGCGTATCCTAAAAGTACAATTTATGATTTTGAGTTTGTGTAAATTTTGAACCTTGATAATCGGTTATTTTATTTGTCAGTTTAAAGTCTTCAGGAAGAAAAAAGTTTCCACATGCTCTGGCGTTTACATCTGCTTTATTATTTAAAAGCAAGCTCACAGTTTCATAATCATCGTGAACAATAGCCAAGTGTAGAGCGCTTTGACCTTAAAGTTTACACGTTAATAAACCAGGTTTTGAGGTACAATTTTTTGAAGGTAACTGCACAAACTATTATGAAAAACTAACAATTTGAAAAAATAAATGCAAAAGATAGCACGATAAACGTCTTCGGATAAATCAATTTTCTTACCAAACTGTTCGTCTCCTAAATAAATGTCGTTTGCAAGCCCCGGAAATCGTTTTATTAGTATTCTAGCAATCTCATAGCAAACTTGTTGCTCACTGCAATTGCGAAAATTTTAATTAAAATTTCTGCGAAAACACTACCGATTCAATAACAAATGTATGAGATTCTCGCCTTCAACCCCTCTTTTGTTAAGCTTCCAAAGTGCAAAATGCTCTTTAAATTTGGTCTCCAACATGTCGATTCCCTCTTCGTTCAGTCCTAGTTGTACATTCTTAATGAAAACATACATATATGTAGTCACAATATAGCTTTAACGTAATCATGTTTTTATATAGATAAAAGTGCACTAGCAATAATATGAATGACTGACTATAAATACACTTTAGTAATATTTGTTGTCATTCTATGTTCTTCATGAATTTCTTGCTATTTATTCTCGTTACATTCACCATTATTTATGCTGGTCTGAATAGTTCGGCTGTTTCATCGCCGGACGATTCTAAAAAACTTTCGATTCAATTTCTCAATAGGCCAGCGTCATCATCTACGCCATCATCTGAAGAATCTTCTACAAATCAGACACCCACTGAAGCGGAACCATCTGAAGTAGCTTCCGAGCTACCCGAACAAGATTCTTCTCCCGAACCATCGGAAGAAGTTTTCAAAGTTGTTATTTTAAAACTTGCGAACGGGCAACGTTTGAGTTTCGATAAATAATACAGGTTTACCATTTTATGTAAAATCGTGTTTTTTAAAATGTAACATTTTAATTTTCAGATTCACTCACTACTCCCTTCTTCCACTTGACATAGTCGGAATATGTCACGAGTTTTGGTTCACGACCCTCGTTGTATAATAACGTTGATAGTTTTTCTTCTGCGAACTTGAGAACACCATCTTCCCCATCTCTTTCATAAATGTTTATTAGCTCACCACCTCAATATAAAATTTCATTTAAAACAATATAATAATAAATGACTACCTTTTCGAACTCCTACCCATTTGTAAATGTGATTTTTTTCTCTTTCGCGATACAGATTGGACCATTTTTCGTCAGGATCGAAAGCGAGTTTCACACCATCGCCACGTGGCTCAGTTTTATTTCGTGAATTTGAACTGCCCATATAAATAGATACTAGTGCAGTTGTCGAATCTGGAATTATGCAAATACAATAGTTCTTCTCAATTAATTTTCTCAGATTTTAGTAGACGAACAAGGTAATAAAATTACTTCTTCCGCAATGGTCTGGCCACAAGCGTATGTTTATTTGTTAAATTAATTGAAAACAAGGTAAATGTATCAAATTGGCTATATACTATATACTATATAGCCAAATTTCAAATATATATATATATATACTATATAGGAAATTCCTTTAACTTTTGCAAAGCCAACAGAACATTTTTTCTGAAGTATGTTATGTACTTCAGATATTTTCATAGGATTGTGAAACACTCTTGAGAAATAACACAAACACGAATGTAAGAAAAATTTAGGAGGATTTTCAGAAACTCAGTATTTTTAAATTTCAGAAAATATAATTTGAAATTAGAAAATCTATAGATTTGCGCTAGGCATTGACCACATTATTTTTGGTTTTCCGAAAATGAAATATATCTGTTAAAAATTGCGGGCGTATGAAGACCCCGCTTAAGGAAAGTATTGAATGCTGAGTCGGCGTCCTGCTACTAATGAGTAGAGGTAGATTTACGAGTATGCGTCATTCTCTATGGTCTCGCGCGAATGCCTTGATTATGCCTTGACTTTTACATCGCTGAACACCGAGTATGTATACATCAATGTTATTAAAAATCAACCGAATTGTTAAATTTTTGAGAATTGCATTAAATTCAATATTATCATAAAAAATAAAATGCAGTAAAAAAAAGCGCATTAAATGTAATTTTTGTATTTAATGAATAGACAGAATAGGAATATAAAATTTGTCGATTGACATGGAGTCAACTTGTTCGCTCTTGAAAACTGGTATAAAAATTATAATCGATAAATGCTTAGAACAATGGTGATGAAATTAGAAAATGATTGAGCCTGAAAATTCATCAAAGCAGGTGGTTGTTATGGGGAATTCTGAGCGAATATGCAATTGGTCGGAAAAATGGCATGAGCTCGTTCTCTACACATACGAGCACACATCTACATCTACACATACGCACACACATCTCTCTGACTTGTTCGTCGTGTTTGAGCGGCAGAATTGTATTCTGAAGGCGACACCTCGCGTCGCGTTTTCTTGCTTTCGCCTTATTGGCTGAGAGAAAATGAAACGATTAGAAATAACGCAAAGAAGAGAAAGCGGTAGAGTGGGAAATTCCGAAAAAATAAAAAAATCCTTCTACTCAGACATCGATTAAACGCGAAAATAGTTTTATGCGCTATTGGTATCTATATGTTTAAAAAAATTCAAATGATTCTTTTCAGGTTGTCGTAAATTACCCGGAACGTAATTTAATTCAATAAATTCCGAGTTTCTTATATCGAGACTTCAATACAAGAAGGAAAAGGGAGGGGTGGGGGGAGGTTGGCGAGTATTCAGAAGAAAGTTTGCTGAGGAAGTTGCTATTGGGTTAAGAAGACTTAAATTTTTTTTTGCAATATGCATAACACACAGTTGTTATTTGATTTGAGATTCACCAAAAAGAACATTAATTCGATGAGCGCATGACGCTACAAAATGAGGTAAATTTGTCTGTATTTCAATTTTCATTTTTTTTTCAAAAATTTTAGTTACTAGTACTTTGCCGATTCTTTCCTCACAATCAGTCAGAATAGCATAATATTGGTGAACATCTAACTATTTATTCTTTTTCAATCACGTGACTGCCACTCTGCTGTCTTATTGATCTATCGGTTGTTTTAATTTTCTTGCAATGTGGCTAACTCAGCTGTACTTATTTTGACGTATGAAGAGTAGCCATCTTGACATTCATATAACTTCCTCTCATTGGAAACTACATATCTCCTTGTTGTTGCTATCTTCACGCAAACCAATAATCTTTATGGTGCAGTATATAATATTATGAGTACGTCTGAGTTCTTCTCCGTTAGGGTCAAGGTTTCTGCAGCCTAAAATGATGCTGAAAGCAGATTTTGGTTGAAGAGCTTCGCTCGGTTCTTTGGACAACTGAGAGTGTCTAGCACTTGCTCGATTGACTTGAATGCATACTATCCTATTCTTCTTCATGAATTTTAAGCGTAATTTGTTTTTTGAGTTGAGCTGTCTTCCAAAATACGCATTTTCTTCGACTTTTTCAATGGTGGAGTATACGATTTTGATTCTTGATAGGCGACTATGGAGTAAAGTTATTTTACCTTGACTTGGCATTGGCTTATCTCATTTTCAAGCCAATTTTCAATGACCGGTAGATTCAGAATTATGGCGGCTTCTTCCTGATTATTTCATATGGGAAACGTCGTCGGCAAATTTCAGGTGACTTAAAGATGCTACCCAAACTCGATACATTAATTATAGGTACAATAGTAGTATACAACTAGGTGAAAATGTTCTTAAAAATTTTACTTTGTCAGCGGAAAAATGAGTTCAAATGAGATGGACGTTTTTTGGGTTTTTCTGTGAAATTTGCGTAACGTTACTTTCATGCATTTTTTTCGCGCTACCATATACATATTTCAATTTTTCTCGTTTTTAAGCCTCGAGTGTTAAATATTTAAGACCAATAGTGTAAAATTCTTGCGAGAATATTCAAAGGACAGACCGTAAGCCTATCTATGTTGGCGGAAATTTAAAAGTATTCTCATATCTTGCAAATTTTTCGAGTTTGTGTGGTCTTTAACTTTCGACCACTGGATTTGATTTCATTATTTATTCAGGTAAACCACATCTGGATACAGTGGACTCCAGACGATTTAACTGTTTTGTACAAACGGTGAAACGTATTTACAAAAAGAAAATTAATATTCTTTTCTTCTTTTTTATGTCTGTTCTCATTCACATATCATTGTTGGGAATATTGCTTATGTGAATATATACCAATTCGATATGGAAAGCCGTTTAAATTTAGTAAATATATATAAATATAAATAAATAAATATATATATATATATATATATACGTATTGTCGGAGTCAAACGACTTGACGAAATTAAAAAAAATATTGGCTATGTGCCAATGCGTCTCGATGCAGCGTGAAGTACGCGAGACTGCGTACATTGCATTATAGCGTACGCGCATTTAATAATTTTGAAGGCCCCATCTTCATTCTATCGTTTGACGACGACAATAAAACATCTCAAAAAAGATATAAGCGATACTAACATATTAAATTAATAGAACAATTAAAAAAGATAAAAAAATGGAAGGAAGAACTTTCGAAATACCTGCGGCATCGATATAAAAGACATTGAACTCGCGGAGGTTGGATATATTTCTGAAAATCGTATATCTATTATATATAGACGGTATTAGACGGACGAGCTTATGTTTCGATTTCTGTATAATACCACCTCCCTGAGGCGAAAAAATTTTTGCCAATAAATAAAGCAAACCACCTATATAAATATAATTCCGGAGGCCAAGATGATTCCGCGCTTTTCAAGTCCGTATTACAATAAGGTGAATTGCAGATCCATTGCTCAATGCCAGTAAACGACTTTGTATATCCAATCTATAAATGTTGAAATATTTAAGATTCGGTATTGTAAATTACCTTCAGTTTAGTTGCGTTTTCAATTGAAACTGATTTGACACATCCACGATATACGTCCCCATTAGGCGTCGCGCTAATGAAACAAAATTCACCCAAACAAGATGATCCCGTCTTAACATGCGGTAGCCTTGGCGAGAAGTAGTCTACATAGCATTGAATATATGGAACCTGTGGTTCCGCAGGAAGTTGCAATGTTGTATGAAGTTTCTTTAATTAGGAAATTTATATATATATGTATATATATATTGCTATAAACATCGTTGCCGTAACATGATTTCACTCCAGGTTCACCTCCGTACTCCAGCCAAACACAACTTCCAGGGTAAAAATTAAAAACTGTGGATGATGGAAAAATGTCAAATTCGTTTTCTTTATTACAATCCTTTCTCATCCATGTAACATTCACGGTTATTTCCGCCTATAAACAAAATTAAACTTGAGTTCGAAAGTTTTTTGGAATTGGCAATTCATGCGGTAATGCCATACTTTTCTAATTGAACAACTACAATAATTTCCTGCGCACGGCTTTACCCATCGTGGAATCGGTCGATTATCAATATGCTCTGGCTGACACGTTTGTACAGGGAGATTAAACCTTTCCAAATTAGCAATTTGCGTAAAATTCTGATTGCAGAATTCTGATCTGAAAGAAGGCGTAGAGCGTGAATTTTAAGAAGAAACGGAGAAATAGTAAGAAATAGTTTTAAAGTTTTTCTGAGACATTGGCTTCGTTGTTTTCACGCATTTTTGTGCGCTACTATATATTTCAATATTTCCTGAACAGTGTGTGCTCTCGGAAGAGAATTTCCAGAGAATTCCCTACACTACCCAGAAACAAAATTCTAGAGACTCCAGGAAGCACCGAGAAATTTTCGAAATTACTAGTCGTACGCGCGACGGGTAGTCGCGCATACGGGAACCGAGAGTCTCGAGACTTTCTCGGGAATTTTTCCGAGACGCCCGAGAACTTCTCGGGAAAAATAATACATTAATAAATCGTTTTTTTTTTTGCATACGATTGTTTGCGATTAAAGTTATGTCTAAGGTTTTCGTACCATAAGGTCTTAGTGCCATATGTTTCATCAAGACCAAAATTTCAAGTTCGCGTGTTTAGCGGACCGCAATTCAAAACCGAATCGCGGTTAAAGCGAAACAGTAAACTACATAGTATTTTAGTTTCGAAAATAATGTATGCAATATCTTTATTCGTTCAAATTCTTTCTTTATCTGATGCGTAATGTGAGTATTTAGTTTGGGTGGCATATCAATCACTTTTAACTTACAAGGGAGGTCTTTTTGCTGTCCGTCTTAAATCATTTTTTATTTTTTGCATACAGATTCTTTAGAGAACATTTCTAACCGAATGAACTAGGTCCCTTCCTACCTGCGAAAACTTCTAGTATGCAAAATTCACGTGGGGTGTGGCTAAAACATTGATGGTCCATATCTCGAAAACTAGAAGTTTGCGCAGGTAGAGACCTAGTTCATTCCATTAGAAACTTTCTAAAGAATCTGTATGCAAAAAATAAACAACTTTCAAGACGGACAGCAAAAAGACCTTCCTTGTTAGCATTTGCTAATATTGAAACGATCTTAAAAGAGAAAAAATAATTTTTTTTTGTTCACTAAAAAAATCACGTGAAAGTCTCGAGACTCCCGAGAAAGTCTCGAGAAGTTCTCGCAAGTCTCGGTACTTTTTGGAAAGTCTCGGGAGTCTCGAAGAGATTCTCGAGAGAAATTCTCTCGGTACCGGTTGATTTTCTCGATTTTTCTCGAGAATTTTTTCTCGAGAGCACACACTGTTCCTGAACTTTAGGCCTGAAATGTTAATAAAACAAGATCAAAAATATATAGATACATTTGTATTTTCGAGAAAATCCAAAAACCGTAAGCACCATTTTTTGCGTCAATTCAAACGTCTTTTTTTCATTTCCAGGAAATTTTTGCGTTTGGGAAGTATCTGTGTAAATCGAAGATTGAATTACCGCCCCGAAAAAAAATACGATGGACCATAAATTCTCAGAGTGCTCGTTTTTTCGATTGTAATATATTGTCGAATTTGAATGATTTCGCATTTGTTAACTACAAATAACTACGCTTTTGTGGAAAGCAGACTATTATTTCTAAATGAAAACACATAATTTTTTTTAATTATGCTGATTTCATCAGAAGAATTGTTAGTAATCCGGATCCCTATAAGAAAACGGATAACTTTTAAAATTGAAACACTTACCGACAAAGACACATGACATTCCCATGATGATTAACACGGCATCCTTCTTGTGTTATTTCGCCAATAACACATCCTTTCTTAATTTTCATATGTACGTATATACAACATATAGTTTGTAACAGGGCAATGTAGAAAAAAAGAAAAAAGAAAAAAAGAGTGTTTTTTTTTAATGTTAAATGGGTTCTTTAAAGTATATAGAAATCATTGAAGTTATATAAGAAATCAAATAAATAAATCGAAAAATGAAAATTCTACGTCAACACGTAGTGGAGAATCACATTGCAAATTTAAAAAAAAAACCTATGTATGTACATATTTTCGACAAGAAAAATGCCAGGCTGTTTAAAAAATGAAATTGGGTATTTTTAATTATTTGAATGCTTCTTATTTAATTTTTTGATACGAAATGGATCATAAATGGACAATTATGCCTTTCCAATAAAGAAATAATTATTGTAAATGATTTTAAAATGCACATGTGTTCGTTTTTTCTAGAAATCCTCCAATAATTGATTAAGATTGATAAAGTGACAAAAATGTGTCAGGCCGGCCGAAGCCGCCCTTTTTTATGTTTGGACAAATCTTTTTCTTTTTTTTTTAAATTAAAGTTAACGTCTTGTTTGTACTAGTTATTTTTTCAATAGGGATTTTAACTCTGACTTTTATTAAAAAATGTCAAACTGTCCCTTTTTTGCCATGATTAACGGGCCAATGTTCATTTACTCATACTTTTTGACTTGACTCATAAAAATTGTATTATGATTTTTTATTCTTTGACTCATGATTTTTGACTAGTGATTTTTGACTAATTTTTTTTTGACAAACAATTTTTGACTAATGATTTTCTGAATCTTTTTATTTGAGATTCTTGCAGTTTTTTTCAGTATTCAATTCTGTTTTTTTTTGGCCAATATTGATGTGTAAGAAGCTGAAGGGTGGGAGGAATTGGGAGAAATGTTATTACTGAATGGGGGAAAAATTAATACTGAAAGGAAAAAAAGTTCTTTCAACTTCTGTGAGCATAAAAATTGTTTTTTTTTTTTGGCATTTCATCGCTTATCGATTTCAATGAGAAGCTTAATTCCAGCTAAGCGGATTCACCGAAGGAATCGACTGTAACATTAAACGAATATCCGTAGTAGGCCAAATGATATGTATGATCTGATATTTTTTAGTAGTCTCCGTTAGTTTAATGAAAACAACTAAACACAGTTTTTATTCGATAACATATTTATTAAAACTTTTGAAATTAATCAATCATTGAAATTTTCGATAGATCATTATACCGTTAAAACTTTATCAAATCGGTACTTCTAACAAAACAGCCTTCAAAAAACTTCTCAAAGTATAACAATGTCTTATTTTTTGAATATACCGTTTTTCCTGAATTTTGATGAGAAATCGAAAATTATGCCGTTTTAAAACAGGCCTGACCGTATAAGCTAAAATAATTTGCAAAATAAATTAATAAAATATCACTTATCGCGTTATTCCATCCATTTCCCTCCTTTATTCACGCTCAATAATAAATGATATCGAATAAAAACTGTGTTTAGTTGTTTTCATTAAACTAACGGAGACTACTAAAAAATATCAAATCATACATATCATTTGGCCTACTACGGATATTCGTTTAATGTTACAGTCGATTCCTTCGGTGGATCCGCTTAGCTGGGATTAAGCTTCTCATTGAAATCGATAGCGATGAAATGCCAAAAAAAAACAATTTTTTAAGCTTACAGAAGTTAAAATAACTTTTTTTCCTTTCAGTAATAATCTTTCCCCCATTCGTAAATAATAAAATAATCTTTCCCCCAACAGTAATAATCGTTCCCCCAACATTTCTCTCAATTCCTCCCACCCTTCAGCTTCTTACCCATCAATATTGGCCAAAAAAACAAAATTGAATACTGAAAAAAACTGCAGGAATCTCAACTAAAAAAATTAGAAAATCATTAGTCAAAAATTGTTAGTCAAAAATCATGAGTCAAGTCAAAAAGTATGAGTCAATGAACATTGGCCTCATGACTACTTACATTATTCTTTTTGTAATTGATATTGCTAGGTAAATGATTCTTGTCAAGTTTAAAGAACATAAATGAAAAAAATAATGACAAAAAATAAATTTATTCGTGCAATGAAAAAAATTGATTTTTCAATGTCATTTTTTGCATGAATAGGTCCATAAACTCTTGTGTTTTTTCGGTAAATAAAATGCACAAATTACACGTAGCCGTAAAAAAATGCATTTAATGTAAACACATGCTCATTCATGGAAATTCGTTTTTTCGTTACTGATTTTTTTGTTTCAAATACCTATCCAGGTCTGTTGGATAATGAATGAAGTACAAGCAACCCGTTACCTTCATTTAAAAAAAAGAAAGAAAAAGATTTGACCAAACAAGACAAATTGTGAAAAAGACCGGCTTCGGCCGGCCTGGGTCATTTTTGTCAAATTATCAATCTTAATTAATTATTGAAGGATTTCTATATCGAAACTATTAAGTTCGCAAAAAAGAGCACATGTGCATCATAAAACAATTTTCTCTCCTTCTCCAATTGGTGAACATTCCGAATAATGACTTTGATACTTTCTTGGTAAGCAGTTTAAAGAACCCATTTTACATTACAAATAATTATTTCTTCTTATTTATTTTTTTTTTATATTTTTTTACACTTTCCTATAACAAGGCTATTTGTAAGTCAGTTAAAGTTTTCACAATGACATAATATTTGGTAGATACCGAATGGATTGGATGGGGGTAAACCGGTGAAAATGGAAAAAACGATGAATGGGGGAACGTCTACTTTTCGTTTTTTTGGGGGAAGAGCTGAATGGGGGTAAAGTTGAAAAACTTTAATTCTGAATAAGGGTAAGATTATCACTGAACAAAATTTTTTTTTCATTTTTGTAAGCGTAAAACTACGAAATTGTTTTTTTGGAGTTTCACCACTAATCGATTTTAAAAATATAATCCCCATGATATTTATAGATGTTTAAGAGTCCAGCTGAAAAGAAAATTTAAAACAAAATTTGTTTTATTTAAATTTGTTTCGTTAAATTTATTTTAAATTTGTTTCGTTATCACTCCCTGGTCCACCCAAGCCAAGGACTGAAAAGCTTGGAAAGCTGTGGTTCGCGCCTCAACAGGCGAAGGACGAACCGACTAAGTGACTAAGTAAGTAAGTAAGTAAGAAATCTTACCCCCCCCTCCCATAAAGAAATAACATTTTTCAACTTTACCCCGATTCAGCCCCACTCCCATTAAGACAAAAAGTAGACTTTCTCAAATTCAGCTATTTCACCTCCGCCCATTCAGCCCCCCCCAATTCAGTATTTGCCGTAATATTTGAATTACTTGTAACACTGGAAAGTTTGCATTGGCATAGAAATATTCGGCTTGAAAACAATAATCGCCTTGACAGGTACTTTTGCTGTTTTGACAACTGAAATTTTTATATTTTCTAATTTTACAGTCCATTTATGATCGAAGTTAATAATTTTAATTTTTCCAATGGACTACAATGGTATAAAGAAAAATAGTGATACTGCACATACGAGGTGTGCGAAATTTTATCGTGTTTTTGTTCCGTTTTCCTAATTCCCCAAATGCATTTGGTATATACCACAGAAGCCTGATGAACTAGCTGTAAGATTTCCTATCCTATTTGGATGCTAACTTCAGCGTAATGGGACACTTAGTGATTTCTTTTAATTGAGGATTGTCCATTACATCAAAAGAGGTTGGCCGATCGGGGGTCTGGAGAACGTTTCAAGCTGTAATAGAGCCAAAAGTTTTTTTAAAGAAATTTGATATTTGGTTTAAATGTACCTTTTACATTAAAATACAACATGCGCAACTAATGTTGTGATTCGGTTTGAGAATCCTCCATAAATCACATTTATTCAAGAAGCGACTTCCGGCCAATGTTCATTGACTCATACTTTTTGACTTGGCTCATGATTTTTGACTCATAAAAATTGTATCATGATTTTTATTCTTTTACTCATGATTTTTGACAAGTGATTTTTGACTAATTTTTTTGACTAACAATTTTTGACTAATGATTTTCTGAATTTTTTTAGTTGAGATTCCTGCAGTTTTTCCAGTATTCAATTCTGTTTTTTTTTGGCCAATATTGATGGGTAAGAAGCTGAAGGGTGAGAGGAATTGGGAGAAATGTTATTACTGAATGGGGGAAAGATTATTAGTGAAAGGAAAAAAGTTCTTTTAACTTCTGTAAGGATAAAAAATTGTTTTTTTTTGGCATTTCATCGCTTATCGATTTCAATGAGAAGCTTAATCCCAGCTAAGCGGGTCCACCGAAGGAATCGACTGTAAAATTAAACGAATATCCGTAGTGGGCCAAATGGTATGTATGATTTGATATTTTTAGTAGTCTTCGTTAGTTTAATGAAAACAACTAAACACAGTTTTTATTCGATAACATTTATTATTGAGCGTGAATAAAGGAGGGAAATGGATGGAATAACGCGATAAGTGATTTTTTATTGATTTATTTTGCAAATTATTTTAGCTTATTCGGTCAGGCTTTTTTTAAAACGGCATAATTTTCGATTTCTCATCAAAATTCAGGAAAAACGGTATATTCAAAAAAATTATTAAAAACTTTTAAAATTAATCAATCATTGAAATTTTCGATAGATCATTATAAAAAAAACCTAAACCTTTATCAAAATGGTACTTCTAACAAAACAGCCTTCAAAAAACTTCTCACAGTATAACAATGTCTTATTTTTTGAATATACCGTTTTTCCTGAATTTTGATGAGAAATCGAAAATTATGCCGTTTTAAAACAGGCTCCCCTTTCAGTAATAATCTTTCCCCCATTCAGTAATAACATTTCTCCCAATTCCTCCCACCCTTCAGCTTCTTACCCATCAATATTGGCCAAAAAAAACAGAATTGAATACTGGAAAAACTGCAGGAATCTCAACTAAAAAAATTCAGAAAATCATTAGTCAAAAATTGTTAGTCAAAAAAATTAGTCAAAAATCACTAGTCAAAAATCATGAGTCAAAGAATAAAAAATCATGATACAATTTTTATGAGTCAAAAATCATGAGCCAAGTCAAAAAGTATGAGTCAATGAACATTGGCCGCGACTTCCACGAAATATTGAGGCAGAAATGGCATGTTAGTAAATATGTTACAATTTTCGAGCACTTAGTTCAATAAAACGAATATCTTTAGTCAGATATTTGTAAAATGTTTTTTTTTTTTCAATAAAATATAATACATATAATTTGTTATATGTATTTATATTGACGACGGACAAATTTGTGGCGCGATTGCTTTATTGTTTGAATGGCGGAGTATGAGCCGTTTTTATTTTGCGCCAATTAAATGGCAGTTTAATTTAACAGATAGGTTGATTGACGCCGACAATATGTATACATATGTATACAACAACAATATGTATACATATTGTCGGAGTCAAACGACTTGACGAAATTAAAAAAAAATTATTTAAAAAAATTATATTCCAATGCGTCTCGAGGCAGCGAAAAGTTGAGACTGAGTACATTGCATTATAGCGTACGCGCATTTAATATTCAGTCAACGAAAAATTTAAATCTACACTGATTTCGCAAATTTGAAGGCCCCGCCTCCATTCAGTCGATTGACGCCGACAATAGCGTCAATTCATTATGGAAACAATCTTCTTGCTATGTAAAAACTTCACAACTCAATATTTATATGGAAGAGCAACATTATCTATATCATCAAACTTCTCAATACAAGTTAAGCTAGATATCTGGGTTTTTACAGTTTTTTTCAGAGTTCCTTGATTTCTACTATTAACTCTATTAATTATTCACCCGTTGGTCGTTTTTGCAACAAGACCCTCCAGTTTTTTAAAACCTCAGATATCATCATTACCGCGCATAAATGATATCAAAAACATATTTGGAAAATTCAAAAAATTGGTTTTTTGTTCAATCTGCATAGCAGTAGTATAGTTTCTCAGCAAAGTCGTGCAGAGTATGCGCAGGCATTCAAGAATCTCTTATAAGAAACTGTGCGCGCACACGATGTAAGAACAGGGATAAAATTCGATAAAAACTAATCTGCCACAAATACCCTTTTTAAATTTATTTTCATCCATTTTTCAACGTGCGCTTTGCACAATCTTCATATAGCCTTAAACCAAACTCTGTTAAAGTGTTAGGCTTTGCGTGCCTTGTCTGCAGACTTTTTGCGTTCAATCGCATCAGAAATTGGTTCCAGCCACTATAGAATGTACCAAGTATCATCATTTTCAGAAATCATAGCAGTCCGTTGGAAAAAAAAAACTCGAAACATAATCTGTTTCCCAAAAAGCGGCAACCGTAATTATTATGTGTTGCCCGCCAGAAGCGTTGCGGTTCGCGTGTGATCAACTTAATTTTTTCGAAATTCCTTATATTACATTCGCAAAACAGATGCACCATATGCAGCGCGTTTCCGCAGTACCTGACATGGACTAAATTTAAATTTGAATTACCGACTCGAAAATGTGAGTTAATCTACAATAATTCAAGGCGCTCGTTGTTTGCGAAGGTAATACGTGAACAAGCAAAAAGATAGAGGAAACGCATAATAATTATAAAAATAAAACAAACACGTAATGACAACTACAAGGTCATATAACGGCTGATTCTGATAGCCCCTTTTTGACAAACAGACTATTATTGTCACCGTTTACAATTATCAAGTTTAGTTTAGCTTGAATTTAATTTACCTTTCACCAGCAAGGTCACATTTAGAGCACATTATCAGTGCTTCAGCAGAATAATAAATTGCTGAAACCACGAATATCGCGATAATATGAAGAATCGTCATAATATGAATACAACAATTTTGAATGTGAGTTCACCCTTTGTGGTTGTGCGAAACTCATTTTCATAAACCCTCTCAATGCTTATTGAATTTCATGATTTTTCATAGTAGATTATTTCTCTGAGAGACGCAGATAAACTACAAATATGTATTTTGCAATGCGTATATTTGTTATGATAAGAGAAGGTCATTATTACCAGGTTAATTCAAAAAATGGTTTGTTGTCATCGTGCGATCTCAAGAGACCATAGAGGGATGCGAGTGACCATAATAGTATTATTATGTATTTTGCTATTTCAAATTTTAAATATTAGGTATTATTTCACTCCAAGTATAATTCAACTTCATACAAAATAGTCGAAATAGTCATTTTAGCGTCAAACTTCGACGAATAAGATTGTATTGGGTATACCCAATTTTTATAAAAATAACAAATTTGACAATTTTGCAAGAAAACCCATTAAAATTCATAAAAATTGTCCTCTTTTGCATTATGATTATTATCATATCGTAATGAAGCTATTGAGGAAAACAACAAATTTGCTCTGGTTTTTCTCAACACTTTTTCTCAAGATTAGTCATTATTTCGCTGAAAAACTTTTATTTTTTGAGTTTGACGAGCTGTCATTTAAAACGTTCAGTCCGCAATGGGTCGTAAGTTAGAGTGCTGGCAGTGTATGTTGTCAGATGCGACGATGTGCGTATTTCATCACCGCGGGCTGCAATGTTATTATTTGTTTTTTTATTTAATTGTTAAAATTTTATTTTCATTAACGTGAATTAATGTTTAAAGCACTGTATAAATTTAATTTATTAACAACTAATACTTAGGATATTGATTCTAGTATGAAAATGTATGGAACTATACAATATCTTGGAAATTTCAAAAACACTCGGGGAAATATATATATATATATATATATATATATAAAACGAAACTAAAACTTAATTTTCTTATCATATTTTCATGGATATTCATTAAAAACCATCATTCTAACCGAATCTACGATTAGTAGTGAGGTGCCACGTGGAGCAATCATGTATGTATTATCATTATAACATTCGCTGCACGCGATGTGAATATTTCAATAGATATATGCTTTCCCTCTTGTTTTTTTTTCTTCAGATAGACGAATAATTCAGTTAATTCAAACACTTCGAAAAACCAAGCATGCTTGGTTACCATAGTTTCGTGGGGTCTTCAGGATTACATGAGGATTATATTTTCTTTCTCCTTCTAACGCATCTCTAACAAAGTCGTGGCGTTCTGCAGATGATTCCGAATCAATCGGCTATTCGTTTTGTGTCATTCTGTGGTCGTTATTATTTCCATTTTTTTAAAATGGGATGCACCAGCAGTACAACTGTTTTGAACACTCGCGCAAATCAAACAGAACACAGTGCCTCACGCTTCTGGGCGGAATCCGTAAAGCCGAGACAAATTATTTCGACAATCACTCAGGCGAGATCATGAGTAATTGTTATAGATTTAAATAACATTTCAATGTAGGTTGTGCCGTTCTCAACAAGCTCGCAAAGTAATACGGACGATGCCCGGACGGTATCTTCTTTTTCACCGCGCGGTAGTTTGACGACAACAGTTTCAGACCGAAAACTAAGTAGCAGAGCGCAAGGCGATCTTTTAAGGTCAATTATAGTAATAATAATAAATTATTTTCATCCGCAATTTTAAATTTAATTTTTAAACAGTCGAAAATTTTACTTATTTGCATCTACGTGCCCCATTTAGATCAAAAAAATATAATAACATTTAAATCCAATTTATTGTTGAAAAATGTGGTTGTTGTGCCCGAATTGTTTTAGTAATCCGAGAAAGTAAGACTGTTAACCTTTTTAATTGACTTCAATTTGACAACTTTTAAAACGGGAATAATATATATATATATTATGCCACTTAAACCACTTCTCACTGAAATAAATAGCCTGAAATTTATGTCGATTTTTATTTTCTATTTCAGACCGTCAACTACTGAACGTATTCATCCCAAGAATATTCAACAAGTATCAGGAATGAGCAACGGAAGCGGAGATAGTGCTACCTATGAAACAATCGAGCGTGGAACTCTTTACGGATTGGATTATCGCGTATTTATAAGTAAAACAAAAATTAATTAACTTATTTAAGGTTATTTTTTTAGAAGGACCGGATGGAATTATTTCTCCTTGGCATGATATTCCTTTATATGCCGATGAAACAAACAAAATATTCAATATGGTAGTAGAGATTCCTCGATGGTCCAATGCTAAAATGGAGGTTTAATCAAAATTTATATATTAGTGAATTACTCTTATTTAATTTGAAGATGGCTACGAAAGAAGCATTTTCACCAATAAAGCAAGATGAAAAGAAAGGAAAACCACGATTTGTTCATAACATTTTCCCTCATAAGGGTTATATTTGGAATTATGGAGCGCTACCACAAACGTGGGAAGATCCAAATCATTTGGTTCCAGATACTGGAGCAAAGGGCGATAATGACCCGATCGATGTCATTGAAATTGGATCAAGAGTTGCTACGCGTGGTGCTGTTCTTCATGTTAAAATCCTCGGAACACTTGCGTTAATTGATGAAGGCGAAACTGATTGGAAACTAGTAGCCATTGATGTAAACGATGAGGTCGCTAGTCAATTGAATGACATTGAAGACGTCGAAAAAGTGTTTCCAGGCCTCTTAAAGGTGATATCAATTAAACGATTTCGTTTGGAATTTTTTATGTTAATTTAGGCATCTGTTGAATGGTTCCGAAATTATAAAATTCCCGCCGGAAAACCAGCAAATGAGTTCGCATTCAATGGCGAGTTCAAAAATCGCGCCTATGCTCATAAAGTGATTGCTGAAACAAATAGTTTCTGGAAAAAACTTATTAAGGAACCTTCCCCTCAACTAAATACGTCCGTCCCAATTTATTTACTTATATACTTCGTTTTCTGCAGAGTTAGCCGTGTAACGGAAGCCGTTCACCAAGCGACCAATGATGCCGCGGATGCAGCGTTGAATTCTGTTCCACCCGCCGCAGGATCTGCTTCTTTCCCTATTGATGTTGATAAATGGCACTTCATTCAAGGATGACTAGGCTGCCATTTTGAACAATCGAAAATGGCGAAATTATAAATTTTTATTCTTTGATTATCTATCATTTAAAAATTTTAAAGAACTGTTATAATTAAGCGTTTGTCCTTTTCATTTGATACCGATGTTTATCTTATCGTTTCAGTAAACTTATGTTATCGTTTCAGTAAACTTATGTTATCGTTTCAGTAAACTTATGTTATCGTTTCAGTAAATGATGTTAACAAGATACTTTTCAATTGAGTGCTATTCGTCGTTTAAGTCGGTTACCGTTTTCAGAAAATTATTCTAGAAGGTGGATTGCCGATGAAACGGTATCTTAGAGACAGATTTTGATTTTTTTGCGTTTATCTGCCGTTTTTACGGCAGGACATCTTAACATTTTGGTCATTGCAAGAATGTAAAAGAAACGCAAATTAAATGTAAATAAAAAAGTTTTCATATAACAATGTAATAAAATAAAAAAGGAAATAAATTTCAATGCAAAAATAATTTTTTTCATTTTTCAGCATCAAGTTTTTTTTCGATGTTTTCTTTTTTATTTTCTCTGTACTGTCCCATTACATTACAGGAATAGCAATGATTCCAGAAACTAAATGTTAACTGTCGTTTTTTTTGCAAAAACTTATATAATCCTTTGTGTTCAAATGTATTTTTTTTAATCATTAGCCTCATAGGCTGCAGTTTATATTTATTACATATGCAAGAAACGAGCAACCTGCGCCAATTTACGGTGAGTTGGCTTCGCAGGTTTTCCAGAGTACGGTAGCCGAATTCCCACTGTTTAAATTCGAATTTCAATTACCGCCTCAAAAAACTGCGACGGTCCACAATTACGCAAGGCAATCGTTTTTTTTTTCGATGGGAATGATGTTTCGTAATGTGTTGTAAGAACAAACGTGCTCTAGCGAACAGGATGACATTTTTCTAGTCGTTTCGTTTTTAGGAACAACGCGAAGATTCGAAAAGTAGATTTTTGACCAAAATTTATGCGCGTAATCTAATTAAGTTTTATGAAAATCTACACGGCAAATTCATTGTGCGAAACAAGCTTCTTTTTTTAAACGTTTTTTTCCCAAAGTGCCGGTTAAGATGTTTCATCACTTCGAGGAAAATGACCAAATTTTCTGTTGTTATGTAACTGTTTCTCGCAAAATTTTCCGCTGATTCATCCAATGCGACAAAAAGTCTGTTATGTCTCGTGAGCTTGTCAAGCGTGAATAAATGTTTTCAAAGTCTGTTATATTCAATTAAAATTTGTGTGGAATCAAGTAATACCCATCTCTTATTGACCTATTCAGTGCAATGCAAAATATTCTAGTCACTTAGTGCCGAATTTGAAAAATTTTTATGTGATTTGATTAGGTAAAAATGACAAATTCGACAGCCTTGCTAGCTCTGAATATCCAATCTTTCGCATCTCCAATTTTTTTTTTTGCATTTTGTGGTTTGATTTTATGCGCAAAATGCAGATTAGCCTTATATTCACGAAAATTAATTTTTAAAAACGTTTAATACATTTTATTGCGTCTATTTACAACCCTGCATAGGAAATATGTGTATTTTTTAAATCCGTTTTTCGAGTGCATGAATAGGTTAATTTGCGTTTTCTAATAAATTCTATAACTGCTCGATGTATCTAGATTCCGGCTACCTCCGATTGCTCAAACCGGATCCAACAAAATTCGCCTCTAGAATCAAGTCGAGATCTAAAATTGTTGCACCTTACTTGTCTTTTGATAGGTGCGAATTCGATTTTTATGAGCTTTGAAATAATAGATTAAAGGCTAGCACGCTAGTTATAGTCTTCCCAAAAAATGACTACTGTTATTCAATTTCGTCTGACGCGTTACGGTTTGTGCACGCTCCGGTTTCATTTTTTCGACTGGACGATATTGATACTGAATATATTACTGAGAAGCCGGAGCCAACTTCTGTTGCAATAGATATTTCAGAATTGGTTGGAACCAAAACTATTAAAAATAAGATGCAAACTGAAATATGACATTGCGTAATATAAATAAATAAAAACGTGACCGCGCAGGAACAGCCACGCTACTTAACTATAAAGTATATTCAAAAATTCTGGTAGCCACTTTTTTTGGGAGGCGAACTATTTTTTTTAAATTTATTTAAGTGTGTGAGTTTGAGTCGTAGGTTGACTGTTGTAAGAACTCTCACAGTGCTCTATCGATTTTTGCGGTACGCGTAATATACGTATTTTATTGTAAATTGACTGAAGTACTATTTCATTTTATCTCGTTTGCAGTGGAATATTTCCGATCTGTTTGATGACATCGGTCATTGAACACCTTTCAACGCCCTCGAAAGCGCTAGATTTAGAAAACCAGCCACCTGCCAAACGAGCGAAGAACGACTTATCTTCTGAAACGGTAAGTTAATTCTTTACGAGTTCAAATTTTCAAAAAGAAATCAGTCGATTGGGCAATTAAAGATTCGTAAGTCGGACCGCTTACGTCTCGACAGTGAAATTGACAAGCCTGTTAATAAGTAATATTTAACGTACTCTGTTTCTCTAATCTTCCAAGACTACCTTTGGTAACCAATGGCAACAATTTTCGTGGTGTTTCCTAACAATTAATGCACGTTAAAAATATGATATGATGTATTCGGAATACGCAGGTATACATGGATTTTTCCGGGTTAAGGTTAGTCGAAAAATTTTGAATTAATATGTTATTAAAATCACGCGATTTCGGCAACATATCATTCTGTAGGAGATTTGAACTTTGTCTTGAGATATTCTGTTTAAAACGCCTGAAAAACATTTTGGCTATGTGTCATGGTGTTTCGCAAAAAAAACGCGCATTAAATTCCTAAATCTACACTCATTGTGTGAAATTGAATTTTCAGTCATTTGAAGTAGACAACATGAATTACTAAATACTAAATTTTTATCCCTGAATCGCGTACATTATGTAATAATTTTTAGGAATCTGGAACGATACAAATTCCTTCTTCAAACGGGCAACAACAACAAGGCAACTCTAACAAAATGGAAGAAGCTAACAAAGCCAACATAAATGTCTCGGATGATCTTGATAAAAATCTTTATTCACGGCAAATGTAAGCCCAACAATTAATGATTAAAAAAAATCATTTTTCAGTTATACCCTTGGAGAATCGGCAATGGTTAATCTAAGAACTGCATCGGTTTTGATTTCGGGCATTGGTTCCGTTGGTGTCGAAATAGCTAAGAACCTAATTCTTGGAGGAGTACGTCATGTGACTATTCATGACGCAAAAACAACTGATTGGAATGATTTGTCTGCGCAATACTATCTTCGTGAGGAAGATATCGGACGGAATCGTGCTCAAGCTTGCTTTGAGCGCCTTGCTGAGCTAAATGACAGCGTCAATGTCGAATTGTGCATAGATCGTTTATCAGAAGATTTAGTGAAGAAGTTTGATGTAAGGCCCCTCGTGTATCAATCAATTTTAAGTAAAATTTTAGCTGACTATTCTTACCGACGCTAGTAGAAACCTTCAGTTGGTGGTATCTAATTGGACCCGTTCATATAATCGCAAACTACTGGTTGCTGATGCTCGTGGCGTATTTTCGTACATTTTTGCCGATTTTGGTGAAAAATTTCGCATTGATGACCCGAACGGAGAGCAAGCACGCGAGTTCTTTATAGAACACATTGATCGCGCGACCGGAGATGTCACAACTTTGGATAATTCATTCCATGGTCTTGAAGATGGAGAATATGTGACATTTTCTGAAGTAAAAGGGCTCGATGGAATAAATGACCTGAAACCGGTCAAGATTACCGTAAAAAATGCTTCGAAATTCAACATTGGAACTGTTGCTAAAGATTTTCCTGAGTACATCGAGGGTGGACGTTGCAAGCAAGTGAAAATGTCAACATTCACAGACTTCAAACCTCTAGAAAAATCATTGATGGAGCCTGAGTACATAATTTGGGATTTTGCCAAATTTGATTATCCCGATAAATTGCATTCGTTGTGGTCCGCGCTATTTTCGTTTGAGGAAAAGGTATGTAGGGAGAATGAATTAAATAAATCAATTAGTTACAGTATGGTCGGAAACCTGCTCCTCGCTCAGAATCAGATGTTGATCTTTTGAAAAACGAGCTAGATTCTGGAATACAAATCGACGACAACCTTGTACGCTTGTTTTCGTTTTCAGCTCGGGGAAATTTAGTGCCCATCGCATCTGTTGTTGGTGGAATCGCGGCGCAAGAAGCCATGAAAGCGGTCACGCATCATATGACTCCTCTGAAACAATGGCTGTAAGTTTGAAACAATTCCCTGGTATTGTCGATTTCATGCAGCTGATCGAATTAAAAAAAGAAAGTTTTGAAAAACCCTTATAAAGTGGTGACAAATCGATTGCATTTTCGAATTCAGGACTATTGAAAACGAATATTTGCAGAACCGGTAGTATCGAAGATTAAATTATTCATTATTTATAGATATTTGGATCACATCGAAGCATTGCCGGGTGATTGGACGTCATTCGACAATTCTAAATTGTCAGAAACAGATTGTGCTCCTAGACAGTCAAGATATGACGGACAGGCGGCTGTTTTCGGTAGGCAAAAAACATTATTAATATTTTAAATTATACTTAGTTAATATTAAATTATATTTAGGTTGGGATTATCAAGAAAATTTATTTAAACAAAGATGGTTCGTCGTTGGTGCTGGTGCGATTGGCTGCGAGTTGCTAAAGAATATGGCAATGATGGGAATAGCTTGTGGTGAAGGAGGTCTCATAAAAATTACTGATATGGATCAAATCGAAATTTCAAACTTGAACCGACAGTTTTTGTTCCGAAAAAAGGATGTCGGGGTGAGTACTTTGAAAAAAATTTTCAAACTTTTAAATCTCTTGTGAATCAAAGATGTATTCGGTTTTTCATGGTTCTTGGATTTTTTCTGACTTCATAATTTTTCAAACCAACGGGAAAAAAATAATCGCGTAGTATGGCGCCAAACGACTAAAAAATATCGGATATTTGCCAGATGTCTCTAGGCAAAGAGACGTGCGCGTGTCTGCGTACTCTTCACTTTAACGTACGCGCTATTAATATTAACATTTACCCAGCGAGTAAAATTACAATTTCGTAGATCTACACTGATTTTGTGAAATGTAATTTTCCGACACCGTTAGGACGTTTGACGCCGGCAATAAGAGGCATGAGATTTTCTGCGCTGTACGTTAGAAAGCGGATGAAAAGGAGGTCTGTGCTAGATCAGGTTTTTATCCACTTTTGATCCATATGAGTGTGAATTAGAATACCGTACTTCGATAAACTGCGAATCTACTGCCGAAGTGCGACAAATTGGCTCAATCTCAGAAACGTCTCAAGACGACGAGACGTGTATCATTTTTTTCTGTAAATTGGCGAAGGGCGCTCGATTTTTTGCAAATGTAAATGTTTATCGGAACGGCAAAACAATTTTATCTGCCTTGTGCATAGACTCGTAAATATACATTTTTTTGCTTTGAGGACATGCAACTTTTGCATATTTTTAAAAATATCGATATACAGGGAAAGAAGTCAGAATGTGCCGCTCGTGCTGTAACATTGTTCAATTCCGATGTGCAAATTCAAGCTCTTTCGGAAAGAGTTGGGCCAGACACCGAGAACATTTTTGATGATGCGTTTTTTGAGGAATTGAATGGGGTCGCGAATGCATTGGATAATATTGATGCCAGTAAGATTTTTTCATTAATATTTCTTATGCGCTGGATAAGCATTGCGCCATTTGGAAGTTTGAGTCCGGGATACCCCCAACCTCGCAAGTGGGGCTTGGGCATATTCTTAAAGTACAGTTTTTTTTTAAATTTAGGAAGATATATGGACCGCCGCTGTGTTTATTATCGTCTTCCTCTTCTTGAATCGGGAACAATGGGAACTAAAGGAAATACACAGGTTGTGTATCCTTTCTTAACCGAATCATACAGGTACTACAGCATACATTTTATTCATAAACCTTGTTTTCAGCTCATCGGTAGATCCACCCGAAAAAGAAATTCCTGTTTGTACTTTGAAGAATTTCCCCAATGAGATTCAACACACAATTGCATGGGCTCGTGAGCAATTTGAAACTTTCTTCTCGTCTCCATCCGAAACCGCGAACAAATTTTTGAAAGACGAACGTCTCTTCAATGATCATGTTGAAAAGCTGATGGTTGGACAGCAGATTCAAGTTCTTGAACAAGTGAAAGAGGCATTAATCGATGGGAAACCTTCTTGTGCGGAAGACTGTATTCGATGGGCTCGTCGGCAATTTCAGGAGCTTTATCATAACAACATTGCTCAGATGTTACATTCTTTCCCACCTGAACAATTGACCGATCAAGGGGCTAAATTTTGGTCTGGAGCGAAGAGATGTCCTCACGTTCTTAATTTTGATCCGTCAAAAGAAGAACATTTCAACTTCGTTTATTCAGCTTCAATTTTAAGAGCCGAGATGTACGGACTTCAACCTATTCTCGATCATGAAACCGTTATTCAGGTACTCAAAAACCGTTAACAAACTATTTTTTTACATTCCCAGATTGCTCTTTCTGAAACACCAGAGCCGTTTAAACCGAAAGCTGGCGTTAAAATTGCTCTTACTGATGCTGAAGCAAAGGAACAAAACACACGAGGGGAAGATATCGGAGATGATGACGCTGCTGTGGAAGCATTAAAATTGAAACTTGCTCGATTGAATGTAAAGGTATTCCCGAAGTTGAACTGTATCGATTTCGAGAAGGATGATGATACAAATCATCACATGGAATTCATTACTGCGGCTTCGAACCTTCGAGCAGAAAATTACGACATTCAGCCAGCTGATAGAATGAAAGTAATTTTAATTAATTTAGGATCCAGTTTAATGAAAAAAAATTTAGACGAAACAAGTTGCTGGAAAAATTATTCCTGCTATTGCTACTACTACTGCCGCAATAGCTGGTCTTGTATGTGTAGAGCTATACAAAGTTGTAGACACCAACGGACTTCCAAAAACACCGATTGAGAGATTCAAAAATTCTTTCATCAATTTGTCAATGCCATTCTTTTCCTCTGCTGAACCTATTCTGGCCCAAAAGAAAAAGGTTTCTAGCCTTATGTCGCTTTGCAAATTTGTATAATGCTATTTAGTATGGAGATAAAGAGTTTACGTTGTGGGACCGAATCGAAATTAAAGGCCCACTTAATATGCAAATGTTTATCGATGAAGTTCAAGAAAAAACGGATTTGGAAGTTTCTATGCTCTCTGCCGGTTCTTGCTTGCTTTATTCATTTTTCATGCAGCCTGCAAAGCGAGCACAAAGAATGACAACTGAGTAAGAATATCGTTTATATATTATTTCTCATTATGATGCTGCTTTTCAGTCTTAAAGAAGTATACGAAGAACTTATGAAAAAGAAGCTCGGAAGTTACGTTCGCCACATTGTTCTTGAACCAATGATGACCGACAAAGATGGCGAGGACGTCGAAGTTCCTTATATTCGCTATTCATTGTAAAAGTTTAAACACCATCTTATTTATTATTGTTATTATTAATTTATTCTTCGTCCCGTTTAAGAATTATCCCGTTTCTTATTGCGCAAGTGCGAGCGCATCAAATAATAGTTTAACTTAATTCGAAAAGATAATGCTTCTACTTTTATTACGCGAATAAATGCCACTGTCGATTTTTTATTTTACTGAATATAAAACACCTAACTTGTCAATTTTTCATATCTATTGCGAAATCAGTGTGGATCTACAAAATTGTAAATTTATGTCCTGCCTAAGTATTATCTGCGCATACGTTAAAAAAGCGAGACTTATTGTATACAAGTATAAACTTTATATATGTAAATTGAAAAGCGATATCAGCGTATACGATTGAGCTTTCTTCGTATACGACTCGGAATTTACCAGATAATAAGGCAAAAATATTTATGGGTTTTAATTTCGACGACTTTGAAATTCCAAACATTTAAGCAGTGTGTGCTCTTGGGAAAATTCCCTGAACCCATAGGCCGAATTCTCGAGACTCCAGGAAGCCCCGCGAAATTTTCGAATTTATCAGTCTCGTTTATTGCGCGGTGGAGTCGCGCGTACATGTACCGAGAGTCTAGAGACTCAATAAAACTTTAGTAGTGAATTTGAAAACTAGTAGCGCACGGTTAACATATTTTGTAAATGTTAGCTTGCACGAAAAAAAGAGGACTATTACATAAATCATTTTTTGCATACGATTGCTTGTTGGTAAAGTGATGTCTAAGATCGTAAGGTTTTAGCACCTAATCCAAGACCGAAAATTGAAGTTGGTTTAGGAGAAACAGTTTTAAAAATAAACAAAATAAAACATTAATAAATTGGTTATATTCTTCCAAGCGGCGAACTAGTCCACTCTGCGTATTTCGCCAAAAATGGATACAAACCACTGCTTCGCACGATGAGATTGTCGAGTTGCTATAAAAAAGAGAAATGTATTGTCGGCGCCAAACGACTGAAAGGAGGCGGGCCTTCAAATTCAAGAAATCAGTGTAGATTTAAATCTATCATTGTATGAATATTGAATGCGCGTACGCAATAATGCAATGTACGCAGTCTCGCGTACTTCTCGCTGCATCGAGACGCATTGGCACATAGCCAATAATTCTCGAAATTATTGGACTATATGAAAGGAGCTCGTGAAAACAAAAATAAAACAATAAATGTGAAAACTGGTAGACAAGATCTGAAATAAACCGTTTACGTTTTCGGGTTCGATATTTTGTTACTCGGGTGGGGTATGATCGATACCAAAAAACTAGGTTCCCGATTTTCAAGTTTTAATGGAACTTAAGGTAATTGAACTTGCAGATTTTTTTTTAAAAAAAAACTTTTTTTTTTTGGCCCCCGTTTTTTTTTTTGGTTTGGGTTTTTTGGGGGGGGGTTAATTTTTACCAAAAACTAAGTACTCAATTCTTAATTTTTGATGATACTTAAGGTTATTGGATATGTAGAAACACATTCTGATAGTTTTAGATTGGCCAGACCAAAACTTGCTGTGTTATGGGACCCCCGGTTTAATGTTGGGTTACGGTATCTGGGGGTCGATATAATTTTAACCTAAAAACAAAGTCCTCAATTATTAATTTTTGATGATTTTTAGGGTTATTGGACATGTAGAAACACATTTTCATAGTTTTACATTTTACAGACCAAAACTCGCTGTGTTATGGGACCCCCGGTTTAATGTTTGGTTACGGTATCTGTGGTTGGGTATAATTTTTACCTAAAAACTAAGTACTCAATTCTTAATTTTTGATGATATTTAGGGTTATTGGACATGTTGAAACACATTCTGATAGTTTTAGATTGGCCATACCAAAACTCGCTGTGTTATGGGACCCCGGTTTAATGTTGGGTTACGGTATCTGTGGTTGGGTATAATTTTTACCTAAAAACTAAGTACTCAATTCTTAATTTTTGATGATATTTAGGGTTATTGGACATGTTGAAACACATTCTGATAGTTTTAGATTGGCCAGACCAAAACTCGTCTGTGTTATGGGACCCCCGGTTTAATGTTGGGTTACGGTATCTGTGGTTGGGTATAATTTTTACCTAAAAACTAAGTACTCAATTCTTAATTTTTGATGATATTTAGGGTTATTGGACATGTTGAAACACATTCTGATAGTTTTAGATTGGCCAGACCAAAACTCGTCTGTGTTATGGGACCCCCGGTTTAATGTTGGGTTACGGTATCTGTGGTTGGGTATAATTTTTACCTAAAAACTAAGTACTCAATTCTTAATTTTTGATGATATTTAGGGTTATTGGATATGTAGAAACACATTCTGATAGTTTTAGATTGGCCAGACCAAAACTGCGGTAGAAGCTGTGTTATGGGACCCCGGTTTAATGTTGGGTTACGGTATCTGTGGTTGGGTATAATTTTTACCTAAAAACTAAGTACTCAATTCTTAATTTTTGATGATACTTAAGGTTATTGGATATGTAGAAACACATTCTGATAGTTTTAGATTGGCCATACCAAAACTCGCTGTGTTATGGGACCCCGGTTTAATGTTGGGTTACGGTATCTGTGGTTGGGTATAATTTTTACCTAAAAACTAAGTACTCAATTCTTAATTTTTGATGATACTTAAGGTTATTGGATATGTAGAAACACATTCTGATAGTTTTAGATTGGCCAGACCAAAACTCGCTGTGTTATGGGACCCCGGTTTAATGTTGGGTTACGGTATCTGTGGTTGGGTATAATTTTTACCTAAAAACTAAGTACTCAATTCTTAATTTTTGATGATACATAAGGTTATTGGATATGTAGAAACACATTCTGATAGTTTTAGATTGGCCATACCAAAACTCGCTGTGTTATGGGACCCCCGGTTTAATGTTGGGTTACGGTATCTGTGGTTGGGTATAATTTTTACCTAAAAACTAAGTACTCAATTCTTAATTTTTGTTGATATTTAGGGTTATTGGACATGTTGAAACACATTCTGATAGTTTTATATTGGCCAGACCAAAACTCGTTGTGTTATGGGACCCCCGGTTTAATGTTGGGTTACGGTATCTGTGGTTGGGTATAATTTTTACCTAAAAACTAAGTACTCAATTCTTAATTTTTGATGATATTTAGGGTTATTGGACATGGAGAAACACATTCTGATAGTTTTAGATTGGCCAGACCAAAACTGTCTGTGTTATGGGACCCCCGGTTTAATGTTGGGTTACGGTATCTGTGGTTGGGTATAATTTTTACCTAAAAACTAAGTACTCAATTCTTAATTTTTGATGATATTTAGGGTTATTGGATATGTTGAAACACATTCTGATAGTTTTATATTGGCCAGACCAAAACTGGCTGTGTTATGGGACCCCCGGTTTAATGTTGGGTTACGGTATCTGTGGTTGGGTATAATTTTTACCTAAAAACTAAGTACTCAATTCTTAATTTTTGATGATATTTAGGGTTATTGGACATGGAGAAACACATTCTGATAGTTTTAGATTGGCCAGACCAAAACTCGTTGTGTTATGGGACCCCGGTTTAATGTTGGGTTACGGTATCTGTGGTTGGGTATAATTTTTACCTAAAAACTAAGTACTCAATTCTTAATTTTTGATGATATTTAGGGTTATTGGACATGTTGAAACACATTCTGATAGTTTTATATTGGCCAGACCAAAACTCGTTGTGTTATGGGACCCCCGGTTTAATGTTGGGTTACGGTATCTGTGGTTGGGTATAATTTTTACCTAAAAACTAAGTACTCAATTCTTAATTTTTGATATTATTTAGGGTTATTGGACATGTTGAAACACATTCTGATAGTTTTAGATTGGCCAGACCAATACTCGTCTGTGTTATGGGACCCCCGGTTTAATGTTGGGTTACGGTATCTGTGGTTGGGTATAATTTTTACCTAAAAACTAAGTACTCAATTCTTAATTTTTGATGATACATAGGGTTATTGGACATGTTGAAACACATTCTGATAGTTTTAGATTGGCCAGACCAAAACTGTCTGTGTTATGGGACCCCCGGTTTAATGTTGGGTTACGGTATCTGTGGTTGGGTATAATTTTTACCTAAAAACTAAGTACTCAATTCTTAATTTTTGATGATATTTAGGGTTATTGGACATGTTGAAACACATTCTGATAGTTTTAGATTGGCCAGACCAAAACTCGTCTGTGTTATGGGACCCCCGGTTTAATGTTGGGTTACGGTATCTGTGGTTGGGTATAATTTTTACCTAAAAACTAAGTACTCAATTCTTAATTTTTGTTGATATTTAGGGTTATTGGACATGTTGAAACACATTCTGATAGTTTTATATTGGCCAGACCAAAACTCGTTGTGTTATGGGACCCCCGGTTTAATGTTGGGTTACGGTATCTGTGGTTGGGTATAATTTTTACCTAAAAACTAAGTACTCAATTCTTAATTTTTGATGATATTTAGGGTTATTGGACATGTTGAAACACATTCTGATAGTTTTAGATTGGCCAGACCAAAACTCGTTGTGTTATGGGACCCCCGGTTTAATGTTGGGTTACGGTATCTGTGGTTGGGTATAATTTTTACCTAAAAACTAAGTACTCAATTCTTAATTTTTGATGATATTTAGGGTTATTGGACATGTTGAAACACATTCTGATAGTTTTAGATTGGCCATACCAAAACTCGCTGTGTTATGGGACCCCCGGTTTAATGTTGGGTTACGGTATCTGTGGTTGGGTATAATTTTTACCTAAAAACTAAGTACTCAATTCTTAATTTTTGATGATATTTAGGGTTATTGGATATGTAGAAACACATTCTGATAGTTTTAGATTGGCCAGACCAAAACTGGCTGTGTTATGGGACCCCGGTTTAATGTTGGGTCACGGTATCTGTGGTTGGGTATAATTTTTACCTACAAACTAAGTACTCAATTCTTAATTTTTGATGATACTTAAGGTTATTGGATATGTAGAAACACATTCTGATAGTTTTAGATTGGCCAGAC